ATTTTTTAGTCAAAAATATAAAGTATTTAAGCAAGATAATTAACAGGTTAAATATTAAAGGCTTTATTATACTAAAACACACCTGTAAGCCCTACCAGAAGGCTTTAGTAATAATAAAAAATAAACAGAAAGTAATAATTTTTATAAAAAGATATAAAAATCGTGTTTTTATGGATTTAGGGGATAATTATTTTAATATACTGCTTATTTATAAAAATAAAATAAAATATTAGATCTTATTCTATAATTAGTATAATAGATTTGCTTTAGTTAGATTCTTAAAAATAAAAAATTAAACATGCTTAGTAATTTAAGCATATACTAATTCTGAAAGAATCACAGAATACCTAATTTAATATTTTTATTCTAATAATAATAAGAAATTTACTAATTACAAGATATTAAAATAAGTAGAAGAACAAAGGATCAAGTAAAAATTTATCTCTATGTATATTTATAGCCAGAATTTATCTGTTAAATATCTTTTAAGGACTATTTTTATAAAAATCCGCGCTATTTTAATTAATAGTAATCTATCCTATTATTTATAGGCCGAGATAATAAAGATAATTACTTTTATTTATGTCAAACGTCGAAGGTAGGCTAGGATCGAATAGGAAGGTGGTAGTCACCTGATCCTAGAGCAATACCTTATAGAATGATAGCTCAAAGGTTTCGATTATTCGACTTTAATTGAATTGATAAGAAAGGGTGAAATTGATTAATGAATGAATGAATCAATAAGTAAATTGAATAGATGAAATCAACTTGTCAAATTGAAACAGTAAAATCAACTTGTCAAAAAGAATGAAAATATGCAGGAGATCAACTGCATATTTATAGATATTTGAAATAAATCAAACATTGCAAACATAAAAGAATAAACTTTTAATTTCCAAATTAGGAAATAGATAATAGCTGGTTTTCTAATTATCATATGATCCTTGCGATCAGATATTTCCTAAATAGGAAACAGTTAGGTATTCCTTAATTAGGAAGTAGTCAGGTGTTTCCTAAATAGGAAGGTAAGCTCGTCCAAAATAAAAAATATTTCAAAAATTTTCTTTTTCATTTTCCGCTCACATTGAGCTCAGTTTCACCTCACTTTTCCCATACAATTTGGTGGTGGAAGTGAGAGTTCAATAAAGTGAGAATAAAGTCGCAGTAAATTTTGAATAATTTCGGTTGTGGGGCTTAATCAGGTGATTCTAATGAATCAGGTGATGTCAGGTGACCCCAATTGACAATTTATAATATCTTGCCCGTTTATAATAAAAAATTAATTTTATATAAAATTAGAAATAATAAAAAGCCAGATATTAAAAGATTAAAAATTATTAATTATCAAATGGGGTCACCTGACATCACCTGATTCATCAGAATCACCTGATTTAGCCCCACAACCAAAATTATTCAAAATTCACTACAACTTTACTTTCACTTTATTGAACTCTCACTTCCACCACCAAATTGTATGGGAAAAGTGAGGTGAAACTGAGCTCAATGTGAGCGGAAAATAAAAAAGAAAAATCTCTGAAGAATTTCCTATTTTGGACTAGCTTACCTTCCTAATTAGGAAATCACCGGTCGCTAGAATCCTATGGAAGTCAGAAAACATAATTCGATGAATTTTCTATTAAGGAAATTAAAAGTTTATTTCAACCATTGTGATCAATGGCTTTGTTCAGATGATTAATACAAAGGGTCCAGAATATCTCGCCTATTTATTTTATAAGCTATAAAGTGAATATTGCTACCCTGGTTATTCTGATATTATTTAAATAATTTTATTATGATTTATGTGTTAAATCTCGATTGTTCTGATTATTCTGATCATGAAATCTTGATCATTTGATTATTTAAATGATTAAATATTGATCTAATAATAATCTATAAGATTAATCTTGAAGGCCTAGATTAATGATATGACTTATAGATAAAAACCTAGAAAGATCTGATGATTTCATTTTGCGATGTTTGCTTAGGGCCAGATTGAATTAGCCCTGATTCAATTGTCTATAAATATGCAGTTAATGACCTGCATTGATTTATTCTTTTCAACAAGTTGATTTTACCGTTTTAATTTGACAAGTTAATTTCATCTATTCAATTTACTTATTGATTCATTCATTCATTAATCAATTTCACCTATCTACATGCATAGCGAATGGTAGGACCTCTGGTCTATCTATTTCAGATCTAGGTGGTCCAGGTGAACTGTTTACTTCATATGACTGATCGATTTCCTTTATTCTATCTAGCCATTTGAAATTTCTATTCAACCCACGTGACCTACCTACCCCATCTGAAAGTTATAAGCCCGCGTTAGCATTTCATCTGACATTAATTATAAAATTATAGTTATTATTCCCTCTAAGATCCAGTCTTATAAAAAAATAATAAAAATTAACCTTAGAGCATTTAATATAAGACTTATTAAATATATATTCTTAGGCAAGCAGTATATTATCTAGATCTTTTTAATAGAGAAGTTAAAACAAGTCTGTAATATATAATTTAATAAAGGATTAGACCCAGACCTATACAGAATATCTAATAATAATTATAAGAGTTAAAAGATATTTTTATTAATTAATTTACTATCCTGAAACCCTTATAAAATTAAATTAGATAATAACTTTAAAAATAAGCTTGCTTAATACCTTTTTTTTAAGCTAGTATTTATTAATTATATTTTTTTTTTATTTTTAAGTTACCAGTGGCAGACTAGCCGCTAGCTATTTATTTTTTTTATAATAATATTCTTTTGACTAGTAATTATCGCGGAGATTATAATAAAATAATTAAATCTTTTTTATTTAATAAAGCTGTTGTCTCTCCACACAAAAATAAATAGTAGAAAACTATAAAATCAGAATTTAATAGCTTAATTAAGTAAAAATTATAAAAACTTATAGATTTGCCTCCTGGCTGTAAAATACTTTATAGTTATTAGATTTATAAGCGAAAATTAGATATTAATAATTAAATTTTATATTTTAAAGCTAAATAAATTACTTGAGACTTTACACAGTAATATAGGATTAATTTTTAAGATATTTTTTTATCTATAGTATATCTAGTAATTATTTAATTATTTTTTATCTTAATAACAGCTATAGACCTTAAATATTTTTAAGGAGATATTTTACTTATATTTCTATAAGGTAATTTCTTTAATAATAAGACTATTTATATAAAATAACTGAAAAGATTCAAAGATGATTCTAAATATATTTATTAACTGTTTTAACTATTTTACAGCTTAAAATAAGCCGTATAGATATGATATTTTACTTTATAATATAATTTAACTAAAATAGGCTTTTTCCTGACCTCTGTGAATAAATATTTTTTTACTAATATAAATAGGACTTTTTTAATTATTTATATTAATAATATCTTAATAACTAGTAATTATAAAACTGTTAAGGAAATAATAATAGCTATCTAAGATATTTTTAATAATATTTACTTTTAGGAAGCCGCTTATTACCTAAGAATAAAAATAAAAAAAAATAAAAAGAAAAGGATACTTAAATTAATTTAATTTATATATATATAATATGTTCTTGATAATTTTGATTATAATTTAAATAAAACCTTATTTACTTTAGCCCGCGAAAATATTAAATTAATTAAATTAATTATAAAAAAACTGAATTTCGACCTCCTGAAGTAATATTAGAAGTTACTTAGTTTAATTATATATATTATTTTATAAACTTACCCTGATATTTTATTTAAAATTAAATAATTTATATAATTCGCTTTAAATCTTAATAACTTATATATAAAAGACCTGATTTACCTCCTCTAATTTTTTTAATTAATAATTAATTATAGTATTATTTTCCGCTTATAAATTAAAGATAAGAGGCAGAAATAGTAGAATAATTAGAAATAATAAAAAAATATATAGATACAGATTTTGCCGGCGATCTTAATATATAAAAATCTACTACTAGCTTTATTTTTATATTAGCTAGCAGACTTATTTTCTAGATCTTAAAGCTATAAACTATAATAAACTTATTTATTTATAAAACTAAATATACTATGGTCAGTATAGCAGGCAGGAAAGTAATTTAAATTATTTAAATATTTAAATTAATTAGCTTTAGTAATATAAGACTAATAATTATCTATACTAACTCAGAATCTACTTTAAAATTTATAAAAAATACCCAGATGTATACCTGAAGCAAATATATTAATATTTAAATCTATTAAATTTGCGAGGTAATTTAGCACGGCGATATTAAACTTTAACACTTGACTATAAACAGAATAATTATAGATATATTAATAAAAGCGCTCCCACGCGTTAAATTTAAAAAACACACTAAATTAATAAGTGTTAAATAATTACAGCTAAATAAAAATATCTAAATAAAATATTTTAGCTTTAAAATAACTGTTATCTTAAGAGGGTGTGTGGGAAACTCCCGGTATCCTAAATAGATATACCGGAATATTCCTACCAAGATAAGATCATCCGCAGCGATTTACCGGAGACCTCCTAAATTAAATAGGAACCCCTAGCGAGATTGTGAGATATAAAATAGGGTCCTCTGGTATATCTAGACCTTCCCTTTATCATCATCTTGATCATCAGAAATTGAATGTTTTATTCAAGACGAATACAGCGTCTTACCTCGTAATTCCTACAAATAAAAATATATCTTTTACTACCATGCACAATGCACTCTGGTATCGTGTTTTCCCCATATGAATGGAACTATTCCAGAAGAACGAGGTGAAATTAGGCCTGAATTGATCTACACTAAATATGGTCAATTGTGCTAATCCTACTTAATAACCGCACGCAATGTGGTTGTGCCTGCGGAGCAGTGAAAGCATTTTAGCAAAAAGCAGCATTGCATGCAAGGACTGCCTCTTTGCGCGTAAATAGGAGACATGAGCAGTGATAACGAAGGTTTCTTGTTCAAAGCCCCTTGCTGCACCGACTTTCACCGTAATCTGCACCCATCGGGCTTCTATATCGTGCCATTAACGTAGGCTTCCTCAATCGCCTGCCGTGGGTCACGAATCAAGGAGCTCAGAAAGAGAAGAAAGTCGCCGAAGAACCGCTCCATGTCTTCAGTATTGTATCGGGAAGCAGAATGATCGAGGGATAGCTCGAGGTCGCCATCCTTCTCTTCGGCTTCTAGGCAGATGTCAAAGTGCGAGGGGAATCTTATGGTCTCATCGATTGTCGCCTCAAGGTCTGCCGTGCGGTAAGATGTCGCACCACGCTGGTTCCGGTATTGAATGGCAATTTCTCCAAGTGGAAGCTGCTTTGTCGTACTCTTAACTCGTTGGCAATCCACAATTTCGTTAAATGGCAAAACGTGCGAACGGGCCTGGGAGAAGTTCTCTTTCTCGCGCATGACCAATTCCTCGAAGCTCATGTCATCGCACCTTATCTGGACGCGAAGAGGGAGCAGGTTGGTGAAATATCCAATGGCTCCTTCAACGGTCTCGTGAGGCCTCGTCTCATCTACCATGAACAAGGGCACGTCTCGGTCTCCTGTATTATGATACATGAATGTCCGGAATGATGCAGCTAGGAAATTCAAAGATGTTGCACCGAGCATCGAACATATACGGCCCAAGCGTCGATGTAGGTTGGCCGGTAGTCGAAGTCTATGAATTCCTCGTTGATTTAGAGCTGTGGATTGATTCCCCTTGAAAAATGATGGCGGTTTATGGGCTTCCTTCAACCCGTCCAAATGTGAAGACCAGTAAGACCTATTCGCCAGCGTTTCGGACGATTTCAGCTGTTCGTTGTGCCAGAGGGTGAAGTCTGCGTATGAATATCGCGGACAAGGAACAGTGGCAGTATCTCTGTCTGTCACGATAGCTTCGTACAGACTTATCCATGTGTCCATGAAGTTATATAAACTGAACGAGTCACAGCAAAGCTGGTGGAAAACAGTGATTAGATAATGTCTTTTCTCCTCTAACTTGACCAACATATATTTTCCAACTTGGCCATTCTCGATATCCAACGGCTGAACGCCACACACCCCTTGCAATATGTAGATATATGGTTTGTTGCGGTGCATGGCATTTGTGGCGCAAATGATTGGATGGTTGTATATCACGAGATACCCAACATCTGCCCTAGCATCGTAGGTGTGACAAGCCAGTATAGATCAACAGTCAGGTCAAAATGATTATTAAAGCACCTCCCTTGACGAGCAATAATCCTTCTTCTGTACATCCTTCTTCCTCACAGGTAGGAGTTATATTAAAACTATCCGAGTCTCGCCAAAATGTTCAAATTCAGCCCTGAATGTAAGCTCCCTCATTCCACACTCAATACCTGCCTTCAACCCCTTGCTAACTAACTAAAGTTGTCAATTTCACCCAAACCCTCCACCAGGACACGTACCCTTTCACCTCCTCATCCGACCACCGCAGCCACGCAGTTCTCATCACTGGCGCCTCTCGCGGAATCGGAAAAGCGATCGCGCCCTCATTCACCCGCGCCGGGGCCTCATCCATCGCCATCGCCGCACGCAGCGACCTTCACGACCTCGAGTCCAGCATCATCCACACCAGCCAACGTGCTGGACATGCCCCGCCTAAAGTCCTCCCTCTCGCCCTTGACGTGACCGACGAAGCCGCAGTATCCAACGCCGCAGCCCAGGCAGAAGCGCAGTTCGGCCATCTGGACATCCTCGTCAACAACGCCGGCCGGCTCGAAGCCCTACACGCAATCGGTGACAGCGACCCGTCCGAATGGTGGAGGACCTGCAAGGTGAATCTCAAAGGAACGTATCTGGTCACGCGGGCGTTCCTGCCCTTGCTCTTACGGGGCCAGGGACGGACAATCGTGAACATGAGTTCGATCGGGGCCATCATGCAAACGCCGGGCATGTCGGGCTACCAGATCAGTAAGTCTGCAGTGCTGCGCTTTACGGATCTTCTGGCGAGTGAGTATCGTGATCAGGGGATCCTTTCGTTTGCGATGTATCCGGGGCCGGTGGCTACGGACTTGATCAAGGTGTTTCTGCAGAAGGAGAGGGGCATTTTTGTCAATAGTCCTGGTCTATGTGGAGATACGATTGCATGGCTAACGCAAGAGCGCCGTCAATGGTTGGCTGGAAGGCTTGTCGGTGCGAATTGGGATATGGCTGAATTTGTGGGGCGGCGTGAGGAGATTGAGAATGATCGCAAATTGAAGATGGAGATGGTGTTATAGACGCAGTACGCCTTTTGACATTCCTTGGGAGATGTGGGAGGCATCTAGCTTAGATCCGGTGATAGATTATTGAACTCTCGGTCGGTTGGAGACACATATGTGAACCAGTCTCCCCAAAAGAGGCAGCTTTAAGCAGAAGGCATATACACCATCACATCAATCTACTTATCAAGTCCTATACATCGTACGTCGGTGGGTAGTTCATAATGAACACAAAACTATTTATAGAAACTGCAATATCCAAATATATAAATCTCCCAATCACTCGTCTCTATTCATGGTCCTGCCAACGTGGGCTTTACTCTCATTGTCCCCCTTCGACCTTTTGTTCATTTACCTCTCCCTCCTGAGTATCCAACTGCTGACTAAAAGCCACGGTATACTCATCCGGATCCCATGCCAGAACCCTAGTCTCCATCTCTTTGAGTTTCCGAGCTACCAGGTGTTCCATCTCATCCTTTTCCTCCTCATTCAACAGCTCGAGCCTTTCTTTCCACGCTTCCTCGAGATTCTCAGCATGTCCGAAGAACAGCGGATCAATCTTCCGCCAGTAGATCTGGTCAAACGCAAAGCTATACAACGTCGCATACACTATCCAGAAACTCCCATTCTCCCAGCTCTCACGCATAGCACCCGACAGTCGCTGATCTTCACCCAACCGACCCTGCTCAATCGCCGTATCTTCACAATCCTTCATCGCCTTCAGGAACGTCTTCAGATGATGATCAAAAACTCTCGTCCAGTCCTCAATGCCCTCAGCCCAGTACTCTGGCTTCTCGATTAATAGCCACCAAGGCGGCGCATGAGAGAACTCAACCGGCGCAGCATACGTGAACTCCCAATCTACCACGCCGGCGATTTCCATCCCCTGATTCAGCAATACATTCGCTGGCCGGAAGTCATCACACCACAGTTTGAAAGGCCCATTCTCGAACACCGGATCTGTGAGTCTCTTGTTTCTGGCAAGCTTGCGGAAGAGCTGCCGCGCGATGAATTTGCGTCGACAGTCGTCTGCAGACTCCACGGCGTCGTTTCTTTGGTGGATTAAATGCTGTATATTGAGGTCTGCAAGCGCTTCCATGTATGATGAAGACGTGGGAAATATAACATCCTGGTTAGGGAGTTTCGATCGTGGCAAGCCACCCAGTCGGACGAGCTCGTTCATGTTCATTGATAAAGGCCGACCTGCCACTTCCCAGGTGAAGTCGTCGATCTGGCTGAGAGAGCCGATGCGAGGTAGAGAGGGCTTGTATAATTGAAGCAGCACTCCTGCGAGCTGTTTATATAGCATTTCAAGCCTGTCTTCGTCGATGTGCGGGTCCGAAACACCGCGGTCTTCTCTCGGGCATCCTGGGGTATTCAGAGCATCGTACATTTTCGTCTCATGTTCGATATAGTCCATTATGATAAACGGGTTAAGCTCAAGAGGACTCTCCTTTTTTGTCCCTGACTGATGCACAAACGGAAGAGGAATGGATGTCTGGTCCGTGAGAAACCGCATCACAGCAACCTCATTGACAACTTTTTCTTCGGGAAACATGACAGCCCCAGGCTGCGATAGCCGGATCACGGTAGCGCTGTTTCGGTACTTCAGGCGCAAGGAGATGTTATAGGAGCCTTTTCGGAGGATGGCGAACTCGGTGGCAGTGCCTCTGTTGTGGGTGAGCATGAACTCGGCGATCGGTCTTAGGAGGTCGATTTCGAGGAATTGCGCAAGCCATGTGTCGGATGTCGACTCGGCTTGTTCCCAGGCTAGATCGTCAGGGCTCATTCGACTCTGCATGTTTGCCTGGTTAACTGGTTGGCAGGACGCTGGTAGATGGAGGCTTATTCTGTATGCTGGGAAGAGGGACGCCGAATAACCAGGGGGCTGGGGATTTGAACACTAGGTACCTACCACATGACTGTTTTCCGGGGTCGATCTTTTTGAGGTTTTAATTGGTGCCGGTATAAATATTCGAAAGCTACCTAAGTGGTTAAATACTCTAGACCGATTATCTGAGTGGTAACTTCAGGCTGCTACTAGTATCAGAAGATGCGTGTTCTTCTTGGAAAACCCACTAAACCCTGAATTATGGACCTTCTATCTTGTTTTTATACTTAACCACCATAAACAAACACCAGTCTATTCCGATCATCTGCGATCGGCTGTACTGAAGATAAAAGAAGCAAAAAAAAATAAAATCAAATAAAAGCCCTATTCACTATATCGTCTATAAAAGAAAACCAAACCACCGCTATCCACACCCAACCCATCCATAAGACAACTTCACCATACGACAAACAGCCCTAACTCTAAAAGCAAAAATCAAAACAAACTAATCCAGCCCAACCCCAACCTTGAAAGCAAAAACAAAACAAAAAATCCTAAACACCCGCCAGCGCCCCCGCGACCTCCCCGGCAGCCTCCATCATCCCCCTCGTCCCGACCATGGCCACCAACCCCGACAGCACCACCAAATCCATCACCGGCCTGCTCATCGGCACATAGATCTCCAACCTCCTCCCCTTCGCCTTCCCCTTAGAAGAGGACCCAGAAGCCCCAAACCCAAACACGTGGATCTTCGCCAACTTCTGCCCGTGTCCATCCCCATCCAGTCTGACCAGCTCGAGCGTGGTCCCGGTCAACTGGTTCGCTTTCCATTTATAGCTCCCCAGGACGGGGTGCGTGACGGTGAAGTTTCCGGACAGGGAGGATTCTTTCACGCCGAAGGGGCAGGGTGTGTTGGGGGAGGTTGGGGAGGGGAGGACGCAGTCTGTTGTGGAGGAGAAGGAGTGCATTATGGCGGTGCCCAGTGGGGGGGAGGTCGAGGGGGTGTTTGGGCCTTGGGAGATCTGGACGTGGGGTTTGCTGTATTTGTTGATTAGGGCGCTGTATTGGGGTGGTTGGCTGGGGGTTGAGGTGGAGAATGGGGTGAGGTGGAAGAGGGAGGAGTTCTCTTTGGAGGGGGTTATGGTTAGGGTTGAGGGGGGTGTTGTTGTTGCTGTTTGGGATTGCTGGTGGGAGTGAGGATCAAAGTGATGATGTGGGTGAAATGGTGGCGGTGATGGAGTGTGTGGGAAGTGGCCATTGTTGTCAGTGCTGTAGTAGTTTTGAGGAGGATAGTAGTTCTGTGGTGGTCCTGGTGGTCCTGGTGGTCCTGAAGGTGGATAGTTGTAGTTGTGGTTATAAGGTGGAGGACCGTAGTTCGGCGGAGGAGGGTTGTAGTAATTCGGTGGTGCAGGAGGGAGGTTATTTGAGTAATAAGAGTTCATTTTGATATTGATCTGGTCAATTGGTTCTCTTGGAAGTATATTTCCGAAGTATACAGTAGTGAAAGGTGGTAGGTATAGAATGAGGTTATCAATCAAGTTGTCAACCCATTGCAGGACACACCCAATATATAGCAATCCCCCCATTCTCAACCCTCCGATCCACCTCATTCTGCAACACAGCCTTGTTCAACACGACCGGGACATCATATCAGCTCGTATTGGCGGCACATATCGCCCAACCCGGTTAGCAGTGTCTTGGCAGTGGCACGCCGCTGATGGACTTGAGCTTGACATACTCCTTCTGGAAGTTTATGGCGCTGTGTTATTACTCTTGCAGTTGCGTTGCTTTCTGATGGGTCCGTGTTTAAATGTGGAGTGGGATTTGGTGACACTGATCCAGAGATATCCCTACATTTTCACATGACTTCCGAAGAATCCGACGTAAATAACAGTCTATAACAAGCCATGTCCTCTAGACAAACTAGAACTTGATCCCCCCCGACAACTTCCTCCTCAAACTCTCAAACTTCTTCGCCAACCAAACACCCCCCGCCAACCACCTCGCCTCTGCAAAATCCTTCTGATACTCCGCCAAAATCGCCTCCGCCTGCGCCTTCTTCAGCGGATCCGTCGTCGCCGCCCACGCCGATGCCAGACACAGCGGCATATACGCCGACCCCAACGGCCTGTGCCGCGCCGCCTCATACGCCAAGATCATCGTCTCGTCGAAAATATTCTCGCCCTCGTCGCGCAGCGCCGCATCGCCCGGGTCGAACTCCCTCAGGATCCGATTCAGCATGATCCCCAGCGACATGAGGATGCCGTAGGCGGCCTGGTAGCGCGTGAAGGTGCGCATGGCGGCGATGCCGGGGCTTGCCTCGGGGGTGGGGAAGAGCTTCGAGGTGGTTTCGTTCAGCAGGGTGCGGATCTTGGGCATGTCGATGCGCATGGCGTTGTAGAGGGCTTCGATCTCGAACGCGTGCTGCTCCGGCTCGCGGATGTACTGCGGAATGTTGGCGAGGTTCTTGAGCATGAGGCTGGGGAAGGGGCCCGGTTTGGATGGCTCGGATGGGAAGTAGCGCTCGCAGAGGGTGGAGAACCACGGCTCGATTTTGATGCGCGGGTTGAAGGCGCTTTCGAGGATCTATCTTACTGTTAGACCGTTGTGGGGGTGAGATGGAGATGGGGATGCATGGATGATGCATACCACTGGAACCGAAAAGGTCAGTAGCATCTCCTTGATGAACCCGCCCTTCCAGTCCTGCGTCACGGCCATGCTCAGCAAATGCGCCATCGCCTCGCCGTGACTGACATAATTATCATCCTGCTTGCCGAGCCAGCTCTACTCCTGTCAGCCCAGCACCTCACAAGCAGACAGAGACACCGCATACTAACCTGACAAATCATAATCAAATAAATCCCACACAGCGTCTCCGCCGTCCTCGTCTTCTTCGGATCCTGCAGCGCAAACCGCAACGTCTTCAACGCATGCACATAACTCCCCAACGCCTCCGCCGACGGCGAATGCGTATGAATCGCCGAATAGCCATGCGTCAGCGCCACAATCGACGCATCCAACACCTCATTGCTGCCCATGCGCCGCGGCAGATCCTTCAGGAACTCGCCGTAGTAGACGACCTCGTAGCGCACGTCGGACATGTTCAGCAGACTGGCCAGCGCCGTCGTCGTCGTGGTCATCGCGTTGGTAGGGGATCGCGGCACGACCTCCACGTCTGCGTCTGCGTCTGCGTCTGTGATACTCGCGACACGGACGTCCCATCGCGTGCGCCGGGCAGACGAGTCCCGCCACACGACCATCTGGTCTTTGAATGTGTAGCGCTTCTGCCCGCTGCCGATGCAGGGGATGTCGAGGCGCGTGCATCGCGAACAGCTGGGTTTGGTTTGGTCGCACTGCTCCGGTTAACATCAATCCTAGCTATGTGACTAGCCACCTAACCAGCCAGCCAGCTAGGTAAAGCAGGGAGAGAGAGACAAACAGACCTTCTTCTTCTGCCTCCGACAAGCCTCGCACCCACGACCGGACGGAACGCCAGGCATTTTCTCCCTTTCTGATGATCTCAACAGCGACGAGCTGATTTAAATGGCGATGACGCAGTTCCCACGGAAAGCCTCGTCTTGGCGGGTTCAGCTGCGGCTTGTTCGTGTTGCCCGCTTGGCGTGGGCCTTACATCATCGGGTTGGGGGTGGTGATTGGCGAGACTGACCTAGACCAATGGATGCGTGGTTTAGGACTGGGAGAGATATCCTGATCCTAGGTGATTATTACCTGGGGGCGCCCGGGATTACGACCTACCTACCTTGCCTACTTTACATTGGGGGTGGTGCGGGATGAAGAGGGTCGAGTCGGACTAAGCGGTTCTGGACGTTTTCATGGGGTTAACTTTATTGGAGGTTATTTTGTTTGGCATTTGAGACTGTTAACTAGTACTGGTAGCGGTGTTTTCTTTGTATCATGTGGTGTTTGACCTTGTTTCATGTCAGAATAGTTAGATATAAAACATCTTGGCCTGAAATAATTCTCGAATAATTTTTCCAGCATTCTACATGCACAAAATACCAGAATAGAGCAGTGTTCAGGAGGATAGAAACATGGCTTCTCCCGAGTGATGACTGCTAGTGTTGGAGGCAGGGGCTAGCGGGATAGTTAAAATGTGGCGGGGTGTGGTTGGCGATCGGCGGTGAGGGTTCTTTTTTTTTCTGGCATTTTAACGTCTTGTATTTCGTTCTACCTATTTTTAAGGTCGATTAGGAGGTATACGCATAATTGAATTGGATTTAGGGGTCGTGGAATAACGTGAATGTACATCTCAGAGACTCAGGGGAAGGGGCGAGTTTCTTTATTAAGTCGGAGAATAGATAGATGCTGTATCGCATCTCCTATTCCTACAGATTCCTCCTACAGACTCCCAGACCCAAATAGAACAACTAGTACTCAATTCAATAGCTATGCTATGGTATCTCTACCGGGGAAAAAACAAAAGGAAAAGGAATGGGGAAAATCCAACACCAAACACCAAACGCGACATGCAGTCGTGATCATCATCAATGTATCGATAGATAGTCTGCAACAGCAACACCATCCTACAAACCCCTCAGCAGACTCCCCTGCGTAAACGGATTGTCCGCAGACATGTCCAGCATCGGTTTCGTAGCCATGCGATCCCCCGTCGCCACGCCGTGGCCGATCGGGACCCCGTTGTTCTGCAGCGCCGCCAGCTGCGCCGATCGCGAGATCAGGCTGTTAGGGATGAAGGGGTCTTCGCGCTGGGTGGCGTCGGCGGGGGACGCGGCGGTTGGGGAGGCGGGTACAGAGGCGTTGTAGTGTCGGGGGTGGTTGCTGCGCGCCGTGACGGAACGCGAACGGGAGCGGTTGCGGGTGCGAGATGTGCCTTCGGTCGGCGAGGGCAGATCAACGGGAGGCGGAGGAGGTCGGCGCCACGTCGTCGCGGACGGCACCGCGATGCCGCCAGGGGCTTCGCGGCCGGTGGCGGCGTCAATGAGCAGCGTTCCCGGCTCGACGGCGACGCCGCGGCCCTTGCGTGCGTGCTGGGGAGGTTCTTGGTACACCGGGGTCAGGTCGACCAGGGGCTTGTTTTTGTTGATGGATTGAGACCGTTTGAGTCCGGCGAGGTCGGGGGCTTGGGTGGAGGTCATCGTGTTGGAGCGGCTGTTCGGTCGGCTGGACGAGGGACCGTTGGTCGGACGCCGGGTCATGTTGCCGATGAGACCTTGCGCGGCGAAGGGGTCTTCCGTGGCTTTCTTCTCGCGCTCCTCGCGTTCTTTCATGGCGCGGTGGCGAAGAGTGTAGCTGCGTCCGAGGAGGCCGGACGAAGTGAACGGCGAGTCATCGGGCGAGGAAGAAACAGGCGGAGGGGGCGGTGCCAGGTCGGGCTCGTCGGCCAGTAATTTGGGGAAGGATGAGGGAGGAGGCGCATGCTCGCGCGTGCTCTTCTTGCGCGAAAACAGCTCTTTCGTTTTCGACGGCTTGCCTTCGCAGCCCGAGGTGTCGGGGGAGTCCATGTGCAGCAACGGTTTGAACGGCTTGTTACTGGGCGACACTTCGTCCACGGCGGCAGGGGATTCGGTCTTGTCCTCGCCTGCGCCCAGCTTATTGACCAGGTACCAGCTGCGCCACGCATGGACGGCGCGGTACCATGCATCGGCAATCGCCTTGTCATTGGTCGCGAAGAAATGGACGAAATTCTCGGTGGACAGAAACATGCTCGACTTCTGCTGGCTCTTGACCGCCTGACAGATCTTCTTGGGGGGTTTCACATTGTTGGACAGATACCCCGGCGTGGGCGAGTAGATGTCGAAGTCGGACAGATGGCAAACATTCGCCGACTCCTGGCCATTCTCCTTCTTGGACTGGGTCACCTGGCCGTCCGAGCGCAGCGTGATGAACCGTTTATCCCACTTGCGCAGCCGTTGCGAGTAGTACATGTGTAACGTCACTTCCGCGGGCTGGCCCGACACGCAGTTGGCGTCCAGCTGCGACAGCGCTTCGAGACTGGCCCCCGGCACGACGATCAGCGTGTTCTCCTTGTCGTGCGCCCAGGAGTTCATCACCTCGCGCACCGCTTCGTATCGGCGCAGGGGTCGCTCTAGGCCCAGTTCCGTGAAGGACTCCATCAGAATGAATTTCAACGGGTCAATCTCACCCGCCAGACACTCTCCGGCGATAAAGAGGAGATCCTGCGCAGAGGTCGACGGCGTCACGGACAGCTGCATGGTCGTTTTTCGGTAGCGCACGTAGACCTGTCGCTCGCCCGCATTGACCGCCGAAACCGGCGCGTCGAATCCAGGATGCCGATTGCCCACAGCGGTGTCGATTGGCTGCGGTGCTTCGTCCGTAGGCCGCGAGACCTTGGCCGTCTCCTTCAGCGAATGCCGTTTGGGCTCGTGGCTCGACCGACGCCGGCTGCTGGCCCGGGTTCTACTCTCGCCATCGGTGCGATAGTGTCGCTCGTCCGAGTGTTTCGCCTCGCGATCGCGCGCGGCCGCCCTGTCGCGAGTCGTAGGTCGACGGTGAGTCGTAGCGCCGGTCGTCTTCTTTTCTCCGCCGGTCAGCCGATCCATCGCATTCTGGCGATGGTGGTCGCGGAACTCATCATCCTCGCTGTCCTCCGGGCAGACGAATTTCTCCGCGCGGACGGTCGCATCCCTCTGTCGGCGCCGGTCCCCTTGCTCGCGCCCCGGCCACTCATTCTTCCCCTGCGTCGCGGACGCAGGACCCCTGTATGCCAAGGCCCGATCGGCCGGCACGGGCGGCTGACTCGCATTCGTCTCGGTCGGGGCTCGCTGGCGACGATATCGCGACATGCTCCGTTTGACGGTGGTGGCGGACATGGTGGCGGTCGGGGCCTTGTGCTGCACGGAGGTATCGAGGGGAGGGAGTGGAGGATGCGACTGAGGCAAGTCGGGCCTGTTGGAAGCAGCCTTTCGGACGGAGCGATAGCGCGAGAATTTAGCGGGGGCGGACTGCCCAGCGCCAGCCACGTCAGGTTTTTCCATGGCCATGGTGCAATGGCTGGTTTTTTGGTAGGTGTGTTCAGTGGGTAGGGATATCGTGAAAGGGCACGAGGCGCATCGTCCCCTTGATGTAGGGCAGAATAGGGCAGAACTGGTCTGCAGGGATTTTTGTTTCGTTTCCTGTTCGCGAACGTTCAAACGGTCTAGACAGTCGGAATGTCGATCAAAACTGGATCCGAGTCGGGTGTTGGGCTGAGTGTGTGTGTGGGTTTTGCGACGGGTAGAAACGTTCGAGTTGGAGAGTTGGACTTGGAGATTGGAATAGTACTGGATTCAAGTTCAACCGAATATGCAGTAGATTAAATTGATTTGACGATGAAACCGAGGGAAGGACGAGGTCAAATATGAACGTCCCCTGTGTTGGTTTTCAGTCCCTTTTTTGTCCTTTCTTCTCCACCCCCTGATTGCTGCAGGTTTGTTTCACCGGCGTCAAATCACTTCATCGTCCTCGCGATGAAGCGGGAGGTTGAAAAAGGGGCTGCATGAACCGGAGAAACGACAGAGCAGGAGGGAATCGCAATTGATGCAGAGGCCACCTGAGGATCAACACACCGAACGGGACGAGATCGTACAAAAGAAAGGAACTCAAACGCCGATGGAGGAGAGCAAGAAAAGACGGCAAGTAAGGGGGAGGGGGCAATTGGCGATAGTCGGGTTAATAATAAGGCTCTCGTAGGAGGGCTCGCGATAGGTCCAGACAGCCGTCTTAAATTAATTCCTACGGCAGTGAATACGATGATAATTTTAAACGGGCAGAACTAAAAATATGGCGGCACAGCGTCGCACCGTAATTTCCGGGGAACAGAGAATTGTTGGAGATGGCTGGACTGCCGTTAGCGTCGCTTAGCGGCTGCCAAACAGGAATTGTGTCGCGTTGGATCAGGTATTCTCCAGGGAATAATAATTATTATTATTATATTATAATACTACTACGCAGTACGAAGTTGATCCACTTGCCCTAAGGCAGAATCAATCCGGTCTTGGCCGGCATTGCTATTCTCGCGTCGATCTCTATATCGTCTTGACTATTGGTCCGTGATGCATCCATGTCTCTCATTCTAGCGCCGCAAGCACTTTTGTTCTTTGTTCCCAATCCCTATCCCTTGGATTCCCTACATTCTCCTATTGGGCTTCCCCATCGTCCAGTCCGATGCAATCATTTCTTGTATGCCCCCAAGTTCTTGCGCCTAAATATGCACCTCCTCGTTAGTCTCCAACATGTCTAGGAATAGCGACTCCACCGGAGCATCTCAATCACAATCACACTTACCACCACGCCACGAAATCCACCGTGCCCACATCGATGCCAAGATCCTTCAGCGTCTTGGTCGACAGATGGGTGTCGTAGGGCCGCTGCACACTCGCATTCGGGTCGTTGCCCTGCTTGTTCCGCTTCATCCCCACCAGCGGCAACCCCAGCACCTCCGCCAGCTTCTCGCAGATCTCGTACTTGGTCATGCGGTCCTCCGACGAGAACTGCAGGATGGTGGGCAGGGTACGTTTCTGCGCCCGCTCCTTAATACACTTGATCACCACGTCGCGACACACCCGCGCCACGTCCTCCGTGTTGGTCGGATACCGCAGCGCCCAGTCGTCCATGGCGACGTCGGCGTTATCATCCTGCGACTTCCACACCGCGTCGACGAGCGTGTTGACGGCACTCTCGCCGTTGTCCTTAGCCGTGCCATAGAGCACCGGCACTCGCAGCACAATCCCCAGCGAGTTCTCCTTGGTGGCTTCCAGCACGGCCAGCTCGCCGTCGCGCTTCAGCTGGCCGTACAGGTTGGGCGGGCTGGTCTCGGCATCGGCCTCGTAGGGCGCCTCGCCTTCCTTGCCCGGGAACACGTAGTCGGTGGAAATGTAGATGAGCAGGGCGCCGCTGGCCGAGGTCGCTTCGGCCAGGGTCCGGGTGGCTTCCACGTTGACGCGACGGGCCTTTTCGGGATCTTTCTCGCACAGATCGGGCGACCGGTTGGCGGCGCCTAAGCAGGGAGGCTTGAGTTTAGTGAGGGGTAGTAGTCCGGATGGGTCAGTTTCACGCACAATGGATCACAACCTGCGGTCTGAGGGATTTTCCAGGTCAGTCTAGCCATGGCAAGAGGGTCTAAAGAGCAGGGAACGTACTTCGCCTCGTCCAGCAATCTCTTAATGTCGTCCTCGTTTTCCAGATCGGCCTTCAATATCGTCGGCGGGGCAGCTCTCGAAAACCCCTGTCCGACGACCAAACACCCGGAGTGTTTGAAGGTGTTGAAAATCTGGCGGCCCAGTAGGCCGGTGGCGCCGGTGACAAGGACATTGGTGGACATAATGGCGGATGTTGAGTTGAAGGAAGTCATGGTGGGGAGCTCGAGGTGAAGAAGTGGTTGACGGCGGGACGGAAATGACGTAAAGCGATTTGTTGTCCTGAGATGCGAGGAGTGGATCCAGTCGACGGATGACGAGCAGAGACGTGAATGCGGTCGCCGGTGTAGATTCCTCCGTGGTGGATTCTAGAAGTCGATCGATCCGCAGGAACAAGATTTGGCGAGTTGCTGACGATGCTGAGCTTCTTGGCCTGCCTTGTAGGACATAGTGTGACAACACAAGATTTCCCCATTTCCTCTGGGGAGAAAGAGATTCACGTGTATTTTATTATGGTTATCAAACGTGCCATTTTCTTTGCTTTGCATTTCTCTCTCTCTCTCTCTCTTTCTCTTTCTCTTTTCCCCCTTAATCTATTTTATTTCATTCCTTTCTTTTCCTTCGGTCTTTCCTATATATATCCACGCGGAATAAACAAAATAGGCCAAGACTGCCATACAATTAATTCAAAGCCAATTGATTAATTTTTAGAACACATCAACTTCGGTAATAAGATACTCACAATGCGAAAATATCATTACAGTGTCTCCATAGCCTATTTTTCCTGTGCTCTTTCTCAAATATACCTGTCTATAGTCACTTGTGAGCACGTCCTTACAAACGAAAAATACTTTCGATGCAATTTCCAATTTTTAAATCGAGATCGAGATTGACACCCGAATAGAAGTGATCAAACAGAAACCTTAGAGAAATAATCTTTATTGAGGTATGTCTGTGTAAAGCGCATAGTTTTATGCACCAATTGTCAAGTCTTAGGGTCGAGATATCTCGATTTGCTATGAACTGATTAGTCTACCACACACTTAGATTATGTCAATGAATCTTCCGAATTCTAAGCCTGGTTAGGTATCTACAACACTTGAAAAATATATACACAACAATAGAAAAATTAGTTCAATAAGCCCATTCGTGATCTTATGTGGAGAGCCAACACTAGACCCGTGGTTCGGCGTAAGCATCGTGCATTAGTGCCTTGAGCATCACATAGGGCGAGCTGTAAGCACCTTATAAAAGCAAAATATCACCCCTACATCAATTGTAAATACTTCTCTCATATTCAATTATCCAAGGTCAGGTCAAATTAGAACACCATCCATCATTCCCATCATGCAAGGATATACCCACAATGGCCCTATTGATTGCGATGTCGACGTCGACCCTAGAGGCTTGAAAGGGAAGACAGCCATCGTGACTGGAGGTATAACTGAGAATCCCGTATACTGAGCCCAGCATACTAACGATGAATACAGGCGCAAATGGTATAGGAGAAGCATATACACGCGCTCTCGTCGCAGCTGGGTACACTACCAATCAATCAATCCTAACCCTCAGCCCTAACCACGACCAGAGCAACCGTCTGCATCGGCGACCTCGACACCGACAAAGGAAAGAAGCTAGAGAGCGAGCTTCCCAGGTACCCAATCCACCCCCAATCCATCTCTTAAAGTTAAACTCACCAATCCAACCCCAACACTAAATCCAGAACCAAATTCCTCCCCTGCAACATCGCCAACTGGGCCGACCAACTCGCCCTCTTCCAAGCCGCCGTCTCCCTCTCTCCCACCGGCAAAATCTCCTACGTAATCGCCAACGCCGGCATCCACCGCCCCGACGAAGTCTTCGCCGTCGCTGTCGACGACCAGGCCCCTCCCCAAAAGCCCGACCTCAGCGTCATCGACGTGAACATCACCGGCACCTTATACACAACCAAGCTAGCAACGCACTACTTCGTCAAACAGAACGGACAGACACCCTCCCAGGACCAGGACGATACATGTCTGGTGCTGATCGGCTCGGGCGCTGCGTTCCTGGACTGTCCGCGCACGCCGCAGTACTGTGCTAGTAAATGGGCCATGAGAGGGATTATGCATGCGTTGCGCCGAACGGCGTTCTACTACGGGAGTCGCGCGAATGTTATTTCGCCGTGGTTAGTATCTCGTTCCCTACCTATCTACATATCTAGGTTATTTTGGCTGTGGTGGGAAAAGAGGCTAACGGGTCAGGTACGTTAAAACAAATATCCTGCCTGAGGAGGCCATCGCGCGAGTCGAAGAGGTCGGCGTGCAGTTTGCCGAACCAGAAGATGCCGGACAGTGTTTGTTGCGAGTCCTCAGCGATTCAAGCATCAATGGACGCTCGATCTTTCTCTCGGGCAGGAAGTGGGCCTCGAGGGGATACATCGACTTGGATCTGGAGGACTACGCCGGGAACGCACTGGTGCAGGAAATCCAGGAAGACCAGATGAAGGCGGCGCCGCCTTCGATGGGATTGTTCGTGTAGAGTCATTAGTCTGCGATAAATAGCCTGGATTGACAATTATACATAATATCACACCGTCTATGTAGATGTAGATGTAGATGTAGTTGTAGACACACCTAAGATCTCCCTCCACGCCAACCCCCTCTCCCCCCTTCTCCTGCGCCAACTATCACTAGCGACCAACGCCTCCGGCGACCCCAGCAACAGCCACCCCCACTTCCTCGCAAACCCCTCCGTGACCTCCCAATTCCGCGGCTCCCACGGCTGGCCCCACACCAGCAGCGTCGCCTGCGTGTTCCTCGTATCCCAGAACGCCATCAGATCATGACAAAGGTCATCCTCGTCGATCACATCCTGCGCCAGAATCAAACGATCGCGCATGTTCGGGAACGGGAAGAAATCTAACCACGGGTGATGCGGCACCGTGCGCTGGACCTCTGTCGGGCGGAGACTATCGGGGATGGTGTGTTCGTGGTCATGGCCCCAGGGGCCAGGTTGGAGGACGTTGAAGATGGAGATGGCGGCGTCGGAGATCATCCAGGAAGGGGTCATGCCGAGGGCGGTGATGTTCTCGTTGATGGCGCGGTGGACGTTGAGGCGGCTGAGGCCGATTAGGTGCTCGAGGCGGGGCGAGCGGTCCATGTAGGCTTGCTGGAGGATGGCGTTGAAGGTCCGGCGCATGGACAGGGCGTGGCGCGGGGCGTGGTGGCATTGGATCTGGTCGTTGTTGTATTCTGCGTCTGGGTGGGGATCTTGTATAGATTGTGGTGATGGTTGGGGGGTAGGAAGATCAAATGACTGGACGAGCATTACCGCCGATGAGGGGATCTGGCTAGGTAGGTCTGGCTCGTCGTGTTTTCTTCTTCGCCCTGGGGCATAACGTTAGGTACTTGGTGGGGGGCATGTCTACTCAGGAAGGCTTACGGTATGCTCTCTGATTCTGCCGATTCTGCAACTTCCGGCGCTGTTTCCGATCAATCACCCCCGTCCAATCGTCCGAGGACTGCCAGATCTTTGCCTGTGGAGGCATGTGTTCTAGTCTGATGACGGACGAGTCCCAGACGGGCTCTGTATTGGTGGACATGTTGTGCTGGCTACTCAGGTTTGAGCGCGAGTAGTCGATGCAAGATGCTTACTTTTAGTCAAGGAAATGCGCCTCTTTTGAAGATCAGACGAAGGGGAATCCAATCTTGAGTTTATCGGCGGCCATTGGATCTGGCTGTTGACCCATCTGCACTTTTAATGCCATTGGCCCGTTGCAGGGCGCTAATGCACGACGCTTACGCCACTAGCCTAGTCGGGCTAGAGCCGTCTGCTTTTTCCGCACGTGGCGACGCCAAGTTTTGGCTCACGGTGGCTGCTGTATAGAACACAGGTAGGTCTTCTGCTCAGGAACACAATTTTAGCAGTGTTGTCTTGGATCTGTAACTGTGCTGCCTATCGTTATCTGGTTCTGCCGGCCACAAATTATTTGGTGGTGTTTTCGGTTGATCAGGTGAATGCATGTCCTTTCCAAGTTCCTCTTTGGTGGTGGTGGTAGGAAATGGGAATGCTACGGCAAGGCCGGTTAATTTCTGATGATTAGACCTCCTATAGTGTTTTTATATAGTAAAAAGAGTTTAAAAATGAGATAAAACGGCCCTGCGAATAGTACTTTTACGAGAATAAGACCTGTAGCCACCAGGGCTGGCTGTATCCACCCACATTCACAAGGTGGACAAAAAACAAAAAGAGAAGCCCAACGCGGGGCTCGAACCCGCAGCCTTGTGATTAAGAGTCACACGCTCTACCGATTGAGCTAGCCAGGCTGGCTTGTTGAAAGTGGTTTTGAATTAGTGCTTTATCAATCAAAACCCATGTTCAGCAAATGCCTGCACTTCATATCGGAAGAGTTCTGCAGGCATTACTATCACTAGAGATTTGATTATCTCTATTCCCACCCAGAAAATAAAATCTGAGTTAGTCAACAACTCATAAAGCTCGGTATTTTTGCTCTCCTTGAAGGCTCTGTGTTTGGTGTGGGCTCATGCGCTATGACACCATCCAACCTTGTTATTTCCATTCCGTCTACTAGCTAGTATATACCTTTAACAGGTCCTACCAATTCTCTGCCATTATGCCAGCCCATTCTGATGCCTCTCCACCGCAACCTCAATCAGCCTCTTATACCCCCTAACTGCCTCCTCGATCTCCCCCACAGTAATCGCCTCATGACTACTATGCGGCACATAGAAGCTCCCCGGCCCATACAAATACCTCTTTACCCTGCTGCCATCCTCCCGCTCATGCACCTCCAACGCCGGCACATCCGTCCCATAGTTCACCGTAATCACCTCAAACCCCTCAACATCTGCATCCAGATGCTGCGGCTCAAACCCTCCCTTGTACGTCTCAAAGTCCGCATACACACTCCCATCCCCACCCGTGACATAATCCACAGCCTTCCGCATAATCTCCCTCGTCTCATCCGGCGTCCCTGCCGCCAGACGAATCGCGATATCCGCCTCCGCAAATGCAGGGACCACGTTCTTCGCTACACCCCCTCGCACTGTCCCGATATTCAGCGTCGAGTTACCTAGAATATCGCTGCGTAGAAGCCCGCCTTCCTCTGCGGGTATCGTCTGCAGCGCATCCAACCGCGCCAGAACCGGTAGAATCGCCGAAATAGCACTCTTCCCGAGCCACGGGTACCCCGAGTGCGCGGCCTTTCCGTTCGCGACGACCCGGAAGCCCAGTGCGCCTTTGTGTCCCGCGATGAGGGACAGGTTGGTGGGTTCGCCGAAGATGATGGTGTGGAAGGTCGACGGGGAGGGGTTGAGGTCTGAATTCGAGAAGGTCTTCATGCCGACGCCGCTGTTTTCTTCGCCGACGTCGAGCAGCAGACCGAGGGAGGTGGAGGGGTTCTCGGAGAGGGTTTCGAGCGCGGCGAAGATGATGGCGGCGACGCTGGCTTTGGCGTCGACGGAGCCGCGGCCGGCGATGAGGAGGTCTTCTCGTGCGAAGGTGGTGGTGTTGGGTGCGTGGAGAGAGTAGGGGATGAAGGGTGGGACGGTGTCGATGTGGCTGGTTAGGATGATGTCGGGGTGGCGGTCCTCGTTGGTGTAGGCGTAGATGTTGAAGCGTTCGGGGGTGGTGGTGGTTTGTGGTTCGACGAGTTGCTTCTCGACGGTGAAGTTGTGGGAGGAGAGGAAGTCGATGATGAATGAGCCGACGTTCTTTTCGTTGCCGCTGATGGATTCGATTTTGGTGATGTCACGGTGGAAAGAGAGGAGGGGGGAGGAGTCGATGATGTGGTTTAGCTCGTGGGAGGTCGGAGTGATGCTGGGGTTGTTATTGGGAGTGGTGGTGCCATGGCCATTGAGAAGTTGTTGCAGGGGAAATGGGATTGATAGCGCTGTTGTAAGGGTGCTGAAGCTGAGTAGGTGGAGGGATTTCATTCTTGTAAGTAGGGCTGTTCCCAATCTTTTAATATTGACGTAGAAGTCGGGGTGATCAGATGCAGAATGAGGGGAAATGACAGCTTTATAAGGTTATCTTAGTCTGAAATTGCCAATCAATTTGTTTGATTGCGTTATCTGCCTCAGTGGGTGGTGCTTATCACGTCAATCTGCCTAAAATATCATTTGCATGCAGCCCCATCCTTCTTGTATTACTTCTCAGATTACTTGAGAACTGTCAGATCAGCAAATACGATGATCTTGGACATGAGTTAATAATCAAATTAAGAGTCTACAGGGTATGCATCTCACACATTTATATTCCCCCAACTCTTCCCCTAACCCCAACATCATCCTCCCACCACACCTATATACACTTCTAACCATTTAATCCCTCTTCTCCCTAATATCTACATCATCCAAAACAGCCTCATTCCTCTTGGCCGCCGCAATCCGTATCCTCTTCAACCGCCTCGTATCCACATCCACTCTCCACGTAAAGAACCAAGTAACGAGATTCATCACGATCGCCATGCCCACGAACCCCATGGCGATCCCAAACGACGTCGCATATCGCGGCGCATATCTCGAATTGAATAATTGCGAGCCCACCGCGCCTCCGATCTGGCCGTAGCTGTTCGCGAATGCGATGGCGAACGCGGACCCGGTCGCGCCTTGTGTGGTTTGCACGCGCCATGGCCACATCATTGTGTACCTTTTCCTCACGTTAGTTCTCTTCTGTCTGCTTGAATTTTAGGGGTGGGATGAAGAAGGACGCACCATGCGCTTGAAAAACCAGTCGCGATGATGGTAGCTGCGTAGACACCCCCTGTGCTGGGGAAGGTGTAGAGCACGGCGTAGCAGGCCTGGATGACGATCATGAACCCGAGCGGGATGGATGGCTGCGGAATGCGCCCTGTGTCGGCGAAGATGCCGAATACAATGGTCAGGACCACAGCGAACACCGCGGAGGGGATATTAAGGAGTTGGGTTTGAGCGATTGAGCTGCGTTTGTGTTAGCATATATTGATATTATGGACTGAATCAGGATAGTAGCTTACGTGAAACCCAAGTTGGCGATGACGGTTGGCTGATAAAACAAGAGACCAGTTGTGCCGACAGTGAAGAATGCCCAGCAAAGCAGGAAGAGCCAGACTCGTTTGTTTTTGAGCGTGGTGATGAGTTCGCGGAGGTCGAAGTTTGCTTCGGCGGCTCGTGGTGAGTTACTTGGAAGACGGGCCTGGATGAAGGCTTTTTCTTTCTCGGAGAGCCAGGACGCCGTGGAGGGGACTGGAAAGTGTTATTCTTAGTAAAGGACTGAGAATGAGGAGTCGTACAATCTGGAAGAAAGAAGAAGACAAATATCCCGAGCACGACGGTGAAGACACCCTCGGTCAGAATCAACCTGGGCTGTGTTAGCTTGAATCTAATTCAAATGTTTGAGGAAGTACCATTTCCACCCCGACAGCCCCCTCGCTAGAACCCCATTAAACGCAAAAGCAAGAACACCACTGATAACGGAGCTGAAATTGCCCAGGAGTGTAACCAGCACGATACGAGGTGCCATCTCGTCTGGGCGGTACCAGTAGCATAACTGCAAAAGCATCCCTGGCCACAGCCCTGCTTCGAAGAGACCGAGGAAGAAGCGCACCGCGTATAAGCCCTGACGGTTAACGACAGCAGCATGACAGCAGAGGACTATGCCCCATGAGATCTGCGGATGTTAGAGCATTCGAGTTGAGATTCGACTGGGCTCACCATGACTCGGGCTTGCCAGACAGACGGCCGTACGCCTTTAAGAAGTAGATTTGACGGAGCTTCGGCAATGATGTACGGTATCTGGGAGGTTAGCTAGATATATGACACTGGGAGATAGATACTCACGTAATACATTGTCGTGACGAGATTATATTGATTAGAGGTCATGTTCAACTCCGTCATAATATTGTATGGCGTATCCTTATCCATAACTCGAGCATTTGAAACCTAGACACTGTCAATGACTTCCACTGTGAAAATTTATCCCACTACCCACATTGTTCGAATCGATTGTCTTGACCATATACATCACCGCCAACAGCGGAAGCAGATGCCAATCAATTCTTCGGAGCAACTTCTTCTCCTCCTCACTACTCAAAGTAGCCCGAGCTTGCATGAGATTGGCATCATAGCCGGGAATATATCCTTTATCATTTGTAGGAAGCGATCCATCCTCGTTGCGAGTCACATAATGCACATTCTGCTTCCCAGGATTGGGGAGTTCATTCGAAGAGTGAACCTGCACATCTGCGTCGACAGGAGCAGTGCTTTCAATAGCATCTGTTTTCTCCGAGGGACCAGACATTGTCAAGTAAATTTACTTTTTGACTGAAGAATGCTTGACCAGGCTGACCTCCACTTCCGTCCCAGTTATATGAGTACCATGTACACTCGCAGGAATACTTAGACGTGGGGTAGGCGATTTCGTTATCACAAGCAATGATTGCGACCAACGACCAGCTTTGCCTGCTGTCCAATTACAACTGTTCTAGATCTAGTGGCGAGCATAACCAAAAGTGGCAGGTTGTATAATTCTCCTAAGCGACGGACTAAGTGTACTATGCATGTCATTCCCCGGGGTGGTTGAAGACGACAGGGATACATGACAGCGGATATGCATGCGGAAATGCTCAACATTATTCAGACAGCCTATCAGAAGGCCAGTGGCCTGCATAGACGGCGGAAAACTTCACTATTTCCCGTGGTCGATTTCTAATCGCGCTATGGTGCTGATAACGACAGAGCACGCGATTTTAGACCGGATGGCTGATTCGGCAATGAGGAAGGAAGTGTCCTTATCTGGACCATTATCAATTAGCTGCATACTGGTTTGTAAGGACGGAGTAAATAATTGAACAGTCGGTAATAATTTGATTATGTCTTCGGCATAGTTTCTGCTTGACGTCGAGACTAAGTCTAGGCTATTGGAAGTAGTTAGGGCTTCAGAGTCGGCTCTAACCTCTTTAATTTGCGCTCGTGTTATGCGCCTACATGATTTATATTATTTTCATCACTGCTTCGATAGTACAGCAAGTCCTTTAGTTCATAAAATATTGATCAATATTGATCAGGGCGCAGAATGACTCAATCCAATGCCAAGTTGCTACCAAGCACTGAGTACGAGACACCAGCCAGTCCCATGGCCCTCGTATTCACAGACAGAACACGCTAAGTGGGGGGAGTCTTGTCCACTCACCTTATTATAACCATCACCAAACTCGTGAAAACCTACCAGACTTCTCAACTCAACGCATTCTCCCTAATCCAATACATCCTACGAAGTAATCACCATGGACCCCAACCCCATCTCAACTAAAGCCCTCACAGCATGGCAAAACCACGCAAAAGCATGGGACGAGCACATGGGCGACGACGGAAACGCCTATTTCTCTGCACTCGAACTGCCGATTCTCGAACGAATGGTTGTGCGACGCAACGGTGCTCGTGCAATTGATCTTGCGACGGGGAACGGGCTCGTTGCGCGTTGGCTTGCGCGAGAAGGCGCCTCGGTGATCGCGATGGATGGGTCAAGGCCGATGTTGGAGTGTGCTGAGAAGAGGACTGAGAGTTGGTATCAGCAAGGGAGGTTGAAGCGGGAGCAGAAGATTGGGTTTGAGGTTTTGGATGTCGTGAGTCGGGAGGGTTGGGAGAAGTTTATATCGAGGGTTTTAGAGGGTGTAGGTTCTCTCTTTTCTTTTCTTTTTTTTTTTTTTTTTTTTTGAAGGGGTGAGAGGTTGAAGATGATGCTGATGGATTTGATAGATAGATGGATTTGATATCATCACCATGAACATGGGACTTATGGATATCTCCGACCTGAAGCCACTCGCTTCTGCTTTGAAGCGTCTGCTAAAGCAGGATGGCTGGTGAGTCGTGTCACTTTTATCACACTTGATTTCTAACCACAGATATAATAGCTTCGTGGCTACAATCCTGCACCCACTCTTCTTCACCTCCGGTGCAGACCGCCAGATCACTTTTCATGAGAATCCAGTGACAGGGCAGCGCGAGGTCACTCGTTCAATTATCCTGAACAAATACCTCGATGTTCCGCCAGCACGACAGCTGCTGTTCTCCGAGGACGAGAAGATCCCCCCGCCGGTTCGTTGAAAGCTTTCTACCATTTTTTGAGTGGGTCAAACGTATCTAACAGGGGCAGTTTTCTTTCCATCGTCCACTACATGAGCTTTTTGCGCCTTTTTTTCAGGAAGGACTGGTGCTCGACGCTCTGGAGGAAACTAACTTTGATGAGTCGTTCGTTGATAAACAGCGAGAACACTCGTCGAAGAACTTCTTGCAGTTTCCGAAGATCTTGGGATTTAGAATGAGGCGGGCTGCGGTGGATCTTGCTGTTTGAAAATGATAGAGCGTAAGATTTTATTGGGGACAAAAAGCTTGACATTTGTGAGATAAGGCTGTCGGATTGGAAATGGTTTGTTTGAGAGACGGCCGAATTAGAAACCCATGAGACTACTGCTTCACCGCACGAAACGCAGATTGCTCCCCTCCTACATAAATGCCCCTACTTGGTATCCTGAAACTCATGCTGCCCAGATCCCACTTCCCTCACCGTCTTGCTAAACGGCAAAGTCACCGTCGCGCGGCTATTCGGCGGCACATGCACACTCAACCTGAGCCGTCCTCGGGTGTCGATCCACCACCGCGCGCGAACATCCCCATAGGGACTGAGATACCGAGCCTCGGCACTGGTGATGTTCCCGCCAGGGACCGGAGCAATGGCAATGCGCTTCCAGCCGGGCTCTGCGGGTGCTAGACCACCGATGACCTGGTGCATCCAGTCCGCCACAGCCCCGAACGCGTAGTGATTGAAGCTGGTCATTTCGCCGGGGTTCACTCTGCCGTCGGGGAGTAAACTGTCCCAGCGCTCCCAGGTCGTGGTGCCGTTTTGGACTACCTGGTAGAGCCAAGAGGGGACCTGCGTTTGCAAGAGCATGCGGTAGAAATCTTCCGTGGCGTTGTTGGCGGCCAACGCGAAGCCCAGCGCGGGTGTGCCGCCGAATCCGGTGCCCACGAGGTATTCGTTGTCTGCGATGAGGTTGCGTAAGGTGGATACTGCTGAGGGTTGCTGCATTTTGGTGAATAGGTTGAATTGCAGGCCTAGGGCGTATGCGGTTTGCGTCTGGTTGGCCATCGTGCCGTTGGAGATCCATGCTGTTTGGAAGGCCTCGACGAGGCTTTGATGCTGCTTGGTGTATGTCTCGGCGGCTTCTTGGTTGCCCAGGGCAAGCGACATGCTAGCGATGTATTCGGTCATTTGAACTAGATAGGCGTCTACCACTTATTCGTGGTTGCATCTTCAGGGCTATCGGTAGGGGATTTGGGGTCCAACTAGTCCCCGAACTGGTAACTGTTTCGTCGCCAGAGACTCGACACATCCCGCGGGATACCCGAGTCGATCCATGCACGAGCCTGCTGATATTGCTCACGCAGCATTCCCTTATCTCCAAAGGCCTGATAGTGATTGAAAGGGCCAGCTACAGCCACATCACCCCAGATTGCCGAGGGCTTGGACGGGTTCCACTTGGTTGTGTCGATCTCAGGCGGGATAACAGGGACGAAGAACGGCACGAACATCGTATTCTCGCGCTGCATCTCCGACCAGATATCCCGGTGCCAGCCGCGCCAGAACCCAGCAGCATCGTACAGGTAGTTGGCGGTGGGCCCGAATGCGTGGGCATCCCCCGTCCAACCTAGTCGTTCGTCTCGCTGGGGACAGTCCGTTGGAAAAGAGACGAAGTTTCCCCTCATCGACCATACGACATTGTCGTGCAGTTTGTTGAGCAGCTCGTTCGAGCACCGGAACCATCCTGTTCTCTCCATGTCAGTGTGCACCACTATGGCTTGGATTGAATCTCCGTTCAACGGAGTCGACGCCGGCCACCCGTCCACCTGCAGGTAGCGGAATCCATGGTAAGTGAACCGTGGCTCCCAGGTTTGCGTCCCATTGCCATGGAGAACGAGCCAGTCGGTTGTAGACGCCCGACGAAGCGGATGCAAGGCCAGCTCGCCGTTATCCAGAACCTCAACATGTCGCAGGGTGATATTTGTATCGGCCGGACCGGCCACTGTCAAGCGGACCCAGCCGACCAAGTTCTGCCCAAAGTCGATCAGTGTTTTGTTTGAGGGCGATTGGAAAATGGGCTGGGGTTGAATTTCCCCGGTGCGTTTAACTGGTGGTCCGTCAAGGGGGATCAAGGTGCCTTGCAATGGGCCCAGTTCCTTGACTGGCAACCAATTGCTAGAGTTGAATCTCCCCGTAGACCAACCCTTCATGCGAGCCTCCAGTCGAGAGAGTCGTACTTCTCCCCGTTATAGATCTCCGATAAGACCAGAGGGCCTGTATTCGCCTGCCATTCTGTATCCGTGGGAATCTCGACCTTGCTGCCATTCAGCAGCGTAACCACCAGCAGAGCCTGATGGCCCAGCTTGTCACCGTAGTTGTTGCGATAGTTGCCCGCTGCAGTCAAGATTCCAGAGAACCAGCCCTCGCCCACCACCACACCGATCCCATTCGCACCCCGCTTCACCAGATCTGTCACATCATGCGTATCATAAGCATGGCGGAAGTTGTATGATTGCCAGCTTGGTGCGAGCACTTGGTCACCCACACACACCCCATTAATCTCCGCCTCGTACAGACCCAGCGCGGTGATGTAAAGCCCCGCCGCGACAACATCCTGATCTATAGTAAAGGAACGCCGGAAATAGATAGGTCGTTTCGGCCCATCGACCTCTGTCTCGCGTTCGGCCGCGATGGGAACCGCAGCCCCCCAGTCTGACTCCTCGAGAAGACCAGTTTCGACCTCGACAACAGAGGACCAGGCAGTTGAAGACTGGCCTTGCTGTCCGTGAGATCGAACCCGCACTCTGGCCTGCTCTGCCGAGTGCAGTGGCTTGTCGGGCCACGGCACGAGGACAGACTCGCTCGAGTTGACTGCATATACTTGTGGTGGTGCAGATCCGCGACTGACTTCCAGCTCATAGCTGCCCTGCGTCCAGTTGATCTCAGTGCCGTGAAACCGCCATGAGATGCGTGGTGACGCTTCGGCAATACCTATAGCTTCGCGATGGTGCTCGAATGATAACCGGGATATGGAGAGTGCCATGCTCAGTGGCAAGCTCGTCATGAGCAAGCACCCACCTATCCCTAAAAGCATCGTGCCCGTTCAAGTAACCTGTCTTAGGAAGTCACTATTGTTTTATTGGCCTTTTGCGACTCGACCATTACCAGGGAAATACCAGAGCCATCTTATAGCCTACCTATACAATGCCAAGATGATACTACCTCCGTATCTGGAAATACAACCACTCGTGTCCATCGGTCCAGCGGAAAGGAAAAAAGCCTCAGCGAACCAACGCCTTATGCCACGTTCCCCGTGCATCATACATTCCGAGATTCGTTCGCCGCAGTCGATGAAGTTGCTGGTCTTGGAAAACTCGAATCAGACAATTCTGTCACTCTGCAAAGCCGTTTTAAATGGTCATGCTCATTCCCTGTCGCAGACTGCTCGGGGTATAACTCCCCGACGAGGAAGCTATTGCCATTTTAGTTCCGGGGTAGTTCTAGTTTCCTTAGGACCGTGCACGAGTTTTGCGGGGAAGTGGATCTGTTAAATTCTTAATATGCTTTCTGGGCTTTGATTTGTAGAAAATATTTTCGTCTTGATTCAGGTCCGCTTGTCTTTGCACTGACAGATCATGTGGGCCTGCATGATGTGTGATGCGCGGGTTTGATCGTCCGAATCCCGCGATCGATGCCCCGTGGATCTTGACTAGTAATTATCCGGGTTCCGTCGCGGTGTCTCACTTATTTGGAATGATTGGTAAATGTCGGAAGGATGGGAGTCTCAGAATTGGCATCCGGATACATCTCCCACTGCGGCCAGACCGCTAGCCCAGTGTTCAAATCAAAGAGCTCGGATCCAATGAAATCAGGATATAGAAGTCCCACATCAAGCGAGAGAGACTGCTGAACAAGGACTGAACTATCACCAGCACCATCCATCCCATTATAGCTGACGACTGCTGGCCGAGCGTTCGGTCGCAGTTTCGCGAACTGTGCAGAGACTATGTCACCTAGCAAATAGGCAGTATGGCACGGGAGCCCGATTGATCTCAGCCAGCTAATCAGCTTGACGACAAGTCCATCCAGACCTTCGACGTCGTGATGAGCCGCGCGAAGGTGGGACTCGTAGGTGTGAAGAAGGCGGGAAAGGGTAAGTGCTGAGAACGTCACTATGTGGTAGATCTGGTCGGTCAGATGCCGGGTCCGATCGTCGGTTGTGTCGATGACAAGGTTGATGATTGTTGTGGAGTGGCCGATCATCTCTGTGACTGTTGAGCTGGCCATTGCGGTCCGCGATGACTTGAGACAATTGTTGTATGCGAGAAGATGGGCGAAGTGGAAGCCCATCTGGAGGAATTGGGAGCGAGGTTGGGCTTTATTCATGATGAGTTTTTGTGTTTAGCGAGCTTGAAGGGGGTGCGTACCAAACAAAGCATGCCATTCGTGCTGCCAATTCTGCAAGGCATGCTTTACTTCGGGAAGGTCGATTTGAGACCCGCAGCACTGTTGATAGATAATCCAGTATAGCTTCACCTCGGCGACCATTCTGGCCTCGTAGTTGGTGACATTGTCGGACTCGACTAATCGAGCGCACTGATCTATTTGGGTGTCGTTTAGCATGGCCTGTCGACGAGTTCCTACACAGTACCTACAGAAAGTTAGCTAGTCCTGGTAACTAAACCCCAGGAGACTCACTGTAGATGAGCCAAGCAGAGGTGATTCCATAAGCACCAAGCGTCGATATGTGACCGTGCAGTGGGGAGAACCATGCTAGATCGAAAGACCTCCGTAAAGTCCGGGCTGATCAAGGCTTGCTGAAGAGCATATCCTGTCAGGAGCCAGCTGTCGACACCCAAGGGCACTTGGCCAATAGTTGTAGACCACAAGCTCAGTATAAGCACAGCCTGAAAGAAGTGTAATGATTGAGGCACGATGAGCAATGAAGACGTAATAAGGCTCTTTACTTCTCGGAACAACTGAGGTGCAAGTCGATCTGCGAGGTCTTGGGTGGTGTGTCGGACTGCAATCAGCAGAATGCTGCATACGAGAACGGGAGATCCTCTGATTCGCGCCAATAGAGTATCCGTCGATACATGTTCTGGGAACTTGACCCATCGCCCGTAATTAATGTGGAATCTGAAAAGTTTAGTCGGAGCCATGCAAATGTCTATCGTATCATCGTAATGACCACACTTACAGCTCTAGTAGCGAGAGAGCAGTAGGCAATGTCACAAGCCCAGTTGAGATCACATCGGAATGCAAAACTGTATTAGATTCAGTCTGGTCCGGTGAATGTACGCCAGCATCTAGGGCTGCATCTCGGATCAACAGCACAGGTGGTTGGGTCTGCTCAGTCGAGTTGATGGATTCCGTGGCCTTTCTTAGTGGCACTTCGCTATTCCAGGTACTAGTGAGCGCATCAAGTCTTGCATCCAATCGGTCTACCAAGCTCTCGACGGTTTTTTCAAGTCTTTCAAGTCTAGCTCAAACTGTCAGCTATTCTTTCGAGTGGTTCCGATCTGTGAAATAGATACCTATCATCTACCGAGCCGTTGTGAACAGACCCAGAGCCGTTATTAGTATCAGAAGATGCAGGCATATGCTGAACCGAATGATCAATTGGCGAAATCGGACGATACTCCGTCACAGCTTCTTGTTCTAACGAGCATGGCTGGGACAACGTGCTGCAGCGCAGACAGCCACTCTTGGCGCCCTCTGATGCATAACATCGCGTTTTATATTTTCGACACAGATCACACGCTTTGGAGGCTCTACCCGATCGAATAGGAGGCATACTCCAAGTGAGACATAAGGAAGTCGTTGGCTGTAGGAGTCTTTCTGTTTGCGTCGGAAGGAAAGCGCTTATCAGCAGCTTATCAATGGCGACATTCACTTCCAGATGTTGTGATTGGAGGATCTGATTGGTCAGGCTGCCAGCAAAAAACATCAACTTTTCAAGAGCTAAGGTATAAGGAGGTTAGTATGGAGAGGAAATGAATGATTTCTTGGTATTTTTATCTGCTTTCTTTACTTTGATTGAATTACACTTATTTCCGATGACGAAATGATTACTACGTACTTCCTAATAAGCTATGGTAAGAAAAATAGTTGCTAGAATTATACTGAAAGCTGTAAGTACACATGCCCTGATAAAACATTACTCCTACGTCTTTATACTTCCTTTTCGCTCTCCTCTGATCTTGTCTCCTTCGCTTCCTCGATTCCATATTTAACCTCAACACCACGATCCCCATGGTCATATAAACGGTACAACAACTTCCAAACCAGAATAACAACCGCCGCTGCTATAGTACAGGAAGCGGCAATAACCAGCCCTCGGGTGTACCGAGGAGCATCTAAGAAAACAAATCAGCTGTTATTCTACATTCAGGCTCGTATCAGAAGAATGGAACCCACCCTGTGACCGGAACAGCTGGTTCCCAGGGAAATTAGCAAGCTGGATACTCATCACATACGCTGCCAGAGCGACAGGCCGTTTATGATCTTGCATCTTCGCCGTTAACCAGGCTGCGCTGATTGCCTGCGCACAGCCCATGCCCATCTGAGTCCATACAACGCCACCTGGGTGAAGTGTCAGCAATTCAAACGATAGAACTCATCTTAAACGGTGAGAAAGGATGAGTTTAGACACTACTTACCGTATAGAATCCACCTACCACTCGCCTCAGGAGTGAGTGCCAACCATAACAACCCCGCCGCTCCCCACAAATACCCAACAGCAATATGAACCCCTCGTTCCTGGAACCTATCGCTGCTAAACGCCAGCGAAATAGACAGGAGCAGACCGCATGCACTACCAACCGAGTTAAGTCCATTAGCTTGCAAGCTCGTAAATCCAAGGCTCTTGATAATGGACGGCGCGTATGTATTCATCGGCGAGATCATGAGCATGGACAGAAATGCAGCAACGATGTGGCCGTACACTCGCCAGTCCTGGGACGTTTCGAGGATGTCGGAGACTGAGACGCGCTTTTTCCGCCGGTAGGCTTTGGTGGGGTCGTTGTTGATGACTCGGGTGGTGAGAATCGACGCCTCTCGGGGCGTGAACATGTTGAGTGATTTGCCGAAGAATGATTTCGGGGTTGCGGCGCTGTGGGGGAGATAGATGTAGGCGATTATTCCGAGGAAGGATGTTAGTATGCCCTCTTGGAACTGTTAGTGTGTTTGGGTTTAAAATAGGCAGGATGTTCGTACCGATGAGGAACAGCCACTGCCATCCTTTCAGGCCATGTCGTCCTCCGAGAGAAAGAAGCCCTATGGCAAGCGGGCCTCCAAGGATCCCGGCGAAGTTGTTCGATGCCCAGAATATGGCGTATCGCAAGGCTAACTCCTGGTTTGTATAGTATTTTGAGATGTACAAGGCAAAACCAGGGATATATCCACCTTCCAGCGCGCCGATGAAGAATCGAGCCGCCTGGAGCCCGGAGGCATTCTTGATGAAAATCTGTGACCAGGTCGCAACTCCCCAGAGAAACATGGTGATAGGCAGAAATCGCTCAGGGCCCATGTACCTGCTTATCATATTGAATGGCAACTCGGTAATGACGAAGCCCACGGTGAACAGAGTCTGAGCTAGGTTGATGGCGGTGTTGTCGACATGGATATCATTTCGAAGCGAGTCGGTCAAGGCGTTCCCGATGTTTGTACGGTCGAATTGAAGGAAGCAGAAGCAGACAACAATAAAAGGCAAGATCAATAGGTCCACCTTCAATAATGCCTTCCTAGTCTCGCCGGCTTCTGGTTGTATACTTGGATCGTAGCCGGGAATGTTGGCAATTTCGCTGGACATGACGTTAACTTCATGTTCGGAGACTGGTTTGACATGATCCATTGCAGTGCTTGCTCTATATTGAGAGTTCATTGTCACTCAGACGGTGATCTTTCATCTCTTCCACCGCCACTTCGTCTGATCAGACAGAGACCTGGACTGCGTTTGCTTCGTGTCCATTTTATTTTCCGGCCTGCAGCAGGCACATGTGCCATGAGGATGCCGGTTCAATGAGGTGATAGAGCCATCTATGGGATGTCGAAGTTATCATGGCGACGATAATGACGTGATAAGAGTATGCACCTATGGCAGTCTTCGATTTCTAGTTAGGGCTGGTCGCGATAAGCCATTGCCGGTGGCATCCCGACGCTCCTACGGCAAGCCGCCGGGATGCCGTCGGATAGTATCAGAGCCCTACAATACTTTCCGGTTACGATCAAGAAAAAGGTGATCTAGACCGTGAGATAAAAATCCACTTGACTCAGGTTCATCTTAAATGCATGCCATTTCCGAGATCAAGTCCCCGCCCAGAATCGCAATAACTATCCTGAGATGGAGCAAAACACGCTCAAAAGACGAGGTGTCGGCCTGACCGGCGTCGACAAAGACCGATCATTCGGAGGCTACACGCTCTTCTGTCCCTTGACCAGCGACACAGCCCATCTAATCGACATCGATGGACAGGAGGTACACTCGTGGAAACTCCCCGGCCGCATCGGCCGACATGCGAGAATTCTCCCCAACGGCAATCTCGCCGTCAACACCCTCCGCCCATCAAACCAAACCACCAAAGACGGCGGCCCATTTCCTTTCCCATTCTTCAACAAATACGGTGGCGGGGTCATGAGCGAGCTTGATCCAGCCGGCAACGTGGTCCGCCAATTCACCGACCCCCTCGGTCATCACGACCAGTACCATTTCGGCGACGGACGGCTCCTATATACGAGTCTCGAGGCGCTATCCGCTGAGGAATCCACACAGGTCATAGGAGGCGTACCAGGGACCGAGGTCGACGGGATCACATACGCAGACACAATCAATGAAGTCGACGAGGCCGGGACCCTGGTCTGGCAATGGAAAGTGTCTGAGCGATTGCCTCGCGCGGAATTCCCTCTTCAACCGCACTACACCCGCGAACACTACCCGCTCATCAACTCCGTTCTTCCACTCCGAGACGGAAAGCATATTCTAGCATCCATGCGCTCCGTCTCGGCGGTCATCATCATCGATAAATCCACCGGCGATATCGTCTGGAAGCTCGGGCCAGAGGTGCTGGCGCAGCAGCACAACGCCACAGAGCTGGAGAACGGGAACATTCTCATCTTCGACAATGGCGCTTTCCGGAACGGCGAGTCAATCACCTACTCGAGGGCGATTGAGGTCGATCGCGCGACGAAGGAGATTGTATGGGAGTATCGGGACCGCTCGCAGATGCTGTACTTCTTCACGCCGTTCATGGGCAGCGCACAGAGACTTGCGAATGGGAATACGTTGCTCTGCGAGAGTGCGGTCGGTCGGCTGTTTGAAGTCACCCGAGATGGGTATATTTGCTGGGAATATGTCAATCCACACTTTGCTTCGTATCCGGATGAGGCGACGGCGAAGATATTTCCTGGGGAGTCGAATGCATTGTTCCGCGCGTATAGGTACTCGTTGGATGAGATACCGTGGTTGAAGGCAAAATTGACAAGCCAAGGAAAGTTATAGGTGACTTAGATCCATTAGCAATAATAAATATTTCTTGAAAACGGCATCTGTTTCGCCATCTAAGTGTGCATCCCATAGTATCAATCGTGGCAGCGTACCTTGGCGGCATTACTAGACCGTTGAAGCAACACAGCTTGGAGAGAGAAAAAAAACTGTAAAGGAATGGTGAGATTTGAAGTTTTAGAAACTCAACAATGTCTTTCTCTTGCCTCCATACGTTTGCTGTTGTCTCAGATATGCACGAGGAGTAGAGATATCACTGAAACCAGCAAAGATATATAAGAGCGCTTAGCCCTTAGCAGGGTGTGTTCTTTAGAGCACTGCCAACCACAACGCAATCCAGTAAGCTCCAGAAAAATCACACCAAGACAAAGTCAACATAAAAAGCATAAAGAATTGACTTGAAGTTGTAAATGTGTAGATGTAGGTGTAGTGTATGTGAATATCCGCAGCCGCGGACCGGCGGACCCGCACCGAAAAGTTCCCGTCGGGACGGAACTCGCTCCGGCGTCGGCTGCTCAACGGTGAGCTTTTTAGATGCCCTCGTCTCCCGCCCGACATCCCTTTCTCCTCGTCCATCCTCCCCCCACACCATGTCGAGTGCTCGGAATTTCTCAACTGCCCTGCGACGGGCTCGCGTGCCCAAGCCCCGCGCTGCGATTCGACCTCTTACCGCCGCCCCCCGTGCCCCGACCGTGAATGCGACCCGCGCCTTCAGCGTTTCCGCCCCCGTCAAGTCCACCAAGGAGGTCAAGTACACCACCAACGCCTACCCCGACCTCAAGCGCGACCCGAAATTCGCCGAGATCACCGCCGAGGATGTGCAGGTTTTCAAGGACCTACTGGGCTCCCAGTCCGCCGTCATCGACGGCGTGACGACCGACGCTGCGGACGACATCGAACCCTTCAACGGCGACTGGATGCGCAAGTACCGCGGACACACGAGGCTGGTGCTGAAGCCGCAGAACGCGCAGGAGCTCAGCAAGGTGCTTAAGCACTGCAACGAGCGCAAGCTGGCGGTTGTGCCGCAGGGCGGTAACACGGGGCTGGTCGGCGGTTCGGTGCCCGTCTTCGATGAGATTGTCATCAACACGTCCCGCATGAACAAGATCCGTTCGTTCGACGAGGCCTCGGGTGTGCTGGTTGCTGATGCCGGTGTTATTCTCGAAGTCGCGGACCAGCATCTCGCGCAGAAGGACCATCTCTTCCCGTTGGATCTGGGCGCTAAGGGATCTTGCCATATCGGTGGCAATGTGGCTACGAACGCGGGCGGTCTGCGTCTGCTTCGCTATGGCAGTCTGCATGGTAACGTGCTGGGTCTGGAGGCTGTCCTGCCGGACGGAACCATTGTGGATTCGCTGTCCACCCTGCGGAAGAACAACACCGGGTATGACCTGAAGCAGCTGTTCGTTGGCGCCGAGGGAACCATCGGTATCATCACCGCCGTTTCGATCCTGTGCCCTCCGCGCCCGAAGGCGGTCAACGTCGCCTACTTCGGTCTGGAGAGCTACGACCAGGTCCGCCAGGCGTTCAAGGCGGCCAAGGGCCAGCTGTCTGAGATTCTGTCCGCGTTCGAGCTGATGGACGGTCGCACGCAGCAGCTGGTGCACGAGTCCACCGGTAACAAGTACCCGCTGGAAGGCGAGTACCCGTTCTACTGCGTCGTGGAGACCAGCGGATCGAACCCCGACCACGACATGGAGAAGCTGGAGTCGTTCCTGGAATCGATCATGGGCGAGGGCATCGTTGCCGACGGAGTGCTGGCCCAGGACGAGACCCAGTTCCAGTCGATCTGGCGCTGGCGGGAGGGCATCACCGAGGCCCTGAGCCACCTGGGCGGCACCTACAAGTACGACGTCTCGATCCCTCTCCCCGAGCTGTACAAGCTGGTCGAGGACTGCCGCGAGCGACTGACGGACCTTGGGCTCGTCGGTGACGACGACTCGTTCCCTGTGCGGGCGGTCGTGGGATACGGCCACATGGGTGACTCGAACCTGCACTTGAACATTGCCGTGCGCCAGTACACCAAGGAGGTCGAGAAGGCCATCGAGCCGTGGGTGTACGAATGGATCCAGAAGCGCAACGGTAGTATCAGTGCCGAGCACGGGCTGGGTCTCGCCAAGAAGGAGTTTATTGGATACAGCCAGAATGAGACGATGGTGAAGCTGATGAAGCAGTTGAAGAATCTGTATGATCCGGTGAGTACTTTGCCCTCTCCTGTTGTAACTACGGGATACTAACTCATGAGTAGAACGGGATCATGAACCCGTACAAGTACATTTAAGATATATCCATGGACTGTAAACATTAGACTGATAAAAAGTTTTATACCAAATTTGAATTACTGACACTGTACCTGTGGTATAGATTACAGACGTATGCAAGTAGACTAATTAGTATCAGCATATGGGTATCTCCATGGAAACTAAATATACGGTGTAGGGTTTCAACGCCAATTATTTTAGATTGACAGCTGTGACTAGTGCCGAGTACTATCAATCTTCATAAATTTATGCTTATCGCCGATGGATGCCTGCCTCAGGCAAAGACTGCCGCAATCTGTCCGTGCGGGGAAATTACCTAATCCTACACTGCCTCAGGCACCCCGTTGCCATGCGCTACGGCTGCCCGGCTGTTGTTGCTGGCGCGAACCATGGAAGCGCACGGCAGCCGACCATTGGATGCGATGGACCCGATCCATCCATTCTTTCTTCCCAGCTGCCATTTTCCCATCCCACTTTCCGAGAGGGCGCATTCGACTTTGTTCAGCTCAGCTATCTTGTTCCGCTCGAATAGCTAGCTAGCTCAACTGGTTGTCTGGCGGGTCGCCCTCCTTTTTTTCACTTTTTTTTCTCTCCCGTTGCCCATCCCCTGCCGAGCTCAGCTGGAGCTTCCCGAGTCGGGCAGCAATTCAATTCGGCGCCGAATACCAATTCGCGACCACCCGCCGCCATGGAGTCCGATATGTCGGGTCACTATCAGATGATGGAGGAATTGGGGAGTATGTGTTGTCGACTGGGCCAATGGGGTCAATGGCAGAAGGCTGATGTGTTGTCGCGCGTTTAGGTGGGAGCTTTGGCACGGTGTACAAGGCGATTGAAAAATCTACCGGCGAGATCGTGGCTGTCAAGCATGTAAGTGATCGTGCGTTGGGCTCGTGCGTGCGTCTTTGCAACGGACTAACACTCCCTCCGCAATTCCAGATCGATCTCGAGTCCAGCGAAGACGATATCCAGGAAATCCAGCAGGAGATTTCCGTGCTGGCGACATGCGCTAGCCCGTTCGTGACGCAGTACAAAGCGAGTTTTCTACGTGGACACAAGCTGTGGATTGTGATGGAATACCTGGGCGGAGGATCGTGTCTGGATTTGGTGCGACACCCACCATGTCACTTTAACGAGTGCATCGCTAACCGCCAGTAGCTGAAACCGGGCGTTTTCAACGAGGCGCACGTGGCGATCATCTGTCAGCAGTTGCTCCTGGGAATGGACTACCTGCACAGCGAGGGCAAGATCCACCGCGACATCAAAGCCGCCAATGTTCTGCTGTCGCATACCGGGAAAGTGAAGCTGGCGGATTTCGGCGTCGCCGCACAGCTCATCAACATCAAGTCTCAGCGGAATACGTTTGTCGGGACGCCATTCTGGATGGCGCCCGAGGTCATTCAGCAGGCGGGGTACGATTACAAGGCGGATATCTGGTCGCTGGGCATTTCGGCTATCGAGATGATTAATGGAGAGCCGCCGCATGCGAGCACGCACCCGATGAAAGTGCTCTTCTTGATCCCCAAGGAGCCGGCCCCGCGTCTGGAGGGCGACCAGTACAGCAACACGTTCAAGGATTTCATCTCGCAATGCCTGACGAAGGACCCGGATCGCCGCCCGAGTGCGAAGGAGCTCTTGCGACACAAGTTCATTCGGAACGCGGGGAAGACGGAAGCGCTGCAGGAGCTGATCCAGCGGAAACAGGACTGGGATGCCGGCCGGGGAGTGACTCGGAACGTCAAGTACTATGCGGAGTCACTGTACGTCTGCAGATTTCCTCTGTCTGAACATTTACTAACCATCTGTTCAGTAACACGATCACGCATTTGCAGGACGACGACGGATGGGTGTTCGACACCGTCAAGGCGCCCACGATGACGATCCCCGAAGACCCCTGGGATATGGACGAGCCGGAGCCCGAATACTACCCATACGAGGAGGAGCCGTCTGAGATGATGGAAAACATGCACATCTCGAGCCCGCCCCAGAAGCAACCGCTTTACGTGAACACGGCCGTTCGACGCACCCCCGCGCCCGACCGCAGCCCTTCAGTACGACGAACCACCAGGAAACGACGCTCGAGCGGAGTCAAGCAGCCTTTGGGCGTGGATTTGACCTTCGGCAACAGTCCATCGGCAGCCCGGCAATTCCGCCGCGTGTCAGACAAGATGTCCGAAAGTCCATACGCGTCGTCGTACCCGATTGCCACCGACGAGAACTTTAGTCCCAAGTCGGTCCAATCGCCCGACACCAACAGCAAGGAAACCCAACTGGGACGCCGAGCATACAGCAAAGCCGTGGGAATCGCCTGCCAGGAGGTCCTGGGAACCACCGGCGACCAGGAAAAGCGAGAGGCCATCTCGCGACTGGCCGAAGCTTGGAGTGACCTGGAAATGGTGGACCCCGAGGGACTCTATCATATTCTCAGGGCGACGAACGAGCGACTCCAAGCGTAAGTTTTCACAATCCATTCCCACCCGCGACACTGCTGAACACTTTTCTGAACCAGGGACCCGAAGCTGTCAAGTCTCGTTCCACCCGCTCCACCGGCACCCGAATCCCCACAAAGGCCACGACTAGTTTTGGCTCAAAACAACCCACATCTGAAAAGCCACCGGCGGCGTCAATCGGCGGCCGTGGCCGAACCGAGTCTGCAGCCGGCGCAGCTAGCGAATCTTCCGGGTCAGCAAGTGCCCGGAATGGAGCACACCAAGCAATTGTCGGACGTGCTATATCAACGATGGTCCGAAGGTCTTCGTAATCGGTGGCCAGCGCTTTAATTTGCCGTCCCGAGTTATCTTGGCCTTGGAATCAGGCCAGAACCTTACGGAGTATTTTCTGTCAATTTTCCTTTCGCATGTACAAACGGTTCGGGGCGTTGATCTGTATATTTCTTTCCCCCTTTCTTTTCTTTCCTTTTGATTCTTCCGCTCGTTTGCATCAAGGTTTCCAGAAAGGTCTAATTGCTCGTCAACCTTTCTTGTCCCTCTTTTTTGGGGTTAGCTGCTGGTCGATAACACCCAGGACGGAGGTTCCCTTGGACCCAACGGTGTTTTGGTGCTCTGGAGGATCGAGCAGGCAGGTGATATCCCTGACAGCTACTCCTCGTCTTCGATCTTTTTCTTCTTTTCTGTTCATTCTTCCCCCAACGACTGACTCGGCGGAGTTTTGGTTACGGCGGTGTTTTATTCTGGTCAAATTTTGCCCCCGCGGCCTGTGAATTATTGGATTGCTCATTTGTGCTGTAGGTAGATTTGCTTTTCTTTCTTTTGTTTATTTTGATTATTTTTCTGCCCCCATCACGACGCATCGGCAAGGGCTGTGGCTGAGTGAATGTACTTAAGTGAGATTGGGTTCAACTGTACGGAGTATTATGCGAGTGATCATGCGGTGGATATATAGCCATACCTTACAGCGTATTACTGCTGTGTCTACGACCTGGCAAGAGGACCTACCGAATGCAATTAAAGCTGTGGAGACTCGTGCGACCGTCGTAGAATCTTCCGAGTTTCCGGTGCTGCTGTCAGCCATGCGAACATGCAAGGGGATATCCATATATGCAGCTTCTACATCGACCTACACAAATCCATGTAGACGATCGCTCGAATGATGGACACTCATCATAATTTACAATGCAGTCCGTATGATTACGATGGACCTCAGTCAGGAGCTCCCAAGATTAAAGCGACTAAGAATAGGAATGAAACGGCCCGCGCAGTCCTGCCCTGCGATGGAGTAATTTTCCCCCTGAACGGAGGCGCACGAGGCTGCAGGCGGAAAGGATGCGCGGCCGACCCGCCGGTATTGCTGGTATTTCCCAGTATTCACGGGCGTTGGCGCGGTTATTGTGTGTTATTATGGTTCTTTAGATTACTATGCTGATATTTCCTCCGAGTCTGTAGGTCTGGCCTCCGCAGATCTGCCGCCGTGAGTTAAGTGGAAGAAAAAACGACGAAAAAGGGCCCAAGTGACAAGAGCTGCTAAGCGTTAGTGAGGATGACCCGCGGCCAGACCTTTTAATTGCTTCCGTCCCAACCCTTTTCCTTCGCCTCGCATTCTCTTCTCCCCCGGTTTGGGTGGTCGCTTTCTTTCTGCTGCTGCTGCTGCGTTGCGTGCTTGATCTTTGATGTTGTCTTACGTTCTTTTTTGATGTTTCGTCTGCTGTCCTCCACTTGTTAGCTCCTTGGGGATTTTGCCTCGTTTCTCAGCCATCCCCCTGTCGCCAGTGCTCGAATCAGACCGGATTGCTGATTTGTCTGCGTGGTGCATGTCATGAGACGGTCGTTGTCCCTGTTCTACTGAGTTTGCCAACACGTTGCCTGGTCACACGTCATGGGTGATTTCCCCGGTTCGGTCGAGGCGGGAGCTGCGCCGGATGCGTCCCAACCTCTACTGCTGGACCTCGAGCAGGAACCTCAGACCCCTGCCAATGACTCCTCCGATGCCCTGCGTCGTCAACAGATTCAGCAGAAACGCTCCTCCCTCCCTGCGCGCCCTCATGGTGCCGCTCGCCACGCCAAACGCTTGACCCTCAACTTTCCCATCAACATCCCCCCAAACACCTTCGAGCCGGGCATCTCGACCCCCGTCTCCATGACGCCCGTCACGCGGACTTCGACTCTGCAGTCCCCCGCGGCTCTGCCTCTCGACCCTCCGCTGCAGTTTGCCGACGACCAGGACGACGGCTCCGGTCTCTTGACGGCCATCGCGTCGCAGGAACGCCGGGTGCTGGAGCTCCGCGAGGAGCTGTCCCGCGCCGAGACGCAGCTCGACTCGCTGAAGAAACAATGGGCGGTGTCTGAGAAGACCAAGAAACGCACGGAGATTAATCAACGGGCCGAGCCCTTGATCCCTCTCCGGTCCCCCGATCGCCCCGGTCCCGCCGTCGACGAGAATGCCCGCCATTACAGAGACAGCAGCGTCGGCAGCTCCGAGAGCCCGTCGTCCGCCGCTCACCATCCGCGATTCAGCCGGGAGCTGGAACGCCGGCAGAGCATGCGCGCCGCCGCCGCCAAGGGCACCTCCGTCTCGGCCAACGGCCGCCGCGTGTTCCAGGGTTCGCACACGCGGGCGTTGTCGCTGCTGTCGCCCGTCGCCGGCACGTCGACCTTCAAGCAGGAGGTGGAAGAGTCCGTCGCTCGTGTGGGCCGGCCTCCGCGATCGGCGACGCTGCCGTCGTCCACGGAGCGCAGCCCCATGGCCGTCGGGCACCTGGACGAAACAAACGAGCAGCTGTGGCGGTCGACGATGCCGCCGCCGTCGCGCGAGGCGCTCGTGCGCACGGGCAAGCAGATGGCCTCGGACCTGCGGGAGGGTCTCTGGACGTTCCTCGAGGATATCCGGCAGGCCACGGTCGGAGAGGAGGGGATTAATGCGACCGAGTCGCGGGCGATGACGCCGGCTCGCATGCGGGACTCGAGCTCGACGTCTCGCAGCCGAGACCGGCTGTCGGTGCAGGGAAGCAAGCCCTCGCGGTCTCCGTCGTCGTCGTCGATGTCAACACGGAGCAAGGGCTCGGGGGCCAAAACTTCTGGTAAAGACTCTAAATCGGCGGACATAGATTCGTCGTTCTGGAGTGAATTCGGCATTGATCCAACTGGGCAGAAGTCCCCGAACGCTCGCGCAGCCTCCGGCACCCACACCACCAGCACCCCGAACGGAGCCGACGATTCCAGCAATCTCGAAGTTGACTGGGACAACAACGACTGGGACACGCCGCAGCCGAAGAAAATGCACACCCCGTCCTCGAGTCGCTCCACGCTGGAATCGAAACATGACCAGTCCCCGATGACCCAGGGCAGTAGTCCTCGGACGAGTGCCAGGTACGTTGCCATGTGTTTCCCACCCCTGTCTAACAGTCTATACGCTGACCGGTCCCAAGCTTCGGTGATTGGCGCCCCATCCACGATTCCTCCATCCCTGACCCCAGCGTGTCCGACGGCATCCCCTGGCCCGCCATCACCAAGGCGCCTTCGAAACTGACGCGCACCGCATCGAACCTGATGGCCGAATGGGAACGCAGTCTCTCGCAGCCCAGCTCTCCGACTCTCGACAAAGACAGCAAGACCGACTAGAGCCACCTTCTTTGACTTGACCCCCGCACCTCTGCGGTATTCACATGAGCCATTTCGACATCACCTCGGTGATACTGTAAATATGATGGACAGACCGGCAGACAGACGTACAGTATATGCGCGATCTACTTTTTCTTATCTTCTGGACAGATTCGCTAGATTTGAGCATGAGACCAACACGGATAACGCAGGGTTACGATACTTGATCCTAATACCCTTTATGAGAAGCGTTGTTTGTTATGATTTTTCTTGAGTTACTTTCTTTTATGATTCTCGTCGCTCGTTGCTCATCTGTTTGTGTTATTATTATTCCCTTCTCTACGTTCGTTACGATTTTGTCTAGCAAAGATTGTATTTAGGATTGATATTTATCTATAAAATTCATTCAAACAAAGAATAAGCTTTTAATCTGCTTCAGTGTAGATGGTGGTTAGTCAAGTCACGTGCAAACAGCACACCTGGTCCGTCCCGCCCGCCGGGAATAAATTTGCGACAGTCGCCACGCTTCTCCGCAAAAAGTCCGGGGCATCACCTCTCTACCTTCCGACCTTTCGCTTCGGCTTCTTTCTTCGTTCTCTGCTATCACCTACAGCAGATAGATTCATATTCTATTCCCTCCGTCTCCTTCCTCCGTCCCGATAATCTTCACTCGACTCCGACAAAGCCCAAAACTTCATCATGAGTTTCCCAGGAATGACACCTCCCGCCGGCGGAGGCATGGGCGGAATGGGCGGTATGGGCGGCGGCCCCGCGAACATGCAGGGCATGAGCGAGCAGGAGCAAATGATGGTGAAGATGGTACGTTCGACCTGCTGTCTTGAAGCCTCTGGCGTGGTCGGGATTCGCGAACATGGCATGCTATGGCATGGATGGCGCGGCGCATATCCTCGACTGTCTCGGGATCGGACGGTGATGCGATGATGGTTGACTGACTCACTGACTAACCGGCTCCTTAATAGATGTACGCCGCCATGGAGTCGTGTCCCATCAAGACCGTCATCTCCGGAACGATGGGTTTCGGTCTCGGTGGTGTCTTTGGTTTGTTTATGGCTAGTGTATGTCTCCCTCCCCTATGCCCTCCTCTCTCCACCTCATCATCCTCCCCAAACAACCACCTAATGTTAACGAATGCCGATGAATAGATGTCCTACGACTCCACCTTCACGCCCCAAGGAAAAGCCATCGCCGACCTGCCCTGGCGCGACCAAGTGCGCCGCGGCTTCAAGGACATGGGCTCTCGGTCGTGGTCGTCGGCCAAGAACTTCGGCATCGTCGGCGCCCTTTACTCCGGCACCGAGTGCTGCATCGAGGGCCTGCGCGCGAAGAACGATCTCACGAATAGTGTCTCCGCGGGGTGTTTGACGGGTGGGATTCTTGGCGCGAAGGCTGGCCCTCAGGCGGCTGCTGCTGGATGTGTGGGTTTCGCGGCGTTTAGTGCCGCGATTGATGCTTATATGAGGATGCCTGAGAAGGAGTAATTTCGTTTGAGTGTTTGGGGGGAGATGAGATGAAGAGGGAATGTGTAGAATGATGGTGATGGTGGGGGATGTCTTGATATTGTCTGTTACATTGATGGCGTTGGGATAGAGCGGTTGCATTACTTATGGCGTTTGGGGCTTGCTTTGTCTTGTTGCTTTTGTGATGGTTGATGGCTGATGTGTGGGCAGATTTGCTGTCTGCAGTAGACGTCGGTGTTGTTGCTTGTGAGACTCACAACTCATTTGTATAGTATAATTTATTCAGACATAGATTTGTGTGAGAGGGTATAGACTCAGGCTATACTTCCTTTCAAATTTGCTTGTTGTCAAATTGTGTTCTGGGTTGCCTTGTTTGAGTTTGAATATGTAGATGTTGGCTGGACGCAGGCTCGGGAACGATTACTTCTACAGGTATTTTGAAAAGCTAGTGGCGAATTTAATTAATCCTACAGACTGATCTGTTCTTACCAGCCTATTACTTCCACTTCTTCTTACCTGCAAGTCTATATCATACCCGATCTAGTCATTCAAGTAAGCGACAGGCGCTCAAGCTCAACAATATTTACCTGTTGCTTTAACGGAAGCGGTTCTCTATGTAAAGTAAAGAAAAGCTTAATTTATTATCTAAATATTCTCTCTGTAATTCCATGCACCTTTATGCAGTCTTATGCTGTAGGGCACATTAAGGAAGAGCTGGGGTTGAAATGTATTAGCACTTGACTGGGATGTTAGTGACCCTAAACATAGTAGCATCTCGTCATATATTCAAAACTGAGTACATTAATAAACATAGCAATCTTGTATCTAAAGCTTGTTCTGGCTAAGAGTTGCTAAGGACTTATTTGATCGACGGGTTAGCTTTCTCTTTTAATTTATAAACTAGAAACCCCCTGTCTTTAACCAATAACTGGTTATTCCTGCATATCCTGCTCAGCTAGAAAATTAGTATACGAATCATGGCTTTGTTCGACCAATAAGGATATTAGGAAGGGCTTGACATTTGCCACCTGGTGCTACGACCGCATCGTATAATAATAGTGGTAGTTGGGCACATACATCGAGTTCAGAAGTTTGAGGTCTTGATTATTTTACCTCAATATTTAAGCCTAACTCCGTTTATGCCGTATCATCTCTTCACTGTATTATATTCGTTATACTTCCTGGGCTTATCGCTTTATAGATACACCCTTCGAAGACGTAGAAAAGCGGGTTATCCGTAGCGCCATAAGTGACTCTGTTGATCCGATATAGATAATCAATAGTCTTGCAGTATTGACTTCGATAGGACACATACGATGACCTAAGTCTTCTTTATCTGTTGTTTATGCGTATACTCAGTCATTTCCTATTGGATCAAAAAAAAAAAAAAAAAAAAAAAAAAAAAAAAAAAAAAAGAAAAATCTTGGATGTACGCTGGGCTAGACAACGTGGCCTCGGATTCGGTGCTACCCTCCACCACGACCTATAACATCAGGAACAGCAACAAAGAGTAAACATAGCGTTAGAACGTGCTCATTCATCCGAGCCCCGGCAGCAAAGGAGCCGGGGGAAGTGAGGAGAGTCTAATGAGAGACATAAGAAAGAAGCGCAGAAGGAAACCCACTAGAAGCATGTGCAGCTCCATCAGCTAGCCCTGTCAATTTCCCGCATGAACATGCACCGGAATTGCGGCATTTTTGGGCAAATAGAAAGGAGGGCTTTACAATGGATATGCGGCTTACGTGGGGTACGGAAATGTGCACGAGCCTTCATGTATATTATTTATTAGATTATGATGTGTTTGAAATGTGTGGAATAGGTAGGAGTCGGTGTTATTTGTTGTGGATGGAGTGATGATGTTTGGGCAGAGAGACCGAGTGTTTATGGGCATGAGGGCAGGGGATGCGGTCTGATGGGTGAGGGTTTGATATGGAAAGCATGGTGTTGGAGGAGAGGACGGATACTATTAGGGCTGGGAGGGGAACGGGATGGGCCGATAGCGAGGGTGGAGTGTTGAGATGATAATGAGAGACAGGAAAATCCAGGAGGCTGAGGTTGGGCTTTAATGATTTATTTCGACTGTTGAGGTTTATGAAGCGATGGTGGTATTCTGTACAGAAAGAGCAATGTCCAATGACTCGGGGTATCACATAGACGATTCAGACCCGGTCAATTCCGGAATGCATCCACGAATCCTTTTCCAACTGGACATATAAGTTAGCTAATTCACACTACGTGATATATGATGAACATACATTGCCAAGACATCTTGTTGTTGCCGACAGGACTGGCCATGGCATAGGCAGCGAGGAAGAAGACGGTGAAGGAGGAGGCGCGCATTTTGGCTGGAGGCAATGTAGAGAGAGACCGAGAGAGGTAGACTGATACTGGAGGGAAGCTGTAGAGTGTCAAACACCGACGTAAGCTGAGGTTGTAGATGTAGATAATGAGTTCAGATGAATCCAGGGCAAACCAGACCCATAAATAGTCCACACACCCACGACCTCCTAAGTCCATGACCAGCATCAACTCCTGGGGAAAAGAGAACCGAAGCAAGGGGCTCCCCCTATTGCCCCTAATAGCCATAGTTCAGGCAACCATCTGACCTATACCCGGAGTTAATACCCTCTCGACCGGCGTTGGTCATTCTAGACTGTGTTCCGTGAGCTCTCGCGCATGAACTATGCCCCTAGCTTTCGGCCATGGGGACGCGTAGATTGTTCGTGGCTGTGTCAGTGGTGCGGATCTGGTTTAGACCGTGCAGTTTGGGATGTATGCGCGTGCGGAATATTGACATGAGCTGTCAGAATGAGGCTCTGGATGGAGATTTGTCCCTTTTTTGGCGAGGGGTCATTCGATATTACGGTATAGGGGCCGAATAGGACCGAGCCGAGTTATGGCCATGCTTGAATATATTGTTTGAGAAGAGAGTGGCTTAGTATTAGGGGTTGGTGTTGGCATGGAGATTGTCCCGGTGTAGAGTAGATGCACCATTTGATTCTCGCTAGAGGTGGAAGGAAGTATCTTCGTTTTGATATAAGGTTGCCTACCGCGGCAATTATTGGATAGCGTATTTAATAGCGAGCAGGGTATATGTTACTAGTTTAATAGATAGACTTTATAGACGCCATAGAGCAGTTTCGCCAAATATGAAACATGTTCACGATAGAAAAATCGATTTAATAATTTACCGCAATGAACCTACCCACTTTTAGGCATTATTATAGATTATAGTTCTTAGAGCGCCAGAAGAATGTACAGTTATTCGAGAAATTCAGTCATATGTACACAGAATCAGGGCAGCACAATGTACTTTTCTAGATGCTTGGGAATGGCAGTTCGCAGGCCCTTGCCCTGCAGCCAGGTGTTCGAGAACAGGCGGTCCGCGTACCGATAAGCTCCGTCGCACAGAATGGTCACCACCGTGTTGCCTTTGCCCAGCTTCTCAGCAACCTCCTTGGCCGCCACGACGTTCAGCGCGGAGCTGGCGCCCAGGTACAGGCCCTCCTCGTCGAGACAGCGGTAGACCATCTCGATGGACTTCTCGTCGCTGATGTTCAAAGATCCATCCAGCAGATCAATGTCCGGCTGCAGGTTGTCCGTCACCCGGCCCTGTCCAATTCCCTCCGTGATACTGCCGCCGCTGCGGTCGGTCAACTTGCCCCCGCTCTGGATGTAGCTGTGGAGCACACTGCCGGGAGGATCGGCCAAGAAGCTCTTCACCCGTCCGTCGCTGACCGTCTTCAGGTACCGCGTGATACCGGCCAGGGTACCGCCCGTGCCGGTGGCGCAGGTAAACGCATCGAGCTGGCCTCCGGTTTGCGCCCACAGCTCCGGTCCGGTCGTCTCGATGTGCGCCTGTCGGTTGGCCGTGTTGTCGAACTGGTTGGTCCACACCGCGTTGTCCAGCGATTCCGCGTGTCGCCGCGCCTGGTGGTTGTAGTTCTGCGGGTTGTCAAAGGCCACCGCGGGGACCGGGTACACCTCGGCACCCAGCAACCGCAGCAGATCGATCTTGCCCTGCGACTGCGTGTTGGGCATGTAGATCACCAGCTTGTACCCCTTGGACCGACACACGTGGGCCAGCCCGATTCCCGTGTTTCCGGCGGTTCCCTCCACAACCGTACCGCCGGGCTTCAGCAGGCCCTTCTCCTCCGCATCCTTGACCACGAACAGCGCGGCTCGGTCTTTGACGCTTCCGCCGGGGTTCTGGAATTCGGCTTTACCGAGGACGTTGCAGCCGGTCTGTTCGGAAATGCGCTTGAGACGGATCAGAGGAGTGTTCCCAATGGCTGATGTCGTTAGCTTGGTTTGTCTTGCTGCTGGCAACCAAAAGGTGCGTACCTTCGGTGAGACCATGGACAACGCCTTGGGCCTGCGACACTCGGACACCGTAGGCAGTGGATCCTTCAGCTGCGCGCAGCGCAGTGGTGCCAAATCGTCGGACGCTTTGACGAAACATTGTGTAAGTCTTGCGAATGGTCGCAATTGTCCAGAATGCCGGAAGCTTCACGTTGGAGAAACTGCAGTCGATCGATTCCCCGGATTCAATGCCGATTGTCGGCCTTAGTCAGGGCACGTGATCGATGGCGTGATGGACTTTATAGTCACGGCGGGTCTTGATGGTCGGCGAGCAATGCAAGGGGACAAGAAGGTAGAGTAAATTATAGCTTGCTTCCGACATAACCTTTCGACTAGACGCTCAATATATGTAAGTCAAATCCAGCATTTACTGCCTACTACTTATGTAGAATTACATCACTGTATGCCTACACGTGCAGCCCTAGCCCTTATCTTAGTGTTCCCGTTTGGGCTGTTTGTTTATCCCACCCCGTGACTGGGCGGTGACTGATAACTCCGTCCATCGCAAAGCCTCTTTGTTTGTCGAGACACGCCAGACAACGCCGGCCGACTGCCCCGCGGCGACTCGAAACAATCAATGCCGCTGTACTGAGATGATCTTGCCATATTTCTGATCCGCCCTTTATCAACCGACAATATTTGATTCCGACTTTACATCCCCCTCAGCCATCATGCCCAGTCGAGTTGCCGCCCGTTCGACGTCCCGCAAAGCCTCCAGTCAGCCATCGGCGTCTGGTCGCGCTGGATCTGCGACGCCGTCTATCGCCATCCCTGAAGAACCTTCGTTGCCCGAGGCCGTTCCTAGCTTGCGCCGCGACATCTGCTCCATCTTCGGCGACGCCCAGCGCTCGACGACCGGCCATCGAAAACTCGCCGTGCGACTGCGAAAACTGCAAGAATCCTGCTGCGGCATCTCAAAAGCCTCGAAGAAAGATGGCGGGAAAAGTTTCCCTGAGGATGTCTTGATGGGAGAGGAGACTATTCCCGAAAAGGAGTTCAATATCGAAATCGGCCGCTGCATGCTGCGCATTCTGCCGATCAAGAAATCAGAGCCCGTTGGCGACCGCATTCTTCGCTTCCTTGGAAACTTCTTGACCCATGCGTCTGAGAAAGACGCAGAGATTTTCTCCGCCGAAGATGATGAGCACGTTCCTGAGACACCGACCGCCCGACTTACTACCAGCATAGTGGCCCTCGTGGTGCCGCTGCTGTCGGCGAAGGATCGCACCGTGCGATTCCGAGCGACGCAGATCATTGCGCATATTGTCAACTCCCTCGATACCGTCGATGATGATCTGTACCATGCTATCCGGCAAGGTCTGTTGAAGCGGATCAGAGATAAGGAATCTTCTGTCCGAGTCCAGGCGGTAATGGGTCTGGGTCGGTTGGCGGGAAATGAAGAAGAGGACGACGATGGTGATAGTACGGCGCTTGTTGAAAAGCTCGTCGAGATAATGCAGAATGACACCAGTGCTGACGTGCGGAAAACTCTACTTCTCAACCTCCCCCTCCTCCCGACAACCCTCCCCTATCTTCTGGAACGTGCCCGCGATCTTGATGCCCCGACGCGACGGGCGCTATATTCCCGCCTTCTCCCCACCCTGGGAGATTTCCGTCATTTGTCACTGTCTATGAGAGAGAAGATGCTCCGATGGGGTCTGCGTGACCGTGACGAGAGTGTTAGGAAAGCTACGGGTAAATTGTTCTTCGATCGCTGGGTGGAGGACGTGGCGGGATCAAATCAGGAATCTGACGGTGGTCCCACCCAACGCTCACCGCCGAACATCCCGGCCCTTCTGGAATTACTGGAGAGAATCGACGTGGTCAACTCTGGCGTGGAATCCGGGATTGCGCATGAGGCCATGCGTAGCTTCTGGGAAGGCCGGCCCGACTACCGCGAGGCGGTTGTTTTCGATGAAGAGTTCTGGGAATCCCTGACCGGCGAATCGGTCTTCCTCCTTCGCTCCTTCAACGATTTCTGTCGTGTGGAGAACGAAGGCAAGTATGACAGCCTGGCAGATGAGAAGATTCCTGAAGTCACCGCTCTGGCCTACTACTTACACAAATACCTGACGGCCCTTCTACAAAAGAAGAGAGAATCCAAGGACACGGGGGATGCCAATGATGACGACTGCATCGAGCTCGAGTTCGTGGTCGAACAGCTCCTTCACGTGGCCATGACCCTGGATTACAGTGACGAGGTGGGACGACGCAAGATGTATACTCTTCTCCGAGAGTCGTTGGCGGTTCCGGAGCTGCCCCAAGAAAGCACCAAACTCACCATCGAGACTCTACGATTCGTGTGCGGCCCCGCGGTCGCTGCCGAGAATGAATTCTGCAGCGTGGTTTTGGAGGCCATCGCTGAAGTCCACGACACCATCACCACCGAGGACAGCTTCGTCTCCGCCAAATCAGAGATTAGCGACGACACCGCTAGCCGACACCGTTCCGTGACTCCAGGCGAGGGCGCATCCCCGAAGCCCTTCAACAAAGAAGAGGCCAAGGCGAAGATCCTCAAGGAGATCGTGGTGAACATGAAGTGTCTGCACATTGCCCTGTGCATGCTGCAAAACGTGCAGGGCAACCTGCAGGAGAACATGAACTTGGTTACCATGTTGAACAACCTGGTGGTGCCTGCGGTTCGAAGTCACGAGGCTCCAATTCGTGAGAGAGGCCTGGAATGTTTGGGACTCTGCTGTCTGTTGGACAAGGTCAGTGCCCTTTCGCTTGCTTAGTTGTCTTATTGCTAACCGATCTTGTTTTCTGTCTAGACCTTGGCTGAGGAGAACATGACGCTCTTCATCCATTGCTACAGTAAAGGCCACGAGGCTTTGCAAGTCACGGCAATCCACATCCTGTGTGATATGCTGACCACCCACCCCTCGTTGCTAACGCCCGTCACTCACTCGGACGGAGAGACTATTACGCCACCCGTCTTCCAGAAGCCATTGCTCAAGGTATTCGCCAGAGCCCTCAAAGCCAGCTCCCCGATGACTGTGCAGTCGGCAGCCGCTACGGCGCTCTCGAAGCTGTTGCTCACAAACGTGTTTGCGCCGTCCGGGTCGAATATCCCGCAACCCATCATTGAATACAACCAGATCACTATCGAAACTCTCCTATCGAATCTGGTGGTTTCTTTCTTCCACCCTCGCACTCGGGAGAACCCGGCTCTTCGGCAGTCCTTGGCTTATTTCTTCCCCGTCTACTGCCATTCCCGCCTAGACAACACCCAACACATGCGGCATATCGTCGTTCCGGTTCTTCGCACCATCCTCAACTCGGCCGAGGAGCATTACTCGCTCGAGGCGGAGGAGGACAGTGACGGCGACATCGACGAGACGGCCGGCCAACGAGAACTGAAGGCGTTGATGAGCGGCCTCTTGGGCATGGTGGCGGAGTGGACCGACGAGCGGAGAGTTCTTGGCCTGGGTGGTGAGAAGGTGCTTACGGGGGCGTCCGCCAGCCCCAACGTGTGTGGCTTCGTCCACCTGGGACTGGTCAAGGATATTCTGGAACGGGTGCTGGGCATCAGCGAAGGACCGAACCGCTGCTCCAAGGACGAGAAGAAGCTTCTCTTCTCGTTGATGAGCAAGCTCTATATCTCGCCGCCCACGGCTCCCTCGCGCTCGGGCTCCCGCAACCCCGAGGGCGACGACCCCTTCCGCTCCAGCGTTCGCAGCGCCCAACCCGATATCTCGGCCGAGAATGCCCAGCTGGCGCAAGAAGTGAAGGAGCTCCTGGACGAGACGATCGAAGAGGGACTTGCCGCCGAAGCATCCGGGCGCAACGCCCTGACCAAGGTGAAGAACGCCGTTTTGAAGATCTTGGCCGTGGCGCAAGGAGCTCGCCCGCCCAGCGTGCGACCTAAAGACGAGGGCGAGGAGGGCGACAGCGACATGATGAGTGTTCGGTCCGGTAGCGTTCGGTCGAACAGCGTCCGTCCGTCGGTCGAGCCGGGTGTACGCCGTCGGGGCGTGTCGATCGAACCCAGCATCATGGAGGAGGACGAGAACGAGGACAGCCGCACCACGATCGTCAAGTCGGAGGTGATCGAGGAGGAAGACGAGGAGTAGCCTGTTTTATTTGATTCACTGCGTGCTCGGGCGGCGTTTGGGACAGGACGGGCTGGTCAGGGATTCCGTGGACGGAAAGGCGATGTAATTAATCCGTTGGTCATGTGGTGTACATGTGTGAATGCTTTGAATGAATTACTTCTTTTCTTTCATCGGGAGGGACTGAGGGAAGGAGATTGTCGGGAAGTGTGATAGGCTAGACAGCTCCAGGCAGCACGTCTCGGAATAACGTCAAATGCTCCAAGTCTGTTACACCCGACAGGTACTCCGGAGTAATGAACTAGTAAGAAATGGCACCATCCAGTGGCCGAGGAGGAACCAACTAGCCGGACTGGTCGGGGTGATTATTGGCGGGTGACTGCCTATTTTCATTATTTATTAACTAATCCATACTCCAATAGCTACGAGACCGGGGGATGCCATGGCCTGATCCGATTAGCAGCTCGGCTGGACAAAGTACGGGGCAGTGAGCATGTCTCGTTTTCGACAGTTCGGATAGGAATTTGTGTCGAGTGCACGGAGTCCAGGTTGGATACATGGGAGCCTATCTGGTAATTTCTAGAATCGAGTCCACCGAGTCCAGGCTGCATGGCGATGCCAGGGGGAGGAATTCCCAACGGCGTCGCAGTGGAAAGACTAAAGACTAACGGGACTCCCGTGCTACGGAACTGCCTCAGGCGGTGGAGCCTCCGCGACGAGGCCAGCCAATCTGGAGGATGGTCTCGGTCGGATCCATGCGATCGTTTCTTTCGCTTTCTTTCTCTTGGGGGAGATACAGCGTACTCCGGAGTCGGCTGAGCTATCCGGTAGATGTATCCAGTATGACCTCGAGTTGCCCTGTGTCTAGGTAAGGAGAGATGGTGACTGCCAGATAAACTCTCTGGTGACAGTCCGGAAGTGCCGTACCTACTTTAGTCCTCTGGTCAGGTGCCGCACGTGCCTTACGCTCGTTTAGCTTCCCCTTTTATTAATACTGTACTGTACGCAGTCTCTCTGAAGTATACCTATGGCTATGTCCTGTCCTCGCACACATGCCAATTGCCCTCGAGATCGGACATCTTCTTGCTGGATCTACTCTCTTTGTCTCCTGCAAAATCCCTCAGTCCGATCAATTGGCCTGTCGACCCAGGGAATCCCCGAGAGCCGACAATACAGCCCCGTCCACCGCCGTAAGCCGTGGTAACGTTCCTGCGGGATCGCGTAGCCTTCGACAATCGCATCACCTTCGCCAGGAAAGGCTGCCATGTCGGCTTGAAGAAACGCAGGTCGGCAGTCAAGCTCATGTAGAATCCCCGTAGATAGTATTCCCTCTGGCCAATTCCATTCCTGCCGCCTGATGTCCCTGGTCATGACCCGATAGAAATCCGAACCTGTTTTTTTTCTTCTTTTTTACTTTTTTTTCTCTCCCTCTTTTAATCTCAACGCTCCACCAAGGCCGCCGTGCTGCTGATTCCCATCCCGGCCTGGGCGATTTCCTTTCTTTCTTTTCCCTTCGCTTCTCCCTCCTCCTCTCCTCTCGCCTTCTCCCCTCATCCCTCCCCCGTTGCCTTCCCGTGCTTCGTTCCTGATTCACGGTGGTCTGGTGCCTCTTCTTTTTTTCTCGTTTCTTTCCTTTCGTTTGGTCGCGAGTTAGTGTCGGTCTTTACCTAGAGACACTATTTTTCCGTCCCGTCGTTCTCTGCTCTCTCGCCCTCTCCCTCTTCTCCCCTCCTCCTTTCTCCCCTCTCCCCTACCGCTCCGTTGGCGTGTGTGAGAGAGACTCCAGCGACTGTCCGTTCTCCCTTCCACCAGAAGCTCTTCCGGTCTCTCGAGCGATGGCTTCCGTTTCCGCTCCCACCCCCAAGCTGGATCGCTACATTGTCATCCACGTCGCTACCACCTGCGACGAGCATGGCGTCTACGTCACCAAGGATTCCGCAGAGGTGATTGAACTGGGGTGGATCTTGTTGGATACCAAAACCTGCGAGGAGGTAAGTCGCCGTCTGATTGCTTCGTGGATATCATGGCATTTTTCCCCCTTCCCCTCCTGGATTTTTCCCCCGAGTTTTTTTTTCCTGTTCCCTGCCATCTGGCCACTGGTGGTTCAACACGAGAAAAGCTTTTTTTATTATGATTTATTTATTATTTGTTTTTTATTCTCCGTCTCATTTTGAGTGATTCGTTATTTTCGTTGGCATGGCTAATTTTTTTTCTTGCCTCGGTTTAGTTGCACCGTGAGAGCGTGCTTGTCAAGCCTGTCAACACTCCTATCACGCCTCTCTGTAGTAAGTGCATTTCACATTCCAATTCATTCCCGAGCCCTGCCTCCTGTTACCCAATCATCACCTGTGTACCTTTGCCCGTCACTTCCCTCAATTCCCGTCCCTCGTACCCTTCCCTGAACACCATCCACCACGTCTCATACCCCTCCCTCCCCTCCGGATGTATCGGTCTGCTGGTTCAATGGCTGACGGTCTCCGACAGCGAGCCTGACAACTCTGACATGGGAGCACGTCCGCTCGGCAGGTACTTTCCGCGATGCCATCACCCGCTTTGACGCCTTCGCCCAGGAACACCTCATCAACAAGAACCTGGAATTTGCCTTCGTGACGCTGGATTCGTGGGATCTTCGTGTGCAGCTGCCTCGCGAGGCCCGAGACAAGGCGGTCGTCCTCCCCGCGTACCTCCAGCACTCGCGCACCTTCGACCTGCGCACCGAATATCAGCGATGGCAGACTCACCACCCCGAGTCTCTGCCCTTCGGCCCCAGCTCGCTCTCCAACATCTGTGCCGCCCTCGAAGTCGAACCCGTTCAAACCTCCGCCCCCATCAAGCACAACCTCCCCTTCCATCTGCAGGCCTTGGCCCCCGCTTCGCCTCGACGGGCCATGGAGGAAGCCATCACCCTGGCTCGAGTGCTCCGAGGATTGATCCGCAAGTCCCAGCCGCCGCATGAACACCCCGAGATCATGACTCGCCCCATGGATGCCAGGGCCGACGTCCGGGCCTTCCTGACGGAACGCAGCAAGGTGCTGCACCTGAGCGGTCTGCCCCACGATACGACGCAGTCGGAATTGGAGAGTTGGTTCACCCAGTTTGGCGGTCGTCCCATCGCCTTCTGGACTCTCCGGACTCCGGACCAGCACAAGCCGACGGGTACCGGCTTTGCCGTTTTCTCGTCTCATGAAGAGGTATGCATCGTCTGAGGTTCATGTTTCCTTCTCCCCATTCTGACTTTCTCTAGGCCGCCGAGAGCCTCTGCATGAACGGCCGTGCTCTGAACGAGAAGGCTATCGAAGTGTCTCCCTCTTCGAGCCGCGTTCTTGACCGTGCCGCGGAGATCCTGACCCCCTTCCCCCCGTCGAAGAACCGTCCTCGCCCCGGTGACTGGACCTGCCCCTCGTGCGGATTCTCCAACTTCCAGCGCCGCACGGCCTGCTTCCGCTGCTCCTTCCCGGCTATGGCGGCTGCCCCTGACCCCATGGGATACGGGGCCTACGGATACGGACCCCCGTCGATGATGCCTCCTCACATGGGAGGCCACGGCCACGGCATGGGTCACTCCCGCGGCATGGGTGGCAGCGGTGGCGTTGTCCCCTTCCGTGCCGGTGATTGGAAGTGCGGCTCCGAGGGCTGTGGCTACCACAACTTCGCCAAGAACATCAACTGCTTGCGCTGCGGTGCCCCTCGGTCCGGAGCCGCCGTCGTTGCGGACTCCGCGTTCCCGTCGCCCATGGACCCTCCGTCCAGCTTCGGCATGGGTCCCAACTCGATGACCAGCACCCCCGCCCCCGGTCCTTTCACCTCTTCGGCCGGCGGATTCAGCGGATTCAACCAGCAGTTCGGCGGTCCCCCCAGCAGCTACGCCCTGCCGTCGGGCCTGGGAAGTGCCCCGGGTGGATATCCCCCTATGGGTCAGATGAACGCGGGATACGGCTCTAGCAACGCTTCCCACTCCGCCGCTTCCTTCGCCAACCCGGCCACCCAGGCCGCGTTCACCGGAGCCGACCACGCTACCTCGAATAGCGCTTTCTACGGCAACGAGGGATCCAACGATCCGTTTGCCTTCCTCTCCACCGGACTGGGAGGATTGACCGTTGCCGACGATGCTCACTCCCGTCGCAACGGAGCCGGAGCTAGCAAGTCCCCTGCCTAAAGTCAGACACTCAAAAAATCAAAAGCGAGGGCTTGAAGGGGCTGGGACCCGACTGTACGACTTTATTTTCTAGGTCAGGTTTCCGCACCCACTTTCTTTGTCAATATGAAGATTTCAGGTTGTTGGTATATGTGACGGGTTGATATTTGTGATCGTGCGTTTGTATAGGGAATTCTGCAGTTCTGGTGCATTTGGTTGGGAGGAGCAGGCCGGTAGCGTGTCGTCGTTTCCTCGGATTGGGATCCCCTTTTTTCTTTTCAGGCAGCCTTTTGTGTTTCATGTCAAAATTTGTTTGCGTTTTCGGTATGTCTTATTATTGCGTCTTTGGAAGCGATGTTTCAGGGGGTATAGAACACCGTCCCACCGATGGACAGCGGGACGGTTTCATACATCAATTCTCGTGCCTTTGCCTGACTCTGGGATCATTGGGTCAGGATGAGGTTTGCACTTTCACGTCATTGTTGTGCATCTCAGACGGAGCTTTTCTTTTTTCTTTTTTCTTTTTTTTTCTTTTTCTGTTGGTTTCTGGCACGACCACGGTTGAAGGGGTTCAACCATGGCATTGCATTTACTTTTCTAGATTGTTTTTTGGTTTCTGTTTTCTCAGTTCATCTCTGCACTCTTCGGCAATAGGATTCAGGAGAATCATGGTATTGATCACGGATGGGATACATTGGAACGGACTCTGTTGGGGTGTTGGGGTATCTTCCTTTTGAGCCAGCAAAATTTCAGCCAGCGATGACAGAATTGGGATGGGATCGGATTGGGATTGTGAGTGCAATATGATTTGTTCTGATGTTTCTATACATTGATTTTGTCCATCTGGTTTTTGTACTTTTCTTGAGTGGTCACTCAGTGCAGACTTAGAGGTAAAGCTACTTTGTACAGGTTCAGCTTGACAGCTCAAGGCATAAGTAACCTCAAATCCATAGCTTTATTTTGCATAGTAGAATCCCTGGAGTAGAATGAAGGCGGAGAACCTTAACCGCGCGCCAAGCGCTACGCCGGAGCTCTGGAGGCAGCCGCAGGACTCGCGTCCACATCTGTCATCCGACGGACCTCTGCCCGCCTACCTCCCATTACCATCCCATACATCTCTTGACCTGATTCCTTCCTGTCTTATTCTTTCATTCTACCGTGTCCGTTTTCTTCTAATCTCTATTCTCCCACCGATTGACCCCCCTCGCCATAATGTCCGGATACGACCGTGCTCTTTCAGGTAGGATAGCTCCAGCTACCTCAGCGGTGACGTTGATGATTTGATCTAACAATGCACAGTGTTTAGGTATGTCGGGACCGCGCAGACGACAGAACCAGTTACTGACCTGCCCACAGTCCAGACGGACACGTCTTCCAGGTTGAATATGCCATGGAGGCTGTGAAACGAGGTACGTTCCTCCGCTCCATCCCACCCACCCACGCATGCACCCACCATTCCCTAACCACCTCTCTCCACACCAGGAACCTGCGCCGTCGGCGTCAAAGGCAGCGACATCGTCGTGCTGGGCTGCGAGAAGCGCTCGGCCCTCAAGCTCCAAGACACCCGCATCACGCCGTCCAAGATCGCCGTCGTCGACAACCACGCCGTGCTGGCCTTCGCCGGCCTGAACGCCGACGCCCGCATCCTCATCGACAAGGCCCGTCTCGAGGCCCAGTCTCACCGCCTCACCGTCGAAGACCCCGTCAGCATCGAATACATCACCAAGTACATTGCCAGCGTCCAGCAGCGGTACACGCAGAGCGGAGGTGTCCGGCCCTTCGGCATCAGTACGTTGGTCGTCGGCTTCGATCCGAATGATGATGTCCCGCGCTTGTATCAGACTGAGCCGTCGGGGATTTATTCCGCTTGGTGGGTTTTCCTCGCTTTTCTTTGGGGGGGATGTTGGTTGAGGGGATGAGGATGAATGTGCGGCTAACGGGAGGGATACGCTGCAGGAAAGCCAACGCCATCGGCCGCTCGAGCAAAACCGTCCGCGAGTTCCTCGAACGCAACCACCAAGAAGACATGGACCGCGAGGCCACCATCCAACTGACCATCAAGTCGCTGCTGGAGGTCGTGCAGACCGGCGCCAAGAACATCGAGGTGGCGATCATGTCGCCCGGCCGGACGATCGAGATGCTCCCCGAGGACCAGATCGAGGCGTACGTCAAGAGCATAGAGACCGAGAAGCAGGAGGAGGCCGCCAAGAAGAAGACCGGTCGCGGGGGCACTACGACGGCGGCCATCTTGACGAGGGGTGAGGCGAGCCAGTAATCTTTCAGTCGAGTCTTGATTGATTGATTGGTTGGAGGGGTTGAGTAATTAGGTAGATGAGATAGTTACTACTAAACGTATGGTCATGTTCATTTGGTTCATTTATTTTGGTTGTCTTTAAGTAGGGTGTATTTGTCTACTTCCCTTCTAACTTTTATAACATACATCGACTCCTCAACACCACATGTCTATCTCACTCCCATACCCCAAGCCACCGACCAAACCAATCCGAACAAGAAAAATATGTCATATCATCATTACGCACAATGCAACCGAGCCAAGCCAAGTATATCAACCACCGAATCGAAGAAAAGAAATGTGTAATCGAATCAGCCCAATCGATCCGTCCCGTCCTTGATGTTGAACAGCGAGCGTTCCTCGTGGCCGCGCACTCGCTCGTCTTTGAGCATTCTATGAGAGTATAATTGTTAGCGATGCTGTCGCGGTTGCGGAAGAAAGGGAGAGGGAGGAAATACCGCGAGTCTTTCCGCGCGTCTTCTCCCTCCACCTGTAACGAGGGCTTCGGCGTCACGGCTTCGATGACGAAGTGGTTGTCGCAGTGGGGGCAGTATTCGTCGCTTTTGTAGTGTTAGTTTTGCTGATTTTGTTTGTAATGTTTCGCCCTCTCCGCGGTGTTCAGGAGAAAGCCAGGAGAAAAGAGAGGGAGGAAATTGGCGGGACAAACCTCTCTTCAAACTCCGCCGCGTCCTTCCGGAAACATTTCTTGCACTTCTTGCACGCGAAGACCTATATATCCTTGTTATTTGCTGCTCGTGTTCACCCCGTTTATAGTCTGTCCTCCGTGACCAGTCACGCGACTCCCAGAGCATACCATTTCGACCGATTTAGCCAGCATATGCGTTTCTTGTTCGAGGTGGCATTCGGCGCAGTCGAACCATTTTTTACCTGGCGGGCATAGGTTAGATTATTCCGATCACAAAGGGTCTGGTCTGGTCTGGTCGGGCTCACAGCAAGGAGATCGAATGGCGACTTGGGCGTTGAGAATGTGTTTACTGCGGGGCGCGGTCAGTGACTGAGGGGATCTCGGGGGATGGGAAGGATGGGATGATTACCACATGGTTGCTGTTCAGGTCCAAGAGGGATGGTTGAGATGATATCATACAAGAAAAGAGGATGAATGCGTGAGGAGGGCTGAGAGGACTGGGAGGACTGAGAGGGAGGAAAGGAGGCGGAGAGCGAGTTTCTCGTTCAGGCGAGGCGGAGGCTAAAAATAAGACGCCTCGATCGTTATTATTTTTATTCTTCTTCTGGTCGGTCTATTTCGGTATGCTTGATATTTTATTGGGTTTCTCTTATTTTGATTAATTATTCGATTTGCTAATCCCTGGGATTGGATCTACAGGAGGTGATTCTCGCCGTGAGCCTTAGACCGGTGGAGAGTCTCTTCATCGTCGTCATCCCCACTTCTGCCTCTCTTCTTCCTCTTCCTCTCTTTCTTCCACTCCTCCCTCCACTCTCGCTCGTCGTCGTTCTCTCCCCCTTTTCCAGTCACTCCCTCGCTCCTCTCCTCAACTCTTCAGCTCTCTCATTCAGTTCTCTCCTGCTCCCTTGCCCTCTTTCCCTCCGTCTGCATCCCCTCCTGTTCGTCCAGACTTCCGCCTAGAGCTCCGCCACACTCCCCGAATCCCCTGGGGATTTCCGCCCCGATTCTCGCCCCTACTTATTGTTCGGTGGAATTCCGCCAGTCCTCCCATCCACTCGCTCGCGTTTCCTTTCTTCGATCTTTCACTCCTCAATCTATGGTCTGTATCCTCGCAGAAGCTTCGCCGAAGACTATACGTCATGGTCATGGACGCTTTTCGCAAGGACAAGGACAACACCGATAATGCCCCCCTCGTACGTCCCCTCCCGCCCGGCTCGCCTTTGTCTAACTGTCTGTCCAGAGACCGGTGTCATCCCTGCTGTCTCATTTCGAGAACCTCTCACACCGCCGATCCCCGTCTGCCCTGCCGTGCGGCCCGCGTGACTCCTTTCTCAGATCCTCCGACGGCGACGACTTCCGCTCCTCGCGGGCGTCGCTCGATCTGCCGCGTCCACGCTCGCCTTGGAGCCAGTCTGAATCCCAGAATGGCCACACAAACGGGACCCTCCCGCGTCAGATGACGGGGTCTTCTGGCCTGCGCCAGAACCGACCCATGTCGATGAACTTCCGCTCCTCGCCTCAATTAGCGCCGACACTGACCGTCGACTCGCCGCGGTCTCCTCCGAGAGGGCTAGGAGCGTCGCTGGATCGGGCAGATGATCACTGGGCTTCTCGCACCCCTCCGAATGCCTCGCGCGAGTCACTACCCCCTAGGCCAGCTCCCCCTCCGTCGTCCTCCCTCCACCGCCCAACCACCCCCACCTTCCCGTCCTCCGTCCCGTCAGAGCAGACCCCAATGCATCGGTCTCCCGGTGCTGCGGACACGTTAGGCGTCTCGCGCGACAGTCTGTCCGAGCGAAAATTGAAGAGCGCGTCCTTGCCGCCGCCGGCGAACCGCGCCGCTAAACCCAAGATCCCCGCCAAACCAGTCGGCCTGTCATTCCAGGATAACAACTCGCTTGCTCCGCGGCATGATCGCGCTCCCTCCGAGGAGCGAGGGGTTTCGCCTTTCAGTACGCCGCCGAGCAGCCCGGAGAAGGGACCGGCGAAACCCGCGCCGACTCCTAGAACCCAGTTCCAGCGTTCCCCGTCACGGCCGACGGCGGAGCCTCCGAGTCGGCGCTCGTTCGATGTCGAGAGACCTCTGCCTACAACTACACCGCCCGTCCTGCGGGATGCGAATGATGGGTTTTCGTCGCGCAGACGGCCTGAGGCTGCGCGGGAAGGGCGGTCGTTGGTGGTGCAGATTCCCCGCGGGCCACCTCCGCCGGTGCAGCGGGAGACGATGTCCAGCGTACCATTCTCGGCCAACCGAGCCTATCAAGACAGTCCTCTCGAACGGCCGGGTCTGCCTCCTCGACATCCTTCGGTGGCGCGGCGCGTAGCTCGATCTCCATCTCGACCGGCGCACGGTTTGGATAGCCCGGCCCTGCCTTCGCCATACCCCGGAAGGCAGGACTTGCGCCAGAGTCAAATGGAGCCTCAAACGCCGCGAGCGATCCAGAGGCAACCATCGATTCCCCGCGAGACAAAACCGCCTCCTACCCCTGCTGTCCCTCCTACTCCGGCCGTCCCCGCCACACCGTCTGTTCCGGTGCGCCCAATGCCCACTTCTAATGAGAGCGAGATCAATCCTTCGGAAGAACCGGCGGTCTCACGTACGGATTACCCGGATGCCTCGGTGGCGAATCGGCGGCCGCCGCTGTTGAAGAGTGGCCCTCAAGAGATCCACACCCGGTACGATACCCGACTGATGGATGTGTGCGGCAAGCATGTATGCACCACCGGGTACCTTACTCGGGTTTGGGACTTGACCACCGGCGAACAGATCATGAGTCTCAGCCATGGGGAGACTGTCAAGTGTCTGTCTTTGGCGTTCAAGCCTGGAAATGGTCTGGAGGATGAAGGGCAGCGGATTTGGCTGGGCACGAATGGCGGCGAACTGCTCGAAGTCGATATCGCCACGCAGTCCGTGGTTTCGTCGCGGTCTTATCCCTCTCGACGCGAGATTATCAAGATCCTCCGATGTAAGAAGGACATGTGGACCCTGGATGACGAAGGTCGCCTGCTCGTCTGGCCCCCTGACGAGACAGGGACCCCCAACCTTCAGTACAGCTACCACAACCCCTACGACCGGGTCGTGAAGGGGCACAGCTTCTCGCTTGTTGTCGGCGACAAACTGTGGCTAGCCACCGGCCGAGAAGTGCATATCTATCGACCGAACGCCCGCGACGACGTGACGTTCAAGGTCCTGAAGAAGCCGCTCGGGTCGCAGCATACAGGGGATGTCACGTCTGGCGCGTATACCACCAAGGATGGAGGCCGGGTGTACCTGGGCCATGCCGACGGCAAGGTGACGGTGTACTCGGCGCACGATTACTCTTGCCTGGCGGTCGTCAACGTCAGCGTCTACAAGATCAACTGTCTGGGCATAGTTGGAGACTACCTCTGGGCGGCGTACAAGACCGGTATGATCTACGTTTACGACACGAGGACCAATCCGTGGGTGGTGATGAAGGATTGGCGCGCACACGATAGCCCGGTATCGAGTTTCTTGCTTGATACGAGTAGCGTGTGGACGATGAACCGGCTGCAAGTGACGTCGCTTGGAACGGACAATTGCATTCGTCTGTGGGACGGCATGCTGGAGGATGATTGGCTCGGTAGGTTCTCTGACTCCGTCTGATATGAGAATCTAGCTAACTTTGTAGAAACTCGAATGCAAAAACGCGACGTCGAGTTCTGCACTTTCCGCGAAATCCACGCCGCCATTGTGACTTGGAACGCCGGTGCCTCGACGCCTGGCAGCGTGCGCGCGTCTCAATTCATCGCCGACGCCATCCACCCGGAGAACCCGCCGGAGATCATCGTTTTCGGATTCCAGGAACTAGTGGACTTGGAAAACAAGAAGATCACAGCCAGTATGTACCATGCACATCCTGGATTGAGACGTGCTAATCCTCGCAGAGAGTTTACTTCTCGGAAGCAAGAAGAAAGAAAGCGGAGAGAAGGAACACATGAGTCGGCAGTATCGAGTCTGGATGGAACACCTCACCCGGTGCATCAACGACTGCATGCCCTTGGAAGAGTCGTACGTTCTCTTGCACAGCGCCAATCTGATCGGACTGTTCACGTGCGTCTTTGTGAAACACAAAGAACGACAACGCATCAAGAACGTCAGCGCTGCCGAGGTGAAGCGAGGTATGGGTGGGTTGCATGGGAATAAGGTGTGTTGCTCTACCTTTGGCAATAGAATCCTGCTAATTCTCTAGGGTGCACTTATTCTTCGGTTCGTGCTCGATGATAGCTCCCTGTGCTTCGTGAATTGCCATTTGGCCGCGGGACAGACGCAGACGGCCTCTCGCAACAACGATATCGCCGGGATCCTAGAGTCCGAGTCCCTGCCTATGGAGAGCAGCCTCGCTACGCGGGCAGACCATTTCGTCAGCGGCGGAGACGGCTCGATGATCATGGACCACGAGATTTGTCTGCTGAACGGCGATCTGAACTACCGCATCGACTCCATCCCCCGCAACGTAATCATCGAAGCCATCCGGCAGAACAACCTGACCAAACTGCTCGATCGCGACCAGCTGCTGGCATCGCGTCGCAAGAACCCAGGCTTCCGCCTGCGGTCGTTCAACGAGTCCCCGATCGCCTTCGCGCCGACGTACAAGTATGACGTGGGGACGGACGACTACGACTCCAGCGACAAGAAGCGGTCTCCGGCCTGGTGCGACCGCATTCTGTACCGCGGGCTCGGACGCGTCAAGCAGCTCGAGTACCGACGTCACGAGGTGCGCGCGTCCGACCACCGACCCGTCAGCGCGGCCTTCAAACTGCGCATCAAGACAGTGCGACAGACCGAGCGGGCCGTTACGTGGGAAAGCTGCCAACAGGAGTTCCAGAAGGAAAAGCGACGATTGGCATCGGAAGCGAGGTATGCTTTCTAATCTGTTGCATCGGAGTTGTAATTACTAACGAATCCACAGTATCGAATACCTCATCAGCGTCCTCGGAACCGATCCCCAACAAGCCCGAGCGTTGATTCTCGGCGGGGGCTGTTAATCGTTCCGCTGGTATCCTCGTCGATGCTCGGTGCCCGAGACAGACAGTTCAATTTCCTATAGAGCGCACACAAGCTGTGTATGTATGACTTACGATTCACGATAGACATGTATGATGATGGAAGTTTGGGGTTAGAGTAGAGTGGATGGGAGGATGGGAGGATGGTTATAATTTTAATGGTGTATATAAGTGGTTGGGAGCAGTAGTGGATTCCGGTGATAATCAATAGATTTTGATTTCTGGCTGTTGGTCCGGTGTTTATGTAGTTTGGATTGTAGTTGGTTGCTCTAGCAGTATGGATAGTTAGTTAGGACGGGGTAATTGTTGGCCTTGACTAGAGGGAGAAGTAGACGAGATGGGTGGAACAGTAACTAAAGAGGCATACTACATACATATCTGCATGATGATCTGGCAATTTATACTACAGACCTATATAACCATCTCAAGTAGCCTAAACTAGATCGACCAGAAAACACAGAACCACCCGTACCTTAGTATGAGTAGTAGCAGTATACCGAGGTCCAAATCCTAACCAGTAGTATAAGCCCATCACCTCTAAACCAAAAGCATACTTATGAATAACAACCTATGCTAAAATCATACTATGAATCCCACTTCTCCGCATTTCGGTTATACTAGACCCTAACTATCCCTGTTTATATTCTAGACCGTAAGTCGGCTATTCCGTTTTCGACACGGATGATGCCCGCATCGCTAAGGACGTCCTCCGAGTAAGTATATGCATCTGATTTGATCTTTTTGCAGTTAGCAGTTAAGCTGTTTGTTCGCTTGGTTGGCACTGCATCGGCGGCCGAGTCTGCTTGCGTCTCGTGTTACTTACTCTCTCAATTTCCGTTTTTTATATTGCATTGTGCATCGTGTCCTACGTTATATACTCTCGGATGGGAATGTTCGATATCAATTATTGTAACCCAATGATATCTAGTTGCTGGACTAGACTAGCTACCTACCTAGTGAGTATAATTAACTCGATAGATTAATCGATCTGCACGCCACGCCGTACGGTGCAGAGGAACGGCAAGTAGACCGAGTGGGCGGTACAGGGCATAGTGCGGAGAGAGTAGGGACTTGGACTCGAGAGTGCATATAAGAAGAGGATTTCTCCTTTGCTTTTTGGTTCTGGTCTAGATAACGTCTTTACCGGGTGGGACTTGTCTATTCTGTTTCCAATTCCAGTGGTTAGGCGGTTGAGTTATTCTATACCGATACTATAGTAGGCTCTCGTACCGTGCTGCGGTCCCGATGAAGATGAAGATGGATTCATTCCGGACTCTCGCTGGGATCCTCCTCTCTGCTGCGGCGGTAGAAGGACTGGTGAGGCCGGGTGGTGTGGTATGTTTTCACTCTATCTCTTCCTTTTCTTGATACTACCCGTTACTATATACTTGCTCTATAGTTCTACTATCGAGAGCGAGAGCTCAGCACAACTACACAACCCCATACCTACTTCCCAATATCCATCTACCTCCCAAAAGATGAAGATACTAATATTCATAGGGCCGCGTCCCCGCCCTAGGCTGGAACTCCTGGAACGCCTTCGCCTGCGACATTAACGCCACCAAGGTGCTGACTGCCGCGCGGCAGGTCCTGGACCTGGGCTTGAAGGATCTGGGATATGAGTATATTAATAGTATTTTCCCTCCCTTTCTCTTCTATTCTGTTCTAGTTGCGTTGCAAGGGTTGAGTCAGCTAGACATACACATACATCTCAGCATGGCCACGGCCAATGGATAGGTTCAAGCTAATGCTAATGATTGACAGTCGACGACTGCTGGTCCATCAAAAGCCAACGAGACCCCGTCACGAAACGCATGATTCCCGACCCGATCAAGTTCCCCGACGGTATCTCCGGCGTCGCAGATGAGATCCATCGGTTGGGACTGAAGGTGGGGATCTATAGTAGTACGTTCCCCTCCCTCTCCCCCTCGACATCTACACAAGTGAACATGCGAACATCACAACGAATGCTAATAATCCAAGGCGCCGGGACCGAAACCTGCGCCGGCTATCCCGCCAGCCTAGGCTACGAGCGCATCGACGCCCAGACCTTCGCCGACTGGGGGATTGACTGTACTCCCCCCTCTCCCCTCTCCCCTATTTGAATATGCTGACGCACTATAGATTTGAAATACGACAACTGCGGCGTCCCCTCCAACTGGACCGACCTCTACACCTACTGCGTCCCCGACTTCACCAACGGCAACCACTTCCCGAACGGCAGCTGTCCGGACCTCGAGATGCCGGCGCCGGAAGGGTACGACTGGCGGGAATCGAATACGGCGCGTCGGTACCGGAGGATGCGCGATGCGCTGCTGTCCGTGAACCGCACGATTGCGTATTCCCTGTGCGTCTGGGGTCAAGGCGATGTTGGGACCTGGGGCAATGAGACGGGGAATTCGTGGAGGATTAGTGGGGATATTACTCGTACGTCCTCTCCCCTTCTTCTTGTGTTGGATGTTGGGGTGAAGTTGGATATCCAATGTCTCTTGTTCATACAGGACATGAGATGAGATGAGATGACATGACATGACATGACCCTAAGTCTGAACCTATGCTAACGAGGACAATGGGAAAACAGCAAGCTGGACGCGCATCGCCGACCTCGCGAACCAGAATACCTTCCTCCTCAACGACGCCGACTTCTGGGGCTATCCGGACCCGGACATGCTAGAGGTCGGAAACGGGAACCTGACGGTAGCCGAGAACAGGGCGCATTTCGCGCTGTGGGCGGTCATGAAGGCGCCGTTGATTATTGGGACGCCGGTATCTCCTCCTCTCCTTTTCCTTTTCCTTCTTTCCCTGGCCTCTTCCCTCTTCCTCTCCCCAGTTCTTCGAGTGAAGAGGAAAGCTAACAAGTATACATGTATAGCTCGACAAAATCTCCCCAGAACATGTGGCTATTCTCAAAAACAAATACCTGATCGACTTCAACCAAGACCCCGTGGTCGGGCGGCCCGCGTACCCGTTCAAATGGGGGTACAACGCAGACTGGACCTTCGACCCGCTTCATCCGGCGGAGTACTGGTCCGGGGACTCGTATAATCTGGGCGGAACGCTGGTTCTGATGCTGAATAGTGAAGAGGAGACGGGGCTGCGGAGGGCGCGGTGGAGCGAGGTTCCGGAGTTGGAGGTCTCGAAGGATGAGAAGGGGGAGGGTGGGGAGGAGGTCGGGTTTGAGGTGATTGATATTTGGTCCGGGGAGAATTTGGGGTGTGTGAGGGGGGGGATTGCGAGGGAGGTGCAGGGGCATGATGTTGTTGGGTTTGTGGTTATGAGGAGGTGTTAGTTTATGGGTTTGTTTTATTTGGGGATAGGGTTGGAGATGGATGGATGAAAAAGGCAATCAAATGCTATACAATCATCTAGCAGGCTAAGCTCCAGGGTATATCATTATGCCAACCCACTCCACTCCACCACACTATCTACCGCCATAGATCCTGTCGACTATCTCGCTTGCTCCATCCGCCGCTGCTCTGCGGCCGCTCGTCCGCCGGCACCGCCAGGAAGCCTCCGAATCCGTTCCCGACCAGCACGCTGCGCCGCGCATCGCCTCCCCACGTCCGGCTCAGCTGCGCGTCGTGCAGACTGACCGGGCGCGTCGTGCTGTCGCGTCGTCCCCGGGTGGCCGGCGGCTCGTACGGCGTGAAGTTCCACTCCAGCTCGTCCAGGCCCTTGCTGTAGACGTTCAGCGGCTGCGTCAGCACGCCGGCGCCCAGCTGCGGACCGCTCTCGCCGCCGCCGAACAGCCGCGGCGGCGGCGCCAGCAGCAGCGTCTCGGGGAAGTTGGAGTCGCGCACGTAGAGCTCGCGCAGGGCCGGCAGCGCGTTGGACATGAGGCTCGACACCAGGTAGGAGTAGTAGGAGGACGCCACGGGCGGCATGCCGTACTGGCCCGCCTCCGAGGTGACCTCGAAGTGCAGCGTGTCGAGCGTGCGCGACGCCATGGGCGGGATCTGCTCGGCCGGGAACGACCGCGTCACGGACTGGGCCACCGACAGCGCCACGAGGTCCGGCGCCGCCGCCAGGATCTGGTGCAGCGTCGACGGCGCCACCCCCGTGTTCGACAGCGTCAGGTACCGCAGCGCCCGGCGGTGCACGGGGATCGACAGGTACGCGACGATGCCGCCGGCCGTCACGCCGGGGCAGTCGCGGATGGTCAGGCGCTCGACCGCCGGGAAGGGCGGCAGGGCCTGCGACGGCGCGAAGCAGGCGTCGTCGAGCCACGAGAGGTCGTCCAGCGTCAGGTCGCGCAGCTGCGGGAACGACCCGAGTCCGAACCGCAGGATGTTCGGCTCGACGTGCAGGCGCTGCAGCTCCAGGATCTCCAGGTTCCCCCACGGCGGGGCGCCCGAGAGCTGGGCGAAGCTGCCCTCGGCGCCGTGGCGGTAGGCCATGCGCCGGATGTCCGGGCAGCGGGCCATGAGTTCTTGTTTCAGGGCGAGACACGACGGGTCGTCGCTGTAGATGCCGGCGGGCAGGTCGACGTAGCGCAGGTTGGGCAGCACGGAGATGGTGCGGGCGATCTCGGCCTTGTTGGCCTCGCGGGTCATGTAGGGCATGCGCAGGGAGAGCACCAGGTTCCCCAGACCTTGGGACTGTCGCACGGTCTGCATGAAGAGCGAGAGGCGGACCTGGGGGGCGTCGATGGGGTCGGCGTTGCGATCGAAGAACGAGCGGCGTTTTCGCTTGGCGGCCAGTTCCAGCTCGAGTTCGCAGTAGTGGACGGGATCGATGCGGACGTGAGCATATCTAGGGGAGATCAAAAGGTTAGATTCGAGAGGTGCAAAAGTGGAAGAACGTACAGCAGTCGGCGCGCCTCTAGAAACCAGCGCTTGCACACGACGGCGCAGTGGGCCAGGTCGCGCATATCACACAGCATGCAGCCATCCTCGGTCATGGATTCCTCGGAGGTTTCGTAGGAGCCATCGTTGGCATGGGGGCAGACGTGGATCAAAATGCGAGCGAGGACCTGAGGCGGGAGTTTCTTGGTGTGATCGCCGCCGGTGATGTTGACGGGCATGCGAGGAAGGGGATCGTGAGTGCGGAGATGGTCGTAGCTGACGGCGTTGCTCTTCCCCGCACGGCCGAGGCTCTTGGATCGTTTGCGCAGACGACTAAGGAAGCCCATGATTCATGAGATCGGAGATGTTGGTTGGGTTGCTGGCAGGGAGGGAGCGTTGGAACTAGCGCACGAGAAAGAAAGAGAGGGAGTGGAGAGTCGGGGCCAAAAGAAAGAACACGACCGACCAGACGAACGCCGGGGGAGCAGCACTTAAGAAGCCGAAACTAAAAGTAAGCGACGATCGACGGAAATTACGGAGAAAGACAGAGTCCAATTAATGGCGCGGTATAAATATAGAAGTGCTGGGGGAGTAGACGCCAGCCTACCGGATGGAGTAACGTCTTTGTCCGGATTGGCGATCGTCGGGAGGAGGAAGTAGGGATTCAGGGATCATTTGGACTGTTTACCAGGGAGTTATTATTATTATTATTCCAATCGTTGCGATAATTATCCGTTATTAGTTATGATTTGAATGAAGTCCGCATAATCCAGGATGGGCCTCAGGCGCCAATGCCAGCGTTTCAGGCGGCTGACTCAGCGTTAGTCTAGCCTTGTTGGGTTAGTCCTCCGACCGTTTTGTCATCCTTTGTACATCTGCGGTCTCGACTCTTTTCCATTCCACTTCGATAGACCGTATAGAGACCTTTCTATCTTCTTAGCATTGTGTCTAGATGTCCTTTTGATTTATGCCAGTCATTTCCCCGGACATCCTCCACACCCCCTCTGACATCGCCATGACATCATCTGCCTGGTCCATCAGGATTCCTTGGCCGATGACATCGATGCTGTCGTATTTGTATAAGATCGGACATCCATGGCTGAAACCTCGTATAAATAGCATCCTGACTACCTGGACTGAACGTGAAATAACCCAATCTTTCTAACCACAATGACGGAAATCGGCGAAGCAGGGGGCCAACCCTTCCCCAACCCCATGGCCGGCACGACAAAGGAAGCATACTGGAAGCACCGCGCTCCCTACAAGATGCAATCCGCCGAGGAATTTGGCCGCGTCCAATGGCACGGGAAATGCCAGTGCGGCCAGGTGCGGTTCAAGCTGAATCGCGAGCGGCCGCTGCGGTCGAAATACTGCCACTGTCGCAACTGTCAGCTACTGCACGGTAAGAACGGAGTCTCATCGCCTGACGCAGGGGTTAATTGAGACAGGCGCCCCCTTCCAATGGGCGGCCATCTTCCACAAAACCGACGTCGCCTTCGTCAACGGCGCCGACGGGTTGGCGTTCTATTCGGCGGGCGATCGCACGCGCGAGTACGAGACGCCGACGAAGCTGAGCTGCTCGTACTGTCGCACGCCGATCATGGACGAGGGGCGCAATATGTGCATGGTGTTTCCGACGACCATCGAGCACGGGTCGTCGGATCGCGAGGTGCAGGAGTGGCGGGAGGCGTTTGCCGTTGAGTGCGTTCCTGCTGTTACCTACAACTTACTCTGGATAGAGGGACTAGATACTAACGAAGTACTCGTAGGTGTCATATCTTCTACAGCGCGCGGGCCGTCGACATGCCGGACGGGAAACCCAAATGGTCGGGATTGGACGGGCACAGCGATCAATTGGAGTAAACTAGACTACCTGCCTAGTATTAGTGTCTAGTGCTGGTGGTAGAGACAGGGATGGAGGCCTGTACTTTTAATTTCTGTACGAATAGCATCTTCTATATTTATCCGCGTTGCCTTTCTTTGTCTTGCCCGCCCCCTGCGCCATCCGATTTCAACCACCCCAACTGATCTGCAATCGCAAACAACAGCCATCCGGTTTCTTCCCATTAATCGTCAATCATCAACCCCAACCAGTCCATCCAACCTGAAACGAACCTCCAAAAATGAGCACCACCACCACCTTCTCCCCCCTCCCCAGCTACCTCCTCGGCGCGCTCTGCCTGGTCCTCGGCCTCAACAGCTTCCTGCGCCCCTCCAACGAATATCCCCGATTCGGCCTGCCCTTTGAATCTGCACCGGCGCGTAAACCGTCCAAACCCACCAACGGTGCTAACGCCAACGCCAACTGCATCAGCCCCCTGATCCACCTCAAGGGCATCCGCGAGACCAGCTACGGCCTGGCCCTGATCGCTCTGCAGCTCCAGCGCCAGGAGACCGCGGTGACCACCATGGCGGCGATCTGTGCGTTTGCGGGCCTCGGCGACGCGGTGGTGGTGTGGCGGTTTGGGAATGAGGAGTTCCGCAAGAAGGCGATGGGGCATGGGCTGGCGTTTTTGGGGTTTGGGGGGTGGGCGCTGTGGAGGGTTTTTTCTTGATTTGATCTGGGGTTTAGATCGATTTAGTCGGAGGATTGGGGAGATGGATTTTATTTTACGGAGTACTCCTATCGGTTCGGGTGATGGTTGTTTATTGGCGGTTAATTGAGTTCGGAGATGGAGTTGAGCTTATGGTTATTTATTTAGTGATGAATACTCCGAGTAGAAGAATCTACTGTCGAGTATAACCTTGGCAACTGAAATAGCACCTTATTTCGTCTGAATGTACCTGATTAACTAAACCATGTAGAGTCCGCCAAATCCAATGACGTCGCCGCGTTTCCCCACCGAAGAATCGTCGAAATCCGCTTCCTCAACTTCCACATCTTCTTGCAACTTACAACAATCAAGTAAGTATCTCTATACCTAACATTAACAACCCATATATCCCACAGAATATACTCCTTCTTCCCCTCCCCTCCCCTCTCTCTAATACTACTGTCCATCCCCCTCACCCAACCCCACCACCACCCACTCCATCCATCCCACCAAACTAACCACCACCAGACCCCTCCAAAACCAAACCCAACCCAACGAAAGAACCCGCCGAAATGTCCTGGTTCCAAAAAACCTTCACCCTGCCCGCCAAATCCCGCGGCAGCTACCTCATCACCGACCAAGTGGTCTCCGAGCTGCCCGAGCTCCGCGACTACAAAGTCGGCATGCTGCACCTCTTCGTGCAGCACACGAGCTGCGGGCTCTCGCTGAACGAGAACTGGGACGACGACGTGCGCGCAGACATGAGCGATGCCCTGGACCGCATCGCGCCGTATGATCGCAAGGGGAACCTTTATCGGCATTCCGCCGAGGGGGAGGATGATATGCCCGTGGGTCTACTTTCTCTCTTGTGGTGATTTGGGGGTTTTGGAGTGTTGCTAATTGATACTGGTGTAGGCTCATATCAAGTCCGCCCTGGTCGGCGCGTCCGTCACTATCCCCATTACCAATGGCCGGTTGAACACCGGCACGTGGCAGGGTATTTGGTACCTGGAGTTCCGGACGAGTCGGCATAGCAGGAAGGTGGTGGCTACGATTCAGGGGGAGAAGGCGTGACTCTATCCTGGCCAAGGGAGTGAGACTGGGGAGTTAAGGGGGAGTTTATAGTTGAGCATAGATGGAGGATACGACACAATGTACCCCGTATCAAGGAAGATAACCAACCAACCATATTAAGCACCTATTGTGTATTCCGGTCTGAGGTAGAAAAATCAATGAATTCAGTACAACTGTACAAGCACATCGTGCAAAGCAAACTAAACTGCAAAATCATCAACGCCGTTCCTTTTACCGCTGCTCTAGTCCGCCCTCGGTGACGCGCTGGGCCTCGTTCACTTCCGCGGCACTGCCGGTCGGCTTGAGGGGGTAGCTGGTTGCGGGGAGAGATTCGAGGTATGCGCGGTGCTGCTCCTGGGCCTGTTCATTGTCAATCGTGTTAGCGTGTACTCTGTCTGCTTTGACTGAGGGGCATACAAAAGGAAGTCCGCAGTATCCGCAGGTCGCAATCTCGGGCTTGTCGGTGTTGATGAAGATCTTGGGGTGGCCGAGAGGACCGCCGCCGCCGTCACAGCTGACGACCTTCTTCTTCGTCCAGCGCACGGGTTGCTGGTGGATCAGCTCGATGGCAGCCATAGGTTGGGGCTAGAATTTGGTTGTTAGTTTCCTGACCATCCTGTCTGTCCTCCCTTCCCTCCTGTCAGGTCAATTGACAGTGCCACCGTCCAATTGACTCCCTAACCACCCGGGCAAGAAGGAGGAAACGCACCTGCATCTCCATTATCGTCTGCTCGAACCGCGGCCCGGTCATGGCCTTCTCGCGCGGCTGCTGGCTGGCAGCCCAGGTCCGGGCGCGGTTCGGCGCCTGCACCTGACGGTTGCGCTCGCCGACCTCGGGCTCCTCCTTCAGCGGCAGGTCCCAGCCGCCCATGGCGTCCGTGGGGTTGGCGTTGGTGGCCGACACGTTGGGCACTTTCGACGGCGGAGTCGGGTCGTTCGCTTGCATTTTGTTCTCGCCGAGGCGCGCCACCGTCGTGCTGTAGCTGGCGCGGACCACGCGGGGTGCGGCCCAGGCGGAGGCCGCGATGCGGCTGCGTGCGCAGGCGAACATGTCTGCTTAGTGAGGGATTGAGGTGTGGGAGGGTGAGAGGGAGGGTTGTTGGCTGGCGAGGGCGGGCGGGAGAAAGCAGAGCAGACCGGAACTTGCGAGGTTCTTACAAAGGGTGAGGTTTGGTTGGTTAGTTAACGGAGCGGCTGTAGAGCCAATCGGGTGCGTTCCGGCGGTAAGAGCGGCGCTTGGGATTCTGCCGGGGATTTTGTTCCGCCTTTTTTTTATCGGGTTCGTTTCTCTTGTTCAGAAGGTGCTTGCTTTTTTGGCAGCAGGTTGTGTTGATCGGCTTCTCGTTTTTGTTTGTTCAATCACGCGCAGTCATGGCGGGCTTTCCTTCATCTGGCTCTAAGCCGGAGAAATCCATGTCGTCGCGTCTGCTGACTATGAAGGTACGCATCTCTCACTTCATGTTCACCTTCGCCTTCATTCCAAATGAGATTCAACTGACATAAATCAGTTCATGCAACGCGCCGCCGCCTCCGCAGCTGTCAATGAATCCCAATCCCCCGCCGACACGCCCAGCCCCAAACGCCACCGCGCAGAGCAAGAAGCCGCGAGCCCCGCCACCCAATCAGACCTGGAGGCCATCTCGGCCGCTCTAGCGGAGGAAGAAAGGCAGCGCAAAGAGGCAGTCAGTCGCAAGGCCGCCGAGGCAGGGGAGTCCGAGTGGGTACTGGATTTCGATACCCCCCAGTACGCGCCGCAGCCGAGGGTGGTGACGGCGGATTCGCTGGACGCGGATGACAGGAACATGGTGTCCGGGGGACGGCAGAAGTTTGGGAATTTCAAGCGCATGAAGACGATTACGGTTTGTCTCTTTTCCTCTGCAGGATACCAAATACTGACGTGACTAGACGGCGGATGGCGAAACGATGACACTCGGCGAGGACGAGGCCGATGATGTACTCAAGCAAGAAAAAGAGGAAGCGCAGAAGAACAGAAAGCCCGTCAGGATAGACAAGATCACTAGCATCTCGGGGGCAGGAGGTGTGGTCAAGGACCGGAGTACCGGATCGCCATCGCAGTCGAAGAAAAAGAGAAAGCATAAATAAATTCAGCAGGCGCTCGCTTCACATGGACATGGACATATATCGTGTCCGCAACGGCATCAGTTATCATCATCATTGAAAGTCAAAGTCATAGCGCCAATCCCGAAATGCAACCAAACCAAACAAAACTACCACACCTCAATCGCTCTCTCCCAGAAGAGCCTCCCGGGATCCCTTCTCCGCCAGAAACCGCCTTCTCGCTCGCGTCCGCGCCTCGTCCACCACCACCATCGAATCCCGGGGCTGTTTCCCTCCCCTCCGCTTCGCATGCACCTCGACCATATCCTCGTCCAGCACGAACTCCGTCGACAGCTTGCCCACCTCGAACCGAAGAACCGACGAGCGCTGCCCGGCCGCCTCTTCAAACGGGAATCGTTTCGTCGGATGTTTCAGGATGCCCTTGGGCGGGAGGGCGGTGCTTCGGCCGTGGCTGTTCCTGGGGAGGGAGGTGCTTTTCGTCGGCGAGGCTGTCTGCTTGTTGCGTTAGTCTCGGCAGGTAAAGCGGTTGTCGGGTTTTCTTATTACCTTATGCTCGATGCCTGCGTTCCGTTTCATTAGCATTCGTTGAGAATGTACATAACTATATACCCTATACCCTTTTTCTCTTTCTTTCCATTCACGCATGGGCTTGGCTCACTTTTCTCTAATATGCTCCTCCTCGATCCCCTTGTACTTCCGCTTGTTCGGCTCAACCCCCCGGGCAACGGGGCCCGCGCGTCGTTCGTCCGCTGCGAGACCTGTCGCACTATGCGCGGGGTCTGGGGCTTGTCGATGACGGCGTTGCGAGGGTCGTAGAGGCATGGACAGGACATTGTCGTTGTAGTCGTAGCGTATAGCGTAGTGGTCTGAGTGTCTGTAGTGATGAGGAAATTCGCACCAGATAAGCAACCTTTTAAATGCTAAGAAAAAATAAGCGCAAGCAAAGAGCAGAGAGCAGGAGAGATATAAGACAAGCTAAACCAAACACGTAACAGACGGACGTCAAGAAGAAAGAGAGAAAGGCGTTCGTTGCTACAGAGACACGAAACAAAGGAACCGCCTCTGCCTACGAGCCTACGTACCTAGTTACTACATCCGGCGATTAACGGACCTGTCTAGACTCCTGTCACAGAGGCAGTGGTCGGATGGCGATCGATACGCAGAAGACAGGGGAGGACGCAAGGCGCAAACTATAATTGGGTTCGTCAGTGGCACGTGGGGATATTTTAGGATTGTAGGAGGGCTGAGGAGGCGCTGGTTACGTAGGTGTTCTATGTTCTGGAATCTAGTTTCGATGTTGTGTTTCAGGATGTTTGCCTTGTCTGATTTGGATTAAGTCGTGGGTTGATTTAATGTTGAAGAGTCGGCGGGTTCAAGAATACCTGAGTAGGTAGTAGATATATCACAAGTGCTGAGGATCACCACGGCAAGAAGCTGATAGTCTAAAGTTTAAACTGTCTGTAAACAGCTTCCATGGCCCTTTTCTCGAATTAACTTCTACTGAGCTTGAAGTATAGTATTCCTCTGATACTTACTCATGTGTACAGAGTTGCAAACCCTTATCATTCGACACGAACGGAACTATAGGATGAGCAGAGAAGGCGCTTATCTCAGGTTGTTTGAACAATCCAACTCGACTGGCTGCGCATGGATCGCATCCCCCAGAATATACTTGGAACAAGATCCGCAGATGGTCATAAGCCTTGAGAATTAACAAGAATTCTTTGTCCGTAGCCTGCTTCTCGTTCCAGCGAGTTCTGAACTCGATTAGATATGTACGCTTCGCCTGCGAGAACGAAACATTGGTTTGACGCTGAGTCCCAGGAATGTGAAGCATAAGTTCCATCATTCATAGTACTCTTTCCGATGAGTAGATAGATGATCAACCAAAACAAATCCTCATCATTCATGGAAACTCCGAAGACGAAGCCGCAGATGCATGCCACCGTGCCTGTAGCCCGTTCATGCGAGAGGCCGTGGTGGATCGATGGGATAGTAATGACACTGTTAGTGTGTGATACGGGTCAAGTGGATGGGTATAGTCGAGCCTCCAGAGATCCTAGCTGGTAGTAACTCTGTTCGGTAGTACGGAGTTGCTCGGGTTGATCTTTTCTTGTGATCAATTCACAGGGAGAAATACTATTTACAGCAGAGGGAAACCCTACTCCAATCCACCCCGACTATACCCAACCCCCAATAGACCCCCTCAATCCACACACACACACACACACACACACACACACACACACACAAAATCACCCCCTCAAAGCCTCCACCTCAATCTCAATCATCATGGGCAAAAACGCTAACCTCGGCACCGCAACCGCCGTCCAAACCGGCCTATGCCCCGGAATCCTCCTCTTCAGACCCTCCACAACAAAATCATACGAGGCGCCCATATCGACATGATACGAGCGAACAAGATAAACGTCCTCCCAGCCTCTCAGCCCCGCAGCCTGCAGCACACGATCGACGTTCTCAAAGGCGCGAAGAACCTGGCCCTGGACGTCGTTGGCATCCAGCTCGCCGGTGCTGGTCCAGCCGCCTTGGCCGGCGCATTTGACGATGTTGCCGGGAAGGTGCACGGCTTGGGAGTAGTGGCAGAGGTCGCTGTGTTTTTGGCCGGCGCCGGGGTCGTTGGTGTATGTTAGGGAGGACATTTGAGAGGAGTGTGAATGTGAGAGTGGATGAGTTTGGAGAGAGGAGTGAGGGAGTGGTGAGAGAAATGGGGGATGGATTCGAGTCTTGGTGCCCTTTATGTATGCATTGGGTTGGCTTGGAGGTAGCTTGGCATTATGGAGGTAATTGATGGACTCTGCAGGGTTTGCAATTCACTTTTGAGGTGAGGAGGAGATATGAGAGTGGATCAATGGGCAGATCATGGAGTTGTGAGTCTGTTGAATTATTTGCGCGTCATTGGAGGTGTGTTGGAGGTGTGTTGGAGGCGTTGGAGGTACGGAGGGGAATAGAGTTATTATCAATCAAAACCATGAAAATGATGTCCAGATTCAAGAGGGAGAACGTACGGAACTCGGGACAAAATCTACTGTGCTATCGGAATGCTATTGCGTTGAGACGAAGTTGTTCATGGTGTAGATGATGGGAGTGTACATACTTCTACTTTAGTATATGGCTGCAGTTTCGGTGGCCATCTTTTATGTCTTGATTTGTTTCCTTGATTTGTTTCTTCTTTTTTCGATTTTTGTCATCTGTATCTGTTGCATTTCTTATCGTTAAATCTGGGTTAAAAACTAATGTATAGCCTCATACCTCGCGCAGTAATATCTTTGTAGTTTAGATAGAGACGATATGATGACACCCCCTTAGGTATACACCCCCTTCAAAGAGGAAGAAAAGATTACAACTTCGCCTTCTCCTCCCTCGCCTTCTTCTCCCAACTCTTCTGCTGCATAAAATTAACCGCCATATTCCACGCCGCAACGCCCACCCCCACTGGCGGCGCCAGCAGCAACACCCACGCCCACCACTTCGGACTCGTCGCCTGAATCTCACCCATCGCCTTCTTTACCTCCTTCCCCAGATCCTCCTTGTCGCCATCATTCCACACGATCACGCCCCGCGCGTTCTCTGTCCCGCGGAACTCCGCCTTCTCGACCTTCCCCCGCACATCGCCCTGGCTGCTCACGCGCCCCTGCGCCTCCTCAGCACTCAAATGCGGATCGCGAGCCCGCAGCCTTGCCATCTGCACCTCTGCGTCGCGCACACCCACCACTACCACCGTCCCGCAGAGCAGATCCATCCCGCTCTCGAAAAGCAGCGGCACGTCGAGAACCACGGCCCAGTGTCCGCGCACGAAATAGTAGACCAGCGCCTTGTAGACTTCCCATCGGACAGCGGGGTGTACGATCTTGTTGAGTACGAGTCGGTCGCGTTTGCGCTCGTCGGTCGTTCCGAAGACGCGGCGGCCTAGGGCTGGTCGGTTGAGCGGTTGGCCATGGGGGTTCGGTGTCGGGTTATCTGGTTTCGAAGGGAGGAGGAGATCCGGTGTGGAAGGGCCGAAGTATTCGACGATGGCTTTGTAGCCGGGCGTGCCGGGTTCGACGACTTGGCGGGCGAGGAGGTCGGTGTCGATGATGGGGATCGAGTACGGTGGCGAGGAGAGGAAGGATGAGACGGTCGATTTGCCGGTCGCGATGGAGCCGGTGAGCCCGATTATGAGCATTCTGAGGTGGGTTTCTATCGATGGAGTTGGAGGGAGGAGGTTGGAGTTGTAGGTGGATATGGGATGGATGTCAGCGCCGGCGCTGCAGTCTATAGGGTGTGGTCTGGTAATGCAAGAAAAGATGGTAGAAGTTGTGGTGGCGAGGCAAAAGAGGGAGAGGAAAAGGGAGAAAATCGGAGATGCGGGGAGAGCTGGACGGACCTCGGCCGATCCACTTCCATGCAGGTTTTATACTCAGACATGATTACCTTCATCTCTATTAAATGATTTGGATTTTAGAATTCTTGTAACAATGCTGATGTGATGCTTGGTTCCAATACAATCCAGAAATGCAGTTATGTACACGGACTTTTGTTCGTAAGAATAGTACAAATAGATGTCATTAGAGTAGGGATGAAATGGTCGTCATCTTAGGACTGGTTTTCTGTCTGGTATGGCTTGCTACAGTAAAGAGCACAGCCGGAGACTTCTGTCATCCTGCCTAGACAGAAAACAGGATCGTTCACGAGGCTGCTTTCGAGCTCGGAAAGGTTTATTGGCCACAAAACACGAAGTAGCGTCAGTGGCAATGCGATGAATCCCAGAGACCGAGTGGATAGCGATGTGATTACATCGCAGCCAACGAAGGATGGCTCGGTAGGAATTCATCCCGAGCTCACGACCAAATGTGGCTCCGCGGAAACTTGCTGGCAACTGCTGCGTATCGGCGAGTTCAGCTTTCTGGGAGACCCTTGCTTGGATCCTGCTTCTGGCCCTTCCAGCCAATATAGGGCCATCCCCGGGGAAGGCTGGAGAAAGGAGGGAGGGCGTAGCGGCCAGCACAGTCGCCCTCGGTGCAAGTGAGATCACACAATCCAAAGACCTTGCAGTAACACTCCTCCGCGGAGGGACAGTAGACGGGTTCTTTTCCAAAGATCACTGCTCACAATTAGCATTCATTCGCTCATCGCATGGTCAAAGAACATACTGTGCCAAGAATATTCCATGATGCGTCCACTCAGATCGTCCGGCAACGTCGTCTCCGACAACCACTTCCTGAACCGCTCGTAATCGCTCTTCGGTCGCTCAAGGATCTTCCACTTCGTCACTCCGAACTGCGCGCAGCACGAGACCCCCACTTCATCGGGCACCTTGGCGCCCGGGAACAGCTCCATGAATCCATTTTTGAAGTATTCGCCGGCGTGCACGTTCTCGCGATGCGTATCGGTAAGCGGGTGGATCTCCACGGGACATCCCAGCACCCAGGCGCAGCGGAGATTGACGTATCCTTGTTTCTGGAGGTACGGGACCTGGAAGTTGCGCAGCATGGGGACGCCGTCGTAGTAGGGGTCGTCGTTGTGCCATTGGTACCGCAGGGAGTGGATGAAGAGTATCGATTCGGGCAGATTGTCGTAGTTGTCGATGATATATCTATAGCGAGTGAAGTTAGCGATGGTCCCTCTTGAGCGAAGGCGAATAACTCACGTCAAATACACCATCGACTCCCTCCCCTTGTTGAGTTTCACCGTCAATTCCGCGTCCGGATCGTTCACCACGTAGATGCTCTTATGCCATTCGGGAAAGAACTCGAATAACCACGAAACATCATCCTTCTTCATGCTGGCCACCACCAGATCCTTTTCGACATTCTGCGGCTGTCGCAACGGGGTAGCCTGCCCCGAGCGAGTGTCGCGATTCGGTCCTCCTTGCGACACGACCCCTTCGTGAACGGCGGCAGCCTGTTTGCGACCGGAGGTGTTTGCGAAAAAGAGAAAATATAAGGCGAAAACGATGAAGATGGTGATGAAGATGGCTTTTTCGCGGCTGCGACGGCGCGGGCTTTGGACTCCGCCACCGAAAAATAACATGTTGACTGAAGGACGTATATAGAGAACGTGGATGGATCGATGTCGTGGTATGCGCGTATTGAATCGAATTAAGGATAGGTCAGATTGGCCAGACTAAGATCATGGCGGCGCTTGGACTCGAAAGTGCGGAGGCTGGCGAGGGAGAGGACAGTCCTGAGGACTGAAGGGACGCCGGATGTCGTCGAGACGGACTCGCAGAGCCTGCAGGAATCGCTGCAACGAAGGGAAGGAATGAAACTGAACGGGGGAATGTCTGGACTGTCGAGAGCAAAAAGCCACGAGCGACAGCTGGCAGGAGAAAAGGGTCCGCCCGGGTGGAGCCGCCCCCATTTTCTTAGTCTCTCGCCTGCATATTTCATCGGTTTCTTTGACCTCATCGTGGAATGAACAACAGAGGAAAAGAATTCGGGTGGTACAGGACTAGGCATCTGCTTTTATGATCCAGACAGCACGTTCGTCTCTCTTGGCGCCATTGGCTCCTTCTTAGTCTCCATCAGGGCGTTTTTAGGCTTTCTGGGGTATGCCCCCTAAAAATACTTCAACAGGGCGCCGACTGAAACTAATGGAACTAACACATAACTATACTGAATACTAACAAATTGGTGCTATCGTCTACAGACCACCTCAACACGGCCTATCAGATCACCATCCTCATCTAGAATCTCCCCGTCATCCCCGACAACATATCCCTCGAGATCGTCACTGTCTCCCTCAACGACACGTCCAGCCAGGTCTCCCTGCTTGTCAATGATCTGCCCTTTTTGCTTCACTGCGAGGCCCTTCAGGTTAGACAAATCAATGGCCTTGGGGTCTCCAGTGCTTGATTGTTGCTTATGGGTCTGCACAGGCACACCTGCCTCATCACTGGCGTTCTCGAGAAGCAGGCGAACTACCGCTTTATGTCCACCCTTTGCTGCTTCCATCAGTGGCGTTCGTCCTGCATTGTCTGCTGTCGATATGGCAGCGCCGAAGTCGATAAGCAGCTGAACTACTGCCCTGTGACCATTCTGAGCGGCCTCCGTCAGAGGTGTCCGTCCCCGATCATCCGTTGCTGATAGATCTGCTCCGTTTTCAAGGAGAAGCTGGATCATTGCCTTGTGCCCGTTCTGAGCTGCTTCGATAAGCGGAGTTCGCCCTAAATCGTCGGCCACAGATGCATCCGCCCCCCAGAGAAGGAGAAGCGAAGCAGCAGATTTGTGGCCATTGCCGGCAGCCTCTATGAGTGGCGTTCGACCCCCTTTATCTGCTGCCCAGAATTCTGCTCCACGCCTCAGAAGAAGGTGGATTATTGCGGTGCATCCAGATTGAGCGGCGTCTATGATGGCGGTCCGTCCAGCATCATCAGCTTCTGATGAATCTGCTCCATGCTGAAGTAAGACATCGACCACCGCGGTGTACCCTTGATGTGCAGACTCCATGAGCGCAGTCCGTCCAAAGTCATCTGCCGTTGTGAGATCCGCTCCACGATCCAGGAGGAGACGCACCACAGAGACATGGCCCTTCCGCGCTGCCTCTATCATGATGGTACGTCCAGTGTCATCTGCCCGTGTAATATCTGCGCCTTGATCTAGAAGCATACGGGCTACTGCCACATGTCCCTCACTGGCGGCCTCCATGAGTGCGGTTCGTCCTTCATCATCGGCAGCCGTCATCACATCCATTCTCTTTCCACGAGGCCTTGGAATTGTGGTTCTTTTGTTTGACTTGGAACTAATTCCGGATTTTGGATCTTTATGACGCCGCTCATAGTTCTGATTATCGCCACGCTCCGTTGGATGTATTGGCCCAGCGGATTTCTTCCCATTGGCACGAGAATCTTTCTTGACTGACTTTCGTGCACTGCCCATGGGATCCCCATCCTCAAGCACGATCTCGCCGTTCTCATTCACGGTCCACTTCGGTAGGTCCTCGGGATCGATAAGTCCAAGGGGACTATCGAGACCTTCCCGTATCTGGTTTCCTTCCACAACTTCGAGACCACTCAAGATGGAAGTGTCCTTAGCAGCCGGGCTCGAGATATGTGGCTCAAAGTCGGACATCATATCCTCGGAAGTTCCGTCTATTTCTTTGGCCTCTTCAATATCGGGTACCTCATTCGCGAGATCGACTGATTCAGCAACGAGATCTTCATGGCTAATCACTCCTGCAACCAAATCTTCGCCCATCTTTGACTTAGGGGACATTGCCTTCTCATTTATGGGGCGTGTCCCTATGTGTGGCGTCGATTTCCTGGCAGGCTCGTCTGGCAGGCTCGCGGGTGGCTGGGAATCATCGGATACGACCGTGGGCAGTGAAATTTCAACGTCGAATTCCCGTTTAAGGTCATCCAATACTTGCACAGCAGGAATCACATAAGCAAGGCCGTGCAGCGAGTTGTCGGCTGCAATGTGTCCGAACAAAGCGCCGGTGTTGGAATCCAACACCCACGCACCGCAGTCTCCATCATGGAGTTCCCCATGGACCTGCACAGTCCATAGCTCTTGCAGTTGATTATGACCGCTCGAGATCGTCGTTATCCATGATACCGTTCCAGACATCCTACCAGGCAGAGGCTCTTTTGCACCGGTAATGATGACAATGTCAGTTTCCTTGGGGCCGGTGCGTACTATGTCTTGTGGACAAAGGATTCGGTTGGCTTGCTCGTTGTTCAGCAATACTTCATTGCTGGCCCTAAAGCCTGGGGTGGTGATTTCTATCATAGCATAATCGAGGCCAGGCTTTGGTCCCTCTGTAGAATCGAAAATTTTGTGCCCTAAAAGTGCAGATTCAGGCTCTGCTTCCGGCTGGGGCTCGTTGGTAGGAACGGGCTCAGGGTCTGGCGCTGGTGCTGGTTCGGATTCAGGCTCAACGAGCCAGCCCTTTCTATTCTCTCTTATCCTCCTCTTTGCTTTCTTATTAGCAGGCCTGGAAACTCGGGCGGGGGCTGGTGTTGGCTCGGACTTGGACTCCACAGTGGCTTCAGCCTGATGCATCTTTCGAGGCAACTGAGGCAGTTCAGTTCTGGGCTGAGGTTTTGTTGACGACAACACTGGTGATTCTCCTGTGATATCTTCGCCTGGGTTACTGCCTCTAGAGAGAAATGTTTGGTTCGAATGCAGACTCTCTGGGGTAGTAGTGCTACCACGTCTCGCCAACTCCGACGTTGTATCATCGAGACTGGGCTGCACTGCTTGCCCGTGTATTTCGCATTCGTCCTCCGAACCCTCAGAGTCCGCTTCATAATATGAAAATAATCCTCTCCGGAACGCGTGGGCGGTGGTGAGGTAATAATACTCTCCGCCGGCCTGGATAATGCCTCCACACGTTGCCCTCGTTACAACATCCTGACCGTCTGTCCACACGTGCACCGGGAGTCCAACCCACCGGCTTCCAGGCGCGTAGTATACCTCACTCTGCGGGTCTTCACTTGATATGGAACCGGTCCCTGCGCGGGCATACCAATGTCCTGTTGGTGGAAAGCGAGGAAGATTCGCCGTCTCGAACCCAACTTCTTCTGCTGTCAGGAGTTCGCGAATTGCGTCCAGGGCTATCTTTCGCCCCTGTTTCTTTCCCCCGGCGATTACGATGGTGGGCAATGCCTTGTCCTTGGCCGAACCGACCATGCACAGTGTCAATCGTACCCCGGTGATGAGTTCGCGAATGTCCCCAATTACGTCCGCGACTCCTCTCCCAAGGGCGTTGTTGTATATTTCGCGTGCCCTGCCTCTGGCCTCCCAGAAGTAATATCCTCCTTTGCGTCCGTGGCAGAAATCACCCACAGAGTCTGCCCAATTCATTTTAGTATGTGACGACACAAGCGCTCTAAACATCGTGAGATCATCAGGCCGGGTGAAAAGTCCTTCAAGGACAAGTGGTTGAGCTTCCTCGCAAGAAAGGATCGCTCGCAATGCCAGAAACACGAGACTGCGGCTGACGAGAATCCATCGTTAAAAAGGCAATGATCAATCTGACCCCCGCGCGCCACGTCAGATAGATCGAGAACAGCCTTGCCAAGGCGATTTACGCGCCCTCAAGGCTACCGGGTTATATCGGCGGCATTCCCGCGGGGATACGACCATTGTAGATTTCTGACGGCAAGAAGAGAATAACATGACTAGAATCTTGCAATCACCGAAAGCCTAGCCAGGTCCAGTATCATATATACAATGTCTGTATCTTCCCGCAGTGACACCTCAATCGAGCTGCGCACCCTGAGGACACCCCTACAAGACACGCCCATAGACAGAACCCTGCAATTCAACCTCCTCAAGGCCCTTCTCGGGCTCAACGTCTCCGAGACCGAACTGAAACGCATAGATCTCTCTCCTTTCTTCAAATTCTACGCCGAGCGGTGCGACTTCGCACTCACAGACAGAGGCCACTATGTATCTTGCAAAACGCACGAAGATCTCATCTCCATCGCCAAATGCATTCGACACGGCCATACGCGCGAGGAAATTCAAGCCAGACTGAGACTTGAGTATGCGAATCCCTCAGATCAAGAGCAAGACCACGGCCGGCGTTTTGTTCAAGTTCAAGACGATGCCATCAACGGATCGATTGATCTCGCCGCTGGGTTACTGACTATGATTGGGATCGGGAAGCCCCGGTTTGGGTCGCTAGGGTATGAGGTCATGGAGTGGAGGACGGGGCCGTTTGGGGAGTTTATTAGGAATTGGTTTGACGAGCAGAAGACGCAGACGGGGGAGTATGTACGCTTCGAGAGGTCATTTCACGCGCTGAGCTTGGAGGTAATTGCCGGGGTGAAGATTGAGTTGAGTACTATCATATTGCTCTTATCCTTCATTTCTTTTGCGACTTTACTGTCTAGATGGGAATGGATATGTTTAAGATCTATGAAGAAGGTTAAGCTGATAATTACCTTCTTATCTTATCAGATGGACATATAATCTAGTCGACCATCTCAGACTCCTAGATGCAGACGACGATCAACACGAGTCTGTTGTTCAGATCTTCCACTGTGCTAGCTTTCTACATCTTCAGAAATACAGGTCATTCAACCGTACAAAACCCTGCAGAACATACAACCCTAACAAAGAACAGAACCCACCCCCTCCTACCCCCCTCTCTCATCGACGAAACCCTCCAAACAATCGCCCTCCTTCTACCCCGCGAAGACGAATCCGTGCAAACCTGGTACCGCAAAATAGAAAAACAGCACACCCTGGACCCCAGCGCCATCAAACTTCCCTATCTAAAGCGGGAGCAGCGACGGATCGAAAATTTTTCGTTCTGGCGAGAACGCCTCATCATACTAAAGCAGTGTTATGACGAGTCCGAGCCGAGGGATATTCGGCAGTGGTGGTATGATAGAAGGAAGGGGGTGCAGTGGTATACGTTTTGGGTTGCGATTTTTGTGCTCCTTCTGACGCTGTTTTTTGGGCTGGTGCAGAGTATCGAGGGCGCGTTGCAGGTTTATAAGTCTTATCATCCTACTCTGTAGGGGGAGAGTGGGGATGGTTGGTTGAGAGTTGAGATGGAAGGATGATGAGACCATGATTAAGCAGGTACAGTGCATGATTCTGACAGTGAGACCAAGAACCTAAGTACATACATATCCTGAAATTCCAGTCCCAGACAAAGTGGTGTCCGGGCACTTGATTCCGTTTTGAATAAACCCTTCCAATTGGATGATCATGATCTCCGGGGTCTTTTGGCAGAAAGCAATTGAACGATCTCGTCATACCCCTTTTCCTTGGCCATATCAAGTGCGGTCTTGCTCTGAGGAGACTGTATGCTGGTATTGGCATTGCCTTCGTTAAGAAGCAGACTGACCATGACAGCATCGTTCCGGCGAACTGCCTCCATTAGTTCAGTATATCCTGGGTCCTGGGATGTAGTTTTGACTTTTCCAGAGGCCAGAAGGAAACGAACTATCTCTATATGTCCATTAGATGCGGCGGACATCAGAGGGGTGGTTAGAGAGCCAGAAATGTCTTCGCCTGCTCCTGATGGGTCAGCATTACCAACTTCGAATAACAACCTAGCTACGTCGTCGTAACCCATTTTAGCTGCATATGTAAGGAGTGAGTATCTCAAGGAGCCTGTCGAGTCTTATTAGGGCAAATATCAGTATTGTTAAATACTAGTTTAACCTTATTGATATTGGAATTGATAGAACCTACCATTAGACCGAATGTATCCCTTATTCGGATTGGCTTTGGCCTGCTCCAAGAGTATTCGGACAATCTCCACATTTTTGCTCAGAACGGCAAAGCCAAGGGCAGTGGCACCATGATGGTTGCAGATATCAGGATCGACATTGGCGATTCCGAGCAGTTTTTGGACAATTCCAACAGATGAATTCCTAACGGCAAACATAAGAGCGGTCATGCCATTTTCATTTGTCAAGTTTGGATCAGGACTTTCGTGTTGCTTCAGTATTCCAACAATAATGGGATGATTGAATTTAGTTGCGACCATGAGCGCGGAGTCACCTTGTCTGTTTTGGCAATTCAACCGGGTTTGATCAACTGATAGCAGAGATCGGGTAATCCTCGTAGATCCGTCCTTTGCTGCCCACATAAGAGGCGTCCATCCGTCCAAATCGCATATGTTAGTTTCAACCTCATCTGACTCCACAAGCATTCTGACCAGGTTCACATGTCCGCCTTTAATGGCTTGAAGAAGTGGTGTTACGCCAAAAGCATCTCGGCCGTTGAAGTCCATATGGCAATCCTCGTCTGTCAAATCCTCAAACTGTGTGACCAGTCCATACTTTGCCACCAAGTGAAGTCCAGTTATGGGCGGATCCTCTCGCCGAAATGGAACTCCGAGAACGATTTGCTCGGCGCATGATGCCAATGAAGTGTTTTGAAGGAATCTTTTCGCCGCACTCCGTACTTTGCTACTGTTTTGATTAAAATGAACATGAATCGCCCAGAAACGCGCCGCATAATTCAGAAACGGATGTTTGTCGATTCGGTTTTTCAGTGCCTCTTGGTCATGCACAAATCCTGTAGCAAACGCCTCAAAACTTAGGTACTTAAGACAAGTCATTGCAATGGTTCTGCTGGCGTTCCTAACCCGAGGGAAACCAGTACGATTGTAAGAATACCAAATGTAAGCGGTGTGATGCACAAAGTCAACAGTCGCGCTGATGGGACTAATAGCTATAAGACCCTCACTCAAGGAGACGAGACCTGGCATATCTGGAGGCGCATGTTTCACTTTCAGTTCCTTGTTATTGCGTTGATGTTGTGTATTTAAAGCCTCGCTCAGCTCAGTGGTACTAAGAGGTCTCATCGCATAGAAGACCCAAGACAAAACGCAAAAAGCCAACCTTCGAGGTGATCTTTTGACTATGTCGAATGTCTTTCGATATGCTTCATTCAATGTGGACGAGTGAGAAGGGGTGTGGGTATTCGCTATGCTGTCTAGCTCTTCTTCTAACTTCTCCCGTGTGTCTTTTGTTTTCAGCCAGTTCAAGTAAAGTCGAGCGAGTAAGAAACTGTCTTTTATCAGCTGGTTGAATCTTCAAAGAAACATTAAATTATCTCACCTTCCTCTCGCAGAGAAAATAATGATTCTTTTGAATTTTTCGATCTCAGCTTGTTCTGCAGGCAGGGAATAGAAGCCTGAAAGGTCAAAGTTTCGATCGATGTATATTTCAATATTCCCATCTCGTATATCCAACTCAGAAAATCGATTCTGGTTTTTTGATTGTGGCTCAAGTCGAAGATCTTTCGTATCATCGGAAGTTACCATAACCCGAGCACCAGCACTTTGCATCTCCATGATAGCGTTGAAAAAGTCATGTATTTCGAACAGTGGGCTTTCGCTCAAACCATCAACAATTATAAAAGCTCTCTTGTAACTTTTAGCAGCTTTCATCAGAGCTTGTTGAATCCCCTTCTCGGATAAGCATTGTGTTTCGTCCTGGAGGTTTATGAACTCATCCGGAATAGAAGGAAGACCTTCAAGCAATTGCCGGAGAATCGCGCGAATCATTCTGGGAACAGTTTGCGCATTTCGGTTTAAAAAGAAGAAGCATACTATTGACCCTTGTTCTTTCTCCGAAGTGCGGAGATGCTCTACTACAACCGAGACCATGGTAGTTTTGCCTACACCAGGGCCTCCCGAGCATAGCAAGATTCGATTTTCAGGGCGGTGTGCATCCAACCACTCCTTCAATTGCGGGTGCTCCAAGAACCAAGTTCCGGTTCCCTTCTCCCATAGTTTATATGCATCAGCTTGCTTCTGGTGGTAGGTGGATGGAGCGAGCCAGTTCAGAAAGCTTTCTCGATCATTGTGTGCTTCGTTCTGGTCGCTCCGGTTGTTGTGGGCGCTCCGGTTGTTGTGGGCGCTGTGGGCGCTGTGGGCGTTGTGGGCGTTGTGGGCGTTGTGGTCGTTGTGGTCGTTGTGGTCGTTGTGGTATGATGAGGGTAGATTGCCATTGGAACATTGTGATGTACTATCGAGAGTCGCGATTTGTTGCTCTGCTATACAGCCATGGGCGTAAGCCAAAAGCTCATGGCATTTGAACGCAACTGCCATTTGGGGCCGCACTTACTTCTTCCTAGAATGGAAACAACAGTATCCGTCTTTTCGACTTGAGCTGAGCGAATACCTTCCAGAAGCTCTTTAGCAACTGCAGCACTGGCGGCGCCGGCATAGGCCTTCCAGGTTTTATTCTCATGGGAATCGGAATAGTCACATATACCTCTGATAATGAGGCATGGAAATTCTTCATATGACCAGCTGCTTCCGTTTCAAAGCAGAGAATGTTGTGGTTTTGACGGAGTTTCTCTCTCGTGACAGCATCCTTCATAGCCTGTTCACTGGAAGCAATTAGGCCGCAATGAATCACTGGATCTGTATTTTGCCGTGGCTTTCGCTCAACCAGATGCTCATCTAGCTCTGAACGGCAAATGACCTCACAAGGCTGGTTGAAATTATTATGTTTGAAAGTTTTGGCGTACAATTTATCATTCTGAAGCCCTGGATGCTGCCATTTCTGTTTCATCTTCGGATATTTCTGACGCATGAGTGCCAAGTGACGTGGGACCGCAGAGCCCGTCAGCTCATGGCGAGTCATCAGCTTGGTAAGTGCGGTCACCAAAACATTTGGTGAACGACTGAGATGCTCTTTGGGGACGAACCTGCTCTCGGAAATCGTTTTGTTGTAATCATACTGCACCAGGCCTCCTGTTGCTATCAGTATCTCATTCCTGTGCACAGAGCCTTTGGACCAGGGATTAATGAAGAATGCACCATCAGGAAAGCCCGGTTTGCTCACAAAAACATCGCCCAATCTGATATCTGACTCCGGATCCTCGCTTGGCGATCCAGGTGCACCTCCTCCAATGCCTATCATCAGCGCCACTTTGATGTTGGGAAAGCTTAGCAACATGTCCTTGGCTACAGCTGTTGCCCCACCACTAGCTCCAAATGGAAGACAGCCGACAACCACATTGTGTGCTCCAACGCGTCCAAGTGTGTATACATTGGAGTCTTGCTCATTCTGGTCAAGCAGTTCATGTTCTTCGTCCAGAATGGCTGTCACTGCTGTTACCTCGTCAGGCAACGCGCAGATAAGACCTATTTGGTAGTAATTGTGTGAGAGCGTCTCACTCTGACTTTTTTTCAGCCTTCATTTTGATCTCAGCTAATGACGAAGAATACAGTGTGGAGAGACATGAGTTATTACCATGTGGACTGTTTGGACATCCCTTGTTAATCTCTGAGTAATAATCCTGGGGACAGGAAGTAAGAAGGAAGATATGTAGGAAAGTAAAAAAGGACAAAGGCTCAAGAATAATAAATACTGAAGGTGGGAAGGTAAAAGAGTTTGAAAGTGAGAGTGGGAGGGGTGATTTGTGGGTTGGGTTGGGCTGGGGACATTCACTCTCTAGTGAAGTAAAGCAAGACTGAAAAACAGGGAAAGGATGGCTAGAGGGTTACGCCCAGTCATGAGGGCATGCCGAGGAAAGTGATGCCACTTCGTGTTATTTATAGCACCTATTTTGCAACGTTGGGCTCTGTTCTATCTGCCTCTGTTAAATCATTTGGTCACATTCCAATTCTTTGTCTATATATTGCCCTGGCACGCAGGCCTGGAAGACACATAATAATTTCCTCATTACTGAAAGTTTCTCCAAAATGTTCTATGTTATATATCCGTATCTTTCTTGCTAGATGTTGATTCCACAAAGCAGTGGCCCTAGAAGTAATTTGAAACAGATCAGTCAAATGGCCAATACCGCCTATACTCAGCCTTTTCCCCGTCAGTTTCAGCCAGTTGCTCCAGAATCTGATCTCTGGCTTGATCGAGGGCGGCTTTGCAATCATTGTATCGCACATGCTCTATGAATCCCTTATCCGGCCACAAATCACCCAGGCTTTCCTTGACCTCCGTAACAAGGTCGGTTCCCGCTACCGCGCCCTCGCTATCTAGCTTAATACGCTCAATCTCTGCTTTCGAAAAGTCAAACGGGAAAGGGAAATCACCATTTACGCCAGGTAGTTCTGTACATGAGTCCTTCAGATCGACTAACAGCGACTGGAAATGCGCCTCGCCGTATTCGAACATGCGGTGGGCAAGAAATATCAACCCGTATGCTGGCGTCTTTCGGAACTCGATTGCTCGATACAGATCTGGGTTTTTGGCAAGCATGAGTTTCCGCCATCCGATGAATACGTTCTGAACGGTATACTCGTTTATAGCTGTAGTTCGTTCTTCTGGGGACAGTTGCGAGAGTTTGGGCATCGGTACTAGGTCAAGCGTCTCGAGCTCAAGGCCATCCCAGTCGAGGTAGGCAAGGTCGGGGTTGTGATTGAAGAGTGGAGAGATATGACAAGACTGCCAGTCGATGATCCCTGTGATCTTTTCTGGGTTGTCTGGGTCCACAAATATATTGTCATCATGCAAATCATTGTGCCAGAGGCGTGGGTTGGTAATCGCAGCGTCCTTCGGGGTAAGAGCATCGACTATTTGTTGGTACCTTGCCAGGGCAGCAAGCTTCTTTTCCATATTTGGCTGGTACAGCTTTGGGCCACAGAATAAAGCAATTTGCTTTGGAGGTTGTAAAGCCTGGACGGCTTTTTTCTCGCGCGTCCCGACTGCTTGGAGGTACTGTGTTAGAGATGCCCCTATACATTTGTTAGTAGCCCTCTAAAACGATAGAGCGCTGACATACATGGTCCCCTATAAATATCTAAATTTGACCGGCCCGCATCAAACCAATCCCGACCTGTGGAAGGGCCAATAGCAAACTTCGAGTCTTTGATGGTATTCGCATTCTTGATATAGTAGTTATCGTTGCCGAGTTGCTGTAAGTCGCCTGTGTAGTACAAGCTACCATAATGCGAGAACGAAACACTCAGCCAATTCTTTTGGAAGCGTGTCATAGCAAGAAGCACCTGGAGCTTTTGGGGAAGTTTCATAGTGCCCCAGACTTGAGAGAGCGGAACACCCTCAGCTTTGTCCATGATAATAAACTCAGCTCCGACGGGATGCGATTTTGCTTGCGAATTCCATGCGTAAACTCGAGGCGCTGGTGTGTCCAGAATTGTTCTCACCTTCCATTAGTTATATAAGTAAGTCCAGAGTTATAAGCTTGAAGTAGACTTACAAAATCCATCGTGGCGACTTCACTAGCCGTAGTAAAATGCGGAATACCAGCATTTTGGTTAGGCACTTTCGCAACGACTTCTCGGCCATTGTCCATAGTCATGAGGAATGCTTTGTTGAACATGCCGTCCGGGTATTTCTTGATGGAGATGCATTGGCCGGCGCCAACGGAGTCTGCGGCGATACGCGCGAGGCTGTTCATGTCGAACTTAGACTCTCGCTTTCGAAGGTTCTCTGCCTCGTCTACGATAAAACGGCCTCGAGTGAATTTGAAAAATTCGCCGTTGGAGTTCCAATCTGGTCTGGATAAGTTGTAAGTTCAATCGCGCTGAGATGGGGATGCTTACCAATCGCAGGAGACTGCTTGCTGGTGGCATAATGATCGTAGGATAGCGAAGAAGCTTTCGATATTGAGCGGTAATATTGTAGGCTTGATACAGTAGTGGTTTGAATGTTGCGCCACAGACGTGCGGCCGATAGGGGTCGGCTCATGCTTCACAAAGACAACAGTGTTGTGCTGTCTACCTTCGAGGAAGCATGTATCATACAGTTAAAGGAAATCTGGCAGTCGTTTCCAATCATTTTTCTACCTCCATTAAGATAAAACGGGTTGTTGTGTGTGGGAAATTGATGATGGTAAAATAATAGTGTTCGGAGGTTGTTGTAGAATAAGTGGCCGGGTGCCTGGCCGGACTAGAGAAATCCCCCTTGCTGATAATTAATTAGTGCCCTAGCTCCGGGTCCATTGCACTAAAGATATATTTCGAGCCATCGCCTTGATAGAACCGTTAAAAAAGAAATGAATTATATTCCAATGAGTAAGAAATCACTAAACTTCATTTCAATATGTAAGTTTTAGGCGCCCTAGATGTATTTCTTGAGGTACGCAGCAACTGTATAATAAGCCCATCTAAAAGCACCGTAACCGAGCCATATAAACTCGGTCCTCTATCTCTAAGCACTTGTACTCTTAACCACCACCTCCCTCAACTCCTCCTCACTCAAATACTTCACTCCAACAATCTCATTCGACAGCCTCGGCGGCCCAAACAAACTCCCAAATCTCTCCCCAAACAACGCCGTCTTGATAAAATTGACCGCAAACACCGCCGGACTCGGCTCCGGCTTCTTCAACTCCTCGTACGCCTCCCTCTCCAAATCCTCCGTCCTCACCACCCTCGTCTCCACCTTCTTCCCTGAAAGCCTCAACAGCTCCACCTGCGACACATCCGCCTCACTCACATACACAGCCCTATTCCTCGTCGCATCGGGGTTCCGCAGAATCCCCACCACCGCGCCCCCGATCCCCGCGAGCGTCGTCGTGCTGAACTTCCTCTCTCCGCCATCGTACAGGTCCGCGACCGGTCCGGCAAAGTTGAGGATGAAGTTCTTCTCGAGACCGAAGTCCAGAAACGCCCCTGTCGCGAGAAGCGTGTAGATGAAGGACGGGTTGGTGGAGGTGACTTTCTCCAGGTGTGATTGGACTGCGACCTTCCCCGCGAAGACGGGGATCTTGCGCACGTGCTCGTTCTGCGTGTCCACGCCGTACTCAGATGGGAGGTAGTGCGTTACGCCTGCGTTGACGGCCGCGTCGATGAGTCGGATGGGGACGTCTTGGGGGGCGCGGCCAAGCGCGTCCACGACGGCGGAGTGTCCGGTGAGTGCGGACTCGAGGGCGGACTGAGAGCTGTAGTCGACTTCGACGAGCTTGGCGCGCTGGTCGATGGGTTTGTTGGATGTGCGCGAGAGCACGGTCACAGAGAAGTTGGCGTCTAGGAGGGCTTTGAGAATGGCGGTGCCGAGGTTTCCGGTTCCCTGGACGGTTGTTAGTGGTAGGTGGTGGGGGTAGAGGGATTGTGGACGTACACCTGCGAGCGCGACTTTTGTGGGAGCCATGATGTGGTCAATTGGGTTGTTGGGGTATAGATGGTGCTGTCTGTTGTTGCAAATAGGTGAGTTGATATGTGGTTGAAGGAAGATTTACAGGCAAGTAAATAAATACCCCGCCAAACAACAAGAGAGGAGGGGAAATCACGCGATGTGCAGCAGGAATATTCCGAGGTTTGTCAGCATTTCATAAGTTTGGCTGGGAGTAGCGTGATGACTCTCCTGTTTTATTCAAGCACCTCATTCCATTTTTAGGGGACTGGGTTCTTTGCCCATGTTGCGGCATCAGTTAGATTCTTGACGTCATTCGGGATATAGTCGTGGTTGTTGGGTTTCCATTGGTAGCGATAAGTCATTGAACGCAAGACAACTTTTGATTTGAGATCCTAATCTAGTTGAATACACCAGTTCAATCTCCAGAAAACAAAACCAAATCCAATGAGCATGAAACCAAAGAAAAGAAAAAAGGACAGTCAGGGATCATGAACAAGACAGGCAACCAGTCCTACATCCCATCGACTCAACAATCCCTAATCAAGATGCTTGGTATTGAACAAACGATTGCCGGTATCCGTTCCTCTCTTTCCAGTAAATTTATTAGTCGAAATTCTCAGCGCGACAATGGTGAGAAGTCGATTGAGACGCGAGAATAGAAGGGGTATGCGACCGCCATTCTCTTCGAGAGCTTGAGCCTGCACGACGCCCGTAACAACAACGATCTTGATATTCCGAGCCAGGCTGTGAATGTGCTCGACGAACTCAACGACCGAATTTCCGCTGTTGATCACAGAGTCGACGAGGATAACCGTCGACCGCTCGCGTAGGCAATCGCTCGTGACGTCTTCTGGTTTCCATGCGTGTAGGAATTCGGCGGTTGGGAAGACATCGTTGATTCCCTCAGCCATGGGTGCGCCACCTCGCATCAAAGCGATAATCAGTGTGTTCTTCTCCTGAGCCAGACGATGTCCAGCTGTGTCGTGGCCTTGCACGTGAGGGGTAGAATATGACTCGATGCCGATGATGTCGCTGACATACTCGAGGGCCAGGTACCGTCCGCATTTAATATGGACGTTTCGAAGAGCCGGTCCTTCAAATGAGGCATCTCTCATAGGGGTTTGGAGGAGCTTAGCAGCAGGTTTGTGGGTGGCATGGATGATATAGGGACGGTACCGATGCTCGACAAGCGAATCGACGAACTTTGAATCCATGATGTCGAGGACTGGGACGAGGGTGGTGTTAAGGCGTGGTGCGACGGAGGGGGGAAGGAGGACTTGTTTTGCATAAAGCCACTTCTCAGTAATGGCCTTACGTAGGGCACTCTCCATAGTCTTGCTCCTGCTGCTCTCTTCGCCCACAACCACAATCGCATAGTTCGCTTCCCGCAGCATGGGGATGTCCAAAGGACTGTCCCCGAAGGCCCAGACTTCCAGCCTGTAAATGCTTTGCAGGTGACTGACCAAGGCAGACTTGGTCTCTGGGGTAACCACGAGGCCGTCGGCGATCCGACCACCTCCGATGACATTCACTGATCCAGAGAGGCCCCCTCGAGCCAGGATCTTCTCCCAGACAAGACGCAGACCTGAAGTCAGGACAACCGCGTGGATGTGCTCATTTCTGGAGACCAGATGAAGCAAAGCCTGCATTTGAGGATACATGCTCACAGCATCCGCTGTGCGTTGGCAAATCTTGTCAAACTCAGCATCACCGGCTGCTTCTTCGTACGTCAAGGTGGCCTGCCAGAAAGCCTCGTATGAATATCCCATTTTGCCGAACAACGCTATCAAAGGAGGCTCTCCCTGGGAACCTTTGGACATGAAAAATTCCTTCCACCAGAGATTACCCGTATCCTCAACGGTCAGGGTGCGGTCTGCATCGAGCACCAAGACCTTCTCCAAGCAGCCAGAGCTATTCGCTTTCGCCATGGCCGTGTCCAAGTGCTTCTTTGCATTGCGCAGGCTCTTTTCTTCATGGTGACCATTCAGATCGAGGATCAGACTCGCCATATCTCCTTGTTCGGTCCACCTGAAGAAGAGGATCCCGTGGTTGAGGCAGGAGTCTCTGAGCTGTGACTTCTCTGCCTCTTGCCACCTGCCAATATGGAAAACCGACATCTCAGGACGAGCTCGCGTTCTGTCCTCTTCCTGGCGCCGAAGCACGACATGAGGCGGGACATCCAGGTACAAGATATGCGTGTAGACAATAAGATCGCTGGAAGTGATAACAGGAGATCCTTCCGCATCGCTGGTCTGCCAGAACATATAGTGTCCTGTCACGATTGCCGTCTTTTCGTTCAGGAAGCAATCTTTCTGGATGCTCTCGATGGCTTCCCTCCGCCACTTTCTCTTCCGCTTCTCGTTCAGGAGTTTGAAGGCTTCTAGACCCCCGGGCACGAGTCTGTCGATCACTTGCGAGCCTTCATAGAAGGCGAAGAAGTTTTCATCAAGCTTTGCCTTGAGTTTGCGCAGGAGGTATGATTTGCCGCAGCCGGGGACGCCGTAGAGGCCGATCACCGTGGGCTTGCGAAAAAGGTCTGGGGCAGTTGCGTCGGTCATTTTGATAGAGAGTCAAGTAAGAAGCTTGCGATTTCTTGGGATGGATAACGAAAACAGGGTAGAAACAGACTTGTGGTGGGAGAGAGTAAGGTATGGAAAGATGATTGAGTAGCCCTGGGAGAGATGGAAGTTGATGATATTTATACCGCATAGGATACCAGAGCAAGCGCATCAAAGAGCAAAGAAAAGGGACATCCCGCAAACAACTTGTCATCAGATTCTTTGTTGCGTGGGGCAGATATTCCAATTACAAGCGGCTGGGTAAACGCACGAATTCACAGCCTGACGATGCGATGTGGTGCGCTTGTTACTGGCTGAGATACTATCAGAAGACCCGTATGCTATACCAAACAGAGATCTCGGCGGATAGACTTACCGTTGAAATCAAGGAAACCCTTCACATAACGTTGCGTTAATTCAGTGCTTTCTCTCTAGGCATAGCTCTTATCAGTCACTCGCCGAGCAATGATATAATAATGCGGCTCATCATCCCCCTGCACTTCAACCGGAGGCACAAAGACCACGGGCTGAGGTTTCCATTCCCTGAAATTCATTCTCTAGCAGAAGGGCCTCCAATCCAGCGCGGGTCATCAGCGACGAGATAACCTCTGATCCGAAAAACCTCCATTTGAGGTTCTGCGCACAGCGACGATCCGCATCGCATCCGTGCCCACGCATCTCTGGCGGACGGTCTTCCACTGCGAGTGTGGTGATAAACAACAGCCCACCTGCAGGTACTCACGTACTCCAACGGGCTGTCATTTGCTCCATTTCCTCCCCGGTGAAAAGAGTCAGAGATAAGATGTTGAAGACCGCGTCAAGACGCTCCGGCGGTGTATTCGCGCATGTCGGCGAGGGTGAATTTCCCTGTCGGAACGGCCTGGCGGCTCGGCTCGACCATCTTGGGTGAGATATCTATCCCGGTGACGCGGTGTCCGGCGGCGGCGAGGGTGCTTGCCACGGGTCTGCCGAGGTGTATGCCTACCGAGCCCCCGAAATCATGTCACTACGTTCCATCGCTTGTTCTAACCTAAAATGAGCTAAATCAGGTAAACTCATTCATCCAGCCAATCAAGTTGCCTGAGTCAGAATTATTCCTATCAAACCATTACAAAAGCCGGCCTTCCTCACTCTATATACCCATGGCTATCAACAACTCAAACAGACCTTGCAAATCCAAAATTTTTACAATTCCACTATTAACAATTTATATACAGCCCTCCCAACCCTTTCAGGCGACAGGAGCAGCACCCCAGTATCCATCTAAGCACACGCAAAAATCGACACAAAATACCACGAATGCGCCAGAACGCTCTGCTTAGCCTCTCCCGCATTGCCATCGCGCGACCCCACGCCCTCAACCAGCGTAATGTCCGCCCCGGTCACCGTCTTTTGATTGGCGCTGGTGATCCAGTACTCGGGGCTAAAGTGCGTGAAGCCCAGGATAGACGGCGGGAGACGCGGCACGATATCGTTCGTGTGCGTGATGCGGTAGTTCGTGCCTTGGCCGGTGATATACGTAGCCAGGGCCTTGTTGCCGAGACGGGGCGAGCCGTACGAGTACTATATCTATTAGCATCCATCTTCACTCCACTCCGCCGAAGAGGTAGGATAGGATAGAGAATCAGGGGCTTACCAAATCAATCTCAAACCCATCATTGCGCAACGCGGTGGCCGCGAACGACGCCAACGCAGCCCCAAAGCTATGTCCCGTGAATACGAGCTTATAGCCCGAGTACTTGTCGACGGCGGACTTGACGCTAGCGGTGATGTCGTCGGCAACGGCTTGCCAGGCCTTGTAGAAGCCGCCGTGGGCCTGGCAGCCCGCGCAGAGATCTTCGACCTTGTCGAGGCCGAAGTCCAGGTTTGCGATCCAGTTGTCGATGGTGCGAGAGCCCCGGAAGGACAGGATCAGGAGCTTGTTGGTCGAGTCGACGGCGAAGAAGCCGGCGACATCACCGTATTCATCGTTGCTGGGGGTTGTTAGTATGTCTTTGTCTTGTGTGTGGGCTGGGATGGTGGATGATACGTACGCGAAAAACTCGCTCAGGGTCTCCGTCTCGGCTTTCTCGACGGATGGGCAGTTGCCCGCCTCGCAGGTTAGCTTGTCGCCTGGGGAGTCGATGTTGGTTGTGCAGTACGCAGCGGCCGAGTACTCTGCGAACAGATTTAACTGTTTCAGGACGTCGGCGGAGACATCTAGCATTCAGTTGTTAGTTTTGGCAGCGAGTTAGGGCTAATTATGCATGTGCATGTGCGTATGTGTGACCACGACATGATGTATACAGATGAGCATAGTCATAGCCACAACACCATAGAAGATACCACAATAGACAATGAAAAAGCAAACATACCTCTCGAAGTCAACTGCGCCGGAGCAGCAGCACCCAGTCCTACCAAGGCCGAGATCGCCAGGACCCGACCCAGCGAAAAGATCATCTTGTCTTATACTGATCCAAACCCAAAAATAACAATAGCAATGAACGACGTCAAGCCGGAAACAAAAGAACCAGCACACGAGGGTATAATATAATATAAGACAAGACAAGACAAGACAACCAAACCCCCTAATCGAGGACCTCAGACAGGCTGACAAGCTGACCGACCAACTGAATGCGTGCTCTACAGACCAACTCTGAAGACCTCCTGGCCCCCGTCCCCGTCCCCCTTTATATACACATACCACGCAGGCCATGCCTTCGAGCTCCCCCTATCAAATGACCAGGCATCCATTCCTGCTCAGCCCTTGAACTACTGCGTAGGTGCGGACATCCACTTTTGCTACTTTACTTGGCCCGGATACGAGCGGGGTAGGAAGACTAGGGAGGCATGGGTGGATGAGAAGGAATGGAATTATTTATTATTTAATAATTTGATTAATTTTTATTTGATTTTCTTAGTTTATTTTACGAATCGAGGGCTTTTGAGGGGGAAATGACAAGAAAAAGAAAAGAAAAAGAAAAAACCTCGTACTGGCGGACTCCGGTATGGCCAAGTCTCATCCCAAACCCGGTCAAAAATTGCTCACAGCCCACGCACACCGTCCAGTCCAGTCCAGTCCACAATTCTGCGCCTCTGCTTGGCCCGGTCCTCCACGCAAGAAAGGGACCGGAGCTCCGATGTGACATTCTCCCGTTTGTTTGGCGGGTGCAAGGGATACGAGCGAATGGGGGCGCAGGAATGGAGGAGACGAAGGGGTGGGTGCTGGGTGCCTGGACAGACGGTGAAGACTGGAGGATCGGAATCGGAGAGTCAAAAAAGAAAAGAAACGAAAAAGAAAAAAAGAAAAAGCGCAAATCAAACGTCGTCGGGGCCAGAGAACCAAAGCCTTGACCCAGCCAAGGATGATCCCGGTGCTTGTGAGTGGTGGTTCTCTTCACGATGATCTCGCGCTGCCAAGGGGATTAGCAGTTCTTAGTTTGCGGGCTGCAACGAGCTGGTTGGATGGTCGGCGTGCCTGTCGGAAGGATTTCCCTTGTTTTCATGGCGCATGCTGGACTCGAGGTTTATGGTCCTTCTCCTTGATCAGCTGTGCTGACAGGACTAGCTGGAGCTGGTGGTGACACCGAGTGGCTGTCCGTGCTCGATAACTTGAGCATTGATTGATATATACTCCGTCAGGCCTGAGGATATGCAGACTAGGCACTTGCAGCCGTTAACAATCAACTAAATTAAATTAATCAATCAATCCCCCGACGTTTCTCCCTTCCCCGGAGTGCAAGTGGAGATCTCCGTCCGGCGTGCAGGCTTAGTCGACCGTCTAGTGCCGCCGTCCTTGGTTGAGCAACGTTTATTATATTAATTTGGGGGTTCTGAGGAGTATTATTCCGTGCGGAGCAGACGGCGTAGTCTCTCTTCCATGGGATAGATAGCCATTGCCGAGGAGTGCTGGTGTTCGTTGCCTGTTGTTCTCCTCTTAGGGCTAACTGCACTGACATGTGCTTGTCTGTCTGTCTCGGATCCTTCGGATGGTCGATGCTCGTACTTGATCTGATCGACTGCTTTTCTTCCCTTCTTGAGGTGTGATCTCTGTCGGTCCGTTACTGGATTCTGTCTTGTGCGTTCGCATCGTCAATAGTAATAGCGTGGGATCCCCACCCCGACATTCCTTCCGCCGTTAGATCGATGCTGCCTGATTCCGTGCTCCGATACGACTACGACTACGAACCCGCGCGGTGATATGATCTTTCTGCTGTCATCCCCGAATGCTGGGGTCTATACTTTGAGGTTATTTTCCCGCGCTTGCCGGTTGAGCGGATTTTGGTCTTCTGCAATGTTTCGGACCTCGCCCGAGGGAGCCGTGGGCGTACCTGGCCTAAAGTCTGACGGGCGGGTGAGTGGCAGATGGCCAGCCTTGCAGGGGGAGCTGAGGAAGGCTGAGTCCTGGTCGTGTCTATTATTATGATCTCGTAAGACCTAGCAGGTATCCAGGCACGGCGCTGTTTCAAATCCCACGGAATGGAACTAAATTGGGTGATTATCTCGCGCAGTTATAAAAACAACAACACTTGTTCTCGCTCCTTGAAACGCCAGCCTTGTATGGAATAATCTCATCATGTCTTTTAAGAAAACCAAGCCAAACCCACCGGGGTTGAGTTGCGACTTGCAATAGGGGAAGCGGTCCACACCTGCCGACCATTGAAAATGCAACTCTTCCCCTGCGCCCCCTTATTCCCTGCAGGAACCCGATCTGCCTAACTGGCTCGCTTTCTCCCCCTCGTGACTAATCACGACCGTGTAGAAAACGAGGGCTTTACCTCACTGCACGTTCGCCCCGTTGTTCTCGGTCCCCTCCGCGCTGTAATCGGCCATTCCCTCGTCGGCGTCGCCTTCGGCAAGGACCTTGGTGGTAGGCTTCTCGGAAGAGAACGGCGTGCCTGGAGTAGCCGCGACTACGTTGTCGTTCTCGTCGACAAACTCGAAGTTGTATCGGGACAGGAGGTGCGGGATGGCCGAGAGCTGGGGCCCGTATCGGGCGGTGTTGTCGTACAGTTCGAAGAGCGGGACGGCGAGGAGTTTCATGTTCTTGGGGACGGAGAGGACCTCTATATTATCGTAATCAGAGCCACATTCACCATGCCATGCACCATCGCAATGGCCCGAACTTCACAGAGACAACGAAAGGGAACGACATACTCTTCTTCGGCAGCTGGATGAAGTACAACTTCTTGCACTCCTTCGGCCGGGTAACATGCCCCGGCAGGAACGGGTACATGAAGGTCTCGAAATTCGGCCGCCACCATTGCGCCAGGGTGTCGCCGATCTCCCAGTCCTCGTTGACGCCCTCGCCCGAGAATTGCGATCCGACGGGCGCCAGGCGCTCGTTCAGTCGCTTCTTGAATCCGTCTACTTCCTCGTCGTCGAATTGCAGGTAGTCGCCGGGCCTGTAGGTGTTGGATGTTAGCTTATGCGTCGGATGCATTAGACCGTGGTGACGAGGTCATGGTGACGTACAGTTTAAAGAACGCATTGGCGATCTGCAGCATCAGCACATGCGGGTGGTTGTGTTCGTGGCAGACGAGCACACCCTCGCAGGTGCGTCTCATGCCATACTGCTCGTAGTGTTCTTCGAGTCGCTTTAGACGGGCGAGCACGGACGGGTCCTCCTCGGGTTGCGTTTCCTTGGTCCCGAATGTGTAGTTGGAGAGGGGGTAGAGACGGATGGTCTGCGGTTGCTGGGCGGAGAAGTCGCGGGGACGGATGGGCCTGGTGGAAGGAAATAGATCAGTCATCGGGGCATAATTCTAGTAGATGAAAGCCAAAAGCAGGGAGTTCGAACCCATGTCCGGGGTCAGGGCGGACGTACGGGCGAGAGCTCTGCATGGTCGTCGTTGTCGTGGTGGACATCTTCAACGCCGAGAGGGACTCGTCTGTATTGGGATCAGGACAAGAGAGTTGTCAGGCAAGTTGGGTGAAGGAATTGAGGAAATCCAGAAGCTCTGTGGTTCTGGTCGCAACTCCGATGCGGCGAGTGGGCGGAGCTTCGTTAACTGTTGTTGCTATCGCGCTGACCGGCCGCAGGAACTTTCCTCCGCTCCGATGTTTGCTGACTAATGTGATATCACGTCGTCAGTTTACGGGCCTTAAAACGAAGGCAGAGAATATAGGCGGGTCAAAATCGATAAACTGCAATTCAATGTGCTGATTAACGGTATAGTAATGGTAATTGGCAAGACACGCCGCAGCCAGATACTTGTGAAAGACACTGTTCAAGATTGTTGAATGATCTCTACTGCTACACGCCATCCCCAATGCTGGATCCCAACAATTCTCCTGATGATAAAGATATGCTAACCCAATAATCTCAACCGTTCATCCAATCCAAACCGGTACATAAAAACATAATCTATTGGTCGCTCAAAGTTTCGCATCGAAGTCCTCGAATTCAGTCAGATCGGTGAATGGGCTGGGTCCAGCACTGACGGCCAGACGTGCCTTGTATTCGGGGACGTTGGTAATGTAGGTCACGCCATTGGTAGCCGATGACTTCGCATCTCCGTTAGTCGTCGGCTCAAGACCAAGCTGCTTCAGGTGCACGCCCAGGTTCTGTTCGGCCTGTTTGAGAACGGGCTCAATCTGCTGCTCGGACAGGCTCATTTCGGAGCCCAGGAAGTTCTTGAGAGTGTCAAGGATCTGGCCCTCAGCACCCGGCGCCACGTCGAGGTTGGCGAAGGCAGTAGTCAGGCGGTCCGTGTCAACTGCAAATCCAGCAGCCTCAAGCTGCTTACCGAGAGCGGACACCAATCGGGACTTCGGCTCTTCGGACTCGGCACCATTCACGTAGGGGCCGCTTTGGGCCTTGAGGTGAATGGAAACCTTGGCTCGAGTGGGGGATTCGGGGTTGACGTATTGGTGGAAGAACTCCACAAGTTCACCCTTGGACAGCGCTCGCACGCCAGCAGCGTCGGACTCGTTCTGCACAAAGTCGAAATACTCGGAGCCGATATGAGTCCAGAACCGGTTGGTCTCGGAGCTCAGGTTCTTCAACTTCTCCAGTCGCTTGTTAATGACGCTTCGCTTGTGGCCTTCGAAGTCGTCGTCCGACATCTGTTCCAGCTCACGCCCGAAGTTTCCGAGGAAGGCATCAATACGAGACTCCAGGTACTGCGCGGTGCGCTCGCTCTGGATGATAACCCGATAGCCGGCAGTGGTGGCGGAATAACGCGCACCGCTCCAGACGACGTACCCAAGTTGCTCCTTGCTTCGCAGCTGGTCGAAAGCCGGCTCGTCGGTCATCTGAGCAAACAGCAAGAGCTTGGCGCGAAGGACCTTGTCGGTGACGTCGCCCATGAACAGATAGTATTCGATGCAGTGGTTCACGTTGGCGGGATCCTTCAGCGTGCGCTCATACACGTAGTTGGATCCCGGAGGAATGATCATGTTGCGCCTCACGTGCCACTGGGACTGAGGCAGGGTGCGACTCTGGAGGATGCTCTCGACGGAGTCGGTCATGCGCAAGGCGTCTTCCTTATACAAGTTACCGTGGGCGAGGATCTCGATGTGGTTTTGGCTGAGCAGTTGAGGGAAGAAGCACGCAATATCCTGGGCTTCGATGTGCTCCAACTCAGCAGCATACTGCTCATTGATCCAGGTCTTCTCGGCAGTCAAATACCGGGTGTAGTCGCCGACCTGGTAGAAGGGCTGCTGGTACTCGGCATTCTTATAGGCGCGAGTCAGGCGCTCCTTAATGACATTGAACCGATCGGGGTTGATCTCCAGGTCCCGCATGCTGGTAAGCACCTTTTCTAATAGCACGGACATCTTATCGTTGTAACCGCCAACCGAAACGTCCAGGCCGAATATGCTAGCGGAAAGATGGTAGTCCAGACCGGCAAGCTCGGCATCATAGGAATACTCCACAAGCGCATCTCTGACAAGCTCGCAGTAGAACTTGGCTTTCACCAGGTTCGCCGGCGTCGTCCACACCAAAGGATTCCTAAGAGTGATGTGAACCGTGGCCTTGGGAACCCAGAATTGGTCGTCCTTCTTGAACCACAGGCGGACGTGGTCGTCGTGACGAATGAGCTTGGGTGTCTTGGCGCACTCGGACACCTCTTTCTTCTCCACCGAAAGTCTGGTAGGAACGAACTCGTTCTTGTGAGGCATGTGCAGCTCAGACAGTCGCTTCTCCGGGGTGGTCGCCAGTGCCTCGTTGATGCCGGACATGAAGTCCTGGGGCACATCTTCAACCTTGTACTCCGTTCCGTACCATTTCTCCTTGCAGTCCCAGTTCCCAGGGATGTCCTGCGAGACAATAATCATGCGGAAGTTATCGGCACGGAAGTACGAAAGAGCCTTCTTGATCAACTCGGGGTCAAACTTCCGGAAAAGGGAACCACTGAGAAGCCACTCCCTCGGAAGCTGCTTCTGCATGACGCTGCTGAGACGACTCGTGAACCGACTAGCGGGGGACTTCTGTTTGAATCGGAATTCGACTTCGGCCAGGTTCTTCGACTCATCGAAGATCCACTGTTCCGGTTCACGCTCCTTCAGCATGGCGATGTATTCAAACACCACCCTCGCAACTTCCCGGTACTGCTTCAGGCCCTCTTGCGTCAGACGAATGGACACAGTGAAAAAGGCAGAGCCAGGGCAAACAGGCATGACTCCAGCGGAGAGACCGTTAGCCCAGCCTTTGGCCTTCACATACGCCAAGATACTGCCCGGGCCTTCGTGGCCGATCAAGTGGCTGATATACCGGCTCGGCTGTGACTCATACAAGAACTCTTCGTCCAGGAAGGGGAAGTAAATGTCGAGGGAGCGGCTATCCATGACAGGCTTGGCGAAGATCTGCTTGCACATGTCGGTGGGCAACCACGGCTGTACGTCATCCCAGCGATTTTGCGACAGATCCTTGTTCTTGACTCCGGCAAACAATTCCCCGACCCACTGTTCCATCTCGTCCAGAGACTCTCGTCCGAGCACCACCAGCTTCATCCGGTTTGCCGAATAGTGCTTCTCGTAGAACTTGATGAACTCACTGCGAACATCCACGCCGCGTTTCTGCGGCTCCTCTTTCAGCGTCTGCAGGTTACCCGTGGAGAAATGGTGATACGGGTGTGCGGGATTCGACAGGGACTTGTTGAGCTGCATAAGGCGCCACAAGTCACTCTGCAGGTTCTTCTTGTTTTCGGAATCCACTGCCCGGAGTTCACGGTCCAGGGTAGATTCCAGGAACAGGGGGGAGACGAAGAACTGGGCGAATCGATCCAAGGCACCGTACAGGGGCGACGGGCCCGCGTTGCTGGCATCCGGGGTGGTCGTTCCGTTGGCCCCGCCGTTGGGGGTAGATTTGCCACTGGAGGAGGCATCGCTTGATGTCGAAGTCGCAGAGACCTCGAAGAAGTAGTTGGTCTCGGTGGCAGCTGTGTAAGCGTTGGAAGAACCCGAGTGGGCCGCTAGGTATTGGTTGTATGCATTTTCTTTGGGGTACTATGAGGTTGTCGCAAACCGATTAGACGTCACTCGTGAACGCTCGGGGCAAAGTGACCAAAACCAACCTTTTCCGTTCCCATAAAAAGCATGTGCTCCAAAGCATGGCCAATACCGGGCAAATCATCCGGGTCGGAGAAGTTGCCGACGTTTACGTTGAGCGCCGCGCTGGCTTTGTCTGTCTCCGGGTCATGGACGAGGAGGGCCTCCAACTTGTTGGGCAGGCGAACCACGCGGTAGGATCGGTCATCGATTTCCGGCTTCTCCAAGTTCTCGGTGATGCGATCGATCGAGCCCATGGTGGCGGGACAAGTGGAAAATGAGGCACGGAGGGACAGGGAGCGAGACGGATGAAACGACGGGGTCCAGCAGGGACGAGGGGCGAGGACCCGTGGCGAAATAGATTGGGAAGGAGGGGTGATCGCCGCAAGGGTGCCTGAAAGCGTAAAGGAGCGATAAGGTGCAGGCGAAAGCAGGGCTCTGGCGTTCCACGGGCGGAGAGTTGCAGAGGACCTTGGAGGCATACAGCACTTATGAGGAGCAGAGGAAAAAAGAGGCCACTACCGAGGCAGGCGGGTTAGGGCTGTGCGGGAGGAAGGCGGATCAAGCAGGGTGGCGGAGGAGAAGAGATGGTAGAGAAAGGAAGCACCCGATCCAAAGATGCAGCAGTCTAAACAAGGAAACAATTGGAAAGGAAGGGATAGAAATCTATGAGCAGAAGAGGAAGAGGAAGAGGAAGCAAGCAGGGGCCAAAGCAATAATCACGACATTCGCCGGGAATTTGAGGCGGTGAAGGGCAGGCGGTGAACAAGCCCTACTTTTGACCGTCAACCTGCACTTCGAGTACCACTATTCGGTTACAGAATGGGCGGTGTTGCTGGTAGTCATCAGGACACGTGTATCTCTCATGAGGTGGATCCTCTGGTTGGCATCATGAACAGCTAGTTAGCCCTAGACCAAACGGTGTGCAATGCTGAGTATTCCATCACAGACCAGTGACTACTGGTCCTGTCATTGAGTGGGAACTATGGAACGCCACCAAGGTTTCTTAAGCAGGAATAAGCGACGCAGTGGTCGGTAGGCCATTTCAATATTAGGCTGCCAGCTTATACGACATCTCCACGTCATACTATCAATCGATTAGCATCTATACCGACCTCTTGTCCAGTGGGCATGTTGTTCCGCCTCAATCACCCTTAATGCGGGGATGTGGGGTTGGGATCTAAGGGACTAAGACAAGATCCTCGCGTAGGATTCCATGAACCACATTGATATCCCCGGTCTCGGATTGGTGTATGCCATATGAGGGCTTCATTGGGGCTCGTAGTGTTAGCCAATAAGCGAGCTGAAAATATTTTAGCACTTTTCAACCCAGGTGAACGTGGCATGATCAAACCCTGCTAATTACCTAGAAGCTAGATTAGACCCCTGCCAGAATGTGTGAACATCCCTACTCCCTGCAATACCAAATTTGGACCTCCATTTGCCAAGATTGTAGATTGACAACTACTGCGTAGATATCCAATATGCAATACTCATATCCAGACCATGCCTCACTGCATATTCCCTCTCTGAGAGATAGACTATTCGCGCAGTTTCAGCTCGTTTATTCCCGATTCTTCCTCCTCCAAAAAGAAAATAACTATTGTAACATCTTTCCATACTTGCATATCTACTCTGAGTGCACCGCTCTAAAGAATTACTGCGTGATGATAGTACCGCGGTAATCCATCGGTTCTTCCTCGGCTAATATGGTCTAGTCTCATCTATGGCCCACAGTGGACCACGCCCAGATCGCCGCAGGCAAGAGGCCAACCACTCTACAAAACTACAAGACTCAAGAGCTTTTTCTTGTTCTATTGGAGAATTGAGATCTTCACACGAGCGGCATGGAAGAGGTACAATGATAAAGAAGAGGAATCATAATTACAATGTCGATTGCAAATTGAAACTCCCGCCCACTACGCAGACTCCCTTTTGTCATCAACTAATAGGGTGCTCATATAGATGTTGTACCCAAGAAACTTAGAGAGATCACAGAGAGGGAGTTTCACCCAGCTCAAAGTTTGCCGGCATACTAAGTATAAATTAGCCTCATTGAAACACTTGACACAATTAGAAGACTTACCCCTGAGGATACCGACTGCCCTGCAACATGCTCTTCTGAACAGCATCGTTAATCCGCACCTGCTCCTCATCCGTGACCTCCACGTGAGCAGTGCCCACATTTTCGTCAAGATATTTGATGCTTCTTGTCCCTGGAATCGGAATAATATCGTCGCCGCGAGCCATCAACCACGCCATGGCTAGTTGCACCGGTGTGCATCCCTTGCGCGTTGCAATGGACTTGAAGATTTCCATCAGCTCCAGAATCCGCGGGAAGTTCTCCTTTGAGTAGCGCGGTAGAACTGCCAGAAGAGGATCATGAGCGAGATCCTCATGGGACTTGTAGCGTCCTGTCAGAAGTCCACGGCCGATGGGACTGTATGCAACAACCGCGACCCCGAGTTCTCGGCATGTTCGGAGCAGGTCAATTTTGGGGTCTTCGATGTCCACGGCGAACGCACTGTATTCGACCTGCAGAGCGGAGATGGGGTGCACGGCGTGCGCTCGCCGCAGGGTTTGGGCAGTCACTTCACTGAGGCCCAGGTAACGAATCTTGCCCTCGCTGAGAAACCGTTTAGCTTTTGTTCGTTAATTAGAGAGTGGATCATCAACTTACTTCTTCAGTTCCACCATCGCTTCGATGGTTTTCTCAATCGGTGTCTTCCCATCCACCCGATGACAATAATACAAATTAATTGTCTCAACACCCAGCTTATCCAGACTTCTTTGACAAGCTATCTTGACATACTCGGGGCTAGAGTCCAAAGTCAGAGAGCCGTCTGGGCCCATTCCAATAGCAAACTTCGTCGCTAAGAAGATGTCTTTCGCTTTGGCCGGATTCTTGCGGATCCATTTGCCGACCACTTCTTCGCTGTCGAAATACAGGTCGGCTGTGTCCCAGAAGTGCTCACCAATCTCATGGGCATGGTCGAGCAAGGCGAAACGCTCTTCATCTGTGCCTTTGGGTCCGTAGATGCCACCGATGCTCATCAGTCCGAAACCGACGCTGGTGACTGGAGGTCCATTTTTGCCGAGGGTTCTGGTTGGAAGAGACATCTTTTCTTGGGGCAAAGAATTATTTTTGGGGGGGGTTCAATGGTTTGGATTGAATACTATGAATTGCTAATAGGAACGGAAATGGGCTCTTTATAGACATTCTGCTCGGAGAAAACGGGGATATCGACGGACATAGGACATCCAGGCATCCTGAATGACGAATCTGAGTCAAGGAGAATCGATGCTCATCATGACACTCCGATCAATAAAAAGCACCGCCAGTCCTGAGAAATCCGTTGATACCTCAGGCACAAATGCCCAGCCGCCTAATGGGGGAAAGCGTGCTCCAGTCCGGGGGGCCAATCAGCGGGCGTAAATTCCGACGCAGCCAATCCTTCGCTTTGGGGCGACAATTCTTCTTTGATCTTCCTTTCATCTAAATCGCGCAGCTGTTCTGGACAGTTCGATGGACTCGTATCTACAGACCCTTATATCCGGACTCGACATCATCATGTTGCTTCTTCCTTCACGTTGATCGCAGTGACATGACGACTGACAATGGGCGGGACAACTACCACTAAAGCAAGCCAAGCTTCCGGCTATCGGAGGCCAACGAGATACGCTAAGTCCGGCTGTCGTACATGCAAGTCAGTTCAATAGACTTCTCAGAAACCGTCCCCTGCTTACGATGGCACAGAATCCGGCACATTAAATGTGACGAAGAAAAACCTGCTTGTCGGAAATGCACGAATTCTGGCAGAGTCTGCGACGGCTATGGAGTCTTGTATAGCGGGTCCAAAGGAACCCCAGGCGATTCCGGGCCCTTCAGTCTGGAGCGGACCGGCCGACCTCGATATCTTCTCATCAGTCGCAATCCAGGGCCGTTTCCAGGTGTTGCGCCAGAAGAACGGTCGTCGCTGGATTACTTCCGATATGCGCCAGCCCTGAAACTGACTGGATTATTCAAATCGGAGTTCTGGGATTCCCTGGTCCTGCAAACCTGCTTCGCCGAGTCGAGCGTTCTGCATGCTATAGTTGCTCTCGCAGCTGCGCATCGATCTCGTTTCTCCCCTTGGGGAAATGAAAAGGCGGCCAGTGCCAAGTCTTATGATTCGTTTGCGCTGATACAGTATAATAAGGCGATCAAAAGCCTAACTACACATGTGACTGCTGCAGATATTGAGTCAGTTCGAATTGCCATCATATCCAGTATAGTGTTTGTCTGCCTGGACATGTTGCGGGGAGAATACAATTCCATGAATATGCATTTTCAACACGGCATTCGTCTTCTCAATCTCCTGCAATCTAGTGGGAAAGGGTTAAGACAGGCTCGGCACATATTCGTTCAGCAGAACCCTCAGTCAACAGATGAACATCTGATTCATGCATTTGCTCGTTTACACCTACAATTTATGATGCTAGGCTCGGGTCTATTCGATGATGATGCACTGTTCACGCCTGCTTTCGTCTACGGTCACCAGCAAATTTCCGTTCCACGGATCTTCTCAATCGTTCAAGAAGCACGCCGGTCCCTCGACCAGATTCTCAGTAGCGTCATTCAACTCGCCTTGAAGTTTGCAGCAGATCATATTAGCAGCGCAGCCTACCTTCCGCCCCTCTCTCCGACTTTACTCAAGCAACAAGAAGCCCTCAAACTCACACTCCAGGACTGGATTGAGGCATTTGACAGTCCTCTATCACTAGGAACAGCTCAGACAAGCCGCTACGGCGAGCTTGCTCTTCGAGTGCTCCGAATACACTGGACCATGGCCACAATACTATTGTCAACGTGTTTCGCTACCAAGGAAACGGCGTTTGATTCCCACACTTCGGCCTTCGAGTCCATCATCAACCAAATCGAAGCTTTAGGTGCCGTTGTTGCCAATACTCCTCAGCATATTGGACCAACGAAGGCGAACAATAACTTTTGCCAGATAGGTGCTAGTTTTAGCATTGATCTCGGCTGTTATGCTCCACTCTACTTTACGGCGCTGAAGTGCCGCGTTCCGCACATTCGCCGTCATGCCATCTCCATCCTTCAGCAGTGCAAACACACAGAAGGTGTGTGGACAGGTCCGGTGCTGGCACGTCTTGCTACATGTGTGGTTGACACTGAGGAACGTGATTTCTCGACCGCCCTATATTCCGATAGTCAAGGTTTCGATGGTGACGAACACAAAGTCAAAGAGAATAAGCCGTCATTTACTCTTCCTGAATATTCACGGTTCTATTGTGTACGATGTGTGCTGCCAAAAGAGTCTCGTGCTTGGACGTTTCCCCACGGATCAGATGAAATCAATGCAGGCGATGCCAAACCCAAGAAACGGACAGTGGGCACATTGATCTGCCATCGATTTTGTCATGAGTTGGGCAAAGACGGAGGCTGGGTAAGCAAGTCGTATGATATCGACTTCAATCCATAACAGTCCACTGTCACCACGGTTGTTTGATGCATTCCCTGGCGTTTGGGATGACTCTCGGAACGATGGGTCCAGAAATTCTACCCAAGAGAAACATGGAAGGCGATACTCAATACTCAATAATATGAGCATTGAGCCATTCTATGAACTGACGTCCAAAGAGCTGTACTGATGACGGTATGCATAAAACAAAGCCACGATTCATTCATAACTAAATACCAAATTCGCGAAAATCATCACTAACATATCTCGTGCGATCCAATAGACTGTTTTCCGAAATAAGAACAGAAAAACTTCAATCACATAAAGTTATCTCAACCTCATTTCTCCCTAAATCATTCTCCCTCCAGTCCATCATCCCCACCCCCCTCTCTTTCTCTCTCTTTTTCCAATCAAACCTCCGTCTCAACACAACCCCCACTAACAACTCGCCGCACAAACGGTCAACGTCTCATCCGAATCCGCCGAGCAAATCTTAACCTGGCTCCCACCAGGGGGCGTACCCTGCGGCCAGCAAATCTTCGAGCAGCCGGTATCCTTCGGCTTGACGACCAACGCGCTGCCAGCGAAGGGGTCCCCGAAGACATCGCTCAGATCATACCACAGCTGGTTTCCGTCCAGGGTGTACGCGAAATTCAACTGCGGGCTGCCGTTGAAGATGCCGTCGTTCACCTTGGTGATTTTCAGCGACACGCCGCCGGACGCCGGGTCGCGACGGAATGTCTCGCTGTAGGTGCCTCCGGGCTGGATGGTCTTCTTGGGACCGACGGATCCGCCAACGGACCAGAGGTAGATGGGGTGTTTGCAGTTGTTCTTGACGATGGCGGAGCCGACGGCCGAGACGAGAGGCGTGAAGAGGAGGGTGAGGGTTAGGAGGAGGGTTTGGATCTGCATGTTGCTTTTGCTTGTGGCTTGGTTGATGGGTTTGAGCTGGCTTCAAATAATTGATAGGATGTGATTGATGGATGAGATGAATGAAGATGGGAAAGCTCTCATCAGCGCGGGAATCATCCCCCTTTATATACCTTTCGTCAGCCCTCGTCCTTCTTACCCAGTCTACTCACACATCGCTCCCTCTCTCTTTCTTTCTCTCGCCAACTCCGTCCACCACTCTCCCTCAACCCAAACCCCAACCCCAGCCGAATCTATTTTCAGCTCCACCGGCCCAGCCCAACGCGGTCTCACTGGACCCATTTCGTAAAAAAATGGCCTGATCCTAGGTCGAGGGGGTGTCGTGATGACCGAGCGAGCTGGCTCGACGCATCCGTGACCATGGCACGGCTTAGACATACATACATGCATACCCACATCTATACGAGTCGGATGGAAAAGCGAGGCGAAGCAAGGGGATTTGAGGAGGAAACGTTGCAGTGCATACTAGATGCATACATACATGCGCACACAGACAATGTCTCAGGGGCAGCTTACACAGGGCAACGGACTCACTGAGACAGTGACATGCATAGCCTACCTATCATACATATTATATCATATCATATGTGCCTTTGGGAACCGGACCAATCGGGATCGCGCGCCTCTCTTACCTACACCGACCAGACAAGTAATGGAAGTAGTTCGGTATGTATGTATGTGCTCATCACATCACGTTCCCCTCCTCCACCTGGTTGGTGATGTCTCACCATTGTCCCGGATCCTCTACCTCAGGTATCAGAACTCAGTGCTAGCCATAAGCAAGGCAGAACAGTGTCATATGTCATAAGTCAGAAGGCCTCGTATTTCCAAAGGTACTGCCTAGAACCAATATACATCCGTGGATGTGATCCCGCACGACTCGCTGCAAACGGACATGTAAAAAGCACCTGGACCGAGACTACCTTAGCTATTGATAGTATATGAGGTCATTGATAATGGATGCCTTTGCGGAGAATTTACCACCCAGTGTTGGGGAGATCGGACTTCCCCGCAGTTCGGACTTTCAGACTCTAGCGGATGCAACGCCACCCGATGCGTGATGGCCAATAGCATTTTTGTTCTTCTTCTTTCACCTGTAGGTAGTATGGGGTCTGCCTGATAATTTATGAGTCAATTGTATGGTATCTATTCCATTCCAAACAAACTCTCAAAAGCAAGAAAAATCAAATAGGTTAACAGTGTAAGAAAGGCGGCTCGAAAGTATCGTATCTTTATGAGAAACATGCACTATCATCCAACTAAGCCAAATATTCGAAAGAAAACAAACAAATAAATAAATTCATTTATTTTAAAGAAAAGAAAAGGAAAGGGAAAAAAAATCATCTCGCTGCACCTGCATTGCCCGTTGTTGGCGCCGCCGGCCGCTGCTCCTCATCTGTCTCGTCGCTGTCCCGAACATCGACTCGTTCCTCGATCCACTTGTACACTTCATCCTTATGATGCAGCAGCATCTCCGTGAGGCCGGCTTTGGGCGACTCGAGAAGGTGGCCGTATCGTTTTGACGGCTTACGCCGAGGCTCCGTCTTCCAGACTCCATGCGTGTGTGAAACAAATACGAGCGAGTTCTGGCCGTGCAGGAGTTAGCATTGTGTTTTCGTGTTTTCCTCCTTTTTGTTTGCTGGTCGCAAACGGATGCAGGTGCTGTAGGGCCGAGCGTGGCGTGGTGGAACTTACATCTTTGTACCATCTCGACAGCCATGTTTGGGTGCCGGAGGCGATCGCTCGGACGGGGTTTTCGGCAACAAAGGCCACAACGCCATTCACTCGTTTGTACAGGTTATCTGTGGGTTTGTGGTTAGGTTTTTCTGGAATCTCTCCCCTCTTTTGTTTTCTCTTCTTTCTCTTTTTCTTTTCTCTTTAAAGAGGGAGAAAGTCGGGCGTATCTTACCTCTATTGATGAGGAGATTGGCAACCCCAAAGAATGCGTCACCAACTCCCATGAAAATCACTTCAGTGGCCTCGTTGGGTCTAAATCAAATTAGTTCCTTCTTTCGCCCATTTCACGGGTCTGTCGTCGCTTACTCGATATAGTTATCCCACAGATATCCAGCCAATTCCTCTGTGGCGCTAGGCCGGTTGGTATCCTCATCCTGATATTTACCAGATGCCTTATCTAATTAGCAGATATTCCTAGGAAAGGCAAGGCCAGGACTCACTTGTTCAGTCGTCACATGTTTGGGTATGTTAACATCGATCACGGCGTATCCTTTACCGGTCGCCCATTCAACATAGTCCTTCGCAGCATCAGCCTTGTCCAAGTTAGCCCTTTGGTTAGGTCTTGAGGCTAGGCAGGCTAGCAACTTACAAGCCAGGTATTATGGGCCTCCAGTTTATTAGTAACGGGGTGAGGTAGGCCCATGATATCAGGTCTGGAGTTGGTTAGCGGTATGTCCTTGCTGAGGGTCTTAAGGGACTAAAGGGGAGCTAACGGGTCATGGAAGATCACTAGGAGTGGTACGCGCTGGTAGTAGTTTGGACTACAAATGGTCAGTGATCCAGTTGACAAAGTCCGGGTTTGTGCATTTACCTGGCCAGGACTTGGTTCTCGAACGATTTCGATATTCCGTTGCGGAAGATGTAGAGTGACGTGAGCTTGCAGTTGTCGTAGAGGTGTTTGGCCTGATAGTGTCGAATCACGTCTGCGACCTGTTGTCAGCGAATCCATTTCCATTGCTATTGTTTTACCTTACCGTGAAGTCTCTCGGTCCAAACCGTCTGGTTCTCTGCGCCCTTGGGGAACATGCATTTCCAGAATTGCGACTGAATCATCATGACTCGTCTCACGGCAGTCGTTGCAAGCTCTGAAGGGGATGTCGAATGAAGGCGATCGGGTGGATCCCCCATGAGGGTTTTCGTGACTGCAAGCGCCGACTTGGAAATTGATCGGAAGTTGTATCCACCCTAGTAGTGATTGTTAGCCGGGATTAAATCCTGCCCAACAGGCACGTGAAAATACCTCGAGGCAGACGGAAACCTTGCCGTTTGCAAGGGTCATAAGCATGTGCGTCATGTGAGCATAGCAAGATGGTGTAACAAAGCACCCTCCGAGTTCGTCTCCAACAGCAGCGTCAAATCCAGAGGCGACTAATCCGGAATGTTAGCTTCACACTTTTTAGCTTTTCATGGTAGAGTCAACATACTTATTACTAGATCAGGGTTGAACTCCTGTGCAATCGGCATCACCACTTGCTGGAACGCGTAAATGTAATCTCCATCACCCATACCTTGGCTTGGCCACGGTATATTGACATTCCTGTATGGCATCAGAAAAGCTCAATGGTTTGATCAACTGAACGTACCGTCCAAGGCCAGCGCCGTTTCCGCAATGATCCCAGTCACCCTCATCGCCCCCTGGGTAGAATTTACCATCTTGGTACACGTGAAGTGAGATGTACAAAACGTTGGGGTCATCGTAGAAGGCTTTTTGGATGCCATTTCCTATAAATTATTAGCAAGATAGCCGCTTTCAAAATGTGAGCTGATATACCATGATGAACGTCCCTGGGCTAGTCAGCAAAGTATTAGTAACACAGAATCAAATCACTTACCAATCCAGAATCAAGATCTTTCTGCAATCCTCGCCCAGCTCTCTCTGACACACGCGAGCCGCAACCGATACATTGTTAAACAAGCAAAATCCCATGGTTTTGTCGTGCTCAGCATGGTGGCCAGGAGGTCGAATCACGGCGATAGCGTTCTTTACTTGTCGTCGAGCAACAGCCAGACATGTTTCAATGGCCCCTCCAACCGACAGCAGCGACGACGCGAACGTCAACTTGTTGAAGTAGATGGAATCTCGCGTATGTTCTAGAGCGATGAGTTCATCATCCGACATATCTAGAAAGTGAATATTAGCCGTCACATGAGCTCGATGAAGGTAGGAACCCCATCCCCGCTTACCTTTGGTGCTCTCGACAAAAGCAAAATGATCTGGCGTATGGACAAGCGAGATCTCCTCCTCCGTCGCATTGCGGGCATTAATCCGACTCAGAGGCTTCGCTACCAGGGGCTTCGAGGACTCCGGGTCATCCACTAGTCCTGCTCGACATAGCTCCTTGAAGATGTAATAAATCCGTCTAGGATCTTCAGGATGCACGTCTGACGTTGGTCGAACTTCACAGTGATAACGCATTTGGACATCGTAGCAGAGCCCCGAAGCGAGTGAGGCAATGGGAAGGCCCGTGCGGACAGATACATCGTCGTCAGACCAGTCCGAGTTCTCCTCGACAAGACTGTCGTCCTGGTCCTCGATCTCAGCCGAGTCCAATGATTTGGGCAAGCTTTTGGGCGGTGATACTCCCTGGGGGTCCGTAGACTCGGGAGGTGGTAGGTTGGTTGATTGGACAGGCAATGGCACCCTCACGGATTGCTCGAGGAGCGGGGGTGCAAGCCACGGGTCCGACCGCCCATTGAGCTGTCCAGAGACAGCTTGAGAGGTGGAGGCAGGCTGGTGCGAGGCGACATGGGGTGCGGTATGGGAGCCCGCTTCTCCCATAACGGTATCTTCGTCTGCCTCGATAGCCATTGGAAACAACGTAAAAGTGAGGCTTAAGTGAGGGACAGTTTTCCTTGATCCAGAAAGTCTGACGGATCTAGGCCTTCATGGCCAGGCCCAGAAAGAATTAGAAAATATAAGTTGACCCAGCGGGATTGTGAACAGAATCTCTCTGGCCCTCCACGGACTAACTGATAAAGAGGAAAGCGGGAAACGGGAGAGGAATGAAAAAGGCCAACGCAACCAGGCAAAGGTCACAAAGAGACGTCGCCGATGTTTTGTGAAAACAAACACCCCAGACAACAGGAATTCACTACTGAAAAATGCCGAAGCCCAGAGGCTCGGGGACAAGGGCAGACCGGGCGTTCTAGTCTAGGAGTCGTGGTTCATGTAGCTCTAAAATGCGCGGTTGACCTAGCTTCCGGCACGTGACTTCCGCTGGCCAGGCACATCCAGTGGGCCCAGTCGAGTCCGACCGAGAAACTGGATGTGATCGCTGAGGTAAATGCGAGGCCAATGTGATTGATCAGTGAGCCCAATGAGGGGGGAGGCCGGGGTCATGCAATCGCCGAATGGATTCCCTCTGTTGCAAAAGTGTAGCTTTTCCTTCCCTCGAAATGCCTGCGACATTCCGAGTCTTCGCCGGGCTTGGCCGTGGCCTATCGGAACAGCGCATTCACTGACCGCACGGCTTAGTAAAAGGGCCGAGATCTGTCGCTTGGTGCAGGGATTCATGTTTGCTAACTGGCGACTACGAACAAGCAGAATTCTCGGACCAATATGCATCAAATATCAACGTTGTATCATTTCATTACATAGTACGTTATCATATGCATTTTATGCTTGGCCTCCGATCCTTCCCCGGCCCTGTCAACAGGGTAGCCTCATCCTATGGCAGCCGGGAGAACCGGCGACACAAGCATTGAATCAGTGAACAACCAGGCAGTTTAGCGGCTTAAAGGAGACTTTTTGTCCCCACGATCCGTCCTGATTCCTACTGGCCGTCGACCTTGGAGATGTAGCCTAGAGGGACGGTTAGTACACATCCTTAACGATGGTGTGTTCCAAATGGATTGACTTACTGATGAGGTCGACGACACGGCGGGAGTAACCCCACTCGTTGTCGTACCACGAGACAAGCTTGATGAAGTGCTCGTTAAGGGCGATACCGGCCTTGGCATCGAAGATGGAGGAGTGGCTGTCACCGTTCAGGTCGGAAGAGACGATGTCGTCCTCAGTGTATCCGAGGATGCCTGTGAGAGAAATGTTAACATGTAGCCCTCATGAGAAAATCGGAAGTTGGTGCGCACCCTTGAGCTGGCCCTCGGAGGCGGTCTTGATGGCCTCCTTGATCTGGTCGTAGGTGACGGCCTTCTCGGTGCGGCAGGTCAGGTCGACAACGGAGACGTTGGCGGTAGGCACACGCATGGCCATACCGGTGAGCTTGCCGTTGAGGGCGGGGATGACCTTGCCGACAGCCTTGGCAGCACCAGTGGAGCTGGGGATGATGTTCTGAGCGGCAGTACGGCCACCTCTCCAGTCCTTGCCGGAGGGAGCGTCGACAACCTTCTGGGTGGCGGTGTAGGAGTGGACGGTGGTCATGAGACCCTCAACGATACCGAACTGGTCGTTGATGACCTTGGCGAGGGGAGCCAAGCAGTTGGTGGTGCAAGAGGCGTTGGAGAGGACGTTGACGTCGGTCTTGTAGCTCTCGTGGTTGACACCCATGACGAACATGGGGGCGTCGGCGGAGGGAGCGGAGATGACAACCTTCTTGGCACCGCCCTTCAAGTGAGCGCCGGCCTTCTCGGTGGTGGTGAAGACACCGGTGGACTCGACGATGTAGGAAGCACCGGCCTTGCCCCAGGGGATGGCAGCGGGGTCCTTCTCGGCGAAGAACTGAACCTTCTTGCCGTTGACAACCAGGCCCTGGTCGTAGGTCTCGACGGTACCCTGGAACCGGCCGTGGGTGCTGTCGTACTTGAGCATGTAGGCCTATACAATCCACCATCATCCCCGGTCAGCTTGTGTCACCTGGGTTTCCCGATCCGGGATGGGACGGGACGGAACATACAGCATAGTGGACCTCGATGAAGGGGTCGTTGACGGCAACAACCTCGACGTCGTCGCGAGAGACGCTATCAGAGCATTGTCAGAACTCGTTCCGATGAATCGGGCCCAATCAGAGGGCAATCAATGGCAACTTACGCGTTACGGAAGACCTGAATGGCTGGTTAGCAGGGTTGAGCAACGTCAATGAGGGGTAGGTCAAGGCAACTCACAATACGACCGATACGACCGAAGCCGTTGATTCCAACCTGTCGTTGAAAGATGTTTAGTAATTCGAACGCCTTCTTCTTCCCAATCCCAAGCTTCCAGGGATCGAGGCAGGTTCGCATACCTTGGTGGCCATTGTGATGGTGGTGTCTAGTGGATGGCGGGGTAGGTGTTAGTTTGAAGCTGCAAAGGACAAAGCAAGTGGATGATGGGGTATCTAGTATGACAGAATCAGGGGAAGTCGAACGGGGGAAGCCTTACTTTAAGTATGGGAGAGAAATGTGGGAGACAGAGAGATGATGAAGAGAGTGGAAGAGGAGAGAAAAGTCAGCGGCGGGGGAGGGGAAAAGGGAGGAAGAAAAAGGGTAGCGGGCGTTGACTGACGCAACGACCGGGTCACCCAGCAGAAAGGCACACCGGGCGGACAGACGGGGCAAAAGCGAAAAGCTACAGCTTCTGGCACGGCCAGCTTGGGGGGGTCCCGACTTACGCCGCTCGCCAGCTCCCCAGCAGCCTTTTCCGGTTTCATACACCGGGCAAAGCAGGAGACTCACGATATCTGCGCCGCTGCGCTGCCCTCGGCAGCTGCCGTCTTGGCCAATGAGCGGCCGCGACCGCGACCATCTCGAGAATCTTTTGCCAGCTCGTCGGGATCCATGGGGTGATTCTACCTAGGCTATTACTCTACTCTTTCCGTCGACACGGCTATTCCTGGGGGATGTTTTCGTGCCTGACCCGGGATGAAACGCGGCCAGGCGAGCGAACCCCCTCCGACAAGTGATGATGTAATGGGAATCCCATCCCACCTTTTCTTGACGCTTCTTGACTCCATCACCAGGCAACCAGGCCGCCCGGCCTTTCCGCTTTCGGCCCGGGCGATCGGTCCGGAACAACGACCGTCCGGATGCCCCTCCCCGTGCTGACTCATCCCCTGGGCCTCTCCGGACTCCATAAATCTTCACCGGGAGCCAGACAAGCGATCACGCGCGAGTCGATATTTTCCTTGGGGGGCGGAGGTGCTGGATTGTTTTTCTTTGATTTGTTTACTGTTTGGGTCGGGCCATGATCCACCGCTTGCATATCAAATCTGTTCCCGGCATTGGGCGGGTGCATGCCAACCCGTGGCGCATGGGGCATCTATCCATAATTCAACATGTCGATCCAGACCCTCATGGCAATTTTGTCTATTTCGTGAGTATAGGGACCCTGGTCGATAGATTTCTACATTGTAACCTAGTCTATACTCGACCATCAAGGGTGTCCATGGCATGATCCTAAACCAAGTGTGATGGCCTGATTGAGGCCTGAGCAAAGTGGCACTCATTATCGGATCTGCCAAGCCGAAATCTACTCCGTCCGGTGTAGGTTTCAAAGAAAACTCTCGACTCATAATTAATGAATCATGCATCTCACTATTCTTACAAATCAATCCATCATCTCCGGTGAAAGATCGATTGGCTATCCCGGAGAAATTGGGTTTGACAGACCCATCCGCCAAATAATATTTATGGCTTGGTAACGTAGTCTAGCCTACTCGCGTGGATTTGCCGCCTCGCAACCCCAGCCATTTCCAATCCCCGGTCAAGGAACGCCATGGCCTGTCATGGAATCAGGCAAGACATCATCCATGGGATGTACGACGTCTCAAAAGTACCATTCCCATGTCATGCCATCTTCCAAGAATTCCAGACTCGCTCTACAAGGCATGAACCTGGTCATTTATCATAGCAAAATTAGACTATCGACTACTATAGCAATTATTGACATGGTCGAAATGGATACAAATCTAATCGGCCCCGTCAAAACCAAGGAGCCATGAAAGTGATGAAACCCAACAGGAAGTGGTCTCCACTCTCTCCATTTGACATCGTATCTAGGAAACATACAAGGAGGCGAGCAATGCCCTAAACCCCAAGGATCCAAGGACAGACGCTGTTCCCCCAACTTTTGCCCCCAAGAACTTTACTCCTCCTTGACACCACCCCGCCAGTTCTTCTCCGCGTTCTCAACGGAGGCCTTGTCGCTCTTGATCTGGCCCTGGTTCATGAAGCTGTTGGCAGCCTTGAAGGGGCGCTGGAGGTCACCGGTGGCGGGGCGGCCGAAGACGTGGATCTTGACCAGGTTGGATTCGATGGCGCTCTTGAGAGGGATGATCGACTGGATCAGGAGAGGGTTGGTGTACTTGAAGTACAGGTGCATCACACCCATCATACCGACACCCATCAGTTGGCCCTTAATCAGCTGGCGCAACTGTCCCTTGTCGTATTCCATGTTGGTGGTCGTGACCGGACGGGGCTCCTCGTTGCTGCCCATAGGAGCGGGCTCGACGTACTTGAGCGTAGTCAAGTCTGATATCCATTAGATTACTGAACGGAAGTTCCCATCTTGGAAAGATGAACCTACCCTTCTTGCTGTTTATCTTGGTCTGTGTGTATAGATAAAGCGACAGGATGAGGACGTTGGACAGGGTGTACATCCCACGGACAAGCATGAGGACGTCAGGATCCTCAAAGGGAACCTTCTTCGCCAGCTGCATCATCACGACGATGATGACCAGGTTGGTCCTGCACATTTGGATGGGATGTCAGTCATGATCAAAATTCATTGTCCAGCGCATTTTTGCCATCCTCAAAGAAACATCAAAATATATGAGCAGAAAGAATAACTCACACTTGAGGGGACACCATCTTGACGGCAGGACTGGATATTCCAGTGAGTCGAGGAATAAGCGCGCGGTGATGGAAATCTGGGGGAGTTGAAGGGAACGCGTGCGCACAGAATCTTTCCTCGAACTGCGGAACTGGAGCCCCGGGGAAGTCAAACATCTGTCCAGAAGGCGCCATATCACGTGAGAGGCAATTCTTTGCGCACGGCGGGCTTGGCTTTAGGCCTCAGGCAGAAGCAGATAGTGGGAGAGATAAGCCTCGGTTAACACCTCAGGCATTAAGTTTGTATCATTTGAATGGGTGCTTATGTAACGGGTGCAACAACCGTCGCTTTGCAGATTCACTTGCCAACAACAACAGCATCCCATGTTGCTTGATGGAGCATTCCACTATGCCACTTCCTTGTACAAGGATGGGACGACCCAATCAGTGCCTCTCATTGGCAAAGTCTACAGGGAGTTATCATCCATCCTGCCAAGCACGGCATGTCTGTCAAGATACCACTGCTGGGTGACTCTTGAAGCTGGGCAAAAGGCCGTCTTCTCAGCCCTTCCCCTCTCCCTGATGTCTGCATGTTGACATCTCGGGGCACTTCGCTGTCTTCTGGAGCATTCCTCAAAACGTCCCACTAAACCGACTTCCACGTTTCGACGACCGACCAACCCGATCACCCTCGAGGGAGATCTCCATGCGCGGGAGCTCTGAGTGTTCGAGGGTTCCCGATCGGGACTAGCGCCGTTCCACGCTCAACGCCGTCTTTAGCGACTAGGATGGCTTTGACATTTCTGACTCCTTCATCCATCAACAACGCGCGTGTCACGGGTGTATCGAATCGCTTCAACGTCCACCACCGTGCTAAATCAGCTCGCAACCCCTCGTGACGCGACGGATCATCTTCTGCGACCCTAAATCTCGACGCTATTCAATATGCCTGGCGGAAAGGGAAAGTCTATCGGTGGAAAGGGCGGTTCGAAGGACTCTGCGGGGAAAGCCCAGAAGTCCCACAGCGCAAAGGCCGGTCTTCAGGTCAGTAGAGAAAGCCTTGCTTTGTTTTATTCGATCCAATGGCGGTGTGATTTTGTCGTTCAAGACGTGGGAAGGGGCCTTGGGATTATTATTTTTTTCGATCTTGTCCCCCTCTCCTCTTGGCTTTTCGGCTACGTCTTTCCCCTGAACGCGTCAATATTCCATTGCTTGGGAGGGCCGGATTCCCTAGGAAGTCGATATCTGGCTTCATGTTCCTATCCGAGGGAACCGAGCGACTTCTCGAGCCCCTCAGCCTATGGATCGCGTTTTTTTAAACTACAAACTTCTCATGCAATGAGATGGATTTGTGCTAATATTTCTGTGCTTCTACAGTTCCCCTGCGGTCGTGTCAAGCGTTTCTTGAAGAACAACACCCAGAATAAGATGCGCGTTGGTGCTAAGGGTATGTTTACACCTATCGCATGCTGTTTTGATCAAAATCCCCCTCAGGGACTTTGCTGACAAAACCCACTACAGCCGCCGTTTATGTCACCGCCGTCCTCGAATATCTGACCGCTGAAGTTCTCGAACTTGCCGGAAACGCCGCCAAGGATCTCAAAGTCAAGCGTATCACCCCTCGTCACCTGCAACTCGCCATCCGTGGAGACGAAGAGTTGGATACCCTGATCCGCGCCACCATCGCCTTCGGTGGTGTCCTGCCCCGCATCAACCGTGCTCTGCTGCTCAAGGTCGAACAGAAGAAGAAAAACAAGATTGAGGCTTAATTTTACGGCTGATACCCCCTCTCGAATATGGCGTTTGAATTGATGACGATTGAAAGGAGCTCTGGGATATATGCGCTAAGCGATGGATTCTTTTCTGGTTGTTCCAAATCAAGTTTAAAAAAGAAAAACAAATGAAAAGGGATACACACCTTTTGTCTCAGCAAGAAACCTCCGGCGAGCTTATTATTCCCAGGCTATTCTCCCTACCTTATTCCACGACGCTGCACTGTCTTTCTATAATTCCCACAGCTTTTTTCTATTTACCTCCTTTTTTTCTATTTTACCTTCACCTCATGTATGCTCCGTTGATTGTCTCGAATTACCAGGGCGCTGTAATGGGAAAAGGGGATATCTCATTTTGCTTTTCTCTTTATGGTTGTTGATTGATCTTATACTGCTTTTTGGTGTTAAGTGTTAGCTGATTCTTGTATCCAACGTCTTTATTTTTTTTTCTTTCGTTTCTAACGAGGTGAGATTGTATCAGTAGGTTCTGTTCTGTTTCTTTTGGCTGCAAGAGATTTACTTAGGCAAATATATGAAATGGACTTTTGTGCTATTTATCGTCTGTTTATCTGGTCGAGCATATATTGTCAACTAGGCTATTTACTCGGTAAGCATAAGCCATAGAGCGTAGGGAGGACACTCCATCTACTAACTATATATATGCTTACGGGGAAATAGTAGACGCTCCCAGGTTTATATATACGTTGTACCCGAGCACGAACGTGCATACATACAGTAACTGATGTACTGCCGAGAGATGTAGCCAATATAATGCACAAAGAAACCACTGTCTTGTTTGTATACCTTAGTATACTGCATAATACTGCAGCTGCAGACCCAATCCAGCAACGGTCTACGATTGATGGGCGGGAAAATGATATTCGTAACGAAGTACGAGGATCGAGGTAATTATGAGTCCAATACGATTTATGAGAATGGATAGGCAGAGAAGGCATAAATCAAACAAGCCATAGATAAATAGAATCCATAGATACTAAAACATACATTTATCGACGATCTCAAAACAGGGACAGACAATAAGTAAGAGTAGGAAGTAGATGGAAAGGACACAAATTTCCTGGATCTCATCTCAAACTAGGCCATGGTAATCCGATCAGATCAAGAGAAAGAAAATAAACAAGATGGCCGTGGAAAGAAGATCGAGAAGAAGAAAAGAAAAATAAATGAAAGGCTCATGGAGTGAAAGCCATCACAACCATCAAATCACTCCTCTCGAACCTTAGTCGGTGGAAAAAGGAGAAGAAGATTCGATACGTCCACCCAAGAGGTTTCATTGTCATCAAACGCAGACATCCGCCCCGTTGTTTCGCCACAATCCCACCGATCCACACTCGATGCAAGTCGTATCGAATCAAACATGCAGGCCCGAGGGGTAAACAAATGCAAGTCACTAAACACCAAAGAGAATCGAGCAACCGAGATGCCGAATCGGAGGGAGGCTGTGGAGGCCATCAACCTATCACAATCCAGGCAGAAGATGCGGATTTCTCTGGATTCAATTAGGGAAGAGGAGAGCGTAAAATAGACCTGATTGAACAAACAAACATTAAACAATGCGATTCACCCCATGTACAAATCAACCAAACGAGAAAAAAGAAAAAAGAGGAAAAAAAAAGGTGACAACACGCGGTTCCCTCTTTAGGGCCCCGAGGAAGGAATGTCTGTATTTCCCTCTCGACCTTTGCTTTTTGTGATTTTTTCGTGATTTTTTTCGGGGTTTAAAACCATCCTTCAAAAGGTCGCCTTCCCGGGGTAAAAAGATTTTCGTTATGCTTTCCGCCGACGGACACAAATAGAAGGGAAAAGGGGAACAAGAAATAAAAAAAATATAGATATAATAATGGTTCTGCATGCAAAGGCGCCCGCGTCTCAAAAAAACTTCAAGAGCTTTCTTTTTTGTCATAGTTTCCGAGAAACAAAGAGAAACGTATAGAGTCCGTTCAAATAACGTGCCTGTTGGGCTGCCCCAAAATAACGTCTAAAACTTGGCTAGATCAGAGAAATTTTCTTTTTGTGGTTCTCTTGGTTGAGTGTCATCTCGTCATCCCTCATCGAGTCGTAAGCCAATAATCGCAGAACAGGATCAGGCCTCGTGATATAAGAGTCGTATGCGTCTTGCGGCAAAGCAATCTAACAAGTTTCGTCGTCTTCATCTCCCATCAAGGTGCTGTGTGCTTTTTGGTTTTTTTTTTGTTGTTGTTTGGAAAGAAATTTTTTGGCTTCTGGTTGTTGGTTCTTACTCCACAATGATCTCTACACCGGAGTTGGTGCGCAACTCGTCACTTCCACGCTGTTGGTGTCCGTTCGGGCGTCGAAAACCGGGGCCTTTTTCGGGCAGGGGGCCTCTGGGTTGTCTAATTGGCATGCGCTCCTGTGACTGACCGTCAAATCCAAGTCCGATGGATCGGTTGCTACCGATGGGGCCAGCACCGGAAGGTTGACTTTCCGGCTGCTCCCAAGAGAACATACTTCGCAATCTCCTCGGGCTCGAGTTCGGCCCACCAATTCCAGTACCCAGAGAAAGGCTGCTGAGACTATTCACCAACAGTCCGTCATCGCGTGGCATGCCCAGGGACGATCCCGAGGGGGCGGGCGTCAAGGTCGGCGTGTTGGAGGTGGCGCTGGTCGCTCCGTCGTAGTGCGGCATACGCGCGCCGTTCGACTGCAGGGCGGCCGGGAAGCTGGCCGACGAAGGCACGGGGGACGGGGTGTAGGAGCGAAGGTCGGCAAACGACTTGGCGGCCCGCAGGTTCTGCGTGTTGCCGAAGTTCCCGGGGGAATCTAGCACGCCGAGAAAGCCGGAGGTCTGCCCGCGAAGGGTGTTGTAGGAGCTGGGTCCCTCGTTCCGCGCCTCGCTGAAATCGATGGTGGCGGCACGGTTGAGTCCCCGCCGGCCCGTGTCGGAGGGCTGGACGGCGGCCGGAATGGATGACAGCGGGGGACTCACGTTGGCGCCCGGAGCAACCTTGAACACCTGCACCTGTCGCTGATCGCCGGAGCCACGTGACGCATGACCCAGACCCATGTTGTGAGCAAGGGTGTGGACGGTACGCCGTTGCACGGGGGACAGGTTGGCAGCAAACACCATGCTGTCGCGACTGGTATCCTCCTTGAACAGCAGCAGCTGGGAGTAGTACGAGAGCGTCGTGCTGTCATTCAAATCGACGTCTGAGGTTTCGACGGGGTCTTGGTTAGTCATATGCAAGGGAGAACCGGGCAGCCGTGACTTACCCAACTTCTGACCACGTTGAGAGACAGGCGACGGAGAGGTAGCCGGAAGATGGGAAGTAAGCGAGGACATGGAACTCTGGGTCTGAAGTTGAGAAGTCGCCGCCATGGGTCGGTGCTGTTCCTCCAGCTGGCCCCGACGTTCGCGCTTTTCGCGCTCGATGCGTTCGCGCTCCTGGAGAGGGAGCATCTTCTTGTATTCCACCCGCAGCTTGCGGCCCTGGAGTTCGAAGTGGTTGAGCACATCGATCACGGTCGCCGTCTCCTCCGCCGAGGTGAAGTTGGCGAACGCCAGGCCCCGGAACACACCGTTGTCAAAATGGTAATTGAAGGCGTAGGGAAGAGGCAGGCTCAGTTCGGTCATGAGTTGAACCAGCTGTTCTTTCTTGACAGCAAAGGGAATGTTCTTGATCACGATGGCCGTGGGAATCAATTCGTCGTCGGTTTCCGAGGGGCCCGTGGTTTCCGGCCGCATGGCGCTACTCTGAAGGGGGCCGGGTCCGAGGTTTGAAAAGGGGCTGGACATCGGGGGAGGCTGATCGAGCCATGTCTGTTGCTTGCAAGTCAGTGTTCCGATCTTCAGACGACAGAAAAAAGAATTAAAAATAAAAATAACAAAAAAAGACACCGGCGGGGGTTGTGCGACGCCCGAATACGTACCGTTGGGATCCCGGCGCGGCCAGTCCGGGAGGAAGAAGTCTTCAGGCTAGTGGAAGCCGACCGGATACCCCCGAGAGCCTGAGCATTGGCGAAACCATTGGGATTCCAGGTCTGCGAACCGGACAGATCGTAGGCATAGTTGTTGTGCAAGGACGGGTTCAAGCGCTCCAGACGACCGGTATCGTAGCGAGCCATGGGATCCTCGTACAAGTTGACGGGCATGGGGCCGTACGCGTCGAACTGTCGCGAGGGCTGACGATGCAGAGGCTGCTGATGACGCTGCGAGCCCGGAGATCGCGCAGAAGAATTGTCGTGATACATCTCCTGTGCTTGTTGATAACTCATGGTGACAGAGAGAGAGAGAGCAAGAGAAAGAGGCGAAAGGGTTCTCCGTCGACAACCAGACCGAGGAATGTGGACACAAGAAAAACCACCACACAACAATCCCGTTCAATATCCCGATAAGCTGTACGGATCTACTCGAACATAAGAGCGACCGGACAGGAGTGGATACCGGGAGAGTTGAAGGGAACCTGCAGAACAGCAAACGACGCGAGGTCGAAAGTGGACCGAGTTGTGCGGGAAATCGACTTCTTTGAGGGGGGAGTTTTTGGGAAAAATAAGGGCGATTTGTCTCACGACACCGACGGAGAAGGCGGTCGATGGACAAGGGCCGGGAAAAATAAAAAACAAAAAAAAAAAAAAGACTGAAGACTTGAGAACACAAAAGTAAACCGCTCAGAACTGCAGAATTAATTGGCTCGTGATGGTTTGGGTCATCAATGGTCGGCGTGTTCTCAAGCGTTAAATTTGACGGTGTCTTTTTTTTTTTGCCTTTTTTTTCTTTTTTTTTTATAACCCTTCAATTCTGTCCTCCGTGGCGTTCCCTAAAGGGAATGCAAAAAAAGTGATGGAAGAAAAGGCGGGCGGAAGAAAAGGAAAAGAAAAAAAAAAGAAAGAAAAGAAAAGAAAATGCAGACGATGGGAAGGGCGGATAGGAACAAAAGGCCCGTAAGGAATCCGAAGAATATCGCCACAACCCGGGGATCAAGAAGTGCCCAAGGCTTGATACGGCTGACCAGGTGGTGGTGAGGGGAGAGAGAAGAACGAGGGCCGGTCAAGTCAGCAAGGCGACGAAGGCAAGGAAGAAGGGGGGAGCCAAACGGCACGCAGAACGGGAGCTCAACACCGCCGGCTGTTGGTTGCTGCGTCGCCCTTCCGCGGATCCGCCAAGGTCAAATTGGATAGATGCACTTCGATCTGTCGCACTTGCAGAATGGGATGCTTTGATATTTTCTTTTTTATATTTCCTGTTCAGAAAATATAAAATATCAAATAATAAAACCAACCAATTCCAGGAATGTCGGATTCAGAGCAAGATCATCCAACCGAAGGGCCGTTGGTTGGGTTCGATTAAAAAAAAAAAAAAAAAAAAAAAAAAAAAAAAAAAAACGGGGGCAGCAAAAGCAGCGAGTGGGAAGAGATACGGGAAAAAAGGGCGAGAGACAATGACAGACACTAGAGCAGAAGGGATTCCCGTAATCCGTGCAAATTGGGGACGGGACGGACGGGGAAGATCGAAAGGTACCCAGAAAACAGCGTCCCTAGTGGCTCGTCGGTGCTGGGGGTTTTGGGATCGTACGCCGGATGCTCTGCGGCCGTTCGATTTTCGTTTTCGTCCGCAAGTGTTGTTGAGGTGGTAGGGGAATTGATAGAGCAGAGCAGATGTCCCTGCTAAAGGCTATTTTATAATTTATAGTCATCGTGTGGTGGATTCTCTCCTCCGCTGCTTTTCTCTACGGAGTAATTTTTATTTTATTTTGGTTTGTTTTATTATTTTTTTATTTAGAATAATTCCATTTTTCTAGTCTCCTTTTTTTATTTTGGTTTATTTTTTTTTTAACTTGTCGCCGGTCTCTCCCCCCCTCCCCTTCTTGTTCCTCGCTGTAATCTTAATTCCCTTCCAATCCTTTTCCGCTTCAGTCGTGGCGGAGGGAAGTGGGAACCATATGGGAAATGGAGAACCTGAGGCTTTGCCAAAAAGGGGAGCCGCCGTCCTATTGGCAGAGCATCGGAGGTACTAGGGAGGTACTTGGTACTAAGGTTGTCCCGACTACTTCGCCGTGGCAGCCACGCTCCCCCGGTGACTGCCACTGGACAGCTGGGAGTGATAGAGGCTTGCCACACAATGAAGGTCCAAGCAGTCGCCGTGACAAAAGCACTGGGATCGCTTCAATGGTATGTGCGAGGCTGTCGCCCTCGGTGCTAGGTCCAGGGAGTCACCATGATATCCGGGGGGCCAAAGTCTGGAGTACTCGGTACTTTCTGGGTACCTCTGCCTGGCTGCTCCTTTTCCCCTGGCCGGTTGGATGCCTGGGCTTCGAGGTATCTACTTCGGAGGCCTGACTGACTCCGTACACTTCCTTGCTACTACTTGCTTCGTACTCTCCTTCCACTCTCCCGTCAGTATAATATAATTATAATTATAATCGCCTGGCAAAGGACGGTTTCTTCCGTGCCCCTGTTTCTGGCAGAATGAATAGATTGTCGGCTTCGGTTCGTCCGCGGGCACTATTGGCACGTCGCCTCGCCATCGACGGTCGTCCTTCGCAATCCATCTGCTGGCTCCGTGTTTCAAACTCTCACGGGCATGTTTCTGTCCCTTACAAAGCAATAACACCCCGCTTGGTCTGGACAATCTCGTCCGTTCTCCTCTTTTGCCCCCTTCTGGCAGCACGGGGAACTCTCTTCCCACTCCCCTAAATTGTCCCCTGGTCGTCATTGGACTGGACTTCCCTCGGACGCGCCAACTGGGGAAGATCCGGTCCGTTTCGCGTCCTTTGTCGGGCCTTTTCCGGGCTATCAGCGTCCGCGATTCTCGTTCAATTTCTCCCTAACGAAGGAACTAGTCCTAGCACCGACTCATTTTGGAAGCTTCCGAGAGGTTCCTGCTTGACGGTTCTCATCCGGGAGAGCTTCAACGCGTCCTTAGTCCTCTAGCCTCGAAGGTGGGCTTGGGGATCCGCCGCGGGTGGGTAAACCTGGAAAGGATCCCATATTAATTCCATCACCTTTGACCGAACAGGGCGCGGCGGTCCAGTCCGTAGCGTCCCTCACGAGCTGCTGCAAGCCCTGCATTGTTTCTCCTTGGCCGCCTGGGAGCTTTGCTCATGCTCTGGTCATTATCCCCGTCACTTGGTCGGTTTGGAGGAAGAAATTCACCAAAAAAAGGTTAAAAAATTGATAATAAAAAAAAAAAAGACGAGAAAAGAAAATTGAGACATTCAAGAATCCTTTGACATCAACGGTGAAGACGTCACTCCACACCCAAGTTCACTCGGTGGCTCGTGTGATGCGACAGGCAGGACCAGAGAGAAACCAGAAAACCCTGGAAATCCATCTATCTGTTCTTGTCCATCGGAAATGAACAGGGACAAAACCCCTGGTGACCGTCGATATCGATTTCTTTTTTTTTTTTTTTTTTTTTTTTTTTTTCGTTTATTTTTTTCTTCCCACCCGTTTCTAGGCAGACATCGAGTCTGTCCCAGTACTATTATTATTAGCAGCAAAACCCATCGAGGTGAGCGTTATCGTCGAAATTATGACTATTATGGCCCGATATTATTAGTATCACTTTTATTATATTACCGTGCTATTTATTTGACACGCAAAAGTTTCTAGAACTCCGTTCCTTTGCTCCGTTGACCGTCCGATATACGACTAGTCAGTCGTACTCCGTACTACGGCGAATCTGGGACACTGTCTCCTCCCCCTTTTTTTCGCGACCTTTCTCTTTTCGACCATCGCCCTTCCAACGCGCATGTGTAATCCGAGAGGGGGAGGGAGAAAGAGTGATCCATCAACTTTCCAGGTTCCGACAAATCATGAGCTGTGTACACTCCATTTCGCCTCTCCGAAATAATCACCAGGGATCCGCCGAAAATCCTCAATTCTAGCTTCGCTATGGGGAAAGGCCAAGTACTGGCGGTTTGGAATTCACACCCAAGCTAGAACCCACTAGACCATCGCCGGAACCTATTAGATGGAGATGTCATATTTCGCTCCTGAGAAAGGTGGTCCCTGGATTTCCCACGCCTGTGCGGAGGGAGCGTCCAAGTTTTTTTCTTTTCTTTTTTTTTTTTTTTCTCGGTCCTGCGAGGAGCGCATCAATGGGGTTGTATCAGCTGCACCTGTCATCTGTCAGCCGGCGCGACAGGATTTCCGCGTCGGCTAATATTTAATATGGACATGCATGCCACCATTTATACGTTGGTCGCAAATTAATTTTGATTGTCGCCTTCGGCACTTCCCACCACGGTCGATGGAAATTCCAAGGCACCCACTCTCTGCCTTAAGCCAGCTGATCCCGTGGCGAGGACCGGGGGACTTCCTGGGCGATCCCGGCATGAACTAACCTCCCAAGCGCTTCTATAGAACATTCTTAGTCGGTTCCCACAGCAAATAGCTACACTAATTCCTTTTGGCCGGTAAATGAGATGGGGCCTGGAAGACACCAAGAGCAGACTAAGTATGCTCTACGTTCCATGCTCCATGCCACTAGCTGGTTGGGAAAGTCCTTTCGTTTAAATTGCTCGGTGAAAGGATGGAGAAAAAATGGGCAGATGTTGGACAAGCGAGAGAGAGAAAGAGAGAGAAAAGTGGGAGGGGAAAAAAGGTGGGAGAATGTAAGAAAGAAAGAAGAGGACAGAGAGAAAACAAGAAGAAAAAGAAAAGAAAAAACCATCACATCCCTCGGACTTATGAGGGATCTCAGGAGTGGACTTGCGCGGTGGTTTACTGGTCAGTGGTCTTGCCTCCAACTTGCTTACCGTACTCCGTACGCAGTACATCATGCATCAAAGCGAGCCCACTTCTTTTAGGGGTGTCGAAAATGACAAATCTGATAAATCCAAGTTGGTTGGTTACTAGTAATACTTATCTCGCCCCCGGAGGTCAGTCGGGCGATTCTCGCGCAACATGGCCTTTCGCCTGGCTTCGCATCGCCCGGATGACGACGATTGCAAATACCACAACCAACACCACCGCTGATCAGAGGGTACAATTAAGATGAGGGGCAAAGGGGCACTCCCTTCGAGTGATGTAACAAAGTAGGAATAAAAAAGAAAAAGAAAAAGAAAAAAAAAAAGGGACAATCATAGTGCCCAACTCAACTTCCACCCCGATGGATGTTAGGTATTATTTCCCTCGATTCAGGAAAGGATAGGCCGCGATGAGCCGAAAATGTGACGATTCGGCCTCTACATCTAAGACACTCATGTTGCCTTTTTCAATTTGCCTCTGCTTTTCTGCGCGCCATACTCCGGAAGAGCTAATAGCCTTCTTTTATTAGCCCGAATCCTACGTATTCTTACGTATGGATCTGCGGAAACGAACTAACCAGGGACAGAGTATCCGTAGGTGCGAGGTACCTCTCCTCCTCCACTCTACCTAACTAACAAACAAGTAACCCAGTAGACAGACTCAAAGGTAAAAAGGAAAAAAAGAACGGACCAAACTCGATTCATCTTGATTGTCAGAATCGAATCGAGCTCAGCTTGTCTGTCTGCCCGTTTGGTTGGGTGAGATGTAATCTGTAATATGCAGCATGCATGCACACCATGCATGCAGCCTAAGCCACAGAATCCGCCAAATGCCACAGGTACCCATGTATTAGCGACGGGTCCGAAGGCCCGTAAGCCACCTCGCGCTAAGAAATATTCAATTAAATAAATCCTCTGCCGGACCAGGCTGCGTTGGTGCTGTGTTCACATGGCATGGCATGGCACGGTAGGGAAGTACTTATGCGTATACTCCGCAATATCCGCAGCAGGTAGTAACTAACCACACAAGATGCTCTTGTAGGCTATAATGCTCAATAATATAAGGAGCAATGCTGTTGACATGACATTGTATGAGGTGTATTAGATTGTCTAGGTACTCCGTAAGGTATTTGAAACCGCACCCCCGTTTTGATTGACCTCACCCTGAATTATGCAAGGGAGTGGCTTTCATTTTATCTTTTCGGACGGGTTTTTGGACGTCCCATGCAAGAGGTACATTTAGACATCAGATTAATTTCCCTCCATTCGGACGAGGCCTTTTTTTTTTCTCCCCCCTTTGGCGTCTGCGGTGCAGTGCCAGGTGTCTAGACTCTGGCTAGCTACAGTTGGTATGTAAGGTGGGTGCTGTCTGGGCTTGATGACTGTGTTCTTGTCTGCGTGCCTGTCTCTCTGTCTACAGTGTAGGTGTCTGTCGGAATGTGTTGTATGTAAGGAGTGGTGATTTGGAATATTAGAAGGTTGATTTGTTGGTTTGACGGCTGGCTGTGGTGTCTAGTTGAAGATTGTTGTGCGATAATATATATAGTTGATGTAGTTTTGGGTTCCCATCGAAAATGTGGTTTTCTCAGATAATGAAAGCCTTCCCGACGATAAATTAGATTTCAATCGGACAGATACTCGAGCTTTAATCTGCTCGATCTTCGATGAATTGTTATTTTCCTGTGTGTGGGAAGTTTATTTCGAGTTTCAAATGCTGCTGTGTGTTCGTCGCCTAACATGCAGCAGGCGTATACAGCTCGTTTGAATAAACTGTGATGATATTCTCCTGTGTAGACAGCATTAAGTCGTCAACTCAGGAGTCTCTTTCTCCTCAAGGGCCGCTAGAGATTTGCATGATCCTGTGCCTTTTCAGCCTGAGTATGATAGTTTCTAGTCTTGAGGGCATGGAAACATTGCATTTTCATTGAAGCCGAGTTTGTCCACCGGCAGGCACAAGAGAGGATTAAGGGGAAGGAAGAGCAAGGTTGGCTGACTCGATATGAGACTACTCGCCTCATCCGAGTCACTCGATTCCCAGCGACCACCTAGCCAGCTAGACCTTGGTTTCGCATCATCTTCATCTTTATGATACCTAAATGTATTTGATTCGCTTCCAACAATGCCGATTACCTCTATTCCCAGCATCTCTTTGCAACAATCGATTCCATCCGATGCGCTACGATGCGATGCGCCCTGAACTTCATCGGTCACGATGACGATGACAACCTCATGCCGTCAGACAGAGGTAACGTATCTCTCAAACTACAATCAGATCAATGAGTCACTCGTTCAATAAACTGACATTGACCTCTCTCTCTCGATCTCCATTTCCACCTCAGACCAACGGACCCATTATCAAACGCCCATCCGGCATCCAACTAATCAACAAACCAACCACACCACCTCAACCTGAACATCAGCCTCACCCAAACCAAACCGCATCTATCATCGACCTCACCTCGCTATCCGATTCCTCCAGCAAAACCTAACCCTCAAAATGTCCTCACCAATTCCAACGCCTACCGCTTCACCATCCCAAACCCACCCCACCGATTCCATCCTCCAAAGCATCACCGCCCTCGAAGAATCCATCCAAGAATTCAACTCCCAAGTCGAAGACATCCGCGCCCAGCACAAGCGTCTTGAAAAGAGTATGTCGTCTGCAGAAGCGCAGATCGATGTTCTGCTCGTCGCCGTGGGCGATGTTCTGGCGGGTATGGAGTATAAGAAGAAGAGTGGGCGCGTGAGACGCTGGGCGAGGGGAACGGGCAGGTGTTGTGAGACTTGTTGTTTGGTGAGGAGGTTAGAAGGGGGTGGGTGATTTCCATCCACATGTAATGAATGGTGGGAGGGGGTTATTTATCTATTTGTTTAGCTATGTGTTTTTTTTCTTTTTTCTTTTTCTTTTTGGTGGTGAGGTTCAGGGCGAGACGAGTTTGAGGGACTGAGTTCCTGCTATCTGGGGAATTTGGACTTTACCATTCTTGGGTGATGAGTGGGAGCATGTACCGTGCTGGATAGAAGATTCTTGAAGGATCTATTGGGCTTGAGGAACCTCATCTGTTTCAATGGTTTAGATAAGGAATACTACTTGTCTTGGTTCATGGGTTGTCTATTAGACTGTTTTTGCTGCATTTACGTCAATTATTTGGACTCTAAGTACATATATTGTAGTGTTTAACTTGGTGTGAGGGGTCTTTCCATGTAACGAACAGGCATTAGGACCGAGTCTGATGTATCTGCGTCCATTTTCCCTACCCGATTTCCTCCTTTCTCTAGCGGCTTGAAAAGCAGATAGACTGTGAATTGGCGTTCGAGATAGGTCCATATCTCTAGTTCTGCCTTAAGCATAATTAAATCCCTTACGATAGAACACATATCAAGTGACTAAAAACTGGTACCATTCAATATAACCCGGGTATATAAAGGAGTGAAAAAATATAAAATATAAACATGTCGCATCGTGTCCCCTCCACAATCATTCCCCCCATTATCCAACCCCTACCATGAGCTCATATACTTCCCGCATCTAGTCATATCCTAGTCATATCCGCAAAGACCTCACAGCCAAGCAACGAACCCCAAACCAACGATAGCAGCGAGAGAAGCAGCCTGAGGTGCTGAAGACCCGGGTGCAGCATTGTCGGTCGTTTGCGCGGTGCTGGCGCTGTCGGTGCCGCTGGAGTCTGCGCTGTTGCTGTTGTCGTTGTTGTTGGACCCGTTGGATGAAGAATCGTCGCTGGAAGAGCCGCTGTTGGTTGAGGTGGCGCTGGTGTTGGAATCCGTGGCGCTGACGGTGGTAGAGCCTGAGCCGCTCGCTGAGCCGGTGCTGGTAGAGCTGGAACCAGAGCCGGTGCCGGTGGCGCTCAGGGCAGAAGTAGCGGCTGCGGCGTTGTACGAGGTGGTGGAGAGAGAGCAGGAGCGCAGGATATCATATGCGTCTTGGAGATGTTAGTTGCTTTGCTCTTTGAGGCAAAATGGGAGAGCTATTGGGATGGAGGTGTGTGTATGACTTACCGTTGTGATGCGGGTCCCGGTCATCATCGTCGTCATCGTCGTCGTCAAAAAGATCATGCTCCTCGTCGTAGTGACGGTCTCGGTCGGTGTTGTTTCTGTCGGCGCGGTAGTCTGCGATGCAGGCCTCGCAGAGTGGGATGAGAGACGGAGCCTGCTTCCAGTCGCAAATGCAATCCATCTCCCTGCGGTCGTTGTCGTGCATGCCGTCGCATCGATGGGCGATGCCGACCACGGGCCCGCAGACATCCCAGCAGCGATTGGGGACGTCGTCGCGGTCGAGTTCCGCTGCGAGGGCGACCTTGCCGGCGAGCATGAGGCCTGAGAGGGCGAGGAAATGGGTAGCACGCATGGTGGTGGTTGGTCTGGAACGGTTGAGGTTTAGGTAAAATGAAGGAGATAGTTTGAGTTGAAAGGCGATTAGAATAATGCGAGTGAACCGATTTGATGAGGACAAATTGAAAGGGAACCAGGCCGAATTTATATTCCGGCGTCTCTGTCGTGTCTTGACATTTCAATATTTGCGCTGGCGTCCTACCAACCAATGGTGAACGCCATCCACCGTAAATTCCGACGTCTGTGTCAAAAGATCTGCTCCATCGGCAGCGAGGGAGCTCTAAGCCTCGCAAAGAATTGAATTGCAGCTGCCAAGTCCCCCAACTCTATTGAACCTTGAGCAGACCAGAGCGAAACCACCAATCCCGGCCGGGGGAACGACGTTGCCTAGGGATTCTCCAAGAGCGAAAACAAAGTCATGATCGCGCCGTGTTTATCGCTACCGGATTTGTCTGCGGGGAATGAGCCTTTTCTCGACTCTAGTTCCTGCAGTCCTTCGGGTCGCCCATCGCCATTCACCGCCACGATGGACCCTGTTCCATACTCTGGGGTGTCGCAGGTGGATCCGGTCAGCGCGGATTTGCCCGTGGCTGGCACACTATTGCCGGGAATTGTTTGTTTCAGAATCTTGACTGGTGCTATTGATTTGGTCGTCGAATCGCACGCGGTGTCAAATTGGCGACTGATGATGTCACCCGGGGCAATAAGCGAGGGTCTCCCTTGCTTTCCCCGAAGGATCGGCCAAATAGTAGAAAGCCAGTCCAGTAGTGGCTCTTATCGAGCGAAAAGAAAAAGAAAAAAATAAGCAAAGAAATCTGCACGTCGTGGAAACCCTCGCCCGTCAGTCAATTGATCCTGCATTGGCCGTAACATGGTCAGTGCCGAGCTTTTTGCACAGCCTCTCCGCTATATATAGGATCGCGGAGAGCAGGTTATCTGAACAGCAGCGTCGCTGCGACCAGTCAAGCCGAAGATAAATATGCTGCCTGCGCTGTTTTCCCCGTCCGGGATGATCCAGTGCAGTGTTTAGTGTTCTTCACGACTCGGAATCTTCAAATCAGGCAAGGGACCCTGGTCACTCTTCCCATTGCGGCCTGACCGGAAGACTACGAATTACTCGATCGAGGGTTGTCGCTGGCGATCTAGACGTCCATCTCTTGGCTGATCTAAGGCAGGGTAGCAGTTAACTGACTGTGTATGCTGGACCTAGGGTTCTTAGGTCATCATGAAGTCAACCGCGTGGTGCACTCATTGGGTCTGCAAGAACCCCTCCATCTCCACCAACACCTAAAAATATCGTGCATTCAGTCTACCACGTTCGGCGAAATATCGACTTGGACATCTGACAGTCACTGTAAATCATGGCGCGAAGTGTCGCGAGTAAGATGTCCTGGGAGAAGTACGTGCTGCGTCCCGTCCAGGGCGCCCCTCCCGTGGTGCTGCCGACCTTCATTTACGGCACTGCCTGGAAGAAGGATCACACCGCGGAGCTGGTACACCAGGCTCTGAGGTCGGGATTCCGCGCGGTGGATACCGCCGCCCAACCAAAGCATTATCGCGAAGACTTGGTAGGAGAAGGGATCCGCAGGGCCATTCGTGACGGAACAGTCCGACGAGAAGACCTCCATGTAAGTGCGGGCAGGACCTAATTTTAGAATCCCAGGATATCGCCGTGGCAGGCAGACATCGTCGGCTAAACAAAGCACGCGCAGGTCCAAACCAAGTTTACGTCAGTCCATGGACAAAGCCCGGACAACATGCCATACGATCCTAATGACTCGGTGACGGAGCAAGTCCATGCCTCCATCCAGTCTTCCTTCCGGCATCTTCGCCCGTCTGAGGAGGCCGACAGTGCCAGCGAGACATATATCGACACGCTGATTCTCCACTCTCCCTTGTCGACAATGGAGCAGACTCTGGAGGCTTGGTCGGCGTTTGAGACCTATGTGCCCCATCGCATCCGGAACCTAGGCATCTCCAATTGCACCCTGCCCGTCGTCCGGGAGTTGTCGTCGCTGGTTTCGGTGAAACCGGCGGTGGTGCAGAACCGATTCTACGTGGGCACGCAGTTCGACGTGCCGCTACGGTCGTTCTGCCGGGCTGACCAGATCATCTACCAGAGCTTCTGGACCTTGTCGGCGAATCCAGAGTTACTGCATTCCGATGCCGTTCAGCTGCTAGCCAGCCGGGCGGGGATCAGTCCTGCGGCTGCTTTGTATAGTCTTGTGCTGGGCCTCGGGAAGACAACGATACTCAACGGCACGACTAAGAGAGCTCACATGGAGGCGGATCTGGCTGCTCTTAAGGTAGCCGAGAAGTTTGCCGAGGAAAACCCCGAGACATGGCAGCGCATCGCGGAGAACTTCCAAGGGCTTACGGGAGACCATGTGACGGTTTAGTCTATTGACATTCGTTCCTGGCGCGAAAGTCTGCACCATCATGTAATCGAGCTCCGTACAAAGACGGGAGATAATATAAAAAGCGAGTCAATCTCCGAACCAACGAGGCCGTATGATTGGCGTTTCGGCGGTGGATAAGTAGTTCGTGGCGAGCGGGACCCATTGGCGGCCAGAGTGGAAAGGTGTCAGTATGCAGTAGTACTGAGTAGAAGAGCGTCGACGATGCCACTCGACAGGTGGACATGTTCAAGATGGAATGGAAAGAAAGAATGGAACCTACCTCTAAGGTCCCTTAAGGCACCTCAGGCATTAAATTATTCGTCCCAAAAAGGTGAAACCAGCACGTGCCCTGACAGCCAGTGACTCAGCATCCCCGGCCAATCAGCGACGACGGCGGCACATTGACCTCATCGGCCTTTTGCCCTTTCGCCAAGCATCTCATCTCGACGCCTTCGCTGCTCTTTTTTTTTCGTGCGGCATCCATCGACCCCCGGCCTGTTCTGGTCTTCCCTCTATCACCCACGCTATTCCGTGCCGTCCATCGACCGTGCCTTTCGTGTACCCCTGAGCGATCAAAACCCTCGCCAGTTTTTCACTTTTCCTGGGCCCCGCTAGCGACCGTTTTTGGCAAGGTGCTCACTGCTGGCATCCGCTTGCCTAAGCTTCGACTTCGCTGAAAAGTAATTGCCAACCGCGTCGACGTCGCTCATCGAGTCTGAAAGTCTCAGCCTCCATCGCGGGTCTCACTCTCAACGGTCTCCTCGCTCGTTGTCGCGTTTTTCGCTTGTTATCATTGGTCGATAGCGCCCGAGCGCCGCCTTGTCGCGTCCCTGGTCATCACTCGAGGTTGGAAAATCTAGCACCAACGGCGCAACCCTTCTGTCGCCAACCCGCAAGCATTAAATCCCTGGGACCGAGACTGACCTGGGGGTCCTGGCTTTAAGAATTGTTACTCTTCCTTCTCCTTCCCACTTTCTGATCGCCTGTGCCACCGTCGCCCGGTTCCCCGCCATACGCCCGCTCTTGGCCTTGCGTTCGTGATCGCAGCCGACAAGAGGCTCCGCGTCGGTCGGACTAGGGCTCGTTCGAACGCCGAACCTCATCACACCCGGCTGTCCTTCCTTGAAACCCACCGGAAATCACGTCGTCGACCATGAGCCCGCAAGGCGTAAACCGCAAAAGACCGGCGCCCGGCACCTCGCCCGCCGTTCACCCGCAATTGGGCCCGATCAGTTACCCTTCCAACTCCGGATCACAGCTCTCGAATGATCAGTTTCTGCAATGGGGGCAAAACCCTGCCTCGAATGTTGTGAATCCCTCCTATCCGGACGCGAACCCTTACAACTCTGCCGCCTATGCATCGAACCAAGATACCCCCGCCGCTGCTGCCACGGCGTCGAATCAGCTCGCCCGAAGACAACCTCCGAATCAAAATCAACAATTAGTGAGCCGCAACCGTGGATATGAACAATCGCCAACGTCTGTGTCCGAGTCTGGCAATAACACGGGAGAATCCGGTGGATGGGGAGAGAGTCTGGACGAGCTGTACCAGCGGGCTTTGGTTGCGAAGAGAGATGCGCAGGCTAAGAGAAAGCAGATTCCTCCGTTTGTGCAGAAATTGAGCAGGTATGTTGGCAACAGCACATTTTAGAATTGCTGGCACAATAACTGACATCCAGCAGTTTTCTAGACGAGTCCAAGAATACCGAGTTGATTCGATGGTCTGACGATGGGAATTCCTTCATCGTGATGGACGAGGATGAATTTGCCAAGACATTGATCCCAGAGCTTTTCAAGCACAACAACTACGCCTCTTTCGTTCGCCAACTGAACATGTACGGGTTCCATAAAAAGGTCGGACTTTCGGACAACTCGATGCGCGCCAGCGAGCGCAAAAATAAGAGCCCCAGCGAATACGCAAACCCATACTTTAAACGCGGGCATCCCGACCTGCTGTGGCTGATCCAAAAGCCTAAAAACGCAGCAGGACAGGGACCCAAGGCAGGAAAAGGCACCGTACGTGTTAAGACCGAGGAGCCTGATGACAATGAGAATGAGGACTACGAGGAAGGTGCTGGACTACCGCGAGACGACCGAGCGCGAAACCGGCAGTTGTCGTTGATCACAGGGGGAGAATCGATGCCGAAGGACCAATTCGCTGGGGTGTATCGAGAGTTGCAGGCTATCCGCCAGCAACAGCAAGTGATCTCCAACACGATAACTAAACTGCGGAGAGAGCACGAGCAGCTTTACGCACAGGCGGCCAACTTCCAAGAACAGCATACGCGCCATGAGAACTCCATAAACGCAATCCTCACCTTCTTGGCGACCGTTTACAACCGTAGTCTTCAAGGAGGGGAGGGACCGCAGAACATCGCCAATTCCTTCGCCGGGGCTATCTCGCAAGATCATCAAGGCAATGTTGTCGACGTGGGTGACAACTACTCATTAAGCGCGCTTGGTGCTTCCAACGTGGGGAGCCCCGGCGGGCAACGATCGATGAAGAAACAGCCTTTACTTTTGAAAGCTCCCCCGGCGTCAGAAGCACAAAGTCGCGCGGCAACCCTTTCCCCTTCCGTGGCTAGCTATGACCGCCCACAGCCGCGAGGTCATCTCCGTCAACCGAGTTCTCAGCATGGCCACGTCGAGGAGGTCTTCGACAACAGCCCCCGACAGGAGGAACCGCAACCGCCGCAACCGCAGCCGTCCCCGACGGCGCAGAACCAGCAATATCCCCAGCGAGACATCATGTCTGTCATCCAAAATACCAATGCGCGGAACGGAATTCCGACTAATTTCTCTGACTTCCCCAACATGCTGTCGTCGCTCGAGAACTCGGGCGGCAATGTTCCTCTTACTCCCAACCAGCGCGCCGACATGCTTCGGTTGATGGCCAACGAGTCGAACACCGGCAATTCAAATGTGCCTGTGCCCCATAATAACGCCTTGATGACACCCACCCCGCCTCCCATGCCCCATAACTACTCGAATCGCCTTGCCAGCACTCGCGCCGAGATTGACAACCTGGTCAAGATGCAAGCGGAGCAAGACCGGTCGGTGCAGAACCTGACCAACTTGCTACAGCCACTCAGTCCAACGGGGGCCATTCCCGGGATCGGGGCCGATGGAAGCGTTGCCCCTCCCCCACTGGACCTGGACACGATATTCAATAACGACTATTTCACCGACGTCGCCGACCTTGAACATAACAAGAACAACCTAGACTTCGCCAACCAGTCCACCTCGATGCCAGCTCCCGCAGAGCCACCTACCACAACCGCCACCGACGACAATGCCATCAAAGACGGTAGCGACCTGTTTGACTTCGACCACATTCCCGGAGACGGAGACCTCTTCGACGGACACAACCAGCAGCCGCAAAACCCCGGCTACTACAACGGATTCGGCGGCAGCGGCTACGGCGGCAACGCCGGCGGCGTTGGGCCTGACCCGCATCTCGGTGTCGGCAACGATTCCGGCAGAGTCGTCGAGACACTGACCGATAGCGAGGCCACCAGCCCTGCCAACACCGTCGACGACCCTGCACAGTACGCCGGGGCGCTTGGAAATGGCGATGGCAACGGTGGAAGCACCAAGCGACGCAAGAAGGCCTGATCTGATCTCTTGGAAACTTTCTTCTATTTCATGATACATTACTACTTACGAGGTTGTCGGGTTTGTTATTATTCTGGAAGGGTTGAAACCATATCGTTTATAGGTTATAAGGCATGAAGCGTTTATCACCCATGTTTATCTTTAGTCTGGGAGTTTGAAGGAATAAAAATTATTATCTGATATCTTTTTCCCTTTTATTTCACCCACCCACCCACATTCACTGTGCATGATTATTTGGCCCTGTCCTCGGGAACTACCATCGTATGTTTCTTAGCTTGGTTCCTGTCCAGTCTACGCAGGAATATTGCTCTTTATCGACCGGACTTTTGGTTCCTTGAGGCTGTTCCAATTGCATTCTAACTCGTCTTCTGGATAGGTTATTTTATATATAGTATGCTAACAAGAATTGGGTTTCCAAACAAAGTTCACCCGCTTTAGTATCTAAAATAACCAATAGAAGTAGTAATGTGCTTGTATATATCCACAGCCACTAGTATTTCCTAAACAAGTAGCATATAAGAAAGAACTAAACCGTCCAAAAGAGCAATTACTTTCTCCCTTTGTCCCACTCCAGATTACCCGCCTGCTCACGCTTCCTCTCTCGTTCGCGATCCCGTTGAAGACCCTTCTTCCGACCTCCTGCGAACTCCTTCTCCCGCTCCCGCGGATCAATCACCATCAAGGAGTCCGCGTCGTCCGGATGCTCGCGCTTCCAGTTCAGGTCCTTGCCGAGCATGTCTTTGCCGAAGCGCAGCTCGTGCGTGAGCCACCCCTTATCGTCGTCTGCTGCGGCGGCCGCCGCGCCGGTTGCGTCTTCGGCGCCGGCCTCGGTGTCCCATGATTGGCAGGATTGGCAGTTCGCGATGAAGTGCAGGTCGCAGAGTTGGGCTTCTTCGTCGTCGGGCTGTTGGGCGGAGGAGTCGGGTTTGGGATGCGATGAGGATGAGGATGCGTGGGTGTTGGATGGTGGTTGGGTGTTGGAGGGGGTGGAGTCTGCGTTCTCGAGCTTGGCTTTGAAGGCGTTGAAGATCTTGAGCGTGTCGGCTTCCGCGGAGCTGCTGAAGCCCGTGAGGCCGTTGGCGTTGCTGCGGGAGCCGTTGGCTGCGCCGCGTTTACGCCCGCGGATGGCCGTCTCAGGGATCATGGCCTCGAGCGCGGATTTCTTGCGACCGCCGTCGGAGGGCCCGGTGTGGACGTTGCGGCGCATGGAGGCTTTGAGGTCCTCGATGGCGGCATTTGTGCGGGATAGCTTGGTCGGTTTCTCTTTTTCGGCTTCGGAGGGGGATTCGGATCGTGATCGCGAGGGCGAGCGGTCTGGAGATTCAGGGTCCGGTAGAGGGAGCTGCGCAGCTGGCTCGGGCGTCTTGACTCGCTCTTTGCGCTCTGGCTGGGGGGATGGGGATCGGGGTCGTTTTCGAGTCTGTGTTGGCGCTGACTGTGGCTGTTTCGTCGCTTGAGCTGGCTTCGAGGACTCGTTGGTCGTCGGGGGGTTCGTGTCCGTGACCAGAGCGGCGTTGTATTTGGGCTTTGCAGGTCTCACGGGCATGTCGACGTCTCCCTCGTCATCACCAAAGCTCAGCAGCGTCTTGCCGCCCTTGGGTGCCTTCTTCTTCTTCTTCGGCGCGGGCTTGTCATCCGTCTTCGCCGTCGCGGTCGCCGTGATCTGTCGCGCCTTGATCTTGCCCTCCAGCGGACCCAACTCGCCCACCTCGCAAGACGTCACTTTAACAGGGTACACAGGCCGATCGGTGCCCTCGACCCTCTCGGCCTCCGCGATCTTCACCACATTGTATATACTGTCTCCCTCGATGCGCCCGAACAGCGTACACTGGCCGTTCAGCTCGCGCTCCGTATTCGCCAGCGTGATGAAGAACTGACTTCCATACGTGCCGTCCTCGCTCTTCGCCATCCCCACCAGCCCGCGCCGATTGAACCGCAACCGACTGTGCAGCTCATCCCGCAGCACCACCTTCTCGTTGGGATCGCGCGCGTCCTGGTCATATTCGAATTCCCGGTCCTCGTAGATCGCGGTGCCGCCGGACCCGGTGCCCGTGGGGTCGCCGCCCTGGATGATGAAGTCGGGTTCGATGCGGTGGAAAATCGTGCCGGCATAGTAGTTGTCCTTGCAGTGTTGGAGGAAGTTTCTGCACGTTAGCGGGGTCTGGTTTGCGAAGAGGGCGATTTGTAGAGGGCCGAAGGTGGTGTTGAGGGTCGCGGATGCGGTGGCCGGGGGTTCGGTGGTGTAGTGCGATGACATTTTGAAGGAGGGTAGGAGTTATGAGGTAGGTTTGGGAGTTTGGATGGTTGGTTTGAGGCCCGACGCGTTCGATGGTGTGAGGAAGGGTCGAATGGGTTTTTGTAGGGAGTGTTGTCGGGATGCGAATGGGTCGAGTTGTAAGGTGAAACTCGATGTGTGGCGTTGCCGATCTCCTAAATTATATGCATGATTCAATGGAGCGGAACTGTAGGGTTCGAACGTGGTCGGGCAGGACAGGAGGGAGTGGAATGAAGGTTGAGTTGAGCGGGAGTGAAGCTCTTCGGGGAAACTTTTTACTGGGTCACGTCACACGTCATGCCCTACGGAGGATTTCTATATTATGGATTGTTTCACCACAACAACATTCTTGAGGATAGTCTTTGCATAAAATTATCGAGTAAGATATATTACCTCTGTTGCCAGATTTTGTGCTAAGGTGAGACTACCAACTATTACAAAGCCATCCTTTTTTTTTTTTTTTTTTCTTTTCTTTTTTTTTTCTATGTAAAGTGGTTAAGTAGAATCGTAAATATCATTGAACTGATATATCATAGTGTCAACTTCTGTACAAAACTCGTTAAATTCACAGACCATATACATCATAAAAGCATTGATCCATATCTGGGCAACTATACAGACATTAGCTACATGCGCAAGATAAACTGAATAGAAACTTACTAGACGGGATCCTTCCCAAAGATGATATGCCACATGTATTCCATCACTCGCCCACTGATGTCATCAGGTAGATTCGTATCCATGAGCCACCGATGATAGTGGATATAACTGCTGAGTGGACGTTTCAACACCTGGTCTCTCGACACTGCGAACTGAGCGCAGCAAGGCGACGCAATGATTTCCGGGACATCGGTGCTGTTGAAAAGCCCATTCCAAGCATCGACAAAGGCGATCTCAGACAGGCGCGACTCGTCCCTGGGTTCGCGAAATGGGCGAATTTCATCCGGACAGCCAGGATTGGGATTGCAGCGTAGGTTGGCGTAGCCGTTCTGCTGGACGAAATCGGTTTGCAGTAGCTTGATCGTGTCCACGTTGCTGTGTTCTTCGAACTCGGTGTGCCATGCTTCGGGCCAGCCGTCGCGGTGGCTGTGGAGAAAAGCGATGGTCGATGGTAGGTTGTGGTAATGATCAATGATGTACCGCAGATATACATTGGCTTCTTTGCCCTTGTTCTTGGTCACTGGGAGGGGCGCTGTAGGGTCATCCACCGTGTAGATTGCACGTCGCCACCTGGAGTTCATCAGGGAGGTTAACATCGTCTTCCTACTGCCGCCAGAGGGTGAATGATACTAAATACTCACTCGGGCAGCTCATTGGCGATCCAGTCCGTCTGCTCATGGCTTAATTTCCCAACCACGATGATGCGATCCATCTCCATGATATCTGTGCTGGCCACCTCGTCGATGGTTATCTGTGATGAACCGATATTGTCTCCGCGCGACGGCGCCAGATCGGTGACCGAGGGGCGTCTGCGACCCGTGGAGGAGGAATGCCATCGAGTTGGAGTCCCTTTAGGACGCGCGAGACCAGATCCACGCCCGGATAGATAGTTCTGCCATCGAAATTGGATCGTTTTCAACTCGCTCGTGATCCATAACACTGTTAGAAGAACACAAAATGCTGCCCCTAGTCGCTCAATTGGCCGCATTCTCAAATAACACTCAATGCACAAGGCCTGGGTAGAAATTCAACATCGCATTAAGGCTTGGGGACTATTCTTGCGAGTTCTCTTCCCCGCAAAAAAGGGGCACGACTTTGTTTTTATGTTCCATGGCCGAAGAATCGGTCAGCAATCACTGTCACACTGACTGAATGATTGCCTCATGGATGAAACGGTCCAGACAGGGGGTCTCATGAGACGAGTAGTTGTTCCTGTGTGTTGCTCTTCTGGTTCCGGCGAACCGTGGAGAATCGTGATGTCACGCTGATAGGAACATGGAGTTGACACGGGCCGCATGGCCGATGGTGGATCCAGAGAACATCTTGTCCCATGGTCCGTCGCACTTCATACTGTCATCGATCTTTGAAAGGGAAATGATTCGACAAGAGGTTAAATCGGTCAGGGACAGACGATGGTCTTTAATCCAGTCGGGCTTGGCGTTACATTCCTTGGCTCCTTGCATTCACTGCTCTGCTTTACTGTCTGGCGATGAGGATGCTGATAGTTTAGAAGTACAACATGCTTTTCTTGGAGGGTTGAAAAGCTATTCGACGTCTAAAACAACGACCGACTCGGGCCCCTGGCATCTCAGAACGCCCTCGCCGTCCCAGATCAGAACTACTAATTCGATCAATACTACTACCATCCAAAACTCAATGGCACCATGGGATTATTATTGTCTTGATACACCATGCACTTGTGCCAGCAGCATGGCCGTGTCCTTGATATACTCGCGACTCTTGCTCAACCCTCGGAGCGGATGGTTATAATGCGCAAACGCATGAGGCACACCCGCGTACGTCTTCATCGTCACTTGGTTCCCGGCATCCCGCAACATTTCTCCATAGTATATCCCTTCATCACGCTCGACATCGAACTCAGCCGTGATGATATGCGCAGGAGCCAAGCCCTTCAAACAAGGCGAAAGCACAGGCGTCATGCGCCAGTCTGAGAGAGTGCGAGCCCGTACAGCCGGGTCCGTACCAATATAGTAGTTCAGAAACCAGGATTCACGCGCAAGAGGAGACCAAGGAAGATCAGAAAAGAAAATCGCGCTAGGGTATGCGCAGGTCTCTGCCGTTAATGGCTCGGCTTGGTCGATTGAAACCGGCACGTATCGCATGTCCGTAGCGGGAACGACCATCAGCTGCAGTTTCAGATCGAGAGGAGGGGAGCAGTCGCGCGCGAAGTTGGCCAGGACAGCAGTGATCAATCCGCCTGAAGAGAGGCCACCGATGGATATGGAGTTGGCGTCGAGGTTGAGGAGGTTGGCATTGGCGTGGGCCCATCGCACTGCTGCCCAGCAGTCGTAGAGTGCCACGGGGAACGGGAACTTCGGGGCAAGACGATAGTCTACATCGATGACAATGATGGAAGACTCATTGCATATACTGCGACACCAGGCTTGCTCGGATTGAAGACCTCCAAGCACCCAACCCCCTCCGTGGAAGTTTATGTGCACAGGAAAGGGCCCGCGTCCGGCCGGGGTATACACTCGACAGGCAATGGAGCCATCAGGATCTGAAACGGGGACTTGGTGAACTTGAACCTGGTGTACATCTGGACCTTAAAAGGGAGAAAGAAGGAGGTGAGAGTTTGCCCTGCTTAAAGCGTTCTGGATCACTTACCTGTCCAGGTTGGGTAGGTGAAGCTGTACTTTGCCGGATTTTGGCGAATCTCCTCGACGGTCACCAAATGAGCGCCGGTAATATCTGATCCATACTTTGACCACATTTCCCGCCATTCTGAATCCAGACCAGGGATGTATTTTTCTGGTATGCATGGTCCTCGCGTCTTGACAGTCGGAGACGCCTTGATCTCTGTCTGGGTGATTGTTGCCATATTGCGAGGAGTTCGATTGATGAGGAAGGTAACGAATGTCAATCGATGCCAACTTTTGGATTTTATTCTTGCACCGGTTATCTCCATTTCACCAATAATCGCGATAGCCTCCGTACCATCTGAATAGTTCTATGATTTCCCCATCGGGCTAACAGTGGGCCGGCGTCGGCATCGCTCTTGATTGGCGGCATCCACCAACTAACCACGCCGTATGGAGTCTCGTATCTGCTTCCCCACACTTATCGGCCGTGGGATAGTCAGAGATAACAGTCATGGAGTACTCGTGAGGGCATGCATCTATAAACGGACCACATGCCAAAGCAAGGCCGCAGTTCTTCGCAACCCGACATAGATCACCATGCCTGAAAGTTCAAGGATGTCAGGAAGAGCTGAAGAACAGAGAGGCCCCTCATTGACGGCGGGGAAAGACAACAACCCCACAGATCAAGCATACGAGCCTGGTTTGCGTCGCATACCAGATCGCATGCCCTGGGTTGCTCTCCTCATCATCATCGTCGAACTAGGGGAGCGATTTACGTACTTTGGATTGAGTGGGCCGCTTCAGAATTATATCAAGTATGTGATGCTATAATATTTTAACCTTGAAGCCATCGTGCGAACATGATTCTAAATTTGGACATAATAGGAACCCTTATGCACCAGGCTCAGAATTACCAGGTGCTCTGGGAAAAGGTCAAGCCATTGCCACTGCCCTGGGGAACTTTTTCAAATTCTGGGCATATGCCTCAACTGTCCTGGGTGCGGTGATCGCTGGTAAGGGAACAACTAGTGTTTCATATCAGGTCGCTAATAAATGTCGACACAGATCAGTATATTGGCAAGTTCAAGGCTATTTGTGTATCTTCGGGTATTTATGTCGTCGGCTTGACTCTTCTAGTAGCAACTGCCACCCCAGCAGCTATCAAAGGGGGCTCAGCATTTGGAGGACTGGTTGCGTCGATGGTCATTATCGGACTGGGAACTGGTGGAATCAAAGCAAACGTTACACCGTTCTGCGCTGAGCAGTACCAAAAGGCCAACGCTTATATCAAAACCCTAAAGTCGGGCGAGCGAGTGGTCGTTGATCCTGGACTAACCATTGAGCGGATGTTTATGTGGTAAGTCGCTTTTTCCAGGCAAGAACAAATGTCTCCTATCTAACTGAGAATAGGTTCTACTGGGCTGTCAATATCGGTGCCTTGTCGCCACTCATAACCGTCAATGTGGAAGCTAAAGTTTCATTCTGGCTTGCCTTCCTCATCCCTTTGATGTTCGTATACAAGCGCGGTCCACCTATTAACAAAATTGGCTAACATTCTTTCTAAGAGTAATCGTTATTGCCGCTGTTATCTTCGTTAGCAGCAGCAAGTTATTCACGAAAACTCAGCCCCAGGGATCCCCAATTGTGGATGCAGCCAGGACAATCCACATTGCGATAGCGGAAAAGGGATTCGAGAATGCAAAGCCCAGTGCTCTGAGGGAACATAGTCGTATAGATAGATACTCGATTGCATCAGACGTCAAGTATACTGATCAGAGTGTTCAAGAAGTCAAATCAGGCATCACGGCCTGCAAGGTAAATCCTTCCATTCTTGTCCTAAGAAACTACCCAAATTAGAAAGCTGATATCTGCTTAGCTGTTCCTTCTCTTCCCGTTCTACTTCATTTGCTGGGTACAAATCTGGAATAATCTTATCTCGCAAGCCGGCCAGATGGCGTTGCACGGTACACCGAATGATCTCCTGCAAAATCTGGACCCAATTGCTTTGATCATTTTTATTCCTCTTCTGGACCGTAAGAGGCCACCCTTCATTTGTTACGCCAAGTTACATATAAAAGAGATCTAACCTCCACAGTTGTTATATACCCCCTTCTACGCCATTTCAAGATCGACTTCCGACCAGAACTAAAAATCACCGCCGGATTTTTAATGGCGTCCATGTCCATGGTATATGCCAGTGTCCTCCAACACTACATCTACAACTCGCCGCCTCAGAGCATCCACGTCTGGATCCAAGCACCGGCCTACATTCTGGTCGCATTCTCCGAGGCTTTTGTAGTGGTAACGGGGCTGGAGATCGCTTTCACCAAGGCACCGGAAAAGTAAGTAATCCACGAGAGAAATTGTATTGGTATATGGCACAGCCAACTGACCCATGATAAATAGCCTTCGCTCGTTGGTGTCTGCTCTTTTCTGGCTTACGATTGGCATCGCCGCGGCCATCTGTATCGGTCTCGCTCCGGTCTCGCAAGACCCGTATCTGGTCTGGATGTACGGATCCCTGGCCATTGTGGGCTTTGTGGCGGGTGTTCTATTTTATATTCTTTTTGGACGGGCCTTGGATGAGCCTCTTCCTGTGCTGGAGTCGATGGAGTCATCGAACATGAATACGAGGGCAGATGAAGAGGCCTCATTGGGCGTGGGGAAGTATGCGGTTGTGGCGGGCAAGAATAGTGGTAAATGATGTCATGTCGTGGGGAGCAGTTTGCATGGTTTTTTTAATTCTATTTCGAACATTCAACACTACTGCGTACGCATAATTTTTTCTACCGTTTCTATTTCCCAACGTAATTCCCGAATCCATACGCTAATGAATGCCTATCCCGCCCTTATCTTTAGCGTTATCTAAGGGTTGCATCGCCGGGACCAGCGGATGCCGCCAATCGGACCGTCACTATTCCATCGACTTCGTCCCGTCACTTAACTATATCTTCAATGACTCACAGGAATTGGACTGCACATTTTGACAAGATAGAGTGATTTATCCAGAGCCTCAGTATCCAGCGAAAATGGCACACGACGATATCGTCGTTCTAGGGTAACGCCCACATCCCCGACCTCGGCAATTGACCACTTCTGACTCGAACATGTACTTCCAGCGCCGGCATCATCGGCTTAAGCGTCGCTTTGGAGTTATCCAAGCGTGGCTACGGTCAATATGTGATCGTTGTGGCGGAGCATCTTCCGGGTGATAAAACCATCAACTATACGTCGCCCTGGTATGTTAATTTCACCTTGCAAAACCGAGTGCATATTGAACTTTTATCTGTAATATTCGTTGTAGGGCCGGAGGAAACTTCTCTGGTATCTCGGGCAGCGATAAGAATGCCCTGCACTGGGACCGACTGGGCTATTTGACGATGATGGACTTGGTGGAGAGAGGCGCCGAAGAGGCCAAGTATCTGTCGAAGACGGAATCAACAGAGTATTGGGATGAGATGCCCTCGAGTGACAAGATTCAGAGCATTGTCGAGTATCTGCGAGATGTAAGACTGATGAATTATTCCTTCATGGCGTGTCTCCGGTGGCGATGAAAAGCTCACGATTCCCCAGCCCGTTGAAGTCCCGCAAAACGAACTCCCACCCGGAGTATCGTTCGGCCTCAGATTCACGACCATCACGATCAACGCACCAGCCCATTGTCAGCATTTACAGGGCCTCTTGTCCAAGCCGCACTACGGCGGCGTGCGCTTCGAGCGCCGCAAAATTGCATCGCTCTCAGAGGCATTCCTTTCGCCCGCCACGAAAGTCGTCTTCAATTGTATCGGCAACGCAGCGGTGTCGTTTCCCGGAGTCAATGACTCCAAATGCTATCCTACCCGAGGACAGATCGTCCTGGTCAAGGCGCCCTCCGTAGCGCAGAATATCATGCGTCATGGAAAAGACTACGAGACGTACGTGATTCCGCGACCGCTCTCGGATAACACCGTCATTCTGGGCGGGTACCTGCAGAAAGGCAATTGGGATAGCCAAGTCAAGCCGCATGAGACGGAGTCGATTCTGAAGAGGACTGGGGAGTTGCTTCCTGTGCTGAAGACTGGGGATACGAAGATCCTAGGAGAGGCGGTAGGATTTCGGCCTTCGAGGGAAGGGGGTGCAAGGGTGGAACTGGAGCAGATGAAGGATGGTGGGAAGATCGTGGTGCATAATTATGGGGCTGGAGGAACGGGGTTTCAGGCTGGGTTGGGTATGGCGCAGGATGCGGTGGATTTGGCTGATGGCAAGTTGAGGGAGATTAAAGGCAAGAGTCGATTGTGATCTGTATACTGCTTGTTAATCTGTTCATGGACCATTGATATTGTTGTACTTGTATTGAATACTATTGTGGTTTGGTAGTAATATGGAAGCAACCTATAGGAATAAGCAGTACATAAAAGTGGAAAGTAAATCAAATAAAAGAGCTTTGACTATTTACCATAATTCATAGCCAGCACCTTTCGATTAAGTCTTTGTAGAACGCAAACTGCTCTCTACTCCTTGAGTTACAAATTTCCATTCCTCAGGAGTCTTCATCTCTTCCCATCCATGAACCCTCTGGTCGACAAGTGCATTCACTCGCCAGCGATCCTGTGTGCCCTTTCTCTTCTGGCAACATCTCGGCACTGCGAGGACCTTCTTCCCAATAAAATCAGCCGGGTCTACTGCGAATAAAAGCCATGAATTTGCATAAACGCCATCGTCATCCTCAATCTCAATGATGTTAATCTGCAATACCTCAGGATTGATATCGCCATCTGGGACAAGATGGTCAAAGGTAACACCATAATAGTCAATCAACCTGGTAAATTGAATGATTAGCTATTGAGATATCATGCTAGAGACTGAACGCAAACCAACTCTTCCGGATATTTTTCTGGCATCCAACCCAAATACTCATCTCGGACCACTAGGTCACCGGGGGCCTCTAGGCAGACATCGCGCCTATATATTGCCTGATACGTCAACCGTGCTAGCTCCGGGCCTGCTGGCTGCGGGAACTTTTGGTCTAGTAGATTCAGACGCCACTGAATATTTGGTAGGAGTCTTCCTATGGCGATCAAAGGACCCTCGATTTGAATTCTGAGGGGCTTGTCAGATGTTGGAAAGTGATACCGGCCGGTAGGAGTGTGAATGCATGGCGGGATATAAAGTGGAAGAGCCATTGCATGGGATGTATCCCCTTGCAGATCAAATGTTGAGAAAGTCGCTAAGATGGTTAGCAATCAGTTCTTACCGGCGGTGCAGGTCAGCGCGTAGATGGCAACAACCACTTTATAAGAGCTGGAAGTATAGAGTGCTGACTCATCCCCTCCACGTGGTTCCCCGCAAATGAGCGCGTCCTTCCTTATCTCCTTCCAGGTACATTCTCCCCAGTCTCTTTCATTATTCTCCAACCATTGCACCTTGTCACTCTATATCCGAAGTCCATGGAAAATGATCACTCTACAAAACCGATGTCGCTTGCATCGGCCGGTCCCCGTAGGTACATGAGCAAAGCCCAACGAGCATGCGACTTTTGCCGGTCTCGAAAGTCCGCCTGTCAAATCGATACCGTTCCCCCATGTCGTCTGTGCAGAGCTCACAGACAACCTTGTGAGTTTACGGACCGTATAGTCCGGAGGAGAAGACCGATTGCTGAAAGAAGATTATCGACATCTCCAATTTCGAGCAATGAGATGGCTACTCAAGAGCAATTGCACGAAGACGTTGTGCAACCACAGCATCTGGACTTTTTACCGGTGACCGGAAGCCCTTTTGCGCTTGAGTCATCAACCCTCGGGGACCAACTGATGGGTTTCGATTTGGAAAAGGAGCTCGATGATGGTCTACATGGCTCTTCGGTCCCCGCTGGGGGAGATCAATCCATAATGGATGATCTGATGCTGAGTATTTATGACGACCAGGGGTTATCACGCTTTGATACGATTCCTAGATCGGCTCAAATACCACTTGATAGTAATCTGTCAGTGGCGTCTCAACTTTGCGGTCTGACGGGAGATATGGATCCTTATCTATTACGGCATTACCAGTTCGACGAGAAGTCGGAGTTTGCTTTCTCGAAGCTTACTGTACGCGCTGTGCAGGATACTGGAGTGCCGGTTCAATTTCTATTGTCAAAACCAAATCCAAGTATAGATTCAAGAGACCAGGTTCTATCCCATATTCAGGATGGGCAATTACCGGCCTTATCGCAGATTGTTCCCGCGGAAATCGGGGAGCGGTTAATTAAGCTGTGAGTTGTCAATGGAACTGCAAGTTGCGATCATGAAGCCAACATCTCAACAGATTCATTCGATTTATAAATCCACAATTCCCCATATTATCCGAGGAAAACCTTCCCAATCCGTCAAATGCCCCGTGTAATTTATTGGCGGCGATCTACTCAATCACCCAGCCATTTACGGCTTTTGACGACTACTTATGTATTGAGCTTGTTTATAGCCCTCCATCGCCAGAAGTTCTATTCAAGATTGCGTGGAACGCGCTCAATAATGCACTCTCGGAACCTACGATATCCTCCTTACAAGCTGCTCTTATTTTGCTTTTACAGCCACCTGAAAACCCCCTTGTACTTGACAGTGCCGGGAAATGGGCTCTACTGGGTATGACCGTATCGATGGCTCAGACACTAGGCTTGCATCTTGACCCATGTCATTGGAATATACCAACGGAGGAAGTCCGCACCCGACAGCGATTGTCATGGATTACCTACACCGTCGACAAATGGCTCGCTTCCAGCTTTGGTCGACCCAGTCATATCTCAAAGAATGACTGGATGATCATTGAGCTTCCCTCAACGAGTATAGGCACTAAAACAACTGATAATAGCGAAGAATCATACACCTATCAATTCTTAAAGCTCACCACCATATTAGACAAGATATTAACTGATCTTTAGTATGGCCCGTCACCAACATGCGATCACAAGAAGAAGCTAATATTAACCAGCTCTTTACGCTCAATATCCACTCTATCCAAAGATTTCCGTTTAACTATATCCATCGCTCGTCCAATCATGCAAGAACTCACAATGTGGCACGCCAACCTCCCACCCTCCATGATGATCGACTCCACAAACGAGTATAGAACCACCGTCTCCGACAACTCAGCATCCCTACAAATCGCCTACCAGTCCCTCAAAATCCTCGTTCTTCGCGCATTGCTACGTCCATTCAACAACGCATCCCCGAGCCCAGAGGATACAGAGGAATGGCACGCCGCGAAATCGCAGATCCTCAAGACGGCGTCCGTCGAGGCCGACGCAGCCCTAAGCCTTGTTTCGTCTTTCAGGCCAGTGCATTACCAAGCTTTTTGGGCTTCTTGTATGTTGATCTCATAGTCTTAGCCCGTGTTCCTTTACTCATACTCAGCTGTTAGGGTCTAAAACCTCGTTCGCGCTAATCACAAACCTTCTGTTTCTTCTCGCGGTCACGGTGCATCAGGAGGGGGTGGGAAGTGGAGAAGAGTATAAGAAGCGACGGGAAGCTCTTGATCAGGCCCGCTCGATCTTTCGATTACATGCGAAGAGTCTGGATATGATTCGCTTTGCGCTTCTTCGGATCGATGCGGTGTTTTGGATTGGATGGGAAAAGGTCTTGGGGTTCCCATGAGCATTGAAAATAATAGCATTTTGATATCTCGTAAAATCAACCGTTGGCATGCATGCATAACCGTATCCTCGTAAACATTCTCCGCAATAGATTCAACTATCCATTACCCATTAAACATCAACCTTCTTATTCTCCGTAACCGCCTCCACCGGCGCCTCCACACCCGCGTTCTTCTGCTTCTTCGCAATCCGGAACCCGCCCACCGCCAGGATCAACGCCTCCAGACCCAAAATGACAGCCAGAGTCACCATGGCCCCGATGACACCGGCCACGGGTCTCGACACGCCACCGTCATCCTTCGACGACGCACCCACGGAGCCCGAGCCCGAATCCGAGCCCGACCCAGACCCCGACGAGGAACACTTACTATCCGAGTTCCCGCACACCTCGCACCACTCTTCGTCGGACGAGACGGCGATCTTCTTCGTCTGCTCGACAAACGTGGACCACGGGATCGTGGCGTTCGATTCGCCGTAGAGCGCGTATTCGGACGGGCTGCTGCCGTCCGTGATGGTTCCGTTGTGGAAGACGAAGCGCACGCTGATTTCCGACTCCGATGGGAAAGAGGACCCCGGGGCGTCGGTGACGAGCTCCCAGGCCATGGACGATGCGTAGTCCGGCACGCCGGTGAAGTTGACGTTCACGCCAGGGAGCTGGGCCAGGCCGAAGTAGGAGAGGAAGGTGCCGTAGGAGCCGAATTGGATGTTGAGTTTCTTTTTCTCGGCCTTGTTGGTGATGGTGGCGTTCAGGGCGGCGAGCATTTCACCGGCGAGTTGGGAGCCGGCGATGGCGCGCGCCGTGTCGGTGGTGTTGTAGGCGAGGTTGTATTGTTCGATGTTGGCGAGGTGGAAGAGGCGGGTGAGTTGGGAGGCGGAGGGGGTGTTGGAGGTGTTGTGGATGGAGGCGACGTTGAGGTAGTCGAAGATGGTGTAGGCGTTTTTGAAGCTCATTTCGCTGTCGGAGAAGGCGCCGGAGAGCATGGAGGAGAGGGATTTGTAGAACGAGGCGCTGGACGAGAGGATGTCGCTGTACAGCGTCGAGCTGTAGTAGTTGTTGCTGCTGACTTTGGCGTTCTCGCAGCCGGTGGCGTCCTGGAGCCAGGTGTTGTCTTCGCTGTCAGTGCCTTGGGAGATCAGCGAGAGAGGAATGAGTTGGTAGCCGTTAAGAGGTGCTTCGACGGTGGTGCCATTGCTGAGGGTTTGGTTGGCGGAGGAGCCGGCCGGGGGATAGACGCCCTGGAGGAAGCCGATGGCGGAGTTCTGCAGCACGTTGTCGGAGGGCGCGGAGGTGTCAATTTGGCTGAGCTTGACGAGGTCGGAGCTGATGCCTTCGATGTGGGATGCTGAGTCCGAGTCGATGTAGCGGTCATGGTAGTAGCTGCCGGTCTGGTATACCTGGCTGTATCCCAGGTCGGTGAGCTGTGTGCTGCCCAGAACCTTGGGGGTGCGGTCTCCGTGGCGAGCAAAGACATAAGCTCCGAGGACTCGTTCAGCCGAAGCGAAGGGAGCAAACGGCGTGGCTAGGAGAGCCAGCACTAGGCTCGATGGTTGCGAGGAAGACCGCATTGTGAAGGATGGCAGGTTGCAACGACACCAGCAAGACCGGTAAATCGGGGGATGGCTCGTCTCGAAGAGAACGAGGAGAATGCGGATGCAGAGTTGAGATTTATATGATGATGATAGTAACTAGCGGGACAGCCGCGGAGAAGGGAGGGAATGGGCCGGTGTTATCATGATGACTCTTGACTCACGGCGGGGTCCGCAGATAGTGGAATGCAAGTGCCGGTCGTGCGGAGGTCCAGAGCAACGACGGGCTCATTTGTTCTCCTCGGATCCTACCCTGTACGCCCGAGCGAGATTTCCGCGGTAGCAGCCAACGCCTGCAGAAGCTTGCTTTCGGGTGCATGATAGACCCCCGTGGATGCCCGAATTGAGTTCCCTGACTCGACCAGGGCCGTGCGGGGAACGATGCAGTGACAGGAAGTGATTTGTCCGAGGAGAAAACGATGCACAGGAGGAAGGAACTCATTAGCTAATTGCATCCTATCAGATATGAAAGCTTGTCTGCCATTGGGGCAGCAGGGGATTAGTGCCGGTGGAGAGAAGTCTAGTCTCTCGTCTCCCTCGCGCTGATCTTGGCACCTCGGCAGTCATCGGCGAAGTCCGCCAAATCGGTGGCAGATCAGCCCTGTAGAATTGGCATCGATGGGAAGTGTGCCGCTGGTTACATCGGTCTTACTTCGCCAGTACCTTCTACATGCTAAATAGGCAGGGGGGGAGATAAGATGAGATCGGATAAGATCAGATAACAGATCAAAGCTTTGCGAGCAATCGGAGATTTTTCTTTTTTCTTTCTGTTTTCTCCGTTGCTTGGAAGCTCACCAAGTACTATCCGGTCAGTGGAAAAATATACTCCGGAATGGACATTGCCAGATCACTCCTGGTCTCCATGTTTGGTACCACGCGTTGGACACCCCCACTTTTGATACTATATGCCACCACATACGACCTCGGTGATATTAACCTAATGTATGATGGCTGCATACTATCACACGAGAGACTGGTGCTCGGAGGAAGTCTTATAGTCCGAAAAATTAATTTCGTTAAAAGCTTATTACTACGAGTAATTAGTAGTAAAACGGCCTTGCACGACCTGTTGCTGGCGTGCAATGAAAGGTAGGCTGAGATCTAGGTCAGATTGTAAACAGTAACGGAAGCCACAAAAGCTTGATCTCATAAGGAAAAGCCATCCATGCAGGCTCGTCGAGTCTGGTCGATCAATATCATTTTTGATTGTGGAAGAGAAAGAAGTAACAGTGCGGAGCAAACCCAAAAAAAAAAAAAAAAAAACACTATGAGCGCAAAAAAGAAAATGCTTCCGGTGCGGGGAATCGAACCCCGATCTCCTGTGTGAAAGACAGGTATGATAGCCGTTACACTACGCCGGATAGTAGATAGCAAATCTTGCCAAATTTGACGCCATAAGCCTAGGCTTATCAAGACCCAAAAATTGAATATCTTGTTCATCGGGCCCGTAGAATCATCAGGGTTTAATACCGTTAGGCTGGTGATTAGATCGCGTATAATATCTATTGAGCAGACAACTAAGTTTCCTGTTTACTTTTCTCTGCCATGCTACCTTAAATTGCTTAATAGTCAAACGTTCGCAAGATTAGGCCACTGATTCGCTGGGCTTACCACGAGACACGGAGTACTTGGACAATGGAAGCTATGTGGGGCGGGTGCCTTTGCCTCAGGTGAACTATAGCTTACCTACCTTTGCCATGTTGTTTCTTGTCTTATTCTATCTCGTGTAGGCTACACACTGTTAGGTACCTAGAATAAGATGTGGTGGGCTTAAAATGAAACTCCACCGGTCCATTATGAAATCACTATAGCAATATGTCACACTCAATAGAACCCATCAACCACTGACCTTATCCCAATCATTTCTATAGTTAGTGAGACCCCAGGCTATGAAATCAAAAGAACATCTGCTTATTCATCAACACCTCCGGCGTAGTGTAACGGCTATCATACCTGTCTTTCACACAGGAGATCGGGGTTCGATTCCCCGCACCGGAATACGTTTTTGTTTTTTATCTACCTTGGCTTGTTTTGGAATATCTGAAGGTTGCTTTTGACTGAAAGCGGATGTAAATTTTTGAGGGGTTGATAAAGTTGCCGGAAGTCAACTGAACTTTGCCTGCGTGCATTCAAAAGATTGGGCTGGTACATGCTACGGAACATGAAGGCAAGGGGTCTCGACCCAGAGATATCACAGAAATTGAAGCGTCTGAAAAGGGTATTCGGATCTATTATTCTGCTATTTTCAACGACAAGGCAATTAATTGATCAGACGGACACACTCTTATCCCCCATCAATTCGCACCCGTTTCGTACAACTCCAACCAAACCACCCGTTTGCATGCTTTCCGAACCGCCGCTGGCAAGTCGAAATTCGATTTCAGCAAGGCCTTCTAACCAGGTGATTCTCGTCTGTGCGGGGACCTCCAGCCGCTGCAGCTGATCACCCAGAGCTGCGAGGATGTCGGCCAAGGCAAGTCCCTTGTTGGACTTCAGGGTATTAACCGTGTTGAGACATGAAGTGACATCGCTAGTTGCAAGGAGAGTCGTCATGATTTCTTGGATATCAGAGGGATGCGGGGCGGCAATGCAGTCGTAAATCGTCTCGTTCGTAATAATCTCCGGCTGGGGACGTGGTTGGTCTTTAGGTGCGTTCTTCATGGGGAGGGGTATGCCTGTGATAAAGTTAGCTTGCAGTGCTAGGGAAATTGGATCCAAGGTGCTTACTGCTTGCGTGGCAGGCCTGGAGGACGTTCAATGCTCGACGCATGTCACCCTTGCTCAACGTGACCAGACTGTCCACTGCTTCGGGTTGAATGTTGATCTGCTCCTTCTCAACCACCAGATCCACCAAGGACCGAATATCTTGCTCCTTCAATGGACTAAAGCGGAATCGAGTGCATCGGGATAGAAGCGCCGGGGAGAGCTTGTGCGTATAGTTTGCAATGATACAGAACCGCGTGTTGGCAGTGTATTTCTCCATGATTCGGCGAAGTGCCATCTGCGCGGTGGAGGTCATAGCGTCGGCTTCGTCAAGCACAATCAATTTATACGAGGCGAGGGAGGAGTCGCTAGATGTTGACTTGGGTGCCATGGAGAAGATCTGTTTCGTGCCTATACAGTCTGGTAAGCCTGGGGTCCAGTAAACAAAGGTTTGGCTTGGGTGGACGGACTAGCGAAGGTCTTGATTTGCTCTCTGACCACGTCAATGCCTCGATCATCACTAGCGTTCAGTTCCAGCACCATTTGGCGCATGTTCTTCTCTCCGTATATCCGTCTTGCGAGCGCGAGAATTGTAGATGTTTTACCGGTACCGGGAGGTCCGTAGAGAAGAAGATGAGGGAGTCTCTGATTTAGGTTAGCAACAGGCGGCATCCGAAGGGCTCGTCGGAGGTAATTCGCATACGTTGGCATCGACAAATTTGTCAATCGTCGCTAAAATGTCCTGGTGTCCGGAGACATCGTCGAGTGATACAGGACGGTACTTTTCTACCCTAGGATAGGTCAGCCAGCCATAAACAGAAATAGTCGGAGGTTCAGTTTATAGAATTACCAAGGCAGGTTATCTTGAGCTTCCACCGGCAAGTCTGCTGCAGTTCTCTTCGCTTTTCCACCAGTGTTATCGGAGCTGAACTGCAGAGCGCCCTTGGCAGGGGCATCCACGTCCATTTCGTCCTCGAAGTCAGACATTTTCTCGGTTTCTTCGCGAAGGTCAAAGCCACACGGCCGTTGCAGTATCCGAATCCAGTATTGAGCAGGAACAAATCGTGGTTTGGAGGCGACAGGAGAATGGGAGAAAGCAGACGCGTCGGAGGCCGCCCGCGCGTTAAGAGGTTCGGCGCCGGAAAATCCTGGCAGAGCTCAGCCCTACCGGTGATGACATGCAACTCCCGCCGTCTGGCAGCACTGCCTCCCCGACCACCTGCCCTGCGCTTCCCCCGACAATCCCCTTTGGACCGGCTCTAGGAGGATTGATTGACCATTGGAACTATACAATATGCCCGTACGTTTCTTCGACAATTCTACCGATGCTCTCTCCACGTCTGACTTCAATCTAGGCATACCACTCCATCTTCCTTGAGGACCGGGATGTCCCCGTAATCGGTACGACCAGAGCTCTCCCTCTCCCCCGCGCATCCCCTGAAAGAAGCGATATACGGCTCAAAAGTACTCGCGAGATGTGTCTACTCCCTCACTGACTCTATCCCTGGTCGCAACAGGCAACTTTCCTGTCCTCCCCCTCCGTACCCGCACTCGCGGCCCCGCATACACTCTCCCCCCGCTACCACCCAACACCTCCGACGCCGACGTTGCCCCCGACAGCGAGTCCTACGACTGTGTCGATGAGATCCTGTCTCTATTCCGCGCCAATGTCCTCTTCCGGAACTTCGAGATCAACGGTCCCGCCGACCGCATGCTCATCTACGGAACCTTGTTTATCAGTGAATGTTTGGGGAAGGTCCGGCCGTCGATGTCGAGCTTGGAAGCCAGCAAGGTACTTTCTGGACGTGATAGAGCCATCTAAGGGAATGAGTTTGCTGATTGAGTCGATATTATAGGCCCTGAACAACGTCGCTCTCGACCAGTTCGCTATCCCCGGTGATGCGACGTTCCCCCTGAACCAGGCCTTTGAGCCGCCTCGGGATCGCCAGGATGCCGAGGGCCTTAGAGCGTATGTCTCACCCCGCCACTATTCTGTTCGACGATTTCTATTCGATTGTTCATCTTCTAATATACCTCGCTCTTAGGTACCTCTCTCAAGTCCGACAGGAGATCGCGATCCGTCTACACGCTAGATTATACCCCGGTGGAGTTGGTCCTTCGAAGGTAAACAACCCCTATGTTGGTCATGTCGGATTTAACTAACGAATATACAGTGGTGGCTTAGCTTCGCGAAGAGAAAGTTCATGGGAAAGAGCTTCTAGGTTGAGACATTTCCTTTTGTTCGATCACCATTCAGATTCAGCGTACAGTTCAACTTATGAAAATCTTCAAACTACTTCTTGTATCTGACTTTCGAGGTGATTGGCTACCTTGAATTTTGATATATCCGTATGTGTTCTGTTATAGACGGGGAGGACAAGAGAGTTGGAATTGTTTTGTAGGTTGTGTTACCTCCAGGCAACGGTGTTTCCACTAGTATCTACTGCGGGCGGCCTTGATATATATTTCCGCTTCTCTACGTAGTATTTCGATTTCGACATTATGATACAATTATTAATGTAAATGCAGCAATATATAAAGTGCTTTTGATCATAATCAATAAGAATGTACTCTAATCTACAACCAAAGTATGCAAGAAAGTTCCCAAAGAGTCCAGGTCATTTCGTATCAACATCCATCCCACTGGCGCTGTCGGCCGTAGCGGTAGGCGTTTCCGGCGCCGTGATTTTCCTCTTCTTCCGACCTGAGTTTCCAGCCGCATGGACGGCCGTCTGAGTGGGAATTACTCGCACCGCATGGAATACATAGCCCTCGGCACCGCCCCGTCCGGACATTAGAGGATGCGTGCGGCCCGGTAGGACCTGCCAGTGGCGTACCCGGGATGTCTCAAGTGTCGGCGTCAGTAGAAGTGAGGGATCGAGGAAGAATTCTTCAATGAGCTCTTGGAACTCGTTGGTTTGGGTCTGGTCGGAAGACTGCTGTTGCTTCAGATCCTGCTTTTTGTTGAGGAAGGCAGTCTTCCTCGGAGTGGAGTAGAGGTCCATTAGGTTGGTGAGAGGCTCGATTGTAGGAGAGTAGACCGATACCTGGGCCGAGCCGGCCAATAGAGGAACAGCGTGTTTCAACAAGCTGTCGGGATCGGTGAGACTGGCAACCACAAGTCCGTCGTATCCACCCTCCCGAACCTCGTCCACGACGCTCCGCACTCGCATCCAGCGATTTCGCTTGCGATAGTAGGTATTGCGTTTGTTAGGCTTGAGGGTGGCTAATTCGGAGTCTGGAACGACGGGGGGTTCTTGGGAATATAGGCTGTCCGCGTTAGGGTCCAATAGTTGCATCCAAGACACGGTTTTCAGGTGCGCAAAAAGAGGGTGTGTCGGGTCGGGGTTGTCTTGCTCGTATCCAAAATGTTTCAGAAGAGATAGATTAGCTTGCATGTTGGCATGTACAAGAGTAATCGTGTTGTCCCGTGCAGACATATGAGACCGGCGATTCGGGCGCTGGGGAGAAGCGGTGTTCGCAGTAGACTGGGCTTCGTTGGCCTCAGCATCCTCCTGTGTCTTAGGCCGAAGTGGCTCATTCGCGGACGCCTGCTCCTCTTCATCTTCTCCATCGTGTGGGTAGAGAATACCCATTCGCTCGGCCATGGCAGCAACCACCAATCCACCCGTATCATCAATGACGAGGTAGCGGCCGTTGGGTTTTGTGGGGGCGAGAGTCGCATCTAGAGAAGAATCCGATCCGTAATGTACGTTTCCCCAGCATCCCAGCAGACCCAGCAGTTCGTCGCGCAGCTCCAATGTTTTCGTGGCATCCTTCTCATACAGCATATAGTTTGTCAGAAGGCTGACATCCAACGGAAGGACCGTGAAACGCTTCATGTACTTCTTCCGCTTGCGCAGGGTATATTTGGCCAGCGAGAAAGCGGTTTTCTGGTCCAGCGCGGAATGCGATTCCAAGAGCTTCGCGATAATCTCCCGCCCCGCGCCACCGGACTCTTTCTTCAACGCCTCGATTTCCTCCAGCGTCATTCGCTGCGCCGAGTTGTCGTCCAGGGTCTCGCGGTTCGTGCGCACGGGGATCTCGTCCATGTTCATTTCAGCCTCGTCGCCGCCGTCGCCATCTGCCTCTGCATCCCCTTCGCCTTCGGTGATCAGTGATTCCGCATGGATCTCGGCAGCCGGGATTATGCGCAGACTGCTGCCCTCGCCGTCGCCCGGAGCGCTCAGGATCTCGAAGGTCAGGTAGAAGGGCCGTCCGATGATTTGGTTGGAAGGAAAGCTGCCATATTTGCCCAGGAATATTAACCTAATAGACAGATGGAGTTAGCGGGACGGGAAGCCACAGAGAGAAATTCCAGGGACATACGTATTGGGCACGACCTTCACGATTTTCGTCAAATCGGAGGGGAGTCGCAAAGCAACGTGCTGATGAGGACGGATGTATGAATGCATGGTGCCCGGAAGAAATCAACCCCTATAAGCCAAGATCAAATCATTCGCAGTGATCAGGACCAAAACCGACCAATAGCGAACCCAATCTGTGGATGATGCATGAGCATTTCCATCTTTTTTTGCGACAGCGCACGGACCCGGCGGAGCTTGTCGATAGGAGATTACATAATCGTGCATTCTCGGGGCGTCGGGGGAAGTATTTGTCCGGGGCTTCCCGTCTTGGCAGCGTGTGGCTGGTGCTGTGGCCACTCAGACGCCGCGGGCGGGTCACCTGCCATGACCGACCAAAGCGGAGTGTGGCTGGGAATTCGCCATCGCCCGAGGCTCCACCGATGATGCTCTGCGCTCTCCATCCGCGATACGTAATGATGTTGACTGGCTGACTTTCGCTGGGAACTTGGGTGCCTTGTCCTTCCGTCGTCGTTCCCGTTTCTGTTTACTGGCCTCGTTCCACAGTGCGTTTCTATTTCTTGTTGCTTTTTCTCCCTGGCTATTCGCCTCCCAGTTCAGAGAGCTTGACTGGGGCGAAGAAAGGCATGGCTTGTCGCCTACGCTTGCTTTAACTTCACAGTAGCGTGTACTGTTGGCACCGCCTGACCTCACCTTCTTCTGTCCGTGTCAACGGTTACGAATCTGCCTTGAGCAACTTCGAAGGAATCCTCGAATGCTCGTGCATTAGAGAGTCTTACTCATTTGTCACCCACGGTTCAATAACATTGGCTACTGGGCCCTGATCCTCTTCTATCTGCTTGTTTTCTTATTGGTCCTTCCCCCGGTTCAATCGTTACAGGTTGAGACCCGCGAACCCGGTTGCCCCCAAACCGAAATAAATCAATCTGCCTTCCATGGTCTTGCGAAAACGAGCTCCGCCACATCTTTATAGCCTCAGTCAAGGGAATGCTCGTTTCGCACCTCGCTCTACAGCTGCACAGACATCTCCGACCGCTAAATCTACTGCGTCTCTGTCCCCCAAGCGCCTAACTCGTCCCCGTCGAGCTCAGAGCTCACCTCAGCCTCGGCGCCTCTCCTCGCAGGAATCGATATACTCCCCTGACCTCAACACGTCTCCAGCATTTGACCTGATGCCCTTAGAACAGGCTCAGAAGTCGCCCGTTCGGTCATCCGGCGGCGATGCGCCCAATCCGTGGGCCGACGAGTTAGTGGAGAGACCGGACCAGAATCGCCAGGAGTATACTAGCTCAGAGCTTCCACAGCTTGGTCATGGATCGCAGGAAGGGGGAACGGTGAACGATAGAGGGCCCGATCGGGTTCCGTCTGTTCTCGTCGCGGGCACCGAAAGGAGGACGGCTGCCAACGACTGGCAACAGAGCCAAGGGCTTAATGATACATCCGACTGGGAGCATTTGGGAGGTCCTTCTACTCCTCTGCGCTCGAATAATCCGTTTTTGAAACCCCGACAGCCCGATCAAAATCCATGGGACGATCGGAATTCCCGACCGCATTCCGAGGACACGGCATCTTTATCGCAGGATGGCGCGAGTGCGCGACTCGGTCAAGGTAGACTAACCTCGATAAATCTGCACCGGAAATTGAATGCTAACCTTTCACAGACGAGGGCTATATTCCTATGACAGCTCGCCTTTCCCTTTTCGATCAGCCAGTCTCCGAATCCCCGTGGGCCGAAGAGCATTCCAATGCTGCATTGCCGCCGACAGCCGTGCATCAGAACCAACATTCAGCTCCCATTCAGCAGAACTATACCGGCCAATATACAAATCAAGCTGCACCCACCCAGTTTCAACAGCCTTACACTCCTAGCAACGATCCGCAGTCATCCTACCCACCCCAGCCTTTTCAGCAGCAGCAGCAGCAACAACAACAACAGTATGGGCTGCTGGCTCCAGAAAATGGGATTAATACGCCAGCCACCGTCTCCACTGCAACCAGTGGCTCCTCTCATGTGCTCATTGACTTTGACGAAAACCCTCAGCCGCATGCTGGCACGAGCCCAAGCAAGACAGCTCATGAACACGCCATGAATAATGTGCAGGAGCCCCAGCCGTCGGCCTTCGAAGCATCTGGAAGTGCTCCACCCCTGCCAGACCGTTCTAATGTTGCTGGTGCTGTGTCTCAACCCACCGAATCAGAACCCAACCGACAGCAAGAACAGAAACTGGAGACCTATGCTATAAGACATGTTAATTGGACCGATATCACGGGGAAGCTGAGAGATTCTCCGATTCTATCCCAAAACAAAAATGGACCCTGTCCGTTACTGGCACTGGTCAATGCCTTGGTACTGCGCGCAAACCCAGACACGCAGCCGCCCATTGTTAGAGCGCTCCAAACAAGAGAGCAAATATCCTTAGGACTCTTGATAGAAGCATTATTTGACGAACTTACTACCTGCCTTGGACCTGATGATGAGCTCCCGGATATTGAGGCGCTCAGTCGATTTTTGACCATGCTGCACACAGGCATGAATGTCAATCCACGCCTCACGTTGGTACTGAAACCGCCCCTTCTACTTATTCTACAGGTCGCTAATTATGACTAGGAATCCCAACATTCAGTCGGTACATTTATGCGGACTGATGACATCAAACTCTATAGCACCTTTGGCGTGCCATTACTTCATGGCTGGATTGCGGCCCCATCTAGCGATGTCGATGGGGCACTGGCTCGGGTGGCCCCATACCACGAAGATGTTCAGTTGCTTCACTTCCGTAAGCAGGAGTTCGAAGACCGTGTTCTTCGGGGAGGATCTCTCTCTCCACAGGAAGAGCAGGAGATGAAAGACATACAAGCTATTCAGCAATTCACCGACATCGATAATGCGACACAGCTAAGCTCATTCGGACTGATGCACTTAGCGGAAAAGTTACCTCCAGGCTCGCTGTCGATCCTGTTTCGAAACGATCATTTCACGACCCTTTACAAACACCCCAAGTCTCAGCAGCTATATACTTTGGTGACGGATGCGGGCTACTCTAACTATGCAGAAATTGTCTGGGAAAGTCTTGTCGATGTGAATGGATCTAGTGCCGGTTTTTTTGCGGGCGACTTCCGACCTGTCGGCCACACATCCTCCCCTGGAGCCTCGGACCCATCCGGTCCAAGGACTTCCAGCAATACTCGAGCGCCTTCAGCTCCAAGCGAACATGCTAACACCACCCTTTCTGCTCAAGAACAGGCCGACGCGGACTATGCCTATGCCCTCTCCCTCCAATACCAGGAGGAAGAGCGACGAGAAAGCTCCGGGAACAATAGAGACCGCAACCAACGGAGCTCGGGTTCGACCCCTGCTCTCAGCCACTCGCAACGGTCGTCTGCAAACAATCGCTCGTCTGGGTTCACCCCTGACACTCCATATACATCCTACTCCGGAACTCGGTCTTCTCACCAGAGCCTACCCCCTAGGCGAACCTCCCAATACCGACCAGAAAGCCGCCGGGCGACAAATGACGAAGGAGACGATGCACCTCCTCCCACATATGAGCAATCTGCCCATAGCCCAATCTACACGGGACCTTCAAGAGGCCCCAACGCTCCGGAAACTCCCTCTTCTCATCAATATCCTAGGAGTCCACTGGGACGGCGACACCCCGGGGGCTCGATCTCGGCAGGGCCCTCAGATCGCATTAGGGAACGGAATAAGGACTGCGTTATCATGTGAACATGACCATGAGAGAATGCTGTCCAGAACTATTGATCATTTCGGTTACTCAACGGACGAACGTGTTATGAGGGAACGATATGTATGACTGTTATGTGTAATAATAATTTAGAACTCCAAATATGACTCTTGTTTTTCTTTGCTGGAAAAAGTCCCTGCCGGAGTCAGGTGATGACCCGATTGAGCGCGGAGGTCACGCCATCGTCTTCATTAATTTACGTTGCACTTCCTCTTCTTCCTTTCCCGATTGTCCACGGCCGGCAGAAGCATCACGGAGCTTCCCCTCGCACTAAATCTGCGGAGATGTGGGGGTTAATATCGCTATATCGCTCAATACCTGCTGGCCATTGCGACGGCTAATTAATGTAGCCTTGGCAGGATCTTGGGGCCTGCAGCCAAGCAGCTCTATTTTCAATATGCAGGCGTTACTCACCGAAGCTGTGACACTCCATCGGAGGTTCTGACAATGCCGAGTCCCTGCTGTTGAGGTATACTCGGGGCCGATTGGAGGAAATCGTTTGAGTTTGCTACCCCTGGATTCTTCAGTCTGCAAACTGATTTCTCCATCGAACACCTCGGATTCCTGAGGCCAATGATATCACCGAGAACGATATGCCACCATCGCGTCTTCTGTCCGTTTTCAATAGTTCATCGTTCGCATCGTCCGGTCCGCCGGTCCGCCGGCTAAGTTGAGCCAATAGAACTGCAATGGCAGAGTCTATACCTTGGATGTGTCTATTCTTCTTAGGAGCACCGGACCAAGAGTCAGAAATTGCTCTGGCAGGGATTGTCATGAGATATCACCTGGAGCACGCCCCCTCCATTGCGCAAGAACTGCGTACTAGTCGGTCAGCAACCACCAGTGGCATGTTTTCGATGATGACCCACGCTTCGGAGCCATCTCCGTTCATTATTCTTGCCTTGGCTGAGTTGAGCTGTTGTTTCATATCCAGGGTCTCACTTGGATATAAAAAGCGGCCGATCAGTGCTGATCCCTCAGGATTTGGCTGATGATTTGGACATTGAGGCTTTGGACCATTGTTTTATAACCGAAATCATGCAAGTTCTCCGGGCCGCTGCTTTTGCAGCTCTTTTTGAAAGCACCTGGGCAGCTGTCACTTGCGACGGGTCATTCAGTGACATTTCCGCTTCTGACTACGTAGCTAAGCTCCACCCCGGATGGAACTTGGGGAACACCCTTGATGCTATTCCCGACGAGGGATCATGGAACAATGCTCCTGTTCAAGAATCGACGTTTGACACTGTCAAATCTGCTGGGTTCAAGAGTGTCCGACTTCCAGGTTAGTGTGATTTGTCGTTCCCATGTCTTATTCGTTGGAGGTACTGACATTGTTATAAAGTAACATGGACACACCACTTCACTGGAAGCTCTCCCGACTGGACTGTTGATCCAGAATGGCTGGACAGAGTCTCTAACGTTGTTGACGCTATCACGTCTCGCGATTTCTACACCATCGTCAATGTCCATCATGGTTAGATTGAGTCCCACTCATTGGCGCGTGACGACAACTAATGATGACAGATTCATGGGAGTGGGCCGATGTAACTCAATCCGGTGCCAACATCACTGAGATCGAGGAGAAGTTCTACAGGTTGTGGTACCAGATTGGCACAAAGCTAGCTTGCAAATCTAGTCGGGTTGCTTTTGAGTCTATTAACGAGCCCCCTGCTGAGACCGAAGCCCATGGCACCGAAATAAACAAGTTGAACGAGATCTTCATTAAGGCTATCGGGGACGCCGGAGGATTCAACAAGAAGCGTGTTGTCAACCTTGTCGGAGGCGGCCAGGACAGTGTGAAGACATCTCAGTGGTTCAAGGCTCCTGCCAACATCCCAAACCCCTACGCTATCCAATTTCATTACTACGCCCCATGTACGTCTTGATCCTTCTCCTGCAGAGAAAGCGAGCTGCTAACTCATAGATTCCTCTAGATGACTTCATCTTCAGCGCGTGGTGAGTAATACAAATTCAATGCCATTTGTGTCACAGCTGACCTCTCAGGGGCAAAACCATCTGGGGATCCGATGCCGAGAAGGACACTTTGACCACCGACTTCGAGTTAATCCGAAACAACTTCACTAATGTTCCCCTGATTCTCGGCGAATTTGACGCATCCTCTACGAACACTGAGCCCGCCGCGCGCTGGAAATACCACGACCAGCTCGCGAAAGCTGCTGCACAGTTCGATATCGCCACCATTCTCTGGGACAATGGGTTAGACCACCTCGACCGTACAAAAGCCAGCTGGCGCGACCCCACCTCTATTGATATCCTCACCAAAACGACCGAGTCGACAGCCAACGGTCTGCCCGACAGCACCGAAGATGCCTCCGCTACGAGCCAGTCTTCCTCAGCTTACATTTTCCACAAGTCCGGAACCCAAGTCGCCGCCCAGACCTTGCCCTTCATCCTCAACGGCAACACCGTCGAATCCATCAAAGAATCCGGCGGCAGCACTCTATCCAAGGGATCTGACTACAGTGTATCTGGATCCAACATCGTCTTTTCTGCCACTTATCTCGCAAAGCACTTCTCGTCATCCACTTCCCCGGGCGTCATTGCTACCCTGACAGTGAAGTTCTCCGGGGGCGTTGCCTCGCCTACCATCCAGCTCGTTCAGTGGGATAAGCCAACCCTCTCTTCCACCTCTGCCTCCGCGTCCTCGGTCTCCGGATCCGATCTCTCCATCCCCGTCACATGGAAGGGTCTATCCAAACTAGCCACCGTCAAGGCTCTCACTGCAAGTGGAAAGTACCTGGTCGATGACTGGACCCAATGGCTGGGTCCTTTGCAACAGGCTAGAGCGGTAAGTTCACTACATTCCTGTTTCGAATTATTGATCTACTATATCCTAGTTCATTCAATGCTGATATTTCTTTCTTTCTGCAGACATACTCCAACCAATGGAACTGGGACGACAAGAACGTAATTCTCACATCGGCTGCTATCGATGCTGTTGTGTCTGCTGGAGAAACCACGACGTTTACGTTTGAGTTTTATCCTAGGGTGAATGGGACGGCCAATGCGGTTGAGTTTAAGTTGAATGTTTAGTCTTTGACTTAAGATCTAGTTAATTGATTATTTGTTTTTTGTGAGTACCTGTTAGTCTAAACCTCCGGCATCACAGTAGATGACCGTTACGGTGATAAGTAAACCCAGAGGTGCAGGAATTAAATGATAGAGGCAAGAACTCAAAGGACAGGGAATAAATTATAGAGATAGATGCTTACAAGTCACACTAAACAGTTATTGAACACTCAACTACGTAGCACAAAAGCACAAGCCCATAAACACCAGTTCCAACACCTACTTTTCACCACAGCCATATCCATAACCATAACCCATAAATCATAACCGCTTAAACCAACCAACCAAATCCAACACCCCCTTCCATCTCACCACCATCCTCCAATCAATACAGAACCTTCCTCTCCCAAAACGGCAAGTTCGGATCATACTTATCCCAAACGATCTTATTCTTCTCATCGAGATGCGCGCCCTCATCCGTGATCGGGATTATGGGATCCGTCTCTAGAATCTCCTGCTGACTGAAGCCCCACTTGTCGCGGGGGATCCACAGCGTGGGCGTGCGCGCCGTAATACACGGCTCGAAGTAAGCGTTGAAGCGCTCTTCTTCCGAATACGTGATCTCGACGTGGTTGCGACGGACCTTGCGGCGGAGCGCCGCATAGTCACGGTACAGGTTTGGGTGGAACCATTTCCAGACCGAGGCCCAGCGGTGGCGTGGAGGGGGGTGCTCGAGCGTGTAGGCTTCTTCTTTGGCTTGTTGGGCTTCTTCTTCGGTTTCGAGCGTGCGGGGGAGGAAGGAGTTGAGGGGGGCGAGGGCCTCGTTGAGGGACATGTGTGCGAGGATGGTGAGGAGGGTGAATAGTGCCATTATGATGAGGGGGCCGATGGCGCCGCGGATAGCGAAGAGTCCGATCATGCAGATGTCGGCGAGGTAGAGGCCTGTGAGGAGGTGTTGGAGGGCTCGGGGGTAGACGAGCCCTTTGGTGTCGGTTTCGAGGTCGTAGACGAAGAGGAAGTTGTAGCGGTAGGCTTGGTAGACGAGGTAGAGGCCGATGAAGGCGAAACCGAGGATCAGAGGGGCGATGCAGGAGTAGGTTAGGGCTGGATGAAGTCAATAAGATGTGGAAGGGGTGGGAAGGTTAAGTGGGAAGTACCTATGACGCCCATGTTGGTGAACACAGGGAAGACGTTGCCCCAGCTTATGCCGCTAAGGGCAGACCATCGCTGGTATAGATGTCGAGGGGAACGATCAAAAAATGTGGTCATGAACTTGAAGACCAGGACTCCGGCCACCTGCACTACTGCCATAGAGCTCATGGTGAGGCCCTGGAGCAGGAAGTACGAGATGTAGAAGTTGGTCGCCTTGGGCAGGTTCTCAGCAAGGAGGTCCTTGGCCGATAAGGGATCTTGGATGATTTGTGCAGTTGCAGCAGAAGCAGCGGAAGTTAAAGTCGTCACGAGAAACACTTGGACTACCTGGAAGCAGAAATGCGCGCTTTGGGTGAACAGCTCCACTCGCGAGGTTGAGGGGACGCCGGCACGTCGTGCACAAACTAGAATTACCGGTTAGAATGCTCAAAATGAGAGTTCAGGGCGGATGGATCATACATCGGCAGATTATAGGAACCAAAGACATCAGAAGCACGAGGGCAGCGGAAGGCAACAGCCCGGCAATTACACCCTTAATCGTCCCTGGAAGCTTATCGATGAAGCCCAGGAACGGGAACATACCCGTGAGATATGTGATATTGGAAACAGTTCCGACCAATGCAGATGGAATTGACCAAAAAACAACAAGCGCTGCTATGCCACCCTTAACAAGAAACTTGCGGACGATGCGCTGCCACCAACTGAGATTTAGGGCAGACCAAACCACTTCTCTGGGAGAAATTCCGGTATATCGTGGAGTCATATGCAGTGGTTGATGGTGGGATAGAGTTTGAAGTGCAATCTGAGCATCAGACTGCGTATTAAACTCGATGAAAACAGCGGAAAGGAGCTTCACGTCCCCATTCTTATGTTTCTGCTGAAGTTGCTCTACTTCCTCTGAGACTTCGACGAGTTGCTTTCGAAGCCAATTGATAGTATCCACTCTCTTTTCAAAGATTTTGGGACGGTGGGTTGGTCTGTGTATGCCATGGTACCAAGAAGAGGTCTTTTCGCAGTCTTGAAGGTCATCTGAAGGAGTACCCCCTTTCTTGAGGGTTTTCATGCGTTCCGAGTTGGCCCGTCGAATCAGTTTTGTCTCAACTTTCTCTAACTTGTAAGAAAGCCCCTCTCTCTTCCTGACCTTCTTTTGCAACTCCTTGCAATTCGATGTAATCCAGATGCGTCGAATAGAATCCCCGAAGACCTGTCGCAATGTCTTTTCATTCTTGTATTCATCAGGAACTGACATGAACAGCACGGTTCGGGAAGATATACGGTTGACGTATGCAGGCGAGTTCAGGTATGCCTGGCGCAAATTGGCATAGAAGATGCTCTCTCGAGTGACTGTATAAAACACAATAGCTGATGGGGAGTTAGAAAATGTTCACTAGGCTTGCTGTCACCAAATTATCTTACTGAAGAAGATGCATGCCATGGCAGAATGGGCATAATATCGCTTTCCATTTTTCACATTGCTGAAACTGAGGGCGTCCAATTGAGTATTTCCGGCTCCTCCAGTCGCATGGATCGGGAGTAATATCGGCCATGTGATCACACATCCCGTAAAGCAGATAGAACACAGGACCCTCAAGAACCTAAGAAAGAGGTAACCATCCATAGATGAGTGGTGAAGAACATGGGTGTCCGATAATTTGAGAAAATGTCCAAACCAGTTGACAAATCCTGATGGCAGCTCAGGACTTCGTTCACTACATTGCCTGTCAGCAAAGAATCAGGCATGTTTACCAAAAGAAGACTTACTGCTTGTGCCAACATGGCAGGTGTGTTCTAGGCGCGTACCATCGAAGCTGTGTTCTTCGACAGATCAAAAACAGCCCGAACCAAAACACCGCGATTATCAATGCTGGAACTAGGGTTGTCAGGAAAGCCGAGAGGGACGTCGAGTCTTCGACTCCAAGGTTTTCCATAGCTTCGGAGGTTGTTGAGGAGGCATTGCCTCGGGAAGACCCAACGTTGGGATCATTGCTGGGGTCCTAGTATGGAGTCGATTAATATCTTGCCGTCAGTAACGAAAGCTAACTGCTACTTACAAGGATATCAGCTCGCCTAAAGATCAAACTGAACAGGGCTGAATCGACCATATTGAACACTGGAGACCCAGGTCTTTGACCGGTCTGTATTGCTTTTGACAGCAGACAATAGTGGCTAGGGTTCAACGACAATAACTCGTGGGCACATTGGAAACGGATAATTCTTTTTTACTACGGCCATCCCTGGGAAGGGCCGTCCCACCATTAAAGACAAGAAACGGTCTCGGCATGTAGCTGAGCCTGCTCAGCAGGCTGGACCTGTCACTCGAGGGGGTCGGCATCTGGCCAAAGCATGCAGCTAATGGAGGGTGACAGGAGCACCATTCGCGGACCATCGGCCGAACCGCGGACCCAGAGTCAGAGAGTGGAATGTGCTCTGCAATGCAAGGTTGGATTGTCCCATCTAGGTCCTTTGATTGGCCCATAACAATAGACAAACACATTGACAAGTTCGCGTTGTGGATAGCCCAAGCCCGCGTGTCAGCCAGGGCCGGTCCGCCGCGCTGAATTACTATCTGAGAGGAACCAATTTCCACAGGAACATGTACGGGGATCGGCCTTTAGAGAGAGACCGTCGTGGCTAGTGGTCACTAGTGGCCCATAGACTGAGGGACGGGCTACCACATTGGGCCTGTGGAGACCGCCGATCAATAGTGTATCCAGGAATGTCTGGGGTGTACTGAGCAGTCTCATCAGTGGCCATCAATAACAACCATGGTTAGAGAGTAAGCTGCTGGTGCAAAGTTATGAATTGATTCTTCATAGTGATCTTTGAGAATACTTTCTCCACGTAAAACCTCATTTGATTGAGGTATTACCTAGTGAAATAAATCGCGCAGGAAGGCAACGAGGATACGAACTATCAGCCCACGATCCCGATAGCGCCGTCCTTGCAGGTCCATGCACGATTTGAGACTTTAGTGGAAGGCAGCTCTGATAAGCCAGCAGGGATGGCTTCCGAGGGCTGGCAAGTACTTTGTGCAACCAATCCTAACTGCAGCCCACACAATGTAAATGTCAGGCATAGCACGCACTAATGCAAGGGATATCATTTGCTTTTTGGTGCGCCGATCCGAGGTGAGCAGCCAAGGCCGTGACACTGTCTATAGCCCATCTTTTTTATCATGATAGGCAACGTACATCGGGGTCATTTCAGCGAGTAAGGAGCTAGATTGAAGTCGATATGCTCTTATATGTGGATCTCGACTATGAAAATTTGTCAGGATAAGCTCGAGTTCAGCCGGTGTGTTGAAACGTTCATTTGCCAGAGCTCTTCCCAAAACAAGGGCGTAATTTCGAACATGCATCCACGACTCACTGAAGCTTGGTGCTCAGCCGAAGGATCGGCTTCTCTCGAGGAGTCGGGGAAAGGCATATGATTTGCTGCCGAGAGTTCAATGAAGTAATTCCCTGTGCAGACTAGGGGGCGGGAAAATGCCAGACGGGACGCTCTAACATTCCCATGACATCTCCCGCCACATTGATTGCTCTCTAGACCTGTCTACCTCGCCTTCTCGATCTGATGGCCTGTGATTCATAGTATTCAATAATGCACTTTGTTGGAGGGTTCGTTCCACAGTTTTATTGTAGACGCTGGGCGACCAATCCCGAGCTGAAGGAGCATGTTGAAGCCAAGGAAAAGCAACGCGTGTACGGAGTATGTCAGCATAGTATGACTCGGGATTTGGAGCATGACGTGGCTGTTCATCTTTAAGCTAAGGTTGATGCAAGCATAATCCAGCTTTGGACTTGTCAAGCTGCGGTGAGACAGCCATGTGTGTGTGGAACAAGCCAACATCTACAGTATGTGGAGAATAAGCTTCGCGAGCGTTGAACGCAATCCGAGTCATGAGGCAGTGGCCGTGGTACATTTGTTTCACCTGGATGGGAATCCAGAGCCCATCCACGGTCGAGGATGGAGGGTTGAGGAGAGCGACAGCAGCCAGAGATGACTTCATCGTTTGGGGCAGCTGTGGGGGCGGTGAGGGCCGGCAGTATGAGGCGCTGGAAGACGCGACGAGCAGCGCCTTCGGTCCATCTCTGCGATTCATGACATCGCCATGTCTAGATCCAACAGTCATTCGAAGAAAAAGCCCGATTACCTCTCAAATGACTCAGATACCTCCCGCATTTCTTCGTTTGATTCCAAACAGCCATTCCCTCCCCTCTCGCCCGATGACCTCGCCGCAACGTCTCCTTCCCACGATGCGGATAACGACCACTATCAGGACATAATAACGTCGCCTTCACATGCGGATTCCGAAGCAGAAGAGGACGAGGCCGATTTTCAGACGCAATATTCTTTGAATAATCAGTACATCTCGGACGCATCCACGGATTCAGAGGAACAGTCGCCTGAGGATGGCATCGCAATGCATCATCCGTTTCGACAGTCATCTAGCTCGCTCCATGGACCCAATGCCTTTGCGCCCCCCTTCTACAATCGACCTCCAACACCTTTGCCACCTTCTCCGTCATTGACCTCTCTCTTGCGTCCTCCTTTCTCTACAACCACGTCGCGACCTACCACCCCTGACAGTTCGGACGTGGAAACCCCCAACGACACCGAAGCTGCGGTCGCAAAGTCGGCACGGCGCGCAACGACCGTTCCTCGAGCGAGTCCAAAGGTTCCGACCTACGAATACTATGGCTTTGTTCTGTACCTTGCCTCGTCGCTGGCCTTTTGTGAGTGGACATGAGCTATGCCAAACGCGACAGTTGGAATGGCTTCTAACCTAGTGCTCTAGTGATGTATATCCTCTGGTCATATCTGCCGTCGCCGTTTCTACATCAACTGGGCATATACTACTATCCTAATCGATGGTGGTCATTGGCATTCCCGTCATGGCTGGTCATTTCCATTATCTACATTTATGTTGCCCTGGCATCCTACAACACAGGGTACCTAACATTGCCGATGAACAGTGTCGAGAATATTGTCGATGAAGTGGCCAATGTATCTGTCATTGATGGTAAAGGGCGACGACGTCCCGGTGGCGCCGCGAAGATGAGACCGGGCGCAACCTCTTTTCAGATCATGGGTCCGCAGAATCGAAAACTAAATTGGAGGGAGATCTGGGGCGAAGGCACTGACGCCGTGTTAGACGTTCCTGTTGGGGGTGTATGTGAGGTTCTTTACGGCCAGGAAAGAGACGACGATGAAATTTTCGATGAAGTATCCGGCATTGGAACGAATGGTCCAGGGCAGGAAGGACACTCCTGAACTTCCAGAAAGATGTACCGTACTTTGGTCAATCGAAACAAGGCCAACTATGGGTGCAGTAGAATCGCTATGATTATTCGTGCGAAAGTCTCCATGTCGTCCGCATTGTCGATAGTCCAAGGTCCAAAGGATGCCATGGTAGCAAGGTTATCTGCTGGTATTGGAAAGACGTTTCCCACGCGGTTTTTGGCGATGTACTCTGTCCACGCAGGGCCATATCTAAAGAAGGTGACATACAGCTTCTCCCCATCCTGGTAGCAGACGGGGCGCCTGTAAAAATTAGCTCTTCAAAGTCTAGGTAAGAGAGCAGATGTTGTTCATACCTGGCTCTAGCGCTACCGGCGGGATCTGGCTGGCTCTTCACCCAGTCGACGGTCTCTGCAGCCTTCTGCTTCTCGACCTGTAGAGTGTGATTGGCACGTGCGCTCTTTTTGCATTCGATAATGCCCTTCATCGTGGATCCCCAGTCCATCAATTGCCCATCTGTGATGGCAACGGACTTGCATCACGACTGCCAAAACCCTTTCCAAAGCTATTCTCTAGTTTTGCATGTTCCGCAGACTGTTGCTTGTTTGCCGCCAGGATGAGGAAAGTGATTAGGGCCGTGTTCACCACAGGTTCTCCCGATGACTCTGGGTCATGTCCGGGTTCGCGCCATGCAGGAATTCTTGCTGCTGGCGAAAGGCGTACGAGTCGAAGTCTCGGATTGGCGGCAAGTAAATAACAAGAAGAAGGCACGGCGCAGTTCCGGAAAGGCTTGTCGGCTGTCATCAAGTTCTTGAATCATGGTCATTGGGACATGCAATGGATTGACTGGCCGTTTTCCCAAGCCGCTTCTAGGGTGAGAATTTGTCACTGAACCGCGTGGCGACCCATTGATTGCAGAGTTTTGTGAGATTGGCGAACAATAGTGATTATCTGGCACAGTTTCTGCAATTGCGTCAACGTATGCATGTGTAGTGGTAAGATGTTCGCAGGTAGAGCCATGCCAGGTTCCCAAATGCCATATTCACGTTGGTCGAGCTGTTTAATGCTCCTTCTCTCTACCTTCAAGATCACCCACGTGTAAGAAGAGTCTTTGTCCCGACTTCCTTCTCGGTTGCTCGGTTTTCAGAGTATGATATGGCTCTGCCATGGCTCATTGATTGCCTCGCGTACGATGTTTCTAGGCATTTTTAAATGGAAAGGAGCTCAAAAGAGACAATGTCCAATCAAGAGAAGCTACTTCAATTGTAAGCTTAATATAGTGTAGGTATGATGGTAGGTAGAAAGTAAGTCAAAGTAGGGAAGCCTAGAAGTTATTGCCAGAACCTTCATTATTCACCAGCAAAGTCAGATGCTGCAGCTTGTGTCACTAGCGGTGTTGTGAATACTGTTGCATATAGATAGAGAAGCATTCACCTGATATATTATTCACTATGGTATGAGTGTACTCCGTCACTGTCAAGAAAGAAGACGCGAGTAAACACAGTTAGCTGTAAGGTATAGTATTCCGAAATCGAATTCCGAATTCCGACTCCTGCCCCTCGTCATCATCCGGTCACAAGTCAACAAGCCTAGGCAAGAAGTGTCATTTATTGCTCAGAGAAGTGAAAATTAAAAAGACTTGGCCATCTGAATACTACTCAATCAGACACTCGAACCCCTCCTTTACTTGACCAGCTGCCTCCAACGCACTAGCACGACCATCAAACGAGTAAACAGCAAACCCCGAAAGCCAAGGCGTGGTGTTGAGTTTGGGATCAGCCACCCAGTCCCCCTTCTTGAAATTCATCGGATTTTCAAAAACCCTGCTAATCAGCTCTGGCTTTCTCTGGTGAAAGTCCCGCCATGGATCCTGGGATACGATTGTTCCCGACTTGTCTGCCTGGATAGCACTGATGACCACATGAGGCCTCGATTTGAATGGAAGAGAAAGGGCTCGGATTCGCGCTTCATCTTGCAAGGCCAGCAATAGCTGTAGCGCAAACATATCCACGCCGTTTGTGAAAGCGCTTGCGCTAGCGTCGACATATCCAGGTGGCCGAGCATTGACTTCAACTAAAAACACGCCGGGGTCCTTCGAGGGAGCTGTCAATTTTGGCTGCAGATCAAGCTTGGAACTCTCGTCTTGTCGATACTCGTAAGTGGAATTCCGCATTCGTGCTTCAACGTGGAAAATTCCAGACTCGTAGCCCAGTCGTCGAATCGACTCATACAACGACTGGCGCAATTGCAGTGTCTCGGCCTCGGGTAAAGCAGATGGGAAAACCAATTGCGTCTCCTTAAAATCTGCATTCACACTACCCGTTCCACTGTCTGCTGTGCAGGGGAAATTGTCCACAACTTCGAAAAAGAGGATTTCGCCTCGCCAAAGCACGAAATTGGCGTCCATTTCCGGTCCGTCGCAGTATTCCTCCACGAGGACGTTGGTTTGCCATTTGGACTCGTGTGAAGCACTGCTGCGTGAGTAAGCCGTGTGCCTCGACACGACTTCGATTGCTACTCTAAGTGATTCCGGTGTTGTTGCCTTCATGACATTCAGACTATGCCATCCATTGCAGGGCTTCACGATCCAAGGCGCTGGTGGAAAACCTTGCTGCGCGTTCGATAGGAACTTGTCGAGCTCTTCGGGGCCTGAAAGAAGAATACAAGCATCTGACCCCTGTGTTTGACGGGTCTCATATTTATCCACCGATTTAGCAAAAGCTGCAGATGGAGACGTAGGAAGCCCTAGTATCTCTGCGGCCCGAGCGACAGGAATTAAGAGGAATTCTGTGACAGTCGTCACCCCATCGATAGTATGTGGATAACTGCAGATTACCTCGGCTATGCGTCGGGGTAGGTCTATATCCACTTCCATATTCACTTCAATAAACGCCTCTCGTAGATTCACATAGGTGGAGTTTTCATCTTGCAGCCAGTGACCAGCGGAATCGACCACGACGAGGTCAATTCCAAGAGCACGCGCAGCCTGGAAGAGCCTCGCGCAAAGATGATACGGGCGCACTTCTCCGATAAGCGCAATTCGTCGACGGATGATAGGGGCTGTTGAGAGCCAGGGGAACGCCAGTCTGTCTTGCAATTCGTGCAGCGTATGCCGAGTAATGGGGAATTTGCTCTGATCCTCCAGGACAATGCCACCCACAGCTGAGGCCAAAAAGCTTACGATTTGACCTACGGCCGAATTTTCGTTTGAAGTTGATGGTCGTACAAGTTGCCTAGGCTGGACAAATCCGATCGCTTGTCGGATCTCTTGGGATCCCCTGAAGCGCTCCTCCAGAAAGTCACTGCGGATAACATATCCCTCCTGTTGAGGAACGACCAGAATCACTGAAAGCCGAGAGTCGGGTGTCCTGGTGGTATGTAGTAGCTGGTACAACCAGCCATATAGTAGGCCATTGTCTTTTGGTGTCACAGTGATGAAATCTCCAGATTTGGCATCTGCAAGCAACAGGCCGATGCTCTGCTCAAACGACAGTCGAAGTCGTTCTGGAATTTCATTCTCGGCGATTTTCAGGACAAGATGAACAAATTGAAATGCTGTTTTGTCGTCACCACTGGAACCGTCATAGATTTTCCAATCAAAGTTGAATCGATCTAGGATAGGCATATAAGCAATGCTATCAGGTAGCATCCCTGGTTGTAACTCACTAGCTGACGCTGGGTCAATAAGAATGCAAGGACTCGCCATGGTGCCAAACTGCTGTGCATCCCAAAGCTAGATAACTAGAAGACTTTTATATTCTTTTTTCCTCTTGGTCTGTCTCTTGGCTGGGACTATGTCATCCATCATGATCTAGAACCATCCGATGTCAGCCTTGAACGCCGAACTCCGTTGCAACTCCGAACCACTTGCCCAATTGCCATTAGGCTGAAGTTCACCGTACGATAAAAAAGAAAGATTTCTAAATAAAAGAAATTAAGATCGACTATTAAATATTCTCTGCTTCCTCTTCTCGCCCTCGTTTTGTGGAGTATCTATCCAATATTCCACAGATATCGCGACACCATGGTTGAGATCGATGCCGCAAAGGCCGAGGCACAGTCGGTTTCATTAAGCTCCAGCCCCACGCCGGAGGGTGAACTTGCGACAGAAGAAGAAATTCGAGACCTCGAGCATGTGGCAGACTCTCTTCCTCTCCGGGTATGGGTGGCAGCATTTATTGGGATGGCTGAGCGTTTTGCTTATTATGGAACCCAAAGCGTTTTCCGTATGTTCCTACTATGCGCCTAAAATGTCCAATCCAAAAGCCAACTCATCTCTCTATTTAGAGAACTACCTTCAAAATAAGCCCTCGGATTTGATTCCCGGGGCTCTTGGTCTCGGAAAGTCGCGCGCTACCACCGTCAATCTCGCCTTTACCGTTCTTGTCAACATTCTACCATTACCATGCTCTATTCTGGTAGACGGATGGTTAGGCAGATATCGCTCTTTGCAAATATTTACCTTGTATGCCGTTTAGATCTCCAGGCCTTTTCTTTCAAACAGCTAATATAACCGCAGAATCTATATGTTTGGCTCTGCAGTGCTTCTAGCAACGTCATTTCCATGGATGATGCGCGACGGCATTGCGGTAGCTGGATTCATCCCCGGAGCAATCTTGATTGCGATTGGTCTTGGAGGGGTACAGGCCTCACTACAGCCCTTCATTGGTTCGTGCCATCCTTCTAATCCTCTATTGCAATCTAATGGCGAACAGCGGACCAATATACCGAGCATAACTTGCGCATTAAAACGAAGAAGAATGGCAAGCGCGTGGTCGTCGATCGCGAACTGACCATTCAATACATCTATAATCTTTATTACTGGTATGAGACCTTATGGTTGCTTTATTGGAACGTGCACTCATCGTCTCAGGATGGTAAATGCCGGGTCCTTGGGCAGTATCGCCACGACGATGATGGAGAAATACATCGGCTTCTGGTCAGCTTATCTGCTGGATCTGTGCTCGGTTGTTCTGTGTGTTATACTGGTGCAGGTTGCAGGACCAATCTTTGGTGAGCAAAATATCTCTGTTTTTATTTTATTTTATTTTATTTTATTTTCATAACTATAGTCAGCATTAACTAACACAAACCAGTCCACCCGCCGGCGCAAGGGTCTATCCTTCCCAAGGCATTCCGCTGTCTATGGTACGGCGCACGAGACGGATTCGACCTAGACGCTTCCTTGCCCGAGAATCAGGAAAAGAAGCATGGACGGGTCGTCCCGTGGGACAAAGAGTTCATTGCAGAACTGCGCGATGGACTCTCCGCGTTCAAAATCTGGTACGTACTCCTTAGCACATCTGCGAGATCCTTCAAAGCTTACCAGTGAGGATCTTCTAGTATTGGATGGCCTATATTCTGGCTCTGCATGGGCCAGGGATCCCAAGTCGCCATTTCACAGGCCGGTCAAATGGAAACCCACGGGATCCCTAATGATCTGATAAAGTCGTCCAACCCACTCGCCTACGTTTTCTTCGGACTGCTTATCCAGAAAGGTCTCTACCCGTTTCTTAACCGACGCAAGATCCGCTTCAGCCCTATCAATCGGATCACGATGGGGTTCTTCATCATGTCTATCGCCATGGCCTATTCAGCCATCGTCCAGGCACTTGTATACCGCGCTGGCCCCTGTTACAATCATCCACTCGAATGTGCGGCATCGGATGGGCGCACACCGAACAGAGTTCATGTGCTGATTCAGCTGCCCACGTTCGTGATTATCGCTCTGGCTGAGGTGTTTTGTTGGCCCACGGGATCGGAGTACACGTACAGCCATGCGCCCAAGAGCATGAAATCTGTCCTTCAGGCGTGTTATATCGGAACTTCTGGGTTGGGTTATGCGCTCGGTATGGCTTTCTCGCCGCTCGCGAAGGATCCATTGTTGGTGGTCTTATGGGGCGTTGTGGCAGGGATGATGTTCTTGACTGCTTGTGCTTTCCGGTTCGCGTATCGGCATTGGAAATAGAGCTATATAGCGTCGTCGATTGAAATATTTATGGGATTTATTCTATATAAACATGTTCAGTCTATTTGTCTATAGCTCTATAATTAAAAATAGATCAAGCCTCCTGATTACCCAATAACGGATCCTCCTCTGACGGCGCCCTTTCTTCACGCGCTGCCTTGCCCTTGCTCCGATGCCTATAGAGAATATAATGCTGCACAATAAATGTGATATCAAAAAGCATAGTGACATTGCCTAGTGCGAATTTCGCACCGTTTCCCGAGCTCATCTGAGACCAGTTCCCTTGCTCGCCGAGATCCAGGAGTAACTGTACGACTGACAGCAGCCCGCCCGTGAAATCGAGCAGAATAGCATAGATACTGAAGCCCTCGGTTGACTGGCGACGGTAATTGTGGATCACCTGAGGCGTGTATTTTACGACCGTGAGAAAGAGCTTGATGTTCCCAATCGTGTATACCTTTGGAGGATGTCAATGTCGTTTCTAGGTAGACCAAGAGAGCTTAGAATCTTTGTACTAACCACATCAAGCCATTCCCATCTCTGCGACAGCCCAAGCAGAACGCTGCCAATGCCAGCAAATATGATCGCAATGCAGCCCCAGAACACTCCTATAGTGCTCAAGCTCAGCGCCGCTTTTGATCCACGGAATCCCCACAAGTGTGGCCATTGCGCCTGGCTTAAAAGGACCAGACATAGTCCCGCCCCATGCGCTGCATACACTAGATCACTGAAATGCACCGGAGGCGTAGGGTTCCCCGGTAACCGACTAGCATATTGGGCGCGGACAACGGGCGAAAATAAAAGCACGGCGTTGAATACGCTGTAGGCCGTCAGGCCCAGCGCATTGAGCCAGGTGAATTCTATGGATAGGCCGGAGCTGGATTTCCTGCTCAGATTGGTGAGAACTTGCGGGTAGAAGGAAATTGACCAGAGGAATACGTAGGTCCAGCCCACTATGCTCGAGATGGTAACGATTGGCGACATGGTTGATTGCCGTCGCGGTGTTTTCTTGAAGTAGAGGGGGTACAGTTCAGAATTGACATCGTCGCATCAAAACAAAAGAAAGGGAGCCAGAATGAGGGGTCGTCATTTCGGAATAGGGCCTCCGTTATCATGCGGAGTTCGGAGACGGGAGGCCTGTCTTCGGCATTCCTCCGAAGGAAATGCTGGATGTTTCGGAGTTCGGAGTTGCCCTTCGATGTGTGGTTTTGCGCCATTATCTTGTCATGCTGGATCTTTGGGGTTTTCCTTTTTTGTATATTGTGTGGGCGTCGCTTATTTGTCCAGCGATAGCATAGAAAAATATCACTCATTTGTAGTCACTCGACTCTTGCTTAGGAGAGTACAGCACAGCGGGCGGTGGAATGGCCATACTTATATTCACTGTTCGTACTTCTGGAGACAGAATACGAATGAACAGCAAAGTCTTCATAATCAAGAGGATCAACAATTTCAGGACTTAGAATTCTGTGCTGCATTTGGAACTAAATCCATTGGAGCATTATATCCAACCCTGAGCTAACATTTTGCGACTCTAGCTTTATGCTGGGTAAATTGAAATTGTCTCGAGTAAAAACTATTATATCTGTGCCTTGAGCAGCCATGTCACCTATCTAGAGTTCATGAGAAATATCAGCTTGTGGTTCGGCGTAAAAAGAACTTAACGGAATGAGGTCCTTGAGATATATAAACTACCTGCAGAATATATAGTGAATCAACATCGAAAAGTTTGAACTCAGGGCTGTTGGGACGAAAGAAATAACTGGAAATGAGAGTATACACATTGAAGAGAACAAAAGGATTATCTTCGGACAGACAGTTCTCAATAAACCTCTATCTTTAGCATTGAGCAGACATTCAGGGCATGATCGAAGCTCTTGGCATTTTCTGGTGATGTCCCCGGCATGGCTGAGTCATCTGCCATAGACCTTTATCATCACGTGCAGTGGCATATCGACGGAGCAGTTGCGGCGGATAGTATGTGCCTGTGCCCGGAATGCTGGCTATATCTTCTTGAACAATATGGAGTGACCTGTTTAGGAGACCAACCGTAGGAAAGCGAAGATGATCTGTGAGCAAAGAGAAGCCGAGCAGGCCTGCCGAGGCGCTGGATGCCGAATTCGAGTGACGCGAGAATATCAAGAAACGCTGACGGGAGGACAAATTCAAGTCCAAGCTACAGGATTAACTGCGGGATAGAGGTGGAAGAACTCGAGTTCTAGCAGATGAGAACTGTTGTAGTGTACTTCTATGTTAACGAGCCCATGAATCCACGACTGACGCAGTCTAATGCCGCCCGGCGTTTGACGCCGGAATAAGGTATTAAGGTAGTGTACTGATCACAAAGGACCTGTAAATTAAGCGCACCAAAATAGCGACACGTTTTGCTCCGGCTAGTCTGCGGTAGTCTCTAGGGTCGAAGAAGCAACGAGAGACACTTTACACGTCAGTTCCTGGCGGTGATTGGTGGCCTGCGCCTTAGCGGCCCTGCGACCTGAGGCACCTCACCAGAGGGTTCACGTCAGAGCGAAGACGCAAGGCACTGACCCTTCATTTTAAACCGGCTTATCTTTGTCTGTTTTTCTTTTTCGGTTTGACCTTCTGTTGACAATTTTTGTATAATCTGTGATTTTTGTCTAGAAACCGGCCAAACAAACCGCCTAGCGCTAAAGGCGGTTAAGGCCGCGTGGGCGTTTACGGGAACCAACCAAAGCGCAACCGCAGCGGTGGCTTTCCCCGACCTTCAGCGAGGAGAAACGCGCTCCAGTCTTCAGCCCGGTTTCTCTTGGCCGGAACGCATCACCGTCCGCCTCCTTTCCATTGCTGCGACCGGCATCTTCTCTCTCCGACTACCTCGTCGTTTCTCATAAATCGGTGTTGACACGGTCAGGAACCGAGTTTCCTGCCGTCGTCGCCCGTGTGTGCCGATTGTTGGCTTACATCAACAGACTTCACGATTGCGGACACGAGTCCTCCCAAGCCGTCCACACCTTCTCCCACCACGCTGAGCCCGAGAGCTCCTGTGTTCTCGGAATCCCCCGTTGGGATCCTTCCGCTCGCTGAAATCGCATGGCTTGGCAGTCTCCTTCGATCATGGCCGGGGGTGGAGGGTATGTCGGACCCGGCGACGGGTCGTCGAACGGACAACCTCAGGGGACGGAATACACGTTGCAAGGTGCGCTTGTCGGCAATGGCTTTGAGACAGTACCCCGGATCTACGATACTAACGTCGCTCGTCTCTCTGTAGGTGTGATGCGCTTTCTGCAGACCGAATGGCATCGGCACGAACGAGACCGCAATGCGTGGGAAATCGAGCGCGCGGAGATGAAATCCCGCATTGGACGACTGGAAGGCGATGTCCGAACGAGCAAGCGTTTACAGGAGTCGCTAGGCAAGCACGTCAGACTACTGGAAGCTGCGCTAAAAAAGGAGCGCGAGAAGGTCAAAAAGCTCAGCAACAACGAAAGCATTGATGACGCGAGGGACCCCAAGGAAATCGCTCGGGAGAGCCTGGGCGCTCTCAAATGTATGTTTGGTTTATTCTTGAAGGCGTCGTCCACGCATACTGACCGAACGCCTAGCCCAACGCCCCAAGTCGCATCTCGACCTCGGCGATTCCGACCCTAACTACGAACACCAACACGAATTCCAGCAAGAGAATGAGCGAGACAAGTCGCGCCTGTACTTGACGAAATGCTCCCAAGAAATTACGTACCACGTTATTCCTACCTCACATCCGCCTCCCGATCTCAGTGACCCGGACCTCGCCAATCCCATGTACGGCAACCAACAGCTGTCGCAGCACAGTCTGGAAGAAGCGTATATTCAGCAGCAAAGGCAAAAGCAGCAGCATCAGCAACAACAGCAAGCCAACCATATGATGGCACGCGAGGTCTCCCTTCAGAACCACCAGCCGATCGTGACCCATTACCCCGAAAACGCAGGGCTCTCGCGACCAACGAACCAGTTCGGCTTGCCGGGCCCCGCCCGGGAGGCGCTGGATCGAAGGCCCCTGGAACCACAACAAACGCAGGTGACTGCGATTGACAATCGGAGGCAGGCTCATGACCCCTCGATGGTGGACGAACGCACTGGCGGAGAGAGACAGGGAGATGATGGCTATGGTGCCCAGGTATCGGTGAGGGAAGAGACAAAACCACAACAGATTGAGGACAGCGTCGAGGACCCAGACGGCTGGAACTTTGATGAGCCATCAGACCAGGAACCGCCCACGGAACCGATGCCGCCTCATCGGCCCGATGTCGACGTCTTTCCCAATGCGAACTTTGTCCGCCAAAAGTCCCCTTCTAGGCCTGGATCTATGTCACACCGACGAAAGAGCTCTGGCACCAGACGCAAGAGTGACGGGGCCATCGATCTGAGTTCTAATGCGGGTGCCAAACAGGATACTTCCTTCAAGGTTCGATTCGCTCTGCGCGGCCATCTCGATGTTGTCCGCTCCGTGATATTCACGGGCGGTGGCAGCCCTTCTGAACCCGAGATTTGCACGTGTAGCGACGATGGAACGATCAAGAGATGGATTATCCCGGCCTCGTTCGGCAGCCTTGGCCACCATGGCCCTGGTTCAAGCAATGATCTGGATATTACCAGTTACTTCACTCACCGAGGACACGTTGGCGCCGTGACTGCACTGGCGGCCTGCTCGCCGGCGCAAAACATCTCCAACGGCGGTCGCGCTCTGGGTGATGGCTGGGTGTTCTCTGGTGGTCAAGATGCGAGCGTGCGTGTTTGGGAGCGAGGACGAGTTGACCCCAAAGCCACTCTGGACGGCCATACCGATGCCGTGTGGGGTCTGTGTGTTCTTCCAGGAACCACCGGATCCGTATTCGGGGACTCGTGCAGTAGTCACGGAGGCTCCGACCGTATCCTGTTGGCATCGGGCGGCGCGGACGGACACATCTTGATCTGGGCTGTAAGTGCGCCTCCGCAAATTTCGTCACCGCAGGCTGGTTCCCGAAGAGCCGGAGGCAGTCGTCGGGCCAATTCCATCTCGTCGGGATCCAACTTCCCATCCTCCCCTCAACCCAGTACGGCAACGGCCACGCCGTTCCACTACAGCCTTGTCCATAAAATCGCCCGACAGGACTCCCCATCTCCGACCTGCATCAGTCCATTGTCTCTCGCGGGCGTAAACTTTGTCGTTTCATTCTCCGACGCTTCAATCCTTGTCTACGACACGCGAACCGGGGAGGAGATCGTTGGAATGGCCAGCCTGGAGACATACGATGGAACGCCGTCGACGGGTGTCAACTCAGTTGTGGCATCTACTGTCGGGTTTGACGGCTCCGCTGGCTTGGATCCGAACCGAGCAATGGTAGAGGAAGAGGTAGTTCACGGCGCCACTGGTTCAAGTGGCGTGGAGGGAGTGGTAATTAGTGGATACGAGGACAAGTATATTCGCTTCTTTGACGCGAATAGTGGTATGTGCTACCCTACCTCGTCTAACTGCTAAATTGACTAACGTCTTTCCTCTTTCTAGGACAATGTACGTACACAATGTTGGCTCACCCGTCTGCGATTGCATCACTCTCGCTGTCGCCAGATGGGCGTGAATTGGTGTCCGCTGGCCACGATGCTAGCCTGCGATTTTGGAACCTCGAAAAACGAAATTGCACCCAAGAAATCACCAGTCATCGGGTGATGCGTGGTGAAGGGGTGTGTTCCGCCGTTTGGAGCCGTGATGGCCGTTGGGTCGTTAGTGGTGGCGGTGACGGAGCAGTCAAGGTCTTCTCCAGATAATGAGGGCCTTTACTGGTGATGTATGATTTTTGTCTTTCTTATAAATTTCTTTGGACGCATGAAATGGATGAGCGATTGGCCAATTCTTGAGCATTTGCAAACGGTGTCAAGTTACCTGGCATATGTTCCTTTCTACTCGTGTGGTTATAGTTTCTTTTCTTCCTGCTTCTCTTTGCGTTTTATGTGATCGATAATCACCCTTTCCTTCTTCGCGTGATGACAGTCCATTTTCTTTTCTCTATTTTACCTATTTTTGTCCCGTTCCTATTCACCTTATCTTCCTCATTGCCCTCCCTGCAAAATTCCGTGCGAAACAACCGAATATTACGAGTCCTCCTGCTGTTCCTTTCTGCGACGGTCGACACCAGCTTTTCTTGCATATCCAGACCCATTTTGACTTCTCGTTTTATCACCATGCGCCAGTCCTATGATTCCCACGGTTGTTTCTATTGGGCATTAGGATGATGGCACAACCCACCACTCCAACGCTGTACAACAATGCCACGTCAAAATTTCCTTTCAAACCCAATTACAACGCTACTGGACTTTTGTGTGTTGGTTTTATCTTTTCTTGGTATTGCATGTGAATCAAATCCGGCTAGGAAAATAGAGTAATTTGGCTCATGTCAAGAGATGAGCTAATCTAGAGCAATCTTGTTCTTGCATGCATGTATCAGCTCAAATTTCATTCACGTAGATACAAGCTAGAGTTGGCATGTTTCTTTACTAGGAGACATCGGACATCTCAAAGGGGAAAAAAAGGTATCACGTACAAACCACCGCACCAAGAACTTATCCCCGACTCGCCGTCCAAGCGCCCTTGAACAACGTCGTCAGCTTCTGCGCCTCCTCAACATCCTTCAACCTCTGCTCCAAATATCCCTCCAGATCATTCCAGAACGCCTCCGTCTCCAACAGAACCTCCCCACTCGGCCCAATCGCCGCCTTCGGAGACGAAGACGAGCCAGCGGCCGCTCCCTTCTCACCCTCTTCCACGGCCTTCGCCCCGCCCATGATCATCACCCCGAACTCGACCGTCTTGCCACCCGCCAGCAGCTCCGGCTCGTCGTCTAGCAGCTCCGCGATCGTCTTCCCCGTCACCGGCTTGCGCTTGTACAGGATCTTGATCTTATCCAGCGCGACCTTGTCGTTCTGCGCATCGACGACGCGCTCGCGCACGGCGTCTTTCAAGTCTGAGACGGAGGTCGTGGAGATCGGGGCGTTCGAGACGGTGAATTCGAGCGCGGGGTTCCGCGCCGACTTCAGGTGCACGTTTATCGATTTCGAGGATCCCGGGGCGGCGGCGGATTTCACTTTCTTGGGCATTTCGGGGCGGGGGGCGGAGAGGCGAGGGAGGAGGTACTACAGTAGTGGTTTTATTAGAGATATAGATATGGGAGTAGATTGTAGTATTCGGAATCACGTACAGGGACCTTGAGTCCGACTCGCTCGGGGTCGAAGACATAGTCGGCGGGGAGCTTGATGGGACGGGAGTCCAGCGAGGAGAGGAATGATTTGATGAAGGTGACCTCAGACATGGTGGAGAGGTGTATATCGCACAGTTGATGTTTGTTTAGGTAGGAGGGTTGACCGCGGGGGAAAGGCGAGAGGTTGTTGCAGCAGTTGAGGGACCGCAAGCGGATAATTGGCATTACCCAATTGGGGTGGGCCTGAGGCCACGAGGAAAGGTTGACACCTCAGGCAGGAGGGCTCACCGCCTTGGCAACACCGTCTTCTGCCACCAGTGACCGCCCGCAGCGGATGAAGAAAAAAAAAGACGAGAGAAAAAAAAAAAGTTTAGATCTTTCCGCCGTCAACGGAAAAACACCCGATTTACACCACTCTTTTCACCATCTGTCGCAATGGGTAAAGGTCGTCGTATGAAGAAGCAAGGCCCTCCGGCTCCGCTGGATGAGTCTAAAATCTCGATCCTCAAGAATCGCAAGGCTGCCGAGGCCCAGTCGAAGGCCGCGCCGGGACAGAAGCGGAGAAGAGATGATGTCGAAGAGGAGGCGCCTGCGAAGAAGAAGAATGTGCAGAAGAAGACGAACGGTGCTGCCAATGGCAAGCCTGCTAAGAGCGCCGAGCCGCCGAAGAAGCCCGCTGCGAAGAAGATGGATTTCATGGAATCGGACGACGAAGAGGTCTCGGACGACGACATGGAAGACCTTGAGGGAGGCGACGACGAGTTCGGTGATTTGGACGGCGTCAGCGATGGATCGATTGGCTCCGATGATGACGATGAAGGCGATTCGGTCATGGACTCTGACGACGACGAAGATCACCCCCGGGAGACTATGTTCTCTGACGACGAATCTGATGCCGAGGAGCAGCTGACGGCGGCTAATATCGAGGGATTGTCTCGGAAATTGGACCTGGAGAAGCAGGCAGAAGCGGATGAGGCTGAACAAGAATTGCAGGAGGCAGCCATGCAGACCAACATCGCTGGTGACCGACCGGATGTGTTTGAAGAAGGTGGTGCTGGCCACGGTCTAGCCCCCGATCTCCAACTGCTCCGTACGAGAATCACAGACACCATCCGAATCCTGGGTGACCTGAAGACATTGGGCCAGCCCGGCAAGTCGCGCGCCGATTACCTGCAGCTGCTTCTGTCCGACATCTCGACCTACTACGGATACACCCCGTTCCTGGCGGAAAAGCTTTTCAACCTCTTCACTCCCATGGAAGCGTTCGCCTTCTTCGAAGCCAACGAAACCCCGCGACCCGTCGTCATCCGTACGAACACTTTGCGCACAAACCGTCGGTCTCTGGCCCAGGCCCTGATCAACCGTGGTGTTGTTCTGGAGCCTGTTGGCAAGTGGTCCAAGGTCGGTCTTCAGGTCTTCGAGTCTGCTGTTCCTCTGGGTGCCACGCCCGAATACCTGGCAGGTCAATACATTCTGCAGGCCGCGTCTTCTTTCCTCCCCGTCATGGCTCTGGCCCCGCAACCCAACGAGCGAGTCCTGGATATGGCCTCTGCCCCCGGTGGTAAAACTACATACATCTCCGCTCTGATGCGCAACACCGGTTGCGTGATCGCAAACGATGCCAGCAAGCCCCGTGCCAAGGGTTTGATCGGTAACATCCACCGTCTCGGATGCAAGAACACCATTGTTACCAACCTGGATGCCCGCACTGCGTTCCCCAAGGCTCTCGGCGGTTTCGATCGCGTTCTTCTCGATGCCCCCTGTACCGGTACCGGCGTTATCTCCAAGGATCCCAGCGTGAAGACCTCCAAGAACGAGCGTGACTTCCTCGCCATCCCCCACATGCAGCGCCAGCTTCTCCTCGCCGCCATCGACTCCGTCGACCACTCCTCCAAGACCGGCGGCTACCTCGTCTACTCCACCTGTTCCGTCACGGTAGAGGAGAACGAAGCCGTCGTGCAGTACGTTCTGCGCAAGCGCCCCAACGTCAAGATCGTCGACACCGGCCTCGGCGATTTCGGTAGCCCCGGTTTCTCCAACTACATGGGCAAGCACTTCGACGCCAAGATGCCCATGACCCGCCGCTACTTCCCCCACCGCGAGAACGTCGACGGTTTCTTCGTCTGCAAGCTGAAGAAGACCGGCCCCAGCCCCTCCGAGACGACCGCTGCCGACGGTACCGCTTCGTCCGCCGCCGACTCCAAACCCTCCGACGCTCGCTCCGCCACCTCGGACGATGAGTCCGTCGACAAGACCCCCATCACCGACGAGGACGGCATGGCTCTGGACACCGAGGGTGGAGCCTTCGCTTCGTTCGAAGACGAAGAGGCCGACCAGGAGCGCATCCTCCGCGCCGAACGCAACCGTCTCCGTCGCAAGGGTCTCAACCCCAAGGGCGTCCTGAACAAGCCCAAGAAATCTAAGCCCGAGTCGTCGACACCCGAAGAAGCCCCCAAACCTGCCGCCGCGCCCTCTCCCAAGCAGGACGAAAAGAAGGCCGCCAAGAAGACCGAGGAACCTGCCGCCGAGAAAAAGAAGAAGCCCGCCGCCGCCGCCGCCGCTCCCTCTCCCAAGCAAGACGAGAAGAAGAAGGCCAAGAAGACCGAGGAATCTCCCGCCGAGAAGAAGAAGCCCGCTGCTCCGGAGCCCAAGACCAAGGCCACCGCCGAAAAGCAGTCCAAGAAACCGCAGGAGTCGAGCGAGAAGAAAAAGACCAAGAAGAAGTCATCCAAATAGATGAACCACGTACTCGTCTTTCCCTTCTACCCTCTCCTGTATAATTTTTCTTCCTTCTTCTTTATAAACCCTGGATTTGTCACCTTTTTTCTTTGATATAAAAAGCACCTTTTCTGTTCTCATGTTACTTTCAACGAATGTTTCCTGGTATGGGCGGCGCATGCGCATCATTTTCATTGATCTTGTTTGACGGACCGACTTGTAGGTAGCTGTCGAAATCAATCCAATCCAATAGATACCATTTTCGAGTTTGATCTCCTGTCTTGTGTTCTACGTGGGAATGTGGCCGCCAAATAGGTATCTGGTCCTTATTAATAAACCTGTTATGATAAAGTTGATGTAGCGAACGATCACAGATTCAAAACCAATAAATTGCAGATCAAATTTCATAACGAGTGAGAGGTATGCTCTGATCTAGAATGGTGTAAGTCATGTGTATGTAGTGTGGCTGTTTTCTTCTCTAAATCAATCAAGTGTGAAGTGCAAAAATGAGATGTGCTTCGTGTCTCTTCCGTAAACCTTCCGGGGTATGCCGTATTTCTCCAATGAAAAATAGAATGAAAAACGAATGAAAAACAATCCCAAATAATTCCGCAGTGAGGTTGAATAATTCATGTCAAATTTGTGCTCCTTTTCTTTTTCCTTTTTCCCATTTTGTTTTGTATCGCCTGCTGTGAATGTGATACTATTCAAGGCGAATGATGTTACCGGGACATTTATGTGCGGTAGATCTTAACCACGCTGATGATATTCTTCCGACAGATGGGACAGATATCGACCTGACGAGCGCAGGTGACGCACGCACAGACGTGTCCGCAATCGTAGAACAAGGCATCTTGCTCCTCGCTGTAGCAGATCTGGCAAAGGTCCATTTCCTCGTCGGCGACCTCCCAGTAGCTGATGCCTTTGCCGTGGCGCTTGCCATCCTTGTAGCCGCCGACATATTTGTTGCCGGTCTTCTTCTCAACGAAAGAGCCTTGTCCGTGGCACTGGTTCTCGAACCAGTCACCATCGTAGGTGTCGCCGGTTGGGTATTCCATGCAGCCCTTGCCGTGACGTTTGCCGAACACGTGGTCGCCAGAGTAGGTGGCGGCGGAGTCGGAGATGTGCGTGCCTTTGCCGTGGAAATAGCCGTTCTTGAAGTCACCGCTGTAGTACTCGCTGGTGAAGGTAGCATTGATTGTCTTGGTTCCTGTGAAGGCCTTGGTTGGGTGGTTGCGAGCGGAGGCCCATAGGTAGCGAACCAGTTGATCGGGATTGGCAAAGAGGCCAGCCACGTTGAGTTCCGCGCGTCTGAGAATCTTGAGTTAGCACTGTGTACAAAGGTAGAAATGTAGAATGCAATAGAAACAGGAGTGAGAGGCGGAATTACCTATCCTTAGTGAGGCGGTCGCCAACGATGAAGCAGGTACCATCAGGTACAAAGCCCTCGAATGTGTCCGCTGAAGACATGGTGGTGACTGTGGTCCCATCAAGACGCTGCCAGATCAAAAAGTCCTTCTTAGCTGGCCATTGTAGATGCTTTCGCACCGCAGCTTTAATCTTGTCCTCCTTCTGGGAAAAGAAGGAGCCTGCGCTTCGTAGGGACTGTGTATCGACATCGAATATCTGAATGAAGTAGTACACATGATCCACCGGGAGCGTAATCTCCGGCTCTTCCACCGGCATTGTGGTCTCCGGCGCTGTTGGGACCACGGATGAGGCAGCAGCCGGGCTCGGCTCGGGCTCGGGCTCAGCTGGAGCTGCCTCTGGATCTGCCTCTGGAGCCTGCTCCGATGCGGGCTCGGGATTAGAAGGTTCCTCGATATCCATCTGTTGAACGTCGTCTGCGATGATGGCTGCAATTACGGCATCGTCTGCGTTCTCCGTACCCGTCTCGCCATTAGTGGTCCTGCTTAGATCGAGCTCTGGACCACTGATGGGAGCCTGAACTTGGCCCTCAGAGGGGACTTCAGGCGTTGACACCTCGACGGCTACGGGAGCGGTGGAAGTGTCGTCGCCGAAGTCGCCTCCGGGGGTAGTTCCAGAGGAGCTGGCTTGAGCAGCGTCTATTTCGCGCGTTGGAGACCGATCATCCGAGGAATCCGAGTCGTCACGCTCGAGGATAGCCTCCTCGGGCTTGTTGCTCTCGGTCGTGACAGCATCTTGCGGATCCTTCATGGCAAAGTATTTCGCATCCACTGCGGTAGGGTTAGCTGGGCATTCGACGTAAGTGAACATGCACAGAACAAACCTTCTGAGACGATTTGCATCCAGAAACGAGCAATTTTCAAGGGAAGTTCGAGGGTTGCCTTCAGGTCCGACACCCGGGAAAAGGCGAGGGTCGGTCCAAACCGATCAAGGGTGTGACCAATCTGCCACAGACGGACATGCTCCGGACTAGTAGCGTTGTCGGCACCTGCAGATGCCCACAGGGCAATTTTCTTTCGGAGATCCATGAGGTTCGTTGAGCGAGGAACGGTGAGATACATGACGTTGTTGGCAGCCTTCGCTTGCGACATCAGGTCGTAGGTGTCAAAGAGACTGTCCAACTTATCATACTGTGGCACTGAATAAACCTCAACCTGTATGTCTGCAGAGGGCTTGTCATCGGGAGAAAGGCACAAAGGATACATTCCACTCTCGTAGTAGCCTTTCAAAGCATCATCGACATCCCAAGGTCCTTGAGGCCCGGGGAGATAGTCATGCACCACATCGCTGCGGATATACATACCGGCGATTGCGACGTCATGTCCCGTTTTATGGTCCACCTTCTGAGACGAATCAAGACCGATATGAGGTCCCAGGGCGGTCTTGCGGGTCAAGCATTCTACACGATTGTCACTGCCATCATCAAAAGCCAGCCACTTGGAGCCCGGTCCTCCCGGACGAAGGATGCTAAAGAATTTGCCCGAGGTTCGTCGACCACGGTGGACAATATAACCGTAGAGGACGTATTTTCCATTTTGGCCGTCCACGACCCGCGGCGACAAATCAAGCTCCTCATCGAGTTCAACCCGGTTGTAAAGCAGGCGCCATTGGCGTGCCGCCTTGTCGAGTCTTTGACGGCCCAGCTCCACGTGGAGAATCGGCGGCAGCGACCAGCGGCCCGCCTTCTGACCCAAGTACCAATCGAGGGCTTCGTGCATCGTGCCAGCCTGGTCGGCAGGCACACAGATGCGAGAGTTAAAGTCCTTGGGAATGGTGTTGATCACACTTTCTCCGTCTGTATTCGCGGGAAGCGGCTCCGGAGTCGGACTATCAAAGATGGCAGCGAGTTCTTTACCGGCGTCGGTACCTGCGAGCTCCAACTCAAGGGTACGCCGCAAGCGCTCCCAGAACTCACAAACATCACCCGAATACTCGTGCAGATTGCGAAGGGTGGACGTGATGGTGTCGGTGTCGACGTACTGCAGGGACTTGCCTCGCGAGCGCAGATGCCACAGGAACTTTTGCAACGCATCACACAGTGGCTTTGGTTTGACGTCGCAATTGGTTAGATGCTCCAGGACGTTGACTTTCTGAATGATCTTGCAGAAAGGAGCAATGTGCAGCCAAGTTGCCAGACCGGCGACCTCGGCGCTGTGGTTGATCACCGAGTCACCGAGAGGGCGATACCCGGTGAGACTCAAGCTGTCCCAAGTAGGCTCGGAGTCACTGGAATGCCACCACAGCGACCGGGTCGGGTCATCAAAAATACGGATGTAAGCATCGAAAGCAAGCGTGTCATTGCGAAGCAATGCCTGGCGCTGACCCGGCTGGCGGCGATGAATCTGGTCCCACGGGGCGTGGAAGTTGGTCCAGCCCCAGTCCAGATTATGCGGGTTGAACTGGTGGCAGGAGGACTGCATCCATCCGGTACGTGGCTCCTCCGGATTGTATAGAATAACTCCGATCTGGGCGGAGACTCGCCATGTGTCTGTAGGGGGGTCTTTCTGATCGGTAGCTGGCGGGTATTGTGACTTGTAGTGCTCGAGCCACGCGGTGGAGTCCTCCAACCGAGGATACTTGACATTCAGAGCCGGGGCAGTGTTCTTGATATCACTGTCGGCAGGACCCTGTACTACGGCGAAGTCGGTCTCTGGGTGAGTCTTATCCGGAGACGGCATTGTGGGGGAGCATTCAAGGTAAATGCTCAGCGAATTGACATTGTTGCCGCGAGGGAAGAACTTAACAGTCCACCAGTAACCCCCAACGTACGCCGGCGGAGACCGTATGATTTTGGCATAGTTTGGCGACTCCTTTGTGCCCCGAACGCCTTTGATCTTCCACGTGAGGCGCGCCTTCTCCGTCGGGTGGTATTCGGGGTCATCTAGTTCCGGGTGGAAGTTCTTCTCCCAGTAATCATCTGGCGTGCCGAGTTAGCCCGGAATACCAGTGATAAATGCATGTGGATCAGGCATATAACTCACATTCGTAAGCACTGTAGTCCCCATCCGCTGCCGACTCAATTTCCTTCATCTCATCCTCATTGGGAAGGGAAGTGTCTTCCTCGAACTCTGCCCAGTAGGCATGTTCCTCAGGGGGCGGCGGACGAGCGGGTTGGGAGGCGTCGGTAGGATCCTGTGACTGTGATTGATCGGCTTCCGACGGGTCGTTGGACTGGTCGTTATTTGTGGGAGGCTCTGGGATATCGGCATGGGTCACATCGATGGTGACGGCTGGCTCTCCGGCGACCTGGAGAGAGGCGGAGTCGGTACTCAGGGTGATCGGGGGAGGCAGCTGCTCCACGGCGACCGACGTTTCGAGAGCCGTATCCATGTTGTCGGATTCACAACGAAGGGATTGACAAGCGGATGTCGGCAAGAAAATACAAATGGCACAGCGAGGTCCCTGGACTTATTCCCCAGATTACTGGACCCAGAGGGAGATAAGATAGCGAAGACCACTCCGTCCGAAAAGAGTGGAACGGAGTTAGCACGCAAACGCAAATGCAAAACGATCCAAGGAACGATCCAAGGAACGATCCAAGGAACACTTCAAATAACAAAGTCAAACGAGCTGAACAATGAAATCAAGCTCGTTCTAACGCCCTGGAATGAGTCAAGCGATAGAACAGCTGAGCGAGGCAGACGGCGAAGGAGGGGGCGCTAAGAGAGTCTGGCCAGCGCGATAAGACGAGGCTTATCAGCAAAACACGGGGCGAGCTAAACCCGGGCGGGAAGTGACACGAATCAAAGGAGAGTCAAGACAGATGAACGAGGGATCGCAAGGACCAGAGCATAGAACGAGGAACGAAGAAAGAAGAAGGAAGGGAAGGGAAGGAGAAGAAACAACAGATAAGATGGGACACGACAGCAGCGAAGAAAAGAAAAAGAAAAAGAAAAGGAAAAGGAAAGAACCGCCGCAGGACCGAAAGATGAGGCGACGGCCAGAGATCACGGGCCCGCTCACCGCTGGTTCCGCCGGTCGCTGATTGGCCGATGCGCCTCTCAAACAATTCATCGCTCCGTCGTTGTTGGCGTTGGTGCTTTGCCACACTCCAGGCAGAGAGTAGGCTGGTAGTGCTCCGTGCTGGTTGCCGACAGGTGCCCTCTACAAGTACGAGTACGTGGACCGAGTGTTCAGATCCAGTCAGCGTGTCCCACCCGTCGCATCCCGCTGCTTGTGAATCGCCTGCGTGTCTCGAGAATCTTCATGGATTCATCTCTATGGTCCCGTCTATGGTCCTGGACGATTTTTTCTCTCCTCTTTCTGCAGTCACTGCCCTTCCCTCCATCAACCTCTCTCACTTGGTCTTCTTTCATTGTCCTGTCTCTCCCCGTGGCAAGTCCCCCGGCAGCAAGTGAACCTAATTCGCCTTAGGGCCCGTTCGGGTCGCAGCGATCGACCGGTGGAACAGGTCGCCCGCTCCACTCTCCCCCGTCGCTGATTTGCCCTCCCATGCCTTTCTCCTCAGGAACTTTTGCCTCTCAAAAGTCAAGCCCGTCCCGTCGACCCGGATATCCGGGACGAAGAAATCCCTTCCACTGGCTCCACGCAGTTGGCGACTAATCAACCGCCCTGTCGTCCAGTGCCATTGTCTGCCGCGTCGCGGGTGGAATTTCCCCCTTTCGTGCCCACTGTCCGATTTGCCACCCTTCCAGAATCCCCTGGCCTGGTTTCCTGGGAGGGAAACAAACTGAACAATCCTGATAGGGAGTTGGTGTGCGCCACGCGGGGATCATTCGGTTCTGAAAAGTTTGGAGTGGAGATGGCGGGACCGGACCAAGAGTCATCCAGAAGGGCCGATCGGGAGAAGCCTCATGGAAAATGATCGGTGAATCCACCAATTGACCCGGGTGCGTGGGTTTCCGTCGTGCGCTGGGAATCAAACCGCCTGGACTGGATTCAGTTGCGAGAAACGTCGTCCCCAGTCGAGGCGTCCTGATCAGCCCGCGCAAAGGAAGCTGCGACCATCAAGGGAAAGACAACGGTGGCTTCTGCATACACCTTGACCGACTTGGCGCCCGCCTTGATCTTTCCCCAGCTGATGGCTTCGTCGGGTCGAGCTCCCGCATCGCTTCCATCGAACTCCTGAGCGGTGTTCACGTACACGGCGTGTTCCGCTCCGTTTCGCATCAAGCAGGCATTGGCAATGTGGTGTTTGATCACTCCGCCGCCGAGAATGATCATCCCCGCACGAGCGGCCCGGACGGCCATGGTGTTGATACGCCGCACGTCATCCACGATGTCAACCCGGAGCCGCTGCGGAGAGGAACGGAAGGTGTGGAAGTATAACATGTCTCCGAGAGAGCCGTCGGTGAGGGCCGGACAAAAGATGGGGATGTCGTTCTGGGCGGCCCAGTAGAGCACAGAGTCCTTGTGGTTGATCTCCTGACCCAGCCTTTTGATGATGCGACTCGGGGTCCAGTGCAACTCGTCCTCCTCGTTGCCCGTCTGCAGGGCCTTCTTTTTGGCGGCCTCCTGTTCCTCCAACATTTTATCCAGAATGGGGACCAACCAGTCTTCAAACGCACAGTAGTTGCTATTCGGGACCAACAGGTTACCGATTCGGTTCAATCCTTTGGCACGCAAACCGGCCCCCGGCGCGGTGAATGATCCCATGTAGGTCGGGGCCAGACACTTAATTAGGTCCTCCTCGACACCACCGGCGGTCGTGACGATGGCGGAAACATGGCGGTTGCGGACGAGGTAACGGATGGTATCGCGTAAACCAGAGGAAATCAGGTTAGACGTGTATCCCAGGAAAATGGTGGTCTTTGCGCCGGTCTCGGGGTCTCGATATGCTCGCTAGAAAGATGAATAATTGCCATGGTGAGTGAGAGCTGCGAGAGCGGGGTGACGATGCCTACCATATCATTGATGATCCCAGTAGCCTCCGCAACTGCACTCCCCTGGAACCCCATATACTTCATATTGTCCACCATCTCTGCGACCGTGATATCGCGGCCCTTGTACTTCTCAAAATCCACTCCTTCCACTTGGTGAGTCCCCTCGGGCACGGGTTCCGAGGCCATTAGGACGGCGTTGGTGGCAGCGGAAGGAGGGGCAACCTCACCGATGGGCTGCGACTGAGACATGGCTGGCGGTGGGAAGAAACAAAAAGCAACCGAAACAAAAACAGTAAAAAGGGAATTGGACCGGAAAATATGGGAGCGTGAACGAAAAGCAAATGCGAATTCAGTGGTTGTGTTGAGTTTATCGTGTGATGGCTGGTGGAGGTACTTTTTTTTTTCCTGTTCTTTTTTTTCTTTTTTCTTCTCTTGTGAGGGGAAGACAGCGAGTGGGGGGACTGGGGTCGCTGATTGGCAGGCCGACAGAGAGAACCATGGGGTGGGGCCGGATTCCTCAGGCCGCCGAGTCACGACCGCGGCAGCAGCAGGCTAGCCGGAACAGGCAAGGCGCGCTGCAGCGTACCTGTCGGCAGCCTCAGGCCGTAACGGGAGTCGAGTCCCTGGCCTCAGGCGCACAGGCAGGCAGGCAGGCCGTCCCGCAGGTGATTTTTGAGTTCCCCTAGACCCGGTGGCGCTAAACCGCATGGAGCTGCCGCCCTTCTTTTGGGTCCATCGGCTTTTTGCTCTCCCTCTCTCTTCCCATCTCTGCCCTTCGCCCTGCCCACCTTTCTCTCGTTGGATTTGACGACCCTGACTATAATTCTCTTTTCTTGTCCCCTCGTTTTGATTTGTGACATCTTCAATCTTTTGGTTTTGGTCTTTTGTTTTGGGGCTGGTCCGAGTCTGATCCCGGCTCTGATTTCCGAGTCATCTCCGTCGAAAAACGATTCGAGTCCGTCCTAATAATATCGGCAGACTTTAGTTGGCAGGTCCACGGGTCTTGATCTTTGCTGCCCAGAGTCCCTCCTTGCAGCTATCCGTCTGTCTAACTCGGCGTGACACGTTGCGCTGGATCAACAGGTGCGCAGCTTTCCTTCTATTTCTGCCTCTTTCGTCTTGGAATTCCCTCTGTATTCATTCGTGGTATTTTTCTTTTTCTTTTTATTTTTCATTCGATTCGTTTTTGATGCTCTTGATTCCCCTTTATCTCGTGATGGCGGCAAAATCGCATTTATCGGCCGCCGCTGAACACCGGCTTCATCGTGCCCTTTGAGCCGATCCTGGGGCTCGGGGGACTCGGATTAGTCTGGTTATGGACATTGCCTTCACTCGTTCCTACTGCCCTGGTTGCTGCGGCTGCGTTCTCTCCTCTCCCCATCTCTGGCCATCCTCCTCACATCTGAAACCACCCACGCCAAGTGGCTGCCGCTAAGCGCTCTCGCACCAATCATGTACCGCGGCTAAGCCATCCCGATCTGGTCTAGCTGCTTATCTCATCACCGTTCCCTGTGGCCCGTGCGGTCCACGCTTTCAAGATCACGTGCCCCGTACCGTCGGTCGTCTTCGCGCTGTCTCCCTTTGGCCCGCTGCCCTCTCCCGGTATCTGACTTTTTTGCTTCTTCATTCCTATTATTATAATTATTCTCCTTAGTACTGCTGCGGTTGACTGTTAATTCTCTTCACTTCTTCGTTTTTGGTTTTCTCTTTCCCAAACTAACCTGTCGCAGGCTCTCTGCCAGGTTGCCCGTTCCCGCGCCATTTAGCATGATCTGGTGATGTCTTCACGATATCCCCCATCGTCTGGGTTCAATTCCCGTGACCGTTCGCCGCAACGCTTCGGCGATCGTAGGCCGCCAGCCGGTCCTCGTGGCTCTGACGATGTGAGCTTGCCGCCGCTGGGGAGGGAGCCACCCCGAGGTCCGAAGGCCTTGATCGACCACCCTCGAGGCGCGCCCTTTGGGGGTCGAGGTCGAGGCTATCCGGGCCGGGGCGACTTTCGAGATCGAGATCGAGATATCCGCGATAGAGATCGAGACCGAGACCGAGACTTTAGAGACATCCGCGACGGTCCGCCACCGTTCCGCCGCGACCTTGACCGCGATTGGGGTCGCCGCGATCGAGATTTCGACCCCAGAGAACCGCGAATCGGCTTTGGCCGCGGCCGCTCCCGTTCGCCTCCGCCACCACCCCGTGACTTCCGTGATATGAGAGAACCGTTGGGACGGGACCCTGATCTAGTCCGTATGCGACGAGGGTCGAGGGACAGCCTTTTGTCGGCTTCGTCTGCGACTGGCGACGTGCCGTCTTCTGGCCCGGGTCACCACCCTCGCGGGGGGCCCATGCGAGGTCGTGGTCGGGGCGATTGGGACATTGGACGCGGTCGAGGCCGTATTCCGTATCTGGATGATCGTGATTCGTTCCGCCGCCGCAGTCGATCGAGAGACGGAAGATGGGAGCGTGAGCGTGAGCGGGATCGAGATCGCGATCGCGAGCGCGACCGTGATCGCGACCGTGACCGAGAACGCGAGCGCGATCGTGAACGGGATCGAGATAGAGATCGCGACCGAGATCGCATGCTTGACCGGGATAGAGAGCGGGACCGAGATCGCGAACGGGCTATTGAACGGGATCGAGAGATTGACCGACGCGAGCGCGAACGAGACCGAGACTTGGACCGCCGGGAGAGATTCGACCGCCGCGACGACTTGGACCGACGGATAGAACGCGACGATCGCGACCGGCCGCCATTGGATTCCTGGAAGAGAGACCGGCCCCCTAGTCGCAATGAAAATCGGATCCCGAGCACTTCGTCTATCTCGTCCGTGCCGGCGGCAGGACAACCCGGCCCCGCCCCGTCCGAGCGCATTCCCGATCATGCAGGCCCCGAACCGCCCCGCAAACCGCCTGCAACTGAGGCTCGCCGCGAGCCTGAACGGACCGAGGCCCCTGCTGCTCCTGCTGTTGCTCCTCCTGTTCCTTCTGCTCCTACTGCGCCTGCTGCTGTGGTAGCTCCTGCTCCTGCGCCTGAGCCTGCTCCTGCTCCTACTCCTGCCCCCGCCTCCGCCCTGGCCCCGGCCCCGGCCACTGCTCCTACCCATGCTCCTGCGTCTGCTGCTCCTGCTCCTGTTCCTACTGCCCCTGCCCCTGCGCCCGCGCCCGCACCTCGCCCGGAAGTCGCGAAAGACTTGCCGCCGGTTGTCAAACGATCTCCTCCGCCAGCAGCCCCGCAGGTGCCTGCCTTTGGCTCGGTCACGGCGCCTATCCCTGACTTGCCCACCGAGAAGCCGCCCGCTGAATTGACTCCGATGCCTTCTCACGTTCCAAAGCCGGAGAAGCAGCACGATGATATTCCTCCGCGAGGTCCCGTCCAACCGCCTACAGGACCAAAGGCCACCAGGCTTCCTGCACAGCAACCCCTGGAGCAACGGGTTCGACGTGATGATATTCCAGATGCTTCGAACAAACCTCACGACCCTCTACCTCGCGTGTCGAAGCCTCATCCAGCAGCGCCTGCTCATGTTCCACGGCAGCCGGACCTGTCGCCGCCCACGGCGCCCGCTGCGATGGCTGGCAAGGATGTCACTCTGCCCCACGGAGAGACCTCTCCCGCAGGCAAGGCCAGTTCTGCCACCAACCTTGTGGATGGTAACAGAAAACCATCTTCTGCTGGCGTGGCAACTTCTCCTGAGCCTCATACATCCCCTCGTATGCAGCATTCATCAAACATCCCCACTGGGCCGCGAGCGCTGCAGCAACGACCATCCGTGTCACGCGGGCCGCCTAAAACCAACAAACAATGGGTCCGCCCTGGCTATAGCCGTCCGCCATCGGGTCCAATCCCCACGGCACCAGATCGTGAGGGCATGGATAGCAAAGATCGGAGGCCATCATTCGCTTATGATCTCAAAAGAGAACAGCGGATGTCGATCGACGAGAACATGACGGATCTAGAAGCTGGAGAAATAGCGCCTGAGGATGATGTGCCACCCGCGAAGGCTCGTGTTTCCCCCGAATCCCCCAAGCAATCGAAGGCCCGTCATACAACTCCCCCGCGGGCCGTCACGGACGCGGCCCCGCCCAGAGAGAAACCCACTGAAGAAAAGCCCGATGTGTTCATTCCGGACTTTGGGGGATCGAGCGACGAGGAAGAAGATGACAAGGTTGTATTCACACAAGACTATCTCGAGGAACGAAAGCGGATCTTCGAGAAAGACATGAACATGCTCCGAGCTGATCTTCCTCCGACTTCTTTGGAAGACCCGGGCATCGTGACCCTACTAATGCGAATCCAATTGCTGGGACTGATTGCCAACGATGTGGTCCAAGAAAAGGCTCCGACACCTCCCGCTCCCGAAACGAAGCCCCAAATCGCCGTCGAGGAGCCCGTCGCTGCTCCGGTGGAACCCAAACCCGAAAAGGACGCCGTGGAGCCTGAGCCAGCAGTTAAAGTGATGGCGGACTCGCTGCCTCCGACCGATACAGTGACTGTCGAGCATCTTCCATTCTTACCCTCTGGTCCACCTACTCCTCTCTCTGATCTCGAGATTTGTCATGAGAATGATGCTTCGTATGAATCGCTCAAGGATATTTTCCGCTCTGAGTTGATGAAGCGCAACAAGGAGATTGCGCTCAAGAACTCCTCGCTTCGGGAGGAATACCTGCATTACTACAAGCCCTGGCGGCTGAACGTTTCTGAATTGGACATGGCCAAGGAGAAACCCTCTGTATCTCCTGCACCAGCTACGCCACCTGCCCCTCCCATCGTGGTGACACCTACCACAACTGCGGAGGGTAGGCGGTTCAAGGGCAACAGTGAACTGGACTTCCAGAATGCCCTGCGAGCGTCAGAGATCTCGGCACAGGAGGAGTTGGAGCGACGCCGCGGCAACAAAGCCACCGCCCAGCCAGATCTCAACCGGGAGGCGGTTATTCCCGACATGCTCGAAGCTCCTGAGGCCAAGGCGCGTATTTACAAAGATACCAACAATATTGTCGAGCCGACTAATGCCAGAGCCGTGTTTGGCTTTTTGCCTCCAAGGAACGATTTCACGCCCGAGGAGCACGAGGTTTTCACCGACGCATTCATGGCGCACCCTAAGAAATGGGGCAAGATTGCCGAGTCCTTGCCTGGCCGGGACTTCAAGCAATGTATTGTTCATTACTACCTGACAAAGGAGGAAATCAAGTACAAGGCGAAACTGAACAAGCGGTGGAGCCGTCGTGGCCGTGCCCGGAGATCCGCTCGTCCCAAGTCCAATGCTCTTATGGCCGACTTGGGCGTCGTCAAACCGGATTACGAAGGCGAGGAAGAGCCGGCTCCTGTCACAGACACGGGTCGTCCTCGTCGTGCTGCCGCACCAACGTTTGGTGACTCCTCTGCCGATACGGAACCGTCCACCGCCGGCCGGCGTGGAAATGCAGCCAAGGAACCAGAGCAAGGCGAGAAGACGGTTAGTCGACGCGGTCGGACTGGTCCGGGATCGCGAGGTCGAAGAGGCAAAGCCGCTCAGCAACAACTGCAGCAGCAGCAACAGCAACAGCAAACACCGCAGCCTACACCCCCCGAGCAGCCTTTGAACATCAGCGTCCCACCGCCATCAGTCACGCCTCCTGTGGGACCACTCCCCAAGCCGGAGGCACCCGAAACGTCGATGGATGGTACACACGATGCAGCAATTATACGACCCCGAGAGCCAACAGAACGAGAGCCCCAGGAAGCGCCTCCGCGCGGGAAATCTGGCCGAGGTCGACAGAAAGAAGGTGTATACGTTTTTGAATCCGGGGAGCAAGAGGCCCCATCAACCAGCCGACAGTCCGAGGTTGGCTACGGTTCATTGCAGCCTACTAGCTACTGGTCTGTACCGGAACAGCGCGACTTTCCCCTGTTGCTGGCCCACTTTGGTCGTGATTTTGAAGGCATCTCCAATTTTATGAAGACAAAAACCACTGTCATGGTAAGAATCCAAGAATGGACTTGGAATCCACCTGTACAATCCCTAGTCAGCGGTGATTAACATTTCGAGTAGGTGAAAAACTACTTCCAGCGTCGGATTGACTCTGGTCAGAAGGACTTCGAGGACGTTGTTGCCGATGCAGAGAGTAAGAAGGCGCGTGGTGAACGCACGGGTCCTTTGCCCGTGCCTAACTTCGCGTCCAAGCGGCGTTATGAAGCCACGCCGTCTTCGATAATCCTTCCCCGGCCTCTGGCACCGCAGACTGATGCAGCCTCTGATACGGACGAGAATCGGCCGCCGCCAAAGAGCAAGCACGCGGTTGCATCGTCCACCCCAACGCAGCCGGTGCCTCTGCAGGCCCGTCCTCCGCCAGAGAAGGAGCGCAATGCCAACCGTTACCCACCTCTTGCGCAGGCCAGCAGTGCTCCCATTCCAACGGGGCCAATTCTCGCCGAGGACACCACACGAGCGGCTCGTCCCCAAGCCCCAATGGCCTCACGCATGCCTGGCCCTCGCATGGGGTATTTCCCAGACGACAGACGCGAAGTTCCACCCACGGTTATGTCTCATACCACGACTCGACCCCAAGAGGCGCCGATTACCGCGCGTCAAGCGCCCGTTTCTGCCCCCGAGATCGCGCGCATGGAATCTTTACACGCTCAAGGGTATCGGTCGTCCAACATTGATGCGCACGGGTCACCTCTTATCACTGCACAGGGTGCGATGCCACCATCCCAGCCGGCATACCTCCCGGCTCAGCCTCAGCCTTCACTGGTCCCAACGCCTTCTCATTCTCGCCATCCCAGCCTTACCAAGCCACCTAGCTCTCCCGTGCAACCGATGCAGAGACAAGAACCCGAGATTCATACCGTCCGGCATGATCCAATCAGCCAACGGTCATACTACTCTCTGCCGAGCCAGCCCATGGGCATGGCTCAGCCTCCGCCAGTTCTGTCGCCTCCCAAAGAAACTCCTCGACCCGGGCCTCCTCCATCAGAGCCTCCCGAGGCGCCCCGTCAAGTCCCGGCGAAGCGGTCCAATATCATGAGCATTCTCAACGATGAGCCCGAGGAGCCCCAGCCGCGCAAGCGATTTGCCAGCGACCAAGCCTCGTTGAATACCGCTGGAAATGCAGCGTCGCCGTCACGGCCCGTTTACACGGGAGTACCGTCGTCCCTTTCCCAACCACCATCTGCACCCCGGCAGGAGGAACCCGTTTTGTCGACGCCTCAGCAGAATGCCCCTGCTTACACTCAGCAGAGCCCGTACTTACCGCCAACTCGGGGGTACTCTGATTATCAAGCATACGCCCCTGCTCCAGGCGGCTCTGCCGGGCCGGCGAACAACGACTGGATGGCACGGTTTGACCCCAGGGGCCAGCAGCCGCAGCAGCCGCCGACTTCTCACCAGCAGGTCAACAACCGTCCCGCATCGACACTCCCCCCTCAACCGCCCTTCTCCCCTTACACTTCCAACCAGTCCGTATCCGCACACGCCCTGCCAAATCTCACTGCGCCATCTCCTGCTCCCACTCCCTCCCCGGCTCCGTCGCACCGGCCGTCGTACCATGCCTCGGTCTACGCGCCATCCCCGGCGTCCCACGCGCAGGCAGTCGCTGCCAGCTCTCGTGACATGGCTGCGCAGAACCAAATGCTGCGGTCGACCATCGGGTCACCCACGTCGCGCAACAGCAACCTTTCCTACGGTACGCGACAAGGGCCCCCGACCCCGATCCAGTCGCCTGCCAATCTCCTTGGGGTGGCGTCTCGTCAAACCCCCGCCACGGCATCCTACGCATCGCCGGCACCGCCAACGCCCGTGCCCATGACCATCCCCAGTCAGCAGCATCCGAGTAGCCACCAAACCTACCAACAGCACGTGCAGACCATGGTCAGCGGTGCGCATCAACAGCAGGCCCATCGGTCTACCATGGGATACCCGGGTGCACAATACGGCCACAGTACGCCTCCACCGCAGGCGCAAGGGCCTCGGGTAGCGGGCTTGCCTGGACCGCCCCCTCAGGCCATGCCAATGGGGCGTTCCTACACGCCGCCGGCGATCATGCAGCCGAATCCATCGGGCGGGATGAGCTATGCTCCCGGCGGACCAGCCCCGACGGTTGGGGCCGTTCACCCCCTGCAGGCGCGCCCGGGGCCTGGCGTCTTGGGCGACGGCGGAAACCCCGGGCACGGTCATCATCGAGTTTATAGTCAGGGGTCGAACGCCGGGTCGCTCTCGGTTCCAATGACGCCTCAACACCCGCCTCGATAGAGTCCCTTCTTGAGGGATGATTGCATTTCTGGAATTTTGCATATGTCGATACCATGTGGGGAATGGATTGTTTCCGTGTAATTTACTTAAAAAAAAAGGAACCAGAAAAGACAACCAACGACTTTCATTTTGATTTCAAATCTGTCTCTCCTTTTGCTTTCCCTTGGCGGAGTTTTTTTCTTTTTCTTTTTTCTTATTCCTCGGCATCTCTCGTTCATGATTTCATGATCCGGGGTATTCTTTTTGGGTGGGCATCTCTTATGATTCATGTATGTCGTGTACAGTAGACGATCCAACGGAAGAACATATTGGCACCAATCTGCCTGGCCGGTGACAAGGCTGACCCTGAGCAGGACCCCTTCAGCCCTGTGGCGGGTCGCCAATCTCCGTCTTGGAACCATTCGCCCTACGGCAATAGTCTGGCGAACTAGTCGTTAGCTGGGTGGAGAGGCCCGGCTCGTCGGCCAACCGCGTCCGCGACGAAACCACTTGAAACGACGCCCCTCTCCCTCTCGTCTGCCATCTCCTCCGTTCGACTTCCCTCCGTCGTAATTAATCGATATCTGACGCGGCACATGCGGCGTGATGTGGAGTTGCTTCTCGTCTTCGAGTTGCTCTTTCTGCACCTGTTCTGCCCGTAGCGGCGTCTTCAGCTCTGCTCGAGCTGCCAGATCGCCTGTCCCTACCACACAGGAGCTATGACAGGCCTAGACGAGATTAGTTCGTTCTGGCGTTAGATTGGAGGCTTATTGCAATTCCGGTGCAACCCTGCTGCCTGGGTTCTCTACGACCAGTTTGTCTCAGCAATTAATTCCCTAGTCCTCCTCCGTAGATGAATCCGGCTAGCACGGAGTCCAGACAGCACAGATGGATTCCGATGTCCATATATCCTGCCCTACCCACATCCGTTCGAGCCAAGAAAGCTTTTTTCTTCAGCCTTACCTGACCCCCGTCCTGCCCACTCACCACCATGAACCTGTCCCGCGATCGCCCGCTCCCTTCCGTTCACCACCTCCCACGGATATACTCGCCTTCGCCTTCGCTTTCTTCGCTCTCGGTCTCAGACTCATATCAATCCCACTCGCCTAGTCAGAGTCCACCTTCTTTCGCTCCCTCGCCACCTCACCACCACCATCCGGGCTCCGACTCCCCGCGAACAGAAGAATACAAAACGAGTCTCGAACAAGCGAAACTCGACCGCCGACGTCAGGAATACGCCCTCCTCCGCGATGCCCTGAGACGAGGGATCCCCTACTCCGCGATCCCAGGGCTCCTCGCCTCGCGGGACTCCTCCGTCCGAAAGGGGACAGGACATGGTGACTACAGCCTCGGAGGGCACCATCAGCATCATCCACAGGGCCATATCCCTGGCTCCTGGCCAGGGTCAGGGTCCGATTCACCCGGACTGAGCGTCTACGGCCACGCGCCTGGGACAGGGCACGGACAAGCCGGTGTGATATACTGTATGACTTCATCCGAGTCCTTTTCCTCGCCCCTGGTCACTTGTTTAGTTACATTCCTCGATTCCGTTCTGGATATTAACAACCGCCTGACTGACCGAAACACAACAGACATCCCAACCCCCCCAGGCCCGAATCCAAATCCAATGCCCCAGCCGGGGCAACGACGCCTCGATCTCGACGACAGCTTTCTCCATCGTGCGTACAAGCGCCGGAGACCGTGGACTGGCTCGGCTCGGGCTCGTTCCGCGCAGGGAGGCGACCGCAAGCAGCGGATTACCTTTCATCATTATGTTCCGGGGGTGAGTAAATAAGTACATATACATACCACGCCTTAGTGGGTGGGGATGCATTTGGTTGGGAGTTCGGTTTTGGGGTTTATGTTCATTTGGGTGTTCAGGGGACTGGGATTCTATATCTTTTGGTTTATGGTGTTTTTCGATCGGAATTGTCGTTTTGCGTGTGGTTCTTTTGGCCCTTTCTGTTCTGTTCTGTTCTGTTCTGTTCTGTTCTTGGGCGATTGCACTGGGAGTTTCTGTCTTCGATGATTTTAATTGACTAGGCCAAACTGGACCTTCGGTTTTACAATAAGCTAAGGAGTTTTATATTTTGCGAGGTGAAAAAGAAAAAAAAAATTCAATCTCTAACAACTAGAAATTCAAGCATCCGCATGGCAGACGGTTAAAAAAGAAAGAAAGAAAGAAAGAAAAGAAACATTCAATTCAATCTCATTTCATAATGCAGATAGAGAGAAAGGGAGAAAGCACGCGGCCACGTAGGATAAGCACCCAAGCAAAAGATTACCTAGGATCAATAAAGATAATCATGTGCAGAGAATCGGACAAGATTTGGCAGCCTTTATAGCTGACTGCAACGAGCTGGGTGTCTTGAGACTGGGTCCGCGGTCGTTGCCTGGCAGCTCCCAGATCCTCATATCTTTCGCTAAGAGCCCCCTGCACAAAATCGGCCGTGGTATACTCTGCCGGGGCGGCCCGGTTGGCAGTGACGTTGGGCGATGTCCATCTGAAGGTCCAAGCATTCCATTCATCATCACTGAGCCGCCAAACATTGGAGTTATGCAGGTCAGGGTCTTTAAAGACCATGATGGCCCCGGCGCCCCTCGTGGCGTATCTCAAACTCTCCGACAAGGAATCGGCCACGTATATGCCCGGCCCAAATTCGTTGTCTCTGTAGCTTTCATTGGCTTGCGGGATAAAGAAAGTCAACGTGGACTCCAACGCAGAGATGCTCAAGCCACGGAACCAGAGGTTTCGGGATGCTAGATGGCCTTCAGCTAGGCGACGGATGTTGATCTCCAACGTGCGGCGGTCCTTCACAGACTTAAGCCTCATGCACATGATCTTTCCCGAAGGTCTTTGCAATCGGTTGTTTGGCGTGATCTCGGCGAGGGGGAATGGCGATGGATTGTTCGTGACCCCAGCGGGGGATGTCTTTGGTAGGATCCCCGATTCCCGAAGGTATCGGGGCCTCGCCCCATAGACCTTTTCCACAGTTCGGAATGAGACGATTTTCAACTCAATGAATGGTACAATTGCCCACATAAATTCTGCGCTTCTGGGCATTTCGATAATTTCATCCTCAATAACATACGCGCGGCTGTCGATTTCGTCAACGAGTTCATCTAGGCCCGCAAGCCAAGCGAAACTCCGGAGAGGACCGATGAAAGCGGCCCCGCGACCACCTCCATCCTCGTCCAGGTGCTCTAGAATATCAGCGGGAATCTCAGGATGGGGGTACGTTCCTGCCCAGATCGGCCGAAACCCATGGGCCTCAAGGTTGTTATAATTTCGCTCGTAGCCCCGGGCGATAACTTCATCCCCGGGTACCAGGTCAGCTTCGACAGTGACTAGATGCTCCCAACTGTTGGGATTATCGCTAGGGGCGGTCTCTGCCTCTTCGTGACTGGCGATTTCATCAACGAGGAACCGAGCGTCTTCTTCTGCCATCGTTTGCTGAGACGAGGCTTCGGTAGGGGCGATCTCTGCCTCTTCGTGGCTGGCGATTTCGTCAACAGGGAACCGAGCGTCTTCTGCCATCGTGCGCAGAATCGAGATTTTTCGAGCGGACGTGAAATGGGAGTTCTTTGGGGCTGAACGCTTTCGTTTTCCTCTCGATAGAGTGGAACCTCGTGGATGTCTCAATGCTTCCGCATGACAAGCGAGTCGAGCGTAGGAGGGATCCATGCTGAGGATTTATACCTTTTCGTCGGGGGACTCTTTTGGAACTTTTCGCGGTATCGGGCCGACAGTCCACTTGGATGCAGGAGGATGCCAACATGATGGCTCCATGAGAAGGAACCTGCCTTCTATATGAAGCCAGCCGGCTTCTAGGATGTTTGTCACATCGTTGCGTCTGCAGACGACTGCTTAAGAAGACCAAACGAGCAGTTCTTTCAGACATCATCCCTATGCGAGTTTGCTGGCGCTGAACAAAGACAAGAAGCTGAATACCTGCAAGCTGTCGCCTTTCGTCATGGCCTGATCTCAGGAGGATGGTTGAGCGCAGTGTGCGAGGTGCAGTGAATTGGGTAGAGTGAATGTTGCGAGAAGCAATAGGTAGTGATCAACCCCTTCCCCCTTTGCAGTGGTGGATGGCACGTGATAAGCAGCTGTTTGGAAGTGACAAAGCAGGCATATTCAATGCGCTTCATCGCCATATGGAAGTTCAGGAAATTGCCTGGTATGAGTTCTTTCGTGCAGTTGGAATAATAGGGAGGTTTCCGGGGGATAATCTCAGCCTTGAGACTTCCTACATATGATTGGACCAGACGGGTGATTCCGGGTAAAGCCTCCCTGGAGGGATTAGTACCGGAATTCATCATACCTTCTTTGTTCCAAGAAAACATCCTGTCCGCCTAAGACCAACCAAACATCATCACTGCGGCTATGTTTAGGCGCCCGAGACAAACCGAGCCCGATGGGCTCTCAACAAGACTGAGCGAAACGCTTCAACCCATCACTGTGATTCCCTGGTCAGCGCTCGCAATGTGGTATCTGGGCGTCCCCATCGCTGTCGGGGTAACGTACACCTTGAGTGCTAGTCGACCATGAACCCCTCTATAATCCTGCTACCCATTCCTGTCCCCGTAGGCCCCCATTATTGTGGTGCAAGACGACGACTATCCAGCCGCCATAGCAAGGCTCGAGAGCGCAGGATTCACCCGAAGTGTTCCAAATCGTACCCCTGCGCCCGAAATCATGGAGGACCATCCAAACCCACGGCAAATGGTGGAGAAAATAAATGCTGGCTACAAGCGCTTGGATCGGTCCTGTGCAGTATTTGATTATCCACATGGCGACCCGGAAGAGAAAGGCTTGCAGCTGTACTTGTTTCCGGACTCCTTTGCGCACCTTTTCCCGGAAGAAAATATCCCCGGCCCTTCAGCCGAAGTGAAAGATACGGCGCCAACGGAGCGATTCAACGCCTACGGTAATTTGCGCTACGCACTGGAACAAGCCCTTGTGGAAAGTTTTGTTAAGGCTGCGATCGAGGAAGAGTCCGAGACTGGCTTTTCGGCGTGGGGCGAGTCACTGAGGGGCTGGGTATCTATGATGACAGGATATCTGGAGGTTGATAATGATGTCCTTGATCATTGTTCGGATCAACAGGCAGTGGAATGGTATAGTCACAACTTTGGTCGAATCCGCGAGGCCAAATTTGGTCCCATGGATCGGCGCATTTCAAAACGTCTCGGCTCGGGAAAAGAGATGCCAATAGATATGAGGGGGAATCGTATTTGATAATAGCTTTCATTTAGCTATAACTGCATAGGCATCTAGTCAGCCAGTTATTCGTTGGAAACTGGTTTGGTAGCAAGGTAGATGACGGAATCCCTGCTTTACGACAAGGAGATATATTCGGAGGTCAGCTAGCGAGAAAACCTTCGTTCCGAAGGCACGGGATGAGCCGATAGTAAATCTCGTCCAAGTCGCATCCAACTGGCCGAGAGAGCCGGCTGTAACATCCCGTGTGATGTTCCATTCGGATCCGACAGGGAATCAATGTAACGCTCAGATGATCAGTCGTGGTCCGTAGAACCCGAGACGATCACCTCTGACCCGTGTCGCTGATAGGACCAGGGACATTGTCGTCGCATGATTGGACGAGACGCCGTAGGAAATGTTTGTAAACCTGTCCATGGATTCTAGATAAGTATGAATCTTGTCGGGTTGCCGGTCGTTTATCGCAGGCATGGGTCGACAGAGAGCGTTGTGTGCTGTGGTACCGTGTGTGATTGGATCAAGCATGAAGAGCAACATCATCAACGTTATCCCTCGCGCGATTTACTTGTCAGGTCAGTGATGCCGGCGCCCTGTGTACATGACCCACGGCCCGAGTGGACGGATGGCGAAAGTCGATCAGGCAACAATCGGTGCCCGGTTCTGGACTCGCTGCAGCCGTGGCGAGCGAGTAGTGCCACTAATATGGGGAATCTGGTCAAAGACATGACGGGAATGTTCGGTGGGATGAAAGAGGATACGCATCTACGTCATAGATCAAATGGACACTGAGATATATCTCTAAAAGGCGAGGAGAATAATGCTTACCCGTTCTGCTTACAAGAAGGGCATTTGGTAGGCGCAAGACGAGCAAGCAAGCAAGGTCTCTGGCTACGGGTGCAAACCGTCCGTACCCGGAAGAAACAAGGACAAGAAGCTGGTGGGTCTTACTCCGTAGTGTGCCTCTTATCCGGACCTCGTTTTCTTCGGCCGTACTCCGTTTCTGCAGTTAGCGAGTGGGGCCAACTGGTTGACGTTTCTTGGATTTGGATTTGAAGGTGTTGCAGGGTGCCATAGGATCTGCCTCGGCGCGTATGATGGAAGTAGGAAGTAGCGTTGTGATGGTAGAATTGAAAACAAAGGGAGGTGTAGATTCAGCGACGCGGAGAGGGAGAGAGAGAGAGAGAGAGAGAGAGAGAAGGGGCAGAAGAGGAATCACGTGGGTACGGGGAACAGCACAGACCACAGATGCAGTTGAGGAATTCGAAATTCCCTCTGTCGCGACTTGCGAGAAGAACCGGTTTGTCCACTCCTCAATTGGCGGAATCCAGCGACACCAGTCCAAGCGATCATTTCCTACGATAGTCAAGCCTTGACACCTGCCGGTTCGGGCAATTCTTGGTGTCTTGGTCTCTTGGCCGACGAGACGAGATCGACCGCCGTGCGACTGGGCACAAAACATCATGACCGAATCCTATGCTCTCTAGGACAATGGCGAATGCATCAATTGCGAAGCTCTAGCCAGGCTTTAGGTCCTACTAATCCCTAGGGGATACTAATAGGCAGATGGACTGCACGCGGAATAGAAAATGCCGGGCCGGAACGTTTTCGGCTCGGCTGCCAGGCATGCAGGCATGAAGGCAGCAACGGTCGGCCTGGGGTGTCTGGAATCTCCGGACGGGGAGCCCGACTAGTCCTACGAGTCCGCTGCGGTTCCATATTTCCACCATAAGCATGCATGTCGCGAGTTGCAGGGGCATGGACTAAAGAATTCATACAGATTTCGAAAAGCACAGAAACACGGAAAAAAGGGGAAAACCTTAACCACAGGCTGGGATTGTCCGCCGTCGGACAGGTGTCACCTGAGGCAAGGGAGGACCAAAGAGGGAAGCCAACAGGAGCTTGAAACCAGTTATGCCATACCGTGCAACGATAAGCAATGTTCGTTAGTCCGATGTTTCGCCTGCGGTCGTATCAAATCCAGCCGATGATGTCATGGACCGCATCGGTGGGATGATGCCGATAGTCCTGACCATCCAGACGAGGCAAACGGCGTGAGATGTCGCGAACATGACCGCTGCCCAGACCCTGGCAAGCAACGGCAAGAGGCGTAGGCCTGGAATGCAAACCGGATTTGGCATGGGAAATTGGCTTCGCTCGTTGCGTCATGCACTGGGGGCTGCCGTCGACACGCCCGAAAGCCAGCCAAACAGCGTTGGGCGCTAGCTGCTCGGCTTGCCTTTCTCGTCCGCCCGACAAGCGCTGAGGCGCCGATTGGCGCGACCCTTGACGCTCGATACGTCGTCCCTGTACGATTGCACCGGTGGCGGATCCCCGACGACTCATTCCGTTGCTCTCGTCTCTACACGGCAGTCGTGCAGGCCCTGATTGGCGGTGCCCCGATGGCCGGGACAATCTCGTCTCAATACACATGCCAGGCGCATGGGCGGGGAGACAGATACATGGATTGAAAGTGTGGAGGACAACCGGTTCAGAGTCAGATCTAATGAGGGTGTGGGGATTCGGCCGGGGGATGAGAGCCTGTGAGACTGGCCGGAGAATTGAGCCATGACGTCGTGCAACCGTGGGCTTCCTAATGCATACCCTGCATCGGATGGGGGACATGACTCCTGATGCCGGAACAGGTGGTATATAAGGGTGACTGCTTTTGTTCCTGGACATTTCTCCAATCTTTTCTCCATAATCCAACCTTTCTTCCTCGCCCCTTCCGTGGTGTTTCCTTCCTTGAACACTTTGACACCGTCGATCTTCTTCCCCTTCGCCACCCGCGTGGGTAGAATTGATCTTCCTTATCTCCTACTCTATAAAGAACCTTAACAGCCTCCTCCGCCTGACATGGGCGCCGACGATATGTCCAACAAACCATCCGACCTGGAGTTGGAGAAGAAGAAACAGAATGGTCTCGACACCAGTCCTTCTCGCATGCCAGCCGACACCCACGCCGAACATGCCGGTCAGTCCGATGACGATAGCGAACAGCATGGGAAGTTTCGCGGAGACGGGAAGCGAGAGCTTACCGAGGATGATTGCTACGACAAGCTGGGATTTAGCTTTCCCTGGTACAAGAAATGGTCTATTCTCACGGTGATTTTCACCGTGCAGATGTCCATGAACTTCAACAGCAGTGTCTACCCGAACGCTGTCACTCCGTTATCCGAACACTTCTCAGTTAGTGAACAGGCCGCGAGGGTGGGACAGATGATATTCTTGGTCGCCTATGCCTTTGGATGCGAGCTATGGGCCCCGTGGAGTGAGGAGTTTGGGCGATGGCCGATCATGCAGGCCAGTTTGTTCCTAGTCAACATCTGGCAAATCCCTTGTGCCTTGGCTCCCAACTTCGGGACCATCGTTGTCGGCCGCTTCCTCGGCGGCTTGAGCTCGGCCGGCGGTTCGGTCACTCTCGGTATGACGGCTGATATGTGGGAGCCCGATGACCAAGGGTTTGCCGTCGCCTATGTGGTCTTGTCTTCCGTCGGCGGAACCACCATCGGCCCCTTCTTTGGCGGTATGATCCAGCAATGGCTGGATTGGCGCTGGAACTTCTGGATCCAGCTCATCTTTGGCGGCGTGACTCAGTTGGCGCATTTCTTCCTCGTCTGCGAAACTCGCTCCAGCATCCTTATCGATCGCGAGGCGAAACGCCGTCGCAAGTCTGGCGAAGACACCAACGTGTACGGTCCCAATGAATTAAAGCAGCCTCGACTGGACGCGAAGGAAGTTTTGCATGTGTGGCGCCGACCCTTCGAAATGTTCCTGCGGGAGCCCATCGTTCTCTTCCTCTCTTTGCTGTCTGGTTTCTCCGATGCCCTCATCTTCACCTGCATCGAATCGTTCAACCTGGTCTTCAAGCAGTACGGCTTCACCCCCCTCCAGATCGGATTCTGCTTCGGCGCGATCATCGTCGGATACGTCGTCGCCTATGGTATTTTCCTTCCCGACATCTGGCGTCAACGGCAGGTCCGACACAAGCACGGCAACGCTTCTCGATTCCCCGAGCGACGTCTACTTCTGTTGCTCTTCATTGCTCCACTGGAAACGATCGGCCTGTTTGGGTTCGCCTGGACCTCCATGGGACCGGACTACATGCACTGGATCGTCCCTCTGGTGTTTATCTTCCTGATCGCCATCGCCAACTACGGCATCTACATGGCAACGATCGACTACATGGTAGCCGCCTACGGACCGTACTCGGCCTCTGCTACCGGCGGCAACGGGTTTGCGCGAGACTTCCTGGCGGGACTGTCGGCGATGTACGCAACTCCCATGTACAGCAACATCGGCGGCAGATTCCACCTGCAGTGGGCCAGTACCATCCTCGGCTGTCTGGCCATTTTCGTCACGATCCCCATCTACATCTTCTACTGGAAGGGCCCTCAGATCCGTAAGAGCAGCAAGTTCGCGCAGACGCTGGAGGCCGACCGACAGCTGCACGCCGGTCGACGGGTCAGTCATATCAGTGAGTCGGAGAAGCCTTACGCAGCGTAGGCTGGTGAGACTGGTCCTGTTTATCATGATTGATTGGAAGGATGTATCCGACCGCTATAACGATGCCCTACAATGATCCTATCCTGTATATAATCAAATGTTTATGTTTAATGACAATACTCTTGAACACCTAAGACTTAGCAGGAACACCGCCTTACACAGTAGGAGTCGTCAACAGACCCATATGAAACAAGCAGCAGCCCCTAAACCCGCGCCGTTCCGCCCTCCGCGTTCAACCGCGAACGCGGAACAAGCATTCCGAAATGCCGCACCTCGACATCCCCACACGTCACTCACACCGAGGGAAACTGAGCCAATAAAGACGATGATCGTGGACATCATGGCGTATTACCTTCGCGCTGACTGGGCGTGCGCGCTCTTTGTGCGGAGATGCGCTTCCCCACCGGCGTCGATCACTCCGTCTATTCTGGTCTTGACGGCGTTGGAATGCTCCCGTGCAGTGGTCGGAAATCTACCGTGGAATGAGCGCGCAATTCAGCCGCGGACCTGCTGGCCGAATGAGATCTCGTCCATTTGGTTGACTTTGCCGGGGACGCGAGGAGGTTGGCCCGCGACCGGGGAGATATAAAAGGTGGGAGGCCGTGCGTTGTTCACATCTTCTCTCATCTGTACATTACATGCTCTACTCTTGTATGAGTCTTGACGTTTGAGAAGACAGCATTTGACGACTTTTCTTTTTGACTCTGCGACCATCATGACGATACAGACTCTTGCGATCGCCACTGTTGCGGTCGTGTTTTTTGTCATTCGCTATCTCAATCGCACCGATGTTCCTAAAATCAAAGGGATTCCTGAAATCCCCGGCGTGCCGATGTTCGGCAATCTGTTACAACTGGGCAATAAGCATGCGACGGTGGCGGGCGCTTGGGCGAAGAAATTTGGCCCGGTGTTCCAGGTGCGCATGGGAAATCGGGTATGTCTGACTGTTTATGTTGATTTCGTTACCCATTTGTGTTCTATTTGTCCACTTGGTTATAAAATAATTGCTAACGTCAACAGCGCGTCATCTTCGCCAACAGCTTCGACTCCGTCCGCCAGCTCTGGATCAAAGACCAATCGGCCCTCGTGTCGCGCCCGACCTTCCACACCTTCCACAGCGTCGTCTCGACCTCGCAGGGCTTCACCATCGGCACCTCCCCCTGGGACGAGTCGTGCAAGCGACGCCGCAAGGCCGCCGCCACAGCGCTGAACCGGCCCGCCGTGCAATCCTACATGCCGATCATCGACCTGGAAGCGACGTCCAGCATCAGGGAGCTATTCAAGGACAGCAAGGGCGGCACGGTCGACGTGAACCCGACGGCGTATTTCCAGCGGTTTGCGCTGAACACGAGTCTGACGCTGAACTATGGGTTCCGCATCGAGGGCAACGTGGACGATCAGCTGCTGAGGGAAATTGTGGACGTCGAGCGCGGTGTCTCGAATTTCCGCAGTACCAGTAATAACTGGCAGGATTATATCCCGTTGCTGCGGATCCTGCCGAAGATGAATCGTGAGGCGCAGGAGTTCCGCGCGCGCAGGGATAAGTACTTGACGTATTTGTTGGGGATTTTGAAGGATCGCATCGAGAAAGGAACGGATAAGCCGTGCATTACCGGGAATATTCTCAAGGACCCGGAGGCGAAGCTGAACGATGGTGAGTTACTCGTTCCATTCATCGATAGACAAAAGCTAACTGGTCATAAGCCGAGGTGAAATCCATCTGTCTGACCATGGTCTCCGCCGGCCTGGACACCGTCCCCGGCAACCTGATCATGGGCATCGCCTACCTGGCCTCGGAAGAAGGCCAGGAGATCCAGCAGAAAGCCTACGACGAGATAATGCAAGTCTATCCCGACGGCGACGCGTGGGAGAAATGCCTCGTGGAAGAGAAGGTCCCGTACGTGACTGCGCTGGTCAAAGAGACGCTGCGATTCTGGACCGTCATTCCGGTCTGTCTGCCGCGCGAGAGCACCAAGGAGATTGTATACAACGGGGCGAAGATCCCTGCCGGGACCACGTTCTTCATGGTACATTCACCCTTCTCTACTCAACCTTAAGATTATACACTAACGAAAGACAGAACGCCTGGGCCGCCGACTACGACGAGGACCACTTCAAAATGCCACACAAGTTCATCCCCGAGCGCTACCTCGAGCAGACCGAGGGCGCAGGAACGCCGCACTACGGCTACGGCGCCGGCTCTCGCATGTGTGCCGGCTCCCACCTGGCCAACCGTGAGCTCTACACGGCGTACATCCGCCTCATCACCGCGTTCAAGATGAGTCCGCCCAAGGACCGAGCCGATCAGCCGATCCTGGACGCCATCGAGTGCAATGCCATCCCGACGGCGTTGACAACCGAGCCGAAGCCATTCAAGGTGTCTTTTACGGCGAGGGATCCGGACAGCTTGAAGCAGTGGATCGCAGAGAGTGATGAGCGGACGAAGGATCTTTAGTTCTGGTTTGTGTTTCTAGAAGTTTGTTATGTAAGTAGATTGTGTATAAAGTAGCGACCAATTTTATTTCAAGCAAAGCATTCTTCTGCCCGTCTTGGTCCATGAGAACCCACTGTTCATAGCAAATCAATGAGATAATTTTCAAATGCAATGGTATTCACTTTGAGCTTATCGCTAAGACAAAGTTCCACCTACGTAGTCGAAATGCTTTTAATCACCTCTCCATCCGTATAGCGCCAACCCTAACCAGTGGCAACCTGAGGCAAACACGACCGCGGAAACCCCCGCACCGCATTCCGCATCTCCGGAATAAAATCCCCGCCCTGCCGCTGTCACTCCTCCACGTCTTCTGCCCATTAACATCTCTTCTATTACTATCCAATCGAACCAGAATGTCCCAGCTCGAACCCCCGGAAAACCCACCCCTTTCATCCCCGCCATCCTCGCAAGACCCTGCTCCGCATAAGGCCCAATACACCGAGAACGAAACCATCCCCGTCGCAGACACCGAGGAACAGCCCGACACGCTCCGTCCGCGGAAACGCCGACGGAAGTATATCTCTAAGGCATGGTATGTGCTTCTCTATGTTGAATTTTGTCGTGGTTCGTGGACCCGGAGCATGCGTTTCTTCTCAGGCGGGTGTGGCGTCCGGGCCGGTAGTTTATTGCGCCTGTGTTCGGTTAATGTTGGATGAGAGTGGTGGCTAATTTGACCCCGTGCTTGGGGAATCGAGGACAGTAATGAGTGCAAGCGACGGAAGATTAAATGTAACGGCGAGACGCCGTGCCGGAGATGTGGAAGGCAACGGGTGGAATGTGTCTATGTGGAGGGAGGCGAGAAAGGGAAGGATGATACTGGTGGGAGTGAGCAGTATGTTTTCCTGTTGATGATTTACAGTGACGGGATGCTGATATGTCCACAGAGGTCTCGACCGACTCCTCGGTCAAATGCAAGCCATGCAAGAGCAGATCAGCACGCTCTCGTCCGCCGTGCATCTTCTCGCCGGGGGACAAGGCTCGGGCGTAACGCCTACGCGGTCGACTGAAACAAACCAATCGGTCGTGTGTCCGCAGCGGCCTTTCCGACGGCTATCGACAGTCGGCAGGGAGACTTTTCAAGGTCCCACGACCTCGGCGTTTAGCTTCGACCTGGCAAAGTCGAGTCTCCAGAGCCGGGGGATCGTTGAGCGTGAAGCAGGCGACGCAGATGGTTATGGCGATGGCGATGCAGACGGGTACGTTACCCAGGAACCATCGCCCCTGCCATCGTCCCCGTCGTCTCCGAACAAGAGTCTCTGTCGGCCGGGCGGTGATCCGCTTTGGATGATTGAGAAGACTGAGGCGTTGCGGCTGTGTCGCGTGTACGAGGAGGAGATGGGCATCATGTATCCGGTTTTAGATCTCTCCGACCTTTTGCATCAGGTCGAGGTGCTTTATGTTTCGAATGCCGGCGGGCCAAGGATGACCGGAGAGCTGGACAGCGATGATGTGCATATCCTGCGGTTGGTCTTTGCGTGTGCCTTGACGGCCGAGGCGAGTGGCAGCAGCGACCTAGCATTGCGTTTATTCGAGAGCGTGCGTGAAGTCGCCGATAATTGTGTCTGGGGAGCCCCGGAGATCAAAAGTATTATTTTCTTGACCTTGGTGGTGAGTCCCCAACCCCTACTTTAGATCCGATTTCACCACTAACTTCGAATAAAGGCAATCTTCTACTTCCAAATGGACGAAGAAACACTCGCCTGGCGAACAATCGGCATCGTCGAGCGCATGTCCCTCGAAAAAGGCCTCCACCGCCGCGAAACCCTCACCCAACCAAGCATCGTCGCCACCGGCCAGGACCGCGTCCTCCGACTCTTCTGGTCCATCTACATCCTCGACATGCGCTGGAGCTTCGGAACCGGAATGCCCTTCTCCCTCGAAGACACAGACATCGACCCCTGGCTCCCGGAGCCCGAAGAAAAGACACCCTACCTGCGCGTCATGATCCGATACAGCCGGATCGCAGGGAAAGTGTGGAAATTCATCTCGGCATTCAACAACACCAACGAGATCAAGAAAGACGAGATGAACTACCTCAACTGGCAGGTCCTGCAGTGGTCTGGCGCGATTCCCGAATCCCTCCGTCTCGACCACCACCCCCTCAATCAGTCCCGTCAGGACGAACCCCGGAGCCTCCTCCGTCTCCGCTCCCTGCTGTATCTCCGCGCCAACCAGCTACGCATGCTCATCCATCGACCCGTCCTACACTCCGCGGCGCAAATAATGCGATATCCATCAGAATCGCAAACAGTCGTCGACATCGCGAAAGAAACAATCCGATTCATCGCACAGCTGAACGAAACATCAGATATCTACCGACTGCAGCAGGTCGCCTTTAACTGGTTTCTAGTATCCGCGCTCGCGGTACTATTTCTCGCCGTGGCGCAAACGCCCGCGCAGTTCAGCGGTACCTGTAAGGAGGAATTCTACATGGCGCTGCAGCTGGTCAAGGGGTTTTCTACGCGGTCGTATATCTCGCGGAGACTGTGGCGGTCGATTCGGAGTTTGAGGAAGTTGGGGCCGCAGTTGGGGTTGCATGTCCAGAAGCACCAGCATTCACATCAGCATGCACTGCAGGAAGATGCTCAAACTGGTGCGGGCTTATATCACGGTGGAGGGAGTGAGGGCACGGCGATGGATTCATGGGACGCACCGATATCGACCAGTGCTCATAGTCACTCGCCGCTGGACGGGGCGCAGATGACGCGTGAGTTGATGGAGTGGTTCGAGGCGGTTGGAAACTTGGAGGATCAAATTATGGGTGTTGGGCCCCAGGGGATGCCGGATCTGGGATGGCAAAATGGAGGTCGCATGGGGAACGGGTATATGGTTGATTATGGAGGGGAGTTGTCGAGTTTGATGAAGGATTGTTTTTAGGCAGTATAGCTCCATGATCTTATGGAACCGTCAACCTGGACCTACAGGAGCAGGCTGACCAGATTCATGTAGTAAAAGCCTAGCGATCCTCATGCATTGATACAAATCTCGAAATCCAATGAATGGCTTCGCAACAACACGATGCCTTCCGCATAACCCTACAATCATAAACAGGATATCAAAACATCACACTCCATTCTCTCGCCCATGAGCCACCCCAAACCTTCTCGTCTGTCGATCCCACGACGTACGGAAAAACCACCACGCACAAGCCGCCACCATACCCAGGAAGAAGTCCCACAGTGTCCAGAACCGCGGACTCGGACCGCGCATATTATTCAATAGAAGCTCCCCCTGCCAGTCCACAGGCACATACGTCTTTCCTTTCTCGACGCCGGCGATAATCCTCTTCGCGACAACTCTCGCCGACGGGATCTTCTGCTCTAGCTCTGGGCGAGACAACTCCGTCCCCTCGAGCATCTTGGTCAGACGAGATTTATTATCCTGTTCCTCTAGAAAAGCTTCGGTTATGAAAGGGCCCGGAAAGCTAACGTGTACTTTGAAGGTATTCTCGCCGTAGAGAAGAAACTCTTGACGAAGGGTATCTGCCAGCGCGCGAATCGCGACTTTGGTGGGCGTGTACGCGATGAAGCCCGGGATGCCAACGAAGGCAGCCAGTGACGACGTGAGGAGGACGTGGCGCGGCGAGGAGGTCGGAGCGGCAGCGAGCCATAGTTTCAGACAGTATTGCACGACAAAGATGGTGGTGTAGTAATTCAGGTCGACGCACGACGTGATAGCCTGCGGCGAGATGTCGGCGAGAAAGCCGACTTGCGTGGGCGTTCCGCCGGCGGTGCAGATGAGGATATCGGGGGTGTGGTAGTGGTTGAGGGCAGCGTGGATCTGTACCGATTAGCCAGGCGCGATGTCGATGAAATGGATGCAAGTACCTCGTCAGGGTTGGTTAGGTCGACTGGAATCGCATCGACGATCTGCTTCGAGTTGGTGCACGCTCGCTGGACTTCACCCTGCGTGTGTCGCAGGGCCGTCTCGTTGCGCGCAAGTAGCAAGAGATTGGCACCTATCGCTGGACTCAGCATTCATTGCGACAGCCAATATTGAAACCGACTCAACCGACCTTTCGCAGCCAGCTCTAGGGCTAGCGCTTTCCCCAGCCCTCGCGACCCCCCAGCAACAAGCACAAGCTAGCACGAGCGAGCGTCAGCGCAAATAAGTCGCAAGAGCGCAGGAACCGGTTACCTACCTTCCCATCGACCTCGAACTGGTTCTTCAACCCAAGCAACCGCTGGAGAAAGGCCATGATGACGCTGCCATGCACGCAGTAAGGGGACTATTAGGCTAGAGGCAGACGGGGATAAATAAGACGCGTCGCGGGATCTTTTTCTACCCCGTAAGAGTTGTGTTTGGGGCAAGAGGCATCATGCAAGGGATGGAATGCAGAAAGAGCGATCCGATGCGGGCATTGTGTCACCCATGGGTCATGACATGTCACTTTGCGGTCATTTGCCTAAGCGGCTGGGAATCTCGAGGGCTGGATTTCTGCGCTGCCCTCGCGATCCTTGGGTCGGTTTCCAATCTGACTGGGTCGATTGGTGGGCGTGCAGGATGGTCAGCTTGGTTGTTGACTCTGGCTGGTCGAGATGCTGCGCCGAGAGAGTCTAACGATAGGAAGAATGCTGGTAATGGACTTTTGTTGATTTTCGTGCTTAGTTCGAGTGGTTGCTGCCACATACATCTTCTAAGCCACTGGTGTGATGTTTCACAGAGCGCCTTTGACAAATTCTAGTCGTGTATGATCTGGGGAATGCGCAATCGCGGCTTTTTTCTTTTTTTTTTCTCTTTCTTTTTTTGGAAGGTAACTCTTGAAGATGAATGTAGAACTGACACAACATACCCCTACATTGGACTCATCGCAGCAATGTTAGACTTTAGAATATGTACAGGAAAATGCCGAATATCTTCACCTATTTATCGCCTACTCCAATATTTGCAAGTTAATCAAGCTCGCCATTTGTCTCATCAACGAATGCCTTGGCCCCGAAGAACCTCCAAATCATGGTGCTGTCAATGTCTTCTTTGCTCTTCATAGACATACTGATCTCGGTTGTTCCGTCACTCATGTAAGCCACTGCCTTCGTCTGCAATCTGTTAGCGTTGCAAGCGCATATCTGACAGGTACGTACCAGGCCTAGCGTCAGCTTGGTTGCGCCCTCCCACCACCCATAACGGTACTCGGCCTGCTTCTTGGACCGAATGGAACAGACGATGTTGTTCGCGACAAATCTTGCCTGCTCAAACGCCGAGCGTGCATTTCTGATGCAGTTCAGCTCAATCACATCGCCTGCTGCGTAGATTCGGTCGAATGTCGAGTCGGCGAGTTGCAATGTAGGACGAACGCGGATGTGTCCTGAGGAAGAGACCGACTTGGGGGATAATGCCTGGATAAGAGCAGAATTCGGCCGTTGACCGATGCATTTTGCCTGTCAAACTTAGCACTTTTGACACCGATTGCGCCCGCAAATTTAATACATACCAGATAACTGCATGGAATCGTCTCCCCAGAATGTAACTGCACTGTCCCGGTCTCCACGGCGCCGTCCACATTAACCCTCTCCCCCAATTTAACACTCACCCCGATCTTCTCCAACTCCTCCAGCGCTCTTTTCGCCAGCGTCGGCCCAAAGTGATCATTCAACAAAGCCTTCCGCGAATGCACCAACGTGACATTCTTCTCTGGATACCTCGACTTCGCATCTCCCGCCAACTCGATCCCCGCTGGTCCACCGCCCAGCACCACCACATCCGTCGCAGCCACCAGCTTATCCTGCTCTATACTCAACATCTCCATCCCCTCTTTCTTCGTCGTCACTCCCACTCGCGACGGCAAGCTCCCCGACGCCCCAGTCGCCATAACCAAATACTCGAAGTCGATCGTCGTCCCAGACCCCAACTGCACATTCCCCCCTCCATCTTCATCCACACTGATCTGCTCCGCCGTGTCCCGTACCCACTCATACGACCCCTTCGGCACAGCGGACAGATACGGTCCGTAGGGTATGAACGCCTTGTGCTCATGCCCCCCGACGACGCTGAATCTCGGCAACACCCAGGTCACCTGGAGATGGGTGTTTTTCTCCACAATCACGACGCGGTAGCCGGTCGGTAAGGAGCTGGCGAGACATCTGGCCGCATGGTATCCGGCGAATGAGGCACCGATGACGACGACGTTTCGGGGATGTTCGACGGATCGGTAGGTTAGACGGTGGAGACGCGGCGAGAGGGCCTGCGACAGGTAGGTGTAGATCTGGCGGAAGGAGAGGCCGAGGGCTTTGCAGACCAGGAGGAGTTCGGCCAGCATGATGGACTTTAATCATAGATAAAAGAGAGATCAAGCCTCAGAAACAAAATAAAATAAAAAGCAAGAGAAAGGGGCCAGGCTGATGCGATGTTTATAAGGATCGGACCCTCCGTGGAAGCTCCTCGGCCGAGGATCTTATCTGATCCTCCGATCGTCGGCCCTTATTCGGCCCTCTTTTGCCCCGAGACCGCCGAGCACATTTCCCTATGAGGCGCACACTATGATTCGGGCTTCAAACCCTCTGGTCAATGATATGGACTTGCGCTTGAATACATATTCTTACAAATGAAGCCAAAAAAAGAAAGAAAAGAAAAGAAAAACAGACCGTAGACCTGTACACCGACCACACTGCATCTTATTCTGTCTCCGTGGACAGCTCAGCCGGTCTGCTTCCGGCATCTCACAGCCGCTGGTAGGATACTTTGACTACACGGACGCCAATCGAAGTCGCCAGAAGAAACTACAGCCTCGCCAGCATCCGAGTGGGGGTCACAATGCCGCAGGCCAGCGTCTTCTCCAGAAACGGATGTCTAAAATAACCCCTCCTGACTGGGCAGAAGATCCGTATCTAGTTTGTATTTTGCTGTCAATTGCGCAATTGCAGGAGCGCATCTGGAGTTCGTCAGAGCCCGCGACTCACACGGTACGTCCCATTGATCACGATTGCCAATCATGCCCCCTTGAAATCTAACACCCTCATTCCAGTCGCGTCTTCTCGTGTCAAACTCTTCAGATGGCGAATTTCTCTATCTTTACGAGGCCCAGTTTACCTCCGAGATCTTAAAGACGCTTGACAACCCCACTACTGCCACGCGCTGTATAAAATGGCCCACCATAAATCGAAAAAAGATACCATTCAAACCCTTTAGCAGTTTCCAGGATCGGCTTGCGGCCTACCTAATAGTACTAGTCTGATAATTCATTTTGATATAATATCCTTAATGCTTATTATAGGAGCATTTCTATTTCAATATATTATCCTATAATTAGTGATTTTCAATAATTATCTTGAATCCTAGTATTTATAAAACCATCTAGTTTCTTCCATATATTCAAATCTTAATATCCATCACTGGCTGCCACTTTCTCCCTCCCTCGTTCCAACCATGTCGGGCCAGGGCGATCAATGCATGGGTCTGCTTTCGGACTGGTTCAAACGCCCATCCACCACAGATTGAATGCACGAAGAACAGCACCAAAGTCAAGGCCATGGTGACCACCAAGGACATGAAAGGACCCCTGCAGCTACTCGATAAAAGTCTAGTATATCATGCCTGAGACTGTAAGACCTGATATTGAGGGTTAGCCAATATCTATTCACCAGCAGAGTAAAAACCCGTGAGCGCTTCTAGAGCCTTGTTTTTCCTGGCAGTCTCTGCAATAGGGTATTGCCAGATTAGTACTCGGACCTTATATTGATTCACTCTGGGCTGCAGGGTGAATATCCAATGCTTTATTCACAGCACTCGAACATCAATCTAGACACTCCCGCATCCATTTTCCAAGGTCTCCGTTTAGTTAATCCAACAGACATCTATCATGCGAACCAAGAGTGACCACTAAGTAATCCACTCCCCAAGCTGCAGCTATTCCTTTTGAACATCAGCGTAGTACTACGACAGCAAACTCACAATTTACCCCTCTGCATCTATCCAAGATGCCCCAGGATATCGATCCCAACGCCAGAAGGGAAGTCAACAACGCGCTCATTAGCGCTGGGAGCACTGCTGTCGCACAGATGATTGTTGCGGCCAACTCCTCTATTGCTAAGCGTCGCAAGAACAAGGAGGCGCGAGCGAAGAGTGAGGCTGGAGAGAAAGCTGCTAGCGAAGAGAAGTCAAATGCTGCTGTTCGTTCAACCCCTAACCCTTCAAAGGTTGAAGTCACCAGACATGCTGTGTACTGACGGTCATCAGAAACAGAAAGACGGTGTCTCAAGTTGAACAATGTTGGCTTCATGCAGTTCATTTCTAGCTTGGGGGAGGCTTGCCTTAGGAAGAAGGGAGTGAATTGGCACAGATATCCTGGATCTCTAGCATAGCATATCCATTGATTTCTTAAGAAAGGGAAATAATGGGGAATGGATTGTTTTGTTAACCTTTTTTTCTTCAAGACACCCGCAAATTTAGGAGTGAAGGAAGCGAATGTTGGAGTTCATTTTGGCATAGTGTAAAATCGTAGCCCTCTAAGAGATCGTGGATGCACTGAGAAAATGACACCTAAGGCATGTAAATCTCGAGCTGCCCTCCCATCAAACAGGCCAGACTCCCTCCTTTGTCCATCCCCCTCTCCACAACTCCACCAGCTCGTTCCCTCGCCATTTGCATCCCCCAAGTGGTCGCCCTACTATCACTTGATGTCTTCCCTGCGCTATGGACACTAACGAGCTTGTGGATATTGTTCACGAGATGCAAGGTCAACTTTGGGTTGACAAGGTGAACGAGTCCCACCGAACAGGCCGTCTCTGCCAGTGGGTGTCAACTTTCCATTCCGAGAAACTTCCCTGTCAACTTGAAGGTACCTTTCACCACGGTGCATTTAATGCCGGCGTGAAGATGGTGTTCCCTGACTGCACTGCCTGGATGGTTCGTTTCCCTCGCGTTGGGATGGTCTGTGACGACTATGCCGACGAGAAAGTTGCCGTGGAGGTCACAGCTCTAGATCTCATTCGCGACCAGACTACGATCCCCGTCCCGCGAGTCTGGGCGTGGGGCTCCGCTGCCAGCAACCCACTGGGTTTGGGCCCGTTTATCATAATGGACTTCATTGATGGTGTGAGCCTTAATGATCTACTCCGGGACCCCAATGCCGAAAGCCCCAGCCGAGTGATAAGAGAGGATATCAGCGACAGTGATATAGAAGTTATTTACAGACAGCTGGCGAACTTTTTGCTTCAGCTATTCAAACTTGATTTTGACCGGATTGGCAGCCTGGTATCACCACAGGCTGAAGCCGAGAGCCCACCGCCACGACCCCTAACTTTCAAGGCACACTGCATCTTACAAAATGGAGGAGTTGATACTTTCGGTATGCCGTGTGGAGTGCCTTTTTCTTTCTCCCTTCCTAAGCACTCTAGTGGGTTAACCAAGTAAACGATGTCTAGGTGACCGGGAGCAGGGGTTTGCGACAACCACCGAATTTTTTCAATATCTCGCCCACCAGGACTGGATGCAACTTGCTCAGCAGCCGAACTCAGTTGTTGGTCCATATGATGCTAAGAACAAACATGTGGCGTTCAACGCCCTCAAATCCCTGATACCTGACTTGGTCCACGCGAAGTACGACAGTCGCAAGTTTAAGCTGATTTGCGACGACCTTGGCCTGGCGAACCTGATTGTCCGTGGTAGGCAAGACCTCACCGTTGTTGGAGTAGTGGACCTAGAGTGGTCTTACATCGGACCCGCCCAGCTGTTTGGCTCGGCGCCGTGGTGGCTTCTTCAAGACAGGCCCGTCAACCCCGAGTGGGATTGCGAGGGCGACGAGCCGCCCGAGATTGGTACCCGGTACTTCAAATATCTAGATATTTTCATACGCATTCTGGAGGAGGAAGAGGCAAAAATGCCAGAATATCAAGAGAGAGAGCTCTCCAGTCTCGTCAAGTGGTCACAGGCCTCCGGAGCCATGTGGCTGCACATGCTCCTGTCATCTGGATTCAATGATCAACACAATTTTCCTTTTACGCAACTGCGCAGACATATTGGGCCTGCCGAGTGGGCGAGGCGTGAGAAGGCGTTCGAGATCGCAGAAGAACTTGAGGCATTCGCGGAAAGGAAGGTGAGCGAGTTGGATAAGTATGATGAAGCCTTGGAGAAGATGGAGGAGACCAAAGAGCTCGTGGACAGCGGAAAAATAACAAAGCAGGAATTCGTTGATAAGGCTCTAATAGAGCTCGGATGTTCCCCTTGTTCCTCGTTATCTGATGAATGATGTGATCAGGAATGAGGAAGGATTGCTCCACAAGGTGACTTCATGGCGCGGCTTGGAAGTTGTAAAGTTGAGAGTGGCCGGAAGGATGGAATTATGTTACCAAGAAGACCGAAAGGCATATTTCTTGATGCCATATAAAAAGTTGATTCATTTGATCAATCTCCAAGAGATTAACACTATACCGCTGAAGGTATTATCTTTGGAAGTACGGCCGACTCTTGTGAGTTCCTATATGCGCATTCCCCCTGCCTACCCTACCGCTTTGCAACTAGGAGCGCGGACTTTCATCATCATAGCCCTACTACGTATCTTGAAATCATCGGCAGTACTAGTATTCGAGGCTCACCAGAATTCAAAAACTGACGCCTCCTCGATATTATTGCTACAAAGGCAAATAAATACCTCTAAGTTACTAATATAATGTCAAACAACAATAGGGACGATTGATGGCATTTGACAACTACATATGAAATAGTTCTCTGCATATCTCTAAGCGCCATTTGACTACTACCCCAACACATGCAGACTGTGAGCAAACGCTAAAAGCGATCAGAACGTCGACTTGCCCGGGGCACGCTCCTGCTAAATCATGCAGCAAATGCCGATGAGAAACAAAATTACGCGCGCTTCTGCATTGCTTCTTTGAAATGAACTACAGGAATTCTCCGAGCTCACCGTAGATCCACACGTCCGGATACGCCACAATCATTCCTATGAGGGATTTTCACTATAAACAAGGAGTCACCGCTCGTTCAGGACAAGGGAAAGACATCTCCCTTGCATTTGAAGCTTACGTACCTCGGCGCCTCGTTCTATCGACTTCATGCAGGTCACATATTGACCCGCTCGGTGGACCCTGCGACGTACAAGCATTGATCCCTTGATTCATAACCAACGATAGCATAAGTTATATGGAATGCGATCGCAGGAGGAAATGAGGCTGGACACATCAAGCTTTAGCTCCTCGTGCGAAAGCCTCTGGACGTAGCTCATGCAGGAACTGTCTAATTCCCGTAAAATACTGTTGATTTCAGCGCGGGCACCTGCTGCAAGGGACAAGGCCAATTATTGCGCGACCCAGTTGGATTGTCATCGGCTGAGAGGATTTGCCATCTGCGAGGGATTTCTGTCATGGTGTGTGCACGAGAAAGATCTGAAAAAGGGACTCGCTCGCTGGATGTTGCTGAGTATTCTGTTCGACAGCCATTATGAAACCCGAGACGACAGAAACGACGGTCCATCGCCCTGTCCATGATTGTGTTTATGGCCATGGCCTGGAATTTACCGCGGACGGACAATATGTCTGCTGGGGACGTGATAATAAAAAACACCCCCGGAACTGGCACAAAGCGCGCAAGGTCTATGACACAACTATAATTCTGCTTCTGGATTTCTTCATGTATGGTTCCCGAGTTGACTGCCACCGTTCGAGGCACTGACATTTCCAGAACCGGGACAAGCTCTGCTGGTGTAGGTGACATTGCATCCACCCCCTGATATTGACAGATCTGACTCTACCAGGCACCAGCAGCGACCAGAGCCAAAGATGACTACGGCATTGGACGGGAGCTTTCTATTTTCTGCTTCGTGACAGTGTGAGCCAGCCCCAACTCTCTCGATCACGCAGTAACTGACCCCCATCAGATTCCTCCTCGGCCAAGTCCTTGGGACTATTGTGTTTCCACCATGGTCCGAGTCGTTTGGTCGCAAGAAACTCTACATCCTCAGTAGCGGTCTGAGCGCCATCTTCTGTGTCGTCGTTGGCGTCGTCCCTTCGCTGGCTGGAACAATTGTCGGCCGATTGTTTGGCGGCCTCCTCTCTGCCATCCCATACACAGTGGGCTGCGGCAGCGTCGAGGACATGTTCTCGTCATGGGCTCGAACCTGGGTTCTCCTTTTCTGGACTGTGTCATCCAACATCGGTCTGAGCATGGGACCGATCATCGGGTCGCATATTACCGAAGCGCTTTCCTGGTACGCACCCACCCTTCTTCATCCATAAACCCTCGCTAACAGACCGCAGGAGATGGCTGTACTACGTATACGCCATAGTCCTCGCCATCCTCACGGTACACTTCTTCTTCATCCGCGAGTCCCGCCCATCCCAAATCCTACTCACGGAGGTAGAGGCCGTGCGCCAGGAAACCGGCGACCAGAGCCTCGAAGCCCTCAACCACGACCACTCGCCCGACATGCAAACATTTGTGCGCACCGCGCTCTTCCGGCCCACGCAGCTCCTATTCACTGAGCCCCTAGTCATCGCCACAGCCCTGATGAGCGGGTTCGCCTTTGCCCTGCTGTATCTCTTCACCGAGGCCCTGCAGCTCGTCTACACAGCTCTCGACTTCACCCCCTCCCAATCGACGCTGCCCTTCCTCGGTCTCGCCGTCGGCTTCTGGTTCAGCATCCCCACGCGCCTGATCGACTACCGCGTCTTCGCATCCATGCGCCGCCGGAACCTGCCCATCAAGCCCGAGAGCAAACTCACGGGGCTCGCGATCGGGGCGCCAGTCTTCGCCATCGGCCTGTGGTGGTTCGCGTGGACGATCCCGCCCATGGTGCCGCTGCCGTGGATCGTGCCGACGATCTCGCTCCTGCTGGTCGGGTTTGCGCTGAATGAGTTTGACACGGTGCTGTATGTTTATCTGGCGGATGCGTACTTGAGTTACTCGGCGAGTGCGACCGCCGCGGTGCAGTTTGTGAGGGCGCTCTTGTCGGGCATCTTTCCGCTGTTTACAAAGCAGATGTTTGAGGGGTTGGGGTATAATGTTGCAGGGTCGGTGGTGGCGGCGCTGGGGACGGCGTTTATTGCGGTGCCGGTGCTGTTTATTATTTATGGAGAGAGGATTAGGGCGAGGAGTCCGTTTGCGAGGTATAGTCTGGAGTTGGAGGGGGAGGAGAAGGAGGGCTAGAGGGTTATAGAACTAAATAGGGTAAGTAGCTTATAGACAGAAAATGCTGTGATGAGATAGTCGATATCAATCTGTGCTATAAAATCCTAAGATATTAATCAGGCTTTCCACACCCTGCCGAGAAACTCCTTCATGTCATCAAACTGGTGATTAGGGAACAAACGATTGAATTCTTCCGAGACATCCCAGGCACCCTGAACACTGCTCAGCAGAATCCCGATGGACACGGTTTTCTTCAATTCAGCGGCCTGCTCGTCGGATACAGCTCGATGGCTCTTCTCCAAGCCCCATGAAGCGTTCAAAACTCCAGTTTTGAGATCCCCAAGTTTGACTTTGTCAACAGCGAAAGGACGGCCTGCTTTGTAAATTAGCTCTATGCCGTCTAAATGCGTGAATAAAAAAAAAGTATACCTCTAATATCCTCGCCAACTTTCACAATCTCCTCAAAGTTAAGCCTGTTACCTCTGATTCCCCTGATCTCCGGCCACTCGCCTTCATAGTCAACTGCTCGTGCGATAACAGAAGCAAGATCAGCGACCGAGGTCAGAGTCATGATCGCATCTTCATGGCCATCAATCAGAATCGCTCGACAATGCTGGAAGTCGAAGACCGTGTCGAGAGGCTCAACGTGCTTCGCTGTTTTATACGGAGAGGCGAGATAGTCGAGGAACAGGCCGGCTTGGAAGAGGGTATACTCGAGGATCATGGAGATAGTTAGATCAGAGGATAAGAGGGTCTGTTGAGGAGGATTGGTTGTACCTTTTCATTTCGATTGATCGTCCTCAGATACTCCCTTATAATCTCTTTCCCAGCCCACCAGGACATGTCGACTGTACCTGCACTGTGAAAGGAGTTAATTATCTAGCCTTCAAGTTCTCGGTTAAGATTAAAGATGGAATACCTTCCATACTCGCTCGGTGCAAACCGCTTAACCCCAGCGGCAATAGCAGCGTCGATGAGATTCTTCTGAGATTTCTGCTCCGGGTCGGTCAAGAGCTGAACAAACGACAAGACGGTGTGTGTGCCTCGTAAGGCTTCGGTCAGGTTGCTTTTGTCGTTGTAGTCCACAGTACGCCAGGTGATTCCAGACGAGCCATTTGGAGCCGAGACCTTGGGAAGTTAGAATATGTAGTCTGGAAGAGTTGGGAGACGCTAACATTGCGGGTTAAGATAGTGATATCGTGTTTTTTGGTCGCCAGGAGAGCATCGATCACTTCTTTGGCGACCTCTATAGAATATTAGTTATTGTTTGTATTTGGATGGAGTATTAGAAGGCCAGACGTACGCCCTGAGCCACCTGCTATGGTAATCTTGACCATCGTGGGTATGAAATATAGAAAGGAGTCATAAATATAAATTGAATAACTAACCGATTAGTGAACCTGATTGAACCACTTGAATTAAAAAGGGAAGGAAGGTGCGTATTTGTATGTTCATTTCGTCTAGTAGATTGCATGTTTAGATGCAGCCGATCACCGCGGACATCCTTGCGGCTGACCAGGCTGAAGAGCGCATTCCATCAGCACCAAAGAGACGGAAAGTCCGGAAAGGCACCCAAAGCTGCTGGGAATGCAAGCGGCGAAAGATCAGATGCACTTTTGTCACTCCCTCAGAGTCAGTGTGTGATGGGTGCCGAAGCCGTCAGGTCAAATGTGTCGGTCAAGAGTCTGAAGAGAAGCTAGACATCAGGACAGATGTGCTGAAATTGGAGGAAGCAACTGGATGTGGAGTACCCAGTCGCTTCAATACTAACGCACCTGGGGTACCCCCAAGAAACGCTTTGCACGGTAGCAAAACTACTTCCAGCTTATATATTGGGTTAGAAAATGAAAATGATGGCATCTGCACTGGTATTCTCGCAGCATGGCCCAGTCAGCATGATCTCGACCTAATAACGAGCCTTCCTGCCACGACATCCATACTCTTTCACGGAACAGTCTGCATGCCGTACTCTACGCTCTTGAATAGAGATACGGAATCACCACGAGATATGCTGCAACTCCCAAGCCCAGAAACCCACACTGTATTAATAGCTCGGAAGCTCCTGATGCTGGGGAGTTTCCTGCAAGGCATTCCGTCAACCGCCGTCAAAGATCTCAGGAAACTGGAGTCGGAAGTCAGTCACCTCATGTCCTGTCTGATTGAAACAGCAAGCCGACTTGTGACTAGTGACGATGATCTTGTCCACTCGATTGAGGGCATCGAATGTATCATGATCGAAAGCATGTATCACAACAACGCGGGAAACCTGCGCCGTTCATGGCTCCTCAATCGTCGGGCCATGACGATCGCACAGATGATGGGTCTTCATTTGGGTCCATCGCCGTCAGCAAAGATGTTGGACATTGAGACTCACGATCGGATTGACCCCCAATACATGTGGTTCCGCTTGGTCATATCCGACCGGTATCTGTCTCTAATGCTGGGATTACCACAGGGCTTTCCTGATAGCCCGTTCGCTACATCGCAGGCCCTGGAAAGTTGCAGCCCTTTGGACCGGCTGGAGCGGATTGAAGCCATGATCGGTGGGCTCATCCTGCAACAAAATCAAGAAGACCTCCACAACCTAGAGCTCACACACCAGATCGATAAACACCTGCAAGACGCTGCAGCCTCGATGCCAGCGCAATGGTGGCTTGTCCCTGACATTTCCGCATTAGCAGGGTCTGATACAAACGGTCTTCGTGGGACATTGCGTCTTATGAATCAATTCACACATTACCACCTGCTGGCGCAGCTTCACTTGCCATATATGCTGCAACCATCCACCGATCGAAAATACGACTATAGCAAGTTGACTGCCGTAAATGCCAGTCGCGAGATACTTGCTCGCTTCGTACTCTTCCGAGGCACCGACATGATTCCTGCTTACTGCAGAGGTATTGATTTCCTTACCTTCATTGCAAGCACCACATTATGCCTTGCTCATATCGACTCGCGTCAACAGCCCCGATGGGATCTCGGCGCTCGTGCGGGCATTTTCGATTTCCTCGCACACCAGCGACCTGGCGACCGTGGACTTCTGGAAAGGACACAACTAATCATGCAACAAATGGCGAAAGACGAAAATGATGACATATGCCACAAGATTGGGAGAATCATTGATCAGTTACTTGCCATTGAGGAGTCGACTCCGAACGAGTATTCTGTTGAAGCCATTACCTCTCCAGAGCGGATTATGCAGGACTTCCCATGCAGCGATGTTGTGGAGGATGGTCATACCACTGCTCTCAGCATTCAGGTTCCATACTTTGGGACTATCAAGATCGAACATGGCAATGTGTCAAAGTCTGATAGTGCTGGCCCAGCTGGCCCATCTAAAAGACTACATTTCGAGGCCTCGCCAGCCGGAGCTATATCAATCGACGCTGCACCTGCACAGACTCTCTGCGAAGCAGTCGTCCCGGAACATGGGATCTCAGGCCCAGATTTCCTTAACGATGCATATTCATCTTCATTGGATGTGGATGATTGGGTACTCCAGGGAGTTGGTACGGCCTTGTTTGACAGCCTTTTGCGAGGATCAGAGCCAGAAATGGGAAGTTAAGTGCTATTTTATGTGATAATATAATACCCGACGACAACCGGACTGTTCAAAAGCCCAGGCCTTATCTCGCAGTTTAAAGCCATTTGGCACAATTCTATAGGAAGCAATTCAACCAACAAAACCAACGACAGATACAACCACCGAAAAGCCAATCCCGAACACCAAACTCCATCCCAAACCCGAACATAACCCAGAATTCTCCTAGAATCAACCCAACCTTCTATAGCCGAAAATCCCATCATCCTCACCATCTCCCCCCTTGCCCACCAGGTCCTCCAAATCCACCTCCCCCTCCGCCTCCAGGAGGACCACCAAACCCACCTCCCTGCCCCCCATACCCTCCTCCGTAGCCCCCTCCATACCCACCACCACCCCCCGGCCCTCCAAACCCTCCATTCCCGCCGTGTCCACCATGATGACCACCAAATCCCCCACCCCCAGGGGGCCCTCCGAACCCTCCGCCGCCTCCGCCATGATGGCCACCGAATCCACCTCCGCCTTGTCCGCCCATCCCGTTCATTCCGGAGTGGTGTGGCCGCCCGCCGCCGCTGATGAATGAGCTGAGGCCGAAGCCGCTGCCGCCGTCGCCGCCTTGGTGGTGTGCTTGATGACCGGCACCGGAGTTCATGCCCATGCCTTGGTTGGAGTTCATGTAGCGGCGGAGGAAGCTGAAGCACATTCCCATTTTGATGGGGGTGGGACTGTGTTGGGCAGTTGGTCGGTGTCGGATTATATTTGTGGGTATTCGGAGGTAAGGATGGTGATGATGAGTGGAGGATTGCTTGCGATAATTCGGAAATACAGAAATGCAATGCGGAAAATCGTAAAATTGAGAGAGGAACGGTCGTGATTAGGTTTAATTCATTGGGTCGGTGGAAGTATATACAGGGGAAGAAGTCATGTCGTCATATTTGAAGATCCGCACAGGATGCAACCTTAACTACCTTACAACCTTCCCACTCAGTTTCAGGTCAATTCACGAACGACAAACGCAATAAAAATCAATTCCGATTCTAATACCGATACTTAAAATCCAGCTCCGCATCTCCCGTCTTTACCCTCCTCGTATCTTCCTTGCCCTCAAGAATCCTTTCTTTCTCCTTATCTTCCCTGCGAAGATACCACGCATGCAGGAGCACCACGCCCTGAGCGACAGCCAACGAGCCCAATGAAAATGCATTCCCCAGCACATAAGGTGACTCGCGATAGACCTGGCCCGCGACGATCCCCGCGCAGTTGCCGAGGGTCTGTTGGAGACCGATGGCCAGCGCGCGACGGTATTGCGGCGCCACGTTGACGTTCAGCCAGGCGACGTTGAGTCCGACGCCGGTGTATGTCGCCACGCCGCAGAGGTAGGTTGCGAAGTATTTGACGGCGTTGTTGGAGACGGAGAGTAGGATAATGTAGCCAACGAGGCCGAAGACGTTAGTTGTTAGGATGAACTATTCCCATGTCAGCCCCCTTCTACATTCTAACAGCAAGATAGATGGACACATACAACCGAGAACTTCGAATACCGATCTGCACACCACGCAATCGCAATGAACACGATCGCAGCCCACATGTACACCGGCACGGTGAGCACATTGCTCATGAGCGAATCATACCCGATACTCTGCAGAATAGTCGGCAAGAAGGTGCTGAACCCATAGAGCAGAATATCCTGACAGAACTGGGTCACGGCGCTGAACATCAGCTTTGGGTCGCGCAGAGCGATGCGCATCTCCTCCCAGCTGAACTGCTCGCTGCCCATGTATTTGCGGCGCTGTTCGTTGCGCACGCGCATCATCCATTTCTCCTCGTCGGTGAGGAAGTATGCGTTCGCGGGGTCGTTGGGTAGACCGAACCAGATGAGAAAGGCGCAGATGATGCTGAAGAGGCCTTCGATTATGTAGACCCAGCTGTGGGGGGGTTAGCTTTGACGAGGGCGAGTGGGGAGGAAAGGGGAAGTGCATACCGCCAACCGGCTTTGCCTCCGAGACCATCCATGTGCAGCAAGCCGTAAGCTAATAGTCCTCCTACGGCGCCGGAGATCGCGGCGCAGCTCATGAGGTAGGAGACGCGTTTGGCTTGTTCCTCGCGACGATACACCATCGTGAGGTAGAGGTTCAGACAGGGGAAAAGGCCCGCTTCGCAGGCCCCTAGGATCAGTCTCGTGGCGTACAGCGCGCCCACATTCTCCACGAACCCGGTGAAGACGGTGGCGATTGACCAGACGATGCAGAGACCTGTGAGGATGTTGCGGGGCGTGAGCTTCTTCATCAGCACAGCCCAGGGCGCCTCGAGCAGGACGTAGGTGACGTAGAAGATGGACACGGCCGTAGAGAACTGAGTCTCCGATGCCCCGATGGCTTCGGGCATGCCGGCGACTTTCACATTACCTGCGAGAGTCAACACCATGTACGCAGAGAGTCTACGGCGGGGACATACCGATGTTCGTTCGATCCAGGAAGCAGGACAGATACGTGAGCATAATAATCGGCACGAAGGCCATGTCGAGTTTCAGCAGCAGCTTGCTCTCTTTCTTCGGATCGAGAACGACCTCCTCGATATCGCGGATGCTGGCTGCATCGAGCGAGGGCTTGTGGTTGGGCGGTTTACCCTCGAGGGGAACATCCTTGCTCAGCGACATGGCAATCTCCTGGAGGTAAATTCGACTAAAATCCGATCAACAACATGTACCCAAACTATCGCTCTCCAGTCAATTCAGTGGGATTCGGTGTGCAGGAGTCGGTGTGCAGGTAGGAATTCTGCCAACGCATATCGGCCGCGGTGCGAGAAAGAGAGGTTAAAAGCCCAACTCTAAGCGACTCAACTCTATTATCTCACAGCAGAGACCATCCCAACCCACGGCTATCATACCCCATACTTGCAGCTTTCCCCGTGTTATCGGGGGATCTTCTTGAGTAATAGAAACTGCCGCTGCCAATCAGGCCGTCTCGGACGTTCTCCACTGGTGGGCCTCTCGTCGGCCCGACGATGTTTTGATAAGCGTCAAAGAGGGGGTTGAGTGACTTCAATCTGGCCTCGCACTGGCTGGAATGCGCACAACCCTGCATCGACTGTTGATCCTGCTCCATGAGTGGCGGAAAGAAGCCCCGATGTCCCCCAGATATCGGACGTAGCCTCCGATGTGGACATGGGGAGAGGCGAGAGACAAGGATCAACCAGATAGGCTGATAACTGCCGTATGGAGATGAAATGGAGACTGGCATGTTAATAACATCATTACGTCCTGAATGTGGCACTTGGGATCACAGATCGGCCACGGAGCTACCATGTCTTCATCCTCATCCTCATCGCCATCCTACGAAGCCCGCTTGCTCAGCCGGACCAACCTCATCACCAACACCTCCGGCATTGCTCCGGGCTATCTGCAAGCGAATCTCCTCATCCTGCCCTCCAAGCACGCCGACGATTTCCACAACCTCTGTCTCCGCAATCCAGTCCCTTGTCCTCTCCTGGGACGCACCACCACCCCGGGAAATCCACACCTCGTCGAACCGCCCTCGTGCATCCAAAACGCAGACTTCGATATTCGAACCGACTTCCCCAAATACCGCGTCTACCAACACGGCCAGTACCTGTCCACCCGCAATGACTTACTGGATATATGGCGCGATGACTACGTCGGCTTCCTGATCGGTTGCTCGTTCTCGTTCGAGGACGCCCTGACGTCTGCGGGGCTGCAGCCGAGACATCAGAAGACCGGTCGGATTGTTGCTATGTATCGGAGTAATATTCCGCTACTGCCAGCGGGCATCTTCACGGGCGGGTCCTGCATCGTGTCGATGAGGCCGTATCGGCCGGAGGATATCGAGACTGCGAGGAACGTGACGAGGCCTTATCTCGCGACGCATGGAGAGCCTGTAGCCTGGGGGTGGGAGGCTGTGGAAAAATTGGGCATTCGCGATATCAATTCGCCGGATTTTGGCGAGCCACAGGTCATGGAAGAGGGTGAGGTTCCGGTGTTTTGGGTAAGTATTGTCTTGTCTTTTCTTCTTGACTCTTTCTTCTGGTTTCCAGGAATGTAGGTGAACTGCTAATGGAACTCGGGCAGGCTTGTGGCGTCACGCCGCAGATGGCGGTTGAGTGTGCAGGGGACAAGATCGATGATCTAGTCTTTGCGCACGAGCCCGGACATATGCTGGTGACGGACTTGACGGCGGACGATTTGCAAAGCCTGGGAAAGTGAACTGTTGGCGAGATTGTCCTGGTGATTGCCGTGCAATTGACTCATAAGTCGATCCCGGGGACAAGACGGTGAGCCTAGATACCGCCAGAGTCGTGATTGAATATAATTGCTTCTTAAAATGGTCGGTTTCGTACCCAGAGAGCGTCATTCAAAACCAATCCTGCTGGATAGTTGCACTTGAGCGCGGCCAAAGCGGGTGTAGGCAGTGTCATGGCTCGTGTGATTCCGCGCGGACCGTGGAACACGACAATTCGACATATCGACCCTCATGTAGAAAGCCACGGATAATCGGCTTCAGATGAACACGCGGGCACTTCCATAAATAACCCAAAGTGGCGTTGAGGTGCCCGAGTGTACGGAGTCGGATGCCGCTGTACAGATTGCGGCGGCTTACGGCGTCATCCTAGGGCGAGGTTGACGCCATATTTGCATCTGAATTGGACGGATTGCCTAGAATTAAGAGGACTAACAGCCATGGCAGACGTCGTTAGGAGTTTAATCCACCTGTTATCGCACAATCGACACGAGAGGAAAGAGAGGAAGAAAGAAAGAAAGAGGATCTTTTAGGAAAATGATCTCGATTTGTCAGCGGCGGCTTTTCCTGCGATTTTTCTCCAATTTCGCGATTTCCAATCTTCCTCCAAACCCTCTGGCACCCACTTATAAATAAATCAGTCAATTCCTCCACCATGGCCCATCATTCTGTTCATTCAAACCCTGCACACCCGCCACCATGGGATCAACCGCCTTTCAGACACCTGCCGTCGTGAAGTCCGCCGCGACTCCCTTCTTCACCCCCGCCAACAACGTGGGCGCCGCTGTCCACCCCGACGACCCCAAGACGCCCACGCTCTTCCGTCCGCTGCAAATCCGCGATGTGACGGTCAAGAATCGCATTTTCGTGTCGCCCATGTGCATGTACTCCGCCGACAACGACCCCTCCTCCCCCGCCGTCGGCGCCATGACCGACTTCCACATTGCCCACCTGGGCCACTTCGCGCTCAAAGGCGCCGGCTTGATCTTCGTTGAAGCGACTGCCGTCACAGCGAACGGTCGCATCTCCCCATATGATGTGGGACTCTGGCAGGGAGTGGACTCGCCGCAGTTTCACGGCCTCAAACGCGTCGTGCAGCTGTCCCATAGCCAGGGCGCCAAGATCGGGGTGCAACTGGCGCATGCCGGTCGCAAGGCGAGCACCTCGCCGCCGTGGATTGCCGCGGAGGCCGGAAAGGTCGCCTTGAAGGCCGACGAAGGTGTCAGAGGATGGCCGGAGGACATCGTGGGACCATCGGGCGGCGCCGAACAGCTCTGGAATCCCGACGGATACTGGACTCCTCGCGCGCTGACCACGGAGGAGATCAAGGACGTGGTGCGTGCGTTTGCCGACAGTGCGAAGACCGCAGTCGAGGCCGGAGTCGATGTCCTGGAGATCCACGCCGCGCATGGGTACCTCATCCACTCGTTCCTCAGTCCCGTCAGCAACAAGCGCTCGGACGAGTACGGTGGTTCATTCGAGAACCGCACGCGCCTGCTGCGCGAGGTGGCCACTGCCATTCGTGAGGTCATTCCCGCCGGCATGCCGCTGTTCGTGCGTATCAGCGCGACCGAGTGGTTGGAGGAGCAGCCCGTCGCGGCGCAGACCGGCTCGTGGGATCTGGAGAGTTCCGTCCGTCTGGCCGCGTTGTTGCCCGAGCTGGGCATCGACCTGGTGGACGTCAGTTCGGCGGGCAACCACATCGACCAGAAGATCCACATTCACACCAACTACCAGATTGATTTGGCGGCCCATCTGCGCAAGGCCATCCGGGCAGCTGGCGCGTCGACCCTCGTCGGCGCTGTGGGATTCGTTACGGAGGCCGAACAAGCGCGGGACATCGTCCAGGAAGAGGCGCAGGGCACGCAGGACATCGTGTCAGGGCCAGAGCCTCGCGCCGACGTCGTTCTGCTGGCGCGACAGTTCCTTCGAACGCCTGATTGGGTGCTCAAGACGGCGAAGGCGTTGGGTGTGGAGGTGAAGGTGCCTGTGCAGTACGGACGAGCCTTTCGATAGGCATTTCAGCAGTAGAAACAAAGACCTAATATACAATCAATGCAATAGTGAATACCCTACCTCTAGTATACCTACTCTTACGCATATCAGCGATTGCAACAGACGACCCACCGATTTGGCCATTCACCGCTGCCTGCATTCCCTTCTGCCCCGCACTCTCTCTCTTTCTCCCCTCTTTATCTTCCTCTCTCTCCTCTCCTCTCCTTCCAACCTCCATTTCCCATTCTCTTCCAATCTCGCACCCCATCTCTCAATTCCATCATCTCACAATGTCTCTCAAGCCCGGCGACTCCTTCCCTTCCGACGTGGTCTTCCAGTACATCCCCTGGACCGCGGAGACCGCCGACGCGAAGGCCTGCGGGGTCCCCATCAACTACAACGCCTCGAAGGAGTGGGCCGACAAGAAGGTCGTGCTGTTCTCTGTTCCCGGTATGTTTCCTCCTCAGACTCATTCATGATTCCATTGACTAACAGACATGACATGGTAGGTGCCTTCACTCCCACCTGCTCCGTCAACCATGTCCCCGGCTACATCCAGAACCTGCCTAAGCTGAAGGAGAAGGGCGTCGACGTGGTGGCCGTCATTGCCTCCAACGACCCCTTCGTGATGAGTGCCTGGGGTAAGGTGAACGAGGTGAAGGGTGACGACCTGGTACGTTCTCTATTTACCTATGGTATCCAAAGCAGGACTGATAATTTCCAGCTTTTCCTGTCGGACCCCGACGCCAAATTCTCCAGCAGCATTGGCTGGTCCAGTGGGCCCCGCACCGGTCGCTATGCCATCGTGCTGGACCACGGCAAGGTGACCTACGCACAGATCGAGACCGAGAAGGGCGTCAAGGTGAGTTGGAGCTCTACGTGGATTTATTGCAGGAGGGATGCTAACCGATTCCCCCGCAGGTGTCTGGAGCCGATGCTGTGCTGGCCAATCTGTGAATACTACCTACTCCTTGACTCGACGATGAACGGCCGTAGACAATCGCGGGGTTCGATCTGATTCTACAGCCCAATAGTTAGTCGCTTAGCAAAGCATGACTTGAGCATTCCACCGATGATCTGCGTAGAGAGTCCACAGTAGAGTCAAGGACCCTGAGGGTGGAGGGAAGAGTCTCTCCGTTCCCCGTCGAAAGTCTCCGAGTCCACCGCCAACAGATGATGTCATCCATCTTCACCCCACTTGTTTAAATCAGGCGGATTGGACCCCGCTCTCTTCTGCACACATCCTGGTTTCTTCATCCTCAAATCAATTCCTCTGCAAAATGGCCCCCAAAGTACTTGTCGTTCTCACCTCGCAGGACAAGATCCCTGCCAACGATCACCCGACCGGATGGTTCCTGGTATGCTCCTTGCCCCTCGTTCGAACGGTCGAATCGATTCTGACGATTTCTCTCCTAAATAGCCTGAGTTCGCCCATCCGTGGGATGTCCTCCAGGGCAAGGTCGACATGGTGATTGCCTCGCCCAAGGGCGGCGAGGCCCCTCTAGACCCCGGTTCCGTCAAGATGTTCGAGGGCGACCCCGTCTCGACCAAGTTCCTCAAGGAGCAGGAGTCGCTCTGGAAGAAGACCGAGAAGCTGTCCGACTTCACGGACCGCGTGGGTGAATTCGACGCGATCTTCTACGTCGGTGGTCATGGCCGTAAGCTTCCCTCCTGCGGAATATAAATCATGAGCCCGAGCTGACCCATCGTCCAGCCATGTACGACCTGCATTACGATGCCACCTCCCTCGGGCTGATCCAGTCCTTCGCGGCCGCCAAGAAGCCCGTCGCCGCCGTCTGCCACGGTCCGACCGTCTTCGTGCGCGCCGTCACCCCCGACGGCACTCCCTTGCTGTCCAAGGCGACCGTCACCGGGTTCTCGAACGTCGAGGAGGACCAGGCACAAATGACCTCGGTCATGCCGTACATGCTGGAGGACGAGCTGAACCGAGTGACGGGCGGCGGCTTCGTCAAGGCGGCGGATCCCTGGGGCGAGAAGGTGGTTGTGTCGCAGACGGCGGGCACCGGCGCGACGCTGATCACGGGGCAGAACCCGGCCAGTGCGACGGGCGTGGGGAAGGAGATTCTGAAGGCGTTGGGACTGTAATCATTTGATAGTATTTAGTGTGCCCAATAATAGCTTCCATTGACCCCATGTTGCGGTGCATTCGCGCTAAATCGCGGCCAGGACTTCCGCCGGTCTCCGCTCTTCATCTCCCGTCTTCTGCCCTGCACATCTCCCCTGTCTAGGACCCTCTCCATTTCTTCTCTATCTGACACCCATCCAGCCCGAAGATCGGCGTCCTCCGCCGCCTCTGCGCGAATCAGCGACGGCACTGACCCGGCGTGGAATGCCGCCTGTCCAATGACCAGCCAACATGCCGGCCAGGGGACATCGCGTGAAGATATGCGTGATAACCGCCCCTCGGCGACACAGGGCCTCTTCTCTCCACCAATCCCACCGTTCAGTGCATTTCATTTCCGGCCAGCACAGCGCGGCACGATGCAGTCGGCAGAGATAGCTAGCACTCCTGCACATGCAAGGGGGTCGTGTCCGTGTCCCGCTGACCGACGGATTTCTTTTCGGCGCATATATAAATCAGCCCTGCTCGCGATGGATGGGATTGCAGGCAGGCAGCTTTTTCTTTCTCCATCAATTCCTCCCTAGCCAGCCAACATGGTCCGCGCTCTGTTGCCCGCTCTTCTGGCCCTCCCTCTGGTTTCGGCCCTGCCAGCCGCCCTGCCCACTCCTCCTGGCATTCCGTCGACGAGCACCGCCGAGTCCGAGCTGGCCAAGTTGACCGTTGCGGCGCAGGGCTCGGGCAGTGACTATGACCGGGACCTTTTTCCGCACTGGATCAGTCAGGGAAAGTACGTGCCTATTTCCCTCGTCGATATACTACGGTAGAAAGGAATTAACAAGACAACAGTAGCTGCAACACTCGCGAAGTCGTGCTGGCGCGTGACGGCGAAGACGTAGAGCAGGACTCGTCATGCGCCGCTGTCAGCGGAACCTGGCTGTCCGAGTATGACGGCGAGACGTTCACGGACTCGAGCGACTTGGATATCGACCATATCGTGCCGCTGTCGAATGCCTGGAAGGTACGGCTATGTTTCCTCCCATCTTCTCGAACCCCTGCTTGCGTTTCATGTAGAGTGGATTCGTGGGATATGATTGTGGATGCTAATGAAGACCATACAGTCCGGCGCGTCTAAGTGGACCACCTCCCAGCGTCAGGCGTTCGCCAACGACTTGACCAACCCGCAGTTGCTGCCTGTTTCTGCTAGCTCGAATCGCTCGAAGGGCGATAAGGGTCCCGAGAGCTGGAAGCCGCCACTTAGTATGTTTCTTTCCCCTTTTTAAATCCGCTTTTTGTCCTCCTTTTAATCACCATTTTTCTCCCCTTTTTGTCCTCCTTTTTCAAACGAAACGATTCCCCGTTCCCCTGTTCTTCCCTCGTCAGATGATCTTCTCGACTGGTGCTAATCTGTTTAGAATCGTTCTACTGCACCTACGCCAAGATGTGGGTCAAGATTAAGTCGGTGTATGATTTGACCATCACGAGCGACGAGAAGAGTGCGCTGGTCGACATGTTAGATACGTGTTAATTTCCGGGGTTTGGGACAGATTGTTGTCGGGGATGAGATGGTTTAGTCGGTGTTATGTACAAAGTGGGTTAGTTCTGCCGGCAGAAATGGATATGAAAATGGTTATGAGTTTATGAATGTCTGGAATCTCTACCGAGTACGTTCGTCTTATATATCCGTTCTCATCGTTCTACAGTATATACCAGGTCTATTTTGTATGTTGAAATCGCACGTAAAATATACGCGTTGCAGTTAATGAAGCCCTACCAATGACTGTGCGCTCAAAAGCTTCCTTCAGGGGACTCTATTCATACATGATATGTTACAGTAAAGGTAACCCCCTCTACACTCCACCCCCCTATCCCCTCATTTTTCAGTCTATTTCACCCCCAGAATCTCAGCAACCCTCGGAAAAATCCCCAGCGCATTCCCATGATTAATCCTCGCCATCGCCGAAGCGTTGAACTCACCATTGCTCTGAATCGCCTTCACAGCCGGCTGAGCCTGCGTCGTCGGAACATAAGGATCTAGAAACCATCAGCCTTTCTCCCCGACCCAAACCAACCCAAACAACTCCACTAAACAAAAAGACAAGGGGAAGAAAGAGGAAAACTTACAATCCGTCCCCGTCACCAACCCACCAACCCCCACAAACTCCTTCAACGCCTGCAACTGCACCCTCGACGTCGCCGACGCCGTGTCGAAAAAATACCCCGCCAGCTGCCCCATCGACTCCGACACACTCAGTCCTCCCAGGAACGGCATCGACGACATCCCTGCAATCCGCGACGCCAGGTACGGCAGGGCGCCGTCGCCGTGCGCGAAGATCATCCTCACGTCTGGGTACCGCGCGCGCTGACCTGTCAGCAGCAGGTTCTCGATGGCCCGCACCGTGTCGAAGGGATACTCGGTCATGGGGACGGGGTAGCCCATTGAGACGGCGGAGCAGCCGGGGGCAGCGGGGTGGATGAAGACGGGGGCGTTGTGAGCGCGGAGGGAGGCGAAGATCGGGTCCAACGTGCTGTTGCCGAGGTAGGTGCCGGCTGAGTTGGTGAAGGTGGCGGCGCCGGGGAAGTGGAGGGTTGTGAGGCAGTGCTTTATTCATCAGTATGTATTATTTTAGGTTGGTTGGAATGGAGAAAGAGGGAGGGAGAGGGGGTACTTCAAGTTCCACCAGAGACTCCTGCACATGCGGCAGAGGCAGGAGACAGAGCGCGCCGAGACGGTCAGGGTACTGGGTTGTGTAGGTGTGCATTTCGAGGTTGATACTGCGGGCGAGGGCCTGTGCTTTGGACGGGTCTTTGATGAAGAAGACGCCCGGTGCGCTGATGCTGATGGTCGAGTAGTTCACGCCCAGGCTGTCCATGGTCGCGATGTGGTCTTCGAGCGTCCAGTCTGGGACTGGGAAGCCGTCGGCGTAGAGCGATCCGTTCTGCACGGGGTAGCCGGCTTCGATCATGGCATCCTTCCAGATCTGGGGGACGACGTGGGAGTGGACGTCTATGCGGTAGTTCTGGTTGAGGTTTATGGTGGAGTTAGTAACGGCGTGAACATGTCCGTGAACTGAAGACGCCGCTGCGGCGCTGAGAAGGAACGTTTGAAGTAGGCCGGGCATGACGGAGGAGATGATTCAAGGATCTGAATTGGACCAGGAGAAGCTCCAGACACGACAAGCAACGCGCTCAATTTATGGGACGGCCGAATAGCGCCATTAGGGCTAGTAGGGATTCGTCTGTACTCGCTCCCCGACGGCCATACACCTAATGTCTAAGTCGGCGTGCACACGCGGCATCATCAATACAACATCAGGTCATTGGTGGGCGAGACGGACGGTGACTAGGATTAATTTGAAGGATTGTTTAGTTTGGAATGTGGAGAGGCTTAAGTTAGGGGATCCACGACGACAGCTGCTCAGACATCTCTATCCCTGGTTATGCGGTGGACTGTGTTGAGATCGTCCTTGATCTACTCCGTAGATAGTTCTTGTTTTATGGGGTAGACCGATCAGTACCCATTTTCTCAGACTCTGATCTGTTGAAGAGTCGACATGAAAAAACCTTCAAGTCTTCTCCAGCCTTCTGGCTAGTCGGCAGTGCAGCCCTAAATCGCGCCTTTAGGCCGATGGCCCACTTCATAGTCCCAGTTAGTCTTCCTTATCCTTGCATTTCTGATTATAACCGAAATACCTTGACAAAGAAACAGGCCAGACGACTTCTCGTCCTACGGAGTATAAATGATGCCTGTATCCACAGCTCCTGTCCGGTGGAGCTCACCCACTGGCGCTTTCTTCCATCTACGTCTGCTGCCGAGGCGAACATGACCCCTGGTCAAGGGTTTGTTCACCATGACCGAGCGATCACAGATATCCCATTCTGGGGAGGTAATTCAATTGGATTCTTTCTGCATTACTATCCTGATTGATATGAAAAGGTTGAAGATAGGGGACCGGCTCTGGTGATCATCAACGGGGTGGTCACTGCCGTGGCAGCGCTCGTGGTCGGCCTCCGCGTGACATCCAGAGTCATGATTGTGAAGAAGTTCGGATCAGACGACTGGTTCATCATTGCTGCGGTCATCACCGCCATCTTGAATGTGGTCGTGGCCGGGCTCGGTGTGCAGTATGGGACGGGGAAGCACAAGTGGGATCTGTCCAAGGGCGATGCGCTGCCCGCAGCGAAGGTATGAAACTAGAACCTTCCCCGATTTCTCTTATGTCTCAGTCTAGCTAATTGTTCAGTTCTAGCTACGCTTTGTCACACACATCATATATACCCTCATCACAGCGCTCATCAAAGCTTCTATCTGCCTTCTCTACCTCCGTCTGTTTCCCAATATTCGAACCACAACCCTCGGCACCCTCGTGTTCGTCAGTGCCATGAGCTTGGCAATTATTCTTGCTACAATATTCCAGTGCTCTCCGGTGGACGCCGTATATAATCAGCAGAAATACAAGAATTACACCTGTTTTCCTTCGATTCCGTTCTGGTACGCCGGGGCTGCATTGGCGCTTGCTACAGATATTTGGATTCTGGTACTCCCCATCCCGACTGTTTTAGGTGTGTATCCCGGCTCTGAACATGTCATATGGCTGATCTAATCTTCTCACTGAGTAGGTCTCAAAATGGGGACGAAAAAACGATACATCCTGATCGGGCTGTTGTCTCTCGGCGGAATGTATTACCCCCTTCCCTCTCCCTTTCAACCGTCCCAACCTCAGCAGAACTGACAAAAGCAGAGCCTGTATAGCCAGCGTCATCCGCATGATCTACATCGTCAAGCTCTACCAAAGTGCTGACCCCAGCTGGGACACTTTCGGAGTGTCAATTACTTCCGGGATCGAAATCGCCGTGGCAATCATTGCAGCTAGCATTCCCGGCACGCGCCCGATTGTGGAAAAAGTGTTTCCACAGCTGTTCTCCAGCACGATGGGCACTTATGGGACTGGTAGTGCTGTTGAGGGGGGTCTTAGATATAGGAATCAGTCTCGAGGCCAGGTTCAGATGTCGGTCTTTACGAGTAGGAGGGAGAGGGAGAGACAGAGGGATCGAGGGGATGATGATTCTATGAAGGCTATTGCTAGGGGGTGGTAATTGTTTGGCTTTGCCCTCCGGATTCTTTCTATGTTTTTCACTATGGATGTGAGTTAAACAGAATTTCTGTTAAAGCAAACTAAATGGCTAATTGGGAATCAAGTGGGAAAAAAGAATATCGGTATCAAGACCAAAACTCTTCAACCAACATCAGAAGAGAAAGAAAAACTAAATCGGCATCTCAGGCAAATGCGGATCCTTTGCCGGGCCATCATCCCCCAGAATGTCGTCGGAATCACACTTAGTAAACCAAGTCCTTGCCGTGTTCTTCAGCGAGTCCATGATCACATGCTGATCCGCATGGCCATCCCCATCGAGGTCAGGATAGAAGGTACAGTCGGCTGGACCCTGGCCCAAGAACGCCGGTTTCGAGGAATCAGTAGCCTCAAATTTCCACTTCGACTCATCCTTCTTTGCACCCTCCCTCGGACCGTGGTTATACCAGACCGTGCCGTCTCCATTGAATAGGTTCGTCCGGATAATATCCGCCCTGCCGTCACCGTCGACATCGGCGAACTGCAGCCCCGAGCGCTCCCCATAGTCACCCGCCCAGATCATGCCCATACTATGCCACTCGCCGCCGCGGTGCTCGTACGCCTCGACGTGGCCCAGACTACTGACACAGAGGAAATCATCCTGTCCGTTCCCCGTGATATCAGCGAAATGAACGGCCGGGTCCGACGGTCCACGTCCGTTGCGTGCGTCGCATCGAACATCTGTAGACATGAAGGTAGACCACTTGGCGGGGTTAAATGGTCTTTTTGGGCTGTACTCGTTTCGAAAGATCATCAGTTTGGTGCTGTCTTCCGGGAATGTGCGCACGATGTCGCATTTTCCGTCATTGTCCCAGTCCGTGAGGTGGATGTTGGCTCGGTCCAGGGGCCCTACGCCCACTGCTATCGGGTCGAAGATCAGCTCGCCGTCGTCCCAGAAGCTATCGCCGTTGTCGGTCACACTGCCCATTCCTCTGTTGCCGTAGAGTGTGATCTTGCCCTCCCCGCTGACCCAAAGGTAGTCTGCCATGCCGTTGGTGTGGCCCATCATGTTGCAGTAGCGGTTCCCATCAGCTGTGAGTATTTGGTATGGATTGAAGGGAGTTGGTTATGTTTGCGTGGGACACGTACATTTGATCGTCGTTCCGCCGGTGCCTCGATTTCTCCACACACGCATGACGAGACCGTCTTTGTTGGATTGGATGAACACGTAATCGCGATTGTACTCCGAGAATACTTTGGCGAAGTGGATGCGATCTCGAACGCCGTCTTTCGCGAATCCTCCCATTCCTTCGTGCGTCGGTCCCTGGTTCTGTCCCTTGCGGACGGCCTGACGCCATTCGATATTGGGGCCGTCACCTTCGTCGCTTTTCACGCAGCTTCGAGAGTTCGTCCACGTTGTCACTTGTCCGTCGTCGCCGACCCAGAGCCAGTCATCGCGTCCCTGTCGCTGTCAGTGGTTCAGACTCTCAGGAGATGATTGAGAAGGTTAACTCACGTCACCGCTGATGTCGACGAAGCGCACGCCGCGAATATCGCCCATGCCTTTGCCGGTGAACCGCTTGCCCATTGCTTGCCACCCGATTGGCTGGTCATCTACATCTGGTTAGGGATTTGAGTCCTGGAGACAGTCTGTTTGATTCGTGGTTAACATACTTGTGCCTCCCATATTACGCCAGCAATAAATACCACCGTCATCGTGGATCACGCAGTAATCAGTTCGCCCGTCACCGTCAATATCTCCCAGTCGAACATGATCTCTATCGTATCCTTCCGGGTCTTTAATCTGGTCAATATCCCGGAACGTCGGTGCCTTTTCATTGCTCCCATCCCCAAGATTCAAGCTTCCATAGGCAGTTCCATCTGGCCCAATGCAGATGAAATCATCCAATCCGTCCCCTGATCCGTTAGCATATCACCACTCGATACCACAGGCAATCCAACACTCACCATTAATATCCCGAAAGTTAACCCCGGCCGGACCACAATTACTATCCACATCCAGCTGCTCCTTATGAAAGTTGTACGTCTCATTCGTCTTCTTCACCCCCGGCCCCTTATTCTGCCAAATCGTATACACAGTCTTCTTCGGCTGCATTTCAGCTGGAGTCATCCTCAACATATCGCTCCTCTTCGGCGAAAACAGCCTCGCAAAGAACGTCTCGTCTCGCTCCTTGTCCGGCTCCCCGCCTGCCAGCGCCAACACCTCCCCTATCGACTCGGCATCGTGGATGTACACTCCGTCGTCGTCGCCGCTGCCTCGCTGCGTTAGCCCGCCCGCATCGACCCCATTGTATCGGCTTCTCTCACAGATTCCGGCCTCCGGTCCCACGTCGGGGATCTTCTGCTCCTTGGCCGCTGCTTCGATCGCTTTGAACCACACCCATGCCATCTTCGCGTAGCCGAACTCATTCGGATGGGTTGGATCCGGCTTGTCGCTGGTTCCGATGTAGTCTTCCGGATACTTGAGCCAGCCGTTTCCTGGGGCGGGTTTATCGGGGTCCATCTCGGCCAGGTAGATTGAAACGCCCTCGTTCTTCATGGCGACGACCAGGTCTCGGAACTGTCTGTTCATCGGGGTGCGGTTCATTTCGATGGCTTTATCGTCGGAATAGAACAGCGTCGAGAGCACGATCACCGTCTGACGCATCCCTTTCGTGTTCACGATACTTTCGATGAGGGCGCGCATGCGCACTCCGGCGTTTTCGATGTCGATGTCCTGGGCGCAGTCGTTTGTTCCGGCGTTGATGAGCACGATGTTCGGCTTGAAGTGGAGGGATAGCTGGGCTGCGGCTTTTACTTGGTCGATTGTGTCGCCGGGGGTAGCCTCGACGTTCTGCGTTTGTCAGTCAAGGCTATTCTATTGGATGGGGATGGGGAAGAGAAGGGGACGTGGATGGGTTGGGCTGGAATAGTTACGTTGTCCTTCATGGTGCCGTGGTTCTTCGATCCCACCATGTTGACCTCGTTGCCTTGCCACTGGAGTCGGTCGCGCAGGGGCTTGCGGTAGCCATTTCCTGACGCGGAGTTCTGGCCCCAGGTTATGGAGGCGCCGAGGGGGAGGATGCGCAGTCTGATGCGGTTGTCTTTGTCGCCTCTTTTGGTCCAAAAGTGGTCAGTCGAGGGGGTGTCGATGTTTGCGAGGCTGGAGTTTCTGGGAGGGATGGTGGCGCTGTGCACGCTGAGGATGAGATAGAAGAGGAGGAGAAGGGAAGTGAGGAAGGATTTAGAAGACATTTTGAAGATGATTGGGGAGAGAATTGGGGTTTGCACTCGGTTGTAGGGGATGTAGGAGGTGTAGTGGATGGGAAGAGAGTGTAATGGTGAGGTGCACAATCGAGGTCGAAGTTTTATATGATGCTTTGCCGGGGTCTGGGAATGAGGTAGAGATGATGCTGTGAATGTTGTTCTGCGGATCAACAAAGGAATCCTCCGGTTGATTATTTTTAGATATCGTCATCCCACAAAGCTTCGTGCCTTAATTTGGCTTTTAAGGGAAGGTCCCGGTTATTTCCCCAGTCGGACATGCTTGGCTATGCTGTGGAAGTAGCCCTATATTCGAGAGATGCTTTTGCCGATGCTTGGGGTCTCTACTCTCCTCATTTTCCCAGTTCTATTATTATCACCAGGGCATTCTTGGTTTTAAAAACAGGTTCAAGTCACCAGAATACTCGCTCTCGACCCTGCATTAGCGAGACCATGAAAGGCGATCCTTAAATCTACAACCCCTCTACCGAGTCTCGATAATCGAAAATTTTAGGCATTGTCCCAGGAATGAACAATCTGTATAACTTGGGTAGAGAATACAAATACCATGACAAAAAAGAGCCCCTGCAGTTTCTAAGAATTCTGTGTATCTGGAAACTATCTGAACATGGATGCTTGTGCAACGGATGCAGGACGCCGAAGTCTAAACCTTATATCTACCCTGATATAAAGAAGCATTTACTAGCCCCGTAGTCGCCTGCTTATTCGGATGTGGTGACTGTGCCTTAGCTGAAACATGCTCTTTATTTGCTGGAAACATAAACTGACCTCTTTACGAGAAGGCAATATGCTTGGTTCGTCTACGTACCGTGGCTTTTCTTTGTTTTCTGTTTGTCTTGGGGGCCCAATGCTTGTCTTTCCGCGCAGGCTGTGGTACATCCTGATGTAACCTTATCTCCTGCTCTCTGTTTGAGCTGAATGGTTTTGTACGACTCCAGACCATGTGTATCACACTGGTAGGAAATTCATGAAGGCTTCGTGAATTTTCACCGCTGGACAGAGGCGAGGGAGTGACTGGTAATATATATTGCAATCTGGCTGAAGAATGTAGTAACGAGTAAAGAGCACATTTTTCTCATGAGCTCGTAATCCAAGCCATGCCCGATTCTCTCAATATCCTCAACATTCTGCCAAATCATTTGAGGACTAGTAATCCTCTTCTGCCCGAAAGTGCTGCATGGGGAACGGTGCCTGACAAAGGAGGCGTCAAGGTCATAAATCGACTAGACCGAAAGGGGCTAGCGTGGCCATGCAGATGCAGTGGACCAGCTTCCCGAATAGGCAAAGCGTCAAGAAAGGAAGGAAGGACAAAGTGCAACGGAACTTCCCTCGACTGTTTTTATCCACAAGTTCTATCTTTCCGGTCGATGAAAGAGTGACACCGGACCAATGATTGAGGCGATAGCTGTCACGAGTACAAATGACTGTCAATCTGAGAGACGAGGTCATCCACAGTCACCGCGTCCCAGATGCTTTCCACCCAGAGCATGTCTTTCACCAGACCCACGGCCTCGCAACCCGTCATGATGCAGAGCAGCTCCATCAGTCGGCAGATATCATCAACGTATCCTGCTTCTCCCGGAACAGAGATTGGGTCTGACATCTCCACCAGCGAAACAATAACCAAGGACCAGAGTTGCACTTTCCACAGAGAAGTTGAGGCACTTCGGATGCCTCGAAGGTAGTCAATCACCTTTGACAGCTTTTCACGGAGGAACATCGCCTCTCGCGCGGCCAATTGAAACATATTGTTCTTGATTGTTGCGAGCATGATGAGTATTGACAGTCGGATCATCTCTCTCGTGAACTCGGCGGACTTGGCTGCGTTCACTCCTTTGTCATCGTCGCTGGACGGCTCATCCTTGATCGAGGGCTGAGTCTTTGGTGGATAAACCGGCCTATCCATCGACAGCAAATAATGTGTGACTGGTCCGAACAGTTTAATGGAGATGGTGTTTTCCTCGTTTTTCCAGTACCCCGGGGGCTGGTGCGCATTATCATTCAGATGCTTGACCGTGACTGCGAGCTTTTCGAATGCCGTATCAACATGATCAAATTCTGGGTGGTGCAGCGCAATATCCGAAACTAGATATCTCAAGAACGGAGGGGTGTGGATCTCGATGTTATCCGACAGTTTCGATACGCTCGGGTCAAAACCGGCAGATCGGGGAGAAAGATCCTCAACCACGCTTATGATTACATCGAACCTGAGGGTATTAGCATCTGCCAACTTCTCCAGGTCAGAGGAGCTACCAAGGAATGAAAAGCGGGGTAGTCTCGTGAAGCCCGTCGTATCCTCCTCGCACCTGGATGATCCGCTGGACTCCCTCCAGATGAGCCCGTGAGCGAGCCAAAGTCCCGACATAAAGCTGGAATAAATCAGCAAAACACACTACTATGGCAACCGAAGGAATCGAACATCATGACATATCAACCCCAGAATAGTTGTTATAAGTCCTGCGCTCAGGCGATCCTTCGAATTCTCCAGTCGGCGCGTTACCTCCTTGACGCATTTGCCATAGTACGTCAAGCACTCAACGCTCTTTTCATATTGGTATGCCTTTCGTTGATAGATTTGATCCAGGAACATCGCAGCGTTGGCCAGAGATACAAGGAAGGCGCTAGCGTCCGTCATGGCCATCGAGAACCAGATCGCTCGAAACGGTCGGAATACATAGTCTGAATCGGCGCTCACTGGTCCAGTTAGCTGACGAACATTCACATAGAATGCGACGTACTGAAATGAATGAGCTGCATAATTCGGTCGTCTAGTTGGATTGGGTAGTATGACGCATTGTGCGGGTCGAACGCGATCGGCTTTCGTGGGGAACATGGAGTCAGTGTGCTCTGCGATGAGGTTGTCGATAGCCCATCGTCCTCAGGGGGTTGTTCTTTTAGGGACAGCTCCCATGTTTGCGGTCTCTTGCGAGATCGCCGAGACTTTCCAATTTCTCGCATGGCTTTCTGGCGGATTGTACGCCGTGTACCCCTGGCTTTCAGATCATCCGGCCGGGAGATATGCACGAAAACAAGGCCTTCGTTCTCCTCGTCAGTGCCAAGCGGCCGCATTTTGATGAATGTGTGATTGTTCGTTGGGTTCGAAGACCTGAGGTCTGTACTGATAGTTTCGTCAACAATTAAGGCTCAGCCGCTGACCGATTTGGCCCCCAAACCTCGTATCCCGGGACCCAATCAATAAAGACCGGGAAAGACCTACTAGCCTTGGTGAAACCAGCTACCATAAGCCGCGCATTAATCCCTGCTGTGATTCATTCTTCTGCGACGTTTACTCCACATGTTGCAGGCGCAGTTGACTGTAGTAGGTTGCCTGAACAGGGATTTCTTCTATCAGCAGCCAGTCAATGACAAACAACGTCATCGCTACTCATATGTCGCGGCCTGGCATGTCATCAAATGTCAGAAGGAATCGTTGACGAGCCTTACGCTAGCAGACGGTGGCAATTCGCCAGGCAGTGTAGGGATTACGACATGAATCATGATCATCCCTTATCAACGCTCAGCTATGTCGATCATCATTCTAATTCCAGTACCTTAAAGCTTTATCCGAGTGCCTATAGCTTCGCCTTGACCCTCTCATCCCGCACCACCAGTCTTTTCCCCGAGGTTCCTTTCTTTTCCATGTCCCGAAGGACTCTCCGCAGGATTTTCCCGCTGGCGCTCTTCGGGATTTCCTTGACGAATTCCACCTCCACAATCCATTTATGACGGACTTTCTTCGCTCGCACGTACTCGATTATGTCTCTGCCTATATCCACTAGGCCAAATCCATCGCCAACCCTTTCCTTCTCGCTCGATTGCAGAACCACGTACGCTTTCGGTCTTTCGCCCGAATAGTCGTCCGGGATGGCCGTTACAGCCGCATCCGCAACATCGTTCCGGCCAAGGAGCAGATCCTCCAGCTCAGCCGGCGACACCCCGATTCCCTTCACTTTGATCATCTCTTTAATGCGGTCGGTGATGGTTAGGAATCCCTCTTCGTCCATAAATCCGATATCCCCCGTATGTAACCACCCTTCTGCGTCGAAGGTCTCGCGGGTGGCTTTCACGTTGTCTAAATACCCCATCACTACCTGTGGGCCTCGCGCCAGAATTTCTCCCAGCTCGTTATACCCCATTTCGCGACCCGTTTTCGGATCTAAGATTTTCACTTCCGTGTTGGCGACAATGGTTCCTACATGATGGGCATACTGGTAAGATTGTTTATCAAACGGATGCATCGTGATACAACTGCATGACTCCGTCATGCCATACGCCTGCTTGAAACCCGTCCAGGGGTACCGATTCTCCAGCTTTTGGAGAAACCCTTCGGCCATCGGAGCAGCCCCGGATGTAAAGGTCTTAACATGCGACAGATCGAACTTCGCCGCCGTCGGGTCCTGGAGGAGACGGACCAAAATAGGCGGTACGAGTAAGAGTTCTGTGATTTTGTTGTCGACAACGGTATTGAGCATGCTGGTCATGTTGAAGGACGGGAGCATAAAGACCTCTGTGTTCAGGAGGATGGGGAGGTGCATCAAATGCACGAGGCCGGTTACTGTATTGGTCAGGGTGGGTTCTTTCCAAAGGGTTAGAGACTAACTGTGGAAGAGCGGCAGGACTGCCAGCGTTTTCTTATAATCCGGCGGCACGATCTGTTGGATCTGCATGCACTGCGCCATGACATTGTGGTGCGTGATCATCACCTGCTCCTTAGCAATCTCCTTTGTCAGTTCGAAGAGGAAGACCTACTGCCTTGGGAAGTCCCGTGGTTCCACTGCTGAAGCTCAAAAAGCCACACAGATCGCGATTGGATTCTTCGTCAGCAAACTTGAACGGCGAGACCTGTCCATCATCGCCGTACTCCTTGCCGATCTCCAAGAGCTTCTGGACATTGGTATACCCGTCTTGCTCTCCCTCAAGCAAAAGGATGCGGTCAGCGGGTATGCCAGCATTCTTGGCCGCCGGAATGGCAACCGCCAAGGACGATGGGACCGTCAGTAGGTACTTTGCCTTGCCTGTTGTCAACGCGTAGGACATTTCTTCGACGTTATATGCCGGCGATGCACCGGAGACAATGCCGCCTAGTTCATGGTTAGATTGTCTTTCACCCATCAATTGCACAGGAAGTGGTGCATACCAGCGCGAGCCGTCGCTAGCAGCGCAACCGGATACCAGATGGTGTTTGGGCTGAACATAGCCACGGTGTCACCTTTCTGCAGGCCATGGTCCCGAACCAGCGCGGTGGATATGTAGGTCGCGTAGTCTTTTACCTCGTCGTAGCGGATGCGCTCGGCAGTGGCGGCGTTGACGAAGGCGCCCAGGTCGGTCGGGTGCACGCGGCGCAGAGGCGAATAGTCCGAGTCGAAGATAAAGTCCCAAATGGGGAGAGAGGTAGGGACTGTAGATCAGGAATTAGTGAGAGACGCCGTGGGAATTGACTGATTTGTATACTTTGCAGACGTGGTCGAGCGGACGAAAAGATCATCGTGGGGAATCAATGGGGTCAGGATGCGTTTGCGCGAGAAATGCAGTTTCCGACGGGACGACCTCGATCAGAGAAGCGGGGATCGTGGCAGCTAAATAGCAGATCTCCGAACGACAGGAGGCAGGAGTCCGCGGCAAAGACGGTGGTTTCATGCATCGTCGGCTTTGCAGCTGCTTTCCCCGCATCTCATTGGGATTCGGTCCGCCTTGGTCTCACTCAGCTGACGATGCCTGGTTCCTCCTATCCCTTGCAGGTTCTGGTCTGACTGTTGGTTTCGCTGAAGAATGCGCCCTGTTGGAGCAGTCTGGTCATGCAAGGGGGAATATTAGACGTAGCATAAATAGGGATAGAAAGAAAAAAGCGGTGTAAAAGGAGATACAGATCGGGGCAGGGAAGTTAAAAAACTAGATATAGTCAACAAATAAAAGAAAAAGAAAAGAGCAATAATCACATACACAAAACAGGTTATGTTTTAAATAGTCTGGATGGTTTGTGGCCTAGACCAGATTCGATTCATCGGCGCCTGGAAATTGTGAAATTAGGAAATTAGGGTATAGCAGTTGGACTATTCCTGATCTTGTGGGATTCCTCGGCATACATCTGACATCTACTATTTACTCTGGTCCTTGATATCTATGCTTGGCTTTGAAATATGGACATCTAAGTTATCGTAGCACACTAAGTACATTTGCACGGTTTCTTTTATTTTCCTTTCTTCTTATTTCACTTTCTCCGCTGAAATATATATATTCTCAACACACCAATAACGCTCACTTCTGTATCCTCTCCCACTCTCCCTGGAGAATCCCGGGCAACTCCTCGTCCACACTCGGACCGGTAGGATTCCACCGCCGGAACCCATCCTTTCTGCACCGCAATCTGCGCAATCTTCCTACCGACGTCAGACCACCGATGCTCCTCTGTCGCCGCCGCATATAGCACGCCTCGGGTCCCCACAACCAGCCGCAGGAACAGATCCGTCATGTCCGTAACATGCACACTTGTCCCCAGGGACTGTCCCTCGCCGATGATCGGGACTTTCTTCCTTTCCAGAATCACGTCGATAGAATATACAGCTGTCGACTCCGTTTCGAGACCGGACCGCGTCCAGCACCGGTTTTTGACAGGTCGCCGGATATGATTTCTACAGCTGGGTATTGGGTCTTAACGAGGGAGGGCTTTTCAGCACCGCGGACGAGAACCCGATAGCTGCAGTTGGGGTGTTGGAGGATCAGCTGCGAGAGCACGTCGCCGCCGATGTAGCCCGTGGCTCCGGTGCTGTGGTCTGTTAACTATCTTTCATTTTTGGGTTGGGGCCTGAGGGGGGTTACATGAATACGCGAGTCAATTTGATTCTGTGTTTTATCTTCGAGTATTAGATGTGAGGACATGGTGCTGCTGCGGTGCTTTTGTCTACCGATCAATGCATGTGTCGTGTTGCGGATTTCTACACGGTCGATTTCTAAGCGCAGATCGTTTTGGCATCCTGGGGTATTGCGGGGGTAGACAGTGACTGGGACAGTTAAGGATTGGAAATTAATAAATCTTGCAGTGGTGGGATGCATTTACTTGTAACAATATGTATCTGCGCAGTAGATACCTGAGGTGGTACACTGCGGATTGAAGATATTCCCTCTCTCCTGCATTCATTCCATATTGATAATGAAGCATTGAAATTCTTCAACCCGACATGGTGACACCTCTGTAGCTACCGATTTCGAGGTTGTATGGTGGGCGCAACCTAATGCCGCTTTAAAAGATTAATGCCTGAATGCGAGACCCCCGAGAATATAACCATACTTGACAGAAAGATTCTCGACGTCTTTGGCAGCTGCACCCAGCTTCCAGCCTGCACATAGCCTGTTTAACACATTCCCGGGCCCTCCCTTCTTCAAATATGCGGATCTATCCTGCCGAAGAATTCCTCACCTTGCCCTGGCTTGAAGTCAGTCTGCGGTTCCGTTATCTATGCAACGCCGGCCTTCCAACGTGCATCCCACAGTATTCTGGTACATTCTTCTTTCTCGAACGCGGCGACGGTCCGCTTGCATTTGTTTCGAATCACCAATCAGCTGTTGACTTTTCTATCCATACTCGCGATACCGGAGTAAAGTGGAATGTGACACAGAGAGGACACGAAGAATGTCCCGGAAAAGAAAATGTAGATCAACTGCAACGCTATCGGAAGGGGCGGCGGACCGGTCGGGATAGCAGGGAGGGCTTTGCCTGTTTCTTTGTTCCGTAGCTACTGGAGTAGCAGTTTCGCTTCTCGTAGAAAGTCCATATTAACCCCAAACGTCAACCAGTAATGGTAAAAGAGACCAGAGTTGTGGTGCATAAGAAGCTAGAACCAGATCTTTCACCACAATGTCATGTACAACGGCTTCCGGAGAAGAGCAACCGAGCTATTCTGTGCTAATGCCGGTTACGGATGGCATATTGAGGAGTCTTCATCAACGCACCACCTCTTCGCATATAGCCTCCCGAAGAAGGCTGATGATTGAGATTCACACGATGCCGTGCTTGTATTGATGAACTGTGTTTGAAGAGTTCAATAGGTACCTGAGCGTGTCCGCTGAGAGGCAAAGCTGCTCTCTACAAGCCCTTGTATGTATATAAGGTGTATGTAGTCGAGGTACTGCTGTTCAAGCAGGAAAGGACTGACCGAATTCCTTTCAAGCTCCACGAACCCCTCGGTGCAGATCCATTTCGGCCGCAAACATTCCTGAACGAATCTGATACAGCTGGACCGAGGCCATTCGCAGTCTTGACGTCTAACACAATCTTCAGCAGCGCAGGACAGACTGGAGATTGACATATATCGTCACATACAAGTGTAGCATTACTCTCAATCCTACCTTCCGAACTTGTGAGGTGGTAGTGCTCTGCTCAGAGCCATCTACATATGATTGATCCCCCCGGAGTAGCTACCCACTCTAGCTACGAAAGAAGAAAGCATCTGCCCTCCCTTCGTAACGTTGCAAAATGAGGGAGCAACCTGCATAGTGAATGACGCATATGACTATTCCATCTGTCCGATGGCATGAGTAGAAAATTAGCAATGTCTCCAACCGTGCCGGTTTCCTTGCCTGGATAGTCATACCAGCAACCGTCGTTCAGGATGATGTCTCCCACGATGACACCATCTACTTGGACATTAGTCTTATGCACCTTACTCCTGCATCTTGTCGGCGCTCATGCGTACATACACGACTTTTCTTTCACTGGACAACAGCCCCTGCATGAATCTGTCAACATTGCACAGGATGGCTATCAAAAGGGTGCTGTCGCGAGCGAGAGCAGAAACTGCAGCGAGCATGGGATTACAATGTTAGAGAAGGGTGGCACGGCCGCGGATGTTGTGAGTTGAAGCTGAATATATTATGAAGTGTGTCCATCCACTGATGAAGTCCGCCCGAACAGATGGCTGCCACGGTGCTCTGCGTGGGTGTTGTCAGTGAGTACTCATGAGAGGCGATGTTAGGGTAAGGGGATGTGGCTTATTTGCTGAAACAGATATGTACCACAGCGGCATTGGGGGTGGTGGATTCATGGTAATTCGTTACCCAGATCCCAAGGAAGATGGCGGGTTCGGGTACGAAACTATTGACTTCCGCGAAGCTGCCCCGGCCGGTGCACACCAGAATATGTTTGAGGGGATCGAGGACAGAGCCCAGGTGGGCGGTTTGGCCAGGTATGAATCATACTCGACCTACCTCGTTGCTGGGAACATTAACGCTTTTGGCTAGTGCTGTGCCCGGAGAGCTTCGCGGGCTGGAATACCTGCTTCAAAACCATGGCGCTCTCACCTGGAAAGAGGTGACAGAGCCTGCCATTAATGCTGCACGATATGGAGTGCCGGTGACCGAGGATTTGAAAAACTATATGAATCGGGCCGTTGGCAACGGCGAGGACTTCCTGCTCAAGTATCCATGGAGCGAGACCTTTGCCAGGCCCGATGGGACTCGAGTGCGGGTGAACGATACAATAAAGAGAACAAAGTATGCAGACACTCTGGAAGCAATCGCAAAAGACAACAATTTGAAGAGCTTCTACGAGGGAGACATTGCAGAGAGTATCGCAAAGGCAGTCCAAGACAACGATGGCATCATGACTGTGGAAGACCTCAAAAACTACACTGTCATCAAGCGGGGCCCACTGCACGTGTCTTATGGCGACTATAAATTGACAAGTATCAGGGCACCTGCCAGTGGTTTTATTGCATTGAATGCGCTGAAGGTTTTGAGTAATTACGAGGACTTCTTCAACGGTTCTGAAGAGACCATGTCGCTGGACACCCACCGGATGGTGGAAGCAATGCGGTTTGGATATGCGATGGTAAGCCAGCTGGAACAAATCTCCATCCTTTGTGATTTACTAAAGAAATACCAGAGACCGAAACTGGGAGATCCCGCTGGGAAGGCGTATATTGAAAAGTTCCAGGAGGATATGTTGACCGATGAAGCTACTTACAATATCTACAAATCAATCAATGACACCACCACGTTCGAGGAAGATCATTATAACCCTGGTGGCTATGGAATACCCAAAGGGTAAGTGTCAATGAGCATCGTGAACGTATCTGGTCTATTTCTAAAATCATACAGAGGAGGCACCTCGCACCTGGTCGCAGCCGACGACTCCGGATTGGCGATTTCGCTCATTACATCGGTCAATCTGTTTTTCGGCAGCCACGTCATGGATAACGAGACAGGCATCATCCTGAACGATTCAATGGACGGTAAGCCCAGCTGACTACGCTCGCCTTGAACGCGTGGACTGATGAAGTACACTAGACTTCTCTATCCCCGGCACCCGCAACGCATTCAACTACGTCCCTGCCCCCGAGAACTTCATCCGACCGAGAAAAAGACCCCATTCGTCCATGTCTCCCCTGATCGTGACTGGTAAAGACAAATTCACATTCCTCACCGGCTCAGCAGGAGGCAGCCACATCACCAGTACCACCATTCAAAACACCCTCCATGTCCTCAACCAGGGATTGAACGCGAGCGCGACATTGGCGAAGGCGCGTCTCCATGACCAGGTGAATCCTTACTACTGCTCCTTCGAACATGGCCGCGGGTTTGATGTGCACACGGAAAAATACAACGAGAGCATCGTGGCGTACATGGCCGGGCTAGGCCACAATGTGAGTTGGATTATGCCTGGCTTGAGCACGTCGCAGGCGGTTTTATGGTCTGCCGAAGGGGGGTTCGACGGCGCTGGGGAGCCTCGGCAGCAGAATTCTGGATGGGCTGGGAAGTGATGGGGTTATCATAAGAGAATACGAGGGATCTTCTGCTGCTTTGCTCTGTTTTGAGACTTTGTTTTCATAGGAAATAAGCAACTATGCAAACCCTGAATGAACACAGTATCCAGAAACCGAATAAACCTTTGGCTCCTTCTATTGCACGTGTTTTTCTCGATTTCCCCAAGGCAATTTCGATATAAAAGCCAAGCAACCGATCCCATCAAGCATTCCTTCCAAGTATGGACTCCCATGTAGTTAGAATATAAATTTACAAATCTTCGAGACCTGAGAGGCCATCATTTCGAAGTACGAATATTCAAGTAGAGATAACAAAAGGCTAGTACATCTTATGCTATCTGGTTGTGTAGTAACGCGTTCAGTTTCGTGGGCTGTAGTACAGTTATCGAAGACCTGCCACTTTATCAGTTAACTCATTACGTCTGATATACATATATAAAGAGAAAGATCACGACCGCCGACCGTCAGCAACAAATCATCATGAGGGAAAACACGAATGGGGTGTGGATGAAAAGCCGTTGATTTCAAATGCAGAAGGCAATAGACTAATACATTAAGCAAGAAGGACTGCTGACCCTGCCTTGGTCGCAAACAGCTCAATGGGATTTATGCCCCTGATATGGATACAGGCAGAGATCGGCGGTGGAGCCACCGTTGCTGGGTCCAGGATTGATGGACTCCGTTCTCCGTGCTCCGTAATGACAGCAACGTGTTGTTTGGAGTTAGCTTCCAAATTGCATTGAATGAATACTGGGCCTATGCGACGGAGGGGCTTCATAAATTGGACTTTTGAACTTGGCGTTATCCACTTGATGAGGTCATTCTCACCAGGAATTGAGCTTCACGCCGATCAAGAAAATGATTAGGAGCTAACTGGAGGGTATACGGATTCCATTTTCAGGGGATTCGCATATTCGAAGCAGACAGAATATTCAGGCCTAAAATAAAGTAGTTCCAGACATACACCTGTATGACAACGAGCAAGTAAAATGCACATGAAAAGTCATATTCACTATGCCTGCCTGTCACAGACCACGACGAATGAAACACGACCCACCCGTTGAACAAACAATCAAGTTGGGCAGCAGCGACGTAATAGCAGCACTCAAACCATGACTAACAGATATGAAGCCAAGGAAAGACGTACGGATATTCATGCCGGGAGGGTCGAGGCTCGCGCCCACATGGTTGACACGAACAAATCACAATCCGCCGTCGCCAATCGGAAGAACGGCATCAGGAACGGGCCCTGTGGCCCGGTGGCTCGACTTCATTGGGCCCGGACCAGGGCCCGTTGCTTATCGTTTCGAGGAAAATTTTTTCTGTTTTTGCCTGAAACCGTTTCGTTTGATAATCGGGTAGCGGCGGTTGGAGTCGGCGGGATGGCTCGGTTAGAGGGGGAGAGTGGTTCACTAGCCACGTTGCCGATAATAGCCGACTGGGTGCAGGGCTGTGATTGGATGAGAGAGTAGCAGCCACAGTGCCTTGTGGCTGGTGAGGTCTGGTATAGATGGATGTCTCCATCGCGGAAAGGAATGGAGCTTCGGCCAGTGTTCAGCTCGGCTTCTGTTTGGCAGCCGGAGGCGTTCTGGTGGATCTATACACTTGCTCCGAGTATGATCACAGTCTAAAAAAAAGATCGAAAAAAAGAGGGCCTGGCCCAGGTGCCACTCTCTCTTGCCAGTATATTAGTAGTGTGTAGATTCCTGTTTGCTCAGAGCTCTTTTCTCTCTCTCTGTAGATCTATAAATTCAATTCAACGCACAGACAGCTCTGGCTCAACGCCATATCGGCTCACCATGGACCGCTCAACAAACCATGACGTACCGACCTACCACGATGACGACGCCCCATACCCCGATATCATGAAAACCTCCAGCAATGATTCCTCCGACACCATCGATGACCTCGACTCGCTGGAGCTCAACCGCATCAACACCTATCGCCTGCAACAGAAGACAACAGTAGGGTCGACCCGAGGCCCTCTTCCGCGCGACCAATGGCTTCCTATGGGGGCTGGAAAGGAATACCCCCCTCTGCTGCCCGCCCCGGAGACATACGTGGTGGAATTCGACGGATCGGACGACCCAATGCACCCGTACAACTGGTCGATACTGAGGAGGTTGGTGGACTCGTCTTGATGGGAAGCTTCGACTCTAACATGTTGTTCTAGAACATTCCTTGTCGGTGTCCTATGCTATGGCACCTTCGTAGCGTCGTTCGCTAGTGCCGTCTTCTCGGCCGCCATCGGTGCCGTCAGCCAGGAATTCAATGTAAGCTCCGAGGTGGGCTCGCTCGGAGTCACCCTGTATGTTCTCGGGTTTGCCGCCGGCCCGACGATGTGGGCGCCGGCGTCTGAGTTGATCGGACGGCGCTGGCCGCTGTCCATCGGGCTATTCGGATGCGGCATCTTCACGGTGGCCTGCGCGACGGCCAAGGATATCCAGACGATCATGATCTGTCGGTTCTTCGGGGGCTTCTTTGCCGCCAGCCCCGTGTCGATCGTGCCGGCTGTGTTTGCGGATTTGTTCAACAATGCGCAGCGAGGAGCTGTCATGTCCATCTTCTGCATGGCGGTGTTTATCGGCCCGTTTGCTGCCCCGTTCGTCGGGGGTTTCATCGCCATTAGCGATCTGGGCTGGCGCTGGACCATGTATATCTCTGCGATTATGATCTTCTCAGGATTCGTACTTGTGCTGTTCTTCCTGGATGAGTCCTACGCCCCCGTGATCTTGGTTCGGAAGGCCGCGATCATTCGCCGCCAGACGCATAATTGGGGGATTCACGCTAAGCAGGACGAAGTCGAGGTGGACTTTAAGGAGCTTCTGCGCAACAACTTCATGCGGCCGATCAAGATGCTGATCTCCGAGCCTATTCTCCTGCTCATCTCACTTTACATCTCCTTCATCTACGGCCTGATGTATGCCCTCCTCGGCGCCTACCCCGTCGTCTTCCAGGGTGTGTACGGCATGAACATGGGCGTGGGCGGACTCGCCTTTATCGGTCTTATTATCGGAGAACTAGTCGGCGGTGTCTACATCCTGATCTTGCAGAGCTCCTACGCCCGCAAACTCGCGGCGAACGGCGATAAGCCGATCCCTGAATGGCGTCTGCCACCGGCTATTGTGGGTGCTGTGGCGTTTACCGGCGGAATGTTCTGGTAAGTCTCTCGATATCGAGCTTCATGAGAAAGTGCTAATATTTGCAGGTTTGGCTGGACCGGGTACAGGGAATCTCTTCACTGGATGGCCCCCGTTGCGTCCGGTGTTCTGACCGGATTCGGCATCTTTTGCATCTTCCTGCAGTGCTTCAACTATATCGTGGACTGCTATCCGACTCTGTATGTCTCACGCCCTGTTTTCTATTTGACTAGTCTAATATATTATAGGGCCGCGTCCACCATCGCTGCAAACACTATCCTTCGGTCCGCTGTCGGATGCGCATTCCCCCTCTTCTCCAGACAGATGATGGAGAACCTCGGTGTCCAGTGGGCAGGGACCATGCTCGGGTGTATTGCCGCCGTGATGATTCCTATCCCTGTCATTTTCAAAGCCTACGGGCCTTGGCTCCGCACGAAGAGCAAACTGGCGACCTCGCCGGTTTACGATGTTGAGAAGAAGCCGTTTGATGTTTGAGATGCTCCGTTCTGTGTTTTTATTCTTGAAGCGAGATACCATTTGCTTTGCTTTGCTTTGTTTATTAAGCGTGATGTACATGTCTGATGGATTCGATTAGACGAGATTAGACGAGATGAGATGAATAGACTAATGACCTCGTACTCATACACATACATACCTGTTATACGTTATAGATTCCGTTGTTCAAAAACCAACGGAACATCCCTCCTCATCCCCAGCGTCAACACCGTAACACTCTCATTCAACACCTTCTCCGCCCTCCGATAAACCACCTCCTCACTCTCCCTTGCATCCATCTTCCCCAAAGACACTCGATACCGACTAAACAGAATCGCCAGGACAGCCACAAACTCCACCTGTGCGAACCTCTTCCCCACACACGCGCGAAACCCATCACTGAAGGGGATAAACGCCCCGCGCACCGGCCTGTGGATCGTATCGAATTCCAAGCCCGGACCAGCCAGCCCTGTCTTTCCATCATTCGGAGCGAGGAAGCTATCTGCGTTTGACTTGTCCCAGCGCCGGGGACTGAATGATGCGGCGTCGGGGCCCCAGTATTCGGGTGAGTAGTGCAGGGCGTTGGCGTTGAGGTTTATGTTGACGTTTGGGGGCAGGGTGTAGGTTTGTTGTTGGTGGGTTATGGGGACGGGGTTGGAGGCGGTCCATTTCGGGACTGTTACCACGGGGGGGTAGAGGCGGAGGGTTTCGAGCTTTTGATCGAGGGGTTGTTAGGTGGAATTTAGTATGGGGGAGGGGAGGGGAGCGTACCATTATGCAGAGGGGAGCGATGAGTTTGGGAAATAGAGTCGTGTAGTCCCAGTCTTTTGGGTCGGAGGGTTGAGATTTTAGTGTCTCATCTAGGGAAACCTGTAGCCAGTCTTGGATATCGGGATGCATGGCTAACAGAACAAGCGCGAATCGCAATGTTGTGGCGGTTGTTTCGTGTCCTGCTACTGTGAGGATGTGGAGGTTGCCGATGATTTCGGAGTCTGTGAGGCCGTCATCTTTCTGCTGGGACTGCACGATGCCCTGTAAGAGATCGTGTGTCCTATCCTGGTTTTTCTCGGCTTTGGCACCATCGACAAGTGCTTGAAGGTAATGTTGGAAGTCTTCAAATGCGAAGAAGTCGTTCTTGAAGAATGGCATCGTCATCCGTGGAATCCACTTTGGGATGACCATATTCGCGAGAATCACGGTGTTGAGACACGAGTTCATATACTCGATCACCGAACAAAATGTAAAATGAGCCCCTTGAGGCGGGCTATCACTATCTCGGAGTAAACTGGCAAGGTCATTCGTAGCTGCTGCTCCAGAGTTGGGTTTGAACGGTAAAGAGACGCCAAAGCCTGCGCCACAGATCACATTTAGTGTCAGTTTCAGAATGTCTGATTTCGCAGCCGGTATGATCAGTTGTCTGTCGCTCGACGAGTGTTTATATTTTTGTTCCCATTGAGCGATCATCTCAAGGGCTTGCTGGATGGAAATCCGCCAGACGAGCTTGTTGTTGCTCTCGTTGAACGTCGTCGCCGTGTGGCGACGATGATGAGCCCATTGCTTATCCTCACACTACACTATTAGTACATAATCAGTCAATTGCGTGGATATCGGACTTACAGTGAGAACATTCGGTCCGTATAGCTCCAACACCTCTACTCAGCATCAGTCACCGGCCACTACCACAATGCACTCAATACTCACCGTACTGCCACACCGGCTTCGGAAACATCCCTCGCTCAGTGCAGACCTGCGACACGACAGCCGCATCGGCAACATTGCAACTCAGCGTCGTCGGCGTAACGACCAGACTCACTTGGCCGAGCTTCTTTGCGCGACGATCCCGCACGGTCCAGCGACAATTGACCGCATTGTCGTAGACTATATCCGCCAACCAGCCCGGCAGCCAGGTATTGATAAAATTTGGAATAGCTTCCAGTCCAAAGATGGTCAGGACGAGAATGTTGAACTCGGAGACCGGAAGGCAGATGTACGGAAGACCGGTTTTCTTGGCGAGACGGACGTTGCGCAGGAATTGCGAAAGGAGCGATATGCAGTACACGGTCAAGAGACCTATTAGAGCCTGCGCGATCATGGTTCAATTGTATATCTCTGGCCCTTGGTTGGGCTTGCTATCCTCCTTTATTGACAGTTACTTATACTTCGTGCGCTCGGGGGTCCGCGGGACCCGTCGCTGCCCGAGGACATTTTAAGATCGCCCGAGGTCTTGCCTCTTTCGGTGTAGATGCAAGGGGTGTTTTGATATTACGTGCGACAGCGGTGTAGGTATGTTGTGTCATGGAACTGGATGGAATGTGGTACCAAGAGAGCTTGGTGGGATCTGGAATAGTGAACGTTTGTCTGGGTGGGATGCCTCGGAGCACATGTGGCACTCGAAACAGACCGAAACATGGCCATTGGACGATGGGTTCTCTCCGTACAACGCGATGGGGATTTGACAGATGTCAATTTAGACTGTGGAGTCCCATTTAACTAAGAACGTGCGAGTGCCCAGGGTGAGCGCCGTTCATCGTAATTGTTGCTGTTCTTGTGAGTTTGTGTCCACTTAAGCTTCTTACTCTTTCGGTGGTCTGACCCGATCCCAGATCTAGATAAGCACGGAAAGCTCCGAAGACACATCACTGGCCGATTCGCCGTCTCGTTCCTGAAAATTGTCAACGTGGGCGTCCACTTTCGCCGACATTGTGTCGAGACCGTGGGAGTTACAGGTTTTTTAATAGTCAGAGATGAGTCCCACGGATGACTGTATTATCTTGTCTGTTGTTTTGTTATCTTTTATTGTGTTTCTTGATCTGTTGATTAATTTCATTTTATTCTGTTCCGATTTATAAATCATTTCGAAGAAAGCTAAAATAAAACAGCATGAAACTGCAGGATAAGAATATCGTCTGAATGATGGTTGGAAGGCGCTTGGAATAGACTCCTGCGAGAGCAACGGAAGCATCGTATTATCCGTTGCCTATTGGCTCCTCGATTGTAGCTCCTAGATTGCAAGGTTAAGCACGGGTAATTATGAAAGAATGGCCCCGATCTTTCCTTAATAGCCTGTTATAAATATATTTCGTGAAACTAGAGTCACCGATGTTATTCCGATATTGTCTTGACTTTTGCTTCAATCGGAAGTTGGTCGATGGGGACAGTAAGAGTTGATTTCTTGTAATTGGGTGCTGAATGGAAGTGTTCAGAGGCTGTCGACTAGAAAGATCGAGTTCTCTAATGGATTCTGTTAGAAAATACGATTTTCATGTGTCTTTGCACACCACTAATTACATTCGGATCTTTTCATCGGAGAATGACCGGGGGTTGTTTTGTTCGTAAATTTTCCCTTCAATAACCTACTCTAGTTCGGCGTAGATTTGACGCAGTGACCTACCTCGCCCGCCTAACTGAAAGACCGTCAACTACTGTATCCGAGGGGAGGCTTTGTGAATATATGATGAGTTCTCTAATACTTAATCTGGTCTGCCATGTAATGAACACATAGCATCTAGAATAGTGACTCGACTTCAAACAAACAGAGCAGCTTGGGCCTGGATGCGCCCAGAATTAGTCCGTAAAATATGCCCCAACCACCATAGCTTTGCAGATGAGGTAATGAGGAGACCAAGTTGGTTACACAATGCGCGCGGCCTACCTTGGGACCAGAAAACCTGGGATGCACGGTGCGCTGGGATCGGAGGTTCAAAGTCAATCTTCATGCTTAAATCCCGGGCAATGGGTTAAACAAACCAGATGGCGATCCAGGTAAATGAGGCTTGCCACGATAAACATCCGCAGGGGTGGGCTAAACAAGGTACAATATGGAGCTAGACTGGGCAGTTGGCCGGTAACGGTGATATCCACGCTCGATCTGAGTGAGCAGAGGCAGATGACGGTCTCACACTAGCGCTATGTCTGCGAGAAACAACCGCGGCTTCATTGTGTCCGGATCTGGATGATAAGGCGATCAGCCCCGTCGTCCACGATGCCAACATACTGCGTATGAATCAGGAATTCAAACCCATGCTAACATGTCTTCCAGAAGGCATCTAGCCACACTCTCCACTGGCAACACCTGAATCATGTCTTCATCGTGATCGTGGCACGATCTCGATCGATCTCGATCTCATTCCTCCCCTTCGATATCCCATCATTGGACGACCAAAACACAGACAAAGAAAACACCCGCCCAAACCCAAATCTAACGGTCGCGATCTCAACCCCTCGATCTCATCTCGATCATCTCGATGGTGCGATCATCTCAAGACACAAAGAATGCGCAGTGGAGGTCTCATCCCCCTCGCACCAATCCACGAGGTCGACCCGGTCCACGCCCCAGGCTAAAAGAGTGGAGATTCAACGGCTCGCCAGACCTCTTTGGTCGTTTGTCGGGGTGAAATCGCCGATGATCGAAATGTGATCGATCGATCGTGGGTCTGCTGGCGGTGACGTCATGTGTGGCCATCCCTTGTTCGTTGGTTGGGATGGCTCATTGCATTGATCAACATCCCTGCGAGTTCATAGGGTTCTTTGCGATAAAGAGTCGCGATTGGTATGCAATATGGCAGCCAAGGCTGGGTTTGCGATCGTTACGCCGGCGTCGAAGGGCCTGGGGTTTGCCTTCGCCCGCCACTTGTTGGCGAATACGCCGTTGCCGGTTGTTGCCACGGCGCGGACGGATTGCGACGCTGTGAAAGGAAGATTGCTCGATCGGTGGGATCGATCGGGATCGGGGGATCGAGATCGGGATCTGGAGAAGCGATTGACTGTTCTCCAGGTGGATGTTACGGGTGCGTTCACAGTTTATATACCTCTTGGTTCGAGGAAGAAGCTTACAAGACCAGATGAATCTACCATCAAGAACATGACATCGACAATCCGAGACACGCTCCCAGACACGCCGCTGCGTCTGGCGCTCACGGTCCCTGGGATCTTGAATGTCGAAAAATCCCCGGCCCAGATCGATGCCGCTGCGGCGCTGGATAGCTTCCGGGTGAATTCCCTCGGCCCCATGTTGCTCATGAAGCATCTGTCGGCCTTCTTACCTGCCAAGTCGGCGGCGGCGTTTCCGGAGCAGGAGGCTCGGGATGGTCAGCTCGGGTTACCGGGACATGCGATCTACGCGATGATGGCTGCGCGCGTGGGCTCGATCTCGGACAACGGCTTTGGCGGGTGGTATTCCTACCGGGCGAGCAAAGCGGCTGTGTTTCAGCTAGCCAAGACGTTTGACCTGTTCTTGAGGACGAGGAGTAAGGAGCGAGCGCTGGCAGTCGCCATGCATCCTGGCACGGTGCAGACGGATTTTACGCGGGATTATCAGGATGGGAGGGAGATGTTGACGCCGGACGAGTCGGCAGCGAAGTTGTTGAGGGTGATCTGTGGGATGGGGCCTGGAGTGAACGAAGGACGAGGGAGGTGTTGGGATTGGAAGGGCGAGGAGGTTCTACCTTGAATCGAGTCTTCGCCTACGGAGATACCTTATGGAATGGCGCTCTTACGAACAATGAAGTCTGGACAGTGTGGGTTGAGGAATATGTTCAGCTTGATGTCCTCTCTGGTCGTCTTCCATACACCACAACCCTGTGTCTATTAGCATCATCGACCAGAACAATACAATGGACAATCACTTACATCTCCTGATACGCGTGGATACTCGGGTCCCGCATCCCTTGACGCATCTTCGCCAGATAAACCTCGACCTCCGCGCGTTTCCACTGCACCCGTCAGCACATCCAGCCTCAAAGCCAGGTCTGATTCCAAACATACCCCCAGGATCTTCGTCAATAGCATCACCGAATACCCCTCGATCGCCTCCTCTCCATAAATCCGATTCAACTTCCCCAGCTTCTTCAAATGCGGGTTCTTCGCCCACGGCCCAACCGGAATCTTGAACCTTTTCTCCACAACATCCACGAATCCCGCCTCGATCAGCCCGTCCTTCGCCTCGTCCACCACCCGCAGCGTCTTCCCAAACGCATCCCCGGCCTGCAAGGACACCTCCCCCCACTGCTCGAAAATCGTCCCCTCGGTCGTGCCGTCGTCCGACTTCGGCTCCACCGACTGCTCGAGCTGCTCGATCCACCCGCCCGGCTTGATATGCGTGTATGCTTCTCTGTAGAACGCGCTCCAGTCGGCCACGCAGCCCGTCAGTCCGCGGATGTGCACGTAGTCGAAGTAGTCGCGGGGGAACAGCCACGGGTCGCAGCAGTCGTCGACTTCGAATTGCACGTTCGGCGGCACGAAGGACGGCTGGATCGGCGAGAGGTCGGTGCCGATGACTCGTGCGGACGGGTGCATGTCTGCGAAGTCTCTGCTCGTGCTCTCGTTAGCAACTACCCAGGTAGCTGGGTGAGTGGAGGGTGGTACGCACATCGCCCATATCCCTGTTCCAGTCCCGACGTCGAGCACGGCCTACCTACCTGCTTAGTCTGCGTCGGTGTCGTGGCGGACGAGGCTACTTACGCCCAGGCCTTCTTTGATAGGCGCGAGATACAGCCGGTTGCCCAGCATCAGGGTGTATAAAAAGTGTCTGTCGTGGTCAGTTTCGATGATCTAGGAGGTGGGGGGTCAGGCATACCCGATTTCCATACTATCCATGGCCTTTTCATCATTCGGACCCCTGGATTGTTAGTGTCAGCGTGCGACAGGACCGGGATGGCTCTCCTACCAGTAGGCTCCCGCGTGGAAGGCATGATACCGACGGCCGTTCTCGAAATAATAGTCGGTGATGCTACTCCGGAGAGAAGTCAAGTCGCTAAACCAAAAATTAGAAGAGATCAATCGATTGCCTGGCAGCTACGCACGACTGCGAATCTTCGGCATAATCCGAGTCTGCAGCGGGATCAACATCCTGCATGAGCGGTCAGCGCGGGGGTCATGATTCATGTCGCGGCCAGGGAGGGAAGTACCACGGTGACTTGGCCGTCTTCGTCGTAGGTGGGCTGGTAAAAGTCTGGATTATACGCCATCTTCCTCAGCAAGTTAGGTGTAATTGTAGGGGAGGAAGTAAAAGGGCGGTCCGGGTACAGAGATGCGAGGGAACACTGTCAGGAAACAGACTCCTCGCTCGGATAATTGGCTTTTTTGAATCATGTCATGCCGGCCTTTGTGACGGGGTTTGATAGCCGGGAGTTCCGTCCAATGGCTGCGCGCTATCGACCGTTAGATATGCAAGGATGCGGTGGAGATAGGGCTGGGCGTGCATCGTGAGCCACAACGCTTTCACGACGCATTTCCTGGAAGCTCCTTGCGCACAACTTTACGGATTTCTCTTGCCTCGAAATTCCTACCCGGAAGTTCTGCTCGATCAATCTACGAGGATAACAGCATAAAAGCAGCCTCTGCATGATGCCAAGAGCTGAGATAATGTCCACTAGCCCATAACCATTGACCCCTATCCTGTCTCCCCTCCAGACCAATCTATCTCTGACGCTAACGCTGACATCGACTAAACCAGACACTAGAACCCCCCTCAGCTCTTCCCCTGCACAGACTCGATCGTCTCCTCGTGCGGACCGGCGTCTTTGCGGAACAACACCGCCTTGGACTGGAACACTGCGCACGTCAACATCCACAACCTAAACAACATACAACAAAGAGTCTTACCTTCTTCCATCTCCTCCAGCGACTTCCCCGTCGTCTCCTTAATAAACAACCACGCATACACCACCAGCGCCCAATTGAAGATACAAAACATCAAGAACGTCCGCCACCCCATATTATCGACCGCGTGGGGCGTCGCCTGCGAGAAGACGAAGTTGAACAGCCACTGCGTCGCGGTGCCCACGGCGATGCCCATCTCGCGGATCCGGCTGGGGAAGATCTCGCTCATGTACAGCCACGGCACGGGGCCCCAGGACATGTTGTACGTCATAGCTTCGAGGTAGACCATGGCGATGGAGGCGACGCCGGGGCTGGCGATGCTGGTGGCGTTGGGGTCGGGGGGAAAGGTCTTGGACAGGATGGCGACGATGAGCATCAGTGCGCCCATGACGAAGGCGCCCATGATGAGCGACCATTTCCGACCGATTCGTTCGACCAGGAACACGACGAAGATGAAGCATGCGACGACCTTGACGACGCCGAAGAAGCCGCTGATCAGCAGACTGTCTTGCCCGGCGCCGACGGCTTTGAAGATTTGAGGCGCGTCTGGGGCGGTTAGTCTGGCGTTGAATTGTCAAGGATGACTGGGGAGGAGGGACGTACAGTATGCGAGAGACGTGTTTCCCGTTAATTGGACACCTGTGGATTGTGAGCTGGCGCGATCAACGGCTGGGTTCTCTCCTACCGATCTGAATAGTGACGGTGATGAGCATGCGATATCGATTCGCAGGCTGGCGCAGCTCCTTCCACGACACGCCCTCGGTCGCCTGCTCTTCTGCGCGAATACCGCCCAGAATCTCCGCCATCCTGCATCGTCAGCCAACATCCTCATATCGGAGTTCGCACACCTACTCCGCGCGAACCTCCTCCGTCTCCTCGCCTCCCCGGATCCACACAAGCGACTGCATGGCCTCCTCATGCCTCCCCTTCTTCGCCAGCCACCGCACACTCTCCTTCAAAAACAGCATCCCGATGCCCAGAATCCCACCTGGAACCAACTGCAAGCCCACAGGGATCTGCCACTGCCGGTCGCTCGGCGGAACATGCTTCTCGACGGCATAGTCGATCCAGTACGACGTCATGACCCCCAGCGTGAAAAAGAACTGAAACATACTCCCCAGTTGTCCGCGGATCTCCTTCGGCGCCATCTCCGCACTGAACATCGGCACCATGACGGTCGCCATGCCGACGCCGATGCCGCTAATCACGCGCGCGACGTAGAACGCGGCGATCGAGTGCGTCGGAATCACCTGGATGATGGCGCCGACGCAGAAGATCAGCGAGGCGAGAGCGATGGACCACCGACGGCCATACCGAGCCGTGAAGGGCCAGACGAAGAAGCAGGAGAAGAAGGCTGTGTCAGGTCAGCGGTGCGAACACTTCAACATCAAGGTAAGGTGAGGCGGGGAGGGGACGCAAATACATACCTCCAGCCTGCAGCAAACTGTTCGAGTTGGAGTTTATCGTCGACTTCTGCGCCTCACCGTACCGAAACGAATCCTGGAATGACTGAAGCGTGAGAATCCCCCCGATGATACCGGTGTCGTAGGCAAACAGGAACGAGCCGACGCAGCAGATCGAAACCATGTAGACGGCCCTGACCAGGCCCAGTGTTTTTCCCATGGCGATACCGATCGCAAGCAAGTTGCACAACACTGGTCTGGTCGCGACGGTCGCGACGATCGCTTCTTGTACTTAACCCCTACTAACCTACCTACCTACTTACTTCCCTAGTAGTAAGACTCTGACCAGCTGCGGGGAATCGCAAAACCACAGCCACATAGAGCAACACCCGCAACAGGAGCAGCAGCTAGACGGAAGCAAAGGCGTGCTCAGCACGTACCCCAGTCCTCTGGATGATCATATTCCGGCTAAAATAACGCCATCGCTGATAGGGCCACACGGGCGCTCGAGTCCGGGGAAGCCGTGCATCTGCCAAGCTGGACGGACGGTTGCATTCGCCAGCGACTTCCCGTCCACGGCGCGTGCCAACGGCCATGGGCGCTCTTGACTCGTGGATTCCAACCGGGTCGGAGTCGGTGGCTGATGCAAGCTTACGCTGGCTCTGGGCGTTGAGTTTGTTGCGTTGGTGGGAGGTTGGCGTCATTGTTTCGTCTGTCTACGGTCTATCGGTGAAGGTAGGATGGTCGGGTTTTCGTTCCTTTTACTGCTGGATTTTGCTTTTGGGTGATAGACTAACGGGGATTTCACTGGCCATACTCTGTACGATGGTTTAATTAAGGCTCCGGCCCGTGTTGCATTGCGTGACACTGGAAGTAACATGGCATGGCCGCAAACGGACACTTAGGGGTTGCATTCTATAAATCCACCTCGAGCTATCGAGCTATCAGGAATTTCAGGATTAGCCTATGGTTAGCTTAAATGCTCAAGTAGAGTGCATATTGCGCCTTTTTCAATAAGAAAAGAGAGCCGGGGGGGAAGACAGAAAAAGAATCTACGCCGTCTAAACAATCGACCCTGTTTCTAACTATCTAGCGAACTTTTAACAAACTCAAAAGAAACCATGGCCACAAAAAGTCCCAAAATCCCGAAACCATGCCAATACCCCACCCATCATATCTCATAGCACATCTCTCATCCAAACCTACCGAATACACACAATCGTCCGTCCCCCATCCCACGTAACCCGCTTCCTCACCATCATCTTAAACGTCGTGTGGCGCGTATTAATCGGCGCGTGGTTATCATGGAGCAGGTAAGCGGAGGGCGCGAAGACCAAGGCCTCGCCGGTCCGCAGACTCGAGATCTGATACAGGCCGTCGCGCTCGTCGGTGCCGGTGCCATTGCCGTCGGAGTTGTCGAACGTGACGTGGTTCTTGATCGTCTTGAACCACTCGGGACTCGAGAACCGGTGGATGATTGTTATGGAGCAGAGGTCGATCAGACGCGGCGAGATGGTGGGTTCCTGCGTGGAGATGATGATGCGGACGCCGAGGTGGCGCTGCTGCCGGATGATGTTGAGGAAGGTTTCGGTGAGTTCTTTGGCCGCGGGGGTGTCGGTCATGTACTGTTGATGTTGTTGTTAGTTTTGGGGATTTGGGTAGATGGGAGAAGAGGCAGGGGAGGGTGTACCTTGTGTGCTTCGTCGGCGACGACCATCTTGCCACGGGAGCGGTGCGCGTGGAGGAAGAGGTCGATGGCGATGCGGAACAGGATGCACGTGGTGCTTTGATCCATGAAGGGACAGGACAGGTCGAGGATGGTGACGCCGCCTTCGACGAAGTAGTCGTCCGTGGTCTCTCCGTTGAGGTCGAGGTACGAGTCAAGTAGTCCCAGTCGCTGTTCCAGAAAGGGAGTCTGGGTGCGGTCCAGACGCAGACCGGACAGGCGCTTGCGGAAGGCGAAGTAGTCGAAGTTGCCCTTGTTCTCCATCGCCATTTCACGCAGGATCTTCGTCAGCTGGCCCATGTAGAGCGGCATGGAGTCGTTCTTGCCCATCGACATCAACGACAGCATCATACTTGTGCTGAGATGGTGCGGCTGCAGACGGAATGGCCGGACCTCGACATTGGGGATCTGAGAGTACATGCGTTGCAGGTTGTGGAAGTTAGACGGCGGCACCAGCACCCGGACGGGAATGGGCTTCTGAAACGCCGTGTACTGCGGAATGATGGAAGACAGGAACGCCGTCTCGCTGGGCTGCGAGCTCAGATTCGAACTGTATTCATTGTATTGCAGAACCAGGGTGGAGAGAGGTTTCTTGAGGTTTCCCAGCGCAGGGAAAGACAGCGAGCAATTTTCTCGAACGAGTCAGCATTTCAGCAACCTGGACAGAGGAGTGACTTACCAATCATGCAGGACGTAGTGTGCGACTTTCCGCTGCCTTGAAGCCCGCAGATGAATGCCGAGAAGGGAATGTTGGTGTTCAGCATCACACGAGGGTCCGTAACCGGCTGTCGAGCTCGAAGTTGACCCAGGAGAGCAAACTGCGACGGCATGTTCTGTCCGGCCTGCTCCACGGTCGGCGACACCAGGACGGCCTCCTGAGGGGCCCCAGAGGAGCTGCCACCCGCACGGTCATCCTGTCCGGCGAGACTCAGGAACTGCATCTGGCTCTCGAGGGACGGCACGAATGAAAAGCCCGGAGAGGCGCTGGGCTGGTTGAGCGTGCCACTCTGGTTCACATCCAGGTAGTCTTTGAAATCTGTATAGAGTTAGACGCAAGCCCATCCACCGAGGCTTGGAAATGCGACGGACCTTGCAGAACAGCATTGTTTGGCTTCTTTGGTTCCGATTCGATTCTCGGCGCGAACGCCGACGTAGTAGCAGGCTCGGGTTGGCCGGTGAAAGTCGCTGCAGGGGCTGATTTGGGCTGAGAAGTGAAAGTGTGCACCGGCTTTGGCGTCTCTGCGAAGACAGAAGGTGACGATAGTGGAATCTGCTTCTGCTTTTTAGGTGTCTTGGGCGCGTCTTCCGAGGCCACGCTGCCTTCAGCCGCAGGCTCTTTTGCGGGCCCTTTTCGCGTCTCCAGCGAAGTCGTGTAACTACGCACGGTTAGCTCAAGATCATCTCCCAGGCATGATAAGTAGGAACACTTAATACGTACTTGTCCAGCACAGTCGTAATGTAGTCTCCGCGGTCTGGGTACAGTGAGAGGTACTTGGCCGCAATGACCCCCTTATCGACCCGCTGCAGTTCCCGGAACATGATCCGCATGTCCTTGCGCAGGGCCTTTTTCAATTTCGGGGTCTCCACGGTCCCCGCCGGCTGGGATGGCGCGGGCGCGTTGCCCTTCTTTTTCGGCATGACGCTGTTTGTTTGTTGATGGGATTTGTTGAGTGGATTCTGGACGACGACAGAATTCCGTTTTGGGCTGTTGCAGTTCGGGCAGTGGAGCGGTTGACTAATCGATCATCGCCTTATTTAACGTAATTCCATATTAAGCGCTACTTTTTTAGATCAAAATATCTTTACAACAAAGACTTTAAACCAATTTTTATTTAAAAATCATAAATAGCTATGTTAACTAGATACTATTTGATAGTTTCAAGATCTTAAAACTTTCTTTATTACTTATAATACAAGGTCATTTAATCTTACAAATAATACAACCGATACTGAGTGTATTTGAGAAATCTATTTAAGCTATAAAGTTAAAATGGGAATTTAGTATTCATAGAGGCCTCTATTATCTATATATTAAATCCAAAGTCTAATAGAGCCTTGGTGGTCTAGATATTCTAGTATAAAAAAGTAGCATTTTATATGGAATACAGGGGTGGGCGGCTCGGTAGGGGTGGGCGACTGCCAGGTCCAACTTCAGAGGGGATGTCTGTTGCATATCGGGTGAAAATTGAATGTAGGCGGCAATGAAATACCAGCCAAGGCGCCTAGTCGAGGTGGGGGGTGTGCTCTTGTGCATCGTCACTGCCACCATTCCCAGGGTATAATTGGGCCATGCCTAGCGCCGAGGCTGGAGTGTATAAAACAAAACATGCACAGTCATCTGACCCAGCAGCTTTGCTTCTTCCAGCCTCGCGCTCGCAAAGTTCAAACACCAACACCACCGACGGATGTTTGAGAACCTACTGCCTTCCCATAATGGCAGGTATCCAAGTGAATGACTCTCTTCCAACTAACGTCCCCAATCTGATCGACCGAATAGAATGCCTGCCGCCCGAGCACGAAGAGCGGAGAATCCTGGACTTCCTGTGCAGAGCGGTAGTGCAGGAGTTGGATTCGGAGCAAATCCTCAAGTCCGCCTGGGAAGTGACTCGGCTTTCTGAGGTCTTGTTGGTGGAAGAATACATCAGCTTGCTCAGGAAGTTTGCCAATACTATTGCGTCTGGCACAAGTGATCACAGTTCACTTGATCCCGCTCTTTTGGCATGTATAGTGTGCATCATTCGACAAGGCGAAGGAAAGCTGACCAACGACAACAACCCACTTGCGTCGTTGTTCGAAAGCCTTATCGCCCGGCTAGAGAATTCTAAGAACCACGGAAATCCACAACTGCAGTATGATTTGATATGCGCTCTCTCGGTCGCCCTCGAAGCAATGGCTGATGTCCATGTCTCCGGACTGAGCCGTGAAAGTCTACACAGCCGTCTTCTCACCTTGCTCGAAACCTTCATCAAGGATGAGACGGAGATTCATATCGTGCAAGCAGCCTGTTATGCAGCCCAGGTGCTCCAGGACATACCTAATGATGAAACCGAATTTGAGAAAGTTCTGCGCCGCACTCTTCGGGTTGCTGACGTTGCAGCGTTGACGGCTGCCGGTGGCCTGGCCAAGGATCCTCAGAAGTTATATCAGGCCTGTGTTCAGGCCTTTAAAATAGGATCTGATTTGAAGGACAACATCTGGAGACACATCCGGTCCCATACATCAAAATCCTGGCACAAGGCCCTGCGAGTGACCGAGATCCTAATTCAAAACGAGTCTTTTGGGGAGTTGGAGGACTACATCAACAACGCAGAGTGTAGAACGAAAAAGGAGTTTCTTTGTGGTCTATATGCGCAGCTAGAGCAAGCACAGCATACCTCCAACAAGGCAGGATATAGGCAGGTCTACACGAAGATTCCGTCTGGTGACAGTGCTCGGGTGCAGGCTTGGGTTCAATTTTCAGCTCCTAGCTCTGTTAGATCTCATTCAACCCGCACAGCCGGAAAACATCACGTTCCGCTGCGTCCTCGAGGTCGAAGAACATACGAGAGCAATGTGAAGCCCTTTCTGTGGAGGCAGCAATCCAAAGAACAAGAAGATATTGCTACGAGTGGGAGCCTTGTGCAAAAAGCGTGCAAAAGCTCGCTAGAAGTTAGACGATTCTACGTGAGAAACGCACTGAGGGGACATTATACCACACATGACCGTCTCCAAATCCATCGCCTGTCGGGCCAAGTGCTACCCATGGACCAGTGTTTTATCAATTTAACTATCACAAAGGGCTCCGATGGACAGGCTATTCCACTACCCCAGCTTTTTCAGCCGCGAAGGCTGTCAAATGGCACGACTTCTTCACCACAGCGAATCTTCATTAAAGGGCAGGCAGGAGTCGGCAAGACAACGTTATGTAAGAAGATCGTGCACGACTTTCTCTACAAGAATAGCTGGAGTGATCGATTTGACTGGCTGCTTTGGCTGCCTCTACGAAGCCTGAAACAGCGGCCTAGCACCTCTTACAGCATGAAACGCTTCTTCAAGGACCACTACCTCGCGCAGCATTCAGAAAGCGACCGTGAAGTGCTGGCAGATACCCTGTGTGAGGAGGTAAACAAACAGTCCGGTCACTGCCGTGCACTTTTTATTCTGGATGGTCTTGATGAAGTGGCTCATGATTGGGATGCAGACACACCCATGGGCGAGTTTCTGCGAAGGCTAGTGCAGAGAGCCCAGCATGCTATAGTCACTTCCCGGCAGTACTATCCAAGTCTCCTCGGCCTGAAAGCATTCGACTTGGAACTGAAGACAGTGGGATTCCACCGCGAACAGATTGAATCATATGTGTCCGCACCTGGAGTGATACCTGATCCAGAAAAAGCCAAGCGGATCATGTCATTTATTCGAGCACAGTCCTTGATCCGTGAAATTGCTTCTATACCGATCCAGCTCGATGCTCTATGCTTCACGTGGGGTGAGCAAACCAACTATATCAAGAATATGTCACAGACAATGACGGCCATCTATCAGTCAATTGTATTAAGTCTGCTGCGAAAGGACATAAGAAAGCTAGGCAAATGCTGCAACCAGAAAGTGCTGACTGAACCGATGGTGGCGGGGATGTCTGCCTTGGAGGTAGAGGAGACCATGCGGCAGGAGCTCAACTTGTTGGAAGGTCTCGCATTCCAGGGGTTCTACAACCGCATCATCGAATTCGACAGGCCAATGCGAGATAAAATCCACAGGCTCCTTCGGAGCAGCGGCGACAATCTTCCTGCGGCGTACAATAGTGTATTGAAAGACCTATCTTTCCTGCGCACCTCAGACACAAACATGGAAAGTGAAAAACAGTCATTTCACTTTTTGCATCTGACTTTCCAGGAGTACTTTGCAGCTCGGTATCTTGTCAGTCACTGGATACGTGGCACTAAGATGACCGTTTTGGCGCTTCATCATGGAAGCACTTCAGACGAGTTAGTGTCCCCACAAACTGTTCTCGCCAGAGAAAAATACAACCTACGGTGGAATATGTTGTGGAAATACGTGGCTGGGCTGCTCGATTCTTACCGACAGCAGGCGAATGATGGTGAGCGATGTTTGGTCGACTTCTTTCACCAGTTAGAAGCAGGCCCACGGGATATGATGGGACCGACACACCAGCTCCTCACGATGGATTGTCTCAACGAGGTGCCTGCCATGCAAGACTCCCCAAGGCTTAGTGCCTATAGGCTTAGGTCGGAGAAACAGCTTTCTTGGTGGGCAGAGTTCGAGTTCTGGGCGTTCGAGGCTTCTTTCGAAAACCGTTGGCTTCTTGCTCAAAAAGAGTTCCCTGAGCGCATTTCTTATGCAGTATTCATGAAGTCGCCGGTGGATACAAGGAAGCTGCTGCTGAAGGCGCTGCGAGAACCAAAAAAATGTTGATAGTTCTATTGTTTCTTTGGCGGACCATTGGCTGGATAAAGCGCATAGCGACGGTATATCCCTGGCCGAGTTTAGTTTCAGAATGGTAGTGGCTCCTGATCAGATATTGACCAAAGGGTTTCTCGACACCATACACAATTGTTTGGTTAACCCGCATGCTGAAAGTCCAGAGCTATATTTCAGAGCGGTACACGACCTAGGGCTCAAGGCTACACTATGTCGTGAGATTATCGATATCGTTATTCAATGGCTACGACATCACAATGTCAACATACGATCAGTGGCTTCTCTACTCCTGGCCACTCAGAACGATTTACCTCCAGAAATCCCTCAGGATCTGGTTGAGTGGCTGGTGAACGACGACCCTGTGCCACGGCAGGTTACAGAATCCCTCTTCAGACTCAGTTCTGAGTTGCCAGATGAGGGCCTCCATACTATAACCAAGTGGCTCCAGGGAGAGGATATCAATGGACGCCTAGCAGCAGCAAGCATGCTGATATCTCAATCAGACTTACGAGAAGGGAAGCTCGTCAGCTTGACAAACCAGATAACATACTGCAAGACAATCGCGTATCTTGGGTCACCTGCTGACCAAGGGCTAATTGGCAATGACTGCCAAGTTCGTGGGAACATCATTCAATGTCTATGCAACCAATCGTCCTTGACATTCAACATCCTTGACGGCCTGGCCAAACAGCTAGACGATGGAGATATTTTCCACAAGCAGGATACAATTAGTCTTTTTCAGGCTCAGTCAAAGCTTCCCGATTCAATAGTTAATGTCCTCGTCAGGTGCCTGAGTACGACAGATGATCTCCGGAATCAAGGTATCGCCAGGGTGATAGGAAAGCAACCAGGATTAGGCCCTGAAGTAGTCCGCCAATTATCCCAACTGCTAAAGAATCCTGAATCCAGACGAGCTTCTGCATTTGCACTGAGCCTTCGGTCAGATTTGCCCCCGCAGATCCTCCAGGATATGATGGGATATTCCCGAGATGCAGACAGCCTAGTGCGGTTAAGAATAGCAAATTGCTTCGGGCACCAACAGTCCTCATGGCGAGGCTATCTTGATGTCCTTGTTCAGCTTATCAGCGACCATGATTCAGAGGTACGCCAAGAGGCAGCAATGTCGCTATCAAGCCAGAAGTCCCTCCCGAGTGAGGCTCTTGATGCCCTGGTTTTGAAGTTGCAGGATACACAGAGCGGGCTTTTGTCTGTGAGAGTCTTGCTTTCACAGGCTGTTGTTCCCACTAGGGCAACTCTTCCGATCCTTAAGTGGTTTGACAATGCGCATTTCAAGGACCGTGTCTTAATTACGGAACCACTAGACACTTTGCAAATTGCATCTTCTCAGATCGTTAATTCACTTAGTGGATGTATTGAAGAAAGAAAAGCCGTTTTCAAAATGGCCTGTTCACGCCCATATGCTTTTACCCCTGAGGGCTTGGACACAATTATTAGTTTCCTGGACTTCACAGGCTCAAATGATCGGAGTTATGGGGTGAGAGCCCTGAGTCACCTGGCTAGTTCATCACCGAGACTATTCAGTCTTCAACACCAGAAAGCATTGGTTGAATGCTTGAATGATGACTCACCGGTGACAAGATCGGTAGCAGTAGAATGTTTGGGCAATGTTATGGTTTCATCGCCAAATGGTTTCACGCCCCAGAATATCGATGCGATGGTCAGAGCCTCGGAAGATGAAGACTCGGATGTGAGATTTGAAGTAACAGAGGCTGTGGGCAAGTTGGCAAACACATCTCCAAGACTGCGTGATGTTTTAGTTGAACTTTCGAGTGACAAATCTGAGAAAGTCAGATCAAGCACAGTTCCCAAGCTGGGAAGCCTATCGAACCCATCTAACAATGTCGTCACAGCCGTGGTCAAGCGTTTAGACGATGGAGATTACCGCTCCAGACGCGAGGCAGTAATATCTTTGAGCAAGTTCACATCTTCAGACCAAGCTTTAAGTGGGTTGTACAGATGCTTGGATGACCCAAGTCGATTGGTCAGAGAAACCGCTGTATATGCGCTGGATAGGCTGCTTACCGCATCGGGGGGGCTTTGGAGAGCGCAGGAGCACGCAGAGCTGTGCCCGCAGAAATGCTTGACAAGTTCATCCTCCGTCTTGCAAGCCCAAACTTCGAGACAATTTACGAAGTCGGGGAATTCTTACATACCAAGGAAGAGTTCTACCGCGTTCTTCCAATTATCAATTGGAAATCCTTCGGTGTCTTCTATTTGGTGTGTCTCGTTTTGGCGTTTGGTAACCGATTTACCTTTTATCTCCAAGGGAGAAGGCTCATCGTGGAGACGGAAGGGACTCGAATGGAGATTCCCATTCAGAAGGTACACCACAGGCTTCGGTTCAGGATATTCCTGCTCGGTGCTCGGGTAGACATCTTCTATGAGAGGGAGGTTTCTATGTTGATGGACTGGATTGATGGTCATGCGCGTCGCTTGCTTTTTGGATGTTTGATCTCAGTTGCTGTCGCCTTTTACGCATGGCTTTGTGCTTGATGCAACATGACTCCACGTACAATCAGCTCACCAAGGCCAGTCATAACGTCTCTATCATCATCATGCATACGTTTAGGTAACTAAGCTGAGCCTCGTTACCACGCCGATGGATCGAAGAACCATAAAGCAGTCGAAGGCGCGGCGGGGGCGTGGATTCTTGCGGTCCTAGAAGGAGGAAAATTGGTTGTTCCAAATGATTGGAAGGAGAGGGTTGCCAGGGAGAGGTTGTTGCCGAGGCCGTTAGGGAGTGGCAGTTGAGGCAGCATGCGGGACATGCGGCGAGTGTTGTGGGGATTTTCATGGATGGAGGAGTTCTGGATCGGCAGGATGGGTTTGTGGAGGCTGTTGTGACGGGGGTTCGGGGGTTGTGTGTTCTTGGGGAGCTCGATGATGTTTGTAGCGTCGGGGATTTGGATGAGGCTGGCATGAAGAATGTTGTTGTTGCTCCGGGCGTCGGTCATGGGCTTGTTAGGCAGCGGGTGCCGGAGGTGGTGGCTGCTATTGAGGAGTTTTGGGGGGTTTTGTTGGTTATATATTAGAGATTATATATTCTACAGACATAGGTCTTCTTGAGTTTAGTTCAAGATAGACCATCTTCCAATACATTGCTCTCTAGATACAATTGAAAGCACATGAAGTAGCCTCACAGATATTTATTACTTCCAATGAAGTACATGCGCACCTATAGGCTCTAGGGGGAACGCTCGGTTATGTCTTTTGAGGGATTCCGCAGGATACATCCATTAAAAAATTATAAGCGCCCATACTATGGTCAGTGACCATGTATGGCAAAATAGTTCTCCAATCATTACGACTAGGTGGCATCCGGCATAAAGATAAGGCTATAGTTTTCTTTATGACAGAATTAATCTCGCTATGTATTAGTTGCCCGCACACAGCTTAACAGTCACTCCAATCGGGATATCACGGCACCCAATAGTGACTCAAAATATACTATTCTGTGACAAGGAATATGCACCAAGATACCTACTCCAGCTTCCATTAGATCCGGCGCGACGCTAGAGTGGGTTGCAGACAGCCCCGCATTGTTTTCAAGGAGCATACTGCGTCAAAGTCGGCCATCGAGTTGAATACCAGTCGAATATGACACCGAATCCCCCATGGTATCAGGCAACAGCATTCCAGGACCCTTTCCCCTCACTCCACAGACCCGCACCCCATATCAAACATGGTTGCTGAATGGCATGACGTGTTCGGCTAATGCATGCGCTCCATAATACCGTTCTTGGACGGCGGTAAAAGGCTCCATAGTAGCTTGTCTATAGGGAAAGGCCAAGGGAACTAGTCTTCTAGGCAGAATGGAGCTTGTCTCAGCCTTGGTAGAATGGGGGTTTGTGGCTGGAGGTGGAAATGCATAAATTGGCCCGTTTCCACGCGGTTGTTGCCGGCTCTTCAAGCCTCTGGTGTACTAGCCACAATGTCGGATAACCCTGAAACCCTGCCGATCTGTTCCGTTGTTGGTGTGACGGTTAATCTTCTGTCCGCTAGTATGTATCTCGTGGAAATATGATACATGATTGCTAAGACATTGCAGATACCGACCCGTTCGATGCCCGCGCAACGCTCGATAGGAGCAAGCGGTTTCCATTGGTCGCCCCGGACCCAGAGGAGGGCGCTGCTATCCAGACTCCAGGCTCCAGTGACAGCTACTGGCTCCCAGCCAACTTCCGCAAGACTGACATCGGAGCGCAAACAGTCGAGAGCGATCTCATTGTCGCCGCCGGCTCGGAGCTAGCAAGCGACCTCGAAGCAAACCCCAGCCTGAGCATCAGCCACGTCGGCGTTTCGGTCGAGGGTTCCGGGGGAGTTCCCTACTCAACTACTTTCAAGAACAATACCCTTTACGGGATATACAGCTCTGACCAAAAGGTCTACTCTGTTGGTCTCAAGCCTGGCAACGAAGTGTATAACACCGTGTCGGAGGAGTATATCAGTGCTATCGGGGCGCTTCCAGACTGGCCGGAGGAAATCAACAAGGAGAAGGATGAGGATGCTCTCACGGAAGCGTCGGATGCGGTGAAGAAGTATCAGCAGTTCTTCGATTACTACGGATCCCATGTCGTCGAGGAGTGTTTCCTCGGCAGTCGCTACCAGCTTCAGGTCGAACGCACTGAGACTAGCGTTGAAGAGAAGGAGGCTTTCCAGCGCCATATCAAGGCTGAGTTCGGCGGTATCTTGAGCGCTACAGTTGATTCCAGTGTGAAGAGCTCATCTGAATACCAGGAATACCTGAGCCAGCGACGCTCGCAATGCAAGATCCTGGGCGGAGACGCAGGCATCGCGAATGCTCTCTCCCATAGCCCGACTCATGTCGAGAAGTTCGACGAGTGGATGTCCAGTCGCAATGTGGAACCTCCCCATGCCCTCCTCCATATCAAGACAACCAGCGTCAACTCCTTCCTCGAGCGCAGTGAGAATGAAGAGCACCAGGAGGCGGCTGCTAAGCTCACGTCTGCCATGGAATACCTCGGCAGCCTACATACCTTCAAGGGGTCGTTGTCCGGTCTATTCATCTCATCCACCGGCTGGATCGAGCTCTCTGTGACCCCCTTGCCCGGCGTGGCTATCCGCGTAGTTGACAAGCCATCGGTGGTTGTCACGCAGACGTCCCCAGCATCAGTCAAATTGCAGTCGGTGGTGAAGGAGCAATACCTCGAGGTCGAGCTCATCATCACAGCACCGGATGAGCCGGTGGACGTCACATTCAGCACGTCCGCGTCCGGAGCTTACGGTGCACTCAACACCCTCAGCCTCACGCGTTACGGCCCTGACAAATACCGGACCGCCATTAGAGGCGTCTCCAGCGCCGACGAGGCATTGACGGTGTCGGTACCTAGTCTGAGATCTACTGGGCGGTTCGGAGGTACGTCGATGAAGGGAACTTTGGAGGTTGAGGCGAGGGAATACGCGGTGTTCCACATGGCGTTGCAGAAGGAATCTGGGGTTTCCATGAAGTCTTTGCCGATTTTTGAGCGCAAGCATACTGAATGATCTCTCCGGTCACTGTAATTGTGTGACACGTGTTCGTGTACGTTGTGTACATTTCTCAGTACAAGATAACATCTGCCTTCAATTAGCCCAATTCTTGAAAGTAGTAATTGTACAGACTGACAAAGGCAACCTAAGTTCCATAACTACGAAAAGGAATTCCAGAGCAAGAATCCATTTATCATTATCTAGAACATAAACCAGTACTTTTCTCTAATCCATTATCTAAGCCTGCGAAACCGGATCCTTCTGCCGCTTGCCATCAAGGTAAGTATAGCAAAGGAACGACAAACCGAGTGAGAGGCACGCTATTGCATGGTCAGCAATCATCTCATCCACAAAGGTGATCAAACACACCTAACGTAAAGGTCATATAATAGTATCCCACCGTCTCAGACAGTGTCCCCGTAACCAAAGGCCCAGCCATCATGCCCAGACTAAACGCCATCTCCAGGATGGATTGAGCACGGGCATTGCCGCCACCAGGACCGAATATCAAGGGGTCTTTTGTCTGCATATCCTTGGTAACCACTACATCAAGCATTAGCATATCCTAAAACCAGTTTAAGCAATGTAGTCACTCACAGCTAAGCTGCAAACTCCCCGCCCCTCTCACCAACATTGCAACCGTACCAAAGACAGCCATAGTAACCGGGAAAATTGTCTTCCCCCCAGTCTCGGGCCCAGCCCACGGAAACCGCTTGTCGCCAGGCACACCCAGCAGCCAGAAAAGCGGGGCCAGGAGGGCCCATCCGAGGGCCGTGGGATACTTCAGTCCGCACCGGTCGCGGAGCATTCCTCCCAGAGCTGCGAGGAAGAATGAGGGGAGTTGCAGGCAGAAGAACATTAGGCCAGTGCCCATACTACCCCAGCCGAAGACGTCGCGGACATGGAGCGGGATGGTGGCTTCGAAGCCGGAGATGATGAAGGAGAAGAAGAAGATGTTGGCTAGTGCGACTAGGACTCGGGCGTCGGAGAGCACGATGCGGTAGAAGCCTCGGGATGGGGCGATGCTTGGAGGGGTGTCGGATTGGGTTGCTTCGGTGTTGTTGTCTGGGATCAGGGCGGTCGTTTCATCTGATTCTGGTGTGTCTGAGGTGCTCGGGGGAGATTGTTTGCTGGATACATCTCGAGATTCGATCATGAGGAGACGGGCGACGATATCCAGGATCAGGATGGTCATCGGAACAGACCAGGTTGCCCAGTAACCCACCAGCTCCAACAGGATTCCCGCAATAGTAGGCCCGCCTATAAATCCGGTGGTGACAAAAGTCATGACAATGCCCAGCGTCTTGCCCATATCCTCAGCGGCAGTGCAATCCAGCATGATAGCAAAGCTGACAATCCACGTCGCTGCACCGCAGATACCCTGCATATAGCGTCCGAAGAAGAGAACCCACACTAAAAATGTCAGTATCTGAATATTGCATAAAAAGAGGGAAACATACAAGCCGGAGTCCAAGCAACAAGAACCGTGCCGACCAGAGATCCTGCCAAGGCAATCAACAAAGGGATTTTCCGATTTCGCGATTTATCCACGAAATGAGCGATAATTGGCGCTGAAGCGAGAGAAATAAGACCATGGATGGAAAGGAGTGTGGTGATATAACTCTGCGTTTGGGATGGATCGATATGCAACCGAACCTCAAGCATGTGGGTGAGGATTGGCACGACAAAGCCGTACAGAAAGGTCTCTGCGAACAAGGCGAGGGCAATAGTCGCAAGGATGAACACCCTCGAAGAGCGCCATCTGTATCCTATGGGGCGTGGGATTTCCATGTTGGGCAGGTTGGTTGTTGGAATCAGCGGAAGTGGGAAGAAATGACTGATATAAACATCTTGGGGTCATGCATGCTGTGGTGGGGAGGACTCAGGAATGACTCCTTCGGATGACTCATGGCCTCCATCCTGCTCGTATTGGCCGCTTGCGTGATTCATCTGTGGTCAGATCGATGGCTGCATTATTAACTGCACACGATAGCCGCCATGAAAAACAAGCAGTCTATAGGGTTGTCCAAGGTCATGTGCATCTGGCTCCATTCAATTGCTGGTGTCAAGACAGACCCGACAGCATATTGAGACTCGAAAGAGAGATACCACAGACCGCGGCGATCTTTCATTGCAATTTTGGCTATTCCTAAACAGGAATATTAATGCTGTAGAAAGGGGACAATATTTGCTTAAAATTTCGAAGGAATACTAAGCCATATAGGAGCTAGCCTCACAACTATCAGAAGGCTTACCAATCAAAGCGTAAATCATCATTTCCTCAAACAAGCTAGCCTGTTCAGCTATCTCGTTGCCCCGCTGTCTAAATTCTCACCCACGGAGAACCCCGAACCTGAGACGGAGTAACATGATTTAGTAGATTGGGTTATATTTGTCCTGGAATCCCTTGAATATTGGATGGCTGGCTGAATAGCAGCTTGGTGTATACAATAACCAATTATATACCAAGGCGAGGACTTTATCGAATTGCCCTACGTGATGAGACTTGAAAGGAGGCTTGGGACAACGGTTGCAACGAGGCTGAAAACAAGACTTTAATTGTATATTAAGCATGACCCCCCCCCCATAGAACACTCTCAATTCCCTATTTTCAAGTATCTACTCCACAACCCTACGCGTTGTATTTAAGCCCTAATAATTATATATTTACCGTCTGTCCTTTAACTAGAATAACATGCTAATATTCCCCATCAAAACAAATAATGCCGAGGATCACAGTATTGTTTCTATTCAAACCCATTCTTCTACTCTATACATAGTATCTCATATAATTATCCGGACCAGGTTTCCCCCTCGCATTTAACGTCTTCCAAGAGTACTACTCCAAGGTCCCTGAATTCTTCAATAATCGATATATCCCCATCGTGGACACTACGGCTTCGGGGATATCCTTTCTAGGAGCTCCTCTGATTACTCCCGTCATCCAATGCTTTCGAAAACACCAATGCTAGACGATCTGGATAGGCGGTATGTTCTTTTGACTTTTTAGTACCATGTCGCTACTATCTCTAACCCCTCCAGGGCCTATATGTATTTAGGGCTTCTGATCAGCTCTTTCGCCACGACACTCGGTGCCCTCATCATCACTCAGGGTGTCATTTACGGCGTTGGATTTCTTATCTTTTACTATCCCATTTTTAACATGGGTAATGAATTCTGGGCTGCCCGGCGCGGGACAGCATATAGTCTACTATATATTGCATCTGGCGTCTCCGGAGCTGTGATGCCTCTGATTCTTGAGAAACTGCTTTACCGGTTCGGATATTGGATGTTCCTGCGTGCTGTGGCTGGAGTCCTTGTGCTTGTAAACGGCCTACTGATACCCTTTTTGAAAGGTCATCTGCCCGCGTCTGAGCAAAGCTCCCAGCCCTGAATGGACGCAAGTTTCACAAAGAAGCCTTGCTTCTGGGTCTACTCTGCCTCCAAAATTGTCTAAGAGCTTGGATAATTCTTCCCCTTGGTAAACCTTCCTTCCCACACAATGTTTATCGGATGAGGCATTACCCAAGGCGTAATACTCCTGGCGCTGATGAGCGTCTAATAAGTCGCCAGCTCGTTGACCTTCGGATACCTATCTGATAAGAGACTACATCTCGACAATCTAGCCCTCTTATCCACCCTGATTGCTGCGACAGCGATGCTGATCTTATAGAGACTCGGCAACTCCCCCGCCTCTTGGTCACGTTTGCCCTGATCCACGGCTTTTTCGGGGCTGGTTACATGGCCATGTGGGCGCGGATGAGCACGGCTATCAGCAACGACCTAGTCGCAATGCCCAGAATCTTTAGCCTGTTTTGCTTTAGCAAGGGCATCGGCAATGTCATAGGGCCGATTGGGGGTGTCCTGTCGACGCATGTTAGCGTCCCCGGCAGAGTGTATACAAACACAAGGCAATCGAGCGTGATTTTCTTCACGGGCGTCTGCATGCTGCTGTTGCTGTTGCATGTTGCTGAGTGCGGTTTGTATTGGGAGAATCCGACGGCCTCCATTGATGGATTTTCCCTCCAGTCAATGTGTTCGGTTGGGACAGATAGGCAAAATCCCGGCGGCACTCCACTCCCTGATGATTGTGGGGAGTTGAGGAATGCCATATTGCGGGGTACATACACACTAATTAATAATGAATAATTCATCCCTGTTGGAATGCACGGAGGAGACTGCGTGACGAAACTGGTGGGCCAAGCTTTCATGGTGGAACTCCGCTTTCTGAAGCTTTGTCAAGCCGTGGGATTGTCTTCTTCAGCGGTTTAACCCCTTGGCAGGGAAGGTTGTATCATTCTAACGATACTGATCGCCACTAAAGATGGACTGTAGATTCCACACCTGCTGAACTAACTCAGTAGTGCATAAACAACCTCGGCTAGATCGAGTTCAACGAACCTACTGGCCCAATCTACAATGCAAGTGCCCTTACGACCAATCCGGCTTGCAAGTACTACAGCATGCTTGCGAGATTTAATCAACATGTCCTGCGCATTAGCCGACGCCCCATAAGGGTTAATGCTGAATGTACTGAATTATTGGAGGAAAATCCACGCCATTAATCTATGCCACCGGAAACTGGCCACATTGAGGGTGGATAGCAATGAGACTCCGCAGAATTGTACAGTTAAAAACCCTTACAAGTCCTGGTCCTTCATGACCCTCTCAAGCATTCCACCGTCAAAGCCTGATCCTGTTCACAGACCACCGGATTCAGAATGTTCTCCCGGGTGGCTACAAGTCTCGCTCTCATGGGCTCCATGGCTGCAGCAGGGCCGTGTGACATCTACTCCTCCGGTGGCACGCCCTGCGTCGCCGCCCACAGCACCACTCGTGCCCTGTACAGTGCCTACTCCGGGTCTCTCTACCAGGTCAAACGCGGGTCTGACGGCTCCACGACCGACATCAAGGCCCTGTCTGCCGGGGGTGTTGCCAATGCTGCCGCCCAGGACACCTTCTGCGCCAGTACCACCTGTCTCATCACCATCATCTACGACCAATCCGGCCGCGGAAACCACCTCACCCAAGCTCCCCCGGGCGGATTCCAAGGACCGGACGTCAATGGCTACGACAACCTGGCCGGTGCCATCGGCGCCCCCGTCACTCTGAACGGCCAAAAGGCCTACGGTGTCTTCGTCTCCCCCGGCACGGGGTACCGCAACAATGCCGCAAGTGGCATCGCAACCGGCGACGCGGCCGAGGGCATGTACGCCGTGCTGGACGGCACGCACTACAATGGCGGCTGCTGCTTTGATTACGGAAACGCCGAAACCAACAATCTCGACACCGGCAACGGGCACATGGAGGCGATCTACTACGGCGACAACACCGCCTGGGGATCCGGCGCTGGCTCGGGGCCGTGGATCATGGCCGATCTCGAGAACGGGCTGTTCTCCGGAGTCAATCCCAAGAACAATGCGGGCGACCCGTCCCTCTCCTACCGCTTCGTCACCTCCGTCCTGAAGGGCGGCCCGAATCTCTGGTCCATTCGCGGCGGGAACTCCGCCTCGGGGTCTCTATCGACGTACTACAGCGGCGTGCGGCCCAGCGCCTCCGGCTACAATCCGATGAGCAAGGAGGGCGCCATCATCCTCGGCATCGGCGGTGACAACAGCGTCTCGGCACAGGGGACCTTCTACGAGGGCGTCATGACTTCCGGCTACCCGTCCGATGCCACCGAGAACTCGGTGCAGGCGAACATCGTCGCCGCGAAGTACGCCACCACGTCGCTGACCAGCGGGCCGGGGCTTTCCGTGGGCTCGTCCGTGTCCCTCCGCGCCACCACCTCCGGCTACAACACTCGCTACCTCGCGCACACCGGCTCGTCCGTCGACACGCAGGTCGTCTCGTCCTCCAGCTCCACCGCGCTCAAGCAGCAGGCTAGCTGGACCGTCCGCGCGGGTCTAGCCAACAGCGCATGCTACTCCTTCGAGTCCGTGGACACGCCGGGAAGCTACATCCGACACTCGGGGTTCGCGCTGCTGCTGAACGCGAACGACGGGACGAAGCTGTTCAAGGAAGATGCGACGTTCTGCACCCTGTCGGGGTTGAATGGGCAGGGGAACTCGATTCGGTCGTGGAGTTACCCGACGCGGTGGGTGAGGCATTATACGAATTTGCTGTATGTGGCGAGTAACGGGGGTGTGAATGCGTTTGATGCGGCGAATTCGTTTAGTGATGATGTGAGTTGGGTGGTTAGTTCGGGGTTTGCTTGACCGGTTGGCTTGATAGGTTGTGGAGGTAGATCTTGATCCTCTCTTTAAGGCTATCTTAGTGGAAATGGTGTTTATGGGATTTAAGGTAGTACAGACAGAAGAACCCGGTGAGTGTATGGAGATCAAGCCAGCCTGATATCTCTGATTGGCTGATTGTTCTGGCCCACTGCGGGAGGCCTCTAACGTTTTATAGTCTACTGCTTGACTTATAGTCCAATGGCAGTGATATGAGGAGATCTGACATCCAACTGATTTAAAAGACTGGTTGTACGACCCAGCCCACATTACAAGGCTGCAGGGATACGGGTTAGAATCGGTGAGATTAACTAATCAAACTACGATAAATAGCTCCCACCAAATCCGCCACATCGCCTTTAGCTTATGCCTGGTAGCAATTCGGACTTCTCTGCTTTTTACTTCTCACCAATAATATTCATAACAAAACCGCAACCTGTTTCAATTCAGACTCCCCTCCACGATGTCTTCGTCGAACCTCCCGGTGATCGTCATCTTTCCGGGTGCTTTCGGTACCCCTGAAGGCTTCGACAAATTGTCACCGTATCTGACCAAAGCTGGATATGCAACACACCCCGGTGCATACCCTAGTTGCAATCCCGCCGATCCGGCCGAAGCGTCCTCTTCTCAGGATATCGCTTTCGTGCGCGACAACGTACTTCTCACTCTTTTAAACGAACAGGGTAAAGATGTCGTCATCATCGCACACTCATACGGGGGTGTGGTTGCAGGCGGCGCAGCAAGAGAACTTTCGAAAGAGACCAGAAAGGCCCAAGGTCACTCTACTGGCGTCGTCGGTCTGATTTACGTCGTGGCCAATATCACACTTGATGGAGAATCGCTCTTCACTGCTGTAGGCGGCGCTTATCCTCCTTTTATCAAAGTCGACAAGGTACGGTCTCCGCAGAACAACCGCGATCATAACCATAGGGTATTGCTGACTTTGTTACCAGCCCTTTAAGGGACTTGCTCTCATCGAACCGGCGATGGACATTTTGTACAATGACTGCGACCGTGCCCTGGAGCCGGAATTGGCGACGCTGATGCAGCCACACGCACTCCGGGCCTTTGAAACCCCCGCGACTGCCCCGGCCTGGGCGGAGAGTGCGTTTGATGGTCGCAGAGCGTATGTGCGGACGCTGGACGACTGTTGTAACCCTTTGCCGTTGCAGAATATCTGGTTGGAGAAGTCCAAGGTCGAATGGGATGTTGTGGACTTTAAGACCGGACACATGCCATTTTTCAGCCAGCCTCAGGCTTTGGCAGAGCAGATTACCAAGTTCATTGATGGCTTTGTTGCAAAGTAAATAGTGACGTGTCAAATGTTTATAGCTGCAGAACTCGGAATACACACCAAAATCCTAGGTATGGTCTTGCTCGCATCCAATGGTGTCAACCAAGTTATATAACTGGAATGAATGGTGCATACTCAGTAGCTTGTTCATGTTTGCTAGAATACGACTGGGGTCGTTATTGATGGCAGGGCAGGCCATTCTACATCGCGAAAAACCAACTGAAAAATGTTCAAATGTGAATGCGATAGCCAGGTCCTAGTTTGTTCAAACATGGACTATTACCACTCCGACCCAAGCATGTCATACGAGACAACAGTCTCCGGAGTCCGCACCGCACAAATCATATAATTCCCCAGGATTCTGCTGCGGAATCCAGCCTCGCAGTAAAGAAAGTAATACTACAGTACATGGGTTAGCAGATTTCTCACCAGAAGAAAAGGTACCCAAAGCATACCAACCATCTCCGCCGATACGCTTCAATCTCTACACCCGACGCGCCCGGATGTCTCGCGCAAAAGTCCGATCGGATCCCATGCCAGTTCGCGAGGAAGTTGTCGCGCCATGCAAGCAGAGTCTTTCCGTAATGGAGACCCGTGTTGATAATGGACGAGACTTCCAGACTTCCCTTGGTAGCTCGATGCATGGAGTCCAGCAGGATGTTGACGGTGGGGAGATACCCGCCCGGAAAGACGTAGCGGTCGATGTAGTCGCCCATCCGCGGGTTTGTTTCGTGGAACTGCTCCGCGTTAGCTCACTGTACTTGAAATTCAGCGAGGCCATCGAACCGGGTGGATCTTGGTGATCCCGTCTACCACGACAATTCCGCCCTGGGATGTGAGCAGCCGCGAGATCTGGTCAAAGTACGTGTCGAGAAACTGGGGCCCGACGTGCTCGAACATCCCCACGGAGATGATTCGATCGTAGCCCCCTTCTGGGCAGGGCGCGTGGCGGTAATCGCAGAGCAAGACTCGGACCCGGTCCTGGAGTCTGGCGTCCTGAATCCGCTGGTCAGCGAGGGTCTTTTGCTCCTCGGAAAGTGTAATTCCAGTGGCCTGGCAGCCTGTCTGACGGGCTGCTTCGATGATTAGATCGCCCCAGCCGCAGCCGATGTCTAGCAGGTGGTGGGTGGACGAGATTTGCGCTTTCTTCAGGATGCATTGCACTTTTCGTCGCTGCGCAGATTCAAGGGACTCGGTCGGATCGCCTGACCAGTGCGCGCAGGAATAGTTCATGTCTGACGATAGGAACCCCGAGAAAAGGGCGTTGGATGTATCGTAGTGCGACGAGATGTTCGATCGTGCATTGGCGATGTTGTTCTGGGGCCTCCACCATCGTATGAGTCGGGGGACCAGGCCAAATAGCGAACTGCCGGATCCAAGAGTGCCAGGATTCTGGATATAGAGCTGTCACAGATAATTAGTCCCGCGCTGCACAGGGAGTATAATTGATTTACATCAAATATTCTGCTCAGGTTCTCGCAGTCAATCTCCTGAAGCATGTACCCTTCGGCAAAGCCCTAATACCGTTAGAGCCGGGAACAATGATTGTGACACGCGGCATACCAGATCGAAGTCCGAGAGAATTCTGGCCCAGAAATTCGAATCGTTGACGTAAACCACGGCGACCTGATCTGATGGTCTGGTTTTATCCTCGTACAGCACTTTGTCCTCGCCATCGGTTCGAGAAATAATCTGCAGTGGGGCTGCGATCTCTTCAAGAGACTGCCGCGCAAAGCCGATGGCATATGACTGAATTGATTCAGAGATAGTAGAGTACATTCTGGCTCATGTGAGATCGAGTATGTTAACGACAGAATATTCGGGGGAGGGAAACATTTGACTATTTGGTTTTGTGATGTGTTCTGCAGTGCGAAGTCGGCTAAATATGCAGGATGACGACAGCGTGATAGGAGCGACTGGTTCGCTGTGCAATTTCAACTACTAATCCTGATCTGTCGGCATTCTGATTGCTGGTCAAGCCAACTACATAATATGAGAGACAGAGTGGTGGAAATCAATGCTCACTGGCGTGGAAAGCGCTGGAATTCAAGTAACCATAGTCTGTGATACATACTGAACTCGATGATGATTAAGTGACTAAAAAAGAGCTTTACCTAGAAAGCAAAGATATGGTCCCCGGTCTATCTGGACTTTTTGGCTCCCTTCTGCTCCAAACCAGCGTTGGACGTTACTTCCATATGGACCTTTGTAGTATCATGGCCGAGAGGTTTGTCGGGAAACGGTCTCCACGTCAAAATGGCCGCAACCAGGACAATAAGTATCCCCAAAGTAGCTTGTATCAGCCGAGCGATAGATTCTTTGACTATGATCCGCGTCAATTCTTCAGAGAAAGCACCTTTGAAATCGGTGTGTGTCTCGCGTAAAAAGTACTGGCTCGCTATCTGCGTGCAAACTGAGCTATAGAGCGTACGGGAAACCCTTTCAAGAATGGCGGTATCAAGGAGATCTGCAGGCCAATGCGGAGATAAAATGCTCGCAATTCGCGAGAATGAACTCTCATGCACGCCGTTCGGACGTGAAAAGCCACCCGAAGCGTAATTGCCTTCAAGTAGCGGTGTGTGGGCGTTTTTCAGTGTCGACAAGAAGCCCGTGGCGAGCTGTGCCGGGGTCACACCGGGAATATGAGGGTGTGGTCTCGATCCATTGCTATAGGTGGAGTTGGAAGTAGCGGCCATAAGCACGCTGCTATTCCCTGCGCCCAATGCTATAAATCCATAGGACATGAAATAGGAAGGTTTACAGACAATCGACGAAACCGTTGGTTGGTCGTTGTTCCAGCGGGCGGCGACAAAGATGAGTTGGGGATCCCTCATGTCGTCCGCTGCATCTGCGCATTCAGCAGATAATACGTCGGCATAGTATTTATCCGCACTGTCGGAAGCCTTTTCGAATGACTCGATACGGTACTCGGGGCAGCTGGGGGTGCTCAGAGCCAAGTTCAATTTTTGGCTGAGACAGTCGTGCGAGCTGCACTCCTGAGCCAAGCCGACGACCGACGCCACTTCACACTGCAGACTAGGCGTGAACATATCTACCATGCCTGCTATGATACCGCCACTCTCTGGATTCGAAATTAGAACGTGACATGGGAATGAGTTAGCAAGACATACCTGGGCTTGAGATAGGGGCGCTGAAAGGCGGGAATGCGTGTTGATGAGTCGTACCAACAGGCCACGGCTGACCGAGGCCGTAAACACCAGCTACAGTCAAAGCAGGGTTGGCATCAACACCTGGACCATTATATTTGGCTCCCGAGAACTCGGAGTGAGCTACCAGGCTGACTGTTTGAGGTTCGAGGTTGACGGACTGCGAGTCTAGGAGATTGGCTGCCAGGCTCCACGGTGCGCCACCAAGACAAGTGCCGAGTCTCACAAGTTTAGCTACTCGATGTGACCCTTTCTCTGGAGGACGAGCCACCGCTTCTATTATACGATTATGAACCTGACACCAGGAGTAACAGGCAATTAAAAACACTTTGCACGGAGTTAGGAAGGTTTCCAAGGACTGTTGGTTTTGATGTCCATACCGATAATTGGACCATGTGCCCATACATAATAGAGTTCCGGCACACTTGGTCCTAATCCATTGTTTTGTATTGATCGCATGAGTAGCGCCTCGATGGCCACTGTTGCAATGGTGTAGAACACTAGCAGCATGAAGAGCCTTGCAGTGGGGAAACTAGGGGGCGTTGGCATCTGATGCATGGCTTTTTGTTCTCCATGGTCTTTAATTGACCTCTGGGTTTCGCTAGTAGGTCCGGACTCTCTTGTGGACCTGTTGCCCAGATCTGTCGACATATTGTTTTGACGATATTGCCATTCGTGTGATTAACTCGCGTGGACGACCGATTCATTCACATCCCTGGCTTGCAGTTGAGTTTCCTGAGAGTCAATTTGAAGAGCCGACATTCCACGGAAATATATCTATGCCGAAGAATGCTGAAGGCCGGAAGTGGCGATCAGCTTGTCGCACAGCTCAGCATCGCCCACTTGGCTGTTCAGCCTGTTGTTCGTAGAGCCTTGCGGCCTTTTTGCCTGAAAAGGCAGGGATCCGCAATTGCTGCCGGACTCCCTAATCGAGCCTAGTGGCTACCAAAAGTCAGCTCGCTAACCTCTTCTGGAAATTCGCTGCCTTCCTCCTTAGTTTGTCTTTTTCTGGCCCTGACATCTCCCATGAAAAGCTTCGTTAATGTCAATCAACATTCCACACTGCTCCCTTCCCCTTCATATTGGGGTCGGTTGTTGAAACCCTTACGAATGGTGCACCTAGAACAGTACATATTTGTCCACTCCTCAATGCCTATTCCTGGCTAACACAATGTGATCATTTTGGATGTGGCCGCCTCGTGTTTTCACTTTTCAAGCATCCTCCGTGATAGCATACTCAAAATCTACTCTGCCCTCCGTACGGAGTAGGCAACCTTAATATTAGTCTAGCAGGTGGGACAAGAAACAGCGCCTTACGGAGACATCCCGAGAGACCCACCCTCAGGAGAACCTTTCGCAAGTTCTTCGGCGTATCTTCAAGATCTTCATCGCCCTTACAGGGGAGAAGAAAAAACCAAGAAAGGAAAAAGGGACTTTTGGTCGAATCTACCTGGTCACAAAATGAGTCCTTCTACGGATCCCTATATCAGCAAGACCTCTCGCCGAGCTCATAGGAAATCCCGCCTCGGGTGCATCAACTGCAAAAAGCGACGGGTCAAGGTCGGTCATTTTTTACTCTAGTCGATTTTGACATGATGTGTCTAACTCTTTATGATCCAGTGCGATGAGGAAAAACCAACATGCACTAATTGCCTGCGTCATTCCGTGGAATGCGATTACGGCGATGTGCCCCAGCAAGACGGCTCCAACTTGCCATTGAGAAAGCGGTCACCTCTTGCTAGCTCCTCAAAAGCTGGTTGCACCTTCATTTCTGCTTCTCAGAATGACTTCAAGACTCCAAAGCGTGGACGTCCCCGAGAAAGGCCGGTGCCAGACTCAGCACCAGCGCTCCCCGATCCGCCCTGTGCTACTGTAGCCAATCGGCCTTTCGAATTCACGGCCACGGACATGGCGTTATTCCATCACTTCCTGAAATCAAGTGGTCTGGCTGAGCACATGGTCAATCAGCTGTCTCGACTAGGCTTTGTCTACCACTACGTGCTGCGACTGCTTTTGGCATTCTCGGCCTTCCAGATCGTCAGAAGGTCCGAGGATACGTCGCTGTTTCATCTCATGGGAGCCGGTACTGATTTCTATACCGACGGTGAGCGCCATTTCGACGTCGCCGTGGCTGAGGTTGCGGCCATGGTTCCTCTTCTCAACAGGGAGAACGCACCTGCGCTTTACGCCGCCTCGCTCCTTATCTTTCTCTGCTCCGTGACGAAGGGCCCTAGGCCAGGTGAGTATCTTGCATTTCGAGATGACGGCGAATCGGGCTGTCTCTCTTTATTCATGGGCATGAGGTCTATGATAGAGGCATGTAACTCGATCGCGGACCCTGCGATGTTAGCCGCGATCCACGCAGGTGATGGCAACAATGAAGCCGAGTCTCGAGAGGCCGAGGGATCTAATTCATCCCCTGACAGTGCCAGACACGTTCCTCCTCAATATCAATCTGCTTTATCGCAGGTTCATGACCTTCTAGCCACCACATTCCAAAACCACGACACAGACTATCTAATTTATTGTCAGTCGCTGGAACGGCTCTCTCAATGCTACGATGTCATATTCGACCCTCATGTATCTCTCACCGATTCTGTGCTCTGGCCGCAAATATTTGGTTGGCTATACATGCTCCCAGATAGGCTGCTTCTCGACCTCCGGGATCGACGCCCACTTGCTTTGGTCATCTTTTCTCATTACACTGTTCTACTTCATGTGCTTGATGAGGTTTGGATGATTCAAGGATGGCCTCGGCATGTTATGCATGGGATATCTCAGAATCTTGATCCTTATCACCGGCTTTTTGTCGAGTGGCCGATGCAACAGATTGGGATATCTGGTTTCTCTTCTTAGTGCTATAGGTTTTATTCCTGTTTTATGTATTATATGCGCTCACTACTGATGAGCGAAATGTGGACTTTTCATCTAGAATTTATTAATATAATATTGATATTTTAATACAGTCAACGAAGCAGTAAATGAAGGTGATCAAGAGAACGATGGGTCTAAGACATAAGAAAATCTGGCTGTCATGAAACCAGGAAATGACCGTGGAGATCCGCACAGAAGCGAAAAGGAGGACGAGAATGCGAAAAAAAGAGAAGCATGACAAAGGAAACTAGAGAAAAAGAGAGAGGGCGCAAGTCCGCATGAGAGCAAGCCCAAGCACCACAAAACCGTTGACGACTAGGGATACGACATCCCCGCCGGTTTCTGATACCCCAGCAACTCAGGTCTCGTCCGCAACTCCATTTCCTTTTCTTCCTGGATTAGAGCACAGCAACCGCAGCACATAGTCGCACAACAGTCACCAAAGCAAGAGCCCCGGATACCAAAGGTCTCGCGCATCTCACCGCGTCGGATGGTTTGCAGGATCCAGTGGGACAGGAACATGCTGACGCAGGTAAATAGGGCACACTTGACGCCAGCACGATTAGTTGATGTGTCTGAGAAATCGTAGTCTTTCTGCGCACTCACTTCGGAATTCACGTAGCTGAAACTTTCTAGTGTTGGGTTTTTAACTCGGGCTTGGGTTTTTCCAAATGTCAGGCATGGGAGACAGCAGCTTGACAGACCTAGAGGGTGACCGAGTATATGTTAGTGAGCGGGTTTCAATCAGCGAACTATTGGATGGAAGATCGGTTGGAACTTACAGAGTGACCCCGGCGAACAGCAATCAAATAGCGAATAATTCCAATCTGCGCCGTGCGTGATGTTGCGAGACTCTTCAGAGTTGGCCTGGTGATATGTCGGGGGGCCGCTCGGCCATGCTCTGTATACCTTTTGCGCTGCTTCGGACATGATTGAGAGTAGAGCGTGTTGGGCTGTCTGAGGACAGAGTAAATTAAGAGGATACGAGCAATCAAAAAAACCTAGGAACTTAATCCCCCTTTAAATAATTAATCTAGACAGTTTAATCAGGATTCTCAATCGTGCAAAATTCAAAAAACGAATTAGATATGGACTACAGAGTATAGGGAGAAAACGAGACTCGACCTAACCCAAAAAGGAAGTTCGCATTCGGGTTCGGCAGTGGATCCTCAACGGGCGATCACCGGCAGAGATTGATGATTGTTAGTGGCAACGCTGGTCTCCGGATCAATGGTTAACTCGACTGCTAATAACCTAATATCCACAGCAATGAGCATAAATGAAACGTTTTCAAGGAAATGTTCTCGAAGCTCATACCTACACGTAATATCAGTGGGTCCACAACCCCTATCCTCAACGACCTACACCTGTATGTATATCACAAGGCCTTTTTTCAACGGAGAAGAGGGGAGGGTCGATTGACATGGAGGTTCTAATTGGGTGACCCAGAATGGGATATCGCCGAGGGCGCCCAAAGAGGAAGTTCGTTTTCGCTTTAAAGTTTCTGCCTCCGCTACTATGGTACATACTACAGTGTAGGCATTAGGTACTCTGATTCAAGCTCCTTCAGAAAGGTATAAAGAGCCCGTAGGTGCAGGATACGATTTTGGTCCTAGATTACACCCATCCGAAATTTTCTTTGCTCCCAGACTCTCTTTTCTTATCAACATGTTGAATCACTCTTTAATAAATCACAATCATTGTTCACCTGAAGCCATCGCGACACCGACTGTATTCGGTGCCGAGATTCGCTCTTTATCTGCTTCTTGGGTTCAAAATTACACGCTGGATGTGCCCTCTACATTCAACTACAACCACGGTGATGTTTCTCTCCACAATGTCAACTTTTGCAACATTACCGTTACCTACACCCACCCCGGCCACGATGACCTGATTACGGTTGAGACATGGCTACCTCAGCAGTGGAACCAGCGACTACAGGCCACGGGAGGAGGGGGATGGAATGCGGGCCGATTCGTGTTGTCCGAGTTCTTCATGGCAGGGGCTATCGGTGAAGGCTATGCCGCCACAACGACCGACGCAGGACTCGGATATGCGTCGTCTCCCAACTCATGGGCCCTCGAGAGCCCAGGAAATGTGGACCTGTACGACGTCCAGAACCTGGGCTATGTCTCCTTGAATGACCAGGCGATTATCGGCAAAAGCCTGGTGCAGAGCTTTTATCGACAGAATGCCTCGTACTCTTACTGGAGTGGCTGTTCGCAAGGTGGGAGACAAGGGCTTATGCTCGCACAGCGATACCCTCATGCGTATGATGGCATCGCGGCGTCTGCGCCAGCCCTCGCCTTTACTGAGCTTGCGGCGACTGTGTATTACCCCCTTCTGGTCAAGAGCTGGGCTGGGACGTCTGCTTCGCCTCTAGCCTGTGAGCTAGAATTTATTACGGATGAAGCAGTCGCTGCTTGTGACTCTGTCGATAGAATTGTGGATGGGATAATCTCAGATCCCTCGGCATGCAATTTCGACGCACTTTCTGTCGTGGGCAAGACATTCAAGTGTTCATCCACTGGCAAGATGATGAACCTCACCAAACCCGCTGCCTTGGTAGCCAACGCGGCTTGGTCGGGCCCTCAAACAGCAGACGGTATGTCTCTCTGGTATGGCTTTAACCGCGGCGCCGACATCAGTGCGTTTGGAGGAGCTCCAGGGGTAAACACCAGTACATCGAGCGATCTATGGTTCCGATTGTTCGTGGCAAAGGATCCAGACTTCGATTCCACAAAACTCGGCCCTCGCGAATATGAACGGTATTTCCGTCGTGGTGTTCAAGAGTACGCTGGTCTCCTAAATGCCGACTCTCCTGACCTTACGGAGTTCAAAAACGCAGGCGGGAAACTGATCTCCTATCATGGCATGGTACTTCTCCTCACACATTTGAATTAAGAACATGTTCTAACATGGTTTACTTCCCAGGCTGATGAATCGATTCCGACGAAAAGCTCCCAGCATTATTATGACAGGGTCAGCGACGCCATGTCTGACGCTGGTAGCTTCTATCGCTATTTTGAGTCTCCCGGATTGGGTCATTGCTCAGGGGGTAAAGGCGGACAACCAGTGACAATCTTCAACTCCCTCCGTCGTTGGGTAGAAGATGGTGTTGCACCCGACATTTTGCCAGTGAACATAACTGGTTCAGACGGGACTGAACACTCACGGTTCCTGTGTCCTTATCCGACGAAGCCTTTCTATCAGAATGGTAATGGCTCTCACACTGAGTCTTTCAAATGTGTCGCCGCCAATGGCACTGAGGCTGCACACTGATCTTCATATAACAGGGTTCTGCCCACAATTTTGGATATGAAACGTTGCTGTTCGGCTTGATTATTGGCCGGGACAAGTTCTCAAAAGCAACAATCATTCGACGGAGCTGTCCCCGTCCCGTTATTGATAATAGGGTGCGAGGAGAGTTAAAGTCCTATATTATGTCAGATCGGAATGTAAAAACTAGATGTGAAGAATAAATGTAATTGGTCATTTAATCCTTACTTCATGTAAATAATGACGTTCGCCATACATGCAAGGTCATATAATATGTATCACAGAAGCTATAATTACAAAATTTCCCGGATTATTAAGGCCATTATTAGCATTAAGGATTAACACACATTTTCATGATGGAAAAAGTTAGAATGAGGAGTTAAATATAAAATCGGATTATATAAGTAGGAAAATCAAAGTTATGAAAGTTAATAATTCCAAAATTCATATAAGAATATCAATGCTTAACTGGATTATTTTGCAAAAGAATCCTCCATTAACGTCAAAGCCAAAATAACCGACAGATAATGCGTTCTACTCCGTATTTATTCCAATCTCTTTCCTTATGGATAGCGCTGCCTGTTCGACATGCCCCATCAGCCGAGGCTCACTGCCCCGGTTTTCTTAGTTGCTGGGAAGACACTAAACCCGTTCCATGCGGTCGACTCCGCGTTCCTCGGAGAAAGAGGCAATAGGCAAAATTTTAAAGAAAATTCTGTCGTGCAATCCGAGTGTTCTCGATGATACGGCAATTTGAGTCTGCATCTTGCTTTTAATGTGAAGACGTCAGCAACACATACTGATAGGGGACAAGATCAAGCGAATTCTGAACCTAGCCAGGCTGCGCAATCGCCTGAAACCTGCATGCTATGTCCACCACTCTGGTCACGCCCACTCCGCCATGCAGATCTGGTCAGCCTTGTGGACCCCGTATCTCTTCCTGCATCTTCTGTCCGTACAAGCCGCGTGGGTGAGCAAATTCTATTGCGCCTCGTCGCAGCCAACCGACCCTGCGGAGAAGGACTTTCGCGTCGATAGTCTGCATGGTTTCTTCGACACCCTGGATAGTTCGACACGTTTGAGATTATCTATATTGGGGGTCCACAATGTCTCGCAATTCTCTTGTAGTGATCTCGATCTCGCGGGGCTTGGGGATGCTGCGAGACTCCATGTTCTAGGCCATCCAGTGGGCCATGTAGAGCATGTGAGGAGTGATTGTCCGCTCCCTATCACGGACACCCTGACCCCGTATGTACAATGGCCCACAGAATTTTCCAATCGACGTGGTCTGACTTTATCCCTCCTCTAGCCCCGAAGGTCTTCTGTTCTCGAAATTCGAGATCGGCTACTCTTTCAGCAGCAATCATCGGCTCCAGACCCTCGCGACGGAGATCAGCTTTCACTCGCAGTCTGGCGATGAACTCGATTGTGCTGCTGTTAAAATTACCCCAGACATTGGGAAAGATGTATCTGCTGTTATCACCTATCTACCTTTTGCCGTGGTAGTGTTAGTTGGTCTAGCTTCATGGTACAATCGATCCAATGCGCTGGAAACCCACTCACACACTGAGCATCAAAGCCCCTGGGCTTCCCAAAATCTCATCTGGGCGATCATTCTTGACGTCTCAGATTACATCCGATACTTACAGTTTGTATTCTTAGCTGGCTCACTCACGATGGAGTATCCGGGGTTTTACCAACCGGTGGCCAGCCAGGTGGCCTGGTCATCGCTCTTATACTGGAGTGGCCCGATCGACCATGGTTTCACGTACAGAGGGGTTGAGGACGGCATGTATGTCAGTAACGGATCCTACGGGTTGGAATATATGTCCCAGATGCTGGGATTTCCTCAAATGCCTGATATCATGTTCGACACGTTCATTAACCTGTTTCTCTTGATCTCCGGCCTGGTCGTCGTTCTCGTGGCCCTCTACCTCCTTACATTCGGACCCAGTCAAAAGCTCCCGTTCCCGCTGGCTTTACGCGATGGCAGTTATATGACTCTCGGTTTGACCTTGTCGTTCTTCAGTCTTCCGCTCTTGTCCTTTATGTCTTACGAGCTGATTCTCATTGGATATCTGCCGAATTACCGAGTCATTCTCGTCGGACTCGGCATGGTCATTATTGTTCTCGCGAATTACCTCATCAAGCGCCAGTTTGACTCGCGTATTGAAATGGAGGATCCATCGCCACTGGGCGATCTCAATACGGAATATCAGCCGAGCCTTCTTCGAGAGGCTCTGACGGCTTTCTCGCACTATCTGCCCCCCGCCATCCCGTTGGTGCAAGGGATCGTGATCGGTGGTTTACAAGACTACGGCCTAGTACAGCTGCTATTGCTGGGCTTTTGCGAAGTTACATTTCTTATTCACGCAGCGGTTCAACGGCGCTTGCAGATTTTTGCATCCAGAAATGCATGGTGTGCTGTAGTTCGGCTTCTGACACTGTGTCTGGGCATTTCCTTCACCACCTCTCTAAGTGAGTCCGGTCGTCAATGGATTGGATACCTTATGTTATGTCTCCACGGTGTGGTTATCCTAGCCTTCCTCCTGCTTTCTATATGGGAGATATCTCGTGCATTGCGCAAAGGAAAGTTTCTGCCGAGGTTACGCACCCCCCAGTCTCTGGTGCTCACGGACCTTGAACCTGCCCGCCGCAGCGCCAGCAGTGGGTCGACATCGGATATTAATCCCTCGATTGATCAAAAAGGCAGCTTTGATAGTTTCGCGGACTATAACCGTCCCGGATCGTCTGGCACGTCCTCATACAGGGGCTTCGACACACCGATCAGCTTCAACAACTATCACAATTTTACAGCACCTCCGACCTCGACACCGACAAATACAAAGCACTACGTCACTGACTTCTCGGCCTTTTACCGTGCTCCTCGAGCCCGTTCAGGGCCTCAGTCTCTTCATGCGGCTACTGGAAGGAGATCAACATCTGGCAGTTTTAGTTCGCCGGCGGATCCGAGCGCTCACTCCTCATTCGAAAGTAAGGCTGCAAATCGCCTGTCGCGGAACACTCTCGATGAGTGGTTAGATGTTCCTGGTCGCTCGAATGTCGATTATTCAGTCAGAGAATCGGATCAGTTTTATGGCAGACCTAAAATTAGCAGTGCGGTCTCCGAGGCTTCCTCGACGGTTGGGTTAACTAGGAATAGCAGTGGCGATATATCAGGGAGGGAGGCACTGCAGGGCTGGGCCAGACAGGCTGTATCTCGTTTGAGGGAACCCAAAAAAGGGAAGAAGAAGGGGTTCGAGGTAGTGAGGCCACCGAGACCAGGACCGCCAGGTGGGCCAGGGCCTGTGTGATTTTCATCCTCCTAAAGCAAGTCGATCAGATATGACCAACTGATACGAGTGGGCAATGGCATGTCATTTGGTTTCCAGGAGGGGTGATAGTGATAATTGGTGTTTCGCACGGCTTGCACATTGTCTACTTAGCTGTCGACTTATCTGTCGGTCTAATACTTATACCTACGCTAATAAAATGTTATCGTGCCTTTGTGATTTGTGATTCCCTGATGCCTTGGTGCCTGGAGACTTTAGTATTTATTCGACCTCAGAAACACAATCTTCTTATAATAAACTCATAATCTCCCCTGAAAAGCTTGATTTGGCCAATAAACCAATATTCGACTGCGTATACATCATCCTGGATTAAGCTCCCCATAGCATGTGGCACTCTAAGCTGTGGTAGTTGAGTAGTGTTGATAAATTGAAATCTAAGGAATGGGGCTCCCAAAAAGAAACCCCGTGAGGAAAACGAAATACCGGAAAGCACGCTCATATTTTAGAGCTTGTCTGATTGAACTTTTTCCACAACGTAGGAAATACTTCCATGATCCGATCGACATCCTTGATACAGTTGTAGCCATGAAAGCTAAATCGAACTCTCCCCTGGCCATTCCACGCGTAGATACCGGCCTTGGCCATTTCATCCACGATTTCGGAAGCTCGCTCACAATCAACAGTCACGCTAGCACCGTGTTGATCTTTAGCTGTTGGCGTAGAGGAATGTATGCTTTTCGTCTTGAGTCTTTCGAGTAGTGCCGTTGTCAACGTTTGAACGTGCTCCTCAATCTTACTAGCGTCCCATTGTTTGAGATATTCCAAAGATTCCCGCAGAACGTAGATCGGAAGATGTGCGGGATTACCCCGGCTAAAGCACATTGCATCGTTGCGAGCCTCAAGGAAATGACTTTCCCATTGTGGTCGAACTGCTCCGAGGGCGAGAGAATGCCAGCCTCCAGTGATTGGTCTCCAGTTTGGCATCTTTGATTGGTTCCAGTATGCGATCGCGGCTCCAGTTGTCCCGAGTAGCCATTTATAGCATGCAGAGAATGCAAAGTCCGCAACCGATGCATCGATCGGTGTATATCCGGCAGCCTGGGTGAAATCGACAAGGAGAATAGCGCCAACTGAGTCGGCTACCTGTCGATAGAATGAGAGGTCGACCCGAGTGCCATCATAATAGGACACGTAGCTCACGGCAATGAGTCGAGTCCTCTCGTTGACCTTTTCTTGTAGCTCGTTCCTCTTGTAATAGATTACTTCTGGGGACTTGATCGGGCCTCCCCTGGAATCCTTTTGCTTTTGTTGGTGTTTGAAGGCAAACGGGCCAACCAGGCTGGGAAATTCGTCCACGTGAACGCAGACATTATCGTCGTCTCTCCAATCCAACGATTCAAGAACCATAGAAACACCATCGGCGACACTCGGCGCAAATCCAACCTCGTGATTGGCAACTCCCCAGGCTTGAGAAACTAGGGTTCGAACGTCGTCCAGGTATTGCGTTTGGTGAAAGCGACCGATATGGCCCGAAGACTTGTCCTTCATATATTTTTCGAGGGCTTTACTTTGCCCTTTGAGAGGCAAGGACTCACCAGCAGCGCAAACATGGGTGATTTCGGGGATTCTGTGAAATAATTCAAGCGAGAATAGAGGTCGGTCTGCCATTTTGACTATGGATACCGAGCCTGACAGGATATATTCCGATCCGCGGGGACACAGCCTTTTATCTATCGCTTTTACGTAAGGCAAGACTGTGTGGGTGGAAGACGAGTGAAGTTAACCGGCGCGCCAGTGGTGGGGAGTATTTGGCACGCAATAATTGCCGAATTATGCGTTTCCCTGTAGTACTCGCTCCTTTCTGCTCTTCGTTCTGGTGGTAGCATAACTAACTCTGTTTTGGTAGGCATACTCACTGGTCATAACCTACAAGCCTAAAAAAAACCCCCTTAACAAAAGGTAAAAGCTATATCCCCACCACCTGCTCTCCCTCTGCAGGACCGTTATCATCACCTATAACCCTACAAACTGTGGGTTGTGCCATGGTCTCGACGAAAGGGATTTCCGGGAGAATATGTCAAGGTAACTGTAGATACACGCTGCAGTACTTTTTGGCATGATCCCTCTGCATTTCTTGACGTACAGTTGCCAAATACCAGGGCTAACGACAGAAGCCCCGCAATTCCCCGCCTTTACGACTTGTTATTCTCACAAACAGCGCAGGGAAAAGATCCGGTCAACCCCACACTGTGGCGCCTCTACTTAGGGTACGTAATTACTCTTACTTACAAATCAACAAATGATGAAGGGTAACCCTTGAGTGCAAGTAGTATATGTGCTCTGCTAATGTTTATAGTGTGTCCTCGACTCGACGAGATACGAACATGAAAGCCAAGTCAACATGTCTTTCTATGTTTGCTCTTCGTGCTACTTCTCTCATAATATATGAAGCACTCTGTTACTATATCCAAGAGATATGGAACGAAGAATACGCCCGTTGCTTCCTGGAATTTACGCCGCAAGCTTGACATGCTACCCGACTGCGGAAAATATTGACCAACAAACCCAACGCAAGTATACTCTTCGGCTTATAGGATTAGGTATCACCGACTTCGTGGTCATGGGCTCCCATGGTGAAGCACCCTGGTTGGCGATCGAGAAGCGTAGTATAATTATCCGTGAGACCAGAAAAATGGGTCTCTATCCACCCTCTACAAGAGCAGCTACAGACCAGGCTTAAAATGACCTTTGGGTTCATTGAAATAAATATCAAGCAATGAACAGGGATCACGTTGTGAGAGTCCGTTCATTGTGTTTAAGCGGAGTACTCAATACTTGCGGAATATATCTTACTCAAATAAACTTTGAATTTCTGTGATAGATCCTTTTTCCAAGCGATGCCGTCAAATAGCCCGCGTAGTCTCATCCTCAAACAATGTCGATCAGGTATAACCAACTGAGACGAGTTGGAAATGATATGTCATTTGGTTTCAAGACATTCCTTTTGACTCTCACAGACATGACGCGCGGAAGTCCTACCCGCCGACAGCTGAAACACGATCAAAGTTCGAGCGCCAAGTTCTGTTCCCCTTCTAGACCCACACACTTGGTGCAATCATAAGCAGAACCGACACTTGAGCTGTTTCCAGGCTTACGGCCGACGTAATCGGCCAAGGCAGGGCCTTCCAAGCCTGACTTAAAGAATACGAGCAATCCTGACAGGTCTAGGCCATTCTAATTATGGTGCTTGATTAGGCAGACCACGACGATGATTTCTTGGTGCACGAAAATATTATACTCAGAGCGTGGTCTCATCAATATAGTGACGGTCCGAAGAAAGATACTTTGCTTTGATAATATCATTGTTAGATGGACTGGGACTGAAATATCCTATCCCGGGGATAACGAAATCGTTTGCTTATTTTTAGGCATTCTTTCACAACAAGACCCCAGTTAATTTGGTGTTTTTGATTGGTAATTCCTGTACCTGGATATTCCAATCCGAGGTCTTTAGGGGGTATCAAAGAAACTGATTCGTGATCAAAAATCGTTTGGAAGTTCTCAAATCATGTGTCCTGAGTAACCGGGCGCTAGACAATATTCGCTCTCGGAAATTTCTTAGCGAAGACTGCAGTTACTATAGTCTGCATGGCTTCCGCGCGTTCCGACCGTTCGAATCGATAATCATGTACGAACTGACTATATTTGCTCAGAGATATACAATCTGCAAACCATGCCGTCGGACTCCGCATTTAACATGGAAACGATTGTCCTGGTGCAGTTAATATCCAGGAAGCTTGGTTGAGCATATTTAGCAGATTTTAGGCTGGTGGTGTCATTGCAGATCACTTATCCCAGCACCATGTTGTCTGTGAAATGTGTACTCCGTAGATTGAATGATTGATCTGAACGGAGAGATCAAGGGAGCGGAAGGGATTTCCTGCCTCAGGCGACCGTAAGGGGGATGACCGCGGGAGCCCTACTTTCCACTTGTCCGTCTGGCGATGTGACGGATCACCGATTTCCAACAGGGCGTGGCAATGGAATCCAGTCTCCACCAGGGTCCTCTGATCGTTACTAAAGATAGAAGGTGAGTCGACCAGATCGATGTTCATCACGTCTGTGCTCGCGATCCCCGAACGGTTCTGCACAATCTGCTGTTTTTCCCACTGGACAAACCATGGCACAGTATACATCCCAAATTATGGCCTGATATCTCAACTCCCCTGAATGACCACAATTTACTATGGCGGACATTTTCGCCCGGTCGGACCCCAACTGAATCCGACGGGGATCTCCATCGACTGACGACGACATTTCTGGGCAGTGGGCTCAGCCTCTGGCCTCAGCAGGCCCTCATTGGGCCCACAAGTGGATGATCGTCAGTTCTGGGCAGCTTCCAGGCCAAGCCACTTGTCGCCCAGCGCCGACAGCTTTTCTCCGCTCGCCGGGGCCAAACTGGCGCACTGCAGCGGCGAATGCAACGCTACGGAAGGTATCAGCGCCCTCCGTCGCCAACACCCCTGCGGTGGCGTCTGACGCCGGCTCCACTTGACAGACAATGAAGCTTCGGGGGTCAGCACCCGTCGTTCCCTCCGGCGCTGTGATTGCTGCAGGATGGCCCCTGCCAAGGGTCGAATCGCCGACGACAAAGACGGTCAATAACGTCGCCCATCAATAACAGCTCTGTCAATAGGATGGCCCTATTGCTCCGTTCGGCTTGCCGGTGGATCGTGGCCTGCAGAAGGATGCGGGTGGGTGTCGTTGGAATCTCCTTGGCTCAGTCTGATACTTAACCTGGCTCCTTTCAGGAGCTGATGTTAAACCCTTCTTTTTCTCCCTCCCTCTTTCTCTTTCGATTGTAGACGGTGGACAGTGTCGGTTCGGTTTTTATTCTATATTTTGTTTCTGTGCGGCTTCAAGATGCGGTTCTTCAATTTAGCGTGGCTGGTGCCCGCCGTTCTGGCGATTCCTCATTCCGACCGTGCAAACACCGTGTCGACTGTCAAGCGTGATGGCATCACGTACAATGTCTTCGAGCACCGTGCGACCGGGTCGAAACTCGAATTCGTCAAGAACTCGGGCATCTGCGAGACGACTCCCGGTGTGAACCAGTACTCCGGCTATCTCTCGGTCGGAGAGAACATGAACATGTGGTTCTGGTAAGGCGATGTGATGCCTGTTGCCGATCTGCTCCGATCGTCTGCATTATCGTTAAGTTAACGGACAATTTTCTCCACAGGTTCTTCGAGTCTCGCAACGATCCCAAGAAGGCGCCTCTCGCTGCCTGGTTCAACGGCGGCCCGGGCTGCTCGTCCATGATCGGACTGTTCCAGGAACATGGTCCCTGCCACTTCGTCGACGGTGAAAAGAAGCCGTCGCTGAACGAGCACAGCTGGAATAACTACGCCAACATGCTATACATTGATCAGCCGATCGGCGTCGGCTTCTCGTACGGCACGAACAACGTCACCAGCACGGTCACGGCCGCTCCGTATGTGTGGAAGCTGCTTCAGGCGTTCTACGATCAGTTCCCTGAGTACGAGAGCCGTGACTTTGGTCTGTTCACCGAGGTAATTCCATTCTCGTTCTAACCATCTTGGCCTGTTCACTCAGAAACTATATAGTCCTACGGCGGCCACTACGGCCCCGAGTTCGCCTCCTACATCCAGGAGCAGAACAAGGCCATCGAGTCCGGCTCCGTCGAGGGCCAGAAGGTCGACCTCGTCGCCCTCGGCATCAACAACGGGTGGTTCGACACCAGCATCCAGCAACAGTCCTACATCGACTTCGCCTACAACAACAGCTACCGGTCTTTGATCTCCGAGAAGCAGCGCGACGGGTACCTCCAGACCCTCAAGGAAGTCTGCCTGCCCGCGGTCGAGAAATGCACCAAGACCGGAACCAACGACGCCTGCCGCGAGGCCTCCTCCACCTGCTACTCCACCGTCGAGGGGCCCATCATGGGGGCTGACGACTTTGATGTCTACGATGTGCGTCGCGGTTCGGATGATCCTGAGCCGCCTTCCACCTACAGCGACTACCTGGCCGACGAGGAGGTCAAGAAGGCTATCGGGGCGCGCTCGAAATACAGCGAGTGTGCCAATGCGGCGAGCGCCAAGTTCTCAACCACCGGGGACAGTAAGTACTATTATCCTGTTTATAACGCATGCAGACTGACGTGTGTTAGACCCTCGCTCGTTCCTCTCCGCTCTGTCGGAGGTCGTGCAGTCCGGCATCTCCGTGCTTGTCTGGGCCGGCGACGCCGACTGGATCTGCAACTGGATCGGGAACTACGACGTGGCCAACGCGGTCGAGTTCGACGGCCAGGACGAATTCAAGGGTAAATCGCTGAAGCCGTACACTGTCAACGGCACCGAGAAGGGCACGTTCAAGACGGTCGACAACTTCTCGTTCCTGCGCGTCTACGAAGCCGGACATGAAGTCCCTTACTACCGTAAGTCATTTCGCTCATATTACGTCCGGAAACTCGCATTTCTAATCAAGCTTTAGAACCGGAGGTCTCGTTCCAGGCGTTCAAGCAGACTTTGCAGAAGAAGCCCATCTCTTCTACTTAGAGCATCTGACCAATCTGACTATGCTGGTCAGATTTGAGATCCCATCGACTGGGCCTCATGTACATACAGAACGGATGGCCTTGATGGTTGAATCCCGACTGATGGTAATATATACATATTTATTTTGCATACATGTCTATAGTTTTAATACATCGATAGCTGCCGTTAGTAGCAATGAATTTGCCTTCAATTCTCTCTTGTCTTTTGAATTAGTCACTTGCTATTCTTGGTTAATTTCATTCATGCGAAGGGTTTAGCCTGCTACAAAGAGGTATTACAAATCTGTGTGTTACTATTCCTAGTTGTGATACCCACATCTTTGTTTGCTACTAATAGGTTCTGGGGTAGTTTGATCTTCAAAGAGATTCGTCTGGGTAATTGCTGCGAATTGGATAAAAGTCCTGCTCTTCTACCAGATTTTGCCATGAAGCTACGGTCAGAAAAGACAAAAATGCGGACAATCCGGCAAGGTGCCTGAAGTTGATGTCATAGTCTTCAGGAATGACAAACAAAACACCCGACAGCTACACAATCTTCCGACAAACGTACATGGTCTTTATGGAATATGGCTAATTCTGATAATCTGGGAAGCTCGGTGTTTGCTTTTTTCCTCTGTTTGGTTATCCCAGGTATAATCACCAGGCAAGGGTTCAACTTCATCGGCTCAATAACACCATTAACAAACCATCCCCCTCAAAAAAATTGCCTAAATCCAAGACAGGATAAATAGCCAATTTGAAATCCATCGGGAAATTTCCACACGCGATCTTCACAATCCGACTGCTATTCGTGGAATACCAGGAACCGAGCATGGATGGGTGATGATCAGCGGGGTTGCTGCATTAGAGCTTCATTAGTCCCTGCCCCAGTCTGCATCATCGTCACAATCAATCCATCGCAATGAGGTCAATTCAGCAGGTATAAAGCTGTCCCAAATTTCACAATCAAATCCAAATACCACGACCATGCATCTTTCCCAGCCATGTTATTCTCTCGCATCACTATCCCCTCAGCGCTGGGCCTTCTCCCCGTCGTCCAGTGCCTGAACGCCTCGCATTTCACATGGTACACGTCCGGCGCATCGGACTTCGCATCAACCCTACCAATCGGAAATGGTCGACTCGCGGCAGCGGTCTGGGGCACCCCCGTTGAGAATATCACGCTGAACGAGAACTCCGTCTGGGGCGGTCCATTCAAAGACCGTGCGAACCCTGATGCCTATGACGCCCTGGGCGACGTTAGGGAGCTGCTTCAGAATGGCAGTTTAACGGAGGCAGGGCAGCGTGCACTTGCTGATATGGTTGCCATTCCGGACTCGCCGCAAAGTTATCATCCTGTTGCGAGCTTGGTGTTGGACTTTGGGCATGAGAGGGAGGGTATGGAGGATTATGTGAGGAGTTTGGATACGTATACTGGGACGGCGGAGGTGAGTTATGTGTATGACGGGGTTAGGTATACCAGGGGGTTTGTGGCGAGTTATCCAGGGGATGTGCTTGGGTTTAGGGTCGAGGCTAGTGAGGAAGGGAAGTTGGATTTGAGTGTAGCGTTGGAGAGGGAGAGGCTTGTGTTGGAGAACGAGGCGGAGGTGGTGGATAGGGCTGGGAAGTTGGTGCTGAAGGCGGAGACGAGTGAGAATGAGAATCCGATTCGGTTCGCTGCTGGTTTGAGAGTTGTTGCTGATGGAGGTTGGTTTCTCTGTCGGGTGGATATGTTTATTGCTAACCTTTTGGACAGGTGAGGTCACGGGCAATGGGTCCTCGATCGTGGTGAGGTCGGCATCGACTGTGAACATCTTCTTTGATACAGAGACCTCGTACCGCTATGACAGTCAAGAGAAATGGGAAGCACAACTAAATGATATATTGGATGCCGCAGTTGAGAAAGGATATTCCGGTCTCCGAGAGGAAGCTGTCAAGGACTATACCTCTCTCATCGGACGTGTGAATCTGGATCTGGGCTCCTCTGAATCTGCTGGAAACCAGACAACCGACACGCGACTGAGGAACTACAAGGAGAAGCCCGATCAAGACCCTGAACTGGTCACTTTGATGTTCAACTTTGGGCGGCATCTGCTTTTGTCTTCGTCACGGCGCTCAGCCTCCCCTTCATTGCCGGCCAACCTGCAGGGAATCTGGAATCAAGATTACAGTCCCGCATGGGGTGGCAAGTACACGGTGAACATCAACTTGGAGATGAACTACTGGCTCGCACAAGTCACCAATCTGGCTGAGACCTTTGAACCGTTCGTGGAATTATTGGAGACAGTTCGTCCTCGTGGCGAAGCGATGGCCAAAAGCATGTATCACTGCGACAGCGGGTTTGTCCTGCATCATAACACCGATCTCTGGGGAGACACGGCGCCCACCGACAATGGCACGGCCTATACTATCTGGCCGATGGGGGGTGCGTGGCTGGCGTCTCAACTCATGGAGCAATACCGGTTCACCCAGGACAAGAAGTTTCTGGAAGAACGCATTTGGCCTCTTTTGCAAAGTGCAGCCCATTTCTACTACTGCTACCTCTTCACCTTCGAAGGCTACTACAGCACCGGCCCATCCTGCTCCCCCGAAGCCTCATTCAAGGTACCCTCAGACATGACCAAGGCAGGCAGCAAAGAAGCCCTCGATATCGCCCCCACGATGGACAACTCCCTGCTATACGAGCTCTTCACCGCGATCAACGAAACCTGCATCACCCTCTCCCTATCCAGTGACGAAGACTGCACCACCGCAGTCAAGTACCTCGCCAAAATCAAACCGCCGCAGATTGGATCGAGCGGCCGGATTCTGGAATGGCGCAACGAATACGAGGAATCAGCCCCCGGCCACCGCCACATGAGTCCAATCGTGGGTCTCTTCCCGGGCTCCCAGCTGACCCCATTGGTAAACGAGACCCTGGCCCAGGCTGCCAAGGGCTTCTTGGATCGTCGTATCGAAAGCGGCAGTGGAAGTACTGGCTGGTCGCGCGTCTGGACAATGAACCTCTATGCTCGCCTATTTGACGGCGACGCCGTATGGAATCACACGCAGACCTTCCTGCAGACGTATCCGAGCTCGAACCTGTGGAATACGGACGGTGGGCCTGGTACGGCTTTCCAGATCGATGGCAATTTTGGGTTTGTCTCGGGTATTGCGGAGATGTTGTTGCAGAGTCATGAGGTTGTGCATTTGTTGCCGGCGTTGCCGTCGGCGGTAGAGACGGGGAGTGTGTCGGGATTGGTTGCTAGAGGAAATTTTGAGGTGAGTATAGAGTGGAAGGATGGAGCGCTGGAGGAGGCAACGGTTCTATCGAAGAGTGGAGGGAAGCTGGCGCTTCGAGTGCAGGATGGAAAGTCGTTCTCGGTGGATGGGAAGAAGTATGCGGAGCCTGTTGAGACCGAGGCTGGCTCGACATACACAATCACCCTTTCGTAAAAGATGGTTGGATATGTTCGGCGGTTCTACATTTCCATTCAGGCCAGGGGTGATGTCAATGTGCCATACTGTCGAATTGTTCGCTCCACTTCCGTGCGTTGGCGGCTTGAATGCACAATACGACCAATCCTGTCCATTCTAAATATATACTCCTTGTTTGGCCCAGGAGGGCACAGCCCTGACCCGAGCCAAGTCTGTATGTCTAAGACATCGTTCGTGAAGTTGGTCATGCAATCAATAGCTATTGACGTTGCCGCCTTGAATCAATAATAGATCTCTCGTCCTTTGGCACACTCGAGGAAATACCCCCCGTCCATGCTATAAATACCTCTTCATTTCCCGCGAGACTACTGCCAGTCGCAACAAAAACATCTACCGTCCTTCGTACTACCACAATATGAAGCTCCCAGCTACTCTCTCCGCAGCTCTCCTGGCCGTGTCTGCCGCCGCGCAGTTCGACAAAAACCTCCGTAAGCTCTCCCCCTTCCCCCTCCCATCCCAATGCTCACTCCCTTTCAGCATGGGGTAAACGCGACTACGCCTGCATCAACGTCTACCAAGGCATCCCCGACCATTCGACCGTCGCCCCGGGAGCCGAAATCACCCTGAAGTTCAACCGCGAACCGACAGGGCGCTGCGACTCCAACCTTTCCCAGTACCCGGGTACTCCCTACGCCGTGTGGCTGTATAATAACCCGGTGCGCAACCGCGATGTCGTGTCCTGGGACCAGAGGGTCAAAATCACCGACGGGGTGGACGAGCATGGCGGTGAAGTGACGATCACCATCCCTGAGGATTTGCCTGCTGTCGGCGATGACTCGGTTTGGTATTTGAGGGTGGATACGGTGCTGTCGACGGCGCCGCAGGTGAGTTTGTTCTGACCATTGGGTTGGATGGATAGGCTGACGAGGGTAGATGCCGAGTTTGTTTAATGCTACTGGACCGTTTGCTATTCGGGAGTAGGTTGAGTTGGTTTGGATAGGGCCATATTGGTAGATAATGCGAGGCGATCGTATTAGACAGTGAGGATATAATTAAGTGCACTAGGCGACCTTTGGGTCCAGATCTGGATCATTGCTTTGTGATTTTGTTCCAATGTAACGAGCACGTTTTCGGGACATAGCTTTAGCCACGGCACCAATTAAACAAAGAAAGCTAATGATAGACGTCATTTTCAAGCTTATTAGCGGGGCGTTAGTCCTCTCATGCGAGGAGTGTCCTCCAACGGTGACACTCCGTGGGGGCCAGTCTAAGAGCTGCAGAGGGTAGAAAGCCATACAACGCTATATTGATTCAGATAGAGTGCTCTATCATTATAGGGATGATGTTAAAAAGCGATTGATGCTAATGTTTGTAGGCCCGGGTTATGTTTCTGAGTACGCAGCCATTCAACAGGTCCAGCAGGGCTTTTTGGTTGATGAACTTGAAAAAAAAAAAAAAAAGAAAAAGAAAAAGGCTGCTCAGTAACAGCACCAAACCAACGCAATAAACAGATCAAACACTATCCAACAGCCCCGTGCACAAGACCCCAATCAACAGAGCGACAGGAGCATATCCCCAATGACCCCACTGGCCATGACCGTGGGCCCAGCAAATAGCTCCGTCGCCAAAAGCCACCCCACCGATGGCGATCATGATCCACCCCAATGCTTTCCGGCTGCCGAAGAATGCAGCAGAGTAGACGGCCAGGCCCATGAAGATATCGCGGATGCCGTAGACGGCGAGGAGGTCGTCAACGACGCGTTTCTCGGTGGGAGAGACGGGCGCGTCCCATTCGAAGAAGGTGAGGGCGTGGTCGGGGCGCAGGATAGCGTTGATGCCGAACGCAATGCAGGTGGTTGCACAGGCGGTGGCTGCGATGGTGAGGCTTTTGGATTGCGAGAGGTGCATTTTGAAGTCGAGTTGATAGGATATGTGTTCTAGAGGTCAGAGTAGAGGGATAGAGAGGGACTGGAGATGTAGTGAAAATTGCTGAGGTATTGGTCTTGGGGAGGCTCCAGATTTTTATGGCGGAGCTCAAAAGTCTTTGTTTCTCTGCGTTGGAGATCCGTTGGTTGACTGATGCTGCTGGAAGGCTGCCTGCTCTTGGCGTTCCTTCGGATTTAGACGGACATAACAACCTAGAGGGTTTTGTTGACATTTTGTCATCTTTTGAACCCTACTTTCTCTTGAATCATCATTGACTGGATTGCTATAATTAAGCTCTAAGTTTGCTGTTGGGGGGTGGTATGGTGTCCATCTACATATAAGATTCTATATAGTTCTGCTGGCCTGGCCTGCTTCTGCTGGTGTGTGGGATGTCGCTGTATACCGAATTTAAAAGCCTTATTTAAGGAAGGGGGTTGCCCCGGTAACCTTATACCCTGTGAAGGACCTTTTCGCATAACGACGGTGTAGCAAACTACGCATGCACAACGTAGCCAAGGACATACTCACGCTATAATTTGCTCTTTTATCTCGCCGTTCAGGACAGTAGATCATTTCTGCTACCGGAATAAACCCGCTCGATCAGCATTAACCAACTGCCATAGTCCGAGCAGGATGTAGTGGGACTCGAAAGACCGATCGTCATTCATGGCTGGGCATGGTCTTACATTCTACGGCAACACAGATTTGCTTCTCATCAGCTGGAACGACAAGCTATCACTCATTCAGACAGGGATTTTAGACTCGTCTATCAAATGGGCACAAGGGAATTATATTAGCTAGCTTAGGAGAGGACAGGATGATACAACGACTTAGGCGCGCTTTAGCTATGCCAGATATTAAAGGAGATACTGCGGGCCTCTTCAAATGTCTTGACAGAGTAATTAGCCGAAGACCTTGATGAAAAATTCAGTATTTACTTTAAGACCTTGGAAACTATATTCCATCCTTCTCATACCATTTCTTCATGATAATAAACAACTCGTTTGACCGTTCACCACCAGTAATCTTTATTTTGCCAGTATCAGAGTAGAAGATCCCCTTAAATTATCGTCATGTCTTTATTTATAATCTTCTCTAACTTAACACCAAAGAATACTGCATGTCTGTCCAAATTTATCACAAGACAATAACAGGCTTTCCAGGAAAAAGCACATAATTTGCTTCCGTGTCAGATTTTAACGTTTCAACCGCCAAAGTGCCCTTCTTTCTCCTGGTATTAACAGCTTTTCAAACGTGCCCAGTTTTCTGAGTCTTCGAAGAAGATCCATGCGTCGCTCTGCCTCTAGTCTTGGGCGTCGACGATGACGCAGAATATGCGGGTGCTGGAGCATGAGGTCCGTTCGCGTAGAGCTGCTTGCAGGTTTCTACCCCTCTGCTCTGCAGCGCGGGCGTGCATTTGGGCATCAACCACCCGCCTCCCGTTTATATCTGTATAGGTCCGATGCCCAATTTCCTCCATGTATAGAGATGTAATGTACATATGTGTTATATATGAGATATTTTTGAGATGCTATTTCTTTTGTCTATGACTACCGTAATATACATCATTAAGGACGTATGTAAAATAAAGTGTAGCCTATAATCTATCGGCTATCTCGTCCCTCAAATACAATGATGCTTCCGTTGCCGATCAGGCTGTTCCTCGGTAGGCGAATAAGTGCCCTCAACGGATATAAAAGTTGAGGTATAAGTGCTCGATTATTCCCTTTCGCTGATGATTTCTTGAACATCGATATCGAGTTTCTTGCAAGACTGATTCAGTCACAACTAGTAATCTATATAGCTATCTCGTATCCCTGATTCCACAGCCTACTCTTCTATCCTGCCCATTATGACCGTTCCACAAAGCTGCACTGTGCTGGTCATTGGAGGAGGCCCCGCTGGTTCATATGCAGCAGCAGCTTTGGCCCGTGAAGGGATTGAGACGGTATTACTGGAGGCAGATAAATTCCCCAGGTCAGTTATCACAATAGGTTTTCTGGAGTCTCAATCGTATAGTAGGTTGCTGTCTGTTGGGCTCATCTCACGTGTGACAGGTATCATATCGGCGAAAGCACTCTTCCTTCCCTACGCCACTTCTTCAAGTTCATAGACTTTTACGATACCTTCAATGCTCATGGATTCTACCACAAGGTACTTTACTTATATTGTGCTTTTTCTTGAATCGTTAATTAATACGCTAACGCCACTTATAGAATGGTGCAGTTTTCCGACTCGCTCAAGCTCAGCCCGATGCCTGTAAGTCTTTCCTGCTCCTTCTTCCTAATTATTCCCATGTCCCCTATATGTACATTTCCACACATAAGCTAATATCTGTCAAGACACCGACTTTCTTGAGGCAGGCGGTCCTGATGGATATGCCTGGAACTTGATCCGATCCGAATCCGACGACCTGCTCTTCAGACACGCCGGGACTTGTGGCGCTCATATTTTTGACGAAACCAAGGTCGACGCAATCCAATTTGAGCCAGAAACTAATGAAGCGGGCCCAAAGTCGAATGGGGTATCGAATCCTGGCCGACCCGTGTCTGTCACCTGGGTCCGCAAAGATGGCACTTCTGGATCCATCGCCTTGAAGTACCTTGTGGATGCTAGCGGAAGGCATGGCATCCTGAGCACGAAATACCTGAAGAACCGGAAGTTCAACGATAATTTCAAGAACGTTGCTAACTGGGCTTACTGGAGGACTGACAAGGTATATGGCCCTGGGACGCACATGGAAGGTTCGCCATACTTTGAGGCATTGGACGGTGAGTTCGTGGAAGAGCCTATTTCACTTCTATGCTTAGATATCGGCCTTTTTGCTAAGGAACAAAACAGATGCCAGCGGCTGGGCTTGGTTCATGCCACTACACGATGGCACTCGCTCCGTCGGAATTGTTCAGGACCAGAAACTTGCGACTGAAAAGAAGCGAGAGCTGGGACGTCCCTCAACCTTGGATTTCTATAAGCAATGCGTCAAAATGGCGCCTAGGACTAAGGAGCTCCTCTCGGAGGCAGAGGTAGTCACCGATGTCAAATCGGCGTCGGACTGGTCCTATACCGCGTCAGCTTATCACTTATCAAATGCACGCATCTGCGGAGACGCCGGTAGTTTCATCGACCCTTTGTTCTCCTCGGGAGTTCATCTCGCCGTGATAGGCGGTCTCTCAGCGGCAGCTACTATTGCAGCTTCGATCAGGGGTGACTGTGATGAACAGACTGCAGGCTCGTGGCACTCCAAGAAGACGGTTGAGAGCTATACCCGATTCTTCTTGGCGGTTAGCAGTGCCACAAAGCAGATTCGCGAACAGCATGAGCCTATCATCCAGGACATGGACGAGGAAGGGTTCCAAAGAGCTTTTGATCTTCTTAGACCTAGTAAGGACTTTTCGAACCACCATACCCTAGTCCCAGTTCCAGTTCTTGGTTTAACCAGATTTTTGTTGTTTTAGTCATTCAAGGTACAGTCGATGCCGACACCACAGGCAAAACTTCCGATTCAGAAATCTCCAAGGCACTCAAATTCTGCTTCAGGGCATTCACATATGTCCCGCCGGAACAGAAAGACGCACTGTTCGAGAAGCTCACGAAATTGCAAAGTGACGCGACAGCGGCGAATGCACTCGACGATATACAAAAACATCTTACGGCGGACGAGCTGCAGGTGCTAGAGACACTCCGAAGTAGGCGTATGATTCGTGAAGACCCCTTCGAGATGGATAGCTTCACGCTCGACACTATCGACGGACTGGCGCCAAACTTAGTACGCGGTAAACTGGGGCTTGTTAAATCTGGGCAGGCCAAAATTGATCGGGCTCATTTCTTTTCGCCGCGATTTTTGGATGGTAAGGGCCCGGAGATTCGGGAGGGAAGCGTTCATCTACCCACGTCGAAGGTTCAACTTTGTTGATTATTCAGTCAAACAAACGGGATGAGAAGTAGCTCACTGGCCACAATATCCATCAGAGAAATCTGCGCTCCGGTTTCAAGCAGTTTTATTTTCAAGTAAGAGACATTTGTCTGTTTGATTTCGCTGTACTATTTCCAAATGTTCACGTTTGCTCCTTTCGGCCGTGATCCGAAGATTGGGTGATTCAGCTAAAGATGGGTTCATCGTTCATCTGCTGAAGATCTGGAGGGCAACGGGACCTATAAGCTTAAAAACGCACTTGAAATTGTCCTTTTTGCTTCAGAAGTCTCCGAGTAGTTGGCCGATTCCGACGTATGCATACGCCCGAAGACGCATGGGAAGAGACCCAGCGTTTGGGAGCTATTCCTGCCAGGACATCAATGGGTTCAAGTTTGTTGAAACATCACAATGCATGATTCAGAGAGTATTTGCTTTGATTTATGTTGAGAAGAGTATGTGGGTGGCTTGTTCGGGCCCTGGTTTGCGGATAGCTTTAAATCCATGGGGCTCGCTATTGCCGGCTCAAGCCTAACTGGAAATACAAAAGTGAAGATTGCTACCATGAGGCAAGCGGCCAGGCATGATATTGCTAGCAACTAAGTCATAGATGGAAACTATTGATAAGCCTCTTGGTATCATCAAGAACTGCCAGACATGATGGAACTCGGTCAGGGTGATTACAGCTAGAGCGGTAGTATGATGGACAATCGCGCGCCGGTGGTGACTGATGCCAGTTCCTCTGCCGCTCTTCTAGTTGAAGCACGAAAGTCATAAAGCAATTTCCCCTCTGTGCTTCTACCCCATGTATCTCCGACTTTATGATTTTGCGCATCGAGTCTCGCCATTCTGAAGGCGTGATCTCAATAGTGAAGGTCGGTTGTGCAGAGGGTGAACCAGAAGACGATTGCCCAACTAGATGATTGTTGGAGATATCAAGATGTTTTCTCTGTCTTTTGCTCGTGGCTTGCAGCTCCTCTTGGTCGATTTGCTCGAGTAGTCTGGCGTAACATTCTGCGATGCAGGTGGTAACGACACCCAGTATTAACCCGTTCTGGATCACGGAAAAATATCGCAGAGGACACTGATCACACGTGGCGACGCCTAAGGCCTTGTCCCTGCAATTTCGAAGAATAAGCAAGTCATCCGGGACCACCCATGTGGTTTTGTTTCTCAGCTGCTCCAACAATAAGTAAAGCACGGATGGACAGGCGCATTTGTCGGTCTGGCCTGGGCTTGAAGGGTTGGGGAGAAAAGCGGGTGGTTGAAATTGATTTTGCGGTTGCGTGTTACTATGAGTAAAGTAAGTAAGCAGCTGTCCCTGACTACAGTGATGGAGCGCTCAAGACCATACAGATGATAGAAGTCGTCTAGATACGGTGCTTCGGAAGTGATCTCGGAAGCTATATCAATGGGGCGAGGGATAGGCCCTTGCAATGTAGACTCGCCACCAACCGGAGAAAGTAGAGAGATTCCCTGGCCATGGCTGGTGGTGGGCCCGGTCAAGCTGGAATGGGCCGAGGGAGAGGGAGTAGCAGGTGCAGTGGGTTTAGGCTGTGAGATCTGCTGTCTGGATACGCGTCGAGTTCTCGGCCTACCCATTTGAAGTCGACGCGAGTATGTACATTCATGGTTGCGCGAAGAACATCGCGAACAAATTGGATGCTCCCCGCTGCATCGGAGCTTTTTCGTTCCTGTAGCCAAGCATCAGTAACTGGAGGGATGGCACGGGGCAGTTATCAGACGCACTGCAATTATCACAGGATTCCCTGGCCTGTCGTGGATCCATCGCCACTGTGCTGTGCAGGTCAAGCGTCCAGCGAGGGCAAAATTATGGTGATAATCAGACTCTGCGGATGCAGCGAAGTCAGCATGATTTCCGAACATCCGAGAAAGCGGGAAACCGGAGAGCCGTGGATGTATATCGACTAGTACTACGCCCAGAAAGACAAGACGCATCCTACTGTCAATGACCTAAGATTTACGGCGCTCATAGTGGGGCTCTCGGACACAAATAACCAATGAGAAACGCGCCGAAAAGAATGAATCTATAAAACCAATTTTCGAGATAGTATCCTTCGGGTCACTAGCCGATGGAGCAAAGCATCGACCCGGAGAGAATATGGGCAACTCGCGAAGAGCCCTCGGAGAAATTCATTTCTCGTGGACTTTCGCTGCCCGGAGCCACGAAATAACATGAAGCCGAGGCAAAGGCATCTCCAACTCCAACGCTGGCTGGGGAAGGAAGCTCAAGGTCATTTCGGCAATTGCGGAAAGTATACTGCAATTATAAAAGATTTTTAAATGCAGCGCATCCTTTCTTTCTTCTGGTCTATAACATTTTACATACCCCTTTGCTTTGACTTATTTCTTATTCTTGAACTGCCGAGCCTCCCTTTCGCGTAATCAATCGACGACGATATACTGCAGAGGTTTCGAATTCCTTAAACCGACGATGCAACTCGACCCCAAGCTCGACCGCGAGCAGAATGACTTGGAACATGCATCTCCTCAACCCGACCAGGTCCCCGATGGGGGCTTCATAGCATGGGTGCAGGTTGTCCTTACGCACATCGTCTTTTTCAACACCTGGGGCGTCGCCAATGGCTACGGAATCTTCCAGCAGTACTACACCCAGACACTTGGCCAGTCAGGGTCATCGGTATCATGGATCGGGAGTGCCCAGGTGTTTTTTCTTTTCATCGTTGGTGTTGTCGCGGGGCGTCTTACCGATGGTGGGCACTTCCGAGTCATCTTTACCTCTGGTGTTTTTCTTCAGCTCTTGGGCCTTTTTATGACCTCGTTAGCGACAAGATACTGGTCAATTTTCCTCGCTCAGGCTGTTTGTCTCGGAATTGGCAATGGCTTTACGTTTTGCCCAGCTTTGGCAGTCCTCTCTCAATACTTCAAAAAGAAACGAGCCTTCACCGTTGGGCTAGCAGCTGCCGGCGGTGCGGTTGGTGGACTTGTATATCCAGTTCTGATCAACTGGCTGGTCTTCAAGAATGGCGTTGGTTTTGCATGGGCTTTAAGGGCTATGGGTTTTATCATGATGGGCATCTATATGCCATGCCTGATATGGTTCAAGCCTCGTCTATCACCGCGAAAAAGCGGCCCCTGGATAGATAGCTCCGCATTTTCCGAGCTGCCATTCATATTCTTCTCTCTGAGCATGTTTCTAAACTTCTGGGGGCTTTACTTTGCATTCTTTTACCTGGGGACCTTTATTCGTGACCAGGTGGGTGGTGTCGAGCCAATTTATCTATTGATGGTTCTAAATGGAGTTGGCGTTCTTGGACGTGTCGTTCTACCGATCATCGCAGACAGGTGGACCGGCCCTCTCAACATTCTAATCCCGACTAGCATTGCCGCGAGCTTGCTTGTATACTGCTGGGCGGCTATACACTCTGTAGCAGGATTGTATGCCTTCGCTGTTGTGTACGGCTTCCTTGCCGCTGCATTGCAAGCTCTGTTTCCGGGAGTTGCGACCACAATGACGCCCCACCCTAATAGGACGGGAACTCGAGTGGGAATGATTCTTGGTTTTGTGAGCTTTGCCAATCTCACCGGGCCAGCAATTTGTGGTGCTTTGATCAGGCAAGAAGATGGAAATTATTTGGGAGCTCAAATGTTTGCTGGGTCTTCTATCCTCCTTGGTGCAGTTATGGCCTTAGCAGCCAGGATCGCAAAGGTTGGACCATCATTAGACGCAAAAGTATAGATTCAAAACTCTTATATTTGTGATCAGTCCACTTTAGCAATATTCACCGCACGATGCCGCCAACGCGATCTGCCATATCAGGGCTTTTTTTCTCTTGAATGAAACATGTATACTAAGCTTTCGCCTTTGATATCGGCACAAATATTACTAATTCAACATTTCATCTTTCATCATACACACGAAGCCATTCTTCAGGCAGAGACAAGTGGAGGAAATGGGAATGGGTCCCCTGGCACATTCTCACTGAATGGCCCAGAGTGGAAATTTCGCTGTAAGGACCTACAGAACAAGTTTCTTCTTCACTTTACAGAATGTTTTTTCCACCACTCTCATGTGCATAACAGCTATTAGATAAAATCATTTATACTCTACCACAAGTCAGGAAAACCTTTTAGGTACCAGACGCGATTTTATTATGGGTAGACTACGGCAGGGCCACCCTCGCGGATCTTCGCGGACCCTCTCAGGGTTAAGGTCAAGGTCCATGAGATTCCTCAAACAAGGCAAATATAGACAGCTCGTGGCTTGCATTATTTATGATAATTCTGGCTGTATCTTCGGGTATTCTGCTTACACGCTCTCAGGCCTATAAGATAAGTTAGATAGAGGTTCACTTTAACTGCTTCATCCGAAGCTCATACTAAATGCAGAGCCATTGATAGTCATATCCATCAAGAAGTTTCGACCGTTTTCCGATATTCTGCTTTACGCAAAATAACAATATCTTTCGTCCAAACTGAAACATTTCCTGTTTCTTTTAATGGTCTATTAATGGGGGCTAGCAGCAATTGTGGGGTACGGCAAAACTTGAGGTAGATTCGGAGGATCGGAGGCTTAAGACCAATCGGAGACTTTTGATGGACTCGGGGGGAGACTTTATGTCTTGATGGCAAATATTCTACTGCACTAAGAAGTGTCGATCCTTCCTAGTGAAGGGCGATTTATTTGTATGCTGTGGAATCTTCGTGTGATACAAGGTCTCCCTGGCTTGAGCATTTCAACGCAGCATAGTTCCCGGATTCAAAATTCTAGGCGTTTACTCTTTGTCCCCTGCCTTCTTCATACTGCACAGCGATTCACGATGGTTAATTCCGAGGCGATTACTCTCAGTCAACAAATTGCGGTGCACTCGCTGAGCCCGGGGTGCTTCGCTTCAGTATGCCATCCAGCTAGGCTGGGGTCCCTGACCTCAACCGCCTTTGGTGGAAGTTCTCTGGCAATTGCAATCAGCGCCGCATTTCAACAATCTCGCCGAGACTTTCACCTCTATTCTATCGCTGGTTACTTTATTCGACCCGCGAATACCGATCGCAAGCTTTTCTGTCAGATTGAGAACGTGAGAAAGAGCAAAAGCTTCGAGACAAGAGAGATTCGCCTTACCCAAGAAGATGAACATGGAATTCGCAAGATCTGTCTCATCGCGTTAGCTGACTTTCATATCGTGGAGCCCAGGTCCATGGTAAGCTTCGCTACAGCCCCCGAGCTGATCACCTTGCCTGAAACCACCAGTGAGCAGCCTCTGAAAGGCCCTTCTCAAGCCTCCTGTTCTGGCATCGATCTTTACCAGGATATCGAGAAGTTTATTGAAATGAAACCGCTTTCCCCTGGTCACGGTCTATTCCATTCACCAATACATAAACAGGGGATGCTCACAAGCAATCTCCCGCCACCCTTCCCCTGGCCGATTCATGCAGAAAGGTTTCGAGCTCGCAGTCCTCTATTCGGTGAAGCAGAGCAGATATCTGCTCTTGCATTCTATATGGATAAAGGTCTCGCATACATCCCTGCCTTACATCACGGGTATCATCCGTCCGAAGCGGACGCTTGTGCAAGCTTGGACTTTTCTCTCCGTTTTTTTGAACATGGGCTAAATCTCGAAGAATGGCATTACACAGAACAAAAGGGTTTTGTCGCGAATCATGCAAGAGTCTACAGCGAGGGACGGGTATGGGACTCGAAGGGTCGACTTTTGGCAAGCATGACCCAGCAGACTATTCTGCGCCCGAATCCACGGATAAAGTCTCGATTTTAGATCATTGGTTTCTTAAGGAAAGTTCAAACCTTGAGATTACTTGGTAGGAAAATGCAGCAAATATACAACATGACCAAGTCTATAAATATATCCTCTCCGAACGTTAGTTGAGTACAATCAGTCCGACTCTGCATTCGACCTCACATCCAACTCATAATGCCTGATCGCACTCAGTTCTGCATGGTTCCCCGGCCCCTGTACTTTCCGTGCCCACTTCTCCTTATAATACCCCGACGAGGGGACCAGATCCGACTTCACCTGCACCTGTGTCTGCGTGTACTCCTTCCCCTGCTGCGTCTCGACCTCTCGCAGCCTCCTCTCCGTTATCCTCTGCTTGCGAATCGCCCATCCCATCGCCGTCAGCGCCGCCACGAACGCTGCTCCAAGTGGCGCACCAACTGCCGCACCCACTGTTCCCTCACGACAAGTCTCGTTCCCGGATCTCATCTTTGTTCCATTCCCATTCCCAGACGCCGCGCTCTCACATCTCCCTGTCGCTGCAGGCCCTGTCTTCGTCTCAGTCTCAGTCCTATTGGAACTCTCATCCCCCTCCCAAAGGCTTAAACTCGGACTCCCAATCGAATAATTCGGGATCCTCAAACTCTCATTCCCGCAGCACTCGGGACTAGCCCCAAACCTGCGACAGCAGACACTATTCGGCGCACACGTCATCACCTGCCAGTTCCAGACCTGCTGGCCCTGCGTCCAGCCCTCCTCGGAGGCTTTGCCCTTCCAGTTCGTCCGCACGTCGGGGCAGATGAGTGGGCACGAGCCGTCCATCCAGCTGCGATCCGTGCAGCCGGATATGTACATCAGGCCGTTGGCGGCGAGGCAGAGGCCAGATGGCTCGAGGCAGACTTCAGTGTCGGTACGGGTGCCTGATGTGGAGTTCTTGTTGGGGTTGTGGAGGTGGCAGCAGGGGGAGTGAGATGAGCTGGATGAGCTGGATGGTGGTGGGCGGCAGGGGAAGAGGCCGGGGTCGGAGGTGCCGTCCATTTGGTAGCAGGTTCGGGAGTCGGAGGACTCTGCCATTGCGGTCTGGAGGGAGAGCAGGAGAGGTGTTGAGAGGAAGGTATAGAGGAGGTAGAAGCGCATCTTGGTGCTTACGATTGTGGTTGAGCGTCGAGCAGAGTCGAATTGAACGCTGACAATGGAATTCGGAAGAGGTAGACGCACTAGAGGGGGCTTTGTCGGTTGAAGTATGTATCCCGTTCCCTCGGGGCAGACTAGAAGAACTAACCCTCAGGTCAAGCCCGATACATACCCTTGCCTTTATCCTTGACAAATACCTTTTCTACCCTTCAAGTTTCAACACTAGACGTGACTTGAGTATTTCCCATGCAGATGAAATGAACCCATCTCAAACCCAATAGCCAACCACATCAAGTTGGTAGAAGACCCTACAGCCAAGCCTAGCTAAATACGAGGCGCAGTGTCCAAGGGGCGGAAATGGAGAGAAGGGCGATCATTGTGCCGCGATAGAGTCAGACACGAGTTGAGAACATGCAGAACGCGAGGCTACATAAAGTCAGACCAGGTACTTCGTATAAGACAGGTTGCAGCCTTCATGTCAGTGTCGCGGGATTTTAACTCTCGTCAGTATGGGTGTTTTGACTCCTCGAATGGCTGCCCGCTTTGACTCTACTTAGCCATACCTCTATTCCCCGGCATTATCGATAAAAATGAGTCTGGCTGGTACCCAGATAGCGAATATTTCCTTTGGAAGAGAGGTTCGTTAATCACTGAGAGGATCTGTTGTTGTCGATCTTTTCCTCTTTCTTCCTCTCCCGCCCCCACTGTATCCCTGTCTTGAAAGGGTCCTAGAATGGGTGGTTTGAGACATTGTGCAGTTTTCTCTGTTATGGGTTAGGCGTTCTTCTGTTTTTCCTTGCGCGATTGTCGATTAGAATAGGTATTGTGGACGGCGGATCTCGGTGTTTGTCACGCTTGTACTCTATGTTGCAATGTTGGATGGCCATGCCCAATATGGGCTGTCCGCTGGGGTCGCGGCCTTTTCATGCAAAAGGGACATCCGTATTTAATCTCCTCGGTGTAAACTGACTGATGTTGACCTGATATTGATCTAGGCTATATCCGTATATCCAGTCTCGACCATCATGACAGGCCAAGGCACATTTTGAAGCGATGTCATCAGTTGATTCGGCAGCCCCACCGGTTTTTCTCTACATCTGTACCTGAATTTATAGATTCACCGCAACTGGTGTCGGAATTCGGAATTAAATTGGCTCCTCATTCTCATTTTCAGCGATCTTATTTGAGATGAGAGGGATTCCTGATGAATGCTTTCCAGTTCTGTATTCTCAGTTTTCGCTTTACTAGATTCTCCATTACCACCTGCCCCATGCATGATATATATAACCCTACCTTACATCTCATTGTCGAATTTCGAACCTCAACTCACCATGCACGCTTTCAAATGAATATGCATCCTCTAAGAAGCTTTCCGCGGTAGATACCATCCCTCCAGATGGCTCAGGAGCTGCTCGTCTTAGGGCTTGATTGACCTTGTGCTTTTGTTGTGCTGCTTTGCTCTGTTTGTCTGTTTGTGCTGTTTGCTCGGGCTGATCTGTTTGGTTGACATGCTGACTAATTCCCCGCAACGGGAGTCACCGCCGGAATAACTATCAGCCGACCCGACGGCGCGAGAGAACAGCTGGCGTCACGATCGTCTAAAATGTCCTTCAGTCCAGTCGTTCTCTCATCCAGTCTTGCCTCGTCTTCTGCCATCCCTTGACCCAATTCTTGTCGATCCTTCACATCTCCATCGCACTCCATCCACAATGTCTGACCAGGTGCAAGAACTCCTTAACGTCCCTCGGGAATTCCTCAAGGATGGCATGATGTTCATCAACCGAAGCCAGAAGCGTGAGTTCTCCAGTCTGCGAAACACGCGACCATCGCTAACCCGGCATTGATCCAGCCGACAAGCGTGAATTCATCAAGATCAGCCAGGCTGTCGGTACCGGCTTCCTGGTCATGGGTTTCATCGGCTACATTGTCAAGCTGAGTGCGTCTCCCCCCTTATCCCCCTGATCACGCGGTGGCTAATGCGATTCGACAGTCCACATCCCCGTCAACAACGTTCTCGTCGGTGGCGCATAAACATTTGATCGATTCGGCTCTTGATACCAGCGGTGTGTAACGGGACAGGCGAACGGCGGATCGGATTTCGGACCATTTCACTCGTGCCAATGGATGGGACGCCCAGAGGATACCTTGGCCACGGTCTCATAATATTCATGACTTGTATTGCATTAATTGGGACGTTAAATGCCGACCACTCGAGGGGGATAGTCAGTCTTTGAGGACTGCACCTTTATTGTGGTGGTCGGCCCCCAGGCGAGATACCAGGTTTTATTTTTTTTCTACCCTCCAGGTAGTGCGCTTCCGTTCGACTGTACATAATAATTTGTTCTTGCTTCTGGAAAATGGAAAAGCACTAAACTTGCAATTTTGGTCTTGGAGCTTTGACTTGGTGACTGCTAACAACTCCAGAATGTTCACTCGACCCTGACAGTTCCCGTTTGCCTCCGATGCCTACCTTTCAGATGCCAACGCAACCCTCACTGGTATTGCGCGCCGCAAATTTTGACTTCTTATCATGGCTCAGATTCTGCGATGAGCAGAACATCGCTCTAACGGAAGAAATTGTCGCTTTGAGTTTCAGGATGTCAGCTGGATGACCAGAGATCGAAGACGGGATGTCGCCAGGAAGGAAATTGAGTGACCCACGGATTTAGAGCTTGGAAACTTCACATCCTCCGGCTTCTTGGAGCAAAGCGCCTGAGCTTTGGACTTCGTTGTGCGCGAAACACATTCTGATGAGCCTGATCATTTCCTCCGCTGCACTCGCCAGTTAGCTTGGACGCTGCATGTTTGCTCGTCGGACCTACGGCTGATTCTTTTCGCTGACGCGTCGTCGTCGCGACCGTTGATCCGTGTATACTCCAGAATCGTTTCAACTCGTTCCCGTCGTGCTTCCTCATACAGCGCTAGCCGGCGGGCAATATCTTTTGCGGACGTGCCCAATGGTAGCAAGATTGCGAGGGACACCGCGTCTTCGATCGCCATGGCTCCTCCTTGGCCCATATCTAAATACTTAGCATGATTGCCAGACCAAGCGGAGTCAACTCGAAACTCACATGGTTGGAACGGATGTGCAGCATCTCCCAGAAGCGCCGAGTGTCCTTTTACCCACGAAGGTAGAGGTTCCATGTCGTATAGTTCCCACACTTTGAGATCATCACCGGCATTCTCAACCAGTGCTTTCACGCTCGGCGGAAAGTCGGAGAATCCCCGAATCAAGGCCTGTTTGTTACCGCTTGCTTGCCAGCCTGCACAATTCTGTCAGTGCTGGACCTTGCAATTGAGACTGGGTGGCGCACCTTCGCCCAAACCCCCCGCTTCTGACGTCGGCAGGAATCCGCACAGATTGAAGATCTGGTTGTCCGAGCAGGGATACGCCACTAGTCGTCTGTCGGTTGCCGCCCACTCGATAAATGTTCCCGGGTTGCGAACAGCTTCTGACGTGGCCTCCATGTTTTTCAACTGGGTCACGGGCAGAAGCCATCGGAGGGTTGACTTGCCCACCGGTTCGGGCGCGGGAGAACTGGGGGCTATCTTGTTTCGAAGGACAGACTGCAATGCGTGAGCTTTAGCTCGGATCAGCCCTCGTGGAGAGAGTACATACAAGTAGTCCATCTGCACCGAGGAGTAGGTCGCATTCGAACGTGCGTCCATCGTCCAGCGACACTGAAGGACGAGCAGACATTATATCAATGTTAACGATCTTGCATTCTAAATGCAGGGTCGCCGTCTCCAGTGCCTTTTGCTTTAGGTGGTTGTGCAGATCGACTCGGTGGACGAGGTACCATTCCTAGTTCATCGGTCAAATTCCTAGCTCGACTTGATGGTTGATAATAGTGGACGTACCGCCTGCCACTCATGCCTGATCGGCGTGAAGTCTCGGTCATTCTTAACATTCCCTCGATGATCATATTGTTGCATCTGGCATAGCAAATCTGATCAGCACCATCCTCAACACCTGGATTGACTTGTAGGGAACATACCCGATGAAGCAACGTTCCTCCGAACTCACTAGGACTGATGCCCATCCATTGTAACAGCGCCGTGCAGTTCGGAGGCATATAAATCGCCGCTCCTGTCTCGCGCGCGAATCTCGACTTCTCTAAGATCTACCAAATCGAAGGTTAATGACTTTCCGGTATTTACGGGCAGGATATACAAACCACAACGCGATGTCCCTGCTTTCCTAGGGCAATGGCGGCTGTTAGCCCGGCGATCCCGGCACCGATGATGAGCACATCGAGGGGATCTCGCTGTCTTCGTGGAATCGTCATTATGAGGTACTCGCAATCTCTGCTGTGTGCTTTAAAACCAGCCGATTCAATTTCTTCCAATTTCTTATCGCCCAACCCAAACCTCCTATATATCCCCTATACTAACTAACGGTGGATCCGGCCTCGGCCTTCGGGCGTCCGACTAAGCGGCTTCGGAGATATCATCGCCGGCATGACGAGAAACACGGAAATTCGGATGGACTTTGCCGCCTTTAAACAGCGCTTTACCTATTAGAATTACTTGCAGAAGTACAACGGAGAGGTGGGTGGGTCGATGTGCGTCTTTCACATTGAGGCCAACGGAATAGCCCGCTCGCAGACCGGTGTTACTCCGCAAACCAACGCAGCTAACATACGATTTGCAGAACGACGTCGCTGGCGACGGGTTGATTCGGTATGCGAGCAAGCAGTATTTTTGATGTGACGCTAAAGCCCACAAGAAAGAGTGGTGGAAGATGTGAGTCATGACTGACTGTATCTGATAGGATGAGTGACATGTACCTCGTCGCTGCGTATGGGCAGTATCTCCGCCGAAAAAGACCCATACATGCTACTTTTACAAAATGAGAGCGGAAAGGACCAATCCGAAGTAAAAACCAAAATTTATATACCAGACCAATCTATATCGAAATCTAATCTATATACCAAACGCAAACATATCTCCCCAAACTAGGTAACATGTTCCTTCTCCTCCTCCTTAGGAATCCTCACCCAAACCACCGTCACCAACGCAGCCAGCAGCTGACATCCCAGCGCAAACCACCAGATAGCCCGCAAGCCCTTCAAGCCGACCTCGCCATCAGCACCCATGTCGACCTTCGTTCCAATCGCATCCGCCACACTAGTGATAATAGCCGACGAGAGGTTCTGGTTCGTCACCAGCAGACTACCCGCACTACCCTGGTACGAGCGCGCCACATTACTCGTAATGAAGATCGACGCCGCTGCGAACGCCAGGTCCGGGCCGAAAGTGACCAGCGCCACGCCAGGCAGCGATAGCGCCCAGTACGTGGTATTCGGAGTCTGAGGGAGGAAGAAGGCCGGGCCTAGCGTGAAGGCGAACATCGAGGTCGCGTAGATATAGTGGCCCGGGACGAGATGCAGCGTGCGACTGACGACCCACGTTGCGAGGACGCCGACAAGCGCGTTAGGGATGTGATACAACGCAACGGCCAGGGGCGTGGCGTGCTGAATGCGCAGCCAGAACTGCACGGCGTAGAACTGCCACGCGCCAAAGAAGGACCCGAAGCCGAGGAAGTAAGCGATCATGAGCGGCGTGAAGCCCTTGGTGCTCCAGAGGCGCGTGGGGATCAAGGGTCGAGTGACGTAGCGCTCGGCGATGAAGAGCGCGATCAGGAACACGATTCCCAAGGCCGTCAGGACACAGGTATACGCGGACCACTGCGTCACAGAGCCCTGGGTCAGGCCGAAGAGCAGACACACGCAGCCAAGGATGGCGAGGATGGCGCCGATGTAGTCGAATTGGCGCAGGGAGGGGGCCTCCTTGCCGTCGGCGTCGGCGACGGGGCGCAGCGTGGGAATGGAGTAGTAGGCGGCGACGGCGCAGAGGCCCGTGATGATGGCGTTGGTGCCGAAGATCCAGGGGAGATGTTGGTGTAGAGCGCCGCCTTCGATGGCGCCTAGGGAGAAGCCGAAGGGCGCGCAGGCCGCCATGGCTGAGAAGACGCGGTTCTTCCGAATTCCAGGCTTGTACACACGGCCAAGGATGCTCATGCTGCCAGAGACGAGCACGCCGATGGCCAACCCCTGCATGGCGCGCACGATGAAGAAGAGCACGTATCGCGAGGGCTGCAGGGAGAATGCGCCCACGATGTTCCACACCGTGAGCCAGAGGAAGGCACCCACCATGAGACTTTTTGGCGGCGTCAAGTCGGATAGCGAGCCCGATACCACGACAGAGATGCCATTGGCTACGTTGAACGAGCCGACGAGCCAGGGGAGCTCCGTGTTGGAGATGCCGAGGGCCTTGCGGAATTCCTCCTGGGGAGCGAGCACGTCGCCCAGGAGGAAGGAGAACAGCATGAGACCGGCGGAGCAGACTATGATGAGGACGATTTCTGCACCAAAGCTGCCGATCTCCGGTGGGATGCCCTGCGATGGCCGTGGAGGAGGAGAACCAGATTCGTCGGCGAGCCCCGGCGTGGCTGAGGCTTTGCGGTGGGTGAAATGACCCGGTAGTTCGGATCCCTTATGCTGGTCGAGTTCATATTCTTCCTGGCGACCGGGGATGGCGTTGGGGAAATTCTTCAACACGTCCTCTTGCACGATGCCCTTCGGGTTCAGCAATGGATCGGGAGTCTGCGCCCCCGTGGCCGGAGTGGGAGGTGATTGATAGTTGTAGTTGTTCAAAGAGAACGAGGAACGCGCTGACAGAGGAGCTGAGTCGACGCCCTCCTGGTTCGTGACGGTGACCGTCGGGGCCTTTGCAGCCTCACCGGCCTTGCCAGCATTGGAGGATTCTCCAGGCATGGTGGAGGCAGTTCAAGTATGAATCCAGTTGTGGATTGTACTGTAAGTGAGAGTGCTTAGAGCATGTGGCTGAAAATAACTATAGATCGTGCTGCGCGGAGCTGAAAGTAATGGCACAATTCCCCCCCCCCCCCCCCATCATCATCTCGGGGGATAAGTTCTAATATATACAGCGTCCAACGAAATCCAACCCACCCACACCGAGTGGCGAAAAGCTCCAACTGAAGCTGGGGAGATCCACCGGGCGATAAGATTTTGCATGGTGCGGTGGTCCCTGGCGAGAATTGCGCGTATCAGCGGCCGTCGGAATGTGGGCCTCTCGACCATCACGTCAATCTCGCTGGATTTTGATATCCGACACGGAGGTCTTCTTCCACTACTGCTGCGCTCCTTCGCCAGGGTGCAAGGGACACTAGATGGCTCTGCCCTATCGGGCTTTTCAGGCGCAAGCCTCGCCCCTGCTGAAATCCACCGCGGCCTCGACACGATGCCTCTAGAGATAGCAGATGTGAGATAATGCGATCCACCAGCACACCGCCGTTAACACGTCCCAGTCCCCACGTTCCAATAGGAGCTGGTCCGTGGTATTGCTTGCGGAAGACGGTTTCCGGAGTTGAGTCCATGCTTAAGGCTGTACGCTGTATAGGAGCATTTGCATGTGGTTGTACTGGAGGGCTGAGCCCTATCACACCGACTTTCAGTCGTGTTGGTCGGGTTTTTACGCTGCAGGTGACTTAGTCGCAGTATTCCTGGCTCATAGATCTGCTCTTATGTTTTTGGTCCTTTTCTTTCGCTTGTAGCGTTTCTGATAATTTTCGGAAGTGCGGAAACCGGCATGCCGATGCAGATGCTAACAGATTGTCTAAAAAATTAACCGAGATGGCGCGATAATCAGAAGGATTATGCCTAGAGGTCTTGGTTTCTAGACCTGCTCCAACCGAATCGAAATTAACACTATAGGATTACGACTCCAGCTTCTTTCAAAAATCGCGAACATCAATGACCAGCAATGACTTAACATCGCGCCGAATCCAGCGCCCGACTGGAGTGGACTCCAAGTGATCGCCAATTAGTCTGGATAATCTGCGCCCGCGACGAACGGCAATCCCCTATGACGATCTCCAGCTCAGGGAATGGATTCACATTCATTATTCAGAGCGATGGGAATGCTAGGGACGCGCGAGGCCCAACCCCAATAATTAGACATCTTACGTCAACGACTCGGGAGATCTACAGGCACGCCTTCATTGGGATAATTAATTAGACTGAGCTTCTTGACGGAGCAAGTTTCGCATGTCCTGAATTTCAAAATCTTGCACCTCCTGATCCTCGCAGCTGAGACATGCATGATCGACGTTGTGATTATGTTCAACGGTGACATCAGCTTCCGCGTGGATGGACGCAAGGAGGCGATTTGGAACTATCGAGGTGATCTGCATCGGCATTTGAACAGGATGGAATACTTCATTGTTCGTTTAAGGAAATGAGCGGACTTTTCGACATTGTCAGAAACACGAACTCGCAAGGCACTCAGGTGCCATGGAAACGAAGCAGAACTACCTAAAGCAACAAAAAAAGAACCCAGATCAGTACCTTACTTCGCAGCCTTTTCCTTCTGCACTCCCCCCTTCACCCCCCCGTTCGCATCGACATGAATCCCCCGTAACACGTACCCATCCTCCTGCGCCTTCTCCCACTGCTGCCGAATCGTCTCTGCCCGCTCCGAATTCCTCTGCAAAATCCGAATCTCATACTGCTGCGGCACTCGAATCGCCCCCTCCATGAACCCCTCGTCGCTGATATCCAGCGGCACCTCCTTCCCGTCATTCCCAATCGGTGGCCGAAACTCATACGCCCAGATGATATTCGCCACCGCCAGAAACAGCCCGTTCTCGGCGAGGTGAATGCCCGGACAGATGCGCCGGCCGGCACCGAACGTGAAGTGGTCGCGCGCGGTGACGTCTCCACCAGCGGCGTAGACGGCGGACCGATGAGGGTGGTTGAGGTATCGCTCGGGTTTGAAGCTGAAGGGGTCAGCGAAGAAGGCCTCGTCCCAGTGGAGGTTATTAATGTTGGCGAGCAAGATTGTGCCCTTGGGGATCGTGTGGTCGCGGTATTTGATGTCTGCGTCCGTCATGCGGCGGAGCCCGGTCGTTGCGACGGGGCATAGGCGCAGCGTCTCTTTGATCACGGCCCGGATGTATGGCATGTTGGGCTCGTCGTCGAGTGTGGCCATGCGTTTGTTGCCGAGGACGCGGCTCACTTCCTCGTGTGCGGCGGCTTGGGCTTCTGGGAAGCTGGCCAGGTACCGGATCATGCCGTTTAGGGCACTGGCGGTGGTTTCGGCGCCGGCCTCGGGCACGGCTGGGATTGTTAGCTTCATGTAGCCTTCTAGGGGAGAGAGAAAGGGGGTGTGAGAGACTAACCACTAGCCAACCAACTCATGGCCTCCTCCTCCAGCCCAAAGTCCTTATAATTCGACTCCATCAGGTCCTTAGCGAAGCACTCGGGCGCCGTGCCCTGCGCAATCCGCTCCTTCAGATTCTCCCAGTGTCTCATCTTCGCGCCGTGCATGATCTTCGCCATGGCCTTTGCCTTGGGCCAGGACGGAAACAAGAACCGCGGCAGCCAATTCAGCGGCGGAAACACGTCGATCCAGAAGATGCCCGGCCGCAGGATGATCGAGAGCATTCGCATGTTGCCATACACGTCACGCACCTCCTGGCAGTCCCAATTCGGGATGCGGAGGCCATACGCGGAGGTCATGACGATCGAGAACGTCATGCGGCGGATGTGCATGTAGAACGCCGTGCTACTGTCCTTGCCTGCCTCGCCGGACAGGTCGGATAGCAGCTGCTTGATCTCGAACTCCTGGCTGGGGATGAAGGCCGCCGAGGCGCGTGGGCTCAGCAGCTGCTTGAGGTAGTAGTGCAGGCGCTTCCACTTGGCGCTGTAGGTCATTGGGAGGACGCCGTGGCCGCGAAGACAGTATTCTTGCGCGATGGGCAGGTGCGGCTTTCCTGATGTCACGGCGGCCTGGGGAATGGCTTGTTAAGGGGTGGATACAGTGAAAGAGGGAGGGACATAGATGGGTGCCTACCTGTCTATCGAAGATCTCCTTCACGGCGTCCCGATTGTTGAAAAACACCCAGTCATACCACCCTACCCGCACCTTGAAGGTATCCCCGTACTTGGCCGCCCATTTGTTCAGCAGCTGGCGCGGCCGGGTAGGTAGATCCAGGCCGATGCCCACGAGAGGCCATCCAGACGGCCCCGGAATCCCAGCCATGCGGGTCTTCGAGTACCTTGCCGCGAAAAGCAGCAGTTGAGAGATAAGGCACACACACACAAACCCCACGATCGTGGACGGCTTGAACACTGCGGCCACCGCCGTAGCGGGAACGTGCAAATCATGCGTCTTGATACTATTCATGATGCTCAGGGGTAGTGAATCCAGCGTCACGAACTGAAAGAGAATATACAGAGCCATCAACGCACAGCCCGCAGACCGCAGAAACCACTTCATTTAAGCCCTCCCCATCCCTCCCCATGAGTAAACAACCCTCGTATTCACATCCGAGGTTGACTCCATCTCAATCCCGTATCCCGGGATCCCCGTACGCGTGATAAACCTGAAGCTCTGAGCCTACACGCAGAGCTCATGCCGCATTCGTGACACCGAGCCCTACCATCTCGCCCTCGCTAGGGGCTACTGCATCGAGACGTGGTCCCGAGTAGTCATCCGCGGAGTTAAAACGCGTTAGAGATTAGAGATTCGAGATCCCGGCGTCTGCACGAAGCCTAGAATACATTCGTCCAGGGTTTCCTCCCGCCATCTCGGAAGCATGTTCGCAGGTTGAATACGAGATGCTTGCTAGGTACCTTTCCCGGAGTCCTGGTACTTCCGGATTAGGTTGCTGGTCGTTGTTAAAGACCTCTTGGCTGGGATGGGCTGAGTTGAGTTGAGTTGCGCACGCGAACGAATTCGAGAGACATTTCCAAGGTGATGTATGCTTAGAGTGCTTGCCACCACCAAGGCCGGGGGTGGTGATCTGAGTTCGATGGTCCCCTTGGGTTCGATCATCTATGTGTCGGACACATGGTTGTCGTCAACAGTTGACGTGCCAGTGTGGCTTGGGTGTGGGTGTGCCAACCATGCGCAGGGCTGGGGGACCGGATCTTGCTAGCTGGGTTTAGTGTTACGTGGGAGTGTTGATGGAGAGTTCAAGCTGAGGGATTGAATGGTGGATGTCGTTGGATGTTTGGATCGTCGTATGGATGGTACCGCCATGTATTAACGGTTGGTAATATACGGTACCGGTCAGAACGTACCAGACCATACTGTATATTACCAGAAACCGTTACTTACACTGCATCAGATGCGAGGAGATGAAGAAGCATAAATCGATCCTCATTGACAGAACCACTCCTTGATTGACGTAAGATAGTCACATTCTGGCAACCTCAGCTCACCAACCTGCTTTTCAACCCAATAACCTCCCTCCCATCGTCATTGACCCTCCTTCCGACTCCGATCATACCTCCAAGCGGCGAAAAACGGCACCAGCAGGAACATCGCACCACCCGCCATAATCGCCGCGCTGAACGCCTGCAGACCCAAGTAGCCATTCCCACCCCCATGGCCCTCCAATACGCCAGCAATCGGCGCTCCAATCAACACCCCCACGCTCGTAGCAAACCACTGCATGCCCATGCGCGTGCCGATCATCGCCGGCGACGGCGACACAACCGGGTGCGCGATAAGCAGCGGATTCGCAGAGATAAGCACCCCGGAGAAGACGCCGAAGAGGACGCAGAAGACGACGAAGGACGGGAGGGAGGTGATGCCGATCCAGCCAAACAGCAGCGCCGCGGACGCCACGACGCTCGTGAGCAGGATCAGCGCGGGGCGGAATCGCATGGTGAGCATTGCGGAGCCGAGACGGCCGATGGCGGACCCGGCGTTGAGCACCGACACGAGGTAGAAGCTTAAGTCGGTGGAGGTGTGCAGGGCGTGGGTGGCGAAGAAGGGCACGTAGAAGAGCGGGATGAAGTAGGCCATGAACATGAGGAAGTTGGCGATCGCGTACGCGTCGAAGTGCCATTCGCGCAGGGCGTGCCAGTGGATGAGCTGGCGCGGAGATGTGCGCTTGGGCTTGGTGGTGGCTATGAGGAGCGGGACGGCGATGCAGGAGCAGGCGAGCTGGATGAAGCCCATGGTGCGGACGGTCCATGGGAAGCCGATACGGGGTTGTAGGCGGATGAAGATGATGGGGAAGAGGACGCCGCCTGCTTCGTGTCAGCTCTTGTGTTTAGGATTTGGACAGGGGCTGGACGGGAGTACCGATGCTGGCGCCGGTGGTGACCATGCCCACGGCGATGCCGCGGCGGGTCGTGAAGCTGGTCGAGACGAGAGATAGGGCTGGCACGTAGATCAGGCCACTTCCGATGCCGCAGCAGAAACCTTGGGACAGGAGTAGTTGGTAGTACTGGTCACAGAGGCTGAGCATCATCAGGCCAAAGGTGGTCAGGAAGCAGCCGAGGGTCATGACATGCAGGAGGAACCCTCGGTCGAACAGCGGGCCGGCAATGACCCCCGTCGAGATGAGGAAGAAGGCGTTGACGGTGCCGATCCATGATAGACGCGAGGGCGAGCTGTCACTGAGCAGATGTGCCTGGTAGTACTGCTGGAAGGCCCCATACGCAGTCGAGAAGCCCCAGGTGGTGACAAACAGCAAGAAGCCGGCGAAGACGCCCACCCAGGCTGCGAACCCGCCGTTGGGCGGTGGCGGAGTGACCGGAGCAGCGACTGGTTCCACAGATGCGTTGGCCTCGGTATTTTCCTTGGAAGCAGAGGATCTTTGCTGGGTGGAAGCCATTGTAGAGGGCGAGTGCAGTGACGTGCAAGATTTGGCAGTAGTTAGGGCTAACTGCGATGCCGGGGGATTCTAGAACAATATAAAAGGACTGCCATCCTCAGCGCGAGGAAACTGCTGAATTTGAGCTGCGTGAAACCTGCTTGCTTTGAAATCGACCTCGGCATAATTTTTGGATTTGTCTGTCATCTCATAAGCCAGGGATTAGACTCCTGGTTCAAGGGTGCCATGGCGCAGTCTTTTCTGCACTTCCAATCGCTGGGCGTCCGCACTTGGTTGCGCTGCCCGGAAAAGCCGCATCCCGGCCAGTTGGTCGTTATCTGCACCTGGCTGGGGGCCTCGTCCAAGCATATCTGCAAGTATGTCGATCTGCATCGTGCGGTCGCCCCGCATGCGCGCATCCTGTTGATCGAGTCCGAAGTGGCCATCCTGGTCAGCAGCTATGCTCACCAACGCCGTCGGATTCAGCCCGCCGTCCGGGCAATTTACGACACTCTCGCCGAGGGTTCCCACGCACATCCACCCAAGATCCTCCTGCATACGTTCTCCAACGGGGGCACGAACACAGCCACGCAGTTGCTGATCACCCTGCGCGAAACCCTTCACCAGCCATTGCCGCTGGTCGGGCTGGTGCTGGACAGCTCGCCGGCCAAAGGCACGTATTGGAAATCGTACGACGCCATGGTCTTCTCGCTGCCTCCGGCCGGTCGCTTTTTCGGTTCCATGGTGGTTCACTTTCTGCTGGTCTTGCTGTATACGTGGATTGCCTGTGGGAACGAGAACCCGGCTTCTTTGATGCGGCGGACCCTGTTGGATGAAGAGACGGTTGACCCAGGCGACGAGATGCGTGATGTCGGAGTTAATGGGAATATTTGCTATCTCTACTCCGAGGCAGATAAAATGACGGACTGGCGCGATATTCGCGACCATGCGGAGGATGCGCGGTTGAAGGGATGGAATGTGCAGGAGATTCGGTTCGATGGGAGTGGTCATTGCGCTCATATGGCCCAGGATGAGGCAAAGTACTCTGCGGCTGTTCAACGGGCATGGGATTGGAGTCTGCCGAAGGCTTCGAAGCTTTGATTGGATTTTTATCTACTGGTAGAAGATGCTCTCACTGTATTTCCTGGGTGTGTGGTACTGTCACTCGAGATAAATCTAGATAATCGTTCTGGATCATGGCAAGATACTGGGAATCTCATACACTAAATATGGCACTTTTAAATACACATATGTCTCTTCTCTTGGAAACATAAAACAGTACGCAAGTGAATTCCTTTCTTATCAGACACACAAATAATACGGAATCTTCCTCGGATCAATCGACCTCCAAATAAACGGCATCCCCTCAGACAGCCCCCTATCATCAAACTCCCTTGCCCGAATCAAATCGCTAATCTTCAACATCTGTTCTCGAAACCGGGACTCGGCCGTTTGCACCGATACTTCAGTCCGCGAGAGAAACTGAACCCCCGAGAACATCTGCGGAAGATTGCCCTCCTGTTCGTCCAGCAAGGGACGATTGAAACGAACCAGCAGCGATGCCTGCTTGATGGCTTCTGTTTCATTGTGTAAATATGGCATCAGCGAGGTTATGCTTCCTTTTGTCTCAGGCAGAGGACGGTTGAAGGATGAGGGATGGAGGGGGAGAATTCCAGAGACTTCGCCGACGGTGGCTCCGTTGAGAGCATGATGCGCGATTCCGGATAAGAAGGCCATGTGGGAGAGGATGGAGGTGAGAGATTCCCTGTCCACGAGAGGTGGCTTGAAGAAGTCGATGACTTCGGCCTCGTCGTTGGCTTCGACAATCCAGGCTTGGAGCTCGCGGTCTTGCATTAGCATCTCCTCGGATGGATAGTACGATGCTACGAATTCGCGCACAAAGTCCTGTATGGCATCCATCATGGGGGATACGGTTGAGTAGTATGGGAACGAGCTGAGTTCCGGTCCGTACTTGCAGTCGATTAGATCTCGGTCTGCTAGGTCACGGTGGAATTCAGTCGCTCGGAAGTGGCCTGCGTGCGCCCAGTATGCTTCCGTTGCAAACCTGATGCCAGCAAAGTTTGGCAGGGCAAATGAGCTGTCGTAGAAGCCTCCCTCGTTGAACAGAAATTCTGTCCCGATGGGACGAACCGCGTATGCCTGGTACATTACTAGAACGGTTAGTAGATTCTAGGGAACTGTAGATCAGCGCACTTACAGCGATCTATAAACCCTCTCACAGGATGACGAGCGCTCATCGTCCGGAGAGCAGCCTGATGCACCGGCTCTGCCACGTCATGGGTGTTCGCCAGGTGATACATCTGCGAATGAAAGAGGTCGTTCATGCTAAAGGCCATCTTTGCAAATAGCCAGTCATTCTCATCGTCCAGGGGAGTGTAGGTCAGATCACGACCCATGTTGGTCTTGATCGCCAACGGCAGAAACTCCCCCGAGTACGGATGAATGAAGAAGTAGGCTGTGCAGGCGGCCGTCCAGCGGTTTGGGGTCTGAGAATACCTCGCCTGGTAGGAGTGGTCTCCCTTGAACAACCGACCTTCGTCATGGAGGTCCGCGAGTGTCCGTCCCGCTGCCAGATGCCGCACGACTCGGTCTTCTACCTGGAAGGGAAGGCCGTCGTGGTGCGGATGCAAACGACGCACGACATATGGGTTGGTTGACAGTCTTTCCATGGAGAACAAAAGGTCCTGCGTCCAATTGCTCAGCATGCCTGGGGCCACGCCGTCGGGAACAGTCGCGGTCCACTGATCTTCGTAGATCGCCTTGTAGCTTGAAAGATCCCTAAGACCACCTTCCTGTCTGATAGTTAGCAGTCATTCCAGATGAATCTGTTTAGGGCACATCCTCACCTGAACAAGCGCTGCAGCCGCCTTCTCCAGCTCCGGGTAGACATTTTCAGTCACGTATTCTACGTCTTTGAACCATAGATATCGATCGCGGGCCACCATGGCATCTCCCAAGACTCCTGTCGGGAAGGCAGAGGTATTCCCCAGAAGAGGTGGTCCATAGAGGTAGCCCTCGCGAGCGAGATGAATCTCTGCCATCCGCTCCCAGGGCTTGGGATCGAACATCGGCAGGGAGTACTGGGTGCCTTCATCCCCAGGTAGAGGAACCGATACCGACAAGACAGACTGGGAGGAGATCGGACTTGCAGCAGCAGGGATACATCCAACCAGTAGGCTGATAGTGGAGATGCGTGATGTCTTCATAGTGGATAGAAATTCATACAATCAATATGCCCTCATTGACGATCATAGAGTGCAGAAACAACACCCCACGTAGTATATATCCACCAGAACCCCTGGCACCACGGTTCTTGTCTCCTCGTCCTTGTCCGACTCGCACTCCGCGGAACGCACCCGATGACAGCTCGACATTCCGATTCTAGCATGTGGTATTCCTGATCTAAACTCCTTCGTATCCAATTTAAGCAGTACACTCAGTCTCGAGGCACGGGTTCTCGAATCTTATCCACATGCACCCAGTGCGAGAGCCACATACATCAGGCGAAAGGCTGATGGGAGCCAATACTCAATCCCGAGGAGCGCGAAGCAGATCGAGGGATGGTTTCTTTGTCACCGGACTCGATCCTCGACGTCGTAACAGGATATCCAAGTTTACAATGGCATTGACAGACCCCGCGGCGGTGCCTGACAGCCAGTCCAACGTTAGACCACGGCGCAACACCCGTAAATACCATACATCCGGTAAATACCAACCGGGATACGAGAATAACGAGAGTAACTTTCGCCCGTAACGCCGCGTCTGACCCGTGATAGTCTGACCCGTGATAGTCTTCTGGCGGGAGCAGCCGACATTCGCAATGCAGAGCGCATCCCGAGGAACCCTGTGTCGGGGACTTCTGGGTACGAGATGTCCTGAAGAGGAGGTTACTGGATTGAGGAATTGGTCAGGCTTTGCCGCGCCAGCACGGCCTCTGACCGCGTCCCCGAGAGGTGCGGTGGTATATGAGACCGGTCGACTCAGGCCCAAGGTAGCAAGCAGGGCAGAGAACGTCCGTCCACTCTTCTCTGCGTCTCTGAACATGATGAATCTTTTTGCACTTCTCGGAGTCCTGTTAAGCTTTCCCGTCCGGTCCTCCGCCCGGATTGACTGGGCCTTTGCGGCGGATTTTCACCAGCGAGTCCTGCAGGACAAGAACCCCGGGTTCGGCGTGAATGAGCCGTTTATTCCTTCGCCTGAACACATCCTGCCGGAGAAGAAGCCGTTTGTCATTGATGAGAAGGTCAATTACTATGAGCATTTCTTCAATGGCTCCCGGAATGGGGAATATCGACGCTCATCGTGTCCGGCGATCAACGCTTTGGCGAACAGGGGGTATATCAATCGAAGTGGACGCAATGTGTCTTATACGGAGCTTGCTCATGCTGTTCGAAGGGTGTGGAATTTTGGTGATGATAATGTTTGTTTAAGTTGGTGTTTTATCTGGTAATGGCTAATGGAAGTAGAGCATGCTTGTTCTTGCACCGACATTCGCCGTACACGGTTGGCCGGAAACCATCGACTTGGACAACTTCAATGTACTTATCCCTCTTGTGCTTTATAAACCAGCTACTAACAGTGATACAGGACGATCTAGTTCAATATGTAGTCAACTGTCCCGCCGCACCGACACGCAATGACCGTGCCGTGGGCGACAACGTCAACATCAACATGGCACTATTCGAATCTCTTCTATCCTTCTCCAAAGACGGGGTGACATTCACCCTAGAAGACCTGGCGGAGCACCACCACCTCCGACACAACCAGAGCAAGGCTGACAACCCGCATTTCGTGTTTGGGAACCAAGGGGCGATTTGCTCTCTGTAAGACCGACCCGTCTACCTCCTGTGAACATTATCTGATGAGTGACAAGGGCCCAATATACCAACATGGTGGGTGTGTTGGGGCGGAAAGGCAAGCATGGCTGGACGACGCTGTACGTGGATGACGTGAAGACATTCTACTTGGATGAAGATATTCCTAAGACTTATGAGCGGAGGGAGATGGCGGTAAGATCTGTTGGATTGAACACACTGATTCTTACTGACGAGAGTAGCATTATTCTCCCGAGTCAAACGCTTTTGTCGACCGCATGACGCATCATGTTGGATACGCTATCCAGCGGCCTTTCCCTGAGGGAGACCAGGACCCGGGGCGCGATATCTGTCCTATGAAAGCACGGTTTCAAAAAGAGGGATGTGAATAAACTTTTGCTGTGGTACAATTGTGGAATTATAGTGACGGTTTTAGGAAGAAAAGCAACTGTTATAACGCATTCAATAGTTCAATGAGTGTTTAAAAGAATAAGTTGTCTGATTTTCTATAGAGGATTTGTCTAGGCTTAAACCATGCTCAAGCTACCTACATTTTAGTCACTCATGAAACAGCGAAGCTTGAATCAAAACAAATTAAGTGTATACCGTTTCGAAAGGTGGCTAAAGATACTAACTGAGTAAAAATGAATTGAATATAGAATAGCTATTCGCAGATACACTTAGTCTACAATACTACAATTTCCCCTTGGATTACAGACCATCCCGACGCGTATGCCTATAATGCCAGTCTTCGTGGGTCAAATCTGCCCGCAAGGAGTAATTGGCCTCCGCATCTTCCAGAACCTGCATATCCAAATCCGCTACAGCCATTCCCTCGACCGAGGTCCCCAGACGAACCAGCGGACCAGCATACGGGATCGTAACCTGCGACTGACCACAGTAATTGCGCCCCGGCGGACCCCCCGCATTGGCGAATACCACCGCACAGGTATTTTCATACGCGCGCGCCGTCATGATACTATCCAGAAACAGCGACTCGGCCGACGGATTCCAGCGATGCCCCGCATCGGACGCACCGCTTCGTGTCCACAACGTCGGCAGGATGATAATTTTAGCACCCTGGTATACGAGCTCGCGCCAGGCTTCAGGGAAGGCCAGATCCCAGCAGATCAGCAAGCCCACCGGACCCAGGGGCGTGTGTATGACCTGGTGTGGAGCGTCGGCCGAGGAGCGCAGATGCTTTCGCTCCGTCGGGCCCCAGAGGTTCTTCTTCGTGTAGGACCCTAGGATCTCGCCCGTATTCGAGATGAAGTAGGCGACGTTCTCGAGTTTCGGCGAGCCCGGGGGGTGGGACGATGTGTCGGGGATGGTTTGCACGATGGATCCGGGTACGATGCAGATGTTGCATTCCTTCGCCAGAGCTTGATACCCTTGTAGATATGACTCCCAGTCGGCGCAGAGGGGCGCGAACCGAGGGTCATCGGGGATCCAGTTCGTGAGATGGAACTCTGGCAGCACGGCGAGGTGGCACCCCTGTGCTGCTGCGCCCCGGATGAATTCGGTTGCTCTGGCGAAGTTTTCGGCGGGGCGAAAAGGCTGCAGCATGTCATGTCGTGTTAGCGTGGAGTCTGTCGGTTTGAAACCGGCCTCGATGCTGGGCATCCTGCACAGCAGGTTTAACACGAGGCTTACCTTGACATAGAGTTGAACAACGGCAATCTTGTGAACGGGGGCCATGACTGGATAGTTTCCTCTCGAGGATTAAGCTTGAGATGAAGCAGAACGTCACGACTCCGGAAATGTGGGTAAATTAGGGATTTGCGTCGTCGCTGGGGGTTTTGACAGCTCTCGGATTGCAAGTCATGGCGGAGCAGAGACGATATACCGAATACCGAGGAAGTGTCGTCGAGAATGAGTCAGCCAGCGAAAAGCACGAGGCTAGCCAAAGAGAGATCTGACGGAGATGGAGATGGAGAAAGGCCAAGAGATGCTGGCTCACATCCGGTTTCTCGAACGTTTGGTGGCTGTCAGACGCAACGCCGGATAAGCCTGTCATAGGGCATGTTTTCCGGTACGATCTGTCGGTATGTATGGTATGTATGGTATTATCTGGTAGAATCCGGTACCGTATGGTTCTTACTGTATAATACTGTACACCTGTAATACCTCCGGTGACACATGGCTTCACACGACTCCAAGCCAAAGGATGCCAAACAACCATACATCCCAGCTGTCCTACCCTCCTCCTGCTCATTTGGGTGTCGTTTCCGAGCTGCTCATGTCAATTATCACTCCTACAGCCGTGACATCGGCTCAGTCCGCAAGACGGTCATCCCATGGACGGTCAACCCCGAAACAGGCCTGGTGTCATTCTACTTCCTAGCTTGACGCGTAAGAGAGTATGTTTCAGCGGGCTTAGAAACGGACAGTGAACAGAAAGTGTTTCGGGATTCTGTGGTCTTGGAACAGGTCTCCGATCTGCCTCATTCACCTTGGCCCGCTGGATCTCGTTAATTTAACCTCTGGGGGTGGAGCGCCCGACGCTTGGCCTACTCCCTGTCACTGACGCAGCGGGCGTCAGCCGGTTTTGACTTCGGTATCAGCGGACCTGGTACTTGGCTGATATGACTCCTCGTATATATAGAGCTAAAAACACGCAGGGATTAGGATGTAGCAAATGTGTTCTCCATTCAAGTCCTCTCTTCTGATTACATTGTAATAGATCATGGCAACAGAGTCTCTGCGTCTCGGCCTCTCGCTTTTGCTGAATCCTTCGTTCCCGAAGAAGCAGAAGCAAGAGCCGCAGCAGGAGCAGCAGCAGAAGCTCTCAAAGCCAGTTCCACCCTCTAAACAGCTCGTGTTTCACATCTCGCATCTTCCGAAATGGATGCAGCTGGATCCGTATATCGTGCATTGGTATAGACCGCAGCTAGATAGCTTCGAAGAGTGTTTCTGGTCCTTGTTCTACCTGCATAACGAGTCTATAAATACCTGGTCGCATCTTCTCCCCGGTGCATACTTCGTCGCATTGCTCCTGATGGTCGAATACTGGGTGTCCCACCTTCCATTCAACGTCACCCTGGCAGATGTTCTGGCTATCCAGACCTATATTGCCGGGACGGCGGGATGTCTCATCTTCTCTGTGAGTATTTATCTGCATGTCTAAAGTGAGATTGACTAACACGCTGCAGGCGGTGTTTCATGCGACAAATGCCCACTCCAAAGAGGTCGCAACGGTGTTTCTCAAACTGGACTATCTGGGAATCATTATGACTATATCCACGACGTGCACGTCGATGACTTACTTTGGGCTCTATGACTCCCCCTTCCTTCAGACAACGTACATATCCTTGACCGTGTTCTGCGCTGCGTTGGTATTCTGGGTTACGCTTGATCCTCGCATGGATGGGGTCTACGCCGGGCACTGGAGGTAAGATCTCACATGTTTAGCTACTGAATTCTAGCTAATCCGTTCGCAGAGCCGCTGTGTTCATTCTTTTAGCAGCTAGTGGCTTAGCGCCATTATGCCATGTTTCTCTTCTCGAGGGAGTTGCAGGTTTAGAGAAGTTCCCCTTGGAAACTCTGTGTGTTACGTGCATATCATATGCGGTTGGCACAATGGTATATGTGTCTCGGTTCCCGGAGAAGTTCTGGCCGCAGAGATTTGACCTACTGGTATGTCTGTTTCTGATCTACTGGGCTAAAGCTAATCTAATGCAGGGTGCGAGCCATCAAGTCTTTCACATTCTGGTTGCATTTGGGCAGATCGTTCACTTGTATGGTCTGCGAGATAGCCTCATTCGGTGTTACTTGGACAATATGCTGGGGAATTCAGTTCCTGGAGCCTGAGACGATTTAGACGAGGGATAGTCGCATTTTTGGTGGTGCCAAGCAACAAAAGTTCTTGATTTGGTTCCTGTGCAGGGTTAAGTAGTTTCAATCGGACTTAAGACGCATTTCTATTTATAATCTGTGATTCATGGTACTCCAGGTGGTTTTGGTGTCAGTATGTAGTCGCTGTCGGGTTCTTCCGTCTCACGATAAGATCATTTTGCGGGTCAACCCTTATAGATTAAGAGGATATACCCAAGAAAATAACTGACGGCTTAAGATAGTAGTCGATCCTTGTATGCCCAAGCAATGTCAAATAATATCCCGCCTGTCTATCAATTACCCCGTAGACACCGATCTAGTGGCAAAGTCACGGAGGGTCGGCTTCTCCCGAGAGCGTCGCTGGTGGATCTTGTCCTGTACTTTTGTCGGCGCCGGCGATGCGACTTTGCATGAAATGCGGGGTTTATCTCGCATGCCATGGGATGGCCGGTGTCATTAGCTGCGACATGCATCTGGCAGCTGATTCTACTCGAGGAACGATTTTAAATTAGGAAGCCAAGAGATAAGTCAATTTGCTGTTATGTGGTTAGCTCGAAACACAGGGCGAGATTGCCACCTTTACATACGCCGTGTTCTCCAACTTCTTGAAGGGCCATTCTTTTCTTCTGTTCACCCTCGTAGACCCAAATTCAGACATGGCAGTCAAGTCCATATTTACCGAATCCACCCTAGCTCGCTATATCCACGCCATCAAACATTCCCCGCGCGAGCTGATCCTGAACTCGCGCTTGTTACTGACCGTCGCATTGTATGCGTCAGCGGGTATTCCTATCAGTAGGTAGACAACCCAATTCCCAGTCTGCCGTGGCTAACCTCCAAAGCCTGGGATCAGGGCTCCTCTTCCGTGGTGCCCTCCTTGCCTGGTTTCCAGCTCAAGTTCGGCATCACGTCCGCCGCCAACCCCGAGCAGATCAGCAATTTCGTCTCCCTTGTGTATGTCGGGGCTGGGGTTGGAGGTGGCCTGTCTTTCTTTCTCAATGATCGCATCGGCAGGCTGTGGTCGTTTCGGCTATACAGCGCCGTCTATATCGTCGGACAACTGATCGCAACTTTGTCCGATGGCCACCTGGGTGCGTTGTATACGGCCCGCATCATCTCTGGTTTGGGGATTGGATCGTTGACGGTGATTGGTCCTGTTGGTATTGTCGAAGTCGCCCCGACCGAGTTCCGGGTCTTCTGTCGGTCTGGTTCAGTGTTGCGATGTTGTTGGCGTTGACGGTGTCGTGTTTGGTTGTGCTCGCGGCGTATCTTCATGTGGCTGTCGGCGCTATGCAGTATCAGATCGTCTTCTTCGTCCCGATGATCGTCATGGCGGTTATGATCGCCGTCAGCTTCTTTCTTTACGAAAGTCCTCGGTGGCTTTCCCTGGCAGCACGTGATGACGAAGCCCTACATACTCTGACAACTCTGCGTGGACTGCCAGAGTCCCACCACCGAGTCACATCCGAGATGGACGCAATTCGCGACCTCGTCCAGCATCAAAAAACCATCGGTACCAGCCTGATTGCTTCCTGTCGCGAAGCCTTCCTCGTCCCGTCGAACCTGCGCCGAGTCCAACAAGCCGTGCTATCATACGCGCTGGCGCAGTTGTCCGGCGCCAACAGCGTCACTTCGTACCTTGTGCCCATCCTCTCCATGATGGGACTGGGAGGGGGGACGGAGCGATCACTCTTCCTGACTAGCATGTACAGCATGGCCAAGTTCTTCTTCACACTCATGGCTAGCTTCTTTTTCATCGATGCACTCGGCAGACGCAAGAGCTTGTTCCTCGGGATCACTATCCAGATGATCTCGGATATCTATATCGGGGTGTTTATTAAGTGGCAGCAAGCTAGGAATGTGACGGGTCGTGCTAGCGATGCTGCTGTCGCTGCCATCTTTCTGCACGGATTTGGCTATGCAGTTGGTATGTTATCATTCAGGCCACCAGGTAAGATAGTCCTGCTAATCTTGTCTAGGCCTTCTTATTCTCCCGTATGTATTTGGGGCAGAGGTCTGGCCGAATCAGATTCGTTCGTTCGGCGCCTCCTTCTCGCAGCTATTCCATTGGTTGTTTTACTTCGGGGTGAACAAGGGCATGCCGTCGTTGCTGACGAATACGCATAACTGGGGTGCGTTCTTGTTCTTTGCCGGGTGGTGCTTTGTCGCCCTGTTGTATGTGTTCTTTATCGTGCCAGAGACGGCTGGTCTGGGGCTTGAGAGTCTTGACGCCGTCTTCGAGCAGCCCTTGTGGAAGGCGTATCTGAGTACCAGGCGACTGCAGAAGCCGGTAGTTGTGTCTGCGGAAGACCCGTAAGTTCGTCCATTGATCTTCAACGCTATTCCTAGCTAACAGATGTTTAGAGGCGAGGATGATGAGCATGTTGAAAGTCCGGTGAAGCCCAAGTCTTCGACTTCTTCGATAAAGGATCGTGTTTGAAATGAAACTAGATAGAAACCATGACATGGTTTCCAGATCAATAGCATTCCCTATATGCATCAACATTGAAATACATTACACTACCTTCGTGACCCAATGACTAGGCCATATTAAAGCAAAGGTAGCATGTAGTTTCTATGACTCCATTTCATACAGTCTATTCCCCTTAGTTATGAATCATCTTCACCGGCGAATTCGGCTCGCCCTTCTCAAAGAAAGCCCTGATATTTTCAAAGCACTCCATTTCCGCCCTTTGGAACGCCATATCCGTTAACCCGCCTAAGTGTGGCTGAATGATGACCTTGTCACTGCTCTGGAAGTAAGGGTTTATCCTCGGCTCGTTCTCAAACACATCGAGCCCAGCCCGAGCAATCTTCCCACTTTCCAGCGCCTCAATCAAGCTCTGTTCATCGACAATCGGACCTCTGGCCGTGTTCACCAGGAACGCGCCGTCTTTCATAGCTGCAAACTCCGCTGCGCCAATCAGGCCCGTTGTGCTGGCATTCAGCGGGCAATTAACAGACACGATGTCCGACGCAGCGAGGAGTTCGTGCAGCGTGGCGCAATACCTCACTCCATATGCGGCCTCTTCTTTTGCAGACAGCTGGGTTCGATTATGATAGATGACCCTGAGGTTAAACACGGCTGCTTTTTTCGCCAAATACTACCTTGCATTAGCAAACACCATCCCATAGGTACCAACACCACCGTCAAAAACTCACCTTCCCAATCGCTCCCAGTCCTACAATCCCCAGCGTCAACCCCGACGGATCCCTCCCCGGTACCAGCCCCTCGCCTGCTGGCACTCTCCAAGACCCCAGTCTCGCACTTCTCTCCGCATTCGTCGTATTCCGCAACACCGCCAGGATCAAGAACAGCGCCATATCCGCCGTCGCCTCGGCCACCGCATCGACGGTATTACAGAACCAGATCCCCTGCGAGGCCATCCACTCGACGTCGAATTCATTGTAGCCGGCGCTGGCCGACGTGATTATCTTGCAGTCTGGTGCCAGCGAGGAGAGTAGGTCGGCGTCGAAGGGCTCGTAGGGCGGCGTGCCCATGCGGATGATGAGTGCATCGATGGGGCCGTCTTGTTCGATGGTTAGCGGGAGGAGGGTTTTGGTGGCTTCGCGCGTGTAGGCTTCGAGCACGGAGTAGTTGTAGGATTTGGCGAATTCGGTCAGGTATGAGGAGGGGATGTATTTGGGGGTGCCGAGGGCGACGACTCGTGGTTTTTGGAGGAGGCGGGTGGGAGACATGATGTGTGGATTTGCGAAGCTGCTTGTAGACGCTTTGGATTATGTGAAAATGTTTAGAAATAGATATATTCAGACCAAAAGGTTCAATGTGAACCCCGCGGTAACCTGCATGTCTGCTTATCGTCGCCCTCGGCTTTCACCGTGACTGGCTGCATTGCTGGTGGAGACTCGGTGATAAGCATTAAACTCCTTCATCTCGAGTAAACTATGCTAGAAGATACGGGGCCCTCGGCAGCTCTTGCGAAGTCAAACGATAAGAAGCACCTAGGTAAGTGTTCCTTCCTGCAATGTCTATAATGGCCGGGCGGGTGATCTGCACCCAAAGATGTTATGGCACTATATATGGCGGGTGGGCAGGGGGATTTTCGTATGGACTCCATGTTGGTCTTGTTGGCGTTGGCTCATGGACACTGCAGGCCTCCCGCTGCGGCGCTTACATTCCTACATCTAGACCTAAAGTCGCTAGTATTTGATATTCGACTTTGCATAGGCACAACTCTTGGCGAGAAGGTATAGATTTCATCCACAAGCACAAATAGAACAACACAACCAAACATTCAATATGTCAAATAGAAACATGGAAAGAGTGAAATATAGGTGAAATTATCTAAGTAGACTGGGGATGTTTGTTTAACCAGAAACATCTCGCGGATACCCTATGGAAGCATCGCGGTGCGTTACAACATGGCTTCAACATGTTGTCCAAGTTTCATTTGAAAATGACCGGGGACGCTACTGCGTGATGTCGCTCTTTACTATCTCTCGCCTTCATCAGAGTAGGTACATTGATCCATTGCCTAGTGCACCAACCTCGACGCTACCTGAAAGCAGTGGATTATGTTACTGGCTTGCTCTTGGAGTCCTCCCTATCCAGATCTGGTTAATCGGATATCTTGACCCGGTCGACTAACACTTCATATCGAAACAAAACCCAGGAAAAGTCTCAATCAAGTGCCCAGGACACTTACCTCATGTTACTGAAAATACTCCATATGCAGTCTTCTCACGTAATCCGGGTATTGCTGGTGATCACAGGTTCTTTCCCTATATACTGTGCCAAATTCAGCAAGAGCAGGTTCAAACTGCAGGAGTAAATAAAACGACGAGAGATTCCCGTAGGAGGTTTTGGAAGATGAGACCCTACTCGATTAAAGGAAAGCTAAGTGTTTTACTAACAGATCCAAACAAGATCAAATCCACTTTATAACTGATTTATACCTCACAAGTGAAAGCAATGGGGAAGAGAAAGAATCCCGAGCCCGATTCTCCCCTCGATTCTCTCCCCGATTCTCTCCCTGATTCTCCCCCCAATCCTCCCTCCGATTCTCCCCCCGATCCCACCCCCGATCCCACCGATCACGCCGAGTCCAGTTCCGCGCCGGCGAAGAGACCGAAGACCGAGCCCAAGAAGCTCAAGGATATACCAACAACTAAGGCGAACTGGCAGACAGAGGCAACCTCCCTTGGCGTCGAATCCACGTCCATCAACAAGATGGGAGCCCTCTGCTCCGGGTCAACTGTCACAGCGGACCAGTTTCTCGCTTTTCGGGTCATTTGGCCGCCCACAAAAAAGGCTACGGAATTGGATATCCCCAACAAAGAAAGGGCAAGGCAGATTCTGGGCGAGTTAGAGCCCTATTTCGACAACTATACCCGTCATATCGACACCCTGAGATCTTCTTCGCCTCCGATCCAATTGGGCCCCTTCCAACTAGTCCTGAGTTCGCAGCAGATGGTCGAAAACAAGGTTCCGGCCGAGTCAACGCCCCCTTATGGACTTAGAGTTCGATGGAATACCAAGAATATGCGGCATGACACCCCATTGTCACACTTTAGCGACATCACTGCGGCCGCAAACAGCGAGAATCCCCACAAAGACTTCGCACCGACCAAGGACGAACAGATCGTCAATGAATCCCTAGTAATGCTCCTCTCGGCCCTGGCGTTGAACACACCTGGTATACCGTGTCTTTGGAACTCCACACGGATCGGTTTCCGGGTCGATTTCGAAACCGCGAGCATGGAAGCCCGAACAGACGGCTACTTAGGGCTGCGCGGAGGAAGCAATGAAGAGGAAACGTTTGCCATTCTAGAGGCTAAATCCCGTGTCCGTACGCGCAAGGCGGATGAACATTCAATTTATTTCCAAGAATCCGCCGAGTTGGTTTGCTGGATCAAACATGACCAGAAGGAGTCACGAAAATACGGTCTGCCAGCCTTGAAGACCGGTTATCACAGTCGACTACTCATAGCCCAGGACAGGCATGAGATCTACGTCGTTATTGCCACATACGACGATACCTACATACAGTATCTCAATGGAGAGGAAGTCCCATCCTCATGTTTCATGACTATGCAAGAATATGGTCCCTTCAATACAATGTTCGGCAACAATATGAGACGCTTCGCAGAGTTCGCTATAGGGTTCTCTCTTGCAATCGAAGCTGACCCACTCCCACAAGAACCTATTCGAACGTCCGGTCGACTAGAAAGTGACCATGAGTCTGAGTAAGTTACCTTCAAAATCCCTTTCATATAGACTCATTGCGACTAGCAATCACACGATAGTGATATCCCACATTAGCTAGCTCATGGCAAATCCGTCAAAAGGAGCCATGGGCCCTACTGCGAAAGGACCACCCCCATGGCAAATCCGTGAAAAAGGAGCCATGGGGGGCAATAGGACCACCCCCATGGCAAATCCGTGAAAAAGGAGCCATGGGGGACGACAGGTCCTCCCCATGGCAAATCCGTGAAAAAGGAGCCATGGGGCACGATAGGACCACCCCCATGGCAAATCCGTGAAAAAGGAGCCATGGGGGACGACAGGTCCTCCCCATGGCAAATCCGTGAAAAAGGAGCCATGGGGCACGATAGGACCACCCCCATGGCAAATCCGTGAAAAAGGAGCCATGGGGGACGACAGGTCCTCCCCATGGCAAATCCGTGAAAAAGGAGCCATGGGGCACGATAGGACCACCCCATGGCAAATCCGTGAAAAAGGAGCCATGGGGGACGACAGGTCCTCCCCATGGCAAATCCGTGAAAAAGGAGCCATGGGGGACGACAGGTCCTCCCCATGGCAAATCCGTGAAAAAGGAGCCAGGGCTGATCTCCAGTGATAAGCTCGTACCTCATCGTGGTACTGGAGTCTAGTAACCCGTCATCCATGATGAACGGGTGAAGCTAAAACGAGCTTTCTGTAATCAGAGTTACATCTATTTAGTTATTTGGCAGTATAGTCAATATAGCCCAATTTCTTGAACAATAACTTACAAAGTATCGATTCTATCATTCAACACCGAAGTATCGCCATCATATGTCCTTTTTGACGTGACTACTTAAATGGTTTTGCGTTTTCGTCTAATCCGGGCATGAAGCCATGATATCTAGCCATCGTGCACCGCAAATCTACATGGAATACGATGCCTATGGACCAACAACTGCAACCAAGTAAACTACCAAGTTCCCGGAAGGTTTGAACGAGCGGATACATCAGAAGCAAAAGCCTATGGGGAGTCTACATGAAATTTTAATACTGAGAAACGCAATGATTCGAAAGGTCTCTCGTGTTGGCGCCTCTCTTTCGCTACAAGGTACTTTAACAAATATTGGGTGGAGATGAATGAAGCAAAGGTTAATTTAGATTTTTGAGAGTGTTGAGTAGCTAGAATAAGAACTCCCAACATGAGATCAACAGTTGTAAATCATAGGATAGCCGAATCCGAGCAGTTGCAGCGACAATGCCTACTAGTTGAGCCAACGGGGCGGCTGAGTTGATATCGTAAGAAAAGAGAAATAGGCTCAGCTATCTCTCCCGGAGACTTCACTTCGAAGCTCATTAGAGGCGTATACTGTACCACAATGTTCTTGCCATCATGATGGGCTTGTATGATCCTGCCATGCTGGGGTGCTAGATAAGATAGCATCAACAGCTATAATATAATCAGTCAAGTCTGCCTTTTTCTAATAAGTGGTAATTTCCTACCGGCACAACATTATGTAGCTTAAATGCTGGATCCTGATAACGGCGCCGCAGCGCTCTGGCAATAGCCTTTAGTTCAGTGATCGCAAGAGCCTCATCAGTCGCGAGGATGCCATGAAGGACACAGAGCTCCAGATGAGGGTAGGAAGGGTTCTCAAGGTCTCTTTTTGTCTCCCAAGAAGGGTGAGTACCTATGAGCCATAGGTCCCGCCCAGATACCGGTCGACCGCTGGGAAATAGGTGTTATCAGTATCTAGAATGAATAGGAACACACGTGAGGGCTTCTGACAGAAATGAAAGAAGGAAAAGGAAAAAGAGAGAGAAAAACGAACGGGATGTAGGTGCGAGGTTCGAAAGAAGCGAATATGTCCAGGCCGCGATAAAGACCGTGACGGGACGCAGTACTCAGTCGTTCAACATGAGCCCACACATAATAGGCCACTTGCTCCAGTTCGCCTGATGGGGCACCTTCCTGGCCTGGAGGTTCAAAGAACTCCGATGCCATTGATTCGGGGGTTTCGTCTTCCAATGGATGCTCGTCGATGATTGATGCAGAAAGGGGTTTGAAGAAGCACGGTGAAAGGTCCAACTCATCTCCGTCAAATCCCACCCGCACAGGATGAAACCCAAAGTTTCGGAGTTCCTGCAATGATATCAATAACTCGTCGGTGGACTCTATAGAGGAAAGGACCTGTCCAAGATGCCTGTAGATGCTTGCACGCTTAGACTTCAGCTCGTTTGTTGTATCCATCTTGTGCCAGGTAAAGATGTATACTTGTGTGGGAGGATGAAAGGAAGCACAAGTTTGCGTTTGCGTGATTGAACAGGCTCACAATGTATATACAGATGAGTCACTTTTTATGTCATTTCTACTTCATTTTTGGTCATCACTTTCCGTCACTCTCAGGTAAGATCTACTGTCAGAATGACGTGGTGTCACGCGAATGCATTATAACAAGAAGGACAAATAACAGAGTACAACATATAATACTATTAAAAATAAGAATATATGAGGTCCGCGGGGATGCAAAAGAGGGCTAATTGGGAACACAGGCTCCCTCAGGCCTCCAAACACAAACATACTCTCTCAGTCTGGAAACCATGAAGCCGTCAAGATGCAATTAAACCCCGAATATTATAACCTTTGGTACTGTACTGTACCACATGGAGGGGACTCCCCTATACCAAAGGGAGGTAGGCAACTCGCCTGTATAAAAAACCATTGATCCAATAGATGAATAGTACTGCCAGGCAACTCGTTAGGTAGGTGATGGACCTTGTGTACACTGTAGCTCTCCGATGGGCAATATACTATAGTTCCCACGTCTTCAACTACTTATTGAGAGGAATTTGCACTTTACTCTTGGGTTACGTTTCTATCGGCCACGGACTCTACCTTTGCTCAAGGTCACGCCGGTGCCGCTTCCTATAATGGATTCCAGTAGACATGACGTAGCACGCGCCTTCCTCAAGTGGCGGACAGGCAAAGAAAAGGTGAGCATCTTCTGGTAGCTTGTACTTCTTCTTCTTTTGTTCTTCCAAGAAATCGCCAAACATCAAAATGCAAGTATATGCCTTCTCCTGTGGCCCAAAAACTTACGATAGCTAACAAACTTGAAATAGGGCTTCCTTTTTTGCTCGTGCGCTCGCCAGCTCCAGCTCCGCCTCCTCCGCCTCCGCCTCGCCCGCCAGCTCCCGCCGTGAAGGCCCGGTATGTGGAGGCCAGCAATGTGCCTGACAGTGAGAAGCCCAGAATACTGACAGCTTCTTTAGGCCCTGGCGACTCCATCTGTCCGTCGCACCTTATTCCCGCCCCGCCCCCAAAATCATCAGGAGGACGGCCCCCCCTCCGAAGAAACTGCGGATGAAGAGATCGTCCGCGCTCCCCCCCAGCCCCGAACGCCAGCCCGCCCCAATCCCCGACGCCGCCGTCCGCGCTCCCCCTCCCCTCCGCGACGCAGGGTCGCTCGGCGGGTGGACTCTCCGCCCCCTCCGCCCCCGCCTAGAACTCCCTCCCCCCCTCGTGACCAAGGTAAAGTCGAATCGAATCGATACTGTGTTTGGATAAGGGCTGACGATCTTTCTATTAGCCCCGCGGGCACGCTGCCCGAACCCCTGGTGCAGGGGCTGGGCCCACGAGGGCCCATGTGTCCCGTTCTGCAAGGTCTGCAAATGCAGACACTGGCCGCGGTGCCCCCTCCCCCCCCGCGACGACAAGGGTGGCCGTGGTCGCGGTGGCCGCCGCGGTCGGCGCGGTCGTGGCCGTGGCCGTTCAGGCCGTCAAGTTGCTATTACTCATACCAATTATTTTTAATTATTAATTATTTTCCATTGCTTTTTTTTTTTTTGTACTCTATATTATTATCAAGTATTTTTATATCATCTGAATCACAGAGACCTCGTTTGACTTGTTTGACATTGTCTTTCACATAGTAGAAGTCGCATCAAGTAAACTACCGCCTGTGTGCATCCACTGAAAACACCCGTAAGCAGTCGAAGACGAGAAGAAGAGAATGACTACAAATACAATTGTGTAGGGTTTGTCCTATAGCACACTCCAGCTTCACAACGCGTCTGAATCCGACGACAGAGATATCATACAGCAACTAAAACTTATTTATAGACACGAGAATGTGTTGGCTTTTCAACATCTTCTGATGAGAATCCACAATGATCGTCCGACCCCATAACGCCCCATTTCAATGGCATCTGTGCGATGTCACTCGGAGACTCGGACTCCCCATGGCACGCAGCGGCAATGGCCAAGCTGCAACTTCCGGCGACCGGCATTCCAGATGGAAAGCGCTTAAAGCCCAGTCCGACGATGTAGAACACCAGCAAACAACATAAGATGAGAGCTGTCAGCACTGCTCCCGGGGACCAGCCGCAGCCTGTGACGTCGTTTGTCGGGTCTCGGAGATGTGTCGGCGTATATGCCTCCAGGACCACCAGGAACAAACTCTGCGAGAGAAGCCAGTGGATGACCGCTGAAAATAGCACGAGTGGCAGCCCAAACCGATAGGGGAGAGACAGGAAATGAGTGGTTCGCTGGGACCCGCGTGGCGAGGTTGAAACGCGCAGCCCCTTTCGGCGCACGGCATATTGGCCCCATTCGTTGGCCATGGCCATGGTCGTGACGATACTGTTAGATCCAAAGTACATGATTGAGAAGAGGAGCTGCGGCGAGTTGGAAAAAAGCACATTCCCTGTCAGCGTAGATGCCCAGTGGAGGATATTTGCGCCACTAAGCCCGTCCAGTTCCATGGACCACCAGGTGATATCTCCATTTGTTCCTTTGGTGATAATCAATAGGTTTATCATAAGGATCAAGGCGATGCCGTATCTGTTTCATATTGCAGTCAGCGCCCAGCCACCATGAGGGAACTACGGATGGGGAATTCCGCACAGGATTAAGCAAACGAGCCACCTTGTGACAGATGCTGCAGATGCCCAGAAACGCCGGCCCTGGTAGTACCTGATATCTGCGTTATCTGGATCTCGAACCTCTTGCTTCGATAGAAGACACTGTCCCTTGGTGCTGATGTCGGGCGCAGTTAGGAACGACCCGATGGCATCCCCGATGGTGAGAAGCGGCGTGTCCCTGAGCAAGTACGCTGCACCAAGGAGAAGAAGGGCCTTGCATGCATTCATCGATATCACAACAAGAGTCAAAGGAAGACTGTACCCCAACTTGCAGATCCTAGCCTCCTCTACTAAGCAATGATCGATGGAGCGGCCAGCGACCATCCACCGCGGCAGGTCTTCTCGAGCTGCAGTGATGTTGCCTGAATAATTCGACGCAACCCAAGAAGCAAAGTCATCCGAAGTAGTATTGCCGGCGCCAACGACCTGGATTTCAACAGATGCGTTTGTCACCAAGTAGACGCTGGCATACTTGGTCTGGAAGAATTGGCCATAGTTGTCGAGGCATTCATCGTTATCTAGCCGAAAAAGTTCGTTTTTTGTGGCCTTGCCATGAAGAGTCTCAAGCACCGAAACGCTTTCATTGTTCCAGGACGGTATTTCCGGAGACTCTGATTCGACCATTGAAGCATTGCCCAAAAACGCCACGTAGGCATTATTTCCTGTGGTGGAAAATATAATGGAGTTGTATCTGTTACCGCGTAATAAGTCGCCGGGTGCTTGCGACAAAAGAAAAAAACAGAAAAAAAAATAAAAGAACCTACAGGAGATGGAGCGGTAATGACGATAGTGCTAGCAGCATCCACAGTAACGCGTTTCTTCTCGGTATTCTGCCGAGGTTTCGCATGCTTGGGACGCCAATGTCGAGCCATTTGCCTCGACGATGTGCCCGGTCGATGTCCTTTCGAGTCGGGGCACTCAAGCATTGCTGGGCGAGTATCAGCTAGCAGACACGCAGGAAAAATGAATCATTTGAAAACATTACCATCCCATAGTTACTCGCACAGAGGAGGCTCGTACTGAGGATGTTGATGAGAAGGTGGAGTGCAATGCTTAGTCGCCGAACCGTCTGACAGCTTCCTGTATACAGAATCGGTCGATCTCCGCCTCCTTCGTGGTGCTGCACGGCCCACAGGGCAAATCCTAAGTTGACGACCAACACCAGCAAGCTTCCACCTACGCCAATGTAGAGTGTCTTCTTCCAACTCTCGAGAGAGGGCTTGGTGGGCCTAGAGTGCTTTGCGACCAACGGCTCTTCGGCTCTTTCGCGAGCAGAGGATTCCCTGTGAGTGTAAGCCATCGTGCAATTGGCAGGAAGCACGACGAAGGAGGATCATCCACGAGGGGTGCCTGGCTATTCCAGTGTCAGGTTCTTAATTTCTCTTAAGTTCAACCCACGAGGCTGGCGCCCACGTAATCTGACGGGCCTACCATGAAGTCATCGCAACGTACCAGGAAGGGATCAACACTAGAACCAACTCGTCTATGTTATGATGCCTCCTAATTGGATTATCTTGTGTTGTACCATCTTGGCTATTTATAAATCTGTGCTAAGTCTACACGCGCTTTTAGGGAGAATCTTGGTCTTTTCAGATCTGTCTTTCTTGTCATCATTCATTTATCTCATTTTCTAGTTTTTTCTCTCATTCCTCCAACTATCCTTTCTATACCCAGGTTTATGAACTAGGTATTTGCGAATTGACTGGCCAGCGACTTTCTCAAGCCCCAGTACTTGTTTTGATCTTGCTCAGATCGTCACTCGACGACTCGAAGAGCATCACTCATAGAAATTCACCCACATCACCATCACATTCATCACGTACATTGGTTGCCGTCACATCAATGTTGATATTAAGCGCTCTCCTCCTGGCATAGATTCTATCCCAGTACTCCAACTGCACCCGAAAGTAGGGAACATCCTCGTCCGCGACCCGGTACATATTCGCGATGTTGCTGAACTCACGATAGTCGTGATCATACTGGCCAAGCTCCTTCTGAACGGCGCGGTAGATCATCGCAGCGGTCGTCTTGCTCGGGTCTTGCTCATCCCCGAGTCTTCGCAGGTCATAGATGACCTTGATGCGAGCTTTGGTCGGAGGCAGCCGAACAGCGAGCTGCTTGAAACTCTTGGTTTCCAAACGCTGCTTGATCTGGTAAGTCAGCTGGCAGGTCACCTCGCGGATATTAGGCACATTCATGGGGAGTACTACATCAAAGCGCAAGACGACGAAGTAGGGGTCGGTGTGGGAATAGAACGGGACGAACTCCATGCCGTACTGCGTCTCGAGCCTGTGGCGCCGCTCGTACCAGGAGTCAGGGGCTCGCATTTTGTAGGATCTGAAAGAGGTGGCTTTTCGTGTTGGTTGTCAGGTCGAGCAGGTATCGATGTAGGAAATTGGGGTTAGCTGGGATGTAGCTGTGGATGGTTGATGGTTGTGGTTGGTGATGGACGGTTTGTGGTGGGAACAACGCCCTATTTATTAACTGAAACCTGAGAGCCAGCCATATCATGCATGGTATGGGCTGTAGTGGCCTTTCTATCGGAAATTTACGTTTAGCTGTAAGAGTTATCTTTATTCACTGGTGTTTTATTCATGAACTTAACAAAAACTATTGTATCATGTGGCGAAATATCCACATGAAGAGACGGAAATTCCTGAACATTCCATGTTCAGTCAGCGCAGACCGCGGTATCTGCCTTCCTATTCAATTTTGAGAAAGGTCCAGGTTCCATCAGGCTTCTCATAGGTCAGTTCCAAAGAGGTCAAGTTGGGTGTACGACCGGATCTTGCTTGCTCGTAAAGAATATCCCGCACTACGTGGAAGACATGAGCGGCGGTGATCATTTCCGGCTCCATATTTAGATATTGAAGATCGAATGTTATCTTCTTCACCACAAAGTCAGGGGTAGGTTCTTCTCTCGCATTGGCATACATCCCCAAGGCCATTCGACCATCCAATTCTGCGATGATCGCTGTCAGTGGCATCAGGTTCAATGGCCGAATTGTGCCTCTCGAAACCACTACGCGTATAAAGATTTGATTCACGTTGGTGCGGTCGTTTTCGTCAAACTCCAATGGCTGCTTATACTCGAGCTTCTCGTGCACCTCTCGCGGAGATGTAGTCACATCAGTAGCCATAGGAATGCCCATTTCTTCGGTGGAAAGCTCCGACTCTGTCGTGAATTTGGTATCGATATTCAAGAATAAGGGGATAGAAAGTAGTTTGGGAACAAGGGTGTGTGGAATGGCTTTTTTGCGCGTATTACAGGCCATATTTATACGACAAGGCCCGAGTCTTTCGTCTGTGATATATCTGATTCATCCGGGAATCTGATCTGCTTTGATGAGTTCTTCCGGCTCGAGCAATGGAAAGTTCCTGAGAAAGAGATAACAAGAATGGACATTCGGTTGTATGAATCCAACTTCTTTGAGTACTTCTCAAACTCGCATGGTCTGCCTAGACTACGATTACAATGAAAGAGGCACTACCTCTGCCTCCCTTGACATATTCTGGTTTTTATACTTTTTGTCCGAAAAAAACTTGTCAACCCCTAATTTGCCATATGGACGCCTAAAGCATCACAGACGGATCATGATTCTACTCTGGTTCGCTGATAAGGTCAATTTGGATTGGTTCTATGAAGCTCATCGACGCGTTTATGTGCAAAGATCATGCACGCAACTACGGTACTGAAGGCAGTATATTTTTCTACAGGGTTTCCATTACAATTACGGACATCTTTTCCGTGTACCAATTAGGGCCACAGATGTCGGACTAAACAGGCCTCGCTCAATTTAAAACAACCCCAACTGTAAACAGACGAGACAGGCCAAGTTCCCATCAGCCAGAAGTAAGGTTTATCTACGGTGGGTATAAACAAATAGATCAAGCTCCAAAGGGCGGGGAATTCAATGAATGAGTATGATGCAAGGGGAATATGCTTTACAGTTAGTTAAATTCCACAAAGAATTCGATCAATGTCTTGTTGGCCTCGTCTGGGAAGGGGGGTATCGGTAAGTTAGTAGCAATAAAATGAGAAATGCTGACAAGATAGATGCAGGGTAGATTCAATTGGCGGAAATATCGGAGTCAACATTGTGAAGGGATTCAAGCCTTGGTGCTCGTTGGTCCTATCCAGGACAAAGGATAAACTTGTCCTACACCAGCCAATGTATAGAAGATCTCGACCCCAGGCAGAGGTGAACAAAGGGTTATGACGAGCATAGCCTCGAAGTGGGCCAGCTGCAGTAATGAGGATCGATATTAGCGTGTTGCAGAACCAGTCACCCATGTGACGGAATCATAGCGAACGGGTTCATAGGGTTGCAGAGGCTGATCCCTTTCCAACAATGGTCCTCAGGATTCAGTGGACGACTGGTTCTGGTAGAATCATCCCACCGGGCACATGCTAGTGTCTCGGTTTGAGATGTGATTTAGTCGGAGGGGCTGTTTGGAAGAATGGTTAGTACGGGGTCGGGGATTATTCACAGTCTGCACAGCGATGCTAATGAAGCAGTTGGCCCAGCTACGGAATCGAGTAAATGCTCCGGCCGCTTAATTAAGGGTCTGTGAACAGGGGTCGGACAAGGTTGAATCGCCTCGGTGGCTGAAATGAAAGCCAAGAAATGGCGAGACGGCACGAAGATGAAGGCAGAAGCGCTAGTGCAGGCCGATTGTAATGCGTAATGCCGAAAAGCACGAGGCACATGTGCAGGGGAACAACAAGATTCTAAAAAACTCGACCGCTGGAACGGATGATCGGACGAGAAAAAACGAGAGGCAGAAAAAAGTAGAAAAAAAGGGGCGACTGAAATTTGGACCCGAGATTTGGTTGTTTGATTGAATTGCATCAGCGCATACTTTCTTTCCGGACGGTATGATTACCAGGGACCGACCCATCGCAGAGTCCCAGGTACCTCGCTCTTCATACCGCGGAGTAAGGCAGGGGAGGTACCTCTGGGCGGGTGTGCCGGATGGCTCGTGTTGCCTGGGACCGTCACAAAACCAGGCACCGTTCCCAGGGCCAGCCAATTGCAGGGCCAGACTGTCCACGAACAGCGGGGCTGGTCCGCCCATCCCTTCCCCATCGGGCTAGACTTGTGCCGCTCATACCCGAGGGTACCGGCCGCTGATAGGCCAGCCGCCCCTCACCCGGGCGGATCCACCGCTTCCATAGGTCGACCTCATCTCGTTTACGGGCGCCGTAATTACCGGTATTGCTGCCTCGTGCGCCGTCGTCTTCTTCGCTTCTCCCCTCTTCTGCGTTGTCTTTCTTTCTTTCTTCTCTTTTTCTCCTCTCATCTCAGCCTCGATTCTCTCGCTCGCTCGATCTGGTGATCCTTCCTTTCTTTCTTCCCGACTTCGTGGGGAGCTTGCGCTCCTTTCTTTCGTTCATTGCGCGGCCTAGACGCTCGTTGTCATTCTTTTGATCGACTTGGGTAGGCGGCATCCCAGCCTGGCCCAACTATACCGCATACTCTCCATTCTTTGCCAGCCCACATTCCTCGACGCGCCTGTTTTTTTCTTGGACTTCAACACGCGAGGCGATTAAACAACTGTGGGCGCCTCTTCTGTTCCTTGCACTCTTTGATTTTGTTTTCTGCGCTCGACTTTCTTTAACCAATCAGCCGACAATCCCCCCCCCGAATCCCCGCGACAACAACTTCGACAACTCACCCGACCTATCGCAGGCATATATGTCCCTTTAATCCGTCTCTCTCTAACGCGCTACTAAGCTCAATCGCCTTCTTTCGGCCATTAGCGATCATGGGACACGGACATGCGCATCACAAGCATGCTGATGTGCTCCAAAAACGAAGCCCGGACGACGGAGTCACCGTGGTGTATGTGACGGCACCGGCTGATTTCGATGGCCCGGTTGCTGGATACGTGACCGGCGAAAAGCCCGCCGCGACGAAGGCCCAGGTTGGCGTGGGAGCGCCTGTGGGAGCGACGAGGGCGGCGACTAAGGACGACGACGACGACGATAAGCCGACAAAGACCGCAGAGGCGGAGACGAAGAAGACGGCCGAGGTAGAGACTCAGAAAACGGCAGAGGCCAACACGCAGAAGACGGTCAAGGAGAAACCTCAAACCACCGAGGAAAAAGCGCAGCCGACTGCGACCCGGGACACCAAGCCGCAGACCACCCAGGTGCAAGAGACCCATACGCAGCAACAACCGACTCGAGCATCTGCCACCCGCGAGGAAAAGCCGACCGCCGTCCAAACGACGTTGTCAACCTCCACGTCGTCCAAATCGTCGCTGTCCAACACCGGCCTGGAGAACGCCGCTGCCACCAATTCCTCTTCCTTGGACAAGTCTACCGCTTCGCCATCTGCATCCACCGTGCCCTCGGGTTCGGGTGGTATCTCGGACGGCGCAAAGGCGGGTGTTGCCATTGGTGTCATCCTGGGCGTCGGCTTGATTGCTGGTCTGATCTTCTTTTTTATGCGCAAGAAGAAGCAGGGCGAGAGGTTGGACGATACGGGTTCCGAAAACGAGAAGGCCTTCGTATCCAACGACGTCGCACCGCCAGGACCTCCGCCCAAGATCGAACCAAAGACTCCATCCACTCCTCCCCAGCTCAACGTCCGTCCCGTCACCCAATTCGCCCCTGACCTTACCCCCAGCAACAGTATTGCTGCTTTCTCTGTTGGTGGTGCCGAGGGGACTCTGGCGCCTGCCTCCGCCGCCGCAGCACCGCGCGATCTCACCGGAAATTCCTCGCCTCACACGCCGACGTCGAGTTCTGGCAGCAACCCGAATCCTTTCAATGACCCTGTCAATCCCTTCGCTGGTCAGGCAGAGTCTTCGTCTCCTATCAACGCAGCACACTCAGCCAGCCCGTCTACCGCCTCTGCCGCGGCTCCTGCAGCCCCCGAGGCACCTTCTCCAGTGGATGCGGCTCCTGCGTCTGGCATGGCTGCGGCGGGTGTTGCGACAGCCGTGGCGGCTGGTGCTGTTGCAGGTGCCGCTGCGTCCTCGTCTTCGGAGGGAGCTGGCAAAGATCTGCCCAACCGTCCCGAAAGCCGAGCATCTCAAGCCCCCTCGGAACCGATGCGGAATACCACGAGTCCCATCAGCTCTAATGCCGCTGCTGCTGCAGTTCCAGTATTCATTCCTCCAGGTGCTGCCCCGGCTCCGGCTCAGTCTCCGCCGCCGACCAACGTGCATCGCGTGCAGATGGATTTTAACCCCTCGATGGAAGACGAGCTGGAACTTCACGCCGGCCAGCTCGTGAGACTCTTGCACGAGTATGACGACGGCTGGGCTCTCTGCGTGCGAATGGATCGCTCCCAACAAGGAGTGGCGCCTCGCTCCTGTCTCTCTTCTCGCCCCGTGAAACCTCGCGCCCGGCCTCCCCCCGGCGCAGGACCCGGCCCTCGCGGTCCCCCGATGATGCCACCCACCGGCCCCGTCCCGGGACCTCAGCCGACTCGCTTCTACCCCCAGGACGGCCGTTCCATGTCCCCCGTTCCCTCGCGTCCCATGTCGCCTGCTCGCCCCATGTCTCCGGCTCACCCTGGCTATGCCGGTCCTCCTCAGCCACGTCCGCATCAGCAACGGCCCATGTCCCCGGCCCAGTTCCCCGCCGTTCCGCGGTCGTACTCGCCGGGACCGGGGCAGCGCCCCATGCCGCCTCGCTCCATGAGCCCCGGACCCTACGGACCGCCGGGCATGCAAAGGCCAGACATGCCGGCAGCGCAGCGACAACGCAGCAACAGCGCGGGCGGACCCGTTCCGCGCACGACTGCGTCTCCGGGCCCAAGCCCTCTCGCAGCCCCCATGCCTCCCCCGACGGCCGCGCTGCCCGCCATTCCCGACGCCGCTCCGACGCCCGTCGAGAAACCCGGCCCAGACCATGAGCCTCAGTTCCACTAAGCCCTCTCGTTGATGCCGAACGGGACTAAAATCGATTGGTACGGGGAATATTGGATTGCCATGACCGCTGGACGGGAACGACCTTGCTATGATATGATATGCGTCTGCGATGAATGGCTCCCTCCCTTTTTTTTTCCATGACAATCTCACCACCGAACCCGAATCCCTCTGACTCTATTCTTCTCATGTTTTATTTACCTGTTTTTGGTTTGGGCCACTGTTCCTGGTCTACTTTTTTTTCTTCTTTTTTTTCACTTCTATCTTGTCAGCAGACTTGTCAAATGGAGAAATCTGACCTTTGGATCTGTTGGATGTTGTTTTCTCTGACTGCTGAATTTCGCTGCGCCCGTGCTGAGCTCGCATTGGCAGGTTATACCCCTTTTTTTGTAAGATTTATTGAAACATCGAATTTGATGGCTTTTGATTATCGATTGATTCTTTTACGACTATCTGTTTCCCTTTTCTTTTTTTTTCTGTCCTTGCTTTTCAATTATCTTGATCTCCCCCGCTGCTCCAAATCTACATTGATAATGCTCTGGTCTCGCTTTTCTCTTGTCTATGCCTTAATGGATCTTAACGTTCCGAACGCATAGCATAGACTGCAATATCCCAGCGGGAGAAAAGACAATGATCAAGATGAAAGGAACGGGAACATTACCCGTTTCCTATTCTACTACGTTGACTTGATTGATGATTCGGTTTCTGGATTCCTTGCCGCTTTTTTTTTATTTGCTCGCTTTTCGATAACTTTGTCTGCTTCAGTCAATTGATCAATCGATAGCGAGCGGGTTTCTCTGTGCGGTATATGTAGGAACACGTGGAATTTCAATGTTTATTAGATATTAGATGAATCAAGAATTTTTATTTATTTTTATTCTTTACTATTATTGTAGGGAAATATGGAACATGGTGTGATATATATGTACTCATATATTTACCTGTGTGGATTTAGGGCTTGTGCGCTTAAGGGTTATAAAATATGCATTCGCCAACATTGACAGGACGGGACTTACCCGTCCTCGCTTTTGTTTAAAACCATGATTAACCGAACAACAAACAGTCATGACAAAATCGTTCCAAATGGCTGAAATAGACACGAAACACAGAACCGGTCTATTCACTTCTACAAATGGGGCACTCCTCCACTGGCGAGAAGGAGATTGACAATGCTAATGATCCCTTCGCCCAGGATCAACCCCGAGGCTAGGACGACGACGGTCGACGACGCAACGTCGGCGTCGTGGGTCGTCTGCTCAGATGGGCCGTGGTGTGCCTCGCCGCTGGTGGTAGGGTCTGATGAGCCAGCGGCCCGTTGAGTTGGGGGTCCCATCTCGGAGGATTCCGCGGCCTTTGCGTGACGTCGAGACCACCACCAGGCGATCACGCCGCCGATGGCTCGCGCGAGAGTGAATGACGGGACGTTGAATATGCCGACGGCGACGGCGATGCCTCCGGGGACCCACGCGCGCCAGGGTGCGGTGACGCCGCGTTGGCCGCCGTTCGCGACGGGAGAGGCGGCGACGATGCGGACAATGGTGACCGCCACGAAGGCGATGCCGGCCAGCAAGGAGGCCTGCCAGGCCATGGGTGGTAGGCCCTGGCCTGTGACGAGGCGCGCTGTAAAGATCCAGACGTACGCAGTAGGGGTCTGGAACATAGGGCCCGGCACCTCGTAGACATTCACGTACATCTTGTAAACGGCGGTCGAAAGCACGGCACCGGCCAAACTGCCAATCATTTGCCCGTAGAATTGGGCCTTGGGGCTAGCGCCAAGTAGATGACCCGTCTTCAAATCCTGCATCATGTCCCCGGCCTGCAGAGCACCCGATTCGGAGACCGCGCCCGCAAGGAGGTTCGTAACGAGTGCGGTACGTCGCGAGAAGTGAGATGCCGGAGTCGCGAGGGAAAACAGCAATTGGGTCAATTTGCTGATGCCAGAGACCGGGTTCAGATCGGTCTCACCGAGAGCACGAACACCCATTATTGAAAGCAGGACAGCAAGCAACGTGGCCAGACTTGAAAGTAAGGGGGACATTACATCCCCGAAGACAAAGTGCATGCAGACCACATTGAGTATCAAGGTTAGAGGGAGCAAAATTATGACAGTTCGTGTAGAGATCAGTTGGGAAGGGGGCGCATCCTCGTCGTCATCACTAGCTTCGCTCCGTCTCCCGGTAGACAATGCGGGCTGGCTTTGAATGGACGAAGGTTCCTCAGAGATCGGACTTAAAGCCGAATAACTGAAATAGTGATGACGGGTCGAGGTGGCTGGCGCTTTTGATGCGACCCAGCGACCAACATCACTCGAGAAGAACCTCGCTCTGAGAGCAGGCGCACGCGCAACTAGGGGTTTGAGCACCAACCAGCCAAGACTGACAATGGAGTCTGCGAGCATAATTGCCAAGGAGACCCAGACAATCCATGCTTTGCTTCCATCCTCCCAGCTGTCTACCGGTCCAGGAGCCCAGCCGCGGGCTTTTGCAAGAGGAGAAAGAATACCCCAGCCTAGCACAGCCCCGAAGAGCATGTGCATACACGTCGAAGGGCCCATGATGATACCTTGTCCGACATAGGCCGGAGACGGGTTGAGGGTCCATAGCCAATTCTGGGCGAGAGAAAGCCCAAATATAGGAATATCACGCACTTGAGGGACAAAGTAAGAGAAAAGCGTCTGGGATTGTTAGCAGTCAACTTTTGAGGGCAACAAAGACGAGACCCACATAAACACCCGAAACAGCAAAGGCTCCGACCAGAAGGCGCATCTTCGATCTCCAATCCTTCTTGTCATCGATTCGATCCGCAGAATCATCCTGTTTCAGCAATGTGCCACTCTCGTCAGGTTCTCGCGAAACCAGCGGCTCCTCCTCCTCGTCTCGTTGGGATCTCGCGGAGTGGCGAAACCCGGTCTTTGCTTTCTCATCGTTCTGGCCACTTCCATGGAGAACTCTCAGCATGAGAGCAGAAGCCGTTCCGCTGGGAAACTTCAGTTTCTCTCGAACAATCACCTCCTTCCGCAGGGGAACGGCAAAGACAACACCAAACAAACACACCCCCAGACTCCAAAGGACCAGCTTCCCGAAATTGAGCTTAAGCGGTCCTCCCTCTCCGGTACCTCCATCCCCAGAGGGTCCATCCTCTCCGTCCCTTATCAGGAATTCCAACGCGGGTATCACCCCGACGAACCCACAACCCAACGGCATTGTCCCGACCGCGCCTGCTACCGTTTGAATAAGGACATTTTCGATGGGAGTGAACGGATAGGATAGGTATTTGGAGAAGACCTTGAAGACGGAGAAGCCTATCAGGGCCGACGGCATGGCCATTGTACTGATCCATCCTGTCTGCAGGCCGAAGTAGGTGTTGGAGAAAGTGATCAGGGCGCCAATGATCAAGCCCACGAGGAGGGACCGCGGGGTAAAGCTCTGAGGCGCGGGAGCTGAGGGCGAGAATCTGGCATTGTCGGCATCTGGTTCATCGCGTTCATCGAAAGATCTTAGAGACCTCTCCGTGGGGTCCGTGTTCGAGGGACGAGGGCTACTGGCGGCATTGCCCGGCATGTTGATAGACTGGTAATTCATCGGGTCTTCAGCACGCAGTAATCCGTCTCAGCCCTGCATCCCAATGGCAACTTCCAGATAAGATGATCAGGAGAGAAGAGGCTAGAGTGCCATGATTGAGAGTGGGCGCAAGGAGATGGCGGAGAAAGAAGAGAGGAGAAGGAGTTGGAGTCAACCCCAGCCGCATTACTCAGCACCGATAAGATACGTGACGTAATCACCCTCATTAGTAGCCATGCTATAGTTATAAGGAATGCAGTATTTACTGAATGCACGTCGGAAAATACTGCTAATATCTGTGATGGATGTTTATCTGAAACCCTAGTCACAAGAATATGTAATCAAGATGGCACCCCCTCCACAAAGCTTCCTTTTCTTACGCTTTCATTTAAACCAAGGATCACCACCGGCTTTTCCAGGCTCAGTGTAACAGTGATTTAAAAATGACAGAAAGGACTGTACCTTTTGAACCTTCCTGTCAGTGTCTTAATTGAAGGTTGCCAGTAGAAATTTGGTGACGATTGTGGCTGGGACAACATCTACCAACATATATATATAGTACCAACACGGGCTCTGTTGCATATAAACCTGTGGACTACAACCTCGTCTCACTGTCTTCCAAGACATTTGGCAACCTAATATTTATAATGCAAACCAACAGAATTGACGAAATCTCCTCTCTTTCAGAGGCGGCGTTTTCCTCTCTGACGAAATATCAAACAACCGGGAAGAACTCCGACCGTCTTTGTACCCTGCAGCAGCTGGTCCAGTTAACCAGAGCCCTAGAGAAACCGGCTGACACTATATATCGGCTCTTTCTATCGGTGGGATTGCAATAAATCAATGTCCTCTTCTATTCTCGGCTGATATGAAAACCAAGCCTACAGTCCTCATGGCCATCAACATTGCCATTGATATCGGTGTTTTCGAAATCCTCGCAAAGACAGAATCCTTCGTCACAAGCAGTGAGCTTATTGCTGGGAAACAAGTGGACAAAGCTCTCCTGGGTACTTTCCCCATTCCTTCTCTTCTAGCTTGAGTTTCAGGCCAGCTCATTCTCCATAGAGCGGATCATGCGTGTCCTCGTCATGAGCGGTTTCGCAGGCGAGCACGGCTCGGGCCAATACTTCCCAACCCAACTATCGAAGCAAATAACGGTGCGAACATCTCGCGGGACCGCAGAATACCTGTATGCTATGACTGCGAGCACCCATAACAATCCCTAAGCTCATTTACGGTCCTAGTTTCAAGGATTTCCTGCCCATAATCCACAAAACCCCCGTGTTCTTGAAGGAGACCCAATATCGAAACCCCCTCGATCCTACCAACGGCCCCTTCCAATATACGTACAATACGCAGCTATCATGCTGGGGCTGGCTGGCTGAAAATCCGGACGTAGCAAGCCGGTTCAATACCTTCATGGAGGGCAATCGCGGCGATCTCCCCCACTGGAGTGACTGGTTTCCCGTCCAGAGTCGCCTGGTGGATGGTGCTGATGGTGGGCCGTTCCTCGTTGACGTCGCAGGAGGCCGAGGCCATGATCTTCTGGCTTTCAAGAAGTCGTTCCCTCGAGTTCCAGGGGCTCTTGTCCTGGAGGACTTGCCGTCGGTGATTGCCGATATACGTGATTTAGACCCGGATATTCGGAAGATTGAGTATGATTTTTTCACTCCACAGCCGGTACAAGGTATGTCTCGGGAAAATCTGTCAGTAAATCTTGGGACGAATATGTAATGCTAAAGTTCGGTGATTGAAATCCAGGCGCCCGTGCTTATTATTTCAAACATGTCCTGCATGACTGGTCGGATGAGAATTGCCGCGTCATTCTCAAGCACACGAAGGCTGCCATGAGGAAAAGGTACTCGAAACTGTTGATCGAGGAGCATGTCATGTCTGACCGAAATCCTTGCGCTCGCCACACGCTGATAGACATGGGAGTGATGCTTCTTGGTAACGGCATGGAGCGAACCCGGTCGATGTGGATGGAGCTGCTGGAGTCGATGGGATTCACCATCCAGAGAATCTGGGCTCCGGTGAAAGAGGGGCTAGACCTGATCGAAGCTGAATTGGGTGATTATGCACCCCAAGATGGGAGCGCGTAAAAGAGTTCCAGTAGCGGTAAAAATTGATCGACGGGTTGGAAAGAACATCTGAGTCTTTCGTGCTGCACATTTCGGTTTCTATTGGTTTCAAGGATCAAAAAAGAGGAATTCAACATCTGTATCAGAGCAATAAACAGGCATCATATGAATAGCTTCTGCACATAATGAGGTGTTCCTCCTGCTTTCAGTTACTGCGGCCTGTACCGCAAACGAACCGAGTTCGATCTCCTTGAGATAGAGGCATCGTCTCTTTGCTGTAGCGCTAAAGATTGAGGGGTGCGGGAGGCTCATTCCCAGTAAGACCCTTCTTTTTCAGACGAGCTGCCCGGTCATTCAAAAATGCCTGATACTGCGCTTTCGGAACCGTTTTATTTTTGTCTTCCCACACCTGATATTCCAATACCTCCCAGATTTGGAGTTGCCGGAGAAAACTGGCACTCGGCTTGACTTTCTGTTTCGATTGAACAACAGTCATGGCTTCCTCTTGTGTCATGCGGTACTTGCACATAAGGTAGGCGATGATGATTGTCGGAGAACGTGAAATCCCCAGGTCACAATGGATCAAGATCGCCTCCGGATCGGAAGGCCTATCATTTGACTCATGGTTTTGTTGAGTGTTCAAAGATCGTGATGTCTGGAGGGCTGGAGATGCCATTTGGTCAATGAAGTCGCAGATACTGTCCATATGAGCGAGAAGGTCCTGCGTCGATGAATCCACACATTGAACCTATTTATGGCGTTGCTCTGGAATACCCGCTTGCCTCGTCGTTGTGTTCCACCATACCCACCGAGCATCAGTCAATGATAGTATAGCATCGATGTGATTCTGTCGAAGCATATCTCTGTTGTATGATGCCTCGACGTTTCCAAGGAAGAGACCCGGGACAATTTGCCTCATCCGGGCTGCGAATGCCATCTCCCATTTCTTTTGCCGGTCCTCGTCCATTTGCGCGGGAGTTTTGTTTTCTTCCATCACTATTGATTGTGGCAATCCTTTCTCTCGATAGAAGGAATGGTAACGAGGGGAGGGGGAGGGGAAAGATAAAGAGCATTTTAATGGGCGGTGCTTCGAGCCCCGTGATTTCGCCGATCGGGGCCCGATTTCTCAGGCCTTGTGGAACCGAGCCCTAGTATACCATTCTTGTTGGACACAATTTGGATTGGAATTACTTCTCTACTCGCTTCGTATCATTCTAGAAGGCCCATTATAGCACCACATTGCAGCGCGCCCCTGAGACCCATCCTTCCAGGGCCTCCTGGAGCATTCGCGACTGATTATCGACCGTCTTCTGCGCCAGCCACGCCAGGTGCGGCGTCACCAGCAGGTTCAGTTTCTGGCTGTCGGGCCTCAGAAGGGGCGAATTATTGGGCCCTGCCGGTTCCTCGCTGAAAACATCGGTCGCAGCACCTGCAATCTGTCCCTCCTTTAAGGCCTTGACCAGGGCTTCTTCATTGACCACGCCGCCGCGGGAAACGTTGATGACCAACGTGCGATGCGACATGGCTTCGAATTCTTTTGTCGAGATGAGATCTCGCGTCGAATCGATGAGTGGGACCGCGAGAAAGATCACGGTGCTCTGCTGGATCACCGATTCAAAAGGAGTTCTATATACTCCATTGCCACCAACGCCATTGACCGAGGACTCGGAGGAATCCTTGCGCCCGGATATCAGGACTTTCATGCCCAGGCCTCGTGCCAGCTCGGCGAGTTTTTTTCCCTGCCTTTCTTTAGAATGCCTGTGCCAGAAACAGCACGGTAGAATGGGATATAAATGCACTCACCCACCGTTCCATTGCCAATCAGACCCACGACTTCCTCCTGACACGTCAACGGCGGCGCCCCGTCGCGATCCAGCGCCTGATACATGAGCGTCTTCTGCTGCGGCCACTCCCCATCGCGAGTTAACGAATGCAAAGGCAGCATCTTGCGCCTCGTAGCAAAATACATCCCGATGGCATGCTCCGACACGGCTTCGAAGTTCGCCGACGGACAGTTGCTCACAGTAATGCCTCGTTTCTTGCACGCCTCCAGGTCCACGCAGTCTGTGCCCGTGGCCACGACGACAATTAATTTCAGATGCGGCGTCACCTCGGGCGAGAGAGCGATCGCATCTACTTGCAGTCTCGAGAATACCAGGATCGTGGCGTCGTGGATGCGCGCGTGCAGATCGGCCAGCGAGGTCTGCGGATGCACCGCCTGCGTGTAGGTATGGGGCGCCGCGAGGTCATACTCGGGGACGTTGATGAAGTCAGCCTGGAGGTATACGATGTGGTGGGTTGTCATGATGAAGTGTGCGATCGGATACTGGCCTTGAGGATCCTACTACTCTCTACTCCGCAAGATGCGACCGGAGACCTTTAAATCGACCGGCCGTTATCGATCTACTTCTCCAGGCCACTCCACATCGCGCACGCCTTTTGAACGACAGCGGTGGGGCTGTCATCATCGCCCACGAATCCACGGTCCGACCGAGCCTGTTGTCTCTTACCTGCATCTCCGGGCGCAAAAGGTCATTGGGTCTAAGTCTTTCCGTTGATAGCAGACGCCTCCGGGAACCACTTGCGTCAGATCTGGTCTGGTGGTCGCTTCCATGCCGAATACTTGCGATGGATGATCAGTCTGGCACGCTTAGAGTTCTTCGCGAACACCTTTTCAAGGCCTGAGTGGGCTTGCCAGGGTCAAACGCTGGTCAGTGCCGGACTTTGGGGTTTTGGTTCATGGAATGCCGAAGCCTTCGTCCCACTGACCGACTCTTGCTTTTCTAAGCCTGGCAACTCTCATGGTCTTAGTTTTTCGTCAATGCCCAGTCGCACCGTATATGGGGATGGTGGCATGATAAATTCCGCAGCGCCGCAGGGGAATATTCAGGGAGCCAGAAATCTAGGGAGCTGCCTCCGGTCCTGCTCTGAGAGATGGTCCTTACAAAGTAATTCCTGGGAGTTCACAAGGCATGTGAGGAACAAGGTCGCCAGAATAATGAGGAGGGAACTTCCAGAGGCCTCTTGTTCGGTCCTGGGGCATAGGAATCCAGACGCGTGCCCTCCTTGCATATAGCATCAACACCCCTTTCGTCTAGAGCTAGACCAGCCGACAACTCCAGGCCAAATGGTTCCTGGATGCTCGTTTGCCGATCAATTCCTGATCGTTTCTCAACCTCTCGGCCTCACATTCCAACATCGCCCGCCCATTGTTGCCAGTATTGAGGATGCCTCAACCTCGCTCCTGCATTCCATGCGCCGCAGAGTTGTTGATTGAAGTCGAGAAACGCGTCGATGGGCCCAATAGCACTCCATAAATAACCGGCTCACGCCATCGGTGTCTGTTCTTCATCCCAGCAACCAATTCCATCGGCACTCGCCAACGCACTCTGAGTCCGACCAACAAGTCTCTCCTTCATCCCTCAGACACCATCAAGATGCGTTTCACCAGCGTATGTCCCTCCTCTCCTGGATGTTAATTCCTCACTAACCCTCCCAGCTCGTCGCCGCCGCTATGGCCCTCGCCCCGTCCGTCTACGGTTACGGCGTGTTCACCGCACACCTGAGCGAGCACGAGGGCTGCCACCCCGGCGACTGGCCCAACGAGCCTCTGGACAGCCCCGAGGCCACGGCCCTGACGCCCGACACCTGCGCCAAGGTGTCTACGAAACACAGCTTCCCCATCGACGCCTACTCGCTCTCCGTCGAGGCCGTCACCAAGGACGCCACCTTCGACTGCCACGGCGTCGGTATCTTCAGCAACGACGAATGTATCGGGTACCCTGAATTGATCGTTCCTATCAAGCCCTTGGATACGCACGTCCAGACTCCCTGCTTCTCGGATGTGCATTATGACCGACACCTCTCGCTGAAGCTTTACTGTTCGGAGCATTAGAGGGTGTGGGAGTGTTGTGATGGGGTTGTTTTCATGGAAGAGATTTTTTTTTTAATTCCTGTTCTATTTTATTTTCGCATTTAATGGTATAATCTGTCTTGCGCAATGCTTTCTCATCATTATCTTGTAATGGAACACAACCAAGCTATTCGATCTCGAACTCTCGCAATTAGGCCTGTAAAACGCGCATTAGAATGCCCTGCCATGCTATCTCTGGCTCTTCTCAATATCGTCAATTCTCTGCAGTCAAGACAGATACACCCAAAAATCACTCAAAGACCGTACACACTTACCGGATTATAATCTATTACAGTATGAACTACAAATTATACTTTCCTTCAAGAATTGAGCCATTACGGCCCAGTAACATGTAGCCATTCTGCAAACCTTCAAGACAACACTAACAACCGATACAAAAGCCCTCAAGAAACGCCATTCAACACCCCAAGAACCACCCGACGCGCCATCCAGCCCAAAACTGCCCCCACAACCGCCACTCGACAGCCAACAACACCACCCTCGACGCGCCATCTTTACTATTCCTGCCTCTGGAATGCCATGACTGTCGATCCCTGCCGCCGCCGAGCCCAAGAATGTCGATCTGACGATCGTGTTCTCTTTAGGGCTTCAGAGGTGGGTTTCTATAGGATGGGGATTCTTGCGGATGGGTGGTTGTGCTGGATTGGATTGTATAGAAAACTAAATGGCTGGTTGAGGGGGGTGAGGGCGTGTATAAATATGGGATGAGGGAGCGTTGGATAGACTTCATTCAGTATACTTCGGCTTCACCCTCAGCTTCAACTCCAGCGTCAACCCGTTGCATCGATTACATTATTATATCTTGATTCAAGTTCAATTGCTGGGTCTGTTGATGTATTCTTATTAATCGACTGCCTATTCTCTCCTGTCTACCTGCGATATCCTCGTTTTCTTCGTTGCTACAAAATACTACACTATAAACACCTAATCCTCAATACAGCCAAAATGCTTCAACCAAAGGTACTTCCTCCCATCCCAACATCCTCCAACCAAACAAACCAACTAACAAAAACCAGCACCTCCTCACCCTCCTCCCCATCTTCACCTCCATCACCATCACCACCGCCGCCCCCCACCCCCAACCGCACAAACCACCGCCCTCCTAACCGCCAACTTCTACCCCAACTGCCCATCCACCAACCTCGACCGCGACATCCCCAAAAACTACGACCCATCCCCCAGCCTCTCCTTCACCCACTCCCCCGACGACTCACCAAACTTCAACCTCGACGTAACCTCCCACCTCGACATCTCCAGCACCACGCCCCTCCGCCCAAACACCTGCGTCGGCCTGCCCATCCCCCTCGAATACTCGTCCCTCTTCGTCGACCACTTCTCCGTCTCTGCTGGGATTCAGCACCCGCGTCCTCTACGCCACGGTGGGCCGGAGACGAAGGAGACGTGCAAGATCACGGTGCATGAGACGCCCGGGTGTGGCCAGGATCCGGTGCTGGAGGTCCCCGTCGGGGAGGGCGATCGGAGGGTGGAGAGTGGGTGTGTGCGGAGGGAGTTTTTGGCGTTTGAGTTGGTTTGGGCGAAGTTGAGTTGTGAGGTTGAGGTTATCGAGGAGGACGAGGAGGAGAAGAAGCCGTGGACGCATGGTGGGTTGGCGAATTCGAGTGTTCCCGTGAGTCATGGGGCGAAGAAGGGACGGTTGAGTGGCGGGAAGAGGAGGACGAAGTTGCCGATTTTCTAATCGGGCTTGTCTCTAGGGATGGATGATGGGTTTTTTGAGCGTTGTTGATATCTGTTATTTGGCTTTGGTGTTTTGTTTGGCTTGGTTTGGATGTTCTTGAGCAACTAAAATATTACCTACATTAATAACAATGGATCAATACTCAATCAATTGGCCGGAGCAAACGCTCGTAGTATACAGATGGCTATATGCAAGAAACCCGCCTAGATAGAACATCAATTCAACAAACCCAAGATTCACGCCCTGCCTCATGGCTAATCCTAAAATCCAAAACTGTCCAGAAGTGAGTTGGCATCGGGTTCGTGGAATGTCGTCGGTGGTGGCTTGGGCTTCGGTTTCTGCGGACTCTCCGGAGCCTGAGGGAACCCGGGCTTGATGGGCAGGTCCGCCACCACAAGACTGCTTCGCCGGCGAAGCATCTTGCGGTAATCCACGGCATTCTCCTGCAGGTTGAGCGTGGTTTCCTTGGGTGTCTGGGGCGGCGGCTCGCCCAAAAACTCCCAGTGGCGGACGAGATCCAGGGCGAGCAGATCACATCCCATGCGGTCGTATAGGCGAGCGTTGCGCAAGATGAACTCCCACTCGGATCGAGCAGACACTTTGGACGCGCCTTTGAGGGTTTGCAGGGTTCGGTCCCGAAGTTGGGTGTAGAGCACCACTAAGGCAGGATCATTGGAAAGGTACGATTTCGCCTGCAAGGGAATCAACCCGGGACTGCCGGGAGAGGCGGGTGTCGGAGGGAGAAGGGTTTCCACCGGCGACTAGTTCATTGTCAGTACGTTCCTCCTCACAGTAAAGAATTTGGAACTTACAATAAGCGAGCGTACTGCCATATCCCGACGACCCAGCATCCAGAATGCCCACGAGGCCATCCATCGGTTCCCGTCCGTAGCAGCTTCGGGGAGCACTCGCTCTTCCAGGATCTCCTTCAGGACCGGCCCATCGTCGCCTTCGTAGGCGCGTGTGATGGCAATGGCGAGCTGCAGATCGCCCACCTGATTCATACAGACCTGCGCCGCATCCCGCAGGTGGTCTGCAAGGAGGAACCACGCGGCGGCGTACTCTAAACAATGATTAGACCAGACCAATAAAGGTGGATAGCTGAAATCGCATATACATACCAAATCTTCGTTTGCCCAGCAAAGCGTACGCGTTCTTCAAAGCTGACGTTTTCCATCGAGGGTCCTGGAAATTATTCGCCAGCAGTCGCTGGGTAGCGCCTTGTTCTCGGTTCCAGGACGCCATGCGCCAGAGACCTTGCAGGATGTTTTTCTTTTTCAGAGCGAGGTAGAACAGCGAACAGTCGATCGGATTCTTCTCCTCCGTCTTCGTATACTCGTTTCGGGCCACAATTTCGAGTTGTGCACGCTGGTCATCTGTCAGATTATCAACTCGAGCTGCAAGGTCCAAAGGTTCTTACAATGGCTGAAGGGTCCGACAACCACATGAATATCCCGCTCTCTCTGGCTGATTTCCAGAGGAGCTTACCACCAAACTGTCGGGAAACGAGGTCGATAAGGATATCCTGGCTGCCGCTGTGGAAGGCCCAGACTATTTCTCGCCATGATACCGTGTCTTTATTAGCGACACCTTGCGTCCTTCGCAGCATATGCTGTCGGAAAAATAGTAGATAGCGCGCGGCATTATCATCCATGGAACGCCGGTGCTTTTCAACCGTGGCCACACACTCAATGGTGTCTGCCAAGCGGAATTGCTCCTGACTGGTAAGCTGCGGCAGGGCATATCGGACCAAGTTTTCATTGAGCAGTGTTGCGGTATTTTCATCAATTACTGAGGCTTCATCCTCTAGGCTCAGGTCCGCATATGACGAGTGCAGCTCTTTTGACGATGCTTTCTGTGGTGTCTGTGTTCGTGTTAGCCATAATTCCAACCCATTATTATCATACTCACATCGTGCTCCTTGTAGAAATCCTCCAGAGGCATTTCCAGAAAACTGTCAATGTCATCGCCTTCCGTGTAGAACTTCAGCTTTCGGTGGAGGTTTAGTAAGATAGAATGCACGAGATTACTTTTCCCGCTAAGAATACACTGTGCTAGAAATTGAGGATGGAAGACCGGCAGGGGTCCATTCAACCGGCTCACCACCTCGAAAAGGTCAATGGAGGAGAGGCCCCGTGAGGGTATACGGAGCTGAGAGACCACGCGGTCGGAGACAGGGATATCGTTGTCGTACACAAACAGTTGGTTTCCCGCCCCGATCACAAGATGACCGTTGCTAAGCCAACACGAATCGCCGATCGGATGGGGAGTAAGGTCCCGGATCCAGATCTCTCTGATTTGTGTCCAGGACGGCCGTGCGTCCAGGTAGTCGTAACGAAGCTGTGATAACAACACAACTTTATGGGGGAACCCAACGGCAAGAACGGACTGCATGTCTGGGGTAGATGTCCAGTCAAGATCCCGGATGACATCCTGGGAGGAAAAATGCTCTTCGAATTCTAACTGAGCGCCGTTCGTGTCCCAGATAGTCAAGCGGGTGCGGTCCTCATCTACAAGCGCAGCTTTCCTGATGGAACTTCCATTGGCAAGAGATGGGTTTGCTATCCCAGTTTCAACTGTCGATGTAAGCAGCCAGTCGACTTGCTTCTTATCCTTGTCAACTTTGGCAGTCCATGTGTGAAGAACGCCACTGCTGGTGTACGACAGCGCAATGTCTGGCGAGAAAAGATCAAAAAACCCTGACCTCTCGGCCTTCGGGCCTGCTGGGTCAACAGGTAAGATGTAAGACACATCTTCGTTGAGTCCCAAATCAAAGTTACAGAACTTTCTCAGCGAGCATTGTGGTTTGTTTGTCCCACCGTTTACTTGGCGTTTCGAGGTAGGCAGATGAATCTCCCAAACAATCCCCTTCATGTCCGCTCCGATAGTCGCTATATATACCACATCAGAGCCATTCGGCGCGGTGGGGATCGGGAGGACACAAAGCGGTTTGCTAGAGAGCTCGAATGTCGACGAAGCCAGTTTTTGGGCATGGAAGGAGCGGATATCCCAGACCGAGATTCCTTTATGGTGAAGATTCACCAAGAAATCTCCATCTTCGACCACGCAGCTGCGATGGATATGCTCGTCCGAGAATAACGAGCTCTTGCGAACAAGGGTTGACCCGCTCTCCCTTTGTTTCTGCCGCCAGATCATAGCTTTGTTGTCATCGGTGCGCGAAACAAGCGTATTTCCGATTGCGTTACGCACAATCTTCTTGATTGCACCATTGTGTCCAGTCCAGGATGCTTTCTTGCTGACCCGGTTCTTGCGCGGAGCCGGGTCAAACAATACATCCACATGGGAGTCGAACCATTCAATCCGGCCGTCAAAGTGATGCACAAGCACGGATATCGAGTCGCTTGAAGATATGTTCTGGAAGGCGCACATCTGGACATAATCTTCTTCCGCAGAGAGCCCATTCATGAAGGAGAAGTCCAATCCCTCGACGTGGAGGATGTTGAACACGTTCAGTTCTGACTGGACTTTGGACCCTACGTCTTCCAAAGCCCATGCAGACATATGACCCTCTCCATCAATCACCATGCAGATCTCCGGGCTCTTATTTGCGACCTCAATGAGGTGTTCCAGCGCGTGGTTCCCCTTGTTCCCGGTACTCCGCTGCACTGCGCGTTCGGTAGCGACACAAAAGTCTCGACTGTCAACCACGAATCCATAGCGACGAACGGGGCCTTTTTCATCTGATGCGTGCCGCGGTTGAACGGAAGCTCCCATATCAATCTGAGTCCATAGTTGCAATGCAGATGGAGCATGGTGGTCCACAGCCGCCCATACCCTGATCTTGTTGTCCGCGCACCACGTATAGAACGCATTGGCCATAGACTGTTCCCGATGGTACGGTTTGCGCCAGTGCATCCCCGTCACGACCGCAGGATGCGGCAAGTATGATACCTCGAAACGAACATCGTCAGCCCCAAAAGAGAGCCGCCGCCACACCTTCACCAGTCGGTCGTAGTGACCCGTCGTCACGACAAGGGTCGCGTCGGGCGAGAATTGCGCGAATTTGACCGGTGTCGCAAGCTTCTGCCTCCATATCTCGCGCGGTGTGTCATTGAGGAACCAAAGAGCGAGGTGCGAATTCCCCAGGAGCAACTCGTCGGGAGAGCCCCACGATAGCGTACGGACCGGTTCGTCGTCATCGCCGCAGCGGAAGGTATGAACAAGAGACCACTATAGCATAGTTCACTTATCAGCATTATTGTCGCCCAGTCCCAACTCTCGATTGCCTTTTCGCATCGACCATCCCCTGTCGCACTCCGGGGAACACACGGACCTTCAGCGTTTCGTCCAGGATTCCATACGGCTGGTAAATAAAAACATCTGGTCCTCCACACACTGCGATCTTGCCGGAAGTTTCGTCAATCGTCACCGCCTCCAGGGCGTCGCCATCGTCAACGTAGATTGTCTGAAGGAGCTTGTGCGGGCCGCCGAGGATAACCAGCGCATGGCCGGAAATGTACACCTGTATGAGATGACCACACGGTTAGCCATGCCATGTTGACAGGGGTGACCAAGTCGCGGAGAAGCTAAATTCATCTTACCACAACGCGAACACCATCCCACAGCGCGGTGCTGAAAGACTGGAGCTTCGTCGGGGGTCTCCCCGGCAGTACCGCTCGCATAGAGACGGTGTTTCTGGTCGCTGACGTCGGTCGCTGGTTGCGCGGAAGATAGAGTTACACCATTGCCAGGCAGGAATGGGTGATAATTTGAAAATAAAAATTGATAAAGCCGAAAACAAGAGAAAGATAACGGCGGCGCAAGGAGGGGCGTGGAGGCGAGGCGAGCGAATGCTTGACGGGGGGAAGTTCGGAGGTGTTCAGATCGATTACGTTGTTTCCGCCTTCCGCCGTGTCACGAGGTCCGTGGATCTACTCCGGTTTGTTTAAGATCGAGAATACAGGTGTCATTGGACGAATCTTTATATACAGAAGATAATGATGAGAAAAACAGAAATAAACAATAGTTCATATTGCTGCAGAATACATGTCGGAACAACGCGAAAGGGTATCAAAATACGCCTATCCCAAGTCTAAACCCACAGTAGACAAGCCAGAAAATACAGAATCGCAAGGCATTCACACGTGTCGAAGTACTGGAGACTTCACATTCGTCGTCCGGACGATCTCCTACCGTCCGTGGGTGATTCCGGTTCCTCGTCGACGAACCGGACGCTGGTCCCTAGTGAGCTGGCCCGGCCATTGCGAGGCCGTTTACTCGAGGCGGTCTTGGGGAGTGACCCCGTCCGGGCACGGAGAAGCCGGCTCGCAAACGGCGTCTGCAATGGGGTGGCGGGCGTGGTGGACACCTGGGCCAGTACCCTTGCGCGCGCAGCCCGCTTAGATGGGGAGCTCATGAAGTTGGGGGTAGCCAACGGGTTGGGAGAAGGAGCCGGAGAGCCGCCGACAAAGTCACCCAGCTTGAAGGGCGTCTCGGATGGATACCAAGGATCGAATATGGCTTGATCCGCTCGGCTGGCCCCATCATAGGTCTTCGCAGGGCTCATAAGGGGTCCGGGAGAATCGCGAGCTTCGATATTCATTCGGGTCTTCTCGAGCCAGTTACGGAACATGCCTCTCGAATGTCTCCTTAAACTTCGTTCTCTCATGGCGCCCGCTGTCTCGGCAGAGCTCTTAATCTGGAAAACGCGCAGGCTGAGTCTCCGAAGATGGACGTTGGCCTGGCCAAGGACATGCAGGTGATACACGCTGTCTGCCTGTTCTCCCAAGCGATGCCATTCTATCAGGACCTCGGCCAGCCGTATCAGTTGGTTGTAGGCGATACGTCGGAAAAAGTAGGTGTCGGCATTGATTGCGTCTTGTATCTGTCTCTGGGCTTTCTCGTGCCATTGGTCCAAAAATCCAGATGCCAAAGTCAAGGATTTTCTTCGGCTGAACTGCAGAGCCTGTTGCTCCAAGTCAGAAACGTGCTGAGCTTGGATACTCCAGGATCCCAAGACCCTTGAAGCAAGGTTGATCTTGATCATTCTTCGAGTTTGCGAGTAGGCGTCCTGGCGGCGCCGCTTCGCAGCCTCCACTGTTGCTTTGCGCCACTTTTTCATCGTCCTTGTTGTGCCGAAATAATATTGTGCATCACGCGCCCATGCGTCAAGTTTCGCGACGCTGTCAAGCTTCGATCGCCATGCCACAAGTGACTCCTCCGCCAGACGCGGTGCATAGAATTCGAAGGCAACGACGTCGCGCTGGTGTTGGAGGGAGAGTTGACCGCGCCAAAGGGTAAATTTCGACCGGAGAAGCTCTTTGTTTCGTTTTTCCTCGTGTCGTTCCGCGTTATCGAGTAGTCGAGAGTATGTGCTGCGGACGTTGGTAACGAATGTGGAAAAGACATCACGCGTAATTCGCTGCTCTCGAATACGCTGCATTAGCCGGTACCGCTCTGCCAGTATCCATTTGTACATGGTTTCCATCTTCAAGCGTTCTTCGATTCGCGCACTCAGAGCCTGGCATCGGAGCAGGTCGTTCCAAGAAGTCCACGAATTGCGTACGATCCTCTGTCGATTCAGCTCCCTTGCTTGTGACACCATCTGAGCCCGTTTGACCCAATGTCCAAATGCCGTTTTAACGATGCGATTGTCAACCATGGCGGCAACCTGAGAAGCCGCCGGTGCAAGTTGGGACTGGATCCTCCATTCCCCAATACTAACCTCCAAAAGCTGCCGGCGCTCTCGGGAGACTGCTTCCTGCTGGCCAGCAGCAACAGCCTTCGATCGTTCAGTCCAGGCCTGCCACGCCAAATTGAGCGCATTGTGCTTGTTGTTCAGGTCAATCTCATGGATCCGCTCTCTGTTGTTTCGAAATTTGCGCAGCCAGTACAACAGCGACCGCCTTTTTAAGCAATTGTCGTACCACTGTGGAGCGCGTCGTTCGCAGAAACACCAGAACCATTGCCAATAAACGTTATGCGTGGCTTGTTCATTACATCTGACCACAGCCTTTTCCTCTGCTTCTCTGACCTGGTGGAGCTTCTTCTTCCAGGCATTGAATGGCCTTCGCAACGCGAACCTCTGCGCCTTGAGTTCATTAACGGCGGTTATCTCACGCCACGCATTGAAGTATTTGACACCGAGGACGTGCTGTCGCGCAGCGGACGTTCTTGCAATCTCTTCAGAAGACACCTGAGCCCAATGGGTGAAAGCTTTGGTCATGAGGTAAAGGTCTCTAGCCCTACCAGCACGCTCTTCTAGGCGTTTGAAGAACTTTTCCGTCCGCTCTGCTTGTTGCTTTTTTTGAATAATCGTGTGCCACGTATCGAATGCCTGGCGAACAAGAGTAAGGCGATCCCGGTTGACAGCAACCACTTCCATATTCTGATGGCTCTGTCGCGTCTGTATCGCCTTCTTCAGCCATTGCGTAAGAATTCGGCGGTTGATGGCACGCTGACGGTACATATTGAATGTCGATGCATCTCGCAGCAAATCTGACAGCGACGGCCTATACAACAGCTCGAGCGGTACCTCAGGTCGATCAACGGTCTCACTTGGGTCGTCCGAGGCCGATGACTCTTCCACGTCTTCATCTGAAGCCTTTGAGCTTGGCGAGCGCTGTCGCCGACGCGATTGTGAAGCTTCTGCGATTCGCTTCGAACGGTCTTCGTCAACTGCAGATCTGGCTTCAACGCCGTTCGAGGCAACCTTTTGATTCTTTTCCGGATCCAAAAGATCCATCCGGCTCATCAAGCGACGTCCCACATCGATAAATTGTGCGATCAATTGCGTTCGGTCGGGTGAGTTTGCAGCTTTCCTGGTCGTCGCATTTCTTGGCGGCGATGGTCGGAGATCCGTGAAATCGGGCTTCTCCATAGGCAGACGAGAGAGAGACGAGCGTGAGCTTGGCCGGTTGAGAAGGCTCCTTTGCGTGGGATCGTCACCAACGTCATACATCGAATTGAAGGACGCTCGTCTTCGTCGGATTATTTGCGTCGTGTCTTCCCTAGGCGTACTGTCGCGGTCCACCCTCGCGCGAAGTCGACCATCCACCACGGGCGCACTATCTTCATAAGTTTCGTTTTCTTCATCATTGTCGTCATCATTTTCCCCGCCAAATTCTATAACTATTCCGTTTTGTTCCAGCAGGTTCTCAAACTTGTCAAAAAGAGAATCGCCTACGATGTTCTTCTTGCCCATTTTGAGCAGGAATCGCATGCAGGCATAGCCCGGATCCGCGTCGACGCCATGTTCGGCAATGACCTCGTCGTATGCTTGGAAAAGGACTCTGAAGGGAAGGCGATCGACCTCTGGGCTTCGCTCGGCGCGGGTGATGACCTGGAAGAGAAGGCCGACATCTGTGTACAAGAACTATTAGTCTGCAGGGATTTCGAGCGGGGACAGAATTCGTAGAGAGAAATGGACGAGACCATAGGAACAGCGCATTCACACACCTTCGTCAGAAAGCGACGGGTCTTCATAGGACAGAGGTCTACGCTGTCGAGAGACGGGAGGCATCGAAATATCCACGACCTAAGGCGCGTTTTTCGCAAGTAGGTCATGGAGGCGGGAACCGAAATCAACCATTGCGAGGCAAGGCGCTGGCGACAAGACGCACCGTGAGAGCTTGCGATTCCTCCGGGCCGCGATTCGAGGGAGGAAATTGGCAAAGCCAGACGAATACCAGCACTCGATGGATTTGTTTTGCCCGAGTCGCGCCGAACCAAACATGGCATGGCGGTCAGGTGATGTGCTTAGGTAACACCGCTGGGGGGCCATTTCTGAAGCGTCGCATCATTGCATCACCTCCAGTTCCTATCAGAGAGCCTTCATTCCGAGTAAACATGGCGTCGACACGAACGAGACCCATCGAGAAGTTCGCAAAGGCCACCTCGAAATGCTCGACCGAGGTATGCCCCGTTCTCCACCGACCCGCCTTGCTTGGGAGGATGCAAGTTGACGATTTCCAGGCGGCTGCATATGGCAACTGCATCGTTGCTGACTACAAATCGGTGCATAAGGACATGTGCGCGAAAGAGTTTATGAAGCTGAAAGACTGTTTCCTGGTAAGGAATAGTAATTCATGGTTGGGTAGCAAGAACTCACGCTAATCTGGAATTGCTTGCTCAGGCTGCGGCGAAGAAAGGTTAAGGAAGTACATGTACGGATATTGAACTTTGGAGTCAAGGCGGTTGCATCGGTCGGGTGCCTCGGTGATCTGTTTCTCTTCTATTGTGGCTGTATTTAGTCTAAGCAACTTACAATTAGTGGCATTGCCTTAATTACGATTCAATGATAAAGTCATAGAAGATAATCATCTCTAGAATTTCTAGATATAATGCTATTTCTTGAGATCTGTATAAGAAAATAAAATGAAAAAAAAAAAAAAACTATTTCACGTCGCACATTCAAACGTAACCCGAAACTCTAAAGCTTCAGCAGCTTCAACAAAAACGTCGCTTTTTGGACCTCCTGCTCTTCCTGCATGATCATGCGGTCGTCATCACCGCTGGGGGCCTTGCCCTCAACAGCCTCCTGTCGGTCGAGCGGTCTGCGCAAGACCTTCTCGATGGCACCGGACTGCGAGTCAAAAGCATCGTTGAGACCGATGTTCTCAGGGTCCGAGAGAACTGTGTAAGCCATGACCACGTCATCGGTGGGGACCAGACCGGCCTTCTTACGAAGACGCTGCACGCGGTTGATGATCTCTCGGCCCAGACCTTGGTGCGCCAACTCCGGGTACAGGTTGACATCCAGGATAGTCATCACATCCACATCGTTGTTGGGCTCCATGCCCTGGGAGGAAGGAACTTCCTTGATGCCACGCTTCACAACCAGGTCGCCCTCAAAGAGCTCAATGCCATCAACGACAATCTTCTTGTCGGCGACATATTTCTTGACATCCTCGCTAGTAAGGGCGGGGAGAGCCTTCTTGACCTTTTGGACGTCCTTCTTCAGCTTCTTTCCAAGGGTAGGCCAGTCAGCAGAAACACTGTACTGGACGTTGTACTTCGCCTCATCTGTAGACAAGATCACCTCGAGGACGTTCAGCTCCTCAAGGATGTAGCCCTCCAGAGACTTGACGTCGTCCAGATACTGCTGGTCCTGGTGGATCACGACGAGCGACTTCAAAGGGGTCTTCAGTCCGACCGAACGACGCTCTCGGGAGGTACGTCCCATTTCAATGACTCTCTGCATCCGGGACACTCTCCTCTCGACAACCTCGTCAAAGAGCTCCTCGCGCACCTCGGGGAAAGGAAGGAAGTGAACACTTCGGCTATCCTCGCCACGAAGAGCTTCGGGGATGTGGGGAAGGAGTCGCAGATAGATAGTATCGGTGATGAAAGGTGTGAAAGGTGCGAGTCCTCTAACCAGAGTGTAAAGAACCTCAAACAGGGTATTCAAGGCGTGCTTGGTGTCGTCAACACCGTTCTCACCCTTGAGGCGTCTCCGGTTGAATCGGATGTACCAGTTGGTAGTGTTTTCAATGAGACCAAGCAGGCGAGGAACAACGGTGTATAGGCGATAGCCTGCCATCTCCTCATTCACAAACTTGAGAAGACTCTGGCAGCTTGCCAGAATCCAGCGATCCATCACGTTGGTGTTAGTGGCCTCGGCCTTGGGGTCGAACACGTAGTCGATGTTCTCGGTCTTCTTCAGCAGAGCCACCTGGCCCTCGAAGAATTTGTAGCTGTTCCAGAGAGGGAGCAGAACCTTAGCAACCACCTCCTTGACACCCGTTTCCTTGAACCGGAGCGGCTCCGCTCGTACGACGGGAGAGTTGATCAAATACAGTCGGAGAGCGTCCGAGCCATAACGATCCATGATGAGAGAGGGGTCGGGGTAGTTCTTCAATCTCTTGGACATCTTCTTTCCATCCTCAGCCAGGACGATTCCGTTGACGACACAGTTCTTGAACGGCAGTTTGCCAAAGAGGTGGGTACCCAGGACAGTCAAGGTGTAGAACCATCCACGCGTCTGGTCCAATCCCTCGGCAATGAAGTCACCGGGGAAGCTCTGCTCGAATTGGTCCTTGTTTTCGAAGGGGTAATGTTGCGAGGCGTACGGCATGCTACCCGACTCGAACCAGCAGTCGAAAACTTCGGGCACACGGCGAAGTTCACCCTTGCCCTGCTTGCTCGGGATGGTGATATTGTCCACTTTGTCGCGGTGGAGGTCGGTCAGCTCGCCTTCGTAGCCGCTCAATTGCTTGAGCTCTTCGGCGCTACCAACAGCCACAACCTCCTTGAAGTCCTCACTCACCCACAAAGGCAGCGGTGTACCCCAGAATCGGTTTCTAGAGACGTTCCAGTCGCGGGCGTTCTGAATCCAGCTGGCGAACCTCTTCTCCTTAACGAAAGAGGGCACCCAGTGAGAGCCCTCAATGCCCTCGAGCATTTGAGGGATGATCTGAGGGATCTTGATGAACCAGGCAGGGACGGCCCGGTAGATCAACGGGGTATCCGAGCGCCAACAGAAGGGGTAACTGTGAGTAATCTGGCTATCAACGATCAGGCGGCCAGTTCCCTTCAGGTGCTTGATGATGGCCTTGTCGGCAGCCTTGACGTGCTGACCGGCAAAGTCCCGAACCTCGGCCGTGTAAATACCACGTTCATCCACGGGGTTGGGGGGCTGACGCTTCTCGTCGATGACGCCGGACTCCACAGCGACCCGGTAATCATCCTCACCAAAGGCAGGAGACTGGTGAACAACACCAGTACCATCATCGGCCGTGACGTAATCGGCATTCAGCACGCGGAACCCGTGGTCCTTGAATTCCTCGTAGAAGTAGTCGAAGAGAGGAACATACTTCCAGTCCTTCATCGCGGAACCCTTAAGCCGGTCGACGATCTTGAACTTAGCCTTCTTGGGGTCCTTGTAGAGGGTCCGGAGTAGAGATTCAAGGAGAATGTAGTGCTTTCCGGAAGCCTCGTCGAGAATCTTGATGTATTCGAAGTTGGGGTTGACCGAGACACCGGTGTTCGAAGGCAGGGTCCAAGGAGTGGTGGTCCATGCGAGCAAGCAAGTCTCGGGGTCGTTCACCAAGGGGAACGTGACGACGACTGCAGGATCCTGCACGTCCTTGTAATTTTGCTGGGCTTCGAAGTTGCTAAGGGGGGTGTTGAGAGCGGTCGAGTAGGGCATAACGCGGTATCCTCTATAGACAAGGTCTTTGTCGCATAGTTGCTTGAAAACCCACCAAACAGATTCCATGAATTCTGTGTTCATAGTCTATACGGATACAGAAAGGTTGAATCAGTATGCGTTTAAACATCACGGAATATATTTTCTCGCGGGGGTATCCTTTCACCAGCCCGAAACCCAACATGAAAAGAAACGGAACGGGAGGCCTACCTTGTAGTCATTGTCGAAATCAATCCAACGACCAAGTCTGTCAATGGTCTCACGCCATTCCGAAGCATATCTCATGACAATGGCGCGGCACTCCTCGTTGTACTTCTCGATTCCGAGTTTTTCGACAGCCTCCAGACCCGACATGCCCAATTTCTTGTCGATCTCGTATTCAATGGGGACACCGTGGGTATCCCATCCGAATCGACGTTCGACATAGTGGCCCTTCATAGACCAGTATCTGGGGATGATATCCTTGATGGTCGAGGCCAGCAAGTGACCATAGTGAGGCATGCCGGTCGCGAACGGAGGGCCATCGTAGAAGGTATACGGTTTGCGGCCCTCAGAGAGCTCAACCTGCCTTCTGAAGGCATTGATCTCCCTCCACCTGGTGAGGATGTTCACCTCCTCGGCAGGGAAATCGATAGACATGACGGGCGGGGGAGCTGTCGTCAAACTGCACTCGTTGGCGATCTTCAAAGGAGGGATTGGGCCGCGGGGTAATAAAAAAGAAATCGGCAGTGAGTCACCCCGCGCCGGACTGCCGCTTTGGTCGCTGCGGTCGACCGGATGCGCCTCAGGCTGTCACGCCCTGCACGCCCTTCGACTGCTCCTGGCTTCCCAATGGAATTCACTTCAGGTAGGTTGGATTGTCGAGATTGTGAGTCAGAGTTGAAGATTAGAAAGACCATTCGCTCCTGAAACTTCACAAGCAAAGACCAATAAAAATATTTGTTGTGTCACGCCAGATGCAAGGCACACGGCATACATACTACTGCTATAGTTATAGAATAGTATGAGTAACTAACAGTATCAAGACTAGGATTGGTGAGATCACTCATGTTTGAAGCTGTCTATCAATAGAATATAGCTTTTCTCAGCTAATAATAACCCTCCCATCAGTAATCTTGAGTGGGAGTAATGAACAATTCTAAGCTAATTCAAATAGAAACAAGATTTATGGCCGGTATATTCAGAACTATGCAAATTTGTCATGGTCCACGCTAATCATCATCCTCATCCTCATCCTCGTCGTCGTCGTCTTCATCCGAGACTTCCTGCCCGAGATCTTTGAGACGTTTCTAATAGATGGGTTAGTCAACGGTGCGGTTATTGCGCGTATATGGACTGGCTCACCTTATCTTCATTTCTCTTGGTCTCTAGATCACCAAAAACAATGAGGAGATCTTCCAGTTCAGACTGTGCTGCCTGGCGAGCTTCTTCCTTTTCTTTGGCTTCCGACTTGGCTTTCTCAAGAGCCTTTTGGGCCTCCTCCAGTGTCTGGGCGGATTTGCGTGCATCGTCTTCGACCTTCTTCGCTTTCTTTTCTGCCTCTTCCGCTCGTTTTTCTAAGGCAGAAATCTTGGAGGAGTAATCGTCATGCATGGCTTGAGTGTCCTGCGTCGAGGCCTTCTTGGCTTCGTCAAGTTGTGACTGTAACGATTCGTTTGTAGACTTGAGATCGGCGATCTCAGACTCCTTCTGCTTTTTGATGGCATCAAGCTCCGTTTGCAAAGACTTGTTCTGAGTTTTGAGATCTGCAACCCCATTTTCATGCTGTTGCTTCCCAGAATCAAGTTCCGATTGTAAACTGTCGTTTTTGGACTGGAGATCCGCAAGCTGCGCATCGTACTCCTGTTTTCCAGAGTCAAGCTTCGATTGCAATGACTCATTAGTAGAGGTGAGCTCCGTAATTTGAGCTTCATGCTGTTGCCTTACTGACTCAAGCTCGGCCTGGAGAGATGTATTCGTCGATGTAAGATCCGCAAGCTTGGTTTCATGCTGCTGTTTAGCCGCATCAACCTCTGCCTGCAGACTCTGTATCTTCTTGTTCAGGTCCGAGACTTCAGCCGAGTGTTGCTTGTTGCTCTGGTCAGTGTTGGATTCGAGCTGCAGAATTGTTCCTTTCAAGTTCGATACTTCAACGGCATGCTGCTCCTTCAGGTTGTTGGCATCTGACATCAGCCTTTCAATGGTCGTCTTGAGACCAGCCACCTCGCCCGAATATTGTTCCCCGGCGCGTGAGAATTCCGATTCCAGTGACCGGATTCGTTTCTGTAATTCGGCAACTTCGGCTTCGTGGTGCTCTCTCATCTTCTGGCTTTTTCTTTCATGGTCGTTGGAGGCAACTCGGAGTTGATTATCAATGGCTCGCAGCTGATCGCCATGCTGTCTCATGAGCTCATTCATTTCGCGCTGTTGCTCTTGCTTCAATGTCGATAGCTCCTGTTCGTGATTCTTCTGCAATGAATCGTTGATCTGCTTGATCTTGGAGGCCTCCATAGTGCTTGACTCTTTGGATTTCCTGTGATCAAGTTGCTCATGCTCCAATTTATTTTGCAAGGCAATAAGGTCAGACTCCAGTTTTTGTATCGATTGGGTCCGGTCCTCAAGTTCCGTCTTGAGAGAGTCAACCAGTTCACGCGAAACCCCTCTCTCAACACCATTGGTGATGACCGAAACCTCAAGACCAGGCTCGCGGTCAATTGAACGAGTCAGGCGACCAAAGTTGTCTTTGCAGAAGTCAATGAATGTGCGATCGAAGTAGATCTCGGGAAGCCCTGCTTCAAATTGTCCGGCCACTGTCTGTGGTAGGACTTCGAAATCACGAACCGCGGGAGATTCTCTGAACCGCGTGATCTTATCAATAAATTGATCTCTCCCTAGCTGTTCGATTAACAGCTTGTGCAAAGTCTTGCGAGGAATCGGGGAGTCTTTTGATGAGAATTCATAGACTATTCCAAGCAGAACGGTGCAAAGACCGGTCAGGAGCACGTAGGGAGAACCCCGATGCTTGATTTCTTGTAGCAACGTTTGGATGCTACTCCCCTCTCCGAGGAAGTCGTTCACAGCATCCGGCTCCTCAAAGAGCCACCCACATAGCAACATGAGATACCCAAGGGTAATTCTTTCGTCGTCTCCCCGTTGAATGCCAGTGACCAGGTTGCCCACGATTGTTTGGATACAGGTGATGACTTCTTCGCCACTTTCGGCATCACCCTCGGTTACCTCCATGGCAATCGCCTTAGCTTCAGCATTTTCAAACAGCAGATGGAACATCAACACAGAGGCCATCCACGTCTGATATGGATCGGCATTCCCTCGCAGTTCTGGCGGGGTAAGCAAGACCGACAAGATGTTTGGAATTTCATCCTGTCCGCTGATGTGGCCATCAATGGCTCTTCGCAAAACGTGAACGCGAATTCCGGAGTGGTGAGCGAAAAAGGCTTTAATGCATTCACAGGCAGCAAGGCGTGCGTCGAGAAGTTGAATAGTGGCAGGTTCAAGTGTAAGCTTGAGCAGAGCCTCCATCACATTGATGCGTTGGAATTCTTTGCCCGCTGCATCGCCGTTCACGGCGCCCTCGACTGGCTTGACGCCCCAGAAGACCTCGACGTCACCGAACTTTTCTTGCAAAGGCTCATTTCCTCTGATGAGATCCGCAATTGTAGCCAACGCCTGTCGCAATCAGCATTGAACCTCAACGCTGGGTGAGGCTATTCCACAAACCTTGGACGTGACATTGACGCTGAACCTTTGGCTAAAAGCAGCACTTAACACTTGCTCCATGACGCCATTGTTCCAAAACGCCTTTTGATTGGCCGGTGTATTGATTCCACCGCGGACTAGGAACAGCTGGATTATAACCAGAAAGCCCCAGATGTTCTTATCGCGATGGGCAAGAGTCCACTGAGGAGCAGGTTCACCAGAGTCCTGTTCTTGGTTGACATCGGAGAGAAGCTTTGCTACTCTCTTGACACAACCCGTTTCCCGGAAGTATGACTGGTTGGAGATATTGAGTCTCAGGAGATTGGCGAGCAAAGAGAGACAGTCTTCGACGACCTCGGACCCATGCGTCAAGGCACCCTCATTTTCAATAAGAGAGAATACGAGATCGAACGCATTTTCAAACGCGACAAGCTTCTGGAATTCCTCAGATGCCGGGGTAAGGGCGATTAGGAGCAACAGAGCCTCTGTAAATCCACGATGATTGTCAGCGAACTTGCTGCCTCAATGAACAGTATGTCTGCACTTGTATCATACCATTCCGGACTGGTTCTCGGGCATCTCCCAAAGCACTGACTAGCCTCGGAATGCCCAGCGGCGCCGTCAAAATACATTCCTGCGTTCTTTCCGGTCGCGCGCTCGAAATCTGGAACATCAATTGCAGGGAATATAGGCGAGAGTAGAATTCTCGAGTATCGAGGAGGTCGAGGAGGGCGGTGATGTTGTCTTGACGCTTTCGCCTCGTTAGCGAAGCCAGTAGATCATATGCGGAGGAAGCATACCTGCGTGAACTCGTCGGACAGCCACAGAGCTATCTCATCCGAGGCTTCGGGCTAGACAATGCGAATCAGCACCCGCTGTCCACAAGACCGGCAATTGGAAATAACTGACACTATTCTCGTCCGGCGAAAACAGGTTCAACAAGGTCTCCAAGACCACCTTAATTGTGTCCACATCTTCGCGGTCATTTCTGAGACCGCTAATCAACGGTCGCAGCGCACCAGAGGCGACAGAGGCAGGATACAGCTTTGCAAAGCTCCTCAGTCCTTGGATAGCTGCCCGACGGTCTTCCAACAGCGTCGCACTCTGCAGTCTACTGCTCAGAGTATTGATTGTATCGGTGGCCGTTTGTTTGGCCGGGGCCTGCGATTCGAGGATGCGAAACATTGCGACCGGTAGCTCGTAGTATCATGGTTACCGCTGGCCGCGGACGTAGCAATTGATAAACATCGAACAGGCAGAGACAACAGAAAGACAAAAGGAAAGACTGGTGAGTTGTTCGTCGGCGGAGCTGCGATGCAGACAATAATCATTAGGTGGTCGCTGCGGGAAATGCCAAGCCGCCGCTAAACCAAGGCGGAAGCGCGACAAAGGAAAAGACCGAGTCCGTTCATTCATCCGTTCATTCACGGGTCTTGAAGAAACTTCCAAGGCCTCGTCGTTTGATCTGCCCTCCAGTCAAAGAATCAAGGGCTTTGATAGCTACGTTTTCTCTGTCCTCGGCTCCCTCGGATAGGCTCTTTTCCTCTTTTCACCCATTCGCTTGCTTGTTGTAAAGCTCGGTGCAATTCGCGATTCTTATCGATCGGTTCAGGAAACCAGTCGATGGAGCGCATCGCCAACGGCATCTAGAATATATCAGAGATCTTGCCTAGTACTACCTGAATAATCTCCTCGTTTGTTCGCCTCTTTGTATCATCATGGGTGTCCCAGCGCTGTTCCGATGGCTCTCCAACAAGTACCCCAAGATCATCTCGCCGGTGATCGAGGAGCGTCCTTACGAGGTCAATGGAGAAGAGATCCCGGTCGATGCCACTCGTCCCAACCCTAATGGAGACGAAATGGACAATCTGTACCTGGATATGAACGGTATCGTTCACCCGTGTACTCACCCGGAGGGAAAGCCCCCGCCTGCGAATGAGCAGGAGATGATGCTGGAGATTTTCAAGTACACCGATCGCGTGGTGAACATGGTCCGTCCTAGGAAGCTTCTAATGATCGCAGTTGGTATGTGGTGACTCCTTGGTTGTCTTCTAATCCGCGAAATCACTAACCGGGTCTTCCGAAATCATTTAGATGGTGTGGCGCCGCGAGCCAAGATGAACCAGCAACGCGCACGACGTTTCCGCTCTGCCCAGGAGGCTCGAGAGAACGATGAGAAGAAGGAGGAGTTCCGGAAAATGCTGGCGAAGCAGAATGGCAACAAGGGCGATCAGGGTGTCCAGGAGGAAGTTGTCCAGAAGACATGGGATAGCAACGTGATTACTCCGGGCACGCCGTTCATGGACATTCTTGCCGCCGCGCTGCGCTACTGGATTGCCTATAAGCTCAACACTGATCCGGCTTGGGAAAAGGTTTGGCGCTCGTCTCCCCGTCTTGGAGGTGTCCGTTCTGACTTGCGCAGCTTAAAATCATCATTTCCGATGCGACTGTTCCAGGAGAGGGAGAGCATAAGATTATGGAATTCGTGAGGTCGCAGCGAGCGTCGCCGGAGCACGACCCCAACACTCGTCATGTTATCTACGGTTTGGTATGTGATGGGAGCAAGAAATACATCGGTTGAGAAAGATTACTGACGTTGATTGATTCTTTAGGACGCCGATTTGATCATGCTGGGACTTGCGACTCATGAGCCTTACTTCCGGGTTCTCCGAGAAGATGTGTTCTTCCAGGAATCGAAGCAACGGACATGTAGGCTTTGTGGTCAACCGGGCCACAAGGCTGAGGAATGCAAAGGACAGGCTAAGGAGAAGAATGGTGAATTTGATGAAAAGGGCAAAGGCACCTCGCTCAAGCCGTTTATCTGGCTGAACGTCTCCATTCTTCGGGAATATCTTGCTGTCGAGCTTTGGGTTCCCGGACAGCCATTCCCTTTCGATTTGGAGCGAGCATTGGACGATTGGGTGTTCATGTGTTTCTTCGTAGGAAACGATTTCCTGCCGCACTTGCCATCACTAGACATTCGTGAGAATGGCATCGACACTCTCATCGCGATCTGGCGCGATAATATCCCCGCCATGGGCGGATATCTGACGCAGGATGGGCATGTCGAGTTCAAGAGAGCCCAGCTTATCCTGCAGGGCCTCGCCAAGCAGGAGGACGCTATCTTCCGCCGGCGACGACAAGTGGAGGAGAGAAAGGCCGCGAACGAGAGACGACGCAAACAAGAGGACAAGGCCCGAGAAGAGCGTGCCAGCAAGCGTAGGAGAAGCTCGCCCAACTATGAGGCGTACGAGCAGCAGCCTGCGATCAACACCCCCCGAGTTCGCGGTGGTGACATGGCCGTGCACTCCGCGGCGGGTCTGGACTTGATAACTCCCGAACGGGGGCATTTGTCTCGAGAGTCTCGAGAGTTGAACCACAGCATGGTGGTCAACCGCGGCAATGTCTACCGGGCTAATATGGCCAACAAAAGCGCCGCCGCCGTCCTCAAAGACAAGCTCATGAAGGGTTCGTCCAATGACCAAAACTCAGAGGAGGCCGCAGCCGAGGCACAGGAGCCATCGGGCGATCAAACAGAGCAGACCTCGCCGTCCGTTCTCGGAAAACGAAAGGCGGAAGAACAGGAGAAAGAAGGCAACGCCCCGAACAATGGACCCAAACCACAGCAGGACGACAATGATATGCCCCCCGACAACGTGCGTCTGTGGGAGGAAGGTTATGCCGACCGATACTACGAGCAAAAATTCGGCGTCGACCCCTCCGACAAAGAGTTCCGCCACAAGGTCGCCCGTGCCTATGCCGAAGGTCTCGCATGGGTTCTATTATATTACTTCCAGGGATGTCCCTCGTGGACGTGGTATTATCCCTACCATTACGCACCGTTTGCCGCCGACTTCGTGGACATCGGCGATATGGAGCTATCATTCGACAAAGGAACGCCGTTCAAGCCATTTGAACAGCTGATGGGCGTCCTCCCGGCCTCGTCCAACCACGCCATCCCCGAAGTCTTCCACGACCTGATGAGCGACCCTAAGAGTGAGATTATTGACTTCTACCCGGAGGATTTCCCGCTGGATTTGAACGGCAAGAAATTCGCCTGGCAGGGAGTCGTTCTCCTGCCATTCATTGACGAGAAGCGACTCTTGACTGCTATGGAGAAGAAATACCCGCTTCTCTCCGACGACGAGAAACTTCGCAATGCCATGGGTACCGAGGTACTGTTGATCTCGGAGAGCCATCCGCTGTACCATGACCTGGTCGCCAATTTCTACTCCAAGAAGCAAAGCACTCACGAGGTCAAATTGAACCAACGCATCAGTGAAGGGTTGGCGGGCAAGGTGGAACGCAACGACACATACATTCCGCACAGCTCCTTGGTATCGACTCTTGAGCAATACGGTATGCCCAGCTTGGATGATGATCGCTCTTTGACGTAAGTTGACCATTTCCCCTTTCCAACCTTGTTGTTTGCCCTTGATCTAGTCGGCTAATGTCCCGTGTATGCAGTGTCAACTACACGATCCCCAAGTCTTCCCACATCCACAAGTCCATGCTGTTGCGGGGAGTGAAATTCCCCGAGCCGGCCTTGGACTACGGCGACATCATGGCCGTCAAGAACAAAGCGCAGAACTCCGGTCGGTCGTTTGGAGGCGCCCCCTTCCGCAACAACAACGGCGGAAACCGCGGCGGTCGCATGAACTACGGCAACCAGGGCAACCAGGGCAATCAGGAGCGCGAGCGACCAAACCCCTTTGCGGCGCATCTGGACCCCAACTTCAAGCCTGCCGGAAACAATGCGCCTTCGGGCTGGGTTCCTCCCATGCCCGGGTCCACGGGCTACTCGCGAGGCCCGCCACCACCTCCCCGTGGAGGCATGTCGGGTTATCCTGACGGGCGTCATCAGTACCAGAATCGAGGCTCGTATGGCGGACCTCCCCGACAGAACTACGGCCGAGACGACTATAATTACGGCCAGGGTCAAGGATACCAGCAGTTGTCGTCCAACTGGCGCGGACGGGGCGGAGGATATTCCCGGGGAGGCCACTCCAATCGGGATTCCTATGGATCGAGGAACCAGGGTGGATACGGACGCTACTAGAAGGGAAAGATGTGGGTTGTTAGATATCTATAGTCTGTTTCTTGTTGTCGATCTGTTTCTTGGGTCGTGCGTGTTTTGCCGAAGTCTATTCTTGTCTATTTTTCCCCTTCTTTTTGTCTTGGACTTTTCTGTTATGCTCTGACCTTTGCAACCTGTTTTTTGGGAGAGGCATGAAAAATTGGGCAGCAAGATGACATGTCATATACTACTTGGGATGGAGTTTGCGTGGTACTTTGGCTTCCTTTGCGGTGTGTACGAACGAAAGAATTCCATGAAGCTGACGATCGATCGGCACTCGTGCTCCAATCTCGATAGTCACCAGTAATAAGGAGGAATACTCCGTAGAATCGACCAAAATCTCTGGCCTCACCGACTGGAAGCACGCACGGTGGAGCGCCGGCAGAGCGACGGCCAATGCCGAGGCGACATCGGAGCGGGAAGAAGTGAGTCAATCGAGAAATTGAACTTCGCGGTGGATCTTTTCCTCTTCAACCACCGCTTCTCCTTGCCGCAACCGAGCAATCATCGTCAGAACCACTCGCCTCGTGCTCGGGTCTGCTCCATTCGCTGCCCCTGATCGTGTTCGTTATTCCCCTTTGGGCTGAGCTGAAAAGCCCCGCTCCATTTTTCTCTCCGACGCCAACTCGTCCGCCGGTCTTCCTGGATTTCTCTCCCTGTGTTGTCTCTCTCGTCTTCCGAGTCTGTGCTCGCTGTTGAGACGATTTGGACGAACTTCCGGGGTACTGTTGCTACGAGTCACAGCATGAATTAATTGGAGTCTGTGGTTATTCCTCTCTGCTGTGCGAATTGCCCGTCTCCCTTGCTTCAACTCACCCCCACCTTTCGATCATGACCGAACCTACGAAGATTAGCATTCTAGGTCGGGAGAGCATCGTCTCGGATTTTGGTCTTTGGCGTAACTATGTCGCTAAGGATCTGATCCGGGACTGCCCCTCGACCACCTACGTTCTCATCACCGACACGAACATCGGGTCGATCTATACCCCCTCCTTCCAGAAGACCTTCGAAGATGCCACCGCCCACCTCGCGTCGTCGCCTCGCCTGCTGGTGTACCATGCCCCGCCCGGTGAGGTCTCCAAGTCCCGACAGACCAAGGCCGATATTGAGGATTGGATGTTGAGCCAGAGCCCGCCGTGTGGTCGGGATACGGTGGTGATTGCGCTGGGCGGCGGAGTCATCGGAGACCTGACTGGTTTCGTTGC